CCATTTTTTTCCATCCCAACTACTGTCTTTTTCATACCCGACTCGGGTAACTTTCTGAAATTCACGGTAGTAACAAACTTGTAAGGCAGTCCACTTCGGATGCCTATCGAGGCCTATAAAGTCCAGGATTAAAGGAAAGTAACACCTATCTCGCCTTTGTCTCTCGTTTCGGCCTCAGTTAACCCTCACCGATCGCTGTTTGTGTTTCCAGACCTAAATTGGTTTACGGTTTAGAAATATAAATTCTAAATGATTTCAAATTGGGACTTTGATGGATTTATAAAATAATCTGTGTTTCTAAATGCTGCGGGAAGTCACCCAATAATACATCAGTATTAATATTGAAGTATAGTGATGCCAATTGATGGTCTTGAAAGCGCGGTAACAGTATCCCCGGGACCGGTGGAAGTATATCGAAGAACGACGTTGCACATAACGCCAACCAAAGTTATTGTGACCTCAGGGAACTGCCCGGGAAAAAGCATTAGGGGATGATTTTGCGTAGAATTTATTAGAGTCACCTCTGAGGTATGAAATGAAATTTCTCAACAATTGATAACAATATGCGTTGGCTGGGAAAAATGGTGAGTGCGCACGGTCAAGTCAAATGACGAAGCCGGCAGCTCGGCATCGCTTTTGCCTCGCGACCACCGCTACTAATTCGAAATCCACTCTTCAACGTGGTACCTGTGCAACATAATAATCATATCATCTCGAGAGTTTCCTTAAATTTGATCTCATCTGTCTCCAGCATTATTGGGGGCTTCAACGGGAAGCACTGTCTGGACAAGTAAAGCAATGCTACAATATGGCTTCCGGGCAAAGCATTACTATTATATTCCCTTCGTTACCAAACACCTCCAATCTCCAGTGTCTGCACAGCGACTGATTCCCGCTGCTTTGATGGTGTCTATGGGCAGCCGTAAACTCATCCCAGAGTCGGACGCCGTCAACAGGAATATCGCATGAAATGCTCGGTGTACCACTAAGTCTTGTACTTTGGGATATGAGCTCGACTAGAGACGCGAAATTGTTCGATAGGGTCGAAACATTGAAACCCAACTTTGGGGGATTGTAAATTACTGCCAAAGCAAGATGCTGGCAGATACTCTCGTCTCTTCACGTACCCGGAAGTCCACGGGGTCCAGCAATACAATAGTGCTATCAATTCGACCCAGTGCCTCACCGCAAGTCAAGGGGCTAACTTGGGCTGACATATTCCCCCTGGCCATATGATACTTGAATGAGAACCTGATTTTGCTCCTCATAAGCCGACAATTCCATTTTCAAGTGGCCGCATATTCTCCACTGACGCGGTCACGGCAAAACAAGGAACACCTTGCACCGCCGGTGCGTGTTGTCCCAGTCCTCGGAACAGGGCCAACACTTAGGTACAGCGCAGTCGTTGCCAGTCTTCTCCCGGAGGTGAACTATCCCGTTATGTTCGGTGCTATTGGCCATATTGACGTTCAGGGGAAGACAGCATTTTTTGCACTTGCATACAAGATTTAAACATCGTCTCTTGGCCTACTTGACGGTTGGATTTGCAAAGCATACCCATTCTCACTGTACAAGGAATCGATAAGGTGGCGAAGATGCGAAGATACGTTCTTTCCATATTTATGCGAAATCCACGATCTAAACTCACGCCGAAACAATGGCTTGAAGCTTCAAAAAGTCCGGAGTACCAAGACCGGTCACCTGTTATACATGTGGATTTGAGTACATTGTGATACGTGCATAAGAGTCAGACAAGACTCACCGGATCCCAACCTATCCCAGCAGAAAATCCTGAGAAGACACTGATTACAACCCACAGAGAGAAAAAGTGCTTTAAAAGATACTTACCTTGAGTTCCGCATCCTGGATTACTTCCAGATACAATATCATTGAATCCCCCTGGGTTGGCGTAGATCAACGGATTAATAAATCCCAGCGAGCTCTGACCGTTTGATAGACGGAAGTCGTTCAACAGCGAAATTACACCTGCTGTAGTCTGTCATGAATTAAGCTGAAGCATTCAACAAAATGGGAAGCGGTGGCATACCGGCGAGCTTGCGCTGGTTCCGCCGACTAAAAAAGCCTCCCCACCGATGATCACAATGAAGTTCTCACTTTGCGCTGCGACATCGGGGTATGCGCGTCCACTGGAACTGTTTGAATATAAGTACTGGTACCAAGGGTAACAAAAACGATTCGGCGACTAACTTGAAAAGGCCCGAAAATGTGTCACCCAGTCCTTCCAAAAAGCTGTTCACAGCTTCGACTTGATAGTCTGGTGTTGGGAAATACCGAGAAAATCCACCGCCCGAGAAGTCAACTGCGACTTCGGGATTGATACCAACGGTGCCACCAACAGCAGTCACTGAATAATATCAGTGTTTCCAGTCCGATGGTACCATCGTCATTGGTCTTACCAAATGGACAGCTGAAGGAAGAAATCCTTCAATCCTGAGGCCTTAATTGGAGAAAAGGGGCGCTCTCACCTTGCTGGGAAATCGGGCTGGAACAACACAGTATCAGTACCATCGTTGGTTAGACAGTCCCCGCCGCCAACGCTAGATAGATATTTTAAGTGAGGTGGTCAATGGGCATCATTATTACGGCACGCACCCGAGGTCCCCGCTAGAAAAGAGAACCGTAGTGCCTCTAACACCAAGTTCCGCAAATAAATTGCATACGCTAACTGCGAAATCGTTGGGAACCTTCATTCAGGATATTGTCAGGTTGCGGCATACATCGGCATATGCACAAATACACACCGTTTGTTCATCGTCACCATAGGATGTGGTGATCGTCTGAGGAATTGTGTCTTGGGAAAGCACAAAGTTCAACCAATCGAGATATGGCTCATTGGTGTCCGTGGGAGTCTCGGAATCAGGATTGAAGGGCGGCGATCCTCCCGTACTGGACGGAACATGAGGGAGGCGATTATAAAAAACCGAAAACTCTACCTGTAATAAATATTTGGCGTAGGAAATGACATTCCTTCTGTGTATTGAATGTCTAGATTCGCCTTTGGGGAAATAGGTGAGGCAATGCGGTTTATCAAGAGACGGTGACTCGCACCTCAACACCAGGGTCACTTTGGTTGTCTCCACCATTGTTAACTGTTATGGTGTCAAACGAGGTCCCAACTGCCTCCGGTAGGAATGCAGTAAAGAAAGTCTATGACAAAGAAACGCGAAGGGACTAAGTGTAATATTCTACAGAAGAGAGCGTCCGAAATTCTTACCTGCAAATCCGCACGATTTGCAAACTCATCCAAATAGCCAGCAATGCCGAGTACATTGACATCGGTGGCTTGCGGGACATAACCTGAAGCTATTTTGGCATTAATCTGGGGTAATCAGGGCATGTCATTAATCTAGACCAACTGTTATAAAGCACTTTTAAGCAGGCCGGAGTAATCTGCGTGGCACAACTACTTGGAGGCACTGCTTCGGGTGACAGAGTGAAACCCTTTTCTTCTCCGAAACTGTTAGATTGGATGAAATGCGTGGCCTTCATGCTGCGTAGAGTACCAAAGTAGGTCGTAGGTGACACCATATTTATGTGATTGTGCAGTTCACGGGGTAGCGAATAACTCAAGGTCCTGACAACATAAGACGACGAGAGAGAATGTCGGTATAACTCATATTTTGCCCCTAGCATGGCCTCCGCCTGAGAAACAGTCATCGGAATGACGATCCATTCTCCTCCTCCAGAACGGAAGGTGATATCGTCGGTCTTGAAGCCATGATCAGAAAGCCAAGACTCAACCGCTTCAGCAGAGTCGGGATGAGGAGCCACCAGAGCGTCAGCTTCCTGCTTTGACAAATGTTTTCCGTAGCTGCCGGGCCCGAATTGTCAGATAATATTTCCGCCACCGCCACCGTGAGCGGAAAAAGCACGTACCGATCGTGTTTGGGGTCACTGATTTGATATAAACTGCTGATCAGCTCATTAATCTTGTTTTGCTTGAGGCCGATGCGCATTTCAAGGATATGTTCTGGATCAGGTGAACGGACGTACTCCCATCCGCGAGGGATCTCCGCCCAAGAATGTTTCTCGACAAGATCACTCCAGCGTTTGGTCGCGAGTGGGTTAGCGAAGACACCAAGGGGCGGGGCAGCGCCCAGAAAGAGGAGGAAGGACCAGAGCATGCCAAATTTGAGAGCAAGAGTAGGGCCAAAGGGTTCACAAGGTCATCAGTACCTGGGAACAGCTGGGAACTTATACTTGCAGCCCATTTTACCTGTTATCGCATGCAGCATGGAACACTGAAGCCGACGACCACCATAATGATTCTCCACGGTCTGATCGATAGCATCATGGGACTAGAAGATATTATTGTTTGACGGACGTGCGACGACCAAAAGCTGGGAATAAAAAGTGGCCTGTGCCGGATACATAGCGCGGTTCCCAGCTGGTAGAATGGAACTCGGGAGTTGTTAAATAACCCATGAGAAAGCATGATCCTTGTTACCTTGAATCTTCCTTGTTAGGAACAACTGTCTGTCGAATTTGAATGTCATAATCCATATGGTCCAGAAGGAACGGCCTAGAACATCACCGGCAATAATAGGCAATAATGTGACAATATTAGTATTAATATTATGTCTAATTAGTAAGCGTTTCCAGGTCGACGCCGCAATGATAAGGAACGAGACAGCCCTGGAGGCATTCGGAGCCGCAAACCGAGCCGAAGCAGCCGAATCCCCTCAGTGTCACAGTCACAAATGGCACTGCCGCTTGTTCAAGCAGGCCCGTCTAATTTTTTTAAATTTTTTGTATGTAATGCCAACCCTGTGAAATTGCATTTCGACTCTATATCCTTTGAGGACGGCGCCCTCGCTGACAGTGTCTGTCTTTCCTTCCGACAAATACGTTCCTTTTGCCCTGACCTCCACTCTCTTTTCTGTCCTTTACATGTCGCATGCACGCAAGCTGCACTTTACCGATTTTTTAAGGAGTCATACCAGTCATCGACAAGCCTCAAACGAGCCATCGTCATCTTCATTGGTGTACGGAGGGGAGCCCGTATTGGAGCCTCCCAATAAGAGTAAGAGTTCCCGTATCCCATTCCTAGGACGCGCCAGGAAGAAATCTACCGTATCTGATGGGCGTACTACTTTCGAATCTCGCAATATTGATGATGGACAGCGGCCAACATCATTGACAGATGAGATGTATGTCGTTCTCCCTTTGCAATACACTGTATCACTCACATTTACTTGCTCAGCAACGCCTTACCATCGGATTCGTCTGTGTCCCATTCCCATTCCCATGCTTCTACCAGTGCTTCTGATGCCCATTCGCTATTGAATTCCAAAATCGCTGTTCGTGTCGCGCATTCTATTCCGAAATCTACGAACAAGCCTACACGCCTACCATCGCATAGTCCTTCAATCAATGGATACACCTCTGATTCATTGTTATCTCCACCATCTAGCCTTCGGCCCACATCCATTGGCACTACCATTTCTGATTCCAATCGCAAGCACCGTTCGGCGATGCCACGACCCAAGCAGCCTACAATAACCGTGTCTCTAACTCCCGACAATCTCAGCGAGTACGGTGACCTTTTCACTCAACCTCGTAACAAATTCTCCCCTACCAACCAACAGCCTTCGACGCGTGACGACAGAGCATATCAAAGCGATACCCAAATCAAGTCCCTTCCACGGCTGTCTTCCCCAGAAATCCCTCCATTACCGAAATCCCCACCCGTAAAGCTGCGTGACACCCGCAGTTACACCGATGATGCCGTATCTTTGAAATCGACGCGGAGTACGCGTAGACATCGCGTCGAAGACGGTTCCAGACATTCAGATGAGGAATCAGAGACGCTCTCCACACCGCCCATGCCGTCATTGCCCGGTCATCGTACTTCTCTAGAGACACGTCGAATGCTAGGATCCATACCATACTCTTCTCAGGAACAACGACCGTCGCACCTAGCCAAGGGAGTATCGCCTCACGAGCCTCCCACCATTCCCCTTCCTGAGCCTCCTCTCCGCTCTCTCCCTGATGTTCCCTCTCTAACAACTTCAGCAGGTCCGACAAGCATAGTCAATGGTCGGCGTAGAGCCCATACTATGTCTTCAGTTTCATTGCCACCAATACCTTACTCTCCGTCCTTCCCCCCATTGTCCCCTTGTGGATCTTTTGACAGAAGATTGGATGATGAGAGATCCAATAAAGAGAACGATGATCTCGATATCGATTCTGCATCGGTTGAACAATTGCGACAGGCGTTAAAAGACCGGTCTCAACAAGTAGATCAATTGCTCAAAGCCGCTAAAGCGTATCTTTCGGAGAAGACCGAGCTTGAACAGAAGATTTCCCTCTTGGAGAGAGAAGCCGCTAGACGAGAAAAGGAGATACAAGGGCTCACCTGGCTTGTCAACAATCGAGGTGCTGCCGTTGGGGAAAGTCCGATGATTCTGGCCGCTTCTAAATCCACAAGTGCCCTGCAAGCTGAGAAGAGCACTTTCAGTCCATCCTCGCCCACTAAATCAAAAAATCCCGCGTACCGATATCTTAACGCCGATTATGATTCTGGTGGAGAATCTCACCAGACGTCTGGTGGTGAGTCAACGACAGCAGTACGAACCCCGCGACCCAAACGTTACAGTAAGGTGTCGGAGAAATCGACACTTTCACAACGGTCGTCCCTACGTAACGGCGGTACGGCTGGCTGTGATACGTCCATTCCCTCTGTTCCTACTTTGGATAAGCGAACATCAGTCTCTTCCGTTGCCTTTTCAGCGGCATCAACGTCGTCGACATCATCCTTGATGCCGGCGAGTTCGTCTACGTCAACGCTGTCAGTCATTCCTGAGGATGTCCTTCCACCACTACCACGTAGGCAGGCATCAGTATCGTCACCTTCCTCTCGCGACCCGGCAATCATGGCCGCTATCATTCGAAGTCGCGAAAAGGATCAGAAGCGTACGTCAAAACCACCCATGTCGGTGCCATCGGCGTCGGCTCCTACACCTGCTGCGGCGTATGCAGCTAACTTGAAGCAAGGCCCGTCTATTGCTCAGGTACTGGCTCATCCGTAAAGTTGATCGGGGGTATCGTCTCAAATTTATACATGCAGTCGGAAACGTTGTTGTAAAAGATGTACGGGTTTCTTGCTGGTATCATTTCCTGTTTCTGACCACGTCACAGGAAAATTCACATGTTGTACAATACCATCGACTGCAAGACTGCTAAAAGTAGATTTTATTTCTTACTGGCCGGACCCCCGGCCACACGTTCTCCGTCCATTTGGATGATCAACCATATCATCATTTCAATCCTTTGCTTCCTCTTTAGACTGCATTTACATTAATTTATTAGCAAATACCTTCTCTCTAACTTAGTATTTGTATGTCTAGACGAATGACAAAGGGCTAGTTATGTTACGATTCTACGGTTCTTATATTGGCATAATGTAGAAACCGCATTTCTTTTAAGTTCTACTTCACTAAGCTGAAAGAAGTCGGCTTGTCATAATGATACTAAAACATGTATACAACACAGAACTACTGAGATTCAGATTTTGACACTTCTTCGTCTATGTCCTCCGGTCCTTCAGGCTTATCGGTGTATACAAGCACCAGTCAATAGGAAGTCATTATTTAACGAAAGTCAACGTACGGCCGTCAAAGTAGCCTCGAGACCAAAGTGGTCGCTCACCCACAACTCTCCGCATTTCAATCCCATTCCAATCCTTTGTGGCGGCGTGATATCGAATCTCGTCTTCCCAGCTGGCGTATAGGACAACACTCTGTCCATACGGGACTTGGGAAATTCGCCTGCACCTCCTCCCTGTTCCCCCCAGGTGAATGCTTCCTCCTCGTCAAGCTCCGCGGCAGCGTCAATCAGTTCCACACTGAGGAGCGCATCATCAAAATCCTGATCAAACGCATTCAAGTCACCGACTACGATCCCCCCGGTCGACGAGTGCCTCAACAGCACGGCACACTCCTTCAACTGATGCAGCCTGTTCGGCCGTCCCGTCGCCATGGACTCCAAATGCGTATTGACAACCCTCAAGTTCCGCTTGAAGCCCCTTGTACTGATCATGCGTAGGTCCAGCACAATAGCTGAACGCTCATGCTCCGTGCGGCCGTAAAACACAATCTCTGCATCCCGAATGGGTACCGTCCGCTCTACGAGAGTGACATTGCCGTATTGGTAATGCGGCCCAGGCCACTTGGTGGGTTCGACAGGCGTCACGGCGAAATGGTCGCGTACCCAGTCAGTATTAAGCAGTTCCTTCAGGCACTCGGGTCTCACTTCTTGAAGCAGAATGCAGCAAGGCCCTGGTGACTGTCCATCGTCGCATTTGAAGACCTCGAACTGGAGATACTCTAGAGCAGTATTGAAACGCTCTACAGCATGATCCGCTGAAAAGTCCAGATTCCATGTCACTAGTCTGAGCTGGACTGGAGTGGACATGTGCTTGGTGCTTTCACCGTGAAGTTTGAGGTGCTTCCACTGCGCTTCATGGTGATTTGGGCGGAAGCGGTAGACTTTGAGGGGCTTTGTAACAGACTTGTCGGGAGCGATACTGGACCTATCGGTCATTGGGAATGATCTATCGCGTAAAAAGGCAGAGATCCTTCGGCTAATGACGTGAGGTACAACTCGAACAAAGCACATGTAGTTGACTTACAGATTACTGAAGATACCCGTTTTTGAAGCTGATGCGGCGAGTAAGAAGACGACTTGAAGAAAGTTGGGGCTTAAATGCGTATTTACAGATGAAAGAAAAGATAAAAGTCGGATCGATGATAGCTCACGTCATGCTGCGTGTCAAACATGAGGCCATGCTTTGCCACTGCTTTGTCTACTCAGGCTGGTGATCCCTTCAAGACGATCTTCCACTATACGCTGCACTCGGCGCAGATGGCTTTTAAATTAAGAACTTGTTCTTGTTCAGATATCATACAAGCGCCCCATGATCTGACGTCTATAGCTCAGCTTCCTCTCGACCAATCGTCTCCTCCTTTGGGCTCTCTCCAAAGGCACGCAAAATATTCGTTTTGATTTTTATTTCGTCGAGTTTGGATGGCGAAAGGCTCCGCTTTTTCAGCAACGACTCCAGCCTGATGGAGTGTGGATCACGCGTGTGTATTGATGATAACGGTGGGGGAAAGCAGGTGCTCGATCAAAAGATGAACACAAAGACGTACAAAGGGAGGGCTCACCGATCCAGCTCTTTCTCAAGGTACCCAGCAGGTCCATTGACTTGCTTTTCCATAACCCGGAAATAGTACTGGGCAGATTCATTCGCATTGGAGACTAAGAGAGCCTTCGCTTGCTCAACAAGCGCATTCTTCGCGTCGTCAGCGGCGGTGAAGAATTTGCTAGCTAGAGCGTCAAAGTCAGCGAGACGCCCAGCCTGCGTTTCCCACGAATCAGTCATGTCTTCACACAATCTAGGCCGTACTTACATTGCCGGTCAAACCTCCTCCGACTGCACGGTGTGTGCCACATTTCTCATTCAAGAAGTTGACAAAGTCGACTTCGGAGCGACCACCCTCGTAACTGATACCCTCCTTGTTATCCTTGGAGAAAAACAGGATCGTCGGAAAGCTTGTGACTTCATATTTCTTAGCCAAGTCACTGTTTTTCTTGTCATCACCATCAACGTTGGCGATAATGCACTGAAAATTGTGAATGGATGGATAAAAGTCGAGAACAGACCAAAGCATACATTGCTTTCCGGCAGGAAGGTGGTTGCAACTGACAGAGTCTGGTTTTAGTCAGTTCACCGTAGCAAGGAGAATAACAGCACCTTTCTCATATGCCGGCTTCATATTTTTGCAGTGACCACACCACGGCGCCTACAGGTACCTGAGAAAAAAAGGAATGAGGGAAACCAACATAGATGGACTGACAGTGAATGCCACGAGGACGTCTTTAGTGGGATCCTTGATAAGACTTGAGTATCATGAATGTTTTGGCATGTCCTCATTTACTGACCATAACAACTTCATCAAACGTTGAAATATCCAGAATGGGGTATGACGGCGGCGGGGGCGGCTTAATATTCGACTTGACACCTGCCTTTCCGGAGATACTGTCGCGTGATATTAGTTGAGAAATTACTGCAATGCAGATAAGGGAAGGTCTCCTACAATGCGGCCAAACTGTCGAGATCGCGTCCACCCGAATAAGCCTCCTCTGTACCATCGGCGTCGAACCACTTCAACGCTGATGACTAATGGTCAGAACAATACACAAAGGGGACGGCCTGTTGCTTACTTGGAAAACCAGTAACACCATACTTTTGGCCCAGTGGCTTGCCTTCACCATCGGCATCTACTTTGGCAATGTAGACTTTATCTTTGACATGCGAAAATGCATCTGCGAGTTGCTCGTATACAGGCGCAAGATTCTGAGTTGTTACTTAGTACGAAACAAATAGGTAGTTGTGATAGACATATATATATACCTTGCAGTGTCCGCTAACAGTACCACGCCACGTCTATCACTATGACGAGCCAACCAAAAGAATTTCTGACATACCACCAGGGAGCAAAGCTAGTCACAAAAGGCTAATTAGATCTGAGACAATGACATTGCAAGTTCGCGACAGACAATTCAACAAGACCAGGCTTTCCGACACCGACAACGTCATCAAAATTTCCAGGGTTTAGCTCAAGAACATTAGAAGCCCTGATTCCGGCTACAAAAGCGGTCGCAAAGAGTGCAAAAAACGCCTTCATGATGGGAGAGGGGAAAAGAAAAGGTAACTCTGGTCGAGCCGTTTGGCCGGCCACAAATATCTCCACGTCAGTTGATTGGTCATCAAACGTATTAGTCTACGTGATATTTTTCTGCCAAGTTCTCGGGATAACTTCGGACGCATTTTCTTACAATTTATTGTTAGAACGAAAAACAGTATTAGTCATGCTTAGTTAGTGCGAGAGTTGGCAAGGAGTGGAGTTGGAAGAGATAGTGGTGACCCCTGTCTGACCACGCGGTTATCTAATCGATCGCAAAATCAAATACTTTCTTCTTCCGGTCCGTCAGCGGGCTCACTCAGCTTCATCAACTTCAGTCAGCTTGGGCTCGGCAGCGCTTTCTAATTGTTCACTGCGGAAACCTTTTAAAAACGAGCCATTATAAAACATTCGACCATCACCCGTTATAATGGCCTCCAACACTATTCACCAAGATCCTGATCTCGACGGTATCGAGGCAGGCGATCAATACATAACCAGCGACGACGTTCTTGCAGAGGTGCCCGACGATGGTGACCATCCCATGGATGAGGACGATGACGGAGAGGATGACGATATTGTCGGCGAACTACCTGGATCATCCTCCTCTGGCGAAGATAACTCGGTGCAAGCCTTTCCCAATCACCAAGCATCCGTCTTTGCAGTTTCCATGCATCCGACAGAGGCCCTCGCGGCATCTGGAGGAGAAGACGACTTTGGTTACATCTGGGACATCACAGACGGAGAGGTGATTGTCAAGTTGACGGGCCATAGCGACAGCGTGACCAGCACAGCTTGGAGTCGGGACGGCGAGCTCATTGCAACTGGAGGCATGGACGGAAAGGTCAGGATATGGAGAAGAGTGGGGACGGAAAACTACCGGACTTGGGAATTTCTGACAGAACTTCAAGGGCCTGATGAGGTCATGGTATGTTTTCTGATAATGATTTGGTTTTTTTCGTTTCTGAGTTCCCTTTAGTTTTTGCGATGGCATCCTAAAGGTTCTGTGCTACTGGCAGGATCGAATGATTCCACCCTTTGGTTGTGGCAGCGTGCGTTTCCTCTCTTTACTTTACTTTTTTTTTTTTTCCATTGACAATGTCTGTTTAGTGCCTTCTGGGAATACAATGCAGGTCTTTGCGGGACACACGGGGGCTGTACAGTGCGGGGAATTTACCCCAGACGGTGAGTTCGCGCCACGCAACACGTTAAAATCTTATCATGATATTTCTTCTCCAGGCAAAAAAATTGTTTCAGCATGTGCAGACGGAACTTTGATATACTGGGATCCCAGGCAATCTGCACCTATCTTCAAATTGTCTGCAGATGATGCGCGTTTCAACCTTGATGGTATTACCTCTCTAGGTGTTAACTTCTCTTCAACACTCGCTGTTGTTGGTGGTGCCGCGGGAGGCGTCCGCGTTGTCAGTTTGAGCAAGGGTGAAGTCGTCGCAACTTTGGGAGGTCATACTGAAGGCGAAAGCATCGAAGCCGTCCAATTTATAGACCTGATTGGTAACAACAATACCGGACCTGGTATTGTTGCTACGGGAGCAACTGACGGAAAGATTTATATCTGGGACCTATCAACGATGCGATTGCGAACAACACTCGAACATGAGGTATGTTATTGGCTGGTCGGCGTCGCCATAAGCATCATAACGCGTTTCATAGGATGCGGTCACATCACTGCTGGCGTTGCCTCCGCCTAAGACCTATCTTTTGGTTTCTTCTTCAGCTGATAAAACCTTACGGACGTGGGATGCTCGTACTGGAACTCTCATTCAGGAACATAAAGGCCACCAAGGCCCCGTTTTGGGTGCATCTCTTGGTCTGGATGGATCTGTAGTTGTCAGTGCGGGAGATGATGGTGTTTGCCTGGTTTTTACTACGGAAGAAGCAGAAGAACCTTAGGAAGACTGTTTGTTTGTAAGAGTGAGTTGTTAGAGGTTACCTATAATCCTTATTCTACTCCCAGAGGTAGAAATGCAGATATATAGATTGTTGTAGCATTTATGAGTACGGTGTTGCTTTAGTCAAAAACTCTGCCAATTTTATACATCCTGACGCCGAATGCCTGTGCTCTCGTTGAAAGCTCCAGGCAACGATCAGTTGATTCAGAAACTCGACATCGACATCGTAGGTCCGGTACGGCTGGTCTTTGAATCAGTGAGCGTCTCATCTACGTTTTTGTACCGTTTTATCTTACTAGATCACAAGGCGCTTCTGACCTACGAGGCACGACTACTTTCATGTCGGATTTCCCAGACAGCCCCAGTTGTCGCTTTGATCAATGAGGGTTTTCTGTTGTTAGTCTCCCCTTGAGATTCTTTGTGGGGTTCAAAGAGTAATCAAAAGAGTCTATGTACTGGATACACACGAGTAGATACATACATATTAGGTCGAGCTGTAACGTAGCGAATAGCGATTTACTTAGCATAAATCACATATCCCACTCATCCCACATTCCAGGTGCGCCGTTGGTAACTGGAGGATGGTTCACTCCGAGCTCTTTCGTTTCCACTAACTCCACTATACGCTCGCTAACACCGTCTTTGTCGTCTTTGGCGCCTCGCATCCCGACCAGGATCGTATCATTTGAGCTTGTGGCAGGTCCGGAATACAAGCAGCGAATACTGTCGCTCTCTATAACCTGCACAAGACGGCCAGTGATAATATTCCTGACTTCGATGAACCCCGATGAAAAGAGAAGAAAATGGACACCGCGATGGGCGAACGACGTCGCCTGCGTTTCCCACCTGAGGTATTTACAGGCACGGCTGGGCTGGCCGTGCTTTGTAATATAACATCCAACACCTTGAAAAGCGAGTTAAGACAAAGAGAACTCGATTGGAATGTTGGAATGAACACCGACTATTATAGACAACCAGAAGCTCGTTTGAATCACATCGAACAAGCCCTAATGGTTTAGCACCCTCTAGTCGAGATTTCAGTGTCGCCATAGCGGCATTGTTTGTCGCGTCACTGAGATTAGGGACGACTGTCACCGCAGATCGTGCCAAGCTAGTCATAAAATCAACAAGGCTACTAAAAGAGACTAGCTGTGACGCACTTGGTTGGATCCAAGATGACTATCCCAGCATCAGTGCATACCCCAATCGTTTTGACAAGGGCTGTAATGTCGTACGCGTCTTTGGGAACATACCCAGCCTGGGAATCGCCCAAGATTAGTTAGCAAACTTTATGCGAACGCAAGCAGAACACGAACATCACCAAAAGGACGAAAGGATATTCCGGTTGTTGAGGAGTTGCGCCTCGGAGACATAGGCGTCTCTGATACGTCCACAGCCTCAAGTACGTGAAGGCTGAGCGACACTTGTAAAAGCCTCTTTGAAGCATATATGACTAGCTGTATGTGAGTCGTTTTATCAATAAGACGCTTAACCGCTTACTCAAGACCCTTGTACCGATGTGCACTTGCCGAAAGAAAAGAACGTTCGCGTCGTGGCCAGCTATTTTTTCCAGTGAAGCTTCTAGGGTTTTTTGCTGAGCTTGACCAACTGCCACCCGCGCAACGAGGTCAAGGGAATACGACGTCAGGACCGAATCATGATGTACGAGAAATCTGTTGAAGATCTTTTTTTCAAACGTCTGGACGGCAGCTATAGATGTTGGATTAGAATGATCCAGAACCTTTCGAAACTCTGAGACGGTAAGTGTTAAGGTGCGAACAAGAAGATGCTACTGACCATCCTTCCCACGTAATGAGACATATATGCCTGACGCGCAGCCAACGGCAAGAAAGTTACGTCCTCCACTAACTAAACATCTGAGTGAGTTCCAAACATACGATAACAATTTGTAGCAACCAACCAAATGGTACCGCACTGGTAACTTTGCCAGTCAGGCGCCCACCCGAGCTGTACTTCGGTCCCATGACACGGAAAAAAGAGTCGGAGAGCGTTTGAACGTCAAAGTACTGGTATATTTTGTAAGTGGGGACAATACGTAAAGATATGACAGAGCATACCATGTTTCCGTCCTGTCGGGCTTTGTTGACCCCGATGGCATCAACAAGATAGTTAAACCACTTTTTGCGTATTGAATCGCTCAAAACGTAGAGGGTATATCGGCGGTTTGCCCTACTCGAGGCGTGGTATATGGTGAAAGGATAAATGGGAACGTTGTGGTATCGCAAACCCAAAACACCACCTTCCTTATCGTATTCTTTGCGATATTCAGGTGGGTCGGAGAAGGTTCCTAAACGCAGGAAGGATAGAGGAAGCGGCTATCTCAGTTTCAGTGGTTAGCTGAAATGCTGCAAGGAGATAACGTACGCGGGAAATGAGAAATCGTTTGACGACGGCATTTGGCCTGGTCTCTTCGCGAGTCAAAAGAACTGCGTATCCCTTGTGATGAGAAATCATCCAAGGAGAAATGAGAGCTTACAGTAATTATCCAGTAGAGCGACAACAAGGTCAGTCCAAGATCCGGACGTTGATGAACGTGATCTTCGCGCTACAGGCCCGGAGTACACTAGTGTCCGGCTGTCGTCATACAGATCCATGTCCTACATGACATATTAGGCGTAGGCAAGTAGTAAGGTCTAAGATTCTCACGATCGTTTCGCCCTTCTGAAACTGCAAACTTTCGCATAAAGACCAAAACTTGACCTTGCTCTCTGCAGCTTCTATTCCAGGCTGAGTGCTCTTGATAAAATCACTGAATATCCCTAGACTGATAGGTAGACTTTCCAAGTCTGGATGTTCGGAATCCTTGTCGGTCAATTTCAGTATTTGTTCTAGGAGCAAGCTCAGACGTGGTAGCCTAGTCACAGAGCGTGAGAGGAAGGTGACCAAGTCACGCTTTCGAATTCTCGGGTCGGAAGATACAGATTGGACGAAAGACTGGTAAGAAGAGTTTCGCTTGAGTTCCTTTCGATGACGAGACTCTGCTATGGGGTAATGTTTGATGTAGATTTCGTACGCAGATCTGAAACCGGGGTTCAAAGCAGTCTCCAGTATGATGTCGGCGATACTAAGAACGAACGGATGTTGCTCGCGCTGGCGAGCAAAGAGAGCTGCCAAAAGTCGCTGATGATGGGTAAGAATCTGACTCAAGTTCCCGAAAACTTCGGCAATGAACCCGGATAGGCTGTTTTCGGCAATAATAGGTGGGTCCGCGCACCTCAACGGCGTGATGAAAACCTGGAAACAAGTCATTAGTTACGCATAACATACATAGCACAGGTGTTTCTCACATCCTGCACGGCTTCCAAGTCAGAGACATATTCACGTTCTGATTTGAATACTTCGAATAGCACAGACTGTCTCTGTACCTCTTTCTTTCCGAGAGCTTCCCGGGCTTCTGGAGGGACTAGTTTATACCATTCCTGATCAACTTCGGGTAATTCCCCGGCCTGAAACTTCCGCAGTCCTTCCTCCGACTCCAGTCTGTCGCAGAAGTTAAATAGTGCTCTCCTGGCGTTGAAACACGTACGACAAATTAGAAAGCTGCTGAGTCGCGTTATCAGTGTTACCATGGGACTACAACCATATGAATCAGGAGAATATTTGTTACAGAAAAATACACGTACACCAGCAGATGCAGTTTCATAATGGTCACTATCATCCAGCTGATCATAAGACGAAGCCAAAGATAGACGCGACTCTTCTCGTCGCAGATGCGGACCACCGCCACCCAAAGCACTTCTGCTGTGTCGATGCGTGAGTACTGGAATATTTCCTGGAGAAAGGCTAGCTCTTTGAGACGATGAACGATATAACTGAGGTTCCGGGAAAGGGATAAGAGGCTCCGATGCCGCAGAAACTGTGCTTGCGCGACTCAGATTGGAAGATTGGGAGCTGATGTTCAGCATAGAATGAGTACGTGGTTCGAAGGCACCTGGAACATGTTGCGAATCTAAGGTGTCCCATAAATTCGACACATGTTGACGGTCTGGTGCCGGCGTAAGTTCGAATGCATAGGGTGAAAAAGGTGGTTCCGGGTTCATTGGCTGCTGGGAGCCTGAAGGTATGGATACACGAGGTCGAGAATGGTGGTGACTAGAATACATGACAAATAAATGAAGGACAGCAGTAAAATCCTGAGATACAGATTCGTAAGATCGTGGCGGTTAGTGGAAGAGAGCACCGGCCCGGATGCCGAGTTCGATGTTCTTCTTTTGGCTGTATTTGGAACCAAAGCTTTAAGCAACTTCAAGCATCGCGTCAACACGTAACATCTTACCACCATGTCCGAATTGATACCTTCTGCCCCAGGGCCTTCTGTTCCGCTGACTCGATCCTATACATACCATTCGCCGACGCCTACTGCAGTGGGGCCCTATATTCTGGGCGTAGATGAAGCAGGTAGAGGTCCTGTTCTGGGTCCTCTTGTGTATGGAGTAGCGTATTGTCCAGTTTCATACCAGGGCACTCTTGAAACTATGGGCTTCGCAGGTGAGGTATATGGGGCAACCGTCTCCTCCGCCAACTTATAATGTCAAATCAGACTCTAAAACACTGACACCCGAGATCAGATCCTCTTTACTTAATACCCTCAATTCTGATCCAGCCATTCTGGGTTGGTCTGTGAGAGTTATCAGGTTTGTATTCTTTTCCTCATGGATTGAAGTATGAAGTCTACTCTCCACCTTCTAGTCCTCAGGATATTTCTAGTGGCATGTTGAAGCAGCCTCCAGTAAATCTGAACCAGCAATCGAGAGATGCCACAATTCTTCTCATACGAGAAGTGATTAACTCGGGAATCCAACTCGCAGAGGTTAGTTGGCTTAGTGCTGTTCTACTGCTTGATTAGCTCATTAACAGGTGTACGTCGATGCCCTGGGTAACACTAAAGACTATCAAGATTACCTTTCGAAACAATTTACCGGAATACGCTTCATAGTAGAAACGAAAGCTGATTCCAAGTTCAAGATAGTTGGTGCCGCTAGTGTTGGTGCCAAGGTCACCAGAGATGCTTGCGTTGAGACGTGGTGTTTCGAAGAGGTTAACTATGTGCCACCCGTGGCGGAAATGGGTTCCGGATATCCATCTGGTACGTGCTTCTTTCGACCCAGACAAACTAAAGCTCAATACTCAATACTCCACACATCTTGAAAGATCCTAATACCAAGGAATGGATGCGAAATTGCATGGACCCTGTCTTTGGATTCCCGAAAGTTGTCCGGTTTTCATGGGCAACCGCGAAAACGATTTTGGAAAGGGACGCTCACAGTGTGAAATGGTATGCCTCGCCTCGTTCTTAAAATAATCGTTGATTATGTATTTGCCTTCTAGGATTGACGAAGGTCAAGAATCGCTTATTAAATCTTTTCAAAGGGCTCAAGGACTGGACAAGGATCGTTGCACAACTGCCAAAGACCTGAGTCTCAAAAGTATTGCAACACTATGATCGATATCCGACGGCATACTATAGACATTTACGTTACGGATATGTATCATACTGGGACATAGCAATGACACATCTGGTTAACTTACCGACGCTTTGAAGGCGGCGAGCCCTGAACTTCACCATCTGCCTTCCTCTTCGTTCCAAATCCAAACGTAACCTTCGAACGTTCGGAGGCTCCCGGAGTCCCATCCCTCGAAGACGGTTCGGCGGCGGAGCCAATCCTAGAGAAGCCTGGTTTGGGAGCAGGAGAACCCGTACTACCAATCGAAGAAAAGCCGGATCCTGAGGCTCCCCCATTTGCCAGATTCTGCACCGCAGGTGCAGGTAAGGTGATGAAACCGGATTCCGCAGCCTGGGCTTGAGCATTCTTGTTACTTTCCTTCTTCTTCTTGGTCTTCTCAGTCTTGCCTTTCGACAAAGGTTGTGTCTCGATGAAATCAGCGGCTTGCGGTACAGCACTATAATGTCGTTAGATATTATCGTAGCACTTCTTTAACGAAAAACTCACCCCCTGTTACCCACTGAGAGGACAAAGTGAGCCTGACCGGCCTTCTCTTGTCGCTGCAAAAAAGCCTTGTTCATGCTCAAAGGAGTGTCCCCGCTAGCCATCGCAGCCTTCTTCTGCTCTTCTGCAATCTTCTTCAGCCGTTTCTCTGTCTTCATTTTCCCGGAGCCCTTTCCATGGAACTTGTGAGACAGCGCTTTCCAAGCCTCCTTGGGGGTGAGACTTCGTCCGTACTCATCATAGTACACGATATTGACATCGGGTTTGTAGTTTTTGAACGACTCCAAGTTATCGCGGGCCTCCTGTTGTTCCCGAATACGGTTCTCGTACTCTCGCTGCGCTTGGTCCCGGTTACCTCCGCGCGACTGTAATCTTTCCATCTCCCGCTGAGCGACGCGACGGCGCTGATCGGCAAGCCAGAGATCTCGCTGAAGCTGTGTTCTCTCTCGCTCCCTCGCATCCGCACTCGGAGCAGAGAGTATGCCCTGCTGCCGCAATATGTTCAAAGTGGACGCCATTCCGGAATTGAAGGTTTGCTCGGATGAAGTGCCACCGACGCCGTCGTCTGGGGTTGCATTCTCAGTTTCGGTAGTCTTCAGGACATCTTCAATAGCGTTCAGCATATCCATATCATAATCGTCGTCGTCCTCATCCTTGACAGCCACTTCCCCGGCTTCCAACTCCTCCAAAACTTCATCTCCGGGCGCCATGGATATATCTCTTGACAAAGAACGTCGTTGGCCGCTTGCAGATGCGAGAGCAGGTATGCTTTCTTTGGGCTCCTCCTTCACGAAAACGGGATTGTTTCCAACAGAGCGTACGAACTCTGACGTATCATCGAAAGTTAGACCCTCCGCAGAGACCCCTTCAGTATTTGTATCGTCCCGGTCTTCCATTCGATCGACAACCATGTCATCCTCCTCCTCCTTGGTTCGTTGAGCAGCAACTAAAGCACATGTCAGAAAAAGGCGTACAACACTATATTTCTGACGCACTCTTCTTCACCAACTCTTCGGGAGACAGTTTTGTGGCTTTCCGAAGCTTTGTCTTCCTTGAGCGTGCCAGTGCAGCCTGAAGCTCGTCATCATCGACAAAATTCACGTCAAGGTCACGCAGTCGGGGAACTACAGGCTTCTGATCGACATCCATCTCGCTAACATCAGCTAGTTCAGTCTCAGCCGGAATCCGCCTGGATTGCCGTTTCTTCTTCATCTGGAGGAGACTGATTGAGTCATGCCGAAGCACAAAGTAAAGTATACAACGTACTTTCGGTTTTTTGAAGCCCACATCACCTTCTTTGAGATAGTCGCCGACTTCTATATTTTCTATAGAGGGATGAGGCGCGACTCCAATAGAAAGAAACAAGAGACCTACTGTCATAGTCTATGGACAAAAGTGATTTGTTCACTGCTGCTGCGGCCGCATATTTTTCTTCTTCTTGCGCTGCCTTCTTTGACTTCACCGCGCTTCCTAGACGAAAACCCTAGGAAATAAAATCAATCCTAGCGGAGAGACAGGTACAGCCTGCTGACCAATTCCTGTGAGTCTTCAAGTTCTTCGTCGTACTTCGACAGAATAGAGCGTTTCATCCCCTGTTTTCCGTCAATAAATTCCTCATCGTCGTATCCTGTGTATTCGCGCTTCTTGATCTTTAGATCATTACGCTTCTTAGTGGCTTCTGCCTCCGCCATTTCAACATTCTGGAGTTCATCCTCTGCGAAATTATCAGGAAGACGAAAGGGCAACACAGTTGAGGAACATTACCTTCGTTGTCCAAAATTCGACTATCCTTCAAGGTGAGTATACGGTCCTCACCGTCTTCCATGGCATCGAGGTCATGGCTAACTTTGAGGCCAGCAAGATCACCTAGATAGCAAAGGAGTCAGTAAGGAGCTTACATGAATAACGACATACGATACTCACGTTCAGTGTACTCCTCTCGTTGATACATCTTGTCCAAGTGCTCTAATTCTTGTTGGCGCTTCTTGGCAAGTTCCCTTTCCTTCTTCTTACTCTTCTTGATCCATTTCAGAGTATCGTCGGTATCGCCATCTGCATCACCAAGCGTCGAGCCTTTGAGGGAAGCATTGAGTTCCCGTCGATTTCTCACCCTAGGAAAGGTGCGTATATGAGCATCGATGCATCGAACCAGTTACACAACAGAAGCGATGTTTCTATTAAGCCACCATAGATAGTAGGAACCAAATTGAACTCTGAGGAAATAAGACTCACTTGGCTATTCTATCCTGAATTTTCCTGTAAGCAAAGAAAACTCGTCAGAGTTGAAAAGTGGAAAGTGCTGTAGGATGTTTACTTTGTTTCGCGATCCTTAGCCTCGCGTTCTCGTTGTTTTGCATAATTGTCTTCCGCCTGTTTCTCCTTATCGTCGCTTGAAGCCTTGTCGTCAGTCAGAGGCTTGAGACCAAGAGATATACGGATCTTGTTGGTCTCCTCCAAGCTAATGCTTTCCTCCATAGACATGCTGGGCGAAGAGAAGAGAGATGATGTTAACGTTGTACTTGTTTACCATGTGACGAATTCAACCGCCCATTTCCAGTTTGATCCACAGTCGCAACGATGACCGCCGTCGCTGGTCCATTTCTACGAACATATCGATATCTGGCATGTCCATTTTCCTCGCCACTGTCTCTCTACATTTTCTGATTGCTCAGATAGCAACGGGAAGCCCATGAGCGACCTGTCATCTTCTACTCCCTTATAATGGGAATCGCTGGTCCTGTGATGGCGTACACCGTCCCTTCCATCCGAGAGAAATACTTTGGCTATAAGCCTGCAGAGAGAGTTCCCATAACTTATCCTTGTATGTCTTCGTCCCTATGCCATTGGCGTGTTCTCAACGCCTCTGCAGTACCCCAGCGACCCCGACGACCGGTGCCACCAGGATATGAGGACTAGAGGGATGAATACGGCCCACGTCTGTGGTAGAAGCTCTGTGTACGGAAAGAATAAATGCGTCCAAGCAATCAATCCCAAGAGTAGCAGCTTTAGTTCCGACTTTACCCTTGAGAGTCCTTAAACCTACATCCAAAACTAATCTATCATGCCTCTATCTAAATATCTGTCTCTCCAGCGCCTTTCTTCTCGCCGCCTCCCTTCCCTTTGATCATATGCCAGAGCTCGGGACCATCGCGAATGAGGGCCTAACACGCGGTCAACGTGACAACAACTGGAAGATTTGTTGGACAACTTACTATGACAACTTCCACGGCAATGAGCGCAATAATTACCAGCTCGAGCATATGCGAGGAAGACTAGACCATCGTTAGCTTAATGACGGAAGAAGCAGTTGCAGGTACCTCAGTCAGTAGCTGTCGCAATACAGATTGGAGCTCTGCCGCATACGTGATCTTGTCATTCACGGAATCTGTTCTTTGCTTGACCTCAAGCGCGTCAGTCAACGAGTTGAAATGGCCTAAGAAAGTCAGCAGCGCAAATAGTCACTGTATCTATGATTAACGCACGTTCAAGCTCAGGCTCCGTCCAGTAAAAGTCCGGTACATCACTGAAATTTTCTCGGTTTAGGTTCAGACCTTGTCTGAATTTCATGAGCTGGCCCAATTTTTTGATCAATGCCTCCCTCCCCAGCCCTGGCTTCCCAGTTTTCTCAAGAGACTGAGGAAGCAGGGACATTGATGAGAGGTACTCGTCTAGTGACACCTCCAAAGCAGAAAGTGCAGTCGAACGGGACAATGCTTGTGAAAAAGCGTAGCGACTAAGAACGCTTTCGCTTGGGAAAACCATCGACGGAAGGTCGGAGGATGTAGGAGGAGTAGAAGTTTGGCCAAGTATGATCAAGTCACCCTGTAGCCGGGTCGTCCTGCAAAAATTTAGTGAGTTATCCTGCACCAGTAGCACAAATAAACTGACTCAGTCGGATCAGTCACGAACTCCAGCTCCTCCGTTTCTGCCTCCTTCAATGGTGAAACCTCGATGCCGCGCACACGATGCAGTACTTCCGATGCGAACATGCGAGCATCCTGCTCGCCAAGCCCCCAACAGACGAAGCTACCGTTAGCAAACACAAAGACCTCGCCCTCTCTATCTTTGGGACCCCAACGAGGGAACCACCAGGATTCATGAAAAGGACGAGCATTGGGAGTGAGGTTATGATGTGCACGAAACCTGGGCAGGAGGTAGCGCTCAGCGGTGGCCAGCGTAAAAACAGTTTGGATGTCGCTTCGAGTTGGCGTCGGATTAGCACGAATGGGGAGAGAAGCTGATGCAGAACGTCGAAGAGGCGTCGTTGCTTTGGGTTTGGGCTTTGCTCGCTCTGTCTGGTCCGAGTCGATGGAGTGCGCTGAAGACTGAGTAGTACTGGCAAAACGACGTGTTGGTAATATCACGTTTCGCTCCGGCCTGAATGCATGCGAAAAGACGCTCCTTTTGAAACATCCAAACTGTTGCTTCGTCAGTAACATATTGTCGACAGATGCTAATATGCCCACCATTGTCAACGAAGAAAAGATGATGAATGCCGGAATAAAGTTGCAACGCGTTCAATTGGCAATCGACACGATCGGCCAAGTTCATCAAATTTTATTCAATACAGCTTAATCCATCCTAATACCATGCTAAAACATCCCAAGTAGTATCTCCCCTATAGTAAAAATCGTGGTAAGGTCATAAGTTAAATAATCCTAAAATTTCAGACCGCTGTCAGAACAGGCCTGCACATCTGTACCATTCTGTTCCGACGTTTTGAAATTCGGATGTGTTGCGGCCACAGCAGCAATTACCTTGACCGTGTAGTCGCATAAGTCTCAACCGTGAACCTTCCAGCTGTTAGCCACATCGAGCCATAGAAGAACCCACTCACAGAGTATGCGAACACCCATTGAATACCAGCCATATAAAACACAGTTACTTCGAACACTATCCCGATTTCAATAGGACAACATGCAAGTAAGGCAAAGTGACTTAAGAGTAGTGTTCAATACGACCGACTCGTTGACATACATGCTATAACGTCCCCAGGCCTGCTTCGCAGTATTCTATACGGCTATGCATTTGACGCGAATGCTATACATAAACTCTCGGCAGGGTAAGGTAGACCATCAATGCCAACGAGGATCTGCACAAGGCGACCGAGACAATACCAGCATGCTTGTCCTTCTGGTGGCTCTTCTCAAAGATAGCACCACTGGAAGCGGCCATGCCGAACACGATGAAAAGCCATGTGAGCTGAGCAGCTGCCAGCACCATGGGGCGGCGGCGGCAACATTTAAACAGCAGAACATGGTGACTTTCCAGATGAATTTGAACCTAAAGGGTATGGTCACAAACCTAGCTCATCAGAGATGCAGCGGATTTGACGTACATGCTCAGACCGGACGCAATGTCAGTAATAGTTGAGGCTTCGGTGATTCCAACGAGGTGCACGACGGTATCTGTGTTAGCGAGTCAGACAGGGTCTGGATGCTACAGTAAAACTGAAAAATTGCAGAGCTGTTCATCTGAGGCAAGAATGTCATAAGACATGAAGGGAACAGACGACATTTGTCGCCTTCGCTGCAACGAATGTTATTGTTTGGAATTAATAATGCATTTTACTAGTACGCATCTATCAACGAAGCACAGTTCATGTATCTCCACCTTGAAACCTTCCCGACCACATCAAGTAAGTCTTACCCTCTACCACGGACCTCGGTTCTGATGGCTGCGTTGTAGGGGACACATGCTCCATGGCCATGGAATCCAGCAGAAAAATTTATATGGGACCTTCGGTCCGAGCAAGGCACGCTTCCGCGACTCAGCTCTGACACGAACGAACTCATCACGCCGTTCGATGCAGGCGTTGTAATGCTTCCGTATCGTACAGAAGTCACAGACTGTGGAAAGGTATATCCCCGTTCCCTCGATTGTTATGCTCGCCGTAGGCATTGGTGGGAACATATCGATCAATTCTCCCTCGCATGTCGGCTTCTGGCGGCCTATTGATGAGACATCATCAACCTTAATGTATGCAGCCCCAACGACGGTGCTCTCATGGTGCTCAGGGACAATGGCCGGCTGGTTGACATGTACTTCTTGACGAAATTGGCCGGGATGAGACCCGTACTTAGGTTCCGGTAGACTGGTACGGTGAGTAATATTCGCAAGAAAATTTCCTGTAAGGTTTCTAGTCATTTATCGTCACTTCTAGGTATGACCTCTACCCAACGAGAATAGTTCTACGAGCGCGGCTGTAAATGGGTCAAGGGGGAAACCGACCCCAAGGCCCAAAGACCTGATCTTGTGGGACTCGTCTCAGACCTAGCCAATTCCGACCGCTTGTCGACGGACGATGCACTACAATCACCATCCCTGCGGTGACCGCAGTCGTGCCTATACATGCACGAGTACTCGTGGTTCTGTTCAGAAGCCTGACTTACGTGGTTGACGCGTACAATGCAGATATTTCCATAGCTCCTGGGCTATTGGACTCTAGAAGGCAATGAAAAAACTCAAGTCAATGCCTTTAAACTAGTATCGCGGGACCGTACCGTCTCCTCTCTGAAGTAATTAGCATCATAACATTGATTTTCTTTCCTGAGACTTACGCTGCGTAGAACCTAACCAGCAGACGTAAAAAAACTCTCTAGGGCGTAGATCGGAATGTGTTCAAGGCAAAATCGACATATGTTCCCGTTGATTTGGGATTTGGAACTGTCATTGCCAAGAAAAAAACACCCTTACCACTCTGTTGTCAAGTGTTTACTCACGCCGTAAACTGTTTTTACAGCTGAATTCTCAACAGGTACACAGGGACATAGTGCAAGAGAGATTATACTGAAAAGATGGCCCGGGATACTTGATTTGAAAGCGTCGTCTTGCTAGATGAGTGTATCATCCTTAACCCCCGATTCAGTATGGTCTCTTAAGCGAGCGAAGCAATAACTCACCGCCGTCAGACTTACACCCCAACTGGGGTGTTCAGCCTCTTTATCGTCATTACCAGGGCATCGCGGTAAGAACCGGTCCATTCAGATTACCTGTAAATCAGATAAGTCAGGATTATACATGCAGGAGACACGTTCACGTACATTTGCGTTCGCTTATCCGAAACCCCTGGCTCATTATTCGCAGCGCCGGTTAGAGGATACAGAGCTACAACTTTCTGCTCATGGGCTTACTCTGTAACTCGGCGTAAGGAAGATGCCGTACAAGAAAGAAAGAACTCACCGAGGGGAGCGACCATCCCTGGTCGAACAAAGAAAAGCGCTCCCCCCAGTCGAGGTATTATATACGAGACACTTTAGGGCAGGCGTACTGTTCACATGATGTCAATATCATTCAATGATTATGTTAAGTATTTGGTAAGTAATCGTACGCGTACCAGCTCGTAAACATTACTCGTGGCTCTGTGTCATGATTAAGAGTTAAATAAGATGTACGCACTCGTACCATATTACTTAACTTCGCACTCCAGAAAAAAACACGCCCCATCTATGCGTCCATCCACTATCAATGCGGTCCATCGACCCGCTGGCCAAGTCGCTCGCTTGCAACCCGTTTCCGGACTTGTCGTTGGCACGATGCCTATGTAAGGCTGACATATGGATCCCCGCAGTACACAGGGCATAGAGATGCTACGTGGTAACTTAAAATTCCGCCGTCGACTCGGTTACATTCTGAACCTTGAAGGCGCGGCTATTGGGCAAACGTAAGACTAAATGTCGTCCATTCATTGTGCCTCTAATTTCTTCGAACTAAGAGGGTCAATGAGAAGATGAATGTGACAAGGCATGCCAGGACGAACTGTGGTACCCTCGGGCAAGGGAAGCGTTCTTTGGTAATTCTTTTCTATCTTTTCTATCACAACACGACCTTCTTCGTCTTCCGTTTCATTGACAGTGACAGAGAACCACGATACCATAAGACGATGGCTCTGGAAAGTAACATTTATGTTCTCCTTGGCAACATCGCGCATGTCGAAGAATGCAATAAGTATCTTCCCGTCACTCGACTCGCGGAAGGAAGTTCTGAGGTGGTTACAGAAGTCAGTAATGACAAGGAGCCGAGCAAGAGGCGACGTACAAGGATTTGGTCCTCTTCACCGACTTGTGAATTGGAGGCCGGGGTGGATCGGATACTTCGGGACTTTGCTGGGAGAATTCGACTTCCTCGAGCGACTTGACTTTAGACTTATCCTTTGCCATCTGCGTCTGCTTCTTCTGTCTCAACGATCCCCACAGCTCGTCCAATCCCTGATCCTCCACTAATGGCACCGAGGAATCATCCGAGAACGAGAATTCTCCCTGCATAACATTCGCTTCGGATGGTTGCTGCGATTGAGAATGAGACAAGGAGTGGGATGTCCCAGACGAATGGGCGTAGTAATTGTAACGCGGCGCATTAACACGATCTGCGGGGGATGGCGGTACGGTGATGCGAGTGGGCGAGTCCACTGGGGAGAAGTCGTCACCACGTCCGCTTTCTCCTCTACGACTCTGGCGATAGTCCGACATTAAGAAATGAGAGGATGAATGCTGGCTGCTCGACCTTCCCAGGCAAGATAGAAACGGTCCGAGATGAATATTAATGATTTATAGACACCTGACGGACTTCTCGCCAAGTTAGGAACCAAATGCAGGCGTTACGTGCGCCTCGAATGTGCTGTGTGCTGGCGACGGTCGGGAGAGCAACAGTGGAATGTCTGTCAAAACGAAAACAGGCAGTCAACGGGTCGCTATGCAGGCTTAAATAGCGTTCAAGAGGAACCAAACGTACCCGGGTGCCTCGTGTTAGCAGCGAGGCAAGTGCAGGGAATAGAAAAAGTCATGAAATCGTTGGAAAAGGAAAGATGATGCCGAAGGTATGATTGTCGCTTATGTCAGCTTACCCACTTCCTTCGGGATTTTTCAGTTTTCTCCGAAGTTTCCCTCGTAGGACTCATTCCCGATTTCTTCCTTCCTTTCTTTTATACGAAAATAAATACAGAGAGTCCGTATTTTGTCTCCGAGTGCGGTGAGAGCGGCGAGAAGCTAATGTATGTCTGTTTCAACTACCAGGTAAGCGTAAGCGTAAGCATATCCGGCCCTTTACTATCTCTCAACTCAAGTTCACAGAGCGCCGGCGAGCGGAAGTTGCCTTGCGTGACTTATCTATTCGTATCTATGCAGGGCTAATACCCTCTAATGCAGCATTCTTCCAGCTAAGATAAATATGGGCCATCGACGATCCATGCATAAAGGTTGACCACCGTTAATGTCGACGACGCCATCCGATGCCCGTCGATTTCACACCTTTTTTTCTTTCTTCTTTGGAAGGGCAAAGGACCACGAGCGCTGCACTCCTCACCTCCTTCAGAGACACGGCGTCTGTGTTTCACACCAACCATAGCATCCCGGAACTCACACTTGCATGCGTTAAACAAAGTTTTAGCTTTGCAGATACCTGACCGACGCGGGAGTCTCCATCCGCAACCGATAGAAGCCAGGCTTCTCGGTCCTCATCTTCCTTCTGGAATACATCATCGAGATGAAATTGCCATTGAGTCGCCTCACGATAGCCACGCGTTGGATACTCCACGCCTGGACAAGAAGAGGTGCTTCAATGCCTTTTCAGCTCGAGTCATCCAAAGAAGTATCGCCAGGTGTTAAAGTAGGTGATGGATACGGCCGAGAAGATATCGATATGACAGCCGAAGGATGTTTTGCCTGGATTTGGGGAGGCTCATAATTCCTACGGCTGGGTCCACGAACTTCGTGGCGGCCAGATCTCGCCCTGGAATTTGGTGCATATTGCTGGAGATTGTGTATTTTGTGTCGTTCGAAAGCTGACAATTAATTACGCTTTTTACGGTATCTGAGGTATGTTATTCGACCAGTTTCCGAGGCCTGCTGTTCACGCCCTTCCAACGCATCGCAGCCTACGTGTTTTTTCGCGTCGCCTTGCTGATGTAATAACGCATTGAGGGCGTGGATATTGAAGGTGCCTTGCATCCGGATATCTTCAGGGTAATGCCTAGTCGCCACTCACGTACCGGGTGCATGTGCAATCCGCCAGACATTCCAGCCTTGTTATCATTAATGCGGGTGATTCTATGATGACTCAACGTAAGTATGCGTGTCAGATTTCGTTATTCATTTATGTCGATGTCAGATCTTAAAATATAGGGTCCAGCGACACCATTCTAGACTCGAACTAGTCTGACGAGGTCGTGTAGTTGCTACTGAAGGGATGAGGGACGGAATAATAACACCTTTTCAGTGCCAGGCTGGCTGTCGAGCCTAACACTATTCGGAATATGTCTGAACTCGTGACGGCGGATAGTCAGAACCGAGCGATGTTTCATTCCATCTGTGCTGAGTGACCGAGGTACATTTCCATTGCACGAGGCTTATAGGTTCCACCAAGTTCTACGCCGCCGTTCGTCCGCGTAAAAGTCCTATAAGTGCTTTCTTTTTATAACAGCAGTTCGGATACAAGCGTCGACTGCGTTCCCGGAACCTAGTCAGAGGCAGGCCAAAGAAATGCGCATCTATTCTGGACGTACTATCGATGCAAGGCGTCTAACATCACATAGGCGGCTGGCAAGTATATTAAGGAACTGCTGGCCCACGATCAAGAATGACTTGATGTATTAACCCGATGTTATGATCAAAGAAGGACAGAGAAGAGTCCGGGCTCTTGAGTCTTGGTAATGTACCGAAATTGCACGTGTATGCGCTCAGCTGTTGACAATGTTTACTTTAAAACCAAGTCTCTACACGTTTCTTTCGAAAAAATTATATATCTTGTGCCTGATCCTAGGTGGTCCTGCAGTTAACGATGCCCGACGACCCCATTTTCCGCAGCTAGGCACATTGTCTCGCGTCGAAAGGTCGGCAAATACCTGGGTGGAGTTATGAGCGCGAATCTCAACCAAAGTACATGAATGAATGGTGCGCCTCGTAGTTCTTAATCATACAACGCAAAACGAAGTAAGATTGCTTTCGTAAGTGCGCCTAGCTCTCCCTTGCGTTCTCGTCATGAGACACCTTGCCAGCTTTACCATGCTTCTGGTCGACACTTCCAACAATTAAGCCAAAGCGTCTATGGATGTCTTCAAGACGGTGGAGATCCTCTGAGGCCAAGCTGGTGATATTACCGAACAATTCTTCCATTTCTTCTAAACTTACTCCCTTTGTTTCCGGGACCCAAGTTGACACTCTCGATAATACAAATTCTTCCAGGTAGGAAGCCGAACGTACCAGACACATAATGAAGCAGCCTCCTAGAAATGTGAAAATCTACGCCACGATTCAGCATCATCGTCAGGTCATGAAACCTTGAAACCCACTCCGAAGAAAATGAAAGTTCCGTATCCAAGGTGTTGAAACATCGATGGCGTTACCTGACCAACTAAGATATATAAGCATTTCAAAATGAAAACTATGACCCTCGCTCTCTACTTATGAAGTGGTTCATCTGAGAAAAAAGTATTCATCAGGAAATTTGTGGAATGTATGAGGAGACAGCAATAGATTTGCCTTTGCTTCGAATACTCAGAGGGAGTATCTCAGAGGTGATAATCCAACTGCAAGGACCCCAGCTGTAACTGAAGCCTGCCATCATCGTTGAGGGAAAGCAATGGAGCGACGGACACGACATACATACCCATGACGAAAATCCAAACGAAGGCGCAAGCTACCCATCCAGCAGCTGAATCAGCAATGAAAGTTTGTAAGTAAGTTTATCATTATCCAAATATGTCTACCTATATGGCTAAACAAGAAACACGTCAGTCTGAGTTGGTCTTGTACAGAAATCCCCGCACCTCTGCCAGCTATCGTGGAATATACTAGTCAAGATGGCGATGACAAAGTGGCATCTAGAGAATAGTATGGTGAGTTTATAATGCAAAATACCTCGCCCGATAAAATTACCAAACTCACGTAGCCATAAAAAAAGCCCCAGAGACGAGAACCGGCCTCCGTCCCAGCTGATCAATGAACAAGACAGCTGGAATCGTTGCCGAAAACATACTGCGTTGAAGCCGATGTCAGCAAGGATGAAACGATCACATCTGACTCGTGTCTTACACAATACCAACAACACCTGTTGCGAGAAGAGATAACGTATTCCCGGTTAGACCTAGAGATTTGAAGACGCTAGGCGCGTAATACAAAACAGCGTTGACCCCGGTCCATTGTTGAAAGAACATGATTCTAGAGCAGCGTTGATTCGTGAAAGGATTGATGATCAGTTAGTAATAGCATCGCTTACAGTGAGCCGACAGCGACACGCCAAAGTAAATCTTGCCATGACTTAGAATTAACATTATGAACAATATAGAACTCACTCCGATCAAGAATCAACATTAAATAGCCATATACTCCTAGTCTGAATTGGGATGCGAATGACGGATCCTGATATTGGGGGAACTTTGCTTCAGAACTCTCTTTCTCGAATACGTATTGTGCTTTAATTTCGCTATAATGGACCAGATTCTATCAGTGCGAATCGGTCAAAGTGCGGTGTCGGTACACTTACAGGAACTTGATACGTACCAGGTCATCGTCCCGGGGAAGTGCTCGGACATTGCTGAGTACCGTAAGGGCTTCATCATCTCGTCTTTGGTTGATCAGCCATCTAGGTGAGAATGGCATGAAAATAATTCCGCAACCTAGGATGATCGCAGGCACTAGTTGAAGCGCAAGTGGAATTCGCTAGGCTGCTTCACCCTGTCCTTTACCGGTGCCGCCGATGTGATTTGTCCCATAATCGATCCAGAGGGAGATCATAACTCCAAACGTGATGGCCAATTGTTGAAGCGCTACCAAGCTTCCCCGTACTTCTGGAGGCGCAAGCTACATTGACTTGAGGTTTTTCCAATTAAGACAGCTCGAAGCAATGCTGACCTCGGCATTGTAGAGTGGAACTGCCATGCTGATAGAACCAAGGCCAAGGCCGGCTACAAATCTGCCACCATAAATAGAGGAGGGGTCTTTGGCCGCCGCCTGAACGATAACCGCCATACAAAACACGACGACCGCTAGAAAAACAGACTCATCAATATTGAAACTTCCTTGGGGTAGGAAGAAATATGCACCCAGAAAGATGGCGTGTTTGTGGGATAACTTGTCAGCCAGATAACCTAGAAAGTAATTGATTTTGTTTTGCTGACGAGCTGCTCTTCACTTACCTGACGCCAGAACACCGAACCAAGCTCCCAACTCGAGTATAGCGACCAGCCATCCTTTTTTCGCTGAATCTGAAACAGCAGAGCCCATCCTAGAGTCAGATACAGTGATACACATATCGACAAAAGGGTCCAGTGACGCACTGCTGACGGAAGCTATACATTCTGGATGTCGTTGAATCGAATTCGTGCGTATCTTTTTTTTTTTTTTTTTCAAAGGCAACGCTTACCCAAGTACTCCAGAAAAGACACCCTGAGGAATATCAGCTCGGCTTTCATATTAAAAAGAAGACTCAGCACTTGATTATATCCTATAATTGGGGTCCATCGTTAGCCAGGTAACATTGACTTGGGCTGCTTACGAACCATAAAGCCTATTGGGAGAGGTAAACGAAGACAGGGGATGAGGAAAAGAGCATCTCACAGTCCTCCCTGAGAAGCAAAGACTGCAATAGAAAATACTTTACGATTGCGCACAAGCCCGACCTGTTAGTACGAATAAGTGAGGTGATCAAGAAAGAGACAAAGACACACACCCATCCGGAAGCTCCAGCTAGTGCCTTGCGACGATGTGCAGAGAATGGCAAATCTCCAGTTGAACTGCCAGCCATGTCGGAAAGAGCAGAAGTACTACTAGTAGTCAAGAAGAATGTAACTGCCTCTGTGAGAATTTCTCGGCAGTTACAACGATCCGGAAGGAATAATTGCGTGGGTATGCAACCACGAGGTTCGGGATGAGTCTTTCTCACCGTATCGTGTCCAAAACGTTGGTGATACATAGATACGTTAACATTAAGAGGGTGCAGCATTCCACCGTTCAAGAATGAAAAGGTTCAAAGATCGAGAAGTCCAGGACGTTCAAGTATGCCTCCCGATATCAAGATCTGCAGCATACCTTTCTCCGAGGATCCATGATGGCTTTGAATTTGAAATATCGTGCAATGGTGGCGGTGCTGTGATGCTGTGCCGCTGTGCTGTTACTTCGGTCGGCTGCCTTATATAAATGACAACCCCTCCTTCCGCTTTTTGACTTTCTTGTACAGATATGTGGAACAACCAAGGCCCTCCAAGGCAAGGTCCTTTGCTCTTCAACGTCGTCAGTACTGAACGAATAGGCTCTCAGCTTTCCCAGCCCGTACGCAAGTTTGTTCATTGCTCGAGGAGCTTGGCCTTACAGACAGATTCGACAGACAAGGTGGATATAACCCCAGCTACGCACCGTCCTATGGACCTCCTCCAGGGCCTCCTCCTCATGGGTATGTGGTCTCCATTTACCTGTTGATTGCAGGCTCATTTCCATGGCGAAGATATGGACCTCCGCCGGGACCTCCCCCTCCAGGGTATGTTCTTTTCGCCAAGTATTGGCAGAGCCTGAGGCCTGTATAGATTCCCAGGTGCTACCGGGTTAGCCTCACCCTTATTCTCGACTGTCTCCAATCAAAGCTCACTACGCTTGTCACCAGATATGGCGGGCCCCCACCACCTCCCCCTCCTCTTCAATCGTAAGATGTTCTGCAGCATCCAAGGCAGGAGCTACCTTATGTCATCATTCAGCTACTCCGTGCCCTCTGGCCCTCCTCCTGTAGACAGAGGAACGTATCCGGGGCAGCAATACCATCATAACCACCAGCAACAACAGCCCAATGGTTATGCTCCACCCAGTTAGCGTCTTCCTTTTCACATTTAACTCGCATGGCTAACGATTTGGAAGGCGGCCCTCCGCCTAGGCCCTCGATGCAGCAACAGAACTATGGAGCGCAGTATCAAGGTTCCAACTATCCCGTTCAGCAGCCATACTTCCAGTATTCTCAATGCACGGGAAAGAAAAAGGCTCTGTGTGTCAGTGTTTTCACATCATCTAATATACATCTTCCTAACCCATAATCTAGATTGGTATCAACTATATCGGGCAGAACGGAGAGCTTCGTGGATGTATCAACGATGCGCAGAACATCCAGCGCTTCCTCATTAGTATGTATAACGGTCAAATTCGGATCTTTTTGCTCACCGTTCTGCCAGGGACGTTCGGCTATAAGCAAGACGATATCGTTATGTTGACTGATGACTCGCGCAATCCTCGTCAAATTCCTACCAGGGATAACATTGTCCGTCCGTCTTGATTAGCTGTTACTATAACTGATGTCGTATGTAGTTACGCGCGATGCAGTGGCTTGTCGCCGGGGCACAGCCCAACGATTCTCTTTTCTTCCACTGTGAGTCAACTGCCTACATCTTCATTTTTGCTTTATATATATATTCTATAGATTCTGGACATGGCGGTCAAACTAAAGACTTAGATGGTGACGAAGCTGATGGATACGATGAGGGTCAGCATATACATGTTGTATCTTATATCACTCACGTCCCTGTGATACAGTTATCTATCCAGCAAGTTCATATTCTTCTGATATCTACGCATCGCTCACGACTTACCAGGTTGACCATCAACGAAATGGACATATCGTTGACGATGTAAGTTGCCACCGACTAGCATTTCAATGAATCTTATCTAGCTATAGCTAATGCACCAAATTATGGTTAAACCATTACCGGCCGGATGCCGCCTTACCGCTATTTTCGATGTAAGCTTCATCACAGTCTGACTACGGACTCCGGCTAACCTTTTTTGTACCAGTCTTGCCACTCAGGGTCGGCACTTGGTAATTCATGCTGTCTTTCCCCTGTACTTGAATTTACGTTGCCTACACCACTCAGATCTTCCTTACGTCGTACGTTTCATCACTGTTGTATACTAGCAGATTGACCGACCCCTTCATTGTAGTACTCGACTGAAGGTAAAATCAAAGAGCCCAACATAGCCGCTGAAGCTGGCCAAGGACTCCTATCTGCCGTGGGCTCTTACGCACGCGGCGACATGGGAGGCGTTCTCAAGTCTGCCATGGGCCTTGTCAAAACAGCATCAGGCGGTGGTCAAAAAGCAGAAAAGTATGCGCGTGCTACCAGAACCAGTCCTGCTGACGTGGTACGTATCCTCATCTTTCGTGGTATACTATTTATTGCTAAACAATATCCAGATTTCATGGAGTGGTTGCAAGGACTCCCAGACCAGCGCAGATACACAGGAGGCTGGGAATGCTACCGGTGCCATGAGCTACGTAAGTAGTCTTTCTGTCTGAAGTTGGTACATATTCTCACATGCCTCGAAACACAGGCTTTCATGGTGACGCTAGGTGAGTTGCCTTTCTTTTTCTAGTGTATGACTGATTTACGTACGTACTTAGGGCAAAACCCTCAACAAAGCTATCAGCAACTTCTCAATAATCTTCGCGATGTTCTTCGGAGGAAATATAGTCAGAAGCCTCAGGTGGGTGCCATCAACATTCCACCGTGCACAAGTGCTTAATCAACATTTGCATACATCAAGCTGTCGAGCTCCCACCCCATGGACACCAACCTTATGTTCTTGTGCTAAGCGATATTTTGAATTGTAATAATATCTATTATTAGCCCGTTAGGAGCGTCATGTCAAAAGTCCTTCCAGACCTCGGTACAGTATGTGCTGAATGCCGTAAGATATAATGAGATAGAAGTTTATTAATTATACAAAGATGAAAGTATGATTACATGGATATTACTAAGAGCCACACGAGACACTGACGATTTGGCCTCTCCCCCGATCGCCAAAGGGAATGATGGAGCGGGTCATGACGTCGTCAATGTCTCTCTCCAGCTCGGTGAAGTCGACATGGCTATTTTTACCGCCAAGGACCAACGCCGTCAGTCGTTTCCCGTAAACCTGTATAAATGTAAGCTGGTACAGATACTGAAGCGAGATACTCACGCAACCCGAATCTATGCCGATTGTCCAGCGCTTGACATCCAGCCCCCGAGAAGCAGCATGCCCATAGATGACTGTTGCTGGCTGGCAGGGTAAAGCCTTTGTAGTGTGGATGTTCTGTTCGAATCCTTCACACATGGCCACGTCTTTGTTGTACAATTCAGACCAGGGTGTACCATCTTTGCCTCTGTAAAAAAAAACAAGACATTAAATATATGCAGATACCCGTGGATATACGCATACCTGGTAACTTCCATATTCTTGACGCCTCTTATGTTGAGGGTTACCCATGGGTCCAAATTCTGGGGGACCTCCGTGAGAACAGCAAGTTCTTGCAGACGTCTAAGGATGTCAGTGTCCGGCGGGGGGCCTGGGGATATGACAGGCACCCGAGCCAATGGTTGGTTTTTGTACGAGGGTTCATAGTGCGGATCGGACGCAAGGATGCCAGCATGAGCAAGATAGGCATGTGCGAAAGGCGCATGCAGCTTCAGCGGCCGAGAAACCATGTACTCAAACTCCTTGTCGCTCATAGTATGAGCAATTTCAAAGTGATCACCAAACAGCTTCCAACCATCAGGGATCTTCTTCCACCAGTTGCTGTTGGCCTTATCGAGTTTCGTCTGTTTCTCTACCCAATCTTCGATGTCAATCTCTCCATGGTATTGGGCTTTATTCCATTTGTCTCGGGTCTCTCGGAGGAACTGGCTGCCGCCGCGCAGAGAGTGTATCCAGTTTAGCCAAGAACGCCATTCAATGACCTTTTGATCATGGTTTCCGCGGACGGCGGTGATATTGTTAGACGCCATGTAGGACAGGACTTCGGTGGAGCCAGTATGCGGTCCCTTAGTGACAATATCGCCAACACTGATGAGGACATCCGAAGACGGCTCATAGGATAACTTGGCAAGGAGTGCTCTACAGGGACGGAATCAGCATTTCTCAGCGCAAAATCACACAAGCATACTGTAAATGATCGAACATGCCGTGTATGTCGCCTACGATGATAACGCGACGGGTTGGGTCATCTGGAGCGCATGTGTTAACAACGCTCCATGAGTTAAAATGCCTTGTACCTATTGGAAAATCATGGGCATTGAGTGTATCCAACTGCCTGTATAGACTGAAATCTGGGAATTCTTCCCCAATAAACTTAGTCTTACAATCGACGTGAAACGCAACGTACTCACTGTTCTTCGAACTGGTTAGGAATAACTCTCCAACTTCGTTATGGATACCTGAGATAAGGATATAGATAATGAAGGCAAAGACTGTGGAGTAGGCCGCCACGAGACGAAAGGATGGCATGGGAGATGGAGGAAAGGAGAGGACCGACGGAACGTGTGTGCGGTGAGGCGTATCTGATAAGATTTGAATCAAACCCGCTTGATCATCTAAGCTTCCTTTTTAAGTTGCAAACATCTGACACCCACGTGATATTGTGACGCGACTTGAATTATTTTGTCGCGTTTTCCTTGTCTGCCACCAGCATGTCCGCGCCTTCAAGGCAGGGGCCTACACAGGCACACAACTTCCTGCAGTCACTGAATCCAGCCCAACTTCAGGGTAAGATTGCCAGCTTATGAAAAGCTATAAGCTAACTTCAACGATATCGAAGCCGTTCAACACGACCCAAATATTCCTCTTCAGATACTGGCCGGACCAGGAAGTGGCAAGACCAAGGTAGTATCTTGCGTAAATGCTTCAGAGGCCTTCCACACCAATAACTGTCTAGGTATTGACGTCGCGAATCGCCCATCTCATAATACACCACTTGCTGCCGCCGTCATCAATATGTGCAGTAACGTATGACCACCCCAAAGCCGCCTCTTGTGTCTGACAACCTATTAGATTCACAAAGAAGACTGCAAATGAAATGCGTGAGAGGCTCACCAAACTCATTGGCAAAGAAAGAACATCTCAGGTTCGAATGGGTACATTCCATGCGTTGTGTGCCTTGTATCTACGAAAGCACGCTCTGCATGTCGGAATTAAAGGTAACTTTACCATATGTGATACAGAGGAGGGGTGCGTCTACTATCTTTCTTAACCTTTGTTATCACTCTGAAGTCTGTATGCAGGAAGAAAATCATATCAAGCTTGCTGAAGGAACGTAAAGACTACATGGTATCAAATGACATCGAAATCCAGCCCGGAAATCTACAATCGAAGATATCAAAGTTCAAAGCTAGAGGCCTTTCCGCTGAAGACGTTCTCACTATGACACCAGCCGTTCATCCTAATGAACATAATACTGTCCTTGTCCTCGACCGTCTTATAGCAGAGCTTTACAGTGGATATCAAGGGAAACTGAAGAAAAACAACAGCTTGGATTTTGACGACTTGCTGGTTGTTGGCTTGAAGCTTTTCTCTGGGCATAGAAAGGCAGTAAGCTGGTGTAGACATATTCTTGTAGACGAGTTGTGCGTAATTGACATTTCCTGTTTTTATTGTGGTTCATCTTCCCGTTTTTCTACAGCCAAGACACCAACTTTACACAATATGAACTTATGCGGGCCATTGGTGTAGCGCGTCGCGTGACCATCGTCGGTGATCCCGACCAGTCCAGTGAGGACCGGCAGAAGTCTCACAACGCAATTACTTGACTGACATGTCCGACAGTATATGGCTGGCGAGCAGCCGAAGTAGCAAATTTAGAAAAAATGCAGCGACGTAAGCTCGTCTCATAGAACCATCTTATTAAATTATTTATTCTCTTAAGACTTTCCCGGAACGGAGCAGATCTTTTTAGAACAAAATTACCGATCAACTGGCTCTATCCTTAAACTCAGCCTGGCTATTGTATCACAAGGTTTGTCAATGCTATTCCGAAACTCTTCGCTGACGCAACACGACCGCCTTCGTTCAGACAAGAATCGCATTCCAAAGACTCTTCTGTCATCTCATCCTAGCGGTATAACACCTGTCCTTCGTCAGTGTAACAATGAAAGCCACGAAGCCTCTTTCATTGCCATGGAGATCAAACGGGTGATGGCTCATATGGGAGGAGCCCTTCGCTGGGGCGACTTCGCAGTCCTTTGTGAGTAAACGACTCACTGAAAACTGACACCATTTTCTCAGTCATGCAGTACGATTCAACGCCCTGTCCCGGGCTATTGAAAGTGCCTTACAGAAAGAAGGCATTCCTCATCGGATTCTTGGGGGACACAGATTCTTCGAGCGACTGGAGGTCAGTATATGATTTACATCCCTATGCGTCTTTGATGGGAATCTTTATACATAGATCAAAGATATTTTGGCATATCTACAACTTGTCGATAATTCCAGTTTCGGTCCTGCATTTACACGCGCTGTGAATGTGCCGAGTCGAGGCATTGGCGAAAAGGTTCTGCACATTACTCTTCCCTTATGCGATATATTGATTTTAAGACTTCAGACTCTAGGTGAACTTTTCACCGGAGCCGATGCAATGGTCATAACTCCCTTAGAGTTAGTTGAAAGAATATGCGATGCTAAAGTCCCCGATATCAAGCCGGCGGTCAAGCGGAAGTTGTCACCTTTCGTGGCGGCAATCCGTTGTTTACGGGAAGAGACCAATAAAGTACGGCAATTTCTCTATGTATCATGCGCTCTAGCGCTCTACGCTGAGACATATTTATCAGGGAGTTCTTCCCTCGGCGTTAATTCGCAAGCTACTGAAGCTCATAGATTACCAAGAGCATCTGCATAAGACGCAACCAGAATGGGAAACTCGATGGGAGAACGTCCAAGAACTGATTACATTTGCAAGTGATGTCCAGGGCTCGATGCTCACTGATGTTCACCTGCCTCCTGGGGAAGAAGCTGAGTGCGTACATCTGGCAGGTTCCGCCCCGGCACTAATTGCCTCTCCAACAGGTATACTCCACTTCGACTATTTCTGCAAGCATCTATGCTCTCGTCGGAAGGTGACGAACAAAATGAGGAGGGTAATCTTAACGTCGGTCTTCTACCTTTATGTTCCTTATCCGATATTTTACTATGTTCGTTTAGAAAGTGTCCATATCCACCTGCCATGCCGCGAAAGGCTTGGAATGGCCCGTTGTGATCATTCCAGCTGGTACGTCTTATCATTTGTCCCTTGAATTGTGTCTTCACGTTCCCCGTAGCAGAGGAGGGCACATTTCCTTTCCATCGATCAGAGGACATTGCTGAGGAAAGGTCTGCTCACGTCCTCGCTTGTATCAAACACCTCTGAATTGCTTCTAGACGACTTCTTTACGTCGCTTGTACAAGAGCCAAAGGGCTCCTTTACCTTTTAAATGTCGCTGAACGGAAAATCGCCGGAAATCTTATGGAGAGGAGCCTCTCTTACTTCGTCTCGCACGTCATCAAAGAAGACGAGGTTTGTGTAATTATATTCAAAGAAGTTGAGGCCTGATCATTATGCTCTTAGACCGTTCTTACCCTAGACGACCTATGCACTTTTCCCAAGGGCGAGCGAACAACCCTGTGCCAAGTCCTTGAAAGGCCCGAGCCGCCGGAAGAGGAAGTCAGGATGAGGGTTGAGGGTTTGTCAGTGTCTCATGAACGATCGAACTACGTGAACCTAATTCATGGTTTCCAGTTACGAATCAGCCAGAAACCGACGGCCTTTTGGGCACGAATTCGATGCCGAAGCGGCATCAATTACAAGAGCTATGCAACAGCATTCCTTTGGACCTGCTCGCCATGAGATAGAGGCGAAATTCATACCAGTCAGCCAGATCGATGTCAAACCAGACATCAAACCAACTGTGCATCCTCTAAGGCCCTTCTCTTCAGGTGTCAGTGTTGGCCCCGATGTCAAGCCTCGAATTAAACAGGACCCGGACATCATGTCTGCAGCCTTTCTTCATCGTCCGAAACCACTGTCAAATTCCAACGTCGAAATCAAACCGTACATCGTCTCTATTTCTGACGTGAAGACGTCGGGGTCTCGTTTAGATGCGACACGCCCTTTAGCGGTAGCCTCAAGCTCTCGAGACGTGAAGTCAAGTCAAGCTCGCACATCGAAGCGTTCATCCCGGTCTTACTCGCTATCCCATAAAGCAAAGCTGGATCCGGACATACTCGACCTCAGTTTATCTTCACCGCCTCCACCTCTCAAGGCAAAGCAACCCATCAAACCGAAGCCTATGATTATAGATCTCACCGAACCTGCTCCAAAAAGAGTAAACCCAAGGACAACGATCAAACGAGAGGTGGCCACGCCATCCGTAGTCAAAATTGAAGGAGCAGAGGCCGGGACGGCAGTCGAAAGAGAGCCGAGTATGATTATACTTGACCCACCAACAAGTATCAGGCATAAGGGGCCTTCGAAAGTGACGGTCGAGCCAGGTCGATTACCTGTGGCGCCTGCTCCAAAAGAATCTTCTCCTGGCACCCCGCAAACACCATCACTAAATCCTGGAGTAAAACGTAGGTTAGGCATGGGGAGGATTGTGGGGGGCTATGCAAATAAAAAATTCAAGCTACCAACATAAATTGACTCGGACTCATTGATACGATAGCTTGCTTTGACCCTTCGTATTTTACATCGGAAAGTTTACCAGACCGTCAAGTTATAAGTGTATTATTTATAGTTTATATTGTACTTTAATAATCGTAGATTGCGAGACCTATGAAACGTAGAATTAGTAAATGGAGCAACATCGTTGGAATTGACTTCAGAGTCAAGGAAAGGTATCCACAGTGCATATACTGCATTGGTAGTCTAACATGCTATTTCGACTAGCCCGAAAGCCCATCATTAGTGTAAAATGAAAAGAATTTACTCACTTGTAGAACGGTACTACTAGAACCTAATGTTCATGGAGTCATGATGGTCAGGAACAAAAGCAAAAAAAAAATCCCCATAACGTGGTCCGGGGCCAGAATAGCCGGTAGATCCAAGACTTTCACCCGCCCCCAAAATGGAGGACGTTGGTTCAATTTACATAACGTTCGATTCTTGTCCCCGAATACTAACATATATATCAATTATTACCTTTTTCATCCTTCTATGCTTTCACAGCTATCGTTTCGGTGACGACATTTGCTGAGCCATGGTATCTCCCATTCCTGCCATCTACTTCGCTTGCTTCTGGCTGGTACCACTTCCACGCATTAAATCTGACAAAGTCAGCGAAGGACCAGAGTTCTGCATCCAAGTTATTGGTGTCTCGGTAGATGTAAGTCTCAGCTGGGATAGCCTCCGCCAGTTCCTCGATGGGTGGTAGAGGTGCAGGCAGATTAGGAACCAAATACTTGTCATCGTTTGAGACAGAGTATTCAGATAGGTTAATGGTATCTTCAAGCGGGTGGACAGGAATAGGCTCCCGTGTATATTCCTAGAAAGATAAGGCTTGTGGGCGCGGTGAATACTGACAGACTCACCGTTCCTTCAAAAACATCCAGAAGCAAGATATCCATATTGGTTAGACCGTGCACCAAAGTTCCCCGGACACACTTCTCTTCTTGCGTGAGCTCTCTGTCGAAGAATGTTTGACCTTGAGAAAAGGGTATAACTCCAGGGTATTCTTCCGACTGAGGTACGATAAATGTTATTGCCAACAATCATCATGGCTCACCGACCGACCTTGACTTTGTGTCGGGTATGTTCCTATCGTAGATGGACGATGAGGGCGCCTTCAGATAGCAACATAGATGATTCCCAAACCAGGAGAACTGCAGGGCATATTTCCAGGTGAGAGCCGTCATTCTTGATGACCTTGGTAAGGATCTTTGGATGCATAAGAGTGCCATAGAAAAACGCGGAATGGGACATCGATACTAAGGAGAAAGAGAAAATTGAATGTAGATAAGGAAATACTCCTGAGATAGCGCAGCCACGTGCAGTTTGACTCTTACCATTACGCTCTAAAACCCTTTTTTCTTCATCGATATACAATGTCGGCGTGCGGAAATCCTGCTACGGAAACAGATGTACTCATGGAGCGTGAGTGGGATACTCAATCCATACCTGACTAAACCCAACGATGCACACATAGGTCGACCAAAGTTCGACAAATCAAGGGATTGTGTAAAATGCAAGACGAACCGAGGAAACATTGTTATACGGCATGCTGTATATTGCAAGTGCGATGTTGCTCGGTGTGCAAGTACTATCACTAACAGAATATCCAGGGAATGCTTTACACCTCTCGTCTCCTTCAAATTCCGACGGTCACTGGAACCTTTCGTGAACGAGCTACCTCAGGGCCCGCGGCGGAAGGCATTGAAGGCATCGGGTGACCTTCTTCTGGCATTTTCAGGTGGATTGGGCTCGACGGTGCTGTTGGATCTCGCGTATCAGGCCTATTTTGCGAATCGCCACGAGGAAGACAGGACCGAGAATCAGCAAGGCGGAAAAGATCATCCGCGCAACGCCCCCATATGGCCGAAGGGTAGTATATGCTATGTCGAAATATGCAGCGCGTTTCCTGGGGTACGTGTGTGTCTATCCACGGAACAGAGTGACATACCAACGGTGACTAGATGAAAGACAGGACGGAAAAAATTCGCACAGCCATAGCAAGTTACGGATCCCTGGATTTTATTCCGTTGCGTTTGGAGGATGCTTTTGATAATTCTTGGTGGGAGTCTGTTGGCGGAAGGCCCTCTCCTTCAGACCTGGAGGTCGACCTCTCAAACGAAGGTCAGCCTTGTATAGGATGATGCATTTAGTCTTCGCTAAAACTAGACCAGAAATCTTCATATCATTTTTTTCCAAAGAGACGATCGTAGATCCAGTTACCTCTCTTCGGACCTTTCTATCAAATCTCCCGACACATACTGCGATATCACGGGCCGTACCGACACTAGTACGGATATTACTTTTGTACACCGCCCGTTCAACGGGGTCATCACATCTCCTTCTGGGCACATCTCTGACTTCGCTTTCAGTATCTCTCATCTCGGCTATATCGCAGGGCGCTGGCTTTACTGTTCGTGAGGAGGCACAAGAAGAATGGGCATCTTTGGACGTACCGTCGCCTACCCGAAAGTCTGTCCGTGTAATCAGACCATTGAGAGACATAGGCATGAAGGAATGCGCCATCTTATGTTGGTGGCGTAATTTAAACGTTATCGGGAAAGAAAAGATTCCTGGCGGAAAGGAGGACATCGCTAATTTGACGAAAGGCATGTACGCTCCCTTTCATGCCACACAAGATGTACTAACCCGGCTATAGACTTCATTGTAGGCCTTGAAAAAGACTACCCTTCAACCGTTTCCACCATTGCACGAACTTGCGGAAAACTTATACCTAAGGCGGGATCTGCTCGGAAGTGTATACTTTGTGAACAGTACGTTAAGAGAACTACATGCTTCCAGGGTTTTGATCTCTCAGCTTTCATTTCCAGACCTGTGCAGCAAGGTATACAAGATTGGAAGTCACGTACATCAATACGGACCTTAGATGCTGCCGAAACGACAAGCGATGTCATTGAGCATTCCCGATTCATATCACCTTATCTCTGCTATGCATGTCACACGACTTTTACTAGTCGAAGTAGTCGCGGTAGCATGCAATCTGGGACCACTTCGGTGCGGCTGCCTGTATGGACAGGACAGCACTTGATGGATGCGCAGTGGGAAGGTACGAACGGCGACGGTGGCCATGAACAAAAAAACGAGGTTTGGGAGAAAAGGCGTGCCAAGGAAGAGGATATGAAAAATATCATTGGGGATTTTCTGTTAGGAGACACAAGTACATAAATGATCAACACCGTGTGAACCGTTTATCTAATTTCTGCCGGCCATATATTATACGATGAATTCGAGCCTCTTCACCGATATGGGGTCGCACGACCTCCATTATCTTAGTACCGTCCACGACAGGGCTCATCATCCAGCCTCGAAGGACCCCTTCTCAGTCCTGTCCTTGGAAGCAAAGAAGAACACCGTCCTTGTCTCGCATGGTCGTCCTCCATGGTCAGATACCGGTCTGACTGGATAGCCCTATGTTCATGCATGTCTGCAGGTATGGTGAAGATGGAAAAAAGTTGTGCGATGCTTTTGTCATTGGTATTGCTGGTGCGTCCTGGACCTTTGCTGGCGCGAAGACGGGAATTGAGGGCTCCTAGGCGGTTCTGCCAGCGGAAAGGTGTGCACTGCTCGCCTCGTCGTCATGCAATAGAGTGACTCTTCAGATAGACCCATGTCGCTAGACAAATTGTCCGTACTCTGGGGAACATACCCAGCATTGTCATTGTCTCCCAAGTACGTGTCATCACCTCAACGGTTGAGGACGCCTCTTACGGTATTAGTAGGATAGTTTCTACAAGCGACATACTCCTGAGGAGATTGCTCTCGCCAACGCCAGCATGTTCGACTTTGATCACCCGGACGCAATAGATATGCCCATGTTCGCATCTGTACGGAGACTCTTCACTTCTAGACGGTCCGAAGCGAATAGGATTCACAGTTGCATTCTCGTAGTGCCTGGCTGACTTGAAGGCCTGCAAGCAATCCAACATTCCTGTGTACTCTTTTTCTGAGCACCAACGCCTCGAGGAAACGAAATACCTGTATGGCGCAGCAATCATAATTGGTTCGTTCCCAAAATCCCTGGGCGTTGTCTTCCGATTTTATCAAGTATTCTAGCGGAAGGCATTATGGCACTCCACGACCCTGCACTACGCGAGTTATATGATTTGAAAGTTTGAACAGCCCGTCAGTGTCTTAACCTTGCAATTCATGCCATAACATAGGTATTCGTGCAATGCGATTCCGATCTCATGCTTGCCAGACGGATAGCACGAGATGTGAAAGAGCGTGGAAGAAGCGTAGACGGTATCTTAGAACAGTAAGGTTATCCTTCGTGTCTTTTCGGATATTAAATAACTTCTTGCACATCCTAGGTACTTGAGGTATGTGAAGCCATCGTATGACAACTTTGTTCGCCCAACAGCAGCCTATGCGGATATAGTATGATAGTTTTATTGACATTTTCATGACTCTCAGCACCTTCTAATACAGATCGTTCCCGGTTCAAACAACAGTGTCGCTATCGAGTTGATCACGACGCATATTCGACGACAGCTGCAGGAGCGCTCGAACCGATTCCGTGCAAAGATGGCAATTCCACAACGGCTACATTCGCCTGGTGTAGTGACTCCGGAAACCAAGATGGAGCATCTCAATTTAGACGTCCTCCGTTCGACGCCGCAGGTTCAAGGCATCTTTACCATCCTGCGGTCTGCGGACACCCTCCGTCAAGACTTCATATTCTTCGTCGATCGTCTGTCTACGTTGCTAGTGGAATATGCAATGTCGCTTCTACCTCATGCACCGAAGACAGTGATGACGCCTGTTGGGGTGTTGTCTCAAGGTAAGCAGCTGGATGCAAAGTATGTATGCGGGGTGTGTATTCAACGCTCGTGAGTGTCCTCTCGCATCACTTTTTCTCTTTCGGTATAACATTTTTCCCGTTTCAGGGGAGGCGCCCTCGAGCGAGGATTTCGCAGAGTCATCAATAATGTTCCCATCGGATCTTTGTTAGTACAGTCAGCCTTGAAGACCGGCGAACCCACACTGCTGCAAGTAAAGCTACCGTTGTACATTCGACGCCGTGACCAGGCTTTGGAAACTTTCGTGTTTCTTTTGGATGCGCAGGTGAGTAGCAAACTCTTCCTTCTGTTCAAGGCGTTGTTAAATAACGACATGGAACCATAGATCGGGACTGGTGCTGCAGCGTTTATGGCCATTCGGATCCTTCTGGACCATGGGATACGACAGGATCATATTATTTTTGTGACATTCTTGGTTGCCCGCGGCGGAGGAATATCAGTGCTTAGACGCGCATTTCCCGATGTCAAGATCGTCTGTGGTGCCGTTGATGATGAAATGGAAGAAGGTTGGTTAGACCTCAATAATGACACTGTCGATGGAAATCCGGCAAGTAGTGGTCGCCAGGTCTGGGTCATGCGGCCGGGAATGGGGCAAATTGGTATAGTTCTGTCGGCCGTCTTGAAAAAAAGACGCGTTCTGATGCTATCATATGTGGCAGGTGATCGGTACTACTTGTAATTTTCATGTCTCCGGTTTCTGCTCTTGGAGAATCTATTGTTGCGTACTTGCGCTATGGTGTTGGGAATGAGAACTGGACAGTAGCTTGAGTTCAACAGAGGCTATATCATCAGTGAACTTTGACTATCTAACAGACGATACTCCATTGACATAGTGCGAAGGAACAATATGCGGATGGTCTCTGACTGGATTAGCACTCGCGCTACTTTCTCGGCAGCGGCCCCACTCTGTCGCTCACTGGTACCAACGTCATTCATTCTTATTGATGATTGTACTAGAGAATACATATAAGTAGATTGCTATCTGCTACATACACCTAACTCACTCCTTTCAAGAGCAGGATGGGGAAGCGGCTTCTGCAGTTTCCAGTACCACGCCGTCTGACTTGGAAGTCCGACACACCTTGCATCAATAGGGCGCATAGTGGCGCAACAGCGCAACAACAGGAAGCTTTGTCATTGATAGCAGGGGGGTATTTCAGTGTGTATTCAAGTCTTTAGTGCATCTGGAAAATAACTGTTTCCATCAAAAGTGAAGAGGCCAAAGGGCTCGGGCGCACACTTGTCACAATTCAATTTGGATACAGCAATATGAAAATTGCGTCTCATCTCCTGGACTTGTAGGATGGTTCGAAAGAATAAGTACTGTGAAATCGGGGCAGATACAGCCCATCGGTTAACCGTAGGCTGTCCCATCACACCTTCCTCCAAAATTACAGTGCAGACCTTGGCTAGATTTGAGTGACTACGAAGTGATAGTCTTTGGAAGGAAACATTTGCGCAGCCTTTATGTAAAATGGACTCGATATGCACTGCGAGTTATCTCAAGGATAGTCGCGAATCTCATGACAGGCAATTTCATCCTGTTCCTATCGTCTCCAATCCTAAGCTGACCTAGGACAAGCGCGGAGTAGCGTCTTCTTGGTTTTCAAAAAATTTCAACCAGCCTCATGGTTTATTCTGATCTTGATATACAGATAGTCGATCCTCCTTGTGATTTAGATCCAGCTTGTCTTTGAAAAAAAAAGCTATACAGCTTTGTATACGTCAAATTATTAATGCCATGGTTCTGTTTCAGATGTATACCGGTGTCTGTCTGCACTCAGTTGTCTGGTCGCTGGTAGCATTCGGCACATACGCAGTAGCGTCTCCATTCCGTCGCTCGCTAATTCCAACGTCGTTCGTCCTCGTTGGTGACAGTACCAAGGTTGATTGCTCAGATGCTATGGACTCTGTCTCTTTTTTTGATTATATCCAACGCTGCTCGAGGGAGATGGCCTCTTCTGACGGGACGCTACGTTTGGACCAAGCCAGAAGCGGGGCTAGTTTGATTGCCAGGCAGCGATTACGGTGAAAAGATTGGTCCAATTGGAGCTCATCTGGATCAGCTGTTGTATCTTCTTGTCCTCGGATAAATGTATGGAAATCTTCGTCAATACGTAAGGGAAACAAGTCTGTGCGGCCAACCATGTCGATGTTTCTGGCCGGTTTGGTCCTTGTGGTTTACGTCGCAGCTTCTCCATTACATAGCACCGCCGTGCCGACTTCGACGACTTCGTTTATCCTGATCGGTGATAGCACCACAGCCAACGGGTCTGTTATTTGAGATGACAGTCTTTCCATAGGCGTCGCTGAGCAACTTGCAGGACTACACCGAACAGCGGTGGATGGGGGAACGGCTTCTGCGGTTCCACGAACACTTCGACCCCGTCTTCTCTCCAACTAGGCACATCTTGCATCAATATAGCCCATGACGGCGCGACAATCGGCATATTTGTCGCTGACGGCTTTTGGAATATTTCAGGTCTGCTGTCTAATATTTAAGTCCAAGACCAAGAGATTAAACAGCCACTACAGTTGCGGCCATCGAAGGAGAAGTGGCCAAAGGACAGCGTACATTTGTAACTATACAGTTCGGGCACAACGATATGAAGATCGCTGACCCCGAATCCATGGGGACGAACTTGACCATCATGGTCCAAGAAATCCGGGCTTTAGGAGCCGAACCGATACTCGTTACAAGTCTCACAAGGAGAACCTTCAATGATAATGGCACTATCGCTGATACTCTGCAGCCGTGGGCTGATGAGACCATCCTGATCGCCGAGCAACAGGGAACCCATCTTTTGGACTTGCACGAAGCCTCGATAGAATATTGCGAAGCCATCGGCCCTGATGCTGCTCATCGACTCAACAGGTTGCCAGATGACAATACTCGTAAGTTAGCTACGCCCTTCGCCGAATACTCGCACACACTCTCTCCAGATCTAAATGTCAATGGCACCATCGTCTTCGGCAGGTGAGTCATCACATTTAACTTAGGGGGGGAGGGGGTGTTCATACAATATTCTCCTTAGGATGGTTGCAGATCTTATGGCAGCTAGTTTCCCCCTCTTCGCACTTCCTATAATTCCTAATCCCCGGTTGACGTTTAATATCACGCATGGGATAGCATCATACTAAATATATATTTGTGAATCCATGTATAGTTTTGACTTGCCAAATGATAGGATGTTATCAACAATATAGAATACATACAGTACAATAGACAAGAAAAGGGAACGATCGTGGGCTATATTTCTACTCCAAATCTAGTAGTTCTACTCTAATCTAAGGGAATGACGTGATACAAAGAGTCCAGATTATTTACATACTTACAAGGAAAGATAATGATAGTATATATGGCCTTCAATTCAAAGCGGAAAGATCGACATGACAAGCCGCCAAAGAACTCGGAAGGGGGGAGCCTGAACCTCTTGCTCAGTGGCCGGAAGAGAGGACATACTTTGACATACCTGGGTAGTACCAGAACGAGACCGCTATTATAATGTACAGGCCTACGAAATCACCAAGATCAATTTAGCACTCTTCGCAACGAACGGAGAGTTCCATACCTATCAGAATGATGCCCTCTTCAAATCAAAGTCGCGTTCAGAATCGTAAAACATTTCAAAGATTCTTGAAACGCACCCAACCAATTAGATTTTCCATCGCTGACAACGTAAGTCATCGTTTGTACTACACATCTGAATCAATGTTCCCGTTAAGGATGCGAAATCTCGGGAACGAACCAGAAATATAAAGAACCTAGGTAAAACTTAGTCTCTCCACAGATTCCAGTTGGGCACAAAGTACGCACCAATGACTCGAATGGGTCAAACAGAAGCGCCAAAGGCTTGCCGCCTATCCAAGCCACTGTCACCATCAATCTATTGCGAACATTCTGCACTTAGACGTCATGCCCAAATTTCCTGCCAAAGCACTCACGGAATTACGAATAGCGCAGTTTGCTATAATGACAAGCGTGCAACCCGTCAGTTCTACATTTTGATTGATCACATAGAAATACCGACGATGGTAGAGCCAACAGCCACGGAGATGCTGAGGTTCAATTGATCCCTGTACGAAACGTTGATGGCTGTGGCGCATTCTGAATCGACAAGTCAAACAAAGCATAAGCATTGACAAAAAAAAAATCAAATTGCCAGTTGCAAACCTGCCAGAGCGCTCACAGCAGGAAGGAGGATAAGTCCGACCCATTCTTTGCTGATGGTCGTCGAAATTCCATTCATAGCCTCGACCAACCAATCAGCTGTGAAAGCTACGCACTGTCAAATTGGTGTTAAAATATGCCTGACTACGTCAACAAGTGCACACACCACAGTGACAATTGACAGTAGAAGAAGCGTCATGAACACGCTGAGCCGCGGCTTCCGCTGAACTGAAATAGAGCTGGATACGGGAGATATGGACCGTGCGTCGTTAATATCTTCATTGCCTTTGAAGTCGACTTGCTTCAAGTTGTTTTGGTCCATTTCTGGACTTCCATGGTAGGTCGACCCACTGAAGCTGCGACTTCCAATACTGGGGCCCTTAGAAAAGGAATCACCTGCACCAACAAGTCGAACGGAGTAATCTTGTTGGGGGTCCAATATTTGAGAGTTGGTCAGTGTGACTTCGGATTGTGTCGCGTAGGAAGTTCCAACGTACGGCGGATCTGAGTCTAAGTCAAGTATGACCGGCAAATGTGAGAGAAGAACGGCGGTGGACGCACCATTGCAACTGTCCAAGCTCTTGAGTGAGAGGTTATCTCTTGAAGCGCTAGCGGAAAGAGGCGAAGGGGACTCGCTTTTCTGCTGTGCTTTCCGAAAGAATGAGGGGGGGGAAGGGATCTCTGTAGTTAATTTAGTACTCTTCTTGTGTGTATCCTGGTATAGATGTGAATGCGACCAGAGTTGGAATAGAAGGTATGCGGTATAGACTGGAATGATTGTCACACACACAAAGTCAAGGACGAAGTCAAACGAAAGAAACAGGGCGTCCTTACGAGACATTAAGACGAGAGAGACCTGATGACACTTAATTAGAAATCGGAAAATACGATGATGGAAGGGGTACTAACCCCGTGGCTCATTCGTAAGATATTCTGCTTCTGGCTTTCAGGCATAGGGTCGTCATCACCGAGTGAAAAGTGATATGCAGCTGGCAGTAGGACGGCGCTAACACTGATGCTCAGTAGGGACGAATGGATCTGATTTGCCGCTGTTGATAAGACGGTGAACCAGGGTCGATTGTGCAGCCGGAAAACTTACTGGGATCAAAGACCTGTTCGGTAAAACGTAGACCTCCAGCAAAGAAGCACATCCCTAATACAAGTACTGAAACACATGTATGAGCCAATGACAGACAAACTCGGAAGGGCACAAACGGAGTTTGCTCAACATCGAGCCCACAACTTAGGATACCAGTCAGGGGGTCCACACAATGAGGGATATTCAAGGATCTTACGAGTGGATTGGAGAACGCGAAGTTCGCACTTGCGCAGTGCGATAATCTGAACCAAAAATAAGAAAAACATATTTAGAATTGATACAAGACTTACTGCAACGACAAGTTCGACACTTTCGGCACGAATCAAGTAAGTTTCTAAAGATAGAGAAATAGAAGTTGGCTCACATATTAGACTGTGGTTCGCGTTAAATTTTTAGTGATTGTAGCTAAGTTTACGACTGACCAAACTAGCACTGATCAAACCGGTATTCGACCCCCCAAGGCGGCAGACTAATTCGGCCGTCGAGAGTTCATGCAACTGGAGCGGTGTAAGAAGGCGGGGCTGCAACATGGTTAATGCCTACCTGAACCAAAGGAACCAAGGCGAGCAAACAAACTATTGTGGAGCATCATCAACGAGGGTACGAACGTGAGTGGCATGGTCACTTACAGCCGAACACTAGGCCATGCGATTGTTCCATGGTAACGCTGAGGGCATACTGTAGAGAAAACGAGGCCTTAGCGGTGGCAAAGAGAGAGGACTGTGTGCTTACTGCCACTGGAATGAGAAACAGAAGAAGATTCAACCCTGTTCGGTTGAATGAACATGTTGCAGACATTGGAGAGCAATAACACTCACAGGAGCGAAATATAATCACTCTCCAGCCTTTGAAGAGTCTCTGCCAGAAGCCTGGAGGTGCAAAACTCCTCTTAGAGCCCGAAGGCGCGAAAAGCGGGAGGCCGCGATGGCCTGTAGCATTCATTTTTGCGATGCTAGTTTCGGAGGTGGATTGAGAGAGAAAGAGCGGAGGTGGAGGAGAAATATTTGAAGGATAAGGGAGCGTGGTAGGAGGAGTATACATGGCAGCTGTAGTGAGTGCCAGCACCGACCAATGACTGAAGGTAGAAGGAGAGAACGACAGATGACGGCAAACGACGAAGCTTAAAGAACCATTTCCTGTCTAAAAATAGAATTGACAATGATTTGATAAATTTGATGGCAAATTCTTTTTGGAGACTTCTTCAAACTTGTTCTAGCGTCGAAACAGGGATACGCACGCGTACGATATTCGTTCTCATTAGCTCCTTTTGCCTCGGTAATACTATTATTACCTAGTGTGCCACCTTGTTCGCGTTGCCTTTGTGAGGTAAAAAAACACAGTCATGAACCAGATCCCGAGGATGCTGTCTGCCAAGCTTGAGGGGGAAAGAAACTGAAAGACTCGGAAAGCGTTGTGAATCGAGGCGGGTTCTCGGCCAGCCCAACGGAGTTACCCGCCGCCAGCGTGACAAGCGTGACAAACAGCTTGCATTGACTCCGCCATGTTGTCGAGAGCCGTCGCCATTGCTCGTCCTGCTGCCCGTCAGGCTACCTGGGCATTCAGACCTACTGCCGTATCTTCTCTTCGCACTTTTACCGCCTCCTCCCAGGTTGCCTCTTCTCACGGCGACCCCCCACCGCAACTCCTCGGTCCTGGTATAAAGCCTGGTGAAGTCCCAACTAGCTACGACCAGGCCACCGGTTTGGAGCGTCTCCAGCTTCTCGGCGACATCGAGGGCTTCAACGTCTTCGACCAGGAGCCCCTTGATTCGAGCCGTATTGGAACCAAGGCCAACCCCATCTTGGTTCCTGCAACCGTATGTCTTATCATTCCTGCCTGTTTCGCTTCTTTATTGATGCCTATCAGGCCGCTGCTCGTATCGTTGGGTGCACTGGCTCACCCGCCGACTCTCATGATGTGATCTGGTTCGAGGTGAAAAAGGACAAGTTGGCTCGATGCGTTGAATGTGGTTCAGGCAAGTCGTGCACTCATCTTCATCTTGCTTACGCCACTCATGACGCATTCAGTATATGCTCTTCAACTTGAGGAAGGTTACGAAGAAGCACTCGCACATGCACACGCTCACTAGATACTATCTCGAATTTGTGCTCATTAAGCAATCGCACAGTGGAAAACAACATCCTCTTAAGATATCTTAACATTCTTTCTCTCAACGACTAAGCCCTGAGATTGGCCAACAACCTGTCAACAATTTTTGGTTGAGGCAACTCTTTAACTTCTTGTCAACATGCTCGGGCAATTGCGGAATACAAATTCACCCCGTGAAATTGCTTATAATTATCAATATATTTGCTAGCTGCATTCCATCAAGGCTTCCACGACAGCTGCCTCGAATTCTTCTGGAGCATCAAAATGGCCAGATCAAAGAATATTACAGGCCGCATACCTAACCGGAGTGATTCGCACCCTTGGTCGTGATAAAATGGGCTGGTCGGATCTTTGCCTTCAACCAGCTCGTCGTACCTTCTCCCCGTCTCTAAAAATCCCCAAAGGTACACCCAATTCGTGCTTAAACATGCGATATATTTAACGGTTACCAGGGGAATTACGTTTTCAAAGACTTCTCTATCGCAGAAACCACGCTTTCGCTGGGGCAAGGAGTAGCACTGAGGTCAGCTCCAGTGGCCGCTGCCGTAACAATTACTGAGCTAGATGTTCAGATGGTCGAGCCACTCGAACGATGTCTGGTCGAACAACGAGTTGTAAGCTTCTGGGGGATGCAAGTCATATAGCCAACTGACGACAGTCTGCACACACTAAGTGAGATAGTCCTGTGACAGTCCCTCCTGCTATCCGTGAAAAAGGACTCGGTGTCTTCAGTGTCGATGCAAGAAGTTAGGCACGGTGAAAGGACAGATTCTCTATAACTGCACCGAGTCTGATATGTACCGTGAATATATCAAAACGGACCCGCTGTTGCGTGCACACCGTCTTATGACCGTACAGGAAATGGAGGTCTTGAGGTACCATGCATATGTGTATATGAAGATCAAACCCTCCACCCATGATATTACTAGAGCTACAGAACGCGATATACAAAGCAACCTAGTCGACCAGTCGACACTACCAGATCCACTGCAGGTGGTATAGATGAACCTGTCTCGCACACTAGTCCAGTACGTTGATAAATATTTCGGGCAACTTACAGACTATTCCCCGCCTCTGGCCAATGCTAAGATTAACCTGCACGCTACATCCATGAACACATATGGTGACACGACATCCTCTTCTTGGAACCCGTTCTCCACTTTGATTGACTGGCCGCTAGCAGTACGTTTGAGTGATGGGGCTACGTCGAACCGGCCAGCATTGGGTTCTGTTGAAGCCCTGTAGGTTTTCTTATGGTGGAAATCGACAAGATAGTTAATCGAATCGACCATATACAGCTGAAGGTTCATCAAGACCTGTCATGGCACCATAAGAACCACAACACCATACAACGAACAGAATACTCACGACAACGTCTTGTGCGCGCGCTCTTGTCTCAACGAAATACACCGATGAGGCAGCTCTATGATCCACGTCTCCACCTCCGTCCGAAGCCTTGACCCGCTCTATCCTCCCATTGGCGCCTGGACGTACGGTCACCCCAGCCAAACCACCAAGGTCTTTCTTCTCCTTCCATTCCATCCCAAGCATTCGCAGAGTCTTATAAATTTCAAGCATGATTTCCATTGGGGGACTCCTGCTTCTGATACCAAAGTGCCATTGTGTTGCTTTGTGCGGTTTTCTCTCCTTTCCGGCCGATTGCTTCGCTGAAGCATAGGAGGTGAGATGATGCGTCGATGCAGAAGGATCTGGAGGAAGGGAAGAATTGAGGACCGCGAAATTGGTTGACGTTGACGCTGACATCGGTTGGTCATATTCAAGGTCAGAATCTGACAATTCATCGTCATCGTCATCGTCCGTTTGGCCATTGAATTCAGCATCGAAAGGATTTTCCTGGATCTCACCCCCGCCGGGAGACAAAGCGTTCGGAGAGAGAGCATTTCGAGGCTGGAACAGATTTCAGGAGGATTATCAATTTCAGGAACAGAACATACATCTAATGCAGCTTCCTGGGCATCACGCTCCTCTTCAGCAAATTCAGCAACTAAATAGTAAATTCATATAACAGCAAGATAGTATGAGCGTCACACGTACGATCTTTTCCAAGGTGTTGCTTATCCCTGAACAATAGATACGCCACTTTAACAGCATTTCCTTGAGCCCCATCATCCCTCCTTAAGCATTCAAGTATGTCTTCTTTGGTGACACCTTGCATTCGAGCAACGAGGCCTTCGATGACCTCTTGCTCGATTCGGCCAAAACCCTCAACAAATTCAAAGTCCACGGGCCTTATTGGAGGAGAAACGAGAGCTTTGAGAGTGCCAAGCACAGGTCCGGGGGGTGGTGGCAGAGGAGAGAGATATCGAGGTAGGTCAGTAGTGAAGAAGGGATGACGGTAAATTTCAGGGATAGTGATCCGTTTCACCGGGTCGACGGCAAGCATGGCATGTATAAGATGCTGGGCTTCTGGGGAGAGTGTAGGAGGCATGAAGTAGATGCCCTCTGTACAAGATCAGATGGGCGAGGCCAGAGAGATCCAAATACTTACGACTGATTTTGCTGAACAATAGCTGGACATTGTCATCCTCAAATGGGAGTCTTCCGCATATCATAACATACAGGATGACTCCCGAACTCCAGACATCAATTTCGGGACCAGCATAGATTCCCCCACGGATAACTTCCGGTGCAGCATAGTTTGGACTCCTGAAGACATTTTCAGCAACAAAAAGATGGCATGTGGGCACTTACTCACCCACAGCTGGTGGTAAGAAAATCACCATCGCTGATGACGCTAGATAAGCCGAAATCCGCGATCTTCACGTTGAGGTTATCATCTAAAAGCACATTTTCAGGCTTGAGATCGCGGTGAACAATCTTGAGACGATGCGAGTATTCGATGCCCGATATTATCTGTTGAAAGAATCGTCGGGCTTCGGATTCTTTCATTTTTCCGTGGGTAACTAGAGGATACATAAGGCATAAGGCACAATGGGGCCATGATCACAAACCGCCGCAAACCTATATGATTGAATAGCTCGCCACCTGCATATTCGAGAACAAAGATGATATCTGTAGGCGTAGATATTACTTCGTACCTGTAATAACAGACAATCAGATGGGAAGTGTTCAAAGAAATATACCGGACGTACAATTTAATGATATGAGGATGCCGTAGAGCTCGCATATACTCAAATTCTCGACGAACTCGAGTCTTGGTCTTCTCGCGATTGATGGCCTTCTTTGAGATGTACTTCATTGCTACACGATGTCCGGTAATTGTATGGATGGCCACTGCAAAGGGGCAAAATGAGTCTTTGAGCACTGGCACCAAGTAACTGCCATACTTTTCACAATTCCAAAGGTTCCTTCCGCGATATCTTTAATTACGGTATACTCTCCCAGTTTTGAGGCTGGGAGGGGAGTGAAGGAATCGCCAGCCATGAGGAGAAGAGGGTAGTAGAGGGATGTCAAGCAAATTAGAAGTAATATAAAAGACATATTGATACCTATTTGTAAAAAGCGATGCAGTGACTAGACTATCACGTGCAGTGACACGAACGCGAGGTGGCCGCATTGGATGGCCGTGGCAGAAAACTTAACGTAAGCAACGTATTGCTTCTTCACTTGTTACCATCTTCGTGCTTTCAAAATGCACGTCTGGCAGCATAGTCGTGCAAATATGGTCACCGTAGAGATTCCAGATCAGACACGGGACCTTCTATCAAATCGGAGTCTCAGGCTCTGTTCTGTTTCACGCGACAAATGTTTCTGTGTTGGACATAGATTATTTCGTCGAAGTTGGATTCGAACAGACACTGTCGATTTTGATACCCCTCATTGCTGACGCTCGTCAATCCTCCACCGGTGTACACCAAATCCAGGACACTCGCGAAGCACCAGCCACCGCTGTTCAAAGACCGTCCTGGTCATTTATATCGCGCACAGCTATTCCATCACGATCTGAAGTCAAGGGCTCTGTCCTTGCTGCTTTTGATCAGGACAAAGTATTCGCAGTGCCTGATTAGATCCTACGACTCGAGGCTGACTTGAAGGCCGAGTTCCAGAAGAAGGGATTGTCGTAAATGACTTTGTTCGAAATAAGGAGCCGAAGCAGGACTCCGGGCAAGAGTTATTTGAAGAGATTATGGCTTTGAGACCAGATATCGCGCTACCGAATCCGGATACCATCCCAGTTGAAGAAGTTGCAAAAGAGGCTGCCAAGATGTCGAAGGACCGTGTCGCAGCTACTTTATCCATTGCGGCTGGTCCCGAGGAAGTATTGGGCACAATTACCACTAGTGGACCGTTACTAGATTTAAACGAGCACAGAGGAAGACCAGTAGGAGATATTGATGGTACGGTGTCCCAAGTATCAATGTCGAATGTCTATCCTAGACTGGTAACCGTCTGCCTAAGCACCAGTCGTTGCAAACAAGAAAGTGAGAGTAGGTCGCTTGTGACGCCAAGTGGCGAGAGGGACAGTTACGAGTCTATGTCTATCCATTCAGTTTTGTAAAGGCAATTGCTGAGCAAGTTGCCGAATTACCAGAACAATAACTGACAAATATTATTTGTATGTCATGGAGAATTTAGAACAGATGGAAGGAGCACGTTCATAGCTTGAGACATGACCTTCTGCATCCTATCGAAGCTTCTTGAAGGCCAAACCAAAATATATCAGGGTATGAACCATGGCTTACGCTTAAAACAAAGTGATGACGGCTCCTTTGCAGAACAATGCTGCCATTCAAGGCACGGGAAAATATACCATTATTACACTGAAGGTCGAAGAAGTATACCCGTACAAGTTAAAGGCGCGAGCTACAAAATGATCTTGGAGCTCTGTGCAACCAAGAAAGCCCTCAGCTTTGGGAGAAATTTGACTTAGGTGTTTTCGAGGGTATTTTTCAATGCAATGAATCTGCCTCCCCAGGACTTGATGATGACGTGTTGTTCTCATGGTGCGCGCGAAACTGGTGAAGGTGACATTGCTGGCGATGAAGACCGGTTCGACTTTTCCCGCATTGTTTTTAAATTTCTAACTGGTGGGAAACTGAAAGGCACCGATTTGGGTCGGTTCGACTTCGTTGGCAGGATGACAATAACGCCAAAGCCGTTCCCTCAAACAGTGCTGAAGAGTGGAAGACGCTTGTGCGCTAGTGCTAATACTTGAGGAACGGATATACTTTGAATCTTCATAGCTGTCAGTAAGTTGAGACGTCATGCTCTTGGAAATGTTTTTCATCATGCTCGCTGTTATTTTAATCTTTGTTTCTGGGAACTTCAATTATGTATGGCTTGGCAGGGCATCGCTCGTTGATGTGAAGAGGTGATGCCTGCCAGGAAACGGTTGCCAAACTCATCGTTCTCGATGCACGCGAAGGCACACTAGCCTCCCTAAATATTGCGCATTGCGCTCAGTAGTGTGTGCTTTTCGACCGATCTTCTGCTTTTTGGTTCTGACGACTCAAGACTGTACAGTAAAGGAACTCGTGGTTAGATCTTTCCCCACTTCCCACGCAGCTGATGGATCTAATTTCCATGATTCAGCCATATACCTACTAGTATAGCCATTGACATGGAGACCTTGAATTTTTTTTGCAGTCTCTCGCTTGCGTGCAGCGCACATTTATTACTTCTGAAGGGAGGGTTGAACAAAGCACCAGGACCCATAGCAGCGGATTCATGACGGTCGTCAGAACAACCCAGAGGCCATCATCCAGGTCCCATCCAGGTCCCAGTTCCGCCAATCGTATGCGGATAAACCTCGCGCTTTTCATCCATACATTTGTCGCATGGTTTCAATTCCGGGATATCTTATGAGCTGGCTAAGCAACCGGTACCATTACAAACGACTTGTGGTTTAGCTCTGGGAAAAATACATAAACCTCAGGTTTGTTATTATGAACCTCACCTTCGCTTCTTTCAGTTCAGATTTTACTCGTGTCGTTGACGGCCTCTTCTTTCCCTTCCTTCTCTTGACCAGGTGTCCCCTACTTTGCCTGTGATTTCCTCTCATTTCACGCCGGCCGGCCCACACACTTTCGTTAAAATCCTTCTGAGAAGCGTTCTTCACTTGTGGCTATTTAATCATGTTCTCAAAAGTCAATATTGGATTCGTGGCGATACTTTTGCTTGCATCTTCGGAGGAGGTTCTTGGCCGTCTGAGATGGCCGGAGAGAGACAACAAGGCTGTCTTCCTTCACCCTCGACGTTTTGGACAAGAGCATCCAGCTGTTATAGACAAGCTGAGCGCCGCCTGTCCCGGAGAGGTTTGTGGCACACTGGCTGGTGCCGCCATCACTCCCTTGTTGGCCGCCCAGCCAGAATGCTCTCAACAAGATATGGCCGATCAAATCATTGGTACATTTGTTTTCCCTCATGTAACGGACTATATCCGATTCTTCTATGACCTAGATGCCGCTGCCCAGTTTGACGCTGATACGCAAGCAAACATGATAGAACTGGCCGTTGAATATCGTCAGGCAGAGAAGAATACCCCTCCTGTGAGTTTCACCCTCGAAACCTGTTGTTGTTATTCATCTCAGGCGTTGTAGGACTTCTCAACTCAGTCTCAGACGCTTCGCAACTCTGTCTTTTGTCAGACTGCACCTAAGAACTCCCAGCTGAATAGTTTGGTACAAGCTCAGGATCCTGCCAATGATCCTAATCTGTTCTTTGACCCTGCTCTCGGTGCTACCGTCGAATTGGGCTCGCAGGCTAATACATTCCCATTTGGAACGAACGGAACTGAGTGAGTATTCTATCGGCATTTCTTCGAGAGAACGTGATTCTAATTTTCTGTGTTCCTCAAGTACTTCCAGCAGTACCAATAACACATCAACTGTAAGTGCAGCTAGCGAGACCGCCCAAGCAACTGGAATCACCACTGCTACTAAGTCTGCAACGGAAATCACTGGCACCGGCGTTTTGGCCGTAGATCCATGTGTTGTACGTGAGCTTAGTAACACGCGTAAAGCACATCTAACGGGTCTTTGGGATAGTCTGTGGTCACAGTTACGGTCTCCGGCAGCGCGACAGCCACAGCCTCTGGTGCTGTTACAGTTTCCGTCGGCACTTCAACAGGAGCAACACCTACGTCCACGTCGGGTTCTGCTATCGGCAACTTTGGTTCCTGCTCAGTCCCCCAAATCGAATTCGGTGTAGGATTTGACAACCGCAAAGAAACCAGCTTCGAGCCTGTTGATAAGCGTGGGTAATTTTGACCCCATCCATTTATTTTTCTTCTCAGGCGCTCCTCAGAATCCTACAATCACGGTTCTGCTCAGGCGATCGGAATCATTGCTCAGTTCATTTGTGATACGCTCGTTAACTCCTGTGGTGCTGACGCAACTGCACAAGCTACTTGCGCAAAAGCAGAAGCAGCTGTCAACAATGCTCCCGCTGAGACTGGTGGTCAGGCTGACGACTTCAATGCTGTATTTGGCATCACAACAGTACGATATTTTCCCCCCAACCTTTGATGTTATGCTAAGGCTAGATTTCATTACAGAATTTCGCATCCGTGGCCGCTGTTGATGACCAGGGAAATGTCATTGAAGGGACAGGCTCCAGCTCGAGTAATGCTAACACTGGTAGCACCGCCAGCACAAGCGATTCTCCTGCTACTACGGTCGCCACATCCCCAGCCGTGGCCAATGCTACTGCCGTTTCATCTGCATCACAGTCAACATCAACATCGTCCTCTTCAACGTCTTCGTCCATTGGGAACTTTGGTTCTTGTACAACTCCTCAGATCAAGTTTGGCGTCGGCTTTGATGGTCGGAAAGAAACTAGCTTTGAACCTGTTGATCTTCGTAAGTACTAATTCTGTGCCTTCGGCGCACACTTATCACCAGGGCGGTAGAATCATATAACCATGGATCGGCACAAGCCATCGGTATCATCACCCAATTTATCTGTGATCAGCTCGTCAATTCCTGCGGCGCGGATGCTACTGCACAAGCTACTTGTGCGACGGCTGAGGCATCTGTCACCAGTGCAGCCAATGAGACTGGTGGTCAAGCCGACGCATTCAATGCCGTCTTTGGTATCAAGACTGTGAGTCGAGCCAGGCATTTTACTACCGCATTCAAAATTGAATTGGTGACAGGACTTTGCGGCTGTCGCCGTTGTCGATGATCAAGGAAACACTGTATCTGGAACCGGATCTAGTACCACAGTAGCTGATGTTGCGACCACCACTGCTGCAGCTGCAGTGACTACCCAAGCTGCCGCCACATCAACCACGGCGAGTACATTTATCGTCTGACAGAATTATTAAAGTACAACTGACACTAATGTTCAGACTTCCGCTGTAGCTAGCGCGACAAGCACAGCCGTTTCTACCTCTAGTACCAATCTTCAAACCTTTACCGGCGCCCTTGGCGGGATCACAGCTCCAGCAGTAACTGGAACCAGTAATGGTCAATTCCAAGTCGAAGGGAACTCCGAGTTCAAAGACGTTCAGGATGCAGTGGTTCGGTCTTGGTAAGTACACATTTTTCTCCCACGACACGACTGATATTGAATTCTTGACCACATCAGCGACGTTCAAAACAACCAATGTGCTAACGAGGCAAATGCTACTGGAAACCAAGGCGATTTGACTGTCGCTTCTTGTACGGATCAGCAGACTCAATGCAGCGCGAACGCCACAGCGTAGGCTGGAGTGATGATCTTTCTGTCGTAGATACTCCTTTTGATCGGTACATGTATCCATATCTTGTAAGCCGTAGAACATTTGTATGTCACTTTTGAATGAAGCTGGTCTTAACTTTTCGAAATCATGGTGATTCGCGCGCGCTCTCTTGGCAAATAAAACTATTTCTACGATTTCAATTTTAGGTTCTTGATAATAAGTACCATAGATCCTAATCATAACTTACCATGACTCGATCGTTCAAATGCCATGCTTTACCTGGAGACGCACAACGTACCCATACTTTTCGAAGAAACACTGTCACACGTCCAAGATCGATCTCGGCATGCAAACTTCCAAGTCATCTCCCTCAACGTAGCCAAAGTTTGCCTTCATCTCCGGACCCCTTGAGTCCAACACAGACTATTTTAATGCACACTACTTGCCTCTCCTCCAACGCGCAGTAGAAGAGAACCACCGCTTCTTAGTCGATCCGTCTCGAGAAAAATAGATACACAAGATAATACCTCCTCCATGAAGCCCGCATCTCGCCAGCGACGGAGGCGGAATACCGGGCGTTATATGGCAATGCGTGCAAGGAAAAGAGTCAGCGGTACGGAGAGGAACGAGTTGAGAAGACAGCAGGGCATCGGTATGCTTTGGAGTGACCAATAAGTTCAGCTTTCGAAGAATCATGGAGACCAACAGCGATAAAATACAAGTCTACATGTGATTCGTGCTGATACTTGAGAGGAGGGTGCGATTGAAACGAATGTGGTGTAGTAGGTGTTATAAAGACTGTAATATCAGCTGCAGTACAAATAAAACTGGGATTATAAAAATACAGAAAGTGAATGAACGAGATAATATGAAGATATCAATGAGAGCTTGCAACCAGTCCGAAATATGCAATGAAACCCGAATGATCCAATGATCATGCTGCCGCGAGGATGATGCTACTCTCCTGTGTGCCATGTGCCCGTTTCACCAGAGCAGCTCGCCGTTCGGTCTCCCATCGAACGAGCTCGGACTTCAAACGGTCGACACGCAACTCGTTCATAGGATGACCAGAGCCCATGATGCGTCGAGCCAACGAGTCTGCTTTGGTTGTTGCGCCATCGATAGCCTCGGCGTGGGCACATTCGGTAGCTGAGGTGGCGCGTTCTTCCCAGAAGCTGACAGCTTCCCGCACGTCGTAGCCAGCGTGAGCGAGTAATCTAATCAAAAAATGTTAGCGGCCACGATTTGGTGTAACAGACAGGAGGAGTTTACCTTGCAGAGACAATGTCTGCTTCGATCTCCTGCGCGACGCTGGTACAATAATCTCCGACCTTGACTAGCTCTCCAGATCCAACTCTACCTAACTGGGCAAGCGCATCATTGACGAAAGGCCCGAAGAGCATGGTAAAGGGGAATAGAAACACGCGTAGGACATCAGACAAGATGGATAATGTTCCGGGTATGATCACGGTCCCTGATGATAGCGTTTCCAAGTGATGTGACAGTATCAGATGGGAGAGTTCGTGCGCTAAAAGAATTGCCATCTCCGTCTTTTGTCTTTCAGAGGGAATAGGATGTGAAGAGGGAGAGGAACGGAAGACAAGGTCGCCAAGGAGCAATGACCACCAAGATCGCTGTTCGGGGACCGTAAGGGAATCACAAGGAGATCTTGAAAGAATCTCGTCGATGAACCCTGAGTAGACAACGATACCCCCACCGCCGTCGGGACCAAACCCATACGAAAACGCATTGGAGGCCTCCGGTTTATCCACAACCAATAGAGAATAAGGTGGGCCTGCAACAGCGTGAGGTACAGGGGGTGCAGTACGCTCACACATCGCTGAACACATCCGCCGAAGGGTTTCTGAGGCGCGAGGTCGAGGTCGCAAAGGGTATTCTGCTGGGGGTGGTAACGGTTGGTTGTGGGGTCCATGTTCCACCCAGTCGGGACACAATTCTGCCTCCTGGATCAGAACGGGGAGTGTTTCCTCCAAACTTCGTAAGGTATTCCTGACCCATTCGTACCTCCAATCACTGGGAGGTATGTACCGTGTCGGGCCGTCCTGGGCAAGAATATCATCGACTGCTTTATACCAGCCAGGACCCGCTAGCTGGGCAGCTATATCGTCCTCTTCTTCCGGTGATAAGATGATCAAGCGCCATCTAGTTATAGGGGAAGTGAGAAAAGAATTGGAATAAGGGATAAGCATCTGCGTACCGTCCGGTAAGTGGAGTGCGCTCCATGCTGGCAATGATCGTGAGCCAGAACAAGGTCGCTGGGATGAGCAGAAGAACATGGAATAGAATGGTACGGTTGCGTATTCTCCTTAGAAGTTGCGTCTTCTTCTCCTCCGAGGTGGGAATACCTTTGACATCAGCAAATTTTAGGTACTTTCGTGATTTATGATTTTTGAGGATTATAACGGGAACAAAAGTGAGGACAATTCGACCTGCTGTTCGTGCAATCTCAAAGGTCGTTGACGCCTAGACTGGACCAGGTGAGGGGGTATATGCGCGGTGAACACTGACACTCACCTTGAATACCGAGGCTAATAGATAAAACGGAAGGCCTTCTCGCCGTGGCGTCGAATGAAAACCATGAATTGCAGCTATCGCCAACGGCGGTATCTGTGGACGAAGGGCCCTAGCCTGGATGAGAGCCGAGGCTGGAAGCGGTGCTAAAGGGCGCGACAGGGATAGGAAACGAGGAGGAGAATGGGGGCGGGGGTACGGGATCATTGGGGGATGTCGGGCGAATAGACGCAGCATGGCTCATTGTAGGTGAAGAAAAGCAGGATCTATTTGGCCACGAAATCGGTGCCCAAGGCGTGAAACAAATTCGTATATCACGTAAGCGCATTATATATGCATTTTCCCAGAATTGCCAGGCGTTGCCGAAGCCACGTCATGACAGGGTTCCTTCAGGGCACGTTAACAGCCTTTTACTGCGCAGAGATGGACTGTATATCATATTACAGTCAAGTATTGTATGCCACGTAACAGGGAGAAATCTTCGCAAGTGAGTAAAGGAGAAAAATTCAACGCTTTGAAATTGAAGAAATGAAGGTAGCCTCGTTGTAGAATAGTCCATCAACTTGCACCGGTTTATCCGATCCAGGTTCAGTGATCGTCAGCGTCGCAGGATTGAACCACTGATAAAAAGATATCAGATACGGACGGTAGACAGAACGGAGAGACAGATAGATACCCACCTGGTAGATGTAAGGCTTCGTGCCAGCGACATAGTTCACGGCCACCTTGATAGCATATGGTATTTCCGCCAGAACGTCGACCTTTTCAATCAGACCCTTAGGGTCCTCCACATCTCCCACATCCACTGATAGTTTTGCCGAATAGTTTCCTGATTGACCGGGAAGGACAGATGGTCCCGCCCATTCAAACAAGAGTTCGCCAGGCTTCTTGTACCCCGTATCTTTGTCCAATGCATGCTTCGAATGAGTAGCCCTGCATACAGTGTTTGAAGCCGGCCCTTCGTCTTTCGTCCACTTGGTCTCTCCCGTTACGCAGACCAGCTGGCCGTCAATGACTAGCGAACCAACATTGACTACAACGCCCCCTGATCCAGATCCATGCTTTCCATGAGCGTCTGTTGTCGTAAACTCCATCTGAATAGCAGATACACCACCATGCTCGTCACTCTGAAAGTCGGCAAAATTCCATGCGGATGCGACAAGATTGGGCCGCATTCCCTGAATCGCATGCACAAACATGCCCGGCCCTTTGACAACATTAGCCTGCCCCTTGTGAATAAAATGGCCATTCGCATGAAAACGTGGCCAGAATCGATGGACAACATATCCTTCGGGGCTGGCAGGATTGGATCCGAAATAGGAGAAGCCTCCTTTCTCGCCTTTTCCTAGCTTCCAACCGGGAACGGAGGCAGGACGAGAGATCTCGAGGCCAATTTGGAGGTCGGTAGCAAGATTGGCGGTGATGAGGTAGGATTCTGGAAAGTCGGTGCCAGGGGCGTCCTTGTGGGTGATGGAGAACTCATCAGCCTTGCTGGACCGTTTATCGAGACCTGGAGGTGGTGTAACAAAGTTGGATACATTGATAGACTTCCAGATAGTCTCGCCAGTCTTGGGATTGTGCCATTTGCAGGTAAACTGAATGGTCGGATACCAGACACTGAACCAACATCAGCGCAAAACGGTAACGTGCAGGAGACAGACGCGCACCCTACAGACGAATGAATTACTTGGCACATAAGAGAAATGCCATCCTCAGTCGTCGTGTAGAACGTCTGCGTCTCCGTGATGAATCCGCCAGCACAGGCCCATTCTGTGTCCTTGGGGGTCAGTTCGCCAAAGAGCTCATCCTCCTTGAAAGCATCTGACACAGGACGGAAATTGGGCGCCTTGGCGTCAACAGGTGGCGAAGTGCTGATGCATATTAGAAGATACAGCGAGCACGACACTCGATACTCACGAAAAGATGGAGGAGAACATGGTGGTCAAGGATAGAAAAGGTCTTGCCTTCGATCTGCCTTGTGCAGTCTAAATCGCCCTCGGCCCGCGCTATTTGATGTCACCCAGATCAGTCTATTGGTTCTACTCAGTGACTGGCCTTCACTAGCCTTTTCCTGATCATTACTACGCGATAGCTAATCTACAACATGCAAGGAATGCAGCATGTTATTTAACTCGAGTCCGGTTCCATGGCATGTTCTGATAACTTAGGTCGTTTTCTCGGTCGTCCAGGATCATTCCACTCATCATGTCCTTCTGAAACACCCGGGGATCTTGAACGTCCAGGCATCTCCTCCTGTCTTTTCGTGGCATCTGGTGATTCTGTAGCTGCATCCAGGTCCTTGGAAGAATGGTAAATAGCGTTTGGACTAGGGTAACACGACCTTACCGGCATAGTATCATCGAAATGGAGAGCCCACGAAAACGAGTCGTGGCCATCCTCCGCACTAGACGTCGGTGGCTGTACCCCATCTTGCTCTGGAGAAATGTATATCTTTACAAATTTCATGGTCCCGTTTTCGAGAAGGGTCAACAACTCCTTGTTTTGACTAGCCTTCAGGTTGGAGGGATTAACCATCGGTATAGTAGATGGCCAACCCACAAGGGTAACACCGTATGTGGCAAGTCGATCTGGGTTCGTCCATTTCATTTCAGCATTTCGAATACCACTTGTTGTCCTAGACACGATTAGTATCAAAGAAGGCCGTAAGAAATGCACACACCTAAGCGCATTCCTCATTTTTTCATAAAGCTCTGCTTTCAAGGATAGAGCCGGTTTTTGTACAATTTCAAGGTCCGTGCTCGAAGAAGAGCCCTGAGCTATTGATGTCTGTGACACCAGGCGCTTCGTACAATGCAGTCGGAATGCTCGAGCACCCGAATCACCGCCGCCTCTAAGGTTCCTCCAGAATTCACGACCAAGCAAAGATCCTCCAAGAAACCCTTCGCCTGGTTCGGGTGGATCCACAGCAAGGACGAAAGATTCGACGCCAGACATTTCTTGTAGTGTCTCCAACAGTCCAGAGATATCACATAGGATTTTTTTGGCTAGAAAGATGCTTCCCATAAGAAATAATATAAAAAGCAGACAACTGCAGAATTTTTGAAGAAACGCACTATATGCCAAACGCTCTTCACGCGAGACATTGGTAGCTACAGAGAACGGGGCACGCGACTGGAATAGATATTTGCTATGCCATTCTGCGATACTACGTCGGGTCTGACCTTGTTGGTAAGTTCCTACAAGCGGCCCTTGCAAGAAGTGGGTACAACCTCTTCAAACGACCGGCTCTCACGTGCCGCAAAAGTCTTTATATCGGCGAGCGACTTGTCCATAAAGGCCTCAAGGCGTTCGAGGTAAAGCCCGTCGGATGTTGGGTGAGCGCCAGCTAGAGCATCGAACTCGAACATGATGGTGTAAAGGCAACTTGGGTGATCTGCAAATGTGGCGGTTAGACATTTCGCCTTTCAAGTAATATTTTTATAGACAATTTTTCTATCTTGTTGCAGAGGGAAAAAATTCTGGATATCTCCTCCAATCTGCCCTTGTACGTGTACAATAAGTAATCCCAACTTCCAAGTCCTCGTGCAAGAAAATCGCCGTATCCGGCTGGAAATGCTGAGCCAACCTACCTCACCTTCCCTTTTAGAAAATTTCATCATCATCTCTTTTGTACCGACTATGGGACGTACAAAAGTAAAGAAAAAGGCCAAGTCAAAGGCGGTCGACCCACCGCCTCAAGACTTTCCCCAGAAAGGACCCTCCATATCTTCCCTTCTCGAAAAAGCACAAAGCTTTGTCAACCAATGCGACTACGATCTTGCTCGACGGTTTATCCTTCGAATATTGGAGACCGAGCCATCGAATATAGAAGCACAGGAAATGCTAGGCGTAATAGAACTTGAAAGAGGCGATATAGATGCTGCGAAAAGGGTCCGTCCGTTCTTCCTTGCCGGAAGATAATGCTCAACGTTACATCGACAGATCTTCACAGCTATAATATCAGCTAGACAAGACTCTACTGTACCTCCGCCGCCATCTGCACACCTTTGCTTGGCCCAGCTATGCGAAGATGAGCCCAGATTGGCTCTACAGCACTATCAAGTAGCTATTGACATGCTCATGGCCCAACTAAAAGGCAAGGTCAAGGCAACCGGCGATGATCTGGATAACGAGGCCCAAGTCAAGTCAAGTATCGTTCGTGCTTTGATTGGCCAGGTTGAGATATGGATGGATCCTTCATATGATCTGTGGTATGTTTGAATTACTTCTCTGAGGAACGATGATCTTACCGTCACCAAGTTTTGAAGACGATGCAGAGAAGAACTGTGAGAACCTTTTAACAACCGCGCTGCAGACGGATCCCGGAAATTCAGAAGCTCTTCAGTCTCTTGCCTCTGTGCGTATGTCGCAGCAGCGCCCAGAAGAGGCTAAAGATTGTTTGGAGAAGGCCTGGTCGGCCTGGAAGGACCTGGATATAGGTATGTCCTGTTGTTTTCTCGGTACCTGCATCTAATCCAAAGAAATTAGATGATGCCAGAGTTCCGCCTATAGCTACGCGCATATCATTAGTCAAACTATTCCTTGAATTGGAGCTATACGCCCCAGCGTTGCATGTCTTGCATGGCGTCATGTTATCTGATGACCAGGAAGTCGAAGCCTGGTATCTCGAAGGATGGTGCTATTTTCTCATGGCTGAGCAAGCACGGGGGATTGGGGGTAAACTGGAGGATATGACATGGGAAGAATTAGCGAAAGATGCTCGGGATCGCTTAGAGACATGTCAATTGGTATTCTCTTTCCTCAGGCTTCTTTCATTCTCTTATCATCATTTCAGCTCCATGTCAATGAAGGACATTCTGATATACCGCTCCTCGATCATGCGAGGACATTGATCAGCCAGCTGGAAGCTCTTGGTATTCAGGCCTCGGCTCCGCTAGAGGAGGAAGACGAAGACGAAGACGAATGGGAGGACCTGGACAGTGAAGACGGCGATGGCGATGTAGAAATGTCGTAGCAGCTGCATGGAGGTTGCAAAAGTATTATCTATCTATGAATCTAATACTTACCTATCCTTGATCATACCCGGATCCGTCAAATCGTAATGATCGGCGAATGAATTTGAAACGCGGCAGAAGACAGTCACTACTTGCTCTTCTCTTTTTCCTTCTGTTCCCATTCATCCCCTGGAATCATTTTCTCCTTACTATCTTCTACCCTTCGCATGGCAAAGTTGCGTCGGGACACTCATGAATCTCAATTGTTCCCCCCTACAGGACGGCCGTTGCGAATTGTTGCGTCGGGTACTCTTTTTCTGACACACACACTATCCTTACCGTGTCAGCCTGCACCTTCTTCAGTAATTCGCGCTCATTCGGTCGAAAAGAGCCGCGGCGGCTCTGCGAACACCCTTTTATCCCTTTTAGCACAGTTTTCAAATGTCGAAACGGCTCTCGTCGCGCCCCTAGGTGGGAACGATGAAGGAAACATGATAATCCGGGATCTGGAGAAAGAGGGCGTCAGCACGCGATTTTGCAAGATTTGGCCGGGCTCAGGTGTTCCCAGCGCCTGGGTCTTCCATTCCGGTACGTAGTACTCGACTTTATCTCCGGACAAGATTGCTGGACGGGATTCCTTAGTCGACAATGACACGCGAACGGTCGTGAACCACAATCCTTTGCCAGACATAACCCACGAGGAATTCGTCTCAATCCTTGGGCCTCTCTTGGCACCAGAAAATTACATGCTCTTCTCATCGGCAGAGTCCCCCATCTCACCTATGCATCCACCGTTATCACCTTTGCCACCCTCAATGTCAGCCCAATCGTCCCCACGGTCTCCGGGCACCCCCATCATGTTCAATCCTAATAGCCCCGCTCCCTTTGACTGGCTCCATTTCGAAGGAAGGTCAGTGAAGACGACTTTAAGCAATATCACCGGTCTGGACGGTCTAGCACGTGAACGAAAATGGAGGAGTCACTGTGTCTTTAGTGTGGATATCGGCAGAAGAGGAAGGCAGGGTGTAGAAGCCGTCAGTTCGAGCCTTTCCTTTACATTTCGATCCTATGGTTCTGACACTGCTCGTTCTAGTTGATCCCGCACGCAGATGTTCTGTTTGTTAACAAGCATTACGCTCAGGCGAACTCACCCCATTATGCGGCGACACCAAGAACATTTCTGTTGTCCTTCATGAGTATCGCGCCTCCGCATGCATTGTTGGTGGCGCACTGGGGCTCTGAAGGTGCCGCTGTCTTGTCATTACCTACCAGGGAATATTTCCAGAGCTCGGGATGGGTAGAAGATCGGTCAACGGTGCGAAATCCTAATTCTCGTCCTCGTCTTCCTCGAGGAAGAGATACAGCGACCAATACCACTGCCAACTCTAGTGAAGTGAACGACGTGCGGTCTGTGAGAAGTGGAAGCGACTTTTGGGCTGACGCGCGCAGCCGTACGCCTTCATCTAGTGCATTCACAGCGGGCAACTATACCAGCAGTGATGCTCCGAGTCATCTTGGCCTCCCCACACCTCGAGCAAGGTCACGTCCTAGGCCCGGAGGTCGTGATAACAGATACGACACAACTCAGACCGAGGAGGACGACAACGAAGATGCCGATCATGACTCTCAAGGAACAGAAGTTCCTGAATGCGACGATAACGTCGTCGATGAGGTCGGTGCGCAAGATGCGTTTGTGGCGGGAATGATATATTCTTTGAGTCGACGTATAATGCCTGGCCCTCCGTATACTCCAGCATCGGGCGGGGAAGATGTTCGTCCTTCGAATATGGATCATGACAAGGGTCGCTGGAGATTAGATGAATGTCTACGGTCGGTTCCGTTTTTCCAGAATCGACTCGTAACTAACGTGATTCTTCATAGATTTGCCACTGAGCTTGCAGGGCGTAAAGCCCGCCGACGGAACTGGGACGGATTGGCCGATGAAATGGCGCGCGCAGGTTGGTTCGATAACGCTTATTAACGCGACACAATGATTTGGAACGGTATACCATATGGTTACGGACATGCCCATTTTTCGGTATTTGCTGATAGCGTCTATATCGCACACGCTTTCTTTGTTTGCTTGGCAAGTAAGTTCTCTCCATCCCTGGACCCGCACCTGACGTTACTCTTCTTTTCTTCGAGCAGTTAGACAGTAGGTTGCTGCTTTGGCACCGATGTCGCCTTCTGAGTATTTTCTGCTCCGTTCCTTAATCGAAATCGGAAGTAGTGTCTTTCTTGCAATTAAACAAACAGCAGGTCTCAGGAAGTACCGACTGCGCAAAAGCTGTGATTGGAGGCGCTTTCGTTTGCCTCGGACTGCAGCTCTCGACGAGAACTATCCATTCCGTTGAACGCGGAATTTCACTTCTCGTCGATTTCGTGAATTAGATGACATTTCCTTTTGGTTGTTCATAACGTTTACCCATTCCATTACTGGTCGTCTGACTGTAGCTACACATTTTTGCACCTGCGGCACTCCTGAAAATGTTTGATTAATGATATTTCCCCTTGGTCCTTTGTTGCGGTAAAGCAACTTATCGTAAAATTCTTTATGCTCATTCGTACTAGTCGAAATAGGGGAGACAGGACGAGGTCGTGGTCCCGACTGGCATTGGTTTTCACGATTGTATTGATGTTCTTGTCGTTAACATTTCTGTGGGTGATGGATATCGCCGACGTCTTGGGACCTCTTCGAGCGGTACTAGTCGACTCCCAAGGCAGCTTTTCTCAGTGTTTCTCAGACTACATGTACACGGAGCAAAATAATCGGGTAGTCACCGAAACTTTCATTTACACGTTTAAAGTGAGTCAAGTTCCGTAGCAATTGTTTGATGCGTTGATCTCTTGATCTACTTAGTGTAACTTTGATCAAGTGCTTCATGAGTAGCCGAAGGACTGATCTCGTTTGGTGTTGCAGTTCTGATCGGTGATGCTGTCATCGTATGGCGAGCCGGTGCCCTATGGGCCTTCAATGTCAAGATTATAGTTGCTCCTTTTAGTCTCTTTGACAGCCGCGACAGGTCCGTAACTCATCCTCTGGAGGGTTACAAAGAGTGACAGGAAAATCGCCTAGCCATGTCCTTCCTTGCACTGAGAAAACCGGCTGGAAGCTCATAGGTGGAGAACAGGCACCGTTATGCAATCGTGCGCAAGTTGCTGTATTCTTTTTCTCGTTGGGAACAAATGCGATGGCCACGTTCTTGATTGCTTATAAGGCCTGGTGCATTGTCTAGTTAATTGCGCGTTAACGTTGAAGATGATTCGTCCGCAGGCTACTTCGACAGTCATTCATATCTGCCTGCTCTTCACAACATGTCAGGAAGTCAAGGACTATGATAAAGAAACTCCTGATGTTGTTCGTCGAATCAGGCTTCATTTTGTTGGATTAGCAAGCAGGAGCTCCGTCGTATCCCGCCGGCCAAGCTCGATACCCCTTTATGTCGGGATGGACTATATATATTGAATACGGTCTGTCGAGCACCCTCACCGCGTTTCTGCTTATCGCTACGCTGTGTGAGGGTGAGTATCTACTTATATTACTTCGTTTATGTCACTGATTGGTATTCTGTAGTCTACGTTATAGCTAACAGCATAATCTATTAGGTACAGTGAATACAACACCGCGTTTCTGCTTATCGCTACGCTGTGTGAGGTCTACATTATAGCTAACAGCATAATCTATTAGGTGCTACAAACGCGCGTCACTTTCTTAGACATTTATCTTTGCTTCTACGTGAGTAGCAGGTTGCCCGATTTCAAAATGAAATTAGGTCTTATGTTTCTTAGGTATCGAAGAGCTTCACATATTTCCCGGTCAGCACCGCAATCCAGGCTTCAGCCTACTTTGGTTCCACGATGCTTAACTCTGCAGGAAACCAAGTCGTTGTAAGTTCTCTGTTCCTATGCTTACAGGGCAAGGCTTTTCAGCATCACTACTGTAGGGTCTCGACCCGACTATTATAATCGCTATCAATGTTGTACTCCATCAAACAAACTGTGACGGCCCGATCGTTTCCTTGGAGCCCCTCACTGTCAATACTAAGAGTGACGCTAGCGATATGCAATTCGTGACTCGTACAGAAACACCTAATGCCCGCATCTGCTCATATCCACCATTCGTTGAGACCAAAGCATTAAAATCTCAGTCGTCTCAAGCTACACCAACTCGGGAGATCTTCCGTGGCTTAGCCTCTTCGTAGCAGAAATTCCAACGATTCTTCTATCTGAAACTGATATTCGAACATCGGGATGATGAATCCGATGAATCAGCATCACTGTGAGGGCGAGGCGAGATGATAAGAACCGGTCCGAGTCAGTGAGCACTGTAACATGCAACCCCAAGGATTTGACTCTACCAAAGGAAGGAGACCGAGTCTTACGCTCCTCACCTGTCCTTGTGTCTTGAAATGGGTCTTATTCTAAGGTCTGTATACACTGATAGGCTGGAGAAAAATTTGGTTTGATAAGAGTCGGTCCGATTTCCCGAACATCCTCGGAAGAGGCGCAGAAGCTAGGGCTTGCTGCCAGCACTGTAAAGCATGCTTGAGTGGCGGGGCGGTTTGCTTTTCGGTAAGCCTAATGGACCTGATGCACATGATGGAGGATGCCTTTTTTGTCTTTTTTGTTTTCCTTTTCGACTTATTCGTCAGCAGTGGCACAGCGACGGGGCTTGCACTTGCACTTGACATTCTTCCAACTTGACGGACAGCGCGACACTGTCGAGCAGGACACGACAAACGACACGTTCTGTCACTCTGGGCCTTGGAACGACGCCGTTGTATCACGCCTTGAAGGCTTGCTGATAACGCGTGTACTTATTGGTTATTCGTGTGCAACTAATAATTACACGATTATCCCGGCGGCAAAACAGGCCCTGCTCCATCTTTATCTCTCTCTTACACCATCACCACACCACCTCCTGCCACCTCCACAATGTCGAGGCAGCCCAATCTCGAGTCTGTTGCTGGCGACCCCCTCATAAGCAGCGACCTCGCTGCCTTCTCACCCTCTCGTTCTCGTCTCGCACACCGTTCCGTTCTCTCGGCTCTCTCTTCAGAAAGTATGCTTGAGGAACCTTCGGAGCATGAGCCGCTTCTCCGTCCTGGTCGGCCGAGAAAGCCCTTCTATAGAGCAAGGCCGCTCTGGTGCGATACCGTTTATTCTCTATGTCGTGTGGGAGGCCCCCACTCATTGCATATGCCACAGGCTAGTCCCTTTCGCCATCACGGCGGCACTCACTCGTGGCATGACCACTGCACCCCGAGTCGAAGTCTTCACACAGCTTGCCTGTTCTCGCCTCCATCCACATCCTTTCAATCACACTCTTGTAGAAGTGCCATCCTTTTCTAGTGATCACATCATATCTATATCCTCATCTGTGGACCCCCTTGGACCCCATCTCTCTCCTTCTTATTTAACCCAGGTGATACACTTCGACTATACCGCCAATCGCACCTCTGACGACGACCCGCGCGACCTCCCTTCTCCACAATGCCTTTCTGATCCTGCAGTTCAGGCTGCCGCTGCACAGCTTCAAACAATTATGGTCACGACTATGGGCCTTCTCTCAGCACTCACTACAGGTTGGTGGGGTCATTTTGGGGAAAGGCACGGGCGTACGAAAGTGTTAGCCATTGCGACATCTGGTCTATTTTTCACGCAAGCATTCTTTATAATGAAACTTCCCTTTGCCTGCTGACAAGTGCTCTATATTTCAGGGACCTCATGTTTATTCTCGTCTCGACCCCGGATTCCCCCTTGTCGTCACATGGTCACAAGTTATTAATTATCGCTCCCATCATCGAGGGGTTCCTTGGTGGGTGGTCCACCCTCCAAAGCGCTACCAGTGCCTATGTATCCGATTGCACATCTTCTGGATCTCGGGCGACCATATTCTCCCGGTTCACAGGTGTATTCTACGTTGGATTCAGCATGGGACCTGCCATTGGGGGTTGGATAATCAAAAACGGTATAGGCACGCGATCAGGACAGCCAAAGTCAGTCACAGCGGTATTCTATCTAGCCGTGTTATGTTCCTTCACGAACCTTCTCCTTGTACTCTTTGTGTTCCCCGAGTCTTTATCCGCTGAGAAGAGAGAAGAAGCTGCAAGAGAACATGCTATGACTCACTCAGCCAAGGGCAAGGCCAGAGATTTGAGAGGGCAGGACTCGGGCAACAATGACCAAGGTCCCAGCACTTCTTCAGACGAAGGAGTCTCGGAGACCAAGCGTTTTGCCATCATTCGTAGTTTCTTGAGTCCCTTGTCTATATTCCTACCTGTGACCATCATAGAAGCAGAGGGAGACAGAAGACATCGAGATTGGAGTTTGACCATGTTGGCAGCAGCGTTATTCGGGTATATGCTCTCAACGGTTAGTTCAATAACATATCGGCATATTATTGCAAAGTTCGGCTGTACTGATCGCTTTGAAATGTAGGGCATTTACCAACTCAAGTACTTGTACGCTGTTCACGTGTATGGCTGGGGTGCCGAGCAACTCAGTTATTACATCTCTTTCATGGGTGGTGCTCGAGCCACATTCTTACTCCTTCTTTTGCCTTGTACGTTATTTTTTTTTTTTATCTAGCAGTACAATCGTTGATTATCCATGTAGTCTTCATTTCCGTGCTCAAGCCGAAAGTGAAAACGCCAGCCAAATCTTCCAACGGCAAAGCTACGAAACCTAAATCAACCAAAGCACACCTTGCTCGGGAAATACGGTTTGATCTGCTCCTGACCCGGATTTCGTTTGTCATCGACATATTGTCCAACGTGCTTGTGGTGCTATCGCCAGCGCCCATATACAAAGTGCACACGTCTTCCTCTCCATCTTCACCGGCTTCGAGACATAGTGAAGCACTATTCGTAATGGCCAGCTCATTAACTAGCATGGGATGTGGTGCGGTGCCGGCGGTGCAAAGCCTCGCTTTATGTATCACCCAGGCAAGAACAATCATAGAAACCGGGGCTGGTCCAGAGGATCAAGCCAAGGGCAGTGCAGGTACTGGCAGGTTGTTCGGTGCATTAGCTGTTCTACAGGCAACTGGACAAATGATCCTCGGAGTGAGTACCGACAGTGTGACCCTTGATATGTGCCATGTCTAACGAGTCGTTGGTTGTAGCCCATGATATTCGGTCTTGTCTATAGCGGCACCGTTGCCACCTACCCAAAGGCGATATTCGCGGTTGCCGGAGGATTCCTGGTGGTTGCCTTGATGGCGGTGATGCTTGTGAAGAACCCGGTAGATTTGTTCAAGGGGAAGAAGAGTATGAGGTGGGTGAAAGATAGCAACGAGGAAGTAGAACGGGGGCGATCAAGGGCAAGTAAGGACTTGTTTGGGGGACAGACACCAGAACCGTCTGGATCTGGTTCGCATCATTAGGTCGCAAATAGTATGCTTTTCTGCTTAGACTTGGTATGTAGTATGATAAAGACTTCCAGTGTACTATAATGTCCATCCGGATATCATATTAGAACGTTCTGTATTCTTGCAATTCCTGAATTCTCACCCGGAGAGCACAGGCGCCCAGAACATTGCACGGCGGCAGCTTCCGAGTTGTTGTCACCAGTCTGGGGTTGGGCCACATCTCAACGTCAACATCCGGCCATGTGCAGCGCATGCTTTCACAGTAATGCGAACCAGGAATGTTAGGCATAACTCTGTACAAATATGGGGAAATTTGGGGGGGGGGGGATGGTAGTGAGGTTTGTGTGAAACCGGAAGTTAGTAAAGAAAGGAGAAGGGCGTTTTGTCACCAAAAAGGGCCGAGTAAGGGTGATGACAAATACAGCGCAACAAGTTTCAATTTGCTTGATAGCAATTCACTTTGACCTCGACGTTCACTACTGCTCGTTGTCGTCGTCTCTCACAGCCAGGTCAGCATGCAAAACGCAGTCGCTGGCCCATCTCGCGCCCCGACGCCCCCGCCGCCATCGATATCTGGCCCTGTCCCTCTCTTTCTCCCTCCACCAGGTGCGCCTCTTGTTTCCCCTCTTGCATACAAACTCACCCGTTCATCTAGTGCAATATCCCCCGGCACCGGCCCTTTTTACGAGCACTGAAGATCTTATATCCCATTTTTGCCTCCTCGATGCCTACGACAAGTATGTACGACCATTCATATCTTCCGATGACCAAGGTGCCAATGCACCACCGACACCGTCCATATCACATCCACTCACGCCGGGAGGCCCTCTCGACAAGGGGAAGGGGAAGGAAGTGACCGTTAACACTCCCCTCGCGCTCGCTCCACAAACGCCTGCGGCGGATCCCCAGGATGGCGATGACGATGATCCAGGTGGCAAGGGAGAAAAGAAGAAGAAGAACAACACCTACAAGCATCTCATAAAGGGCACGCCTGGTGCGTTGACTACGCTCTTATGCTGCCATTGTGTACTAATCGCGTGTGGCGCATAGGCAAACATTCAATGAAGAAGGACGACTACCTCACATCGTTGATCCTGGGACCAGGCAAGGAGCGCATAAAGATCACTCCCTTTGACCTCAAGACCCAGCGTGAGGCGTTCTCTGTCAGTGCAGAAGGGCTGAAAGGCGTAGGTTCCATTTCAATTTCTCGAATTCTGGAACTGATCCGTGCAGTGGAATCCAAACACGTTGATTCAAGAATCCATTCAAGCACGAGAAGACCGGAAGAAACGGGTGCGTTCTGTGTAACCAATGTATTACTTACCACACTCATCTGGCCACAGAAAGAGCTAAGACGTCTGGCAAAGGCCCATATCTCCGCCTCCGCTTCTCACACCCCACAGCCAACCCCGACTCCCATTCAAGCACCTATACCTTCTACGCCCGCCTCTTTAGCTGCACAGCGCACAGGCACCCCGCGGCCCGTAAGCGCCGTGCCCCGTCCCGGGAGTGTGAAGCCGTATCTTCCCCCAGTGCAGGTGACGGGCCTGAATGGAAGAACTAGTGGCGGAACGCCCCGGACAGCCACACCACACCCACTCAGTGCTCCACCGGTCAGTGCGAGTTCATTGGCCGCACAGCAGCAGGTGCCGAGAGGGAAGAAGAGAGAACGGGATGATTCCGTTTCGAATTCGAATAAGGGAGCGCCGCCGCAGCCTCAACCTTCAAACATTCCCCCAAAGGCCATCATAAACGCCAAGGCAGGTATTCCGGGCGCACGGCCGAGACCGATAAAAAAACAGCGAATGGTTCGTCTTTCTATCCCTTTCTCTTAGGACCTCTGCTGATGTCTGATGTAGGATATTCAAGGCCAGTCAAGAGATACCGGCCCTATGCAGCAGCCTACGCCACAGGGCGTTTAATGGTGTTGTGTTATCTTCCACCTCCAAATTCTTCTTAATCTTGTCATCGCTGCATCTATACCTTATTAACTTTGTCCTTACTCTTGCATTCCGTCATCCTGCACATAAAACAACACCTGCATGCATTGTTACTCATCAGCAATATACATTCAATTAGTTCCGTTAGACTCCCTGTTGATGTCTTGATATCTCGCTTGCAAATCTCATCACTGATCGTAAAATGCGTGCGTAAGAGTACATAAGCGACATGAAGAAACGAGACAGAAAATCAGTACACTATCAGTGACATTGGTAAGTATCAGTATAATAAGTAGACCGTATGCACGAGGCCCACACAATGTAAGTTATAAATGTGATTCTGTTCCGGGGTATCCAAAAATAAATTATCCCCTTCCTAGATTCGTAACGCTCCGGTTGCTGATCCCTACATCATAGCTTCTCCTGCCTCCAGCGGCCAAGCGGCCATCCTCTTGTGCAAGTACAGTCGTGCTAGCATTTTTTTTGCTATCCAACGACGTTAATCCTCCCTTCATCGACCCTCCATACCGTTTAGCGTCCAAAAACGCATTTCCAGCAACAATCGGCATACTCAATCGCCGCATCCAGCCACCTTTACTTTTCTCTCCAGGACGAGTTGGGATTGAGCCAGATTTTGAATTCTTGCAAGTATCACAGGTGCAATGAGCCGGATGCAGCTGATTAAGTGACTGTCCCGATCTTTCAGGATAGCTGTTTTCCTCGCTACTGCTTCGCAAGGTGCGGGTTGATGCGGGAGGTGCGAGAGAGTTTGCGTCGTTACTCATCAAAAAATCTCTTTGTCTCTCCAACTCCTGGGACTTGAACTCAATTTCCAACTCTCTAGCACGAAGTGTCTGTTCCTTTTCTTTAATTTCTAGCTCCTCGAGACGCCGTTGACGACGTAAAGCGTCATCAAGCGCTGTGGCGTGAATCTGGAAATTTGGTTGTGGCGGTTGTGGTATAGGTATGGCCGTGGGTATCGTAGATGATTCACGGAATGCTCTCGGAGGACTTCTTCCACGGAATGACGCCTCAACTTGCTGAGCTTGTGAGAAAGTGCCCAGAGAAGGTAGAGTACGAGCGATAGGCGGGGAAGAAGCTCTGACTCTTGGGGATGAAGGCCCATCACTGGGTTGATACCGGGTGGCCAGATCGGTTACGCTCATCGGTAACCGAGGGATATCCCTGGACGGAGGAGAGGAAGCGCCATACTAGCAACATGGTCAGTTATTTCATGGGATCTACGAAAAGATGGACTACGTACATCGTATGAATAACGGTTGCGCATCGCAGCCACGATACTACCACTATTCTTTGCCGTGTTATTTCTGTCTACGCCTTTGCCTTTCACACTGTCAAGCCCTCGAGTTGGAGGCTTGTAATCGGACCCAAATTCGCGCTCATCGTATGACAATAGTCTCGAGGTATTTAAGGAGTTGGGCGAACGTTCTGCTACAGTTGCTGAAGGGTCGTCCAAAGTTGGCGCTGTTAATGACCGCATAGGTGTCGAATGTCGAAGACCGTGATTATGGCCACCTGGCGCGCTTACATTTGATTGATTGTTTATATCAGAGTTGTCATTGAATTTCTGTTGAGGGGAAGGGGGGCCAGAGACAGGTGACGACGACACCGTTTCGCCGGTGATAATCTCGTCCCCGCCAGGAATGACGTCGGATGGCCGGGACAACGTCGGGAAACTAATATGAGATGCAGATGATGAGTGGGACGACTGTTCCAGAGAAGGTTGCTGTTGCCGCTGCGAATTAATGGGAGGAAGAGGGAAATGAGTAGGAGGCGCTGGGAATGCAGACAACGATCTCACGGATCCCGTATTAGGATCCAAAAATGAGCGGATAGGATTGTCAAAGGAGGAAGGCGGTGTCGACTGGTTCTGCTTCTGTGTAGCTGTGCCTTCCGGCGTTTGGGGATATTGAGGCTGGTTGGGCGAAGATAAGGGTGATGGTTGCTCCCTTTCTTTCTCGTATACGGTTCGGACCCCAGGATGGACTTCTGTCGGCTTCTGCGAGTTCACGTCAATAGCTTCGGCTTGCAGACACATTGGCGGCGAAGGTCGTTCTTCATCGGATATGCGATTTACTGGTTCACGAATGGTTTGCGACGGCGGTGGTGGTGGCTGTGTTCGAGGCTGCTGTTGAGCTGGCGCACCGAGGTCAGGCAAGTCCGGAGGTATAGGACCTCCCCAGCCCCCTTCGCAAAGAGCCCTCCATTCACCCAAGAGCCCCACAGCAGGTGCATATCGACGAACTCCTTCACAAGCTCGGAGCCATTCAGCATCGGCTATGCGGGACATGCATGCTGCTACACTGAATGTCGTAGATGTATGCCGCTGCGTCACGAATAAGGCATGGTTGCTAAAGAGAATCACTGAATGCATGACCGTTACAAGATAAGTTTATACGCACTACTTATCCTGTGATATTTCTGGTGCAAGAGCGCTGATGAGAGTAATGTAACGCGCATGCTCGTCACTGGCGTCGCGAGCGCTCTTCTTAGACTTCTTCTCGTAGACTTGGCCTGGTCAAGGGGACCTTGTCGGAGGGGTGGTAACACACAGTTGAGAATGATTTACCTGCTTGCTTAATCTTGTCGTTGGCAGCAGCGATTCTATCGTCGCAGGCCTTCTCCTCTTTCTGTAACATGACAAATGTGAAGTTGTTCTTATGTAGGGGCGTTACGGCGCACGTACGGCAAGTTTCTTGAACCATTTTCTGACCTCGCTACTGATTCCTTCATATTCTTTGTCAGCTATCTTTGCAAATTTGGCGTCGATATCGAATAGAGCCTCAAAGATATTGGCACTAGCGCTCAGCGTGTTGGCTAGAAATGAAGGTCAAGGTCGACCCTCAGAATAGCCAGGGGGAAGTAGAGCGGACTAACCAGCGATGTCGGTCGTAGTTTTCAATCCAGCGCTTTCACGAAGAGCCTTCACCAACTTCTTCTGCAATATCACAACGGCTTCCGCAGCCTCACAGTAATCGCTCAAGACGCCTAGCAAGGTTTCCAATGATTTGCATGACTTGTGCACGTCCGCTCTGTCGTAGGGATGTTGCTGGCCTGGATTGCTGGCCATCCGCCTCGTCGTCGGCCGTCGTAAATAGAAGAAGGTGGCGGGGGTAAGAGCCGGTAAGTAGAAAGGGGGTGCGGCCCTCCCACGCAAATCCAAAATGGAAATTCAAACGAAATCAGACCACGTTTTGAACGTTTGTTCCTCCAGATCTCACTACATATATCACTACTTGGCCTCGTCATCATCAATGTATTTATTTATATTCCAACATCGCTTATCATACAAACAGGCACACGTCTATGAAACAATTCGAATATTAATGAAGGCCAGCCCACAGATCTTGACCCTTCTTGACCGCCGATCACGATCGCAGTACTTTTGAAAATCGAATCGGCAGCTTGAGCGTATTTCCTTATCGATTGTCATATAGGCAAATCAAAGTCAAAATACCGGCTTCGGACTGACCTACTAATAGTCTAAAGCCTAGGGATGTGTATCGCGCCTTACCAGACCTTCATAATCGTCTCTGTTTTTCATGACGCTTGTCTATATCCTACTATTACTCTATGGACCAAATAATTCCGAGTACAAGTTCTAGTTCTAGAAGGCGATGCATTGTGTCATTTTGCAGTGCTAACCAAAAATCTACTGATTCGTAAGCACTCCTCTGTAGCGTAATCTGCCCGAGCCTAATCGTTCTATGGCCTCCGTAATACCCTCAGTCGTCATAGGAAACTTTTCAATTATTGGACATATGTTGTTGCGGGCGGAAAAATCTAGCATATCGTTGCTAGAGAGAGGTCAGAACGGCTAGTGCCAATATTGACAAACTATAAATCAAGCTTACTGCATAACTCGTTCGGCGAGAACTGTTCCAACAACCTCGATCCCCTTCCAGGCGAAGGGCGTGTACGGTACGCCCATCATGTACTTGGGATCAGTCACAGTCAACGGAATGACGGTGGCTTTCGGAGCTAAGATTCCGAAGTACGACTCATAATCCACCATTCCAGCCGTTGTAACGATGAGTCTGTTGATAGGTTTCGACAATCCAATCTGCGACAGATCGTCAATACCTTTGGTTGCGTAAAATTCATGCGTCCCCAGGCTTAAAGCCTCCTCCCGCTTCGAGTTAGTGCCCGAGAAGACAACAACGTCGCAGCCCATTTTTGCTGCGAACTGAATGGCAAGATGTCCCAAACCACCTATGCCGACGATGCCAACCCGGTCTGTGGGTTTACAGTACTTGATTAAGGGCGTGAAGACGGTGGAACCGGCGCCTGAAAATTAAGACGGTTTGTTAGTAATCACGCCTTGAGTAGGATGTACGTACACATGAGTGGCGCGGCTTTCTCAGATGACAGAGCATCCGGCAATTTGAAGAGCCAATCTTCCTTCCAAATACCTAGTTCCCCGAGGGAACCTTGGTCAAAATTGGCCGAACCAAAGCATTTCTTCATCTGACAAAAGACCTCGTTACCGGTCTGACACTCTCTGCAGCATCCGCAAGTTTCATGCATGTATCCCCATCCCACTCGATCCCCGACCTTCAAACGCTCACAAGATGGACCGACCTCTTGAACGATACCGACACCTGCATTATCCCATTAATATTGAGTAGCACTTCTTCACGTTTCCACTGGATATGATATAAGTACCGACCTTCATGACCAAGTACCATATCTACGTTCAAATAGTGCAAATCCGTTCCGCATAATCCACTGTGTGTGACCTTGACGACAACATCGCCGGGAGAAAGCTCCTCCCTAGTGAAAGAAGATTCGACAATTTTGCCAGAAACGGAGCCTCGGAAAGTTTTGCCTTCGTAGACCATTATCGTGGGGGTTTGAATGTAAACTGCACCTGCGGGACTTCCTTTAAATATATCACCGAAATCTCTCTATCCATGCCCAGCATGCTTCGACAGCTCCAGAAGCATAGCTGGAAACGGCCGGGCAGGACCATCTTCATTCCGGTCCTTATAGAACCTGTCGCAGTAACAATCGTGTGCTAGTCGGGTGGCTACCGGCCTGAGGCCTTCAGTCCTGACGTCCAGAGACGAACGTTCGGCTAAGACAAACGGAACCACGTTTATCCGGTATAACTATTCTACACATCTAAGCACAGGGTTGACATCTGAAAATAACATCAACAGCGAAGAACTCGTACATCTAACAATATACTTCTCTTTTACGCAGACAAATGACTTAATCATTGCTTCAAGGATGTTGCAACTTTGCCAAGTCTCCTTTCAACTTCTTCAACACATCTACTTCGGCCTTAATCTCCGCATCCAGCTCCTTCGTCTTGGGAGTTTGACTCTTTAGAGCACGAACGACATCTCCCTGCTCTCTTATCTTCACCTCTAGAACCAATATTTCTGGCGTCTTTGGTATGTCCGCTGCGGGTGCCAGCGGGACCTTACTCTTCCCCCTTTTACCTGCAGGCTTTGACGCCTCCATTTCAGTGGCGCTCTCCAGACCCCCGAACCGGGCCCGGAATTTTTCAGCCATACCCTCGTCAATCTTTTTGAACAGATGCTCGGTCTTACCAATGATATGACCAGCAAGGATATCGGTTGAAAGTGCATCTGGAACGGATCTCGCCGGGGCGTTGAGCTGTTCGAGAATGGCGGCAGCCGTTGCAGGCATGTAGGGATACACCAAAGTGGATAGGACGTAGATAAGGTTGACGGCACGGGACAGGACTTTTGCGCATCGGATGGGATCTGAAGTCATTAGAGCCTTACCAAGGCCCGAGGATTGCAGATAGCTATTGCCGCGGATGGAGATGAGCATGATGGTTTGGAGACCTAAACGAAGCTTCACGGATTCCATGGCGTCAATGTAATCCTTGAGTAAGCCGTTCACGTCTGAGATGAAGTCTGCATCGTGTTCATCGTTAACTGAAAGTGGGCCTGGCTCGTCCCCACTTTCAGGAATGACACTGTTGTATTGCGATGACACGAATTTGAGAACTCGATTGACAAAGTTGCCAAAACTGGGTTTAAGATTAGGATATGCTGTTGCAGTACGAGGAAGGTACGGACTTGTTTAACAAAACATTGTTGTTTGCAGCAATCTGTGGATGAGCATATGAGATCTATCCGTAAATGCGAACATCAGAAGGACTTACACAGTCCGACCATGAGAACATAGAATCGGCTGTCTCTGGTCTTGTAGATAGAAGGTAATACCTCCAGACCGACGATGGTATGCCTGTCTCCTTTGCAGCTGGCCCAAAGACACCACGATTACGGCTTTTAGAGAACTTTCCGCCTTCATAGTTCAGATACTCTTGAGAATAAGTCAGCCGACCTCGTACGCGACTGGGTGCAAAAGGCATAGTTTACCAGTCGTTGATAAGTGGTGCAGGGTCGTCCAATTCCTCCCATCAGCAAGTTGAACAGAAGGGAAGTAGACTGTGTGGAAGTACACATTATCTTTACCCATGAATTGATACAAACGGACATTCTCAGGGTTGAACCACCATTTTTCCCACTCTGGTGTGTAGTTGGCGCTGATACTTGGGTAACCAATAGGGGCGTCGAACTGGAAATGTGTTAAAGTGTGCACTTGGGTCCAAAATTAGAGAACTTACCCAGACGTCTGTTGAACAGAAAGCGTGATTAACGACGGCCATGAAACACGTAGATGGACCTACATAGAACTTTCCCCCTCATGGATTCATCTTCCGCCGAGTCAATTGGAACAGGCACACCCCATTTCAGATCTCGTGTGACAGGCGTGGGAAGCAATCCAGCCTTGACCCGCGCGTCGACTAGCTCGCCGTCTCCATTGATAACTGAGTTGGAAGACCATTTCCCTTCTTTCCAAGATTTTTTGATCCACTCCTCCGTCCGAGGTTGTATCTGGTCCAATTTAAGGTAATTATGGGTCGAGACTCGCGTTGTTACACGATGATCTTTGTTGACCAAGCATCGAGGCTTAATTAATTCAATCGCGTCCAGCGTCCGGCTGCAAAGGTCGCACTGATCACCACGAGCATCCTGGGTACAAATGTAAACATAGATGTAACAACAAAAAAGGTCCATGTCAAACCTCATAGCCACAATGCGGGCAGATGCCTTCTACAAACCGATCTGCCAAAAACCTGAGAGGTGAGGGAATCGAAATTTTTATGAGAGCATTTCAACTCACTTGGGACAACCCTCACAATAAATCTGCTCTTTATCCTGTTTCTCCAAGAAACCATTTGCTCCTAAATTCCGGTATATTCCTTGACATATTCTGCGAAACCGATTAGATCATGTAAAAGGAGCCGGGCCTTTACGTACTCCGTATGCCATGGAGTCGAAGTGCGTCCGAAATAGTCGAATCTAAGACAGCAGTTGGTACTCGAATCCAATGAAAGAACAGGACATTTGCGAACCCAATGTCAAACCACTCGTAGGTTTCTTTGTGGAGAAGATGGTATTTGTCACATAGCTCTCGCGGGGTTATATGCTCCTTCAAAGCTTGAGTTTCCGTAGCGGTTCCGTACTCGTCAGTCCCACAGATGTATAGCGTTGTTCTATTTCTAGTGCCTATCCGGACATGAAGAAGGCCAAAGAATACACAAAACCGGCAACGACGTACGGTTATAACTGACGCGAGAAATTAGCCCGTAGGTGAATGAACAAAGAACGAACTCACCGACTAAAAACATCAGCACTGAGAGTACTCCCAATAATATTTCCTACTGGGTGATTAATTGCGTTCACGAGACCATATTCGAGGCCTCTCACCCAAATGAGGAACGTTGTTGCAGTATGGTAGCGCGGACGTAATCAAAACATTGTTCTCCCCTTCCTTTGGCAGCCTGTACAGGCCGCATTGTTAGCTTCACGGACAACCACTGACATCCAGAAGCACCATACGTCGCAGGGTGTCCTGGAGGGGGAATGACCTGTAGCAGACCATCTGCAGATCTGATTTTTTGGCCCGACATGGTATACGGCAGCGTCGAGGTTGATGACAAGGGCGATACGGCAAATCGATGAAAATGACTCGGAAGCCGCAGGCAAGCATGCTCACATAGCGCGGTCTGCCACGTGGCTCACACGCAACACTCGTCCTTCGGATGACGCGATTGCTGACTGACTGCACGGCCGATGCGATAACGCCTTCCCTTTCCTTCTTCCATCAGTCCGCCCAAGTTCCAGCGCCATGAACGTCTCTCGCTGGCTTAAGTGAGTAATTTCCGCTGCATTTCCCAAATATTTCGCCTATATTTGTTCCAGGAAGCACTGGGAACCGCTCACAAGTCTACAATCTTCGGCCTCGAGAGAATTTACTCCTACCGCTGTTATTTTGGGTCTCCTGATAGGATGCTTGCTGTGCTTTACGAATCTTTACTTTGGGCTGCAGACCGGCTTCATTAGCATGTCCGTCAATGATGTATTTGACCAAAGCACTCGCTGAAGATAGCTATCTTAGGATGTCTCTACAATCTGCCTTGATTGGCTTCCTCATATCAAGAATGCTGCCTGACCCTCTCAGCGCCCAAGAAATAATTGTTGTTCAAACTACTGCCGTAGCAACAGGAACAATGCCTCTGGCTGTCGGTGATTCAACGCAGCCCGTTGACTATGTAGGCTTACTGTACGTACAGGCAGGTTTTGTTGGCATCCTTCCTGCCTTGGGACTTCTAGACGAGGGGCGAGATGGATCTCCCCCCATCCATCTGACTTGGATAGCTGCCGCAGGCTGGTCTTTTGCTGTTGCATTTTTTGGGTATGACCAGCATTACCTGCTTCAGCCGTGGCTAAATAATAGTTGTAGAGTGTTCATGTCCCCTCCAATCCGAAAGCAAGTGGTATGATGCTAGTGTAATAGAAATTTTAAGATACTGACTCACCTCGCTAGATTATTGAAGAGCAGTTAGCGTTTCCGTCGGGCACCGCTACTGCCCATCTCATATCTGTGCTACACAAGTTGCCCCCGCCGGAAACGGGGTTGCACCGACGAACTGGCTATGAACGTATCGATGATGAAGAAGTACCCGATCCTTCTAGTCCCGCCATAGACCGGGAGGAGGGTGCGCTAGTTGCGCATGAGCAAGAAGTCGTTCAAGGTACCGGTTGGCAAACGTTGTTGTGGAGTTTCGCTCTGTCGGGGATTATGACAGTATGACAGAATTCTAATCATTGCCCTGATTTCCCACTCACATCCTACTCAGCTCATAGCGTACTTCTTCCCAGTTATCTTTTCTATTCCGCTTTTTGGAAACCATCTTGCTAAAGAGTGGTTATGGACTTTTACTCCCAGTTTGTCGTATGTCGGTCAAGGTTTGTGCATTTCCGACGCGGTTTTTTGGACCTTGATCAATAGCTGTAGGGATTATAATGGGTTATCCCATTACCTTGTCGATGAATCTGGTATAATTTTCCTTTATTCTTTCAATATGCAGAACGAATTGACTGTCATTGCAGGGCATGGTTGTTGGTTGGGGGATTCTGTCGCCTCTTTCGAAGCATCTAGGTTGGGCTCCTGGACCAGTCGGTAGCATGACGGACGGTGCTCGGGGATGGATTCTTTGGGTATCCTTAGCGATAATGTGTGCTGACAGTCTTGTGTCCTTGGTTCCCGTCATATTTGGTTATGCCAAGGAGATGATTGGGACAAATCTCGGAGCTGGCTCTTATTCAGATTCTAAAGAAGATAATGAAGTCGAGACAGCCGATAGGCTCGTACCCCTGAGTTGGGTTATTATAGGATGGAGTATCAGCATTATTCTCGGGACGTTCTTGGTCTGGATTGTGTTTGGTCATGAAGGAATCAAACCTTGGGCTACCTTCTTGGGTTTTGTTCTCGGGGGCATGCTCAGCGTACTAGCGTATGTGATTTTAATTCTGGTTGAGCACATTACTAATTATTCGTTGCAGAGTACGCGCTCTCGGAGAAACAGATATCAATCCTGTTTCCGGTCTAGGGAAGATTTCGCAGCTCTTCTTTGCTTGGATACAACCCGGAAACATCGTAGCAAATATCATAGCTGGGGGAGTAGCAGAGGCAGGGGCGCAACAGTGAGTACCTCGTCCTGTTGCATAGCTCTACACCTAACAGCGTCAAGGGCTGGTGATCTCATGCAAGATCTGAAGACAGGGCATCTGTGTCACGCATCTCCAAGGGCCCAATTCTACGGTCAATTAATTGGATCAGCATTTTCTATCTTGGTTACAACAACTGCTTATACCCTATATAATCGGGCATATGATATCCCAGGACCCTCGTTTCCTGCACCTACGGCGTATGTTTGGTTAAGCCTGGCGCGACTTTTGCGTAAGCAGTATGTCTGAACTGTTCTTCTCAGCTTGACTTCTCGTAGGTGACGGAAAACTTCCGGAACAAAGTAGCGTGTTCATGTTTGCTTTTGCCATCATATTCGGGGCTGTAGCAGCATTTAAGACTTATGCTGCTCGGAGGTATCTTTGGTACAGCAAATGGATACCATCCGGTGTGGCGTTTGCTATTGGTTTCTTGAATACGCCGTCTTTTTCGATAGCACGTCTGATTGGCGGTGTTCTCGAGCATGTGTATCGCACTCGATTCACTAAGGACAAATCAGACATTCGCCTGATTGTTATTGCGAGCGGTTTTGTACTGGGCGAGGGCGTTACGAGCATTGTATCTTTGATACTTCGGACATTCGGTGTCGGCGTTGCTTCATGCTGGGGCTGCGGCCACGGTCTGTGTGGGGGATGTCCTGTATGATATACATCACTTGTAAAATATAGAAATAGTAGAGCCGGCGATCGGAACACGTCGGTGCCACGACATCCATACTGAACCATAAGTAGTAGACAGTGGCACTTCCTAAATTCATGCCATCATGTCTCGACAACAATTAGCGAAAATCCCCTCTTTGACATTTTACAAGGATGAACTGACGAACTCGCGTCGGACTGCCCCGATATCGCAGCTGACTTGTGTAGGGAAACCGTGTAAATTATACACGCCCGACGTTGTGCGCTGCACCAATCTAGGAGGCACGGGTACAGATGTCGACTGGAAGGTATCTTTACACAAATCGCTATTTGGCATGCGAACGATTGACCGAGAACAAAGTGCGAGGCCGACTTGCCGGAATCCTTACGGTTCGGTAGAGTGGAAGTTCGTTCAGCCTTCTCATTCTTTTCCTTTTGACCCTCAGCGATGGTGTTCTCAGGTTTCTTGTGAAGGGTGGACAAGCCCCGGCGACTCTTTTGTTCTCAAAGGTGCGCAACAAACAGAACCTTCTGTAATAATTGTCTACCAACTTCAGCGATCTTTAGGATCCTGCGGATTAGAATATCGTCTTGTTCACGTTCCAGGTTCTCTGAGAAACCCAGAGTCGCAAAGCAGCATGAGAGATTGGTTTCGTTGTGTGTACCAGTTTCTGCTTTATTTTCGGTATCTTAATAATGTGATGTTCCCAGCTCTCGATGTTTCCGAGATTGTGTTCAGTATTCTCTGGACCGCTGTACTCGCATTGATAACATACAGTTTCCTGAAATCATGTTTTGGTCAACCAACAATCACCAACCGCCGGCCACAAAACCATGGCCCCTCCGGATGGTTTCCCGGGAGCTACGGTGACGATTATGCCCCTCCTCCCCCCTACACGAAAAGTCCTGCAGATCAAGGTTGGAGGCCAGGATTCTGGACTGGAGCGGCTCTGGGCGGCTTGGGTGCTCACTTCTTTAATAATCGGCGTCCACGAAACGAAGAACCTCCGCCCCGTCCAACAAGACGGTTCTGGGACTGGGAAAATAGTCGGGCATCTAGCATTTTAGGAAGGAGGGGAGCAAATTACGAATTTGAAAATCGTGGAGAAGGGCCGTCGAACCTCGGAACGATGAGATCTAGTACGGGATTTGGTGGTTCCAATGTCAGATGAAAGAGGTGAGGATGATGCCTGTTTGTCAGAGTACGAGCTCTGATCCCTATTTTTAAGACTGAAGACTGTACTTTCGTAGCGACAGATATCTACGCTGGAATAACATGTATTTTGACGCCTTTCGACGACATGATGAAGAAGGGCGGAGACCATGGGGAATCTTCGGTGATAATATGAGGCTTGAGCTCTTAACGGTATATTACCCCAGATGCATACAACGCCCGGTCATCCCAGGGAGAATTCCCCCCGAAGTCCAATCGCGTATGTAGCGGAAGAATGACCGGCATCGCAGATGTCCCGGCTTTCGATACAATTTTCCGCGAGATCGACGATTATATCAGTTGTGTTTCCGAAGCCACTATTTCTGCACGGTGTTTCCGACATGCCCTTCATGTGACAACTAACCGGGAAACATCTCGGTAGTTTGACGGGTAGTCGCTTCTTTCCCATTTCTCATCTGCAGTCGAGGATACTATTTAATCGCTAGGGAGCGATTGCTCTCTCCGACCCAGTCTTCACCATGAATTGCTTGTCTGCTTTCGTTTTCGTCGCCGTTCTCTTTTCTTCTTGCCATGCGGCCATTTTGCCTTCTTGCACTTCCAATGAGACTGTCTCCTCCTCTGCTGGGACGTGTAGCGGAGACTTGGCTAAGTTCGAATACTTTGGTGTTAATGAATCTGGTGCTGAATTCGGTTCTGATAATATACCTGGAGTTTTGGGGACCGATTACATTTTCCCATCAGAGAGGTTCGCTCCCCCCCTTTTTTGCGCCCAATTTCGTCTTTCTGACAATAGCCTTGCAGTTCAATCGATGTAGGTCTTTTCTCGAGTACTGCAGCCGAATGCGCTGACTTGGTACCAGTACTTCGTTGATCTCGGCTTCAACTTCTTCCGCCTTCCTTTTCTGCTGGAGCGGCTTGCTCCTCCTGCCACCGGAATAACAGGCGCCTTCGATGATGACTACCTCGGCCTGATTAAATCAGTCTGCCACTCTTTCTTACTATCACATTGATGACACTTACCTCTCGACGTCCCACAGACTGTGGAATATGTCACCGGAAAAGGGGCATACATCGCCATAGACCCACACAACTACCTGATTTACAATGGAGCTACATTGACCAGCACCTCGGAGTGAGTTTGAGTAATTTCAACGCCAGTTTTTGCACTAACTTGATTTATTTAAGTTTCCAGACGTGTAGGTCCATCTTCAATTTTTGATAGACAACATGTAACGTCTGTGTTTAGTCTGGACTAACCTCGCAAATGAATTCGTGGGTGCAATTACACACACATGCACACCTGCTTACCGTCTGAAAGGTTGACAACGAACATGTTATCTTTGGTTAGTATATATCACTACTTCACTATGACAACAGTTCACGTAACATGATGTTTATAGACATCATGAATGAGCCTTATACTGTTAACGCCTCCGTCGTATTCAACATGGTATGCAACCGAAAAATCAGTGTGGTTCGATACTTAGCTTTACTCGTTCTAGAACCAAGCCGCTATCGACGGTATCAGGTCTACTGGCGCTACCCAGCTCATTCTTGCTGAAGGAACATGTATGTGACTATATCCTTTCTTGTAACACTACTAATAATCTCGGCGTAGCTTGGACTGGAGCCTGGAGTGAGCCCGTTCGATACACCTTTGGTAACCGCTAAGCTGAATTAACATTCAGCATGGACGACCTCTGGCAACTCGGACTATTTTGGTAACATTAAGGATTCTGCTAACAACACCGCTATCGGTTAGTTGATCTTGCAATATTCTAGTCCATCTTGTTTTCTGAAGACATCATTTTCGACCAGAGATGCACCAGTACCTCGATTCCGATGGTTCGGGCACCTCCGCAACCTGTGTTTCTTCCACTATCGGTGCGGAGCGCTTGGCAGCCGCGACTGCTTGGTTGGAAGAGACAGGCCTCAAAGGCTTCTTGGGTGAAATAGGAGCTGGATCTAACGACGTTTGGTTTGCTTTCACCCAATGCTCTCACGAGTCGAGTGCTTACAACTTATTCAGTATGCAGGCTGTCTTTGGTGCCCTTTGCTCAATGCAACAGTCCGGTGTCTGGATCGGTGCCTCCTGGTGGGCCGCGGGTCCATGGTGGGGAACCGTACGCGCTTTCTATCATTTCATTTGATGTGCATTGACCGCCTGCCTCTTTTTGTAGTACTTCCAATCTATCGAACCACCCAGTGGTGCCGCCATTGCTGACATCCTCCCTCAGTCTCTGGAGCCATTCTTGTGAAAGGGTTTACCTCTGGATTAACATAGTTTACATAATAGCTACAGGAAGCATTCAAATTACAATTGACCGATCTCGTGACGAAAGAGAAGATTGTACGTTCATGCTTCTCAGAGCAGAGCAAGAAAGAACACCACACAATTTCTCTTACGACAAATCACGGGGATCTTCGCTATTCGAGGGCCCAGCCTCTTCAGAAGAAGAAACCGTCGTATACGGCACTGCCGTACCACCTGTGGTTCGGACCAAACTTAACAAGAAGACAACAGTTGCCAGAATCGCCGCTGCGAGACAAAAGATCGCTTTAGGAAAGTACGCGACAGTTGATCCGTATGTGACGGCATAGATAGTGGGCTTATGAATGATGAGAAAGTAGCGAATTTGCTCGGGGTATGATGTGCTTACCGATATCGTGTGGGCTATAGCAGACAGCACCGCCATTGCCCCAAACAAAGCTCCTGACTCGGAGCTGTGCCCGCTGGCATGCAGGCATACCGCCCCGAGTGAGTGTGCGGCTGGGTTACCGCCAGACGTGAACGAGTTCAAGCACGATAGTACTGTGAACAATGGAGCTGATGCCGGTGTTATCGCAACCAATCCATCTGCCAATCCATCAACCGCAAATGAACACTGAGCCAAACGCTTGTCGAAATGCATCTCAGAATAGATGGAGAACCCTTCTGATCCGGCTTTGGGCTTGAAATAGGCAACAATCACTGACGTTAGCCTTATGTGAGCGAGTCATTTGCGGCACTTGACATGGCACTTACCAGGTATTATAACGAGAAGATTAATGGCTCTCGACACCCACAGAAATGACATGTAGAACCCCAGCTAGAGAAATCGGTCAGCAGACGCACTTTGCTATCAAAGCAACTGACATCAGAGCTTGACCAAGAATAAATATGTTTTGCATAAAGGTATTTGATTTGATAGACGCCCTATGATATCCTCGATGAGGGTCAAGTGTTATTCTTGAAGCTTCGTGACTCACAATTGAAATCAGGTATAGGAATAGGCTGAGTCCAACGAAAGTCAGATTATAGTCTCTAGATGCTCGTCCTACACGGGTTCGAGGAGCGAACATAGATATTGGCGAGAGAAGGGTTTTGATGAATTTTGTCAAGTAGGACTTTATTGACGGCAACGTTAGCCTCTTCAAGCTTGACGGCGATAATGTGGGTATATGTGTATCGTCCACGGTCTGATCATTCTTTTGAAGAGATTCCGGACAGAAGAATATGAGGTAGCATTGAATCGCCGCAAGGAGGAGGACGCTGACATAGAACAAGTCGTAAGTGTTGTTTGTGAAGAGAGTCATTATAATACCGCCGAACTGCAAAGATTAAAAGTCTAACATAAGAAGCTGATTGAGCAGAAGGTCTTCTCACCGACGGCCCGGCAGCTAGTCCAATGAAAACCAGTCCCTGAATGGTACTAAAGATCTTGGAGCTGGAGAAAACGACATCAGGCCAGAGGTACAACAGGACAGGGATTGGAAGTACCGAGAACCATGCTCAGTGCAATCTGAGATGTACCTTGAGAAAAAACTTGGGTTTTAGTTGTAAAAAGATGGGAAGAAGGGTTACGCATGAAAAAGCCCATTGAAGGCTGAGAGACCTCCCGACAAACCATCAATAATGAATCCCAGCATCAGAACCTGTTCGGCATAATCGTAGAAGATAGTATTGGGCGCAGTGGCGAGAAGGAAAACTAATTCCCTACAAGGACACGCCTGAATACACAGATTGAGAAACTGCAATGGCAACTCACAAGCTCATTGCACCGACAAGGTTGGCGAACAGAATAGGCTTGCGTCCAACTGAGTCGCCCAGCCGGCTCCAAGGACCAGTGGTAGTGGCGCTTAGGATGCTCATAACTGTCGTTATCGCTGTGAGAGTCAATCAGTGAGGACTAGGTAACACGAATATTTATGAGGGGAAGAATACAAGCTTGTATTGCCGCCGCACGGGATTGAACTGCCGGTGACGACGAGCAGTCTGTGAAGGTTTCCAGGGTGCCTGAGCTGGGGAACGGTTCCTCAATGGCACGACAAGCAATGTCAGTGTAAACTTGAATTCGTGGAGCCATTGTAAGACCCCGCTACAGTCAACGGTGATAAGGGCACAGATGCACCGAGACTGTCCATGACTCACTGCCATTGATGCGAGCATGATGACCGGAATCAGCCTGAAGGGTATCAGCATGGGACAACCAGGAGAAAACCTACTGACCAGTAAGGATTTGCTTTCCATTGCCTCCGCTGGTGAGGCCGGGGAATAAGCGGGATAACCTCGAGAGCAGCCTCAGAAGAGTTCATGGTAGTAGCGAATAGAGAACCAAACTTGGAGAGATTGCAGCCATTGCAAGGGCATCGCGGCAGTCCCGATATGGGGCCTGAAGGTGATGAGAAATCGTACAGGAAACTGCAGCAATGACTTGAACTACGAAGCAAAAAAAAAGATTAAGTTTATTCTACGTTCAGCGAGCAAGAAAAAGTCAGAAAAATATATGCATGGGAGCCTGAGCAAGGCTGATTTGCTTCCTACATACAAGGTTCACTCCCAAGGCATCTGATTATTTAATCAGATATACGTGTATCTAATCCAGGTCACCTGACTTATCAGATAAGACAAATGTACAACCAATTACGAGTAAAATAATATTATCCACAAAAGGAATGTACCTGAATCAAGGCCGTCTAGTTACGACTAAAAACTAGAAAATGGATGCCCTGACAGGCTGCCCAGATATAAAGAGTCACAAGTTTCCATAAAAATGCACAGATACAGAATTCGTAAGGAAGTCAGGCGTGGAGACTATCACATTTGCCCTCATCGATACCATTCCGTAGAAAATCCTGCGTAGTCGAACCGGCGGCGGTCATTTTGTTGGAATCAAAACCACGTAAATCGCATTTATATCGCCGGCGGTGAGTGTCTCAGAGAGCCGCCGGAATGGGCCGAGATGTGCGGCAGTGTGACAGCGGCTGCAACCGTTCTCTTCTTGACCTCCTTCTCTTCTTTAACCTTCTTCGTATTCATGGACAAGCCAAAGCGAAAGCGGCTTGCAAAGGTCAGTTGTCTCTCTCTGTGCAGCACTCGAGTACGTATCGACGACATCTTGACAGGCCTGCGATGGCTGCCATAAAAGCAAGAGGAGATGCGACGGAACAGGTAAATTCTTCGGGTATTGTACTCTCACCGACTAACTCGTCCCAGATCCTTGCAGTAATTGGTGAGAAGTACCCTCGATTGGGCCGTATTTGTCTTATATGTCGCCAGCTACTTCGCGAGCAAGCCGTGTACATATACCGATTCCAGTGGCCGCCCTGTCCCGCCCCCCCGCCAGCCGGACACGCAGCAAACGCAGCAGTATCAGTTCCCGCAGCCCTCTCAGTCGTACCCAAGCCCTTCGGGTCGCAAACGTTCCCATTCCGAGGCAGCTCCAGAGACCTTGGATCCCTTGATGACGAGGGAACTTACGAACCGTACGTCGTATGCTCTTCAACCATGTTTCATTGCTCAGCTGACCTTGCAGTGTTTTTCACTCACTGTCATCCGGCTATGTCGATAATCCACAAGCCGACCTTCACCTCATCCCTGTCACACAATCAAATCCCCCCATATCTTCTGCACGCAGTATCTGCCATTGCCGCTCCCCATTCCAAGCAGGCCTCGCTTAAAACGACGCCACAACGACATGCAGGCAGGAGGTTCGCTGATGCTGCTATCTCTCTGATGTTCGACGCTGGCGGGCGTCTTACCGCATCTGCCACTGTTCAAACTGCTCAGGCTCTATGTCTGCTCTACTTTTACGAGGTGGTTGATCAAAAAGGCTACATGTCTGATACTACCCGTAAGGATAAAAGCCATTCCGGGTGGATATCAGGGGAACGATTCCGCACCCTGACGTTGCAAATGATCCAAGCCCTCAACGTTCACACCCCGGAACATCCCCTTCTCACGCCAACACCCACTCAGGCGTATGTCTCAGAAAGTCTTGAGCGTGAATGTGTTCGGCGGATATTCTGGATTATTTATTTCGTCGATTGCATACGCGGCGTGTATTACGGATGGGAAGGCGGTGGCATGACACGGTCGTCTCCAAGTGGTAGGGGCCTCAGTATTGGTGGTGGTGTCATGGGCTTTAGCGAAGCCGAACTTCGACTTCGCCTACCAGCCGATGAGACTAGCTTCGAACTGGGCGTTGTCCATCAAAGTTTGCCGGAATATTTATACTTGCCCGCCGTTCGCACACATTATGCCTCAGAGATGGGGCACTTGACCCGGATCGCGACCCTCTACCAGAAAATAGAGGCGGCTATGGACACGCTGCAAGATCCTCAAACCAGAGACATACTTATGGAATGTCAGAAATTTTTGGATGTAAGTCTTTTGCCAGAGAATATCTTACTCAATGGTATTCATGTGGATCGTAGGAATGGGCGTCTGCCCTGCCTACTCATCTTCTATTCACGAATCAGTGTCTCACGGTTCAGAAGTCCATGTTTGAAACAAGCTCCAACTTCGGTGCTTGGTGCTATGCTTGCATCCATGTTCTCCATGCCAGCTGTGCACTTGCTTTATTAGTAGTAAGTTCCGATTCATCTCTGCGAGAGCCGAAAACTGTAGTCCAACTTGGTATTCATTCAGGCAACACAAAGGTTTGCTGAGCAAGATCATCAGCTATTCGAGGTCCCAGATTTCAGCTTTATCACGGATCGCATATACGCAGTCATTGAGATGCTCGGTTGTAGGGCCAAATATAGCCTCATTCGTGCGTGTATGCCTGCCATTCATAAAACGACGCTAATTATTACACAGAGGGTTCAGTGATATGGGTACATACACTCCTTGTATCTTTATTTATTGATGATATTGAGCTAATGGTCCCCTAGCCTTTGATCAAATACTTGAACCTAACGGACGACCAGCAAGTCGTCGATTGGCTCGAAGCTTACGAAGAGCTGACGGGTGTCCGTATGGAGAGGCTCATACGTGACAGGTGGGGTACTCCAGACGTCTGTTCCACCTTGGGTCTCGTTCGGCGACAGGGCCCTTCCGATTCAGCGATGTATTCCACACCCAAACCTGATCGTCGTACAAATCCCGATATTGACCCTACGCTGCTGCCCCTCACAGAGCGGAATAACTCCGCCGAGCTACCCATTCCCGTCTACGCATCGTCGTCGTCACACACCGCCGCCCCCCAGTCACCGTCAGCGAATCCACATTCTCACTCTAATTATCTTCCGTCTCTGAAGTCTAGCGGTTTACTTGAGTGGAGCAACGGCCCCTCTACTAGTGCCTCTCCATTGGTAGCACCTCTGGAGCGGAGACCGTTTGCCGGTCCGGATGCAGCCAGGAGTATGCCAGTAGGCATGCCTTGGCTAGCCAATGAGTCGAGATGATTTAATTGTATTGTTGCCTGGTCGTCACTCTTTTGTATTATATGTAATGTATACATGTTCTTTTATTGTTGCACTTAGTAATTAGTATGTATGCCCCGCAATGCAGACTTTCGGAATACGATCGAGTGGAATTCGGGTTTCCGGTGGACTCGGGGGCACCGTTTTGGGCGAAGCGAAACATGCGGTGACGCCTATTTGCATAAATGTCCGGCGCTAGGAGGTGGTCCCGTTTCAGGGAAGGCGAATTTTTGAGGGACGAATATAGCCTTGGCCTTGTGCTATTTGCCCTTGAACTCTGGTCTGATGCCAGAGGAACCAGATTTTTTTTTTTCGAAACATTAAGTCCGCCAAGACCATTTATATCTCGGTATAGATCCTTATAGATCTCGTTCTCGCACCTAAAAGCTCCGGCAGGGTGCCCCCTTCTACTCGGAGCCCACCCATACCTTATTGCTATCAATGAACCGGTTCATGATGTCGTCACCAGATCCAACCCAGAAGTCTAGATTTTCGAAAATATATTCGGTCAATCTTGACCTCAAGAAAAAGGTGAAATCGCGCTTCATTTCGCTTGGGAAAGTCATTGGAAATTAAATCTACAATCGTCTCATAGCTTGCTCCGCGTTCAGCGGATTGACATGAGTAAAATACTTGAGTAGAAGAAAGATTTAATAATCCTCGCTAGTTCGTCCGAGGGCAAGTGCGTCTGCAATCTTGAAGAAGATATCAATACTGTTGTCTGTAGAAGCATATGTGACTTGATCAGAAACTTCGAGGTTGGGCACGTACAGACTCCTCTGAATGCTTCTGATCCTGGGCCATTGGCAAAGACAGAAACATCTACCCAAAAATGAATTGGAACCCAGCTAACTCGCACTTTATGCACTCACCGGTAAGAGAATGAACGCCTTGTGCTTCGTCGGTAGGCAGACTTCCATCTATTAAAGACATTAAGCATCAGACCTTACATTACCTGACTCGTGGCTACTTACTAATGATGTAACCTGCGTTGTTGACCAAATCAAACGACTGAATAAGAAAAACAATAAAATGGTATACCATGGGGCTGATCGTAGGGATTGACTTCGTAGCTCCCGTCAGTGCCTTCAGTAGCAGGTAGACGAGGGCCAGTCTTGTTGATGCCATATGCCTCACGGCTGTTACAAATAATTAGCACAGTGGGGGCAAGGGCAGCGTTGTACCATTCACTGATCAGGGAATGCGACCACACCGGGCTACAAATGCACAAGGTAAGAACAACACAAGAACCGAACGATTGAAGGCACATACAACGTAGGCGTAGCGAGGCGCCCAGTTGACAGGGAAATTGGGTCCTTCAGCACCATAGACAACGGTCGCGTTGTTGGGCAGGGAGTCTGCCTCAACGGTGTATCCACTCAAGCCAGAATTCTGATACACACCAACTGAAAAGAGAGGTGTTAAATCATTGAGGCCTGAAAAGACATAATAGCTTACTCGCGCTGCGTTTCTTGCGGTCGGACGCTTGGGCGGCAAGATATTTGGTGTCGGCAGAACCGTATACGTCCTATTGAAAGATGTGGATGTTAGTAGGAATTCGACCAAAAAGATGACGGCGTACAAAGCCATGACCGTGGTCCGCTGTAACAACGATGAGAGTGTTTTCGTATTCGCCAATGTCCTTAAGGTCTAAAACACCGTTAATGCAAGTTCTTACATACTTCGGCCCCTACTTACGTTGCATGGTTGCTTTAATCGTATCGTCAAGTTCCAAAAGTTCCCCAAGAGCGCGGTCGTAATCCAGAACATGCATCATCTAATAGCAAAAGGTCCCGATTAATTGCATATGGTTTTTGCATTTAAGAGTGACCTTGTCGATGCTTGCAGCCTCAGACCTGATACACAGAGATCAGGAGATGCACGGACAATATAAATGGGTCTCCCTACATCATGAACCAACCACTGTCATTAGCCTTAGAGCGCTCCTGAAGGATATCAATGGCTTTGAGGGTCATTTGCTTGAGACCCGGTTGGTCGAGAGCATCAGTACCGTCGCCAGATGGAGAGTTTCCGAGTCCAACAAGGTTCTCAGGATAGACCTGCACAGGAATCAATATACGCACGATGCTAGTGACGAGCTTCGCTGCTGACGTTACGGTCAATCCATTTGGCCCTATGAAAAATTCATCAGATCAGGTATGGCAACTACGGTGCTACATACAGATTGCTAGCTGAGGTAGGAGATTAGGGACAGGAAACGTGAAAAAGTATCCCAAAGACGTACTGCAGAAGATGCCAAGTGTCTTAGAATCGTTTCCGGCAGCCTGAAGTTCGGTGTTGTTGTAGACAACCTGGTATCCTTCGGACGCGAAGGCCTTGTAAAAGTCCGTGCCATTTGGGGAGCCGTCCCCAGGGATGAACTGTTCGGCACCAGCACTAGTAACAAGTGTTAGAAGGCCGCAGTTAGAAGCAACTATATACCTGCCCAAAAATGACGTCAGGACCTTCGCAGCTCGTGGGCCAGTATATGTCCGGCGTGTAGGCGGAAGGACCGTAAAGATACTCGTATGCGATAGCGGCCAATTCATCACCTGTGATCAAAGCATTGTTGAAATTTTAACGCAAGCAGTCAAGTTACGTACGAGCACGAGTATGAGCGCATAACGCAGCTGTTTAATGCATTAGCGTTGAGCAGGAATAAACAACCGAATATGTAACCTGGCGTGGCATCTGTAATGAAAGCCGTGGACACCATCCCAATCGGGCCTCCAGTCCGTCGACGGAACAGCTCTGCAATAGTTTCGAATTTGGGGTCATCGAATGGATCCTTGGACTGGACGCGATCACATGAGGACAAGAATAGACTAAAGCGACGAGTGTGAGAACTGGATCCTTACACTGTCAGCATATACATTGAGCGCGTTCACAGTTGATTTCTTTCCGGAGTACAACGCAGTGGCCGAATTAGCAGAATCGGTGATAAAAGAGTCAATCGAATGGGTCATTTGGCTGGAATGAAGCAATTCTTGAGATAAGGTCGTGGGACGAGAGGTGCACTCACTGTCCCAGAGCTTCCATCTGGTCCATCTGCATGAGGGATTGATACACTCCATTGATGGACTTGTGACCAATCAGACGTGCAGCGGTGATCATTGACTGGGTCATGCCTAGAAGCCGCTTGACACGGAGTGCGCTGGTGATCAGAAACTTGACGTACCATCGCCGATAAAGAGGATAACGTTCTTGGCGGCTTTCTCTTTAGTCGGTTCCCGAACGTACCAGTTGGCAACGGTTTCCCAGTCATTGTAGTACTTTAGCTTTGCCTTGTATGATCCGGGGGTGTAAAGGGCAAGCTGATGTTAATAATAAGCTGACAGAAAAAAAACTGGCAGAGAGAGACACGTACTCCGCGATACGTTTTTGCAGCTACGTTGACTACAGACGGTGTGTCGTCGTCCTGTGCAAACAGATCCTCATAGTACCTGCAAGCATGACTCGTTGGTGGAATACTCGAACGACAGCCTAGCTGAAACCCACGTGAAGTTGTAAGTATCCACCTCGGTATCGTGGACGGAGAAGAACGTTGTCACGTCTTGGCAGTCACCGTCGTCACTAGCCTGAATGCAAAAGGTGAAGTTCTGGTCTGGGACGCCGGCATTATATGCCTCAGTGCCGTTGACTGGTGCGTGTACTTCGAGTCGAACGTCGAAGTACTGACCAGCGAGGAAGCTGGCTTGGTCCGGGGGAAAGACACAGCCCAAAGACGGACAAGCGCCGAGGCGGGTGAAGGTCTGGGCGGAGACACAGGTGAGGGCACCGACGCCAAGGAGGAGGGCGACTGTTTTCCCTTGCATGGTAGAGCTAAGCCCGAGCACAGACATAGGCGTTATATATACGAGGACTTCCAAGAGGAACACGAATGCACGTTTGCAGCAGAATTGTCGGCCTAGCGCCGCAAGGAATTTGATAAACATTTAGGCCAAGAAAACCGATGGAAAGCAGACGGAAAATACAGACTTTGGCTTGGCTTTCAGTCGCAGCCGTCCATGTCCCTGCGAGGCAGACAAACGTGTGTCTACATCACGCGGTTGATGCGTCATTGTTATTGACTCGTACTTACTACATATCGTCTACGCTCCACTGGTAGCTCTCTTGTCCCTTCCGTTTCACTTCGTTCTTGCCCTGGAACAGTTTCTTTTCGAACCCGTTACCACGATCTATTCCATGAATGAGTATTAAATACAGATATTGAGATATAGTATGCGCACCAACACCGTCCCACCGGTACCCCGGCTTTATTCCAAATCGATTTGGTGGCGGCGGAGGTCCAGTATATTGAGGTTTCCGTGGTCCCTTTGAGCGTTTCTTCTGTAGTCGAATTCAGTATGTTTTCAGGGAATAAAGGTGTATCAGCGCACCGTTAAGAATGCAGCGGCGGGATCGTTCCAAAGTTCCTTGGCCATTTGCTCTGCATTCAGGTCTTCATCGTCTGCATGACGCGCAAAGTTCTTGGTCCGGAGCCTTTCCAGCTCCTGCCTCCGTTTCTCTGCCTCGTCTCTCTGCACGAGCCCTTTACCCCATTCCATTTTCTGTGCCTCTTTCTCCTCTTTCTCTCGTTTCTTCCTCGCTGCTTCTGCTCGTGCCGTCTTGGTATCTATCTTTCTGCCAGTAGCATCACGGTACACCGTTTCCTGCGCCTTTGCAATATCCTCGGCAGTAAGCGACTCCTCTGGCTGCGTTGTCGAATTGACTTGAGGCAGAACCTTCTTCAGTTGTCGAGCAGTAACCAGGCCGCCAACAAAAGGAGTGTCCGTTTCTACAACTAAAGGCTTCTCATCTTCAGGCGGTGGGGGTGTCGGCTCTCTTGTTATGCCCGGATTTAATGTCGCCCAACCTGAACCCTCTTCTCCCATCCTCTTGCGCTTCTTGAATCCTCTGTCCTTCTCAATGACAGCTTCCGACAAATCTTCGTCTTCCTCTTTCGCGTCATCACCCCAGCCGCCGTCATTGTCTAGAACAGTGTAACCACTTGCCTGTATAGTCGAGATTTCGTTTGCCTTTCGTTTCTTCTTCTTTTGAGGGCCAAAACGTGACAGAATCGCGTCCGCTTTCGGTCCGGACATATACTTTTCTGCCAAGTACGCCTTCATATCCGACATGATGGCAAGTTGACTATAGTGCTTTGAAGGATAGTAGTGGTGTTTTAGTCAGTCGCGTTCAAACTCCGCTGTACTGATCGATCTGATTCAGTGCATTACTACGAAGTACCAGCTAGTACCAGTTTTAGCTCGTCAAAAATGAGTCCTCTCTGTACCTTTTCGTTTTATAGCACTCAAAACAACGGCATAAAAACCGAAGCGGTAGTCGAATCCTTTTATGGTCTCATTTTAGGCTATCAAAAGCTAGTGAGTACTCAAGCTCAAGTCTCAGACGATGCGAATGAAAGTCGGATACATTATCACAATTCATTCAGCACTAGCAACTACTTCAACACATCAGCCAAGTTCATAGTGACTGGTGCATTATCCATGAAATCCACGTCACCTTTCTCCAGATCTGGTTCATCAGAAAAGACATCAAAGGAATCATAATTAACATAAGCGAGGGAATCATCAGGCGGTGCAGAGTCGAAAGTCAGACGTTGTTGGGTCAGAGCTGTTGTACGAGGGCGAGGGCAAAGACGGGTACCACGCGCGGAAGTACTAGGCCTTGAAAATTTTTGAGATCCTTGCGTTTGTGTAGCAGTGCGTACGGTTTCCAGAAAGCTCCCGAGAAAAGAAGCCAACGGTCGCATCGGCGGTGCGGAACTGTCAATTGCGATTGGGAGAGCAGGTAATGTTTTAGAAGTAGAAGCATCATCAGACATAGACCGTGGAGAGGATGTGGTATAAGAAGAGCAAGGGTCTCGAATGTCAGTTTGAAGGTCGTCAAAGCGCGAAATCTGTGGTAAGGGAGCCTCCGGATCGATTTGCTGGGTTTTGTTGGGACAAGGCATGTTGCTGGCTGGCCGCACTGAAAGAAGTTTCTGAGAAGGCAGAGGTTCTTCTACAAACGTTAGAGATTCACGATCTGGAAGTAATCTCGTTGGTCTATATTCGCGTTAGTTGATGGCCGCGACCAACAAGGTATAATCTGACTTTGACCTGGGTTTGCCTTTGTTGCGAGAGTAAGATTCCTCCGCAGCATGGAGAGGGACGAAGGATAGAGGAGGACATGGTAAGAAGTTGACGTGGGATTTACGAGCCAGAGGTTCTTTGATAGGCGAGTGGCGGTGGATAGTATGCCATTGCGTTAATGGCTGTCGTGGCTTGACCCTGACGGGACCATCTGCATCCAGCTGCTTCAATTTCGGGCCTCGAGGGAAGGGTGTGGTTTTCTTGGGATCAACGAGGCACCACTGACGACGATTGCTACTCTTGCCATCAACAGATGCTTTGGCAACGATTTGAAAATGGAGCGGTTGACGGGTAGTAGATGCGTCCACCATGTCTTGCATGAAGCTATCAGAAGACTCTACGACAGTTGTGACGGCCGCTTGAAGCAACCTCTGAGCGATACTTTTCTTTGGTCTTCGGTGCTGAGCCTTGTCGAGTGAAGACGCATACTGCATATTTCGAGTCCGACGCATCCGATACTGCTTTGCCCATGTTTTCGTTCTTGTCGTTGTCAGAAATTCGTGAACGGAGACTTGGTGTTCCTTAGTGAATGCAATAGGTGAGGGTATGGGTTCTTCGACCTTAGGACGAGGAGTCAGCGGCGCATCTGGAAAGGGCAAGTAAAGGACGTGCTGGCATCTGATCAAGGTACGTCGATCCGCCTTTACACCACCACCACTTACTCGTCGTAGCTATGGATCCATATCGCCTTCAGATCCTAAGTTATCTTCATCTCGAAGTCGAGCCCCAGACGAGCCTCTGTGTGCCTACGATTTCCCCGTCAGCGCGCCCAATCTTGCTCTGCTAGGAGACATTGGCTGGATAAGAGACGATCCGACTGTTTGATTGGCTGCGTGCTCAATTGGCGCGCTTCGAAACGGTGTTCTTCGCGTGTGGAAACCACGAGCCATACGGTGTCGACGCTACCGTGAACGATAGTATGGACCGAGTACTATGTATCTTCCAGCAGTCGTCGTCCGATAAGCTCATCCTGCTCGACCGTAACCGATACTCACCATCTTCGGCTGCACCCTCTGGTCTACTCTTAACCCAGACTGCCTCGATATCCTCTCCTGGAGTGACATCGACTTCAAGCGGATTCATCGTTTTGACGCAGCTTCCTACCTGATACCCTTCACCAGACCGACTTCGCCTGGTTGTGCGAGTCTGTCGAGACTATTCGTCGCGACGAGCCTCACCGTCGTGTCGTCGTGCCCATCCACCACGCACCCACCATCAAGGGAACTGGTGACCCAAAGTACATTGGCGGGCCAACAAACTGCATTTGCCACCGAACTTACTGAGCTCCTCTGCTGGACTTGGCCCGTGCACATATGGGCCTTTGGTCATACCCGTTGGTGGCCGAGCGAAATGTCAGAGTATACGTTAATCAACGTGGCGCCGGTGGTCCAGGGTTTGACCCCAGCAAAGTGGTTCTATTATAAAGGTGCTATGAACAGGGATTCAACATCCCGAGATCCTGTGGAGCCGCACAACTTCAATGTTCGACAAGTAATAAATAAGATACGCGACCATAACCACATCCTATTGTATAAGAATCATCCAAGCCAGGATGAAGTAGAAAAGGCTATGGATTTGTCACTTTTAAATCACAATAGAGCAAAAAGCGTTACTGACAGTAAGGGGTAAACTGCTAAGAGGATCCGCTGTGCATCGATTTTTGTTCCATCGAGGAAATTGACAGATGCTACAAGAATCATAGCATTCATAAAAGACTTGATGGAAGGACAAACAAAACCTACCCCATACACACCAAGCCCACGCCACGAGGGCAATCGGAGCGCGCACGTAAATAATGCGCACGAAGCAGGAAATGAAGGCAGCAATATCTAGAGGCGCTATGCAATAACCTAATACGCACAGACCCTGGAAAAAAGACCTGCAGGAAAGCTACTGAGCAACGACCGTATAAACCTAGGAGAGAAACTCACACTCGACCACCAAGGAGCTATCACGAAAGAGGTTAATATCATGGTTCAGGTGCCTAAGCTTACTAACCTTGGCTTGCACCGTAACCGCTAGAGCACCCAGAGAGCAGATTACGATAACACTGGTAAATATGCCCAATGACTGGCTGGGTGGCGCCTGCCATGAAGAGACATTAGACATGCTGAACATTGAGGTAGATAAAAAAAATTGACGTACGTTCACGCTGAGCATTATTCCAAGGAAAAGACAGAGTAGCAACGGGCCCCATAAATCCCAATCCCTGGATAATTTAAGCAACAAGATATAATGTATGATAATGATTCGAAGCACCTTAGAACTTCACGGCCTGTAGTCCGACGAGGATACAGAACTTGCACAAGTTTTGAGTATATTGAAAGTAGATCTCGTGCCTACAAACATATAATGAACAGGCGGCAGCAGAAAACCTTGTAGTCACTTACAATGGTAGTCAGGACCGGCTCATCGAGGGTGTCAACACCGGAGTATCTTGAATATCATTGAGAAGGCAGTGAAATATTTGGATTGAACGACATACCTCGTTTCAACTTTGATACCACCAACAGTCTGGCGTGCTCCTGGCCGAGGCGCACCTCCGTTTGCAGAGCTGCCTATGTTCCCAGAAAGAATAGGACTAGAAAGCCGCCCATTGCTCGAAGCGGGGGCTAATTGGTCAGGCTCCCTAGCGCGACCCTTCCCTTTATCTGATGGTTGTGGTGACTGCATAGATGGATGAGTGAACCCCGGGATGCTCTCCTCATCCAGGTCATCATCATCATCTAGAAAAAGAGATAAGGAACGAGGTAAAAGCTCAATACTCTGCATACCCGCTTGAATGAACTGGGAGTTCGCCGTCAATGGTGTCGTAGTTGAATTCATCGTGTTTTCGTGCTGGCCAGAACACGTTAAGTTACTGCCGTGACACGCATCACATAGCGTCACATCTACATCACGACATTGACATTGTCACGCTCACGCATATCCGAATCAGGACACTGACGCGTCGCCCTTGGCTGTTGCATTCTTATTGCGTCCTTATACACATCCACCTCCCTCTATCCTCTCTATTCTTCGCCCAGTTAACCGCACAAACAACACGTAGAAATGGTTTGTTTCACCTTTCTACATATACAAACTATCTAATCAACATTGACTTCTAGGGTAACCAGCCATCGGGTCTACCACCTTCGGGCCAAGGAAATGACGGAAAAGACAAGGCAAAAGACCAGCAACCACAGAAGAAGAAATGGGAACCGCCCCTTCCGACGAGAGTTGGGAAGAAGAAAAGACGAGGGCCATCCGCAGCTTCGAAACTCCCAGCCGTTTACCCTACAACTCGATGTCGGCTCAAGTTGCTGAAGATGGAACGTATCAAGGACTATTTACTGCTAGAGGAGGAGTTTGTGCAGAACCAGGAGCGGCTAAAACCTGAGGCTACACGAGAGGAGAAGAATGAAGAAGACAGGTCAAAGGTGGATGACCTGCGTGGAAGCCCAATGGCGGTTGGCACAATGGAGGAAATCATCGATGATGACCATGCTATCATCAGTACTGCCTCGGGTCCGGAATTTTATGTCTCTATCATGTCTTACGTCGACAAGGACCTCTTGGAACCCAATTGTCAAGTCCTACTTCATCACAAGACACAATCAATTGTCGGTGTACTACAGGATGACGCAGATCCTCTTGTCAGTATTATGAAACTCGATAAAGCGCCTACGGAAAGTTATGCCGACATTGGTGGATTGGAATCTCAAATTCAAGAAATCAAAGTATGTGGAATTGCCGTGTCTTTTTCGCCTTACCCATTTTGCCCAGGAATCTGTGGAGCTGCCCCTTACACATCCAGAACTATACGAAGAAATGGGTATCAAACCGCCCAAGGGCGTCATATTGTATGGTGTTCCAGGGACGGGAAAGACACTTTTGGCCAAGGCTGTCGCCAACCAGACATCGGCGACTTTTTTGCGCGTCGTTGGTTCCGAACTTATTCAGAAGTATCTAGGGGACGGACCGAAACTTGTTCGTGAATTATTCAGAGTTGCAGAAGAGCACGCGCCGAGTATTGTTTTCATTGATGAAATCGACGCTATCGGTACAAAACGGTTCGTCCTCTGACTTTTTGTTGCGATTGAGACTGAATTTATTCAAGGTACGACTCAACGTCCGGAGGAGAGCGTGAAATCCAACGTACCATGTTGGAGTTGCTCAACCAGCTGGATGGTTTCGATACCCGAGGAGATGTCAAAGTGATCATGGCCACGAATAAGATCGAGTCCCTAGACCCCGCCCTTATTCGACCAGGTCGAATCGACCGGAAGATTGAATTCCCTTTACCTGATGTCAAGACGAAACGGCATATCTTCAAGTGTGATTTCTCTTCATGTTTCCTGCGCATTTGTTTACCACATTTCTAGGCTACATACTGCGCGCATGAACTTGAGTGAAGATGTTGACCTCGAAGAATTTGTCATGACTAAGGATGATCTTTCTGGTGCCGACATCAAAGCGGTATGTACAGAAGCCGGTCTGCTTGCACTGAGAGAACGTCGGATGCAAGTTACCAAAGTGGACTTTACGTCGGCAAGGGAGAAGGTTAGTCCGAAAATTTATTACCGAATCAAGATCCTCATAATGCTCGACAGGTATTGTACCGAAAGAACGAGGGAACACCGGAAGGCTTATATCTGTAATATTCATGTCTTCCTTACTTTCCTACGATGCGTAATAGCAGTAAATTATTTTGAAATCTTAGAAACGCGACTTGTCAGGTGACGTGCGCCCTTGCAATTAACGTAGTCGCTGTCAGTGTCTATGAATCCCGAAACTTTTTGCTTTTTCTTTCAATTTATGTCACCAAGTCGGACTGCGCCGACTAACTTATTCATATTACATGTATCACTAAAGAATTGTACGCCACGTTCACCCCTTACTTAGGCTCCATGAAGTCTAACACGGAATCCAGCACAACCTTTGGTGGCAGCAAGAGCCGCTGCTCAGCTTCCCCGCCAGGCCTCTCCGTATTCAAATCAACCACGTCTCTCCTTGTCGTACAACGTAACCCCACTTCCGTCGTTATCAGAATGTCGCCTCTGGACGTCCCATAGTCACCAAAAGCGTCTACCATTCTCCTTGGATCAAAATTCGACTCGTTCTCAATAGCAATGATATCGAACCGCGTCGACATTATCTCCTCTCGCGTTACCTGGGCCAGATTAGAGACCGTCCTTGCTATACGTTTTATCTGATCTCCAAATCGCGTTCGAAGCCCATCCCGCGTCGACAAAGACAGTCTGTCAGTGGTTGGACAGCCCGCAATAAAGATAATGTCGGACGACCAGCGAAACATGGTCTCGGAAAGTTCGTTGATGGAGTAGTCGTTAAGATAGGGATACATTGTGTGGATATGTCGGTGCGTCAAAGCCCTCCATCTGGACGACGTTGGCTGAGGTTCTGATTTTCTGGTCTTCAGACAATGGCACATATATTCGGAAATACCCTCTTACCAGCCATATACATGTGCGCATATATCTGAGATAATATGCTGTCCGGTTTCGACGGGAACCCCATACAGAATGGCAGCAGCGCGCGCGCCACACAAGTAGAGAGACATCCCTGCAAGGCAAGCTGAACTAGCATGGGATCCTGCGAATGGTCTCTCGTCGACAGTATCCGCGCCAGATCAGCGCCCAGCCGAGTTGCAGTATCTTGTATAGCCTGATTCGTGGCTTTCGATGATGATGGGTATGCCTTCTTGTCAAAAGTGCAAAGCTCTGTCGCAGCCGCCGCAAATTGGAGAATTTCAGAATTGAGGTCCTGAACTGCTTGGAGGAGCTGAGCGCCCGACCAACTGTCCGTCCTTGTCATGTACACCTCCTCACTCTTCAATTGCGCCCTTTGTTCCTCTGATGAAAGAGATGTAGCTTCTTCCTCGACCTTCTCATCAACGTTGTCCAGCTCGTCCTCCTCGGCACTGTCATTCCGGTGATTCCCTGTCTGCGGTCCCTGCGGTATCTTGTCAGGGCTACTTGCCCTGAGTAGATCTCTTGTCTCCTTCAACGACTTCTCAAGCATCATACAACGCGCCTCCAACTTCGACACCTCCAGCTTCGCCCCTACAAGCTCTTTCCGCGTATCTTCCAATTCTCGACGTACAGATAACATATTTGATCCAGGCGACGAGAAACAGGTGCATGTACCTTGCCGACGGTCAGCGGCGTCTAATCTTTCACGTAACGATGCGCACTCTTGTGTTAATTTCGCAATAGGGTCGGGCACGGGGGTCAGGGTCCTCGAGTGAGGGTCACTGTCGGCGTGAGAGGATGATGAGGACACAGCTCGAGAGGAAAGGGTAGGACTACGGAGCGCAAAAAACTCGACTGTTGTATCGTACAACCCTCTGAGATGCAGGTTAGCGGTGGGCAGCATGGTTGCGAAAATGACAACGCCAAACACTGCCGGTGCGATGCGATAATCAGTGATTTTGTGATCCTGCAACTCTCCCGAGAGAAGACAGGGGATTTACTTGGTTTACCCACGAAAGTTGGCACTTTTCAAACATCTGGAAAACGCGGACGCCATGCGACATGACAGCCTCGTTGCATACACATTTCTTCTGGAACGTTTCGGAACGAGGTTCCAGGGAATTCCATCAAACTCCGCATCACCTCGAGGCAAGAACGCGTCTTCAACCGCCTTCATGCCGCGTGTTGGCAGTTGCTTTCTATCTCGTTCCACGATCGTAATCCACTATAACTTTGCCGCGCTATCTCTCGATACACTTGTCTTTCTCACTTCTATCTCATCTACCTGCTGTATGTCACCATGAAGCCTTCGGCAGATACGAGAAAACCTTACACGGGCACATCCCGCTCCCTGGTTTTGGCGATTGATGTGGGAACAACCTTTAGCGGGGTAAGCACGCCATATACGCCCCTATGGACCCTTGTTCACCATCGGTTATCCGTAGGTCTCCTATGCCATCCTTGAGCCGGGGGAGATTCCCAAGATCCATGGTGTTACAAGGTTCGCCACCAGGTCAGCCACGAATCATATCTCTAACTCCCTTCCAGGTTTCCCGGACAAGAACATGTTGCAGGGAACTCAAAGATACCGTCGATCATGTACTATGATAAGCATGGGAGGGTCATGGCAGCTGGCGCAGAAGCGGACTCAAGCTTTGTTGCATCACAAGCGGAAGACGAGGGATGGATAAAGGCAGAATTGTGCGCTTGACTCAAACATTGTAGCCATTGGCGCGTGCTCACCTCATCCTCCAGATTCAAATTGCGCCTGCGGCCAAGGATGATGAAGCTCAATATGAATGGGATGCGCTTGGGCCCTCTTCCATATCGCAAAACCGCCGTCCATGTCTTCGGCGACTTCCTCTCGTACCTCTACCAATGCACCCGGGCATTCGTTGTGGATACACATGCCAATGGTGCTGCGTTATGGAAAGCTGTGGAACATGACATCCAGTTTGTGCTCTCTCATCCTAATGGCTGGGAAGGTGCCCAGCAGACGAAGATGCGGTGGGCTGCAGTTCATGGACAACTTATTCCGGACACGAACGAGGGGAAGGCACGAATCCGGTTTGTGACCGAGGGCGAAGCGAGTCTCCATGCGTGTGTTTTGAACGGCCTAGCCTCCGATGTACTTTCAGTAAGTCTATATGCAATTTCATATTTCGTGGCGTGACGCATTTTCAAATGTTATTCTGTAGGACTCTGGACAGGCTGGTTTCTTAGTGGCAGATGCCGGAGGTGGGACTTTCGATCTTAGTTCCTACACTATTCTTGCACAGCATCCGTTAGTGATTGAAGAAATCGCACCACCCGATTGTACGTCAGTACGCCCGTCAACGACTTCGTGGCTAATATCAGCACAGGCATCTTTGCTGGATCCGTCTTTGTGAGCAGGCGTGCCAGAGAGTTTTTAAAAGGTGGGTTTGCCTCGTCGTTGCCTCACTGCGCCTGACTCGTATTCAGAGAAGCTGAAGAACTCTAAATATGGAACGCCTGACTCGTTGGACCACATCACAAGGCGCTTTGATGAAACTACAAAGCGCCTATTCCGAGACAAGAATGGTTCTCAGTTCATACCGTTTGGTTCCCCCCTTGACAGAGATCTCAGTGTTGGAATTCGGAATGGGCAGCTAAAACTAACAGGGTATGTGAGAAACAGCAGTCTTGGTTAAACTTACACTATCGTTTTCCAGCGAAGAAGTCGCTGCGTTATTTGAACCTTCAATTCAGGGTAGGTCACTTTAGCTTCTAGGTTAATAGGACTAACCGACTCCGGTTCTAGCTGCCGTGGCCGCCATCAAGGCTCAGATAGTAGCTTCAAAGGGCCTCATCAAGGTAATACATATAACTTCCATACCACCTCATCACTAACGACGACGACGTAGTCTGTGTTCCTTGTTGGTGGATATGCCGCAAGTTCATGGCTATCCACGCAACTTCAAGAAAGGCTCGCTCCTGAGAAGGTCGCTGTCAGCCGTCCGGATACACAAACGTCTGTCTTTATATTATATCTGTGGAATGACAGCTCAAATCTTTCCAGGTCCAAAGCAGTCGCCGATGGTGCCATTGGATTTTACTGTGATCATCATGTCTCTGCTCGAATAGCGAAGTTCATGTACGGCGTTGAATACCTTCGAGCGTACAATGAAGAAGACCCGGACCACGTCGCGCGCGAAGACAGGCTCACCGAATTGCCTTCTGGACCCAAACTTCTCCCAGACGCATTCGATTGCATCTTGGCTAGGGTAAGTTCATTTTCCTATGAAGGTGTAGAATCATGTCTAACTCCTTGCTAGGGCGTCAAAGTGAAGGAGTCGACCGTATTCACCAGAAAATACTGCACGGAACTCACGAATCTCTCTATGCTTTCGGTATTTGAGGTTGAGATATGGTGCTACCGAGGAGGAGATATAATTCCACAATGGATTCAGCGTCATACAGGTTAGTCCTTTTTCCCTCTCTTCCATGTCAATTCCCTGAATAGTTCGATGGAAAGATAAATTTTCTACGCTGTGTCTCGTCCGTGCCGATTTGTCTCCGTTGAGTGGCATAGTACAGTCGAAGACAGGCAGGGACGGAAAAGAATACTGGACCATTGTGTTCTCCATTGAGATACATTTTGGTTTGACAGAGTTCAAAGCGCGTATCAAATGGGTCGATAATGTAAGTGATTGATTTTGTGCGTTGTTGTCCTTGAACTCATTCTGTTTGCAAGGGGACGATCAAATAGTGGGTATCGAAGTATGATCTCTTGAATATCACTTATGTTTGTTTCAGTGGACCTGCATCTATCATTTACAATGAGCGCGGCCATCGAGCAGAAGAAGAAGAACCTGACGTCAATCCTGAAGATGACATGACCGTGGACGCACAATCTGAGAGACAGTGTTCTCTACCAGGATCAAGAACTCAAACTCCTGATCCCCGCCGTTCACCCCCGGGCAGCTTTTCAAGCAACCGTTCATTGCATACTGGACACTCTAATAGGGAATCAGTATACTCAGCAATCCCGGAAGTCGTTTGCGATAGATCCGCTTCCCGTAATGGAGGAGACGCCGATCGTTTGCGAGGGCTAGATACCACCCGGAGTCTTGGTAATAGTAGCGTTCGGGAGAAAGACCGTGGGCGAACAAAGGACAAAGGCAAAGAGCGGGCCCGAGACATTGACGCGTCGACAGAAGGATCAAGTCCTCGTAGTTCTTCCGCGCTTGCCGAAGCACTGTCATCCGTTTGGGGATCAGCCATCTCGCCTCTGAAGAGCCCGCCTTCCATGAAGGGGGGGAAGTCCAGACTCGCCTCCTCGACAGGAACACCGTCAGTCAGAGGAGGCCAACTTCCACCAGATCCGGCTCCTCCCATCGGTTTCCCTGACGTTCAAGTCCCACAGTCGCCACGTCATTCCGTTTCCGGTGTCAAAAATACGGTGGAGGCGTCAATCGAAGCGCCAGTCTCGTTGCCGCCCTCGGACAATCAGGTTGATCATGCACACTCAGGCTCTCATGTGGCTTCAGCTGTTGCAAGTCCCAAGAAGTCTGGCGCAGCAACGCCACTGGCAGCTGAAAGTCACTCAATTTCGCCAGTGTCGTCGGAACCTGCTCCAGCGCCTGTTGAGTCTCTATCTAAGCCAATGTCACCTGTCATTGCCCCCTTATCTTCACCTCTGATTTTAAACGACGATTCCAATCCTTGGACAAATGCAACTGATGCCCCGGAAGTCGAATCATCGAATCCACCAGAGGAAACATCCGTCCTGTTCTCTACCGAACCACTCGTGGCCAGCAATAATCTTTCAAGATCGCTGAGCGGTAACAAGACGCCTAAAGCAGCTACGCCGAGGGTAGAACCCTCGCCAAAGCCAGAGCCATTCACATTAGCGGCTCTTGCAAGTCGGATTGCTTCGTCTGCTTTCGGAGGCAATGGAACCAGCAAAACGTCGAGGATCTCTGGATCAACTTCATCGAAGGCAGGATCCTCTCTATCCCCTGTCGTTTCACAGGTTGCGGAGGTCAAAGTTCCTCCTCAAGCAGATAATATGGCGCCTCCTCCTGACCCTACAGCGGAAGCGACATCCCCGCAAATTGTTGCAGCAAAATCTCTCATTTCATCGCCAAGGCCACCAAAGTCACCAATGGCACCCCTATCTACTACACACTCACCCAAGCCAGAGACGACGGAACCTCTTCCAGAGACTTCTGCGTCATCAATAGATCCGGCCCCTTCGTCGTCGCCCGAGGCTGAGGCTGATGAGATACCAGTTGAGGCATCTTCTGCCGTTCCCGCTGTCCCAAAGTCAGCTGCTCCATCCAAACCACCTTCGCCGAAACCAGAGAACAAGGTATTCGAAAGCTCCGCAGAAGCGTCATCGGCAGAAGGGCTAGCACTAGCAGAAGCACCAGGAAGCCCAGCACCAGTGGAACCAGCAGTGATCGCACCCGTAGAACCAGCAACAGTCGAACCAACTGCTGAAACAGAACATCCCGCCATAGCAGAAGAAACCATCTCAGACCTAGTAGTCATGGAGACGACTCAAGCGAGTAGCACGGAGGCTGAAGCACCACCAACAGATACAGCACCGCCGGAAGAAACGTCTATAGCTGATTTACCCAAATCCCCCGTTCCGAAAACACCGCTGAAGTTGGATACAGACATCCCACCAACGACAGGTCCGTCGTCGGCGGCTGACGCGGCAACCACGTCCTTTACAGAGGCCGGAACTACCGACAAGGATGAGGAGGCAAAAGATGATGAGGCAAAAGACGAGGAGCCGGAGGAACCCAACCAGAATCAAGGTGCGAAGAAGAACAAGAAGAAGAAGAGTAAGAAGAAGTAAAGAGTTAGAGATACTGGCACTTTCTTTCCCTTGGCCGTGATGTTTTCACGTGGAGCATATGATATACGGTTAGGTATAATGTCTTGCTTAATTTACTTCAGGAATTCTGCTGGCTCGATGCTGGATTCATGGAACATGATTGAATTAAGAACGGAATCCACAGTAAGCATAACACGACATGGATAAGGGAGGAAGCCCATCCATCACGATAAATATGTAAGATATCTAAGAGATCAGTGTGCGTCTAGTAATAGTGAACCTAAGACTTGGGTTCAGCCTCCCCGTACAATATATACAGTTGAATATCTCACCTCTTCCCGTTCACGACCTCTCATGAAAGGCGGCTCAGTACCAGCATAGTAGATCGACGTCCAAAGTTCCTTAGTATCAGGTTCCGGGGAAGCCTTGGCTTCCTCAACCGCCGCATCGACCTCGGCCTTTGCGTCCTTGTCGATTTGCTGAGGAATGGATTAGAAATTGGGAAGTAATATGCTCAAAAGAATATTTCACCTTGAGCTCTTGCTCGGTGGCGAGACCCCACTCCTCGATGTACTTCTGGAGACCGTGGATAGGGTCTTGGGTACTTCGCATCCGCTGGACTTCTTCACGTGTGCGGTAAGTAGTACCAGGATCAGACATCCTGATGTGCGCACAGATTAGATCTGGTGAGTTCACGCAAAAACATTGGTGGACTTACGAGTGTCCACCATATCGATAGGTGACGAATTCGAGGAGGAGAGGCCCTTTCTTGTCTTCAACAGTCCACTTTCTGGCGTACTCTACAGCCTGCTTGGCAGCAACGATATCCATTCCATTAACCTAGAGAGATGATCGCTAGCATCATGTTCTGTAGAGGATAAAAGGTGTATTACCTGGAGACCAGGAATGTAATCCCCCCGCTTAAAGTATTCAGTGTTGGCTGAGCTGCGCTCCGCGGATGTTCCCATTCCATATTTGTTGTTTTCACAAACGAAGACGCAGGGAAGATCCCATAATTTAGCCTAAAAGTACACTTTAGCATTATACGACGCAAGCAGTCAAGCTTACCATGTTGAAAGCTTCAAACACTTGCCCCTGGTTAGCAGCTCCGTCACCATAGAGTGCAAAGGTGCAACGAGGGTGTTCAGAATATTTTTGAGCAAAAGCAAGACCAGCTCCGAGGGGAACCTGGGCTCCGACAATACCATTTCCACCAAAGAATGTAGGAGTAAAGATGTGCATTGAACCCCCTTTGCCGTGGGACATTCCAATCTTTCGTCCCAAGAGCTCACCAATAACACCCTTTATAGATCCGCCACGAAGGACTGCAAAAGGATGGCAGCGATAAGAAGTGATGACATAGTCGTCAGGCGTCAGACCATGGTGAATACCGACAGAGACGGCTTCCTGGATAAGTCTTCAGTAGCAGTAGAAATTTTCCACACAGACAACACACCTGTCCAATAGCCAAATGGCAGAAGCCACGAATGAGTTTTGCCTGGTATAACGCGCCAGCGGCTTGCTCCATTCGACGCATCGTCGACATCCGCCTGAACATCGTTATGAGCTCGTCCTTGGAGACTTGAACGTCCAGTGAAGGAGGCTCGCAGTTGAATGTCTGGAACGAGTCTTCATGCAGCTTGACCTTGAAAGGGCCTGAGATAGAGGCATCTTCATGAAGAGTCGTGGTGTCAGCCGAGGTTTGGATAGTGCGTACGAAGGGCTACATCGCATCAGAGTTACTGGGCTTCATCATTGAGGACAGCGAGGAGAGGACATACCGCTCGGAATATCCTTTGGGAGGCACGAAGACGAGCCAGCGAGGCCATGGTGGTAAGGGAAAAGCAACGCCCAAAATGTGGGTCAGCCCCGGCAAAAGTCCGCCAAAATTTGGGGTGGTTTGCCCTGTGGGAAAGTTTTGCCTATCTGATAGGCCCTACGATTTGAACACCATGAGAAATATACAAGTATGATATATGTATCTTGCACTCAAGTTGGTAATTGGAAATCACCGAGCCTCGTCATGAGCAGACATTGCAAACCAGGGACGCAACTATTTCATTATCTGGATGAGGTACAAACGTGAACTTGGCGAAAATTATGGTCCGTATTCTAGCCAGTTCAATGCCAACCGTGCATGCTCAATAATGTCCTTCTCTTCTTCGATAGCGCTGCTTGTATGTGCATGGCTCATAGTCAATCCTCCGCCAGTCCACTCGCAGATATGCCGCAATGTCGACAGAATGCCGGCTTCGACCATCTCCTTCCGTCCATTGGAGCTTCTCCGTGCAAGCTCAAGGATACATCCGACTGCTGGCCGACGAATTTCAGGTTTGCACTCTGCCAGACATGTCTTGAGGGAAAGAAGGATTTTGGGACAAGATAAGATGAGGTCCTGCTGGACTTCAGAACCATTGGCGAGATTCGCAAGGAGAGACGCCGCCTTGACAAATAGGTAAATGAGATTATTTCACCCTCTACATATTAAAAAGACACACCTGAAGGACGACGTCTTCGTCACGAGATTCCAAAGTTACTACAAGACGGTCTAGTAGAATATGCGTGCCCAAGCCTTCAAAGACCATGTCGATGGCCTCTTCGTCTTCAGCTAAATTCCGCACGATGTTGAATGCTTGTTCCTGGATACCTTCTGCCGGATCAGCAAGTAATCTAGAATATCCGATTATTATGAAAGGTTCCCTGGCACAAACATAGATGGCATACCTGGAGAGCTGGGACCAACCGATCTGGTTCATAACCTCCTTTTTAATTTCTAGCGATGTCTTGCGCAGTAAATTTTTGATGGCCCATAAAGCACTTAATCGTAACGTCGGATCCCCAGAGCCCAAAAGCTGTATGAGGCGTGGTAGTAGTCCTTGATCTAGATATACCTGCATCCTCACTAAGTATAGGGGAAACACAGAACGAAAGGAAAAACATACGGGTCTCAACGGAGAAAATTCGTTGACGATGTTACACACTGCAGAAAGCGCAGCAGACAATACCCTTCTATCTTCATCTTCCTTCTTGAATATTTGAAAGACGACCATACCCAGGCCACTATCTACGAGATTGGTGCGTAATACAGCCACAGCCCGGCTGAGGGCCCGTATGCACTGACAAGCGGCATATCGGACTCCCACATGACGATGCGACAGGGAGACATGAATAGTGGGAAGTAATTTCAAGTCATCAGTCAAAGATCTACGAATGTCATTGTCGAACATTGAAATGGATGCTATTGCTGTAAGAGCGGCCTTCATAAGGAGGACAGTCTGCTTAGCTTTCTCAGAAGGAGGCACTCTGTGCATACCTCTCTTAGTGAAGACACACTCTCGGGTTCTTCCTCTTCCCTTTCGTTCAAATCCGGGGGCGTGATAGACTGAACTAACGCAGCAAGTCGCCGAAGAGACCCACGTTCCCATGCTATGTGGCACAGAATTGCTTCATCGGTAACCAGATAATCTAGGACATGATGTAAGAACGTGTGGAACCGTACATCAGAGAGCATACATAAGATGAAGCAAGCTTTGCATCGGTTCTGTACTGTACCTGTAGGCGGCGTGGCAATCATGCGATTTACGACGCTTAATATCGTCCTTGCAGAGTAGTCATCGACAGGTGCGGAATGACTTGCACTGGATCGAACAATATGTATCACGCTTGGAAACTATAAGTCAGCGGTTAGCACGGAACAGTGACGACAATACCATAGACAAGCAGCCAGCTGAACCTCAGGAATCCTGGATTTTGTTAGTGAAAGAATGTGTGAGAGTGTTGCTAAACGAGTTAGACAATGATTAGGCAAACAAAGTTGCGGACTCACCATCTTTCTCAGCGATGGGTTTCGTTAGAGCTACTGCCACGGTTGCATTATCCTTGCAAAGGGCAGCCAGGGCTAACAACAGGCTTTCCTGATACTATAGCTACATTAAATGCGAAGATATATGATGAATACTGAAAACGTACTTTGTAATCTCTACTGGTCAGCAACAGTGAACTGAGATTTCTAGCGGCCCAACCTCCATGACGATGCAACGAGCTTGAATTTGTTGAAGTCTTTTCCCATCCGCGCTTTGTTTTGACTTCTCTCGCGCGATCCGCGACAGGCAGCCACTCTGTGACTGCTGTTCGGTGCTCCGCTGTCCGAAGAGCACTCCCAAGTAGTAGTGCTATCGATGTGCTGGTCTGAACCGACGGATCAATGAGAAGAGGAAGATAAATGTCCAGAGAATCGATCTTCAAGATTCAAGTCCGTCAATTTAGGCCATCTGGAGAAAAAACTGACACCAACATGAAACAGGAAATCCAGAGTGACTTTTGCCTCGTTCCTGATGGCAGATGAATCTGCCCTCAAGCCCCACTGTGACGGACCCACGGTCTCTGCAACAGCCACGGCGATAGCTCTCAATGCACGAGTGAATGCAGCTCTGAGGAATGTCGAATCGGTTGGTTGTATTTTGGCAATGGCAAACAACAACGCCCGATGGACGTCGGCCCTCAGCAAGCTCCCCAGGGCGTCTTCAGAACCTATAAGAAAGGCTTCATCAGTTATGAGAGGCCCAATTTGACGACGACAGAGGGACCATAAGATATCGACGTTATGATATGGGCGGCCTCGATGCGAATATCGTCCTTTGACCCTTGCGGCTCATCTACTACAGGCTCGCGATTCAAAGATTCGACAAGCCTTCACGTAAAGTCAATACAACGTTCTGGAAAGAAAGATTAGAAGTCAGATGTGACTTACATTTGAATAAATACCTCGTCCCGAGCACACTGCAGCTTGACGGATGGATTCCCAATGACATTGTTCTTGATTTGCTTCAGATTAGATACAGTCATTGCTTCAATGGTCATCGCTACGTGTCTTGCCTGACCGAAATGGATCCGAGCGTTACGGTAATGTAGGTGAGGTGGCAACAGAATGTGAACAGGAGCTGTGCCATTTTGGGGCAGCTGCTTGATGGCTCAACGATGATAAATTTTTCAATGATACATATTCTGTGCATTGCTTGCTCAATGTGGACGCCGAAGAAAGGTAAGGGTATACGTATAACTTGACAATAATAAAGCAGATTTTTTGTGTATATGCCATGGTCGATGGGGGCGAGAGCCCAAGCCATGGCTGAATTTGATCAGACCTGCACAGCCATTGGACCCTCCTTGAATATACATACTATCATGGTCGAGCTGCCTCCAGAGCTATGGCTCTACCTCGCAGAATTCATCCCAGACAGTGAACTTAGAAATCTCCTTGATGTCAGCCGTATCTTCTACGAGATCGCGCTGAATGTCAGATATAAGGAGATCGCAATAGAAGGCATCGACTCGCGTACAGTTGCGCTGTTGAAAAGACTGAGGCAAGTGCATTTATTGTACATTTCTTATATAAATAATGTTTGTATCTTTATAGGGATCCAGAGGTTGCGAAAAGGGTCTTGCACCTGAGCATCGTCTCTCACGGCACTCGCAGGCAGTTGATCCACGATGTCCAAAAATTTCGGTTCGCAGACTTTGGCCGCCGTAAGAACCTCTCAGTAGAACGCGCTACCCAACTCCTCATAGACGTTCTCACCGGCTTCACAAACCTAAATGAATTTTCTATCGATTTTTGGGGGCTTCCATCCAGCTATAAATTGGTACCATTCCTCAACGCCGCTTGGTCGACGTTTGGTAAACAGATCCGTACCCTTTTCCTCTCGGGACATTTGGATGCGCTTCGTATTATCGTCGAGACCAGTACCCCAATGGAATCGCTCGAATCGCTGAGAATTCAGCTAACAGCTTCCATTTACCCTCTGACAGATGCCGGAAACTCGATTGAATCTGTCTTGGCTCTCAGAAAGTTCATTAATGGGTTGAGCCCTCGATTGAAGACTCTCCGTCTGTGGTCATGGGCATCTACAGACGTATCGATGTTATTTGTTGGTTTGGACCACTTTCCACTGTTGCACCGCTTCCACATCCGCACCGCCTTCAATAAAGCGTTCCCGTCAGATCCATCCGGTTTATCCCGTTTCGTTCAAAGCCACGCAAGCACACTCTATGATCTACAATTGTGGCTGCACCCTGCTGGATCTTCCGTAGACCCCTCGATGGACCAGCCACTAAGTGAATGGTTGTTGGCTACCGTGGACCCAATTCCGGAGTTTCCAGTATTGAAAGACCTACAATTCTACCCCACTCATCTCCGTGGTGGTTTCGACGCCTTTCTTCTCACGATACAGCGTTCAACGAATACCCTTATCAACCTCATTTCGCGAGATCATTATCTTTCATCTCAGGAAACCATTCGGCTTATAGATGCCTTGGCATATAATGGTCCCAACAAAACCCTGATATCATTGCGTCTTAATATGATCGTTTTCACGGGGGACGTTATTGATGCAATGGCCGAAAAGCTACCTGGCTTGGTGTCACTCAGGTTGTACATCGGGGATAACCAAGTGAGCCCATTTGAGCATCGTGTATCATGCAACGTACTGACATGTGTGGTTGTAGGAATCGTTTGAGGACATCATGAATAATCGCTCCTTGACCAGTTGGGGGTTGTATGATGTCGGAATTTGGTGTGGGGGTTCGGTATTTGATGGTGAATCGATGCGACTACTTGCTCGTTGTATTCCATCGGTCCGAAGCTTCTGGGGCAATGGACACATGAAGACAGACAACACCCCTTGAATTTTTATTCACCTAATATGTGTCTAATCTAATATATTACCTCCAGACCAAGGCCCTATGTACGGCTACTAGGCAACTTCAACCATCACCTTATTATCCACGACAGCGACGATATCTTGCGTGGCTGGTGTCTTCTCGTTAACTAGATCTGTATCCGCCTTGTAATCGACCTCCTTTATACCCACTGTCCCACCCAACTGTCGCCACTTTTCTAGGAGCTTCTTCTTCCTTTCCTTGCACATCGCATCTATCGCGGGCCAATACTTCTCATGCTCGTAGACAAATTCGCAGTCGCCTCCCCAATGCTCTTTCATAACATTGTCTGCGGCGACGATGCCATCTTTAACAACATCGGGATTGAACTTCATCTTTTCTCTCGTGATGGGATCAATGAAGGGAGAAACGAGTTTGAAGAAGGCATTGAGTAAGAAAGGAACATTGATAATGAGTGCCACACCGAGACGTTCTGGATAGTGATTCTGGAGGACATTCAAGAACTGTCTTGCTGTGCCCAAAGAAGGACTCTTGGCTTTGTCTGCAAAGTTGATAAAGAGGGCAACGGTTCTACAAAAAAAGAGTAAGAAGAGTAAAGGAAAGTCGTGATTGACGCGCACTCTACACCAGATGGCATCATGTCTATACAGCTTTCAAGAATCCAGACAACGAATTCAATTTGGCGTGGAGACTCTTCGGTATTTTGCCGACTGGGAAACATATAGTAGCCAGGTTTCCCATCGACTGTGAAGCCGAAGATGACTTGTTTTCCCGTTGAAGCCTAGGCATCGCATCAGTCCCAAATAGTGGGGTACAGGAACAGAGATCCTCACTTCTGGTTCAACATGTTCCGATGTCAAAGTAGTATAGAGACCATAGCTGCGTCTCCATTTCAGGGTGTCTTCTATTCGATGGATTGCAACTTCAGTCTTCCATTTGGACGCGCGAAGGTACCTTTAAGAGAATGAGCTGAGATAACGATGAAAGAGAAAAGAAAACCCGCACCTCAAAATGCATTCGTGCGACAGCCAGAACTTCTCTTCCTCCATGAGTTCAGCGTTTTCTTCAAGACCCGGAATGTTGTAGTCAGGCTTGGCAAAATAGCCGTATACTGTTTGATACATAGTAGACTGCTTTTCTGTCAAGGAAGCGACATGCGGGGGAACTGAGGGCTTGGAAGGCGGAGGGATAGGGAAATGGATAGGTTTCGACATGGCGGAAGATAGTCAAAGGCAAGCCTCAAGGTACGCGACCTAAGCACCCTCGAGTTGTCAGCGTTCATATCAAGGGCGACCATGCCTAAAAAGGAGATCACCTTCAAAATATCAGGAGAAGGAGATCAGTATCAGGAATGAATTAATACTTAAAATAAATTCCCAGAAAAGTGTAATTTATGGTACGATTTCGGTAAGAGCACTTTTCGGTGTAAAGCCCCTACATGACCAGTTCGATCCGTCATCCGATCATCCCACGAGGTCGACCATTACCCCACATCGGACGCACGAGCCAACTGCATACATCCATGTATCCCGACATCGAGCCGTATGAGACTGGGAGACTCAATGTATCTGACGTCCACGAATTGTAGTGAGTCCATACGGTGCCCTCACTGCTTTTTGCTTTGAACTAGCACAGCTACGAGCTCAGCGGGAATAAAGATGGCGCCCCGGGTGCGTCTATCGTCCTTTCGAAAAGCCCTCATTCCTCTCATTTGCTGTTATTGCAGTCATCTTCCTTCATGGTTCGTATATCACGGTGCCACAGCAAAGATAGTAGCACGGAATTGACCAGTTAAGCAGGCGGGCCAGGAGGAGGGTGCGATGAGAAGGATCGGTCATTCTTTAACCCTAAGAAGTACAAGGTGAGGGCAGTCTTGTCACTTTCCAGCACCTCACTGACTGTCTAGATCATTTTCCTGGACCAACGAGGTTCAGGCAAATCGACACCGTCAGCATCCCGCTAACGGTTCATTATATTTTGATCCTGATCCGTCGTCGCAGGAGCGCCTATCTTGAGGACAACACGACATGGGATCTTGTCAAAGACATAGAGAAACTGAGGGAACGCCTTGGAATTCCTATCTGGCATGTCTTCGGAGGCTCGTGGGTACGTCGTCTCGCCTTGCTGCGTTATCACTATTCCCACCTTCCTTGATCAGGGATCAACACTTTCCTTAGCTTATGCTCAGGTGAACAGGACGTTCCTTATATTCTTACATTTGGCTGATTTCGTGAACATCTTAGTCCCATCCTGACAAAGTCAAGAGTCTCGTTTTACGGTCTGCTTGAACCATCGTTACAAAGTCCATGATCATTGATGCCCGATCTCTTATAGCGGCATATTCACGCTAAGAAAGAGGTTCTGTCAACTGCAATATCATTACTGGTCTACTGATTCATTGCCACTCAGAGAGCTCAACTTTTTCTATCAGGAAGGCGCGTCGCACTTGTTCCCGGAAGCCTGGTGCGCAACCATACAGTGTCTGTGAACAACAATATAATATTGTCATTAGGGATGACTATATCGCACCCATCCCCGAAGCTGAAAGGCACGACATGATACTTGCTTACCACGCGCAGCTCAACTCTGTTGATGATACAACAAGAATCAAGGCTGCTCGAGCCTGGTCTAAGTGGGAGTACGTAACTTTCTTGTTGACTGTTCCGAGTTCTGCTATCAAGTCCTGATCTATTCTAGAATGGCCACCTCTAAATTATACGTCGATCCCTCATATATAGCTCGCGCCGACAACGATGACTTTGCTAAGTACGATCCCCCCCCCCCCGGGTCTTTATCTACTTTTTCTTTGGGCAAATTCTAAGCCAGTGTTTTCAGTGCATTCGCCAGGATCGAGAACCATTACTTTGTGAATGATGTAAGTTCCCGAACCACTGTCGTCGACATCGTTCTCACTTGCACTAGGGATTCATGAGAGACGGACAATTGTTGGAGCAGCAAGAAATCGATAAGATGTGACTTTATTCGCAGCTTTGATGCCTGGAATCTGCCAACTTATATTCATTCATTAGCCGCCACATACCGACTGTTGTCATCCAAGGAAGATATGACGTCGTTTGTCCGGTAGGCATACCATGGTTTGAATCGCACCATCGTATCTGATGGAATTTTGAAGGCGACGACTGCTTACGCCTTGAAGAAGGTAGGCTTCTCACGTCACAATATTCTGCGTCATCTAACACTGTATTCTAGGTTTGGCCTGAAATAGAACTTCACATTGTACCGGACGCAGGACATTCCTCGCGGGAGCCTGGTATTGCAAAGTTGCTGGTTGAGGTTAGCTGACTGCTTCATACGCCTTATCACGATACTCAAATGCTTCTTTTTATAGGCCACAGACAAGTTTGCAGATTTATGAAAGGATCATGAGATAAATGTCACGATTAACGATTTGCAGTAGTTGATACCTATTAGCGTGGATGTTGACGTATGTCGAGAACGGTGTTGGCATCTGTAATCATCTATAGAAGCGGATGAGAACACATACATATTGAATATCTGAGTCAAGAACTGAATTCAGCCGCTCGACCGCTTATCTAGCATCTTGCAGATGACCACATCGCTTATTAACCGTCTGACTCCTTTGCGTACAAAAGAGTTTCGCAGGATAGACATGGGTCTTTACAACACATCATGTCCGCTGTTCGCATCGAACGCTCCTTGAAACGAATTCGCGTCTTGTTTGGAGGCGTCGTCATTGTCGATACAAAGAGTGCGAAACTGATGTACGTACCAGTCTCATGCAGTTCGGCTCGACTGTTAACGTTCTTGACCAGTTGGGACTCGCCGTTCTACCCATTATACTACTTCAATGTCTCCGAGCTGCCTGAAAAGCACCTTCAAGGGAAGCAAGCAACCTCCGACGGCTCGCAGTACGATGTGGTCGTAGGCGCACGGAAAGCACCAGTTGCATTGCAAGTATTCAGTTCTGGTGATCGCGCAGGTTTCTTTAAGCTCAACTTTGGAGCCATGGATGCTTGGTTTGAAGAAGAAGAGCAGATATTTGTGCACCCCAAGGATCCCTACAAGGTGTGTATATGAACGATCCGTTGCAGTAAAGATACCAATGGCAAGATCTATAGCGCGTTGACGTCCTTCAGTCTTCGCGTCACATCCGTATCGAAATCGATGGCGTCCAAGTCGCTAATACTACCAAGCCCCGCCTCTTGTTCGAGACGTCTCTTCCTGTCCGTACCTATATTCCCAAGACGGACTGCAGGCTTGATTTATTGGTACCTTCCGACCTGAAGACCTCATGCCCTTACAAGGTGTGCCCTCCATCTTTTCCCTGAGTTCCAATACAAGTTGATGCGTATTTCACAATAGGGAGAAGCGAGCTACTACCACGTTCAGCTTTCACCTGACAATCGAAAGGACAACGTCGTATGGTGGTATCGCAACGCAAACTTGGAATGTGCTTCTATCACCGGTTTTGTTGCGTTTTACGACGAGAAGGTTGATGTCTGGGTCGATGGCGAGAAACAGACACGGCCATCGACTCACTGGTCATAGTAACTCGGATTCAATTTACAACTATGTTGGAAGAGGTCGAGAATTTCCGTGTAATATTAAAATCATACTGCTTTGGGTCTCTGCGGTCCGCCCTCGGATCGATTCCGAGCAACGTTTCATTTCACACTCGTCGAAGCATAAAGGCAGGTCATCGACAGTCTAAAGTTTTGATTCAACACCCTTGTCATGAGTTGCCTTAAACGAGTTTGGCTAGTATTTTGAGGTCCAGATTCTGCCGGTGATTCTGATGTGGTTACTATTAGTATGTGAATTTAACGTAAGTCAACCCACGGAACAGTTGTTATTATCAGTCTGATGTACGCACCCCTCATGACCTCCGGGGAAAACGAAAGGCATATAAAGCCGACTACACGACGACGTGGCTTTACCCACTTTTGATGTCTTTCTTCTCGCAAATCAAGCTCTTCGGCCATAGTAGCCTGATCAGCAATCTGTCAGCAGTTGGCCGAACGGTTGGCGAAGAGAGCAGCAACGAAAATAATGGTACGGATGACGAGTACGATGTAATCATTGTTGGAGGAGGTGAGCATAGGTCGACGGGCCCTGTAGCACCACAATGATTACTTTTCTAGGTACTGCTGGTTGTGTACTGGCCTCTCGGTTAAGTGAGGAAAGCTCTATTCGTGTTCTTCTTCTGGAGGCTGGAGGAAGGCATGTTCTTGTTCTATCTGCCGTTTTGGGTATTGCATTCAAGTTTTCTATATCAGCGGCAGGGGCCTCGTTTACTCCGTCATTCCGTCCGCATATTCACTTCTTTTTACAACCAAACACGCGTACCAACTGTACACCGAACCTCAGGAATTTGCCCAGAACAAAAAGAAGTATTGGCCCAGAGGTTTGTCAAAGCGCTAACATATATCACTGTGTATTCCATTGACCTCACATAGGTAAAATGCTGGGAGGATGTCAGTTTGTTTACCTTTCGGCATTGCTTAGTGAAGCTGATACGAAGGATCGTATCTCCAGGTTCGGCCATCAACGCGGAAATGTATGTGCACCAGGAGATTGAGCGAGTTTACTGACGATATATAGAGCTCACTATGGTGTACCTGGTGACTATGACAAATGGGCAACCATCACTGGAGATAAATCTTGGACTTGGGATAACTTTAAGCAGTAAGTAGCCTTCTGTCCTCCTATGCCTCCTTGATTCTACTACTTGTCTACGTAGGTATTTCACAAAATTTGAGGCCTACGCCAAGAGTACGAATTATACTGACATCGATATGTCTAACAAGGGCACCAAAGGGCCAGTGCGGGTTGGGTATTTCCCAACATTGACCAAGCATAGCAAAGCATTCATTGATGCATGCAAAGGTCTGGGCATACCATTCAGCGCAGATTTTAACACCGGGGAAAACCCCACCGGTGTAAATCGATTCAGTACGTGCCTGTACGTAGTCCCGTCTTAGCACAGGCTAACTCCATTGTTGCAGTGACCTACGTTGACGATAAACTCGAGCGAGTGACGTCTGAAACCGCCTATTTAACGCCCAAAGTGCTGGCTAGGCCTAACCTCACAGTAGCCATTGACGCGCAAGTCACGAAGATACTGGTACAGACGACCGGTGAAGAAAAGCAGGCATATGGCGTTGAGTTTACCAACAAACGGAATGGCCCTGTGTATCGTGCGAAATCCCGGAAGGAAGTTATCCTGTCGTTTGTACCTAAGCCATTGTTGAATGCATAACAGCCCTGACCCCGCTTATTCTCAGGGCCGGAGCAATCCACTCTCCGCAGGTGAGGATGATTTTATGCCTTCTATTTTCTTCTATGAACACATCGTCCATCAGATTCTCATGCTATCTGGTATCGGCCCGTCCGAGGAACTCAAGAAATTCGATATACCCGTTGTACATGACTTGCAGGGCGTTGGCACTCACCTCATGGACCATCCAGTGATCGACTGTAACCTGAAAGACAAGACCAACACATCGCCCAAATACCTTAGGCCTACTACGCTCCTGGATGTGTTCAAATTCATCTTTGCTGCCATACAATATTTGATCTGGAAACGAGGGCCGATAGCGACAAATGTAAGCTAATACTTCCACAAGTAAACTAGCCGATTGGGCTTATTTCTTTTCAGTTAGGAGAGGCCGCGGCTTTTGTGCGAACAGACGATACATCGGTGTTCCCTGATTTCTTGGAGCCTTTGGAAGATAGCACATCCAGTCCTAGCAGTCCAGACATGGAGATCTTCACTGTGGCCGTAGGGTACCAGAATCATGGAATGAAATTATTTACCAAGCACACGTTTTCCCTCCATTCCGTGTTGCTTCAGTGAGTTGTGTCTTATTGTTCTCGTGTGTCCTAGTAGTACTCATACTGAACGTCCGTTTCAGGCCGCTAAGCATTGGAAGCATACGATTGAAGTCATTCAGTCCGTTCGATGATCCAATCATAGATCCACGGTGAGGATATTACTTGGGCGCCAGCGACGTTCCCGTCTCACTTCTTAACTTAGATATCTCCAGTCCAAAGTGGACGCCAAGAAGTTGGTGCGCGGGTTTAAGCTCTGCCTCAAAATCTCACGGACGGAACCTCTTGCCGCACTTGTTGATCAAAATTGTGAGGATGCCCAGTTAGATCACCAACAGCATACAAAGAACGACGCTGAACTTGAAGAGGTGATACGATCTCGCGTGGAGACCTTGTATCACCCTACCAGCACCTGTCGTATGGCCCCCTTGAAGGAATGTGGTGTCGTGGACGTCTTGTTCTCTGTGTATGGTATTAAAGGTCTAAGAGTCTGTGATGCGTCGGTGTTTCCCTCTATCATATCTGGTCACACTGTACGCGGGTTTTCTTGGCTTTTGTCGTGGCTTGGGATTGACTGATTTTGCTTTCAGGCCGGAGCAACGTTCGCCGTGGCAGAGAAACTCTCGGACATCATTAAACGAGAATTGTCAGAAACGAAATCCCAATGAATATCGATCGATCCATCATGATCATTCTAATGGTAACGACCACATGTGAAATATATTGAGCGACTTGTCAACGGAGTCTAGGAAGCAGAAGCCAGTTCCAGGGTTCGTTTGTGGAAAACTATTTCGGCTCGATTGCGACCATACAACCAGATTCCAAACTCGACGTTTTGACTTGGCATAGGCATCTTTTCAGATCAGCGAAAATTTCAATCTTTTCGTTCGCCTGAAAATGGAAGGTTCGACTCGTCAAGAACGACGTAAAGAACGGCCACGCACCTGGTACTGAGTCACCCTCGCAGAAGTGCTAGGCATGGCAAAAAATAAGGTCTCGGAAACAGAGGTTACATCCTTCGTGTCTTCTGCTACGGCCTTTAGTGTTTCATTTAGGTTGAGATGACAGGATGAACCTTGTTTCGGGTAGACCAGTTTGAAGCACATTAGACCCGGCGTTAGTTTTGCGGCTCTGTTCTTCTTCTGATAGAAGATGAACATACGAAGCAAGGGAAGAAAATTGACAAGTCACCGGAAGGGCACAATATTGGACCGTACTTGCGATACTTAATCCAACGAAGCAGACAATGCGGGGCCGGTATCGAGCAATCTTGGCCAGAAATGCGGGAACGGCTGCGCGCATTTCCGCATTCGACAGCTCGCTTTGCTGTGAGATGACAGTCAGTAGACATGGATATTGAGCTTGTACAGTAACAAGGTACATACCTCGGCTGTTGGTCTGTCGACAAGGTTCGTCTGTAACGGATATTATGTAAATTTTTTTCCACTAGCTGCTGCATAGGGTATGCATTCTTACTAGTCCAATGTTGTATAGTTCGGGTAATGTGTAATCCTCGGTAGGAGGGAGCTTAGAGGATGTTAACCCTAAGAGAAGCACTCAATTTTCGTACACAAAAAGTTGAGGCTCACGAACCTCCTGCATGTAGACCAGTCCAGAAGTGGTTTGTCGGATGTCCAAAATGATGCCCAATCTCGGCCGACTTCTGGCCTGGACTGTGAAGGAGGTCCGTAAGGTTCACATCAAGTCGTTCCGGTCGTCCAAACGTACTTGATGCCGCAGAAGACAACTCGAGAAAGGTTAGATGATGGTATGAAAGAGGCTGAAAAAAGATCTACACACTATCAAGATGTAGCTGAAGATGGTCTGGGAGGAGATTTAGGTGTGCGTAAGTCTCTGGGGGTGCAACACCCCGTTTCAGCTTCTTTTTTGGCGGCGAAGTGGACAATCTGTTGCGGACATGATCTTTCTCGTCGAGACTTTGATCAAAGTGCAGGAATGGTTCTTCCTTGGACGTGGGGTCAGTATAAGACCGCCGTGGGACAGGTCTACGAGACGACCGACGAAGGACGGGAACCGGACTCGGGGACTCGATTTTGCAGGAAAATTGAGCTATAGAATCACGAAATTCGACAACAGCCTGCTGTGAGCATCCTGACACTTTGTCGTCCATGCTGTGGCCGTGCGTCACCGCCACCGTCGCTTCCACTTGGACTGCAGGGTTGTCACAACAGAAAAAATCTGTAGCCAACGACCTCGCCGGGCCCGTACTCCTTCTATCAATTGGAACATACTATATTATTCGACAGTCGGCCCGAATCTGACGCCAAAGTCGATATATCTATGTTCACCGATAAATTGCAACCAAGGTACCCGTACATTTGCTTCCGCGGGGCCTTGGTGAGTAAATAATATATGATGTCCTATAGACGACGATTAAGTATTAGATAGCGTGCAGGTATAAAATGTTATGAAAAGTATAGACTGGTCCTGATCCTGCGACGACCTACGACTGATCCTCCCTCCGTACAGTGTGAAGCTTCTGCTGTAGATCTTGCAAAGAAAGATCATCAACGGCATATCCGGCCTTTCTCAACTGTGCGAGGGCCGCGACAACCCAATGTTGACAGTGCCATTGCAAGTTCCCTCTGACAACTTGGGTCCTCGTCAGGATGGCATGCAAAGTCCTGTCCCCGCTCCCATGCTCCCATCCCCTGGGTATCTTGCCGACTCTGACTCGTCCTAGGTATGTATTTGAATGCAGCAAACTGATCTCCTCTGCGTCTTTCACTTTGTACGTATAAGCAGAACCGCTGATCTGGTAGGCGATTCCAGTCAGCTGCTGAGGCTTCGTCATGACCACAATTGCCCAGTGCTTAGCACCAGGAAGACTGGGATGACCGTAGTGCGCCACATAAAGATCGTCGTAATCAGCCATGCTAGAAAACGCCTATAAAACATGAGAATATAATCTTCGAATATCAAGGCAAAAAAACAATATACCAGATGAGGATTGCAGAAAACTGGAAAAGTCACGGAATATTCGATTTATCACCTGAGGAAAAATGCATCAACGTCAAGCCTGAAATTTGCTCTGTACAGCTCCACCAAAAAGACCCACAGATACCGATATTTCCGCCGGTAAACGATGTAGACGAGGGGTGATGTTTGAGTTTGACCTGAGCTGTTTCCCGAGGTTCCTTATATATATTTCAGATACACCTGTAGTCTGTGACGTTGTACCAGGCGATGCTTGACAATATCGATGGTAAAGAGACTGGCTCGGAACAACGGGCTAGCATGGAATTACAAGGGTCTCTCGTTTATTGCTTCGGTTTTCTAAAAAAAAACAAGGCCGAACTGGACCTTGAATAAGGTACAGTGTTGACAGTTGAAAAAAAAAAAAAAATCCAGTGCTCACGTCTCCACTGATGGAATGATGGTAGGGGCAGAGAACAAAGCGATCTAGTATTGCATTAAATTATACGATGTGGTACCTCTTTTATAAGACTCCGGATCTTTGCGGGACCTTGAAGCATGAAACTGCGCCAAGCCATGAATCAACGACCATCGGTTACAGAGAAGAACAAGACATTGCAATTACCACCATCACATTGAAACTCTGCGAGATACGCACTTTATTCCCTCGAAAGCATAAGTAGCCAGCTTTGTAAAACAAATCAAAGATGGGCTTATTTTATTCAGCAGTCAATCTCGGCTTTCTCTTCCGACCGAACTAAGCCTCCGCTGCAAACTTTCCAAACAATCATCATCAATCGAATGATGAGCATCCTTCAGCCGCTTGAGACCTTCCGCAACCCAGTTCTGACAATTCCAATGCACATTTCCCAACACGACGGGCGTCCTCGTCAGTATGAAACCGAGTGACCCCCCCCCGTTATCGCCATATACCAGTGTTCTCGCGACTTTCCCCACCTTGACACGGCCCATGTATGTCGGCGTGTCGAACAAGTCTATACCTTCAGGGGGCTTGACTTCATACGTCTCCGTACCGCCGCTGATCTGATACGCGATTCCGGTCAGCTTGTTTGGATCCGTCATGACCACGATGGACCAATGTTTGGCCCCGCGGAGAAGAGGATGGCCGAACTGCGCCACGTAGATGTCATATTCGTTGGATAACTTTAACGAAGCCTTGAGCCAATGAGTCATCCGAGCGAAAATCGGATAGTAAAAGCTCACCATAGCGATATCAGTCATACGCAGCGGTAGCAGACTGCTGTGCTTTGTACCCAGCTGTGCGATCTTTCAGCTGGCGTCGCTTAGCAGCACAGGAACTCACATTACCTTGGGGTGGAGTGGGTGCAAAGTCGCTGAATGAAAACAAGGAGTCTAAGGAGGCGGCCCTACCCCTTTTTACAATAAACAATAGCAAGGGCTGTGATCACGTTTAAGATCCATCAGATAAGTAACGGTGCTCATTGAGCCGTATCCAGTAGAGCGTAAAAGATGGTTGGCATAATCAGAAAATTACCATACATGCAACAATAGCAGAGAAGTCCATACGAAGATAGAGAACCTTTGAGAAATTTACTCGTCATCGTCATCGTCATCATCGTCGGCTTCCTCGAGCCACTGTATGACAAATTAAGATTAGAGTTTCAATATACACAAGGTCGAATATCTCACCTTCAAGAAAGGTTCGCTCGCCTTCCTGACGGTCTTGCTGGTCTCTTTATTGACATACTTTTTACTCACGTGTGTACCCCATTGGGTGACAACCTCCTCATCAAGAACGTCAGCTTGATAAAGCGCCATTAAGATCTTTGGGACAGCGGGTAGAAGGTTCGGGTAGGTAAGGCCAACGAGACGCTCAATGCCGCCCAACAAGGATTTTTGATGTTTCTCGGAGGTGATCATCTGCGTACTGTATGAGCATGTGAAATGGATAAGCTGAAAAAAGCAATTACCTTGACAAACAACGGCGTGTATTTCTTGACCTCGGAGAGGACATCGGTGGTGAACAGTGCCTGAACAAGCACAACAATGGTCTTATGCTTCTTCTCGATACCAAATTCTTCAGCCTTCCTATAAATCGAGACCGAAAAGGCCTTTGGATCATCCGTATCCCTGTTCTCTTCAATCCATTTCCCGAGCAAAGCGTAAGGGCTGTTTGCGTCATCGTCACTACCTTCGTCGTCCCCTCCAAGGGCTACTCCCGCCATACCTCCCTCGAGCGCTTTGATACGCTGCTTCACAGCTTCGGGAGAGGTATCAGCAGACCAATCCTCTTTGGATAGCGCGGTATCGGCATTCAGCACTTTGGCTTCTGCTTTAATCTTCTTTGTCAACTCGTCATCACTTTCGGCGCCATCGGGAGCGGCTTCGACATCGCCATTCTCCGGCGTGACATCACCACCTCCTCCTCCCACGCCTCCTGCGGCATCACCATTATTGGTCCTCTTTTTACCCTTCTTGACCTTGACCGGAGGGTTCTTGAGGATAAAGGTGGTCAGCTTGTGACGCATGTCGACACCAGTACGTTCTCCGCAAGCCTTGCAGTCTCGGATGATATCCTCGGACCGGCCTGCCTTGAGAATGACGAGTTCCGTCTCGGGATTCTTGCACGATTTGCATAAGACGAACTTTTCAATGAAGACGTCCAAGAGCTCGCGGAGACGGTTGGCATCATGAGCGCCGTTGACGATGTACCGGTCATTCTTTTCATCAAAGGAGGTCTGGGCACCTAGTTCACAACCAAAGAACTTAGTGGTATAGGTAGGAGGACGACTGAGAGCGCGTGCGACGTCAGCCATATTGGGGACGACCGTCTTAATACCGTTGCCTTTACCCTCGATCTTTGTGTTGAGAAGGGGCATGCTAAGACTTTAGGATGAGCCTGTTGGGCTCCTAGCAAGGAAGTAAAGCACAGACCGGTAGCGATAGAATTTGTCGTCGACGTCACGTCGAATATTTACTACATTGGCCATATTGGACAAGGATGTTTAGCGCTATAAGCCACGGCCAGGTAAAGAATTCTAGCTATGACATTCAATGAATATACTCACGGAAGCGAGAAACGAATTCTTAAACAGATTTTTTTGTCTGGAAGGACTAATTGGAGGACGAAGCATGAATCCTCTGCCAGGACAGAAGATGGAATATTGGAGATGGGGGGAGTGGGTTGACGAAATGGTGAAGGCGGCACGGGGATACTAGATACAAAAGATGCCAGAATCGATATGTTGGTTTCACAAGGAAGTGGTGGTTGGTGAGCAAGAGCAGTGCGCAACGTTGCAGGTGATGCGGAAAAATTCCGTCGGAACTTGAAATTGTGCCGGCCGAGATGCTTTGGGCTTGTGTCATATGAACTGTCTCATCACGACTCGAAATCACAATTATGCGATACAAGTACGGAGATATTTAACTTAACGTATTACTATCACGAAAGTACATATATACAATGTCACATAGCATGTATAGTACATTATACACGAATGAAATGAGTTAGTAATGTAAGTATAAACGCATGTAATGACAATTGTCCGGGATGCGGAATTTTTGAAACGAAATATAACGACGTTAGAGTGTTTTAAGTCCCATGCACAAAGGTAAAGTAGATCATTCAAAGACCATCTAAAGGTAGATATGATCACACACGGGGCGGAAAAGCTGTTTGTGTAGAAGAAGACGAGAAGGAATCCGAGTTTGATGGGTACAATTGTACCGAGGAAGATTGGAGCATTCTTAAGCGTAATTCATAAATCAGCACAGATATACATAAGAAATCGTCGCACCTGAGCCAAATCCTTCCGCCGCCACTCTTCTCCCGGAGGAACTCAAACTCCCTATCCGTTGTACCTTCACCTTTAAGGCAGTCCAACAGCGCTTGGCGACCTTCTTTGGTTCCTTCTCCTTCAATGATCCATTCACCTTTCCAGCCGATTCCCATAGTAACGCCGAAGCCACTTCCGGTGCCGTTCTTCCCGGCGGCATCGAGATGATAACCGCCCCTCCAGACTCTCGCGATCCAAATCCACTTCTTTGCAACTGCAACACCGCCCCTGGAATGAGGGCTCAGGACTTCGGTTTGAGCATGAACAAGAAGCAGTTGGGGTGCTTCTTCAAAGCCGGAAGATGGGAGTTGTCGAAGGACCATCCTGATATTACCAGAAAGTAAAAGCGATCGCTGAGGATGCAGCGCAAGAGGAGTAGCAGGTAAGAGGTGATCATAATAAAAAGGCGACGGCAAAGATATCGGGTCATCAATAGGTAACAAATCTTCAGGAAGACAAAAGGGAACGAGGCAGTCTCCGTTGAACACTAACCATGTACGAGTCTCCTTGAACTTATCAGACCGACTGCGTCTTCTGGAGAACTCCCGGCCAGACAAGATTTCTTCTACAGGACTATCTTCGTCTCCTGGTGCATTTTCTGCGAAAGGAACATACCCCAGATTACAAACAACATCTCCTGTGCTCATATGTTCCCATAGACCGGCTTCAAAAAGCTGATCTTCGCATTTCTGGATGCTGGAACCACCATCGGTTACGGTGAGGAAATAATCCTTGTCCAAGAACTCTGGACCGTCCGACAACTCAGCACACGGAACATAAACACGTAAAATGGGAGCACGGACGCGCGACGTGGCAAGCAGGAGATCGTGGGGGAACGAGGAAGATGGCACCGTGACAGGCGTTAAAGGTGGTGATGGGGAGCTGTGCCTTTCGCTCTGGGATAACGGAAACCCTCCATACCCTGACGCTGATCCGGAGGTGCTGCTGAAAGAATGACTGCTTCCATTAAATTTTGACGAATCGAACCTCCGATGTGGCCGATTAAATCCCAAGTCATCGTCTGATACCCATCCCTCTGAAACCGGGAAGTTATTCGCGGTCGAAGCACGTTTTGCGCTGTGGGCAAAAGAGGCGTTAAGTAATGACTGTCTCCAGCCCGTCGAATAATATTTAAGGTCTCTGGGATCGGCGGGTGGCGGAGGTGGATTAGTCGAACTCCTGCCAAATATGGAACGCCGATTCTTCCTTTTCATTGAGTGCAATGATGCAAAAGGATCGGGTCTGATGGTGCCTTCCAGTCCCGTACTTTTCGGAGTTTGACGGGACCGTATGTCAGACTCAGTGCCCGTCAGACTGCGTGTATGTCTGTGGCGATCTCGCAGTACAGCGCCAGCGGAAACCGAATGATACTTCGGATCTGGACATGATAGAGGCGCAGGGAACACAAGCTCCCGTACAGGTCCTGCCCCGCTTCCATCCAGCAAAGAAACTCGCTGTAGAAGCAAAGGCCCCTGTGGCTGGGTATCATCTTCAGGGAAGATCGGATCGAATTCTGGTGCCCGTTCTAAAGGCGGGGGTAATGAGGAGTTGTGTGCGAGTGACTGGAGCAGAAGCACGAAGCGGGAATGGGTGTGGGTTAACTTTGCCAGTTTCCGATTCTGTAAAATTTCGGCATCTGAAAGGTGGTGAGAAGACAGAGTCGAGAGTGCAGTGGTGGGATATATATGGAGGGCAGTACGTTGCGAGATTACTACGAGATATAAGTCAAGAGTGTAAACCGTAATGGAAAAGGCAACTTACAGAGTAGGTCGAGATCATGCAATGTCACGGGAACCTCTCTCATACCTTCCCGCGATGGGGATCGTAGTTTTAGACAAGCACCATAGCCCTCGACATATCTCGACAAGACAAGATCCCGCAAGTCGTTTTCCTTCCAAACGTTCCTCACGGAACGGCACGTTTGAGAAAGGGAGAGAAAGTCGGCCCAGGGAAGAAACGACAAGAGTCTAGGCAATATGCTTAGATGGTTAACAATACTAGCAACGGAAGTCTTCCGTTGGGGCATATTCACAGAGACAACGTGAGAGCGGCGTGATACTGGGGGTTTGAGCGCACTCTTCTTTGGAGGACTCGGAGGGCGGGTGGTGGATATCGTCATGGCAGTAGGAGCTGCGCTCGACCCGGTAACGCTGTTGGTCCTGGGTAACGACGGTAGTGGCCGATTGGGCCTGAAACTTGTCGAGACGCCGGTGACGGTCGAAGTACGTTCAAGGCGACTCGTCGGACGTTCCGAAACAGATACAGATGATGGAGTGCCCGGAAACGAACCCACATGTCTGAGCAGATGTTGTGGATACCTAGAGGCAGACTCTGGCGCCGCGAGATGCGAGATAGGGCGTATGGGAGTCGGACCATAAGCGAGAGCCATCGTATACGGCGGCACGAAGGAAGTCAAAAGAGGACTCTTTTTTTAATTGCACTGTATGGTGGCTGAGCAGGGCAATGAGAAGGAAGAGAGAGGGAATATAATATAGGGGGGGGGGAGAGCGAGAGTGGGAATAGAAAGTGTAAGGGGGAGCAGCAGAAGGTGGACTGAACGAAGCGCTAAGTAAGGAGCATCATCGTAGTTTTTGGTTGAGTACTTGACTGTTTCATCGTTAACCATCCTTGAAAACAAATGCGGGAATGCTATTCCAAATCAGGCACACTCCAAAATTAGCAGCACACGTTAATCACGTAAGCTTCTCAGTGGCGTGGTAAGTTGTACACAATCTTGTCCTTTCTCTTCCAGCATGGCCGCAGTAAGTGTCCGTAATATCTTTCCATCTTACCCCGCTAACTCTTTTTCAGACAAAAGAAAAGCTCGCGCGTGATATCTTTGGTGGTTCTGACTCGGAGCTTTCTTCCGATGAAGAGGAAGGTTAGCTGTTGGCACAACATCTCAACGTATAATAATCCTGATTTCTCTTGCTCCTCCAGAGGTAGTCCATAAACAGTTGCAAGGAAAACATCGCAGGGATGATTATGAATCCTCTGGTCCCGACTCTGAAGATGACTATGGCCATCAGGAAAAGCCCAAGAAACGGAAGATCATCAAGAAAAAGAAATCCAGCGACGGTCAGGAAGAGGTTGGCTCAAAGAGGAAGCGGGGAACGAAGAAGAAGGAACCTACATACACGGAGGAAGACTTGAATGACCTCCCGCCAGAGCAAGGTGCGTCGTTGCTATACCGTATCTGACACGTGGTTATAATTTCCGTACAGCAAGCAAGATCAGACTCGACATGCAATTTGATGCTATACTCAAGCCGAAAAAATCATCCCGCCCCAAAAAGCGAAAGAACAATGACGAGGTTCTCGATAGTTTTGCTGATGACGAAGTAGCCCGGTTGCGAGAATCAATGAATAATGCCGCTGACGAAGATATACGCTCCAATCATGACAAAATACCGGCTACGGCGAAGCTACGGCTGCTTCCTGAGGCCATGGACACTCTGCGAAAGTGGGCAACGCGATCATCATATGTGAGACCATCACTTAACATCTGTGCAGAGCTTCCCTTGCCCAGTCTATGATCGACAACAATCTTCTAGAAGGTGTAAAACGCTGGCTAGAACCTCTCCCAGACCGCTCTCTTCCCGCGCTAAACATTCAACGCGAGTTCTTCTCCATCCTCAAGAAAATGGAATTTATCGATTCGGCCGTGCTCAAAGAGTCTGGACTTGGCAGAATCGTCGTGTTCTACACGAAATGCAAGCGTGTAACTCCAGATATAGCGCGCATCGCTAGCGAACTCGTCTCAACGTGGTCGCGGCCAATCATTAAGAGATCTGCGTCTTACAGGGACAGAGTCGTTCCTGTTGCCCGAGATGACGGAGACGCGAACGGGGCCAGGTTTGGCGGAGAGAAACTGGGTGCTATCTTGGCCCGCGCTAAAGAGTCAGAGAAAGGCCGAATACGCAAAAATGCTGTCATGGTACCTCAGAGTGAATTGGGCAATTATACCGTGGCACCCAGGGCCAACGCCGCCCTCATGCGGGCAAATACCAGCGTGGATGTGGATGTGGAGAGAAGGCGGAAGAACGCGGAGCGTTTGAGGGCCTTGACCAGGAAGGTTGCTATGAGAGGCTGACCGTACGGTGCACTATCTCTTTTTTCGTGAATATCTGTAATTCCCAGTCCATTTTCTGTATATGTCCCATCGGTTTGAATTTTCTTCGTCACTATGTCGCTATCCCGTGCGCAATCCATATATGTCTTGAAAGGGTCCTGCGTACAATACAAAATCATTTACTTGTACTGAGTCTTGGCGAGCGCTTCTCAGTTAAAACGTTTCAAGCTGTAAGGGTTGGAAAATTAGCCGACCCACTTTCACGCATAGGTAATGGCATCATCAATGGTTCGAATGATCCATTATATATAGTTATGATACCTACGTATAGATTCCCTACGCCTTAATACCTTCTAGTGCAGAAACGACCCTGACATACTAGACACCATAAAGGGGTCCAAGACACTTTAATGGATACCGTCATCATTATCAAACAGCATAGCCTCGTAAGGTTGGACTTTTCTTGTCATGAACGGTATAAGCGTGTAAAATTGACAGATTTCTGTGATAGGCCAGTAACAATACCCTAAATATATTAGTACATGAAACGTGTACAATCAATTCTGACCCAGCCCACTGCCCCTCGTGCTACCCTTGGGTCTATACTTGACGACCCAAGGGTGCCGAAGCACGTCCACCAGAGGGAGTCGCTTCTGTGGGTCATGTTGAAGAAGCTTCAAAATTCTCATTAGATTTCCTTATGCTGATGTATACCAGGCCGACATACTCTCGCAATAAGGTCTCGTGCTTCCGGTGACATGCCAGGCGGGAAACGAAGGTCGACGTTGGCTATCCGTCGATAGGTATCTGCACGAATGATTTTAGATCAGATTAAGCAAGGCGCAATAATACTGACTGTTCACGCTACTCTGGTCCTCGAACGGCGGGTTACCGTTCAAGAATTCGTAGGTCAGTACACCCAATGCCCAATGGTCTACCCGTTCGTTATGGTCCTTGCTCTCGACCATCTCTGGGGGAAGATAGTCCAGTGTTCCACACATTGTCTTGCGTCGATTTCCTGGAGCATGTACACTCCACCCAAAGTCCGCGATTTTCAACTCCCCATTCAAGCCCAAGAGGAGGTTCTCAGGCTTGATGTCCCGATGGATGACATGTTTGCCATGCAAGTACATCAACGCGTCCGCCATCTGATCGATGTACCGTGAGCTTCTCTTCTCACTGAAGCGGCCGTGCTTGCTCAGTTGCCGATAAAGTTCTCCCTTTCCGGCAAACTCGAGCATTAAAAATATACGTTTCTCGTCATGGAAATAGCCATAGAGACGCAAGACATTGGGATGCCGTAGGTTCTGCTGAATTTCAATCTCCCGGCGGATCTGCTTCTCGACACGTCCTTGAACAATTTCGGACTTGTAGAGGGTCTTGAGGGCGATGATGTAGTGTGGTTCGGCTTTGGTGCGAACCATGTAGACACGACCGAATTTGCCTTTCCCGAGAGGGCGGCCCATGTCGAAAGAGTTTAGTGTCCATTCTCGAGTGGGCGAGTTCCTGGCAGTGTGTGAGAGAGAACTTGCTCAATGCTACCACAAAAACGCACCGTGCCACACTGGAATCTAATGCCAGCTCCCTCGCAGCATCTCCGGATACAGCCTCTCCTCTCTTCTCATTCTCGAGTTCCAATCCACCATCATAACTCCCAATGTCAATCTCAGGTGTTGCCGGTTTCTCTGCCGTCATGTTTCGCAAGGCAGAGTGCGTTATGGGTTTCGGTTTTGCGGAGTTAGTAGATGGGTTCGGCGCGGCGAATTTAGTTAATAGTTTAGCCACGTTCGTTTGGCTTGGTTGTTTTGACAGTACGGTCGGTTTCGTTGCGGTGGTTTTCTTGTTGATGTCGAGAGCCGCAATTTGACGGGTGACTGAGGCTATGGAAGTCATGCTGATACTGCAGGCTCTTGGAACGCGAGGTGGTTGGTGGTGGGGGGAAGAGACGAAGAAGAATCGCGTCGCGGTTGCAACTTCAACTGCCACGTGAGCGTGATGCTAGCCAATCAGAGGCACGGGCCGATGCACGGACCATCCCACGATGTGCAGCAACAAGACCTGTCTGTTGTTCTATGAATCTGTGTCGCTCTCAATGTCAATGAGTTTTTTTGACTGCTTAGACTCTGGTCATCGGTCTTAGAACATAGTCGGGCTCTGCAGTGGAACCGGACTCGGTGTCACTCACTAAGGGTTCCACAATGCCTTCCTTTCTAACGATGGAAGGTAGGAACCAGCGTTCGGTCATAGACCAGCATCCTCCTCTATCCATTCATACCGTTCCTCGTAACGGTCATAAAGATAAATATTGTAATTATTAGCCAGAGATCACGATGCGGTTCTGATTCTCGAGCACTGGCTGTAGTCCTCCTAAATGTCTGAAAGACTTCAGGGTCATGCACCACCATGTTCAATGGGGCAATCACAAGTAATCGAATGTCCTATTGGCGTCTACGTAACGGCATTTGTTATGCTAAATTTTGTAAGGTCGTCGACAAATTTCACGGTCGTCTCATTGGACAAAAGTTTGCGCATGAAATTTAATATCACAGAATGTTCCAGCGCCGCCGATCGCCGTGAGGCCATCGCGCGGACGCAGGGTCAAAAAGACTAGTACAATGAAATTTGATCATCAGGCGGGCGCCACAGAATTACGACTTATCACCGTTGTGCAAATCATACCGTTTCCCCTCAGTGTCAGGATCCATGCACATCCAGACCGGTGACCAAGGACGCTTGAGCATTCTTACTACAATTGCAACATTTAGGGGGATATACCGTGACGACTGTAGTCGCATCAAGGGCGTACAAACGCCATGAAGCGGTTAAAAGACGATTCCCTAGAACGAAGAAATATTGATAACAAAAGCGGGCAGGGTCTCACAGCAGATGACTTTCTACATGGAAGCCGAAGGTGTAGCAGGAGAGTAGAAGTTGGGTGCATCCGAAATCCTGTTGAATGAAATTTCCGGTGCGACAGGTCTGCGAAGAATATCCTGAGCTGTTACAGGAGAGATGAGAATCATGAGGCGCGCAAAGTATATGTAAGGGCAGTGATCGCGAGTTGGGACGGGACGTCTGCCAACGAAGAGTATGGTGAGGAAGAAGGGTTAATTGATGGTATGTACTTTTGTTCAATAACGAGATGAAGATCAGGTCGCAAGGGCAACCAGGAAACGAACGAGGTACAAGGGTGCACGGGTGCTGCGAGTGATCAACATCAACATTTCACTGATCACACTGATCAACACGTTTTCGTAGCCGAGTGACTCGAGGAGGATGCATGTCAAGCGCCAAATCTTGAGATCTGACATTACATCAGCAGCGGAGTTCCAATTTCCTTGGAAGGAATGCTGACAAGCTGAGTTTAAAAACAGAGCCAACACGTTCCCCCCTTTTGGCCTTGTCTTTCACCAGCAGCATGTCGCGGCGCCCAAATCGCGTCTCCCCTCTCGCCATCGTCCTGCCCCAGCCTCCGCTCCCTCGTCGTCGCTCATCTCTTCTTTCTACTGACTCTGCTTCTTCTACCCCTAGGACTCCACGTTCCTCCGCTTGCGGCTCCCCAAACTGTTCATCCTGGTTCATCAAATCAAACAATAGAAAGAGCTCAGACAGCTGGAATAGCTCAAATCAAGATTTTGGAGACGATGTAGAGGCTGCTGACTGGAAAGCTGACCATATTTTATTGCTGTCACGGGTGCGTCCTCGTCTTCGTTATCATGTGTCCCGCTCATTGTATCTGCAGACCCTAGATGCTCTTCCTTCACATCTAGTCACTCCTTTTAATGGCCCTATCCCTCCTTCTAATCTCCTCGATAAGATTGCCCGAGGCGTTGCCCAGGCTAAGGGGCCTAATGACTGGCCATTTTCTCTTCGTGCAACTCGCGTAAAACTCATTGAGATTGCTCGTACACGCGCGAGAGAAGACGCCAAGGTATATGTGGATGAGAATGATGATTATTTCTTTCGTGGTGGGGAACCCGACCTTCCTGCAGTTGGAAGGAAGCCCCGCCGTCCTGTATACCGGCAGTCCAGTATGGACTTTCTCTATGGGTCTATCTCCGAAGATCAAGATGAGCATGACAATATTACGCGGTCTGTGTTCAACCCTACCTTTGCCTTGTCTGTATTGAATTTCTTGTGTTTAGCTTATCCAACCGTCTTCAGCGAACGTCAGATTGCTTTGTCTCACCGACCACGTCTTATCATCCGTATTCGCGGACGCGAGCAGCTAACCACCTTTCTCAGCGCCGTTCAGCTTCACCGCCCCGTCCCGGTCACCTTCCGTCCCTCCTTAGCCCATCTACACCCAGTACCTCGACCCTCACTACTCTCACTACCATTTCCTCCTCGTGCTCACATCATAAGCGCTCTGGGTCCACACTTTCGTCAATGACCTCCAACGAGTCCTTGAGTAGTGCCGATGCCAAACTGTCATATCATCAGCTACTGCCTTCTTCCATGGTTTCCGCTGCGGATCCACGCGTCCAGCGTGTTCGTCGATCAGAATCACTTTGTGGGCCCTCAGCCTCCGTTAACGACCATGCTGCTTTCATACAAACCGCAACGCCTGCGCCCGTACGACAGTCGATTAAGCGTGCCCCGTCTTTCGGTGCTGCGGCGCAAGAACTTAGAGAAAGTAATCGAGCGAGGGTCGCTAATGACCTCGGTCTTCTCGGAATGGAAACACCCACTGATGCGACCTCATATCCTTCTTCCGATGAAGAGGAGAAAAAGAGGAGTAGACATGTTAAGAAGGCGAGGACAAAGAATATTGTTACATCATCATCGCCCCTTTTGCAACCATCCTCATCTATCCCTACTCCCGAAATCAAGGTCAAGGGCGCAAAGAAGTGCAGGGAGCAGAAGGATTCTGGTCATGGCAAGACGGATGGTGACCGGTCATCGTCTAGTGTCAGTCTTGGCAGCGGAAGGCAATCAACGTCACAACGGCCAGCTCAGCGCGCGAATCTCCAGCGAAATCCCAGTATTTTTGGTGACGAGCTTCCTCATCTCCATATTCCCCCTCCGGACGATCATCAAATGCAAGTCGACTCTATGTACATGGGTCCTAGCACGGTGAAGAAGACTCCTACCCTTCGTCGGGTACGACGATTGGGTCTTGCGCCTTCGAGACGGATATCGTTTGGAAGTCTTGCTGTGCCCGAGGATAGCGTAGTGTCACGTTTTGATCAAGGACATGACGCAGATGTTGAAGAAGATTGCGAAACTGGGCTGGGTAGCGCCTTTCAATTGAGATGAAATCTCGTCTAGGGGAATCCATTCTCGGTTTCTGGACGGTAAGAGATTCTATCTCGCATTATGCTATATCTAACAAATGTGCCTAGTCTCTCGTCAGGCTCTTCGGTTATCCAAGACCATACACAGTTGGAACATCCCCCTCAATATTATTGCAACCATCTATTTCTCGCAACTACGCAGTTACAGCCGTCCTACTATTGGCTCAACAAATCAACTCTCGTTTTATCACATTACCACTCGATCATCTTTGTCTCTCGTTGCTCAATTGTTTTTTCCATCTCATCCCATCTCCCGTCTCTTTCTCAAAATTGCTGTCGGAATCCTCCTGTTGACACCTTCCCATTACCCTCTTCCTGATCGTTGGTCCGCCGCCTATCGGCCTGTCACCATAATTCCGTTGGAACAGTTGTAACAATACTCATATTAGCATGTTGGCTTCGCATATCATTGCCACTGCCGTCACACCACTCTTTCAGTATCCTATCGGCGCTCCGAAAAGCCCACACGTATGGTGCTTCCATCGCTCTTTGCACTCTGAACCAAATATCAATTTGTCAATCACACACTCTCATTTCAATCATTCTCCTTCCTCTTGGCCATCTGTTATTCCTGGACTGCTCGCCAGGCACTGCGGGCATGTACAATATCTAGTGCTCTGCACTCGTACGCTTACAGCGTCTTTTATCATTCCCTTTATCTGATGCTTCATTTTACTGCGACAACCCCGAACCCGCTTCTTCTTCTTCTGTCTGCTGTATGTATTATTAGTAATCACTTATTTTTCTGCTGGCTTTTTCGATTACAGATATATAGATGTCGACTGACTGCACTGGTTCCATTCATCCGCTTCTCAATAATCTTTGTTCAGATATCAATGCTCGCGATTTTCTTGTTGACACACGAGGTCTACTCTTGGTCTTGTCAATCAATATACTGATATTTCCATGTTGCGGATGTCGAACGCGTGTTTTTCGTTCCGTCTCAAGCCTACTCGGGACTGTCAAGTTCGGAACCGGTACAAAGTTTGGGAGCGCACTATTTAGACAAAGCCGTGTTTGTTTTATTGGTGTTCCTTGATCCAAGCCGCCTCGAGGCTTATTGAATTCACAGAGCTAAACTACTTGCGGAAAAGTTGGTAGGTAACGGCAGCCGAGCCTTTGTACAAAAGAACGCTGCAATGATTCCAGGGACTATCATAGAAAGCACGCTTCCGCATTTCTTAGTTGATGGGATAACGATATTCATTAATTCGTCGGACAATACGCGCGTCTATATCCAAGGCGGAAACAATAGTTGAGGTACTCTTTAGTGGGTGAGTTGACTGCCTTTGTGACAGTTGAAGTGCATCGCGATGCACTACGTGGGGACTTATCCAGGGAGAAACAGAAACAGCATGATAAACATGGCGAGCAAAGAGTAAAGACTGGTGTCTTGATCTGAGAGTCTGCCTAGGGGAGACTAGGATGGTTTTTGGACTTAGATATACGGTAGTACTATTTCATTTCAATAGGTAGACAGCATCTCAAATAATTTCTATTCCGCAGAACGATGGTATCTGAGTGATAAAAATTAGCAATGAATTTAGTGAGAAAGATGGTCAGGAGACCGGCGTACAGGTCTGCTGATGACCCGGTCTGTTCAGTGCTCACTACCGCTCGGTATCTGCGTCGCAGCGAAGTCTTCCGCAAGCTCTTGTCGAGCTTGTCGACGTTCTGCCAGCTCTAATTTCTTCTGCGCAATGATACCACTAGATTTCTGGTCCCATCTCCACGCAAGGTATCCAAAGGCTCCCCAAGCACCCATTGACACGGCATGCCCGGTCATGTCTGTATTGGTCGCTATGAGAGGTGTATGTCGAATTGAAGCAATATTGACGCACTATCAAACAAATTTCGTTTCTGAATTCCAAGTTGGCCAAACCTGGCGGCAAGGCCGAAGAGGGAGAACCCTAGAACATTTGCGAACAACGACATTTTGGTGGTCAGTGAAAGGAGCGATCCGTTCGATGCCGTCTTTAGCAAACAGATGTAAACTCATAAAGTGCCACTGCCGCCACCACATTGCCCGCTTTTCTTGGTATTACTACTCGATTCTGCCTTTGGCATACTGCGTTCGACGTGAAAGACGTAAAATAGCCCGGCGATGTCTTCTACCACCGATAAATTAGAAACGGGAAAGCAGCACAAGGAGACGGGCGATCAGGCCTTCAAGAATAGGGACTATAAAGCAGGTGTGTATTTCTTTGTGACTTGTTCGCACTGTTGCTGACTTGAGTTTCTTACCCTTAGCATTGACCGCATATTACATGGTATTTTATTCTATCTCCAAGATGAATTCGGCGGCGCTGATGGCATGAAGGCTTTAATGTATCTTCAAGGGCTCGACAAGTGTGTTCAGTCTTTGACATTTATGTTGATATCTCGCTGACAGACTGTTCTAGGAACGCCATTCCTGGCATGTCGGTCAATCCTTCTCGAGAGGAAGCGGAAAATTCTGACAAGAAACTATCCGAGGTCGCCGTTCCCGATTCTTCGCCACCCGCTCGTGCTGATTTTGGTCGTAGATCGATGAGATTATAAGCAAGATTTATGGCAACATGTCGGCGTGCCACTTCTCTCAACAGAACTGGAAACGTACGATCGAGACCGCAGACAAGGTCTGTACGTCGTAGTAGTTTCGTACAGCCGTTGACCGCTCTTCTCAGGCGCTCGCAAAAAACGAGAAGAATTATAAAGCCCTCTTTCGAAAGGGGAAGGCATTGGGTGAACAAGGATATAGCGAGAGAGCTATCAGGGTTCTGGAAGACGTGAAGAAGAAGAACCCAGAAGGCCAGTATTCTGAATCAAGTCTTCCTAACGTTGTCCAACTCTCTTCCTTGTTCAGACGGACCCAAAGCCGACGCCGAGATCGCGCGTCTTAATGCGATAGATAAAGCACGCGCCAAAGTCGAGCGACAAAAGTTGAAAGGTCGGTCGGTATACTGTCGTGGCGCCGCTGGGAATCTGATTTTGCTTATGTTCCAGGCTTCTTGACACGAGAGCGAGAGCCAAAGTTGAAATCAAAGTCGACGACGACGACAGACCCCGAGGAAGTGATCGAAAGTATCGTATCCCCTGCCGTTGCGGGCTTGTCCTAACTATATTGTCTCCTTCCTTGGTCTTTCATTCTGTTGTTCATGTTCTGATGTCGCAAATGTATTTTCAGCTCCCTGTTTTCAAAGATCATCAATGTATCACACGAACTACACAAGTGCATAATACAGTTATATTATTATGAAAAACTTCTCCTTTACTTCTGGATCTGGCGCGTTACACTAAGGTTACAACGTCGGTGTCGACAAATTGTCCGACTTCAAACTCCCCCTCGACCACTCCGGCCTTTTGAAGGACGCTGTCCATATCCTGTTAGCTTTTCAATCATGACTGGTAACGTATACAACCTTAGGGTGTCAGTTATGACCTTAGTTTGGATCGTTAAGCAATCATCGGGATAACCGACGGTTTTCAACCACGCCTGAATCCGAAAGTCGGTACATGTGGTACAGACGCCAGGAGAGAACTTGCCAATATATCTTTTTCTGAGTACCCGAAGTGAGTCTTGATAAATTCCACATTACGGCTTGCACGGCTGTCGGGGGAATCAAAAGTCTTGACATAGGTGGACAGCGATGTCAAAAACTCCCGCAGATCGCCAGAAGGGGTGGTCGGTCGAGCTGCAATCAACCAGGAAGGCCAGGGCGTCGGCACCGAGCCAATCTAGGTGATATCAATGTTTTGACCGATGACCGGTAAAAAGGCGCTTACAAAACGACATTCCTTCGCATCGACGAACGGCTTCGTGGTAAACCATTCCCACATGAAAGCGCTGGTTGATCCATCGTTGACGGATTTGATGAGTCCATGGATGTCGTTGTTGACTGCGTAGAGTTAATGTCGGATGCTTATTAATAAGTCAAGACAAGACATCAGAATCCCTACTCTTGAATTGAAGGTCTTCCGAAGGCCAGTCCTGTTGTAGGGCCATTACGTACGCCATGGTCTGGCTTCCGCTGAGGTTACCGCGTTAGAGGACACTAGAAGCAAATGGAATTTGGCACAAAGATTGACCTTCCTTGTCGTGAGATTCCTATCGTCGTGTCTTTGAGATCAGCAATCGAGTTATACTTGGATCCAGTTCCTGTAATGACGGCCCTACAGCAAGACGTCATGGAGGAAACGCCTGCGACGCAATGGTAGACAGTTACCAGTTCAAGGGTGTCGTGACATAGCTGCCCACCAACTTGTAGGCCTTGGATCCGTTAGCGATGCCAGAGATAAGCGGATCTGTGAGTGCACTGGATACAGAAAGCTTCTAATCAATCCAAGTCATGCAGTGTCGGTCTCGAATATAGACCCACATCGCAACATCAATCTCATCGTTTGTGAGGCGCGAGATCAACTGTCCGGTTCCGCCTAGATGGATAAAATTAGCTTTGAGGTTCGCAAAAGGCATAATTGAGATTTAACTTGGACATTCGACAAGAGTGAAGGTCTTATTCTGGTCTGCTTGGGCGTATTGTAGTAGGGGAGAAGAGAAATGCTCTCGAACTAAAGCAGAGTACGATTGAAGAAGAATCGAAGTACAGAGCAAGAATCAATGCGGACCATATCCAATCCTGAGCGGCATGATCGACTGAAAGTAGGGTGTCAGAACATATATCATATCTGGGGACTTCCTGTGAACTGCGAGGATCGCAGAGCCCTTGCCCTCAGGTGAGACGGTGGTTTCCACACGACCAACAGTTAAGAGTTTACAACTACATTAGACACAACGAAATAGACTTACAAAGTTCGTTTATTTTAGATGTCGATACAGAATGTGAAACGATAACAACAACAATGCGGAAGTCGGGCCGAATGGTGTTGATTCTTGAACCTTTGATCTGTTGCCGTCGAAAGGACCTGAGACGTCTCTCGCAATCTCATAGCTATCTCAGTTCTCATCGCCTTGGTTCTTATTGTTATTAAGGGCGCAGTCGACCCTTGACGCTGCTAAGTTGCTGTGCTCATAGTCTGGTATTTTCGAGCCAAAGATGTAGGCATTCTGTCGTTAACGGTACTTTCAGGGTGAGTAGTTGAAAGATTGATCAACTCCGCTCCGTATATACAAGCTAAGGTAAATAAGAGGTCCGTCACTTAATGTTGGCCACGAGAAAAGGTATAGAGAGAACAGGATAGTCGCTGTAACCTACGTTTTCACTTTCTGGACGGCCAGTTTCGTTCTTACAGCTTTCAGCATCGTAGCAGCCCTGCCCGCCAACTCTGTATGACTCTCCGCCACTCGCTCCAGATACTCCTTCGCCTCAGCCAAATTTCCAGAAGTAAAACGAATATTACGCTCCGACAAGGCCAACAAGGACCCCAAATAGGGCTCTGAATTGTTCAGACGACCTAGTCCGACCAAGGATGAGAAGCAATAGATGAGCAAATTAGATTAACCTCACCTTCCGCTGCCTCACCAATCTGAACCACTGCCCGGAAATGCTGTTCCGCAGCAAGCCAGACATCCATGGAACGAAATATAGAGCCGAGCTTCCAGTTTATGCCTGGGAGGGACTGGTTGATGCCAATCTTGAGTGCACGGCTGTAGGCGGAGATAGCCTCCTGGATTCTGATGATGCAAGGGTATGAGGATCAGGATATAGAAGAATGTCCAGAGATATACCTTTCCGTGTCTTCGTAGCAGGACCCTAGCCCATCCCATATCGTCACATCATTAGGCCTAGTAGAATAGATAGTGTCACGAGTAACAGGTTGCATCAAGACGAAGACACACCTCAACGCTGAAGCTCGTTCATAATAATATAGAGAATAGTTATACATACCCAGCACTCTGTATGCCTGTCCCATCCCGGCCCAAGCGCGATAGTCCTTCTTGGTGATATCTACAGAAAACTTTATAAGCCCAAGAAGTAAAACAAACTCTCCGCGAACCTAATGTCCGGCGATATGCCTCGATCGCAGCATGAGTATTACCCATCACGAGATACTCATGGCCCATTGACGTCCACGCGTGATAATAAGTCCGATCCAGGTAGGTAGCGCGCCGGAAATACTTAACTGCATTCTCATGCTCTGTACGGATCGAATACGCATTGCCTTCACATACTCCGTCAAGAAGCAGCATAGTCGCAATATCGAACGAACGCACCAATGAAGCAACACACCTCCGGCCGATTCTTGTCCTTTTCCTGAAACTTTTGAGCATAAAATGAGAGCTTCTCCTTGTTGTCCATCACATAAAGAATGTCAGAGAAGAAGTCGATGTCTTCAAGTCGGTCGGGTTCTAGGGAAAGGATACGCTCGAACTGCGCCTGTGCATCCCTATACTCTGATGAATTCAGGACCTTGGCAATGACCATCGGGCCGTAAAAGGTGACGCTTGATAGGCAAGCATATCCACGGCTTTTCATAGACATTACCCATAAGCTTGCCGGGAAAAAATCGAGACTGAGGAGGTGGTCGCATATTTGGACTTGCATTGAGGCCAAGTGGAGGTCATTGAGCATCTTCACCCGAAACATGTAAACCACGGGGTGATTTGGTGGTAGTGTCATCCGAGCCAAGACATCATTATACTACCAGTCGTCAGCCATAAAGCAAAAGAATTTGAGTGACCACAGACCTCTTTTTCGGAATCGATACAATCTCCCAAAAGACACCAGGCAGCCCATATCCAAGGTTTGTTCGCGACAACATTCAACAGCGTCATTATTGCCTCCTCTTTACGTGACATTCGGGAGAGAAATAATGCCTCACTGATTCTCAATCAACATACGAAAATCGCTTATTAAGTACAGGCTTACATGAACATGAGCCAAGGCTCCGTTGAGTGCGCGACGTCTTCAAGTAATACGGGTATCTCGTTGTTCACAGGCAACGTAGGCTGCTCCTTCTTATCTTCGGTAACGTTAGACTTGGAAGAACACGTCGCAGGCCACGTACCGCTGAGCCTGTACCACTCGTCCAGAGCTAGCCTTTCTTGGCTCTGCCGGACACACATCAACTAGCGCGTCCTTTTATCAATGAACACACGCACTATATACTGACAATACAAGTTATAATACCGAGCCTTATCGCTCCTGCAGTCTCGTACAATGTAAGCAGCGCGCTGAAACTGCTTGTCACTCATCGACTGTCTTGCTGAAGCAATGTGGTCCTGCTCTGTTTGCTCCAGATCATCAACAGGCGGCGGTGGGGGTCGATTATGTGTTCGCTTTGCAGATGGAATCGACATGAACATCTCCGATAGCCTTGATATATGCATGAGCCGTGCTTTTGGATATATACACAACGAGAACGCACCAACTGACCATTTCGCTGAAGCAAGGAGGCCGCGCTCGGTACAGTGTCGAATGGTTGAGCGAATATCGTGTACCATGGCTTCATCAATAGGTATTAGAGGATCCATCGCGTCGTAGAGCGTCGTAGTGTTCAGAAGGTGTGCCCTTTCGTGGCCATTTACTACTGTTTATTTATGTTAAATAACATTTCACCGCGCTGTATTTTATTCAATGGCCTCATTTTCAGCCAGAACATGTTGCAATTGGCGACAAGCACCACTTTTCATAATATACTTAAATATTTCACAGGCACGGCGATGGGAAAAAATCTTTCTGTTCGCATGTTTTTCCTCTCAGCGAAACGGCAATGTCGCTACGGCCGGGCCGGCATCACCCCTGCCACTCGCACATGAACGTTGAGGCATAGGTCCAGCCGCTGAGCGCTGCAGGTCCTCTGCGCTTCCCTGCAATTTCCAGTTCCAGGCCATGGAAACAGCGGCAACATCTACGATATCTTCATCAATACTTCAAAGCTATTACTCTGATATCAAGACATTGCACAACTACCTTAGCGATGTTTTGAACAGCGATGCGATTCCGGATTGGTCTCTGGTGACTTCGGACGACTCTATGCGATACATACACCTCATAAAAGAGTCTTTTGTTGCTATCAACCAATGTCGCGTGTTGTCATCGCGTCAGAACTTGAAGGTCGCAGTACCTAGGGCTGATATAACCGAGGTGAGCATCACTCAGCCATCCTAGCGATACTGTATAACTCAGATTCTTTTGAGACTATACGCCAAGCTCAGAAAGTTATCTTCCAGAAAAAATCCTCTGCAAATATCATAACGTTAGGATACTATTATCGTGTCCGTCTACCGGGTTGTTCAAACATCGCGCTACCTTTTTACGCGTTTTCATAGGATAACGAAGTAGTTCCTCGTGACAATCATGGAATGATACGTCCAGGAGCTGAAAATAATAGCATCAACACTATCGTCATGGCGTTGCAGAGTGAGGAGTGGAGAGTACTCTTGGCACGGCGGGTTTTATCTCTCATTACATTAAACTTGCTACTAAACTGATTCTTCATATAGGATTGGTGAGGATGCAATGATGCATCTGCTGACAGATACAGCTATATTTATCTCTTTGCCCAATAATTGTTTTTGCCAAATGACGGGGGAGCTTCTAATCAACTTACCGCCTCCTTGTCCGCGCATAAATCCTGGAACATCGTCGCTTGGAAAGCATTTGTCCAAAACTTCTGACCTTGGCGAAAGAGCCACTAAGCTGCAAAGAACAGATTCCACTCATGGATCGCGTCAGTGGACTGATCCCAGCACCACGTTGAAGACCATGACGTACGCGTCATTCATCCTAAATATACCTTCCGACTGACAAAATATAGGGCGAGTCCCGCAGATGTTGTTTTTGTTCGCTCTAGGCTATTCTTTGGGAGGCCTGCAACCATACCCCATACGAATCAGATAATATGCGGATTTCAGCCGAATCGTTTGTCATTTCACTCCCCAGAAGTTACGAAGGACTGAATATAATCAGACATTCTCAATAGGCTCATACCCGGCTATTCCGTCGTCGACCAGCTGAATGGTGTTGAGGTGCCTGACTACCATCCACGACAACAGCAAGAAAAAGCCCGCCATCTGTCAAAATACATTTTCCCTCGACAGTATGGACTGTCAAGTGCTTTCATGTTCAAGACTTCGAAGTGGGGCCCCCCTACAACACCCACCTTCACTGATCGAGGAACTGAAATCCGAGTATGATACTGTCAGCTGTATCTTTTGTTCTGTTTATTGATCGTATCACAGCCGTCAAAGACTCCCAAGCGCTTAAGAGAGATATTGAGTCTCCTCGATAAACTTATATGGAGGCACGGAAAGTGCAAATACAAGCTCCTTCAGGACCAAGTTTGCGCCTCAAAGGTGAGAAGCTTCCATGTGTCAATCAGAGCGGTATTGCATATCTCTGCCATAATTAGGTTACTACAAAGTCTGAAAAACCTCTAGAAAGCAGCATGATACTAGTGAATAGTCTTTGTTCCGCCTTGAATTTGGCTGACACGTATGACAGGAACTGCTGTTAGAGAAAACCTCTCAGTTTCAGTCTCAAGCATCGTTGGGGGAGGTTTCGTTGGATTCGGCTGGGAATTCCATCTTTCCCACAGGTCTCCCTCAGGCCAGAAGATACGCTGAAAGCAAACCGCGTTTTGTAGAATTTTCGTGCAGTCATTTTGAGGTGGGCGATTGACATCTACGTACATCATGTCTGACTGTCTTCCAGGTATACCGGTATGTATTTCTTGTTACGCAGCAAGTCATACCATATGGGTTCTGGGGGAGTGACAATAACTTGAAACATATATGCCATAGTATGTCGGTTACTGATTAATAGTTTATAATTCTTTTTTCTTGACCAGGCCCCTTTTAGATGTACGAGAGTTCATATCATTGCGCCGCTTCGAAACCTTTTCTCTGCATCACGTTCTTCAAGGATTCAGCACGTCCGACTGTGAATGGCTGATGCCGCTGGGCAGCGGAGAGAAGCAGACACGCGTCAGCATCTCTGATGCTGCGAAGCGGCGAGAGTTGCTAGAAGATTTCTTATACTGGTACTTCGACTCCTTTGTATTGTCGCTGTTGAAGGTGGGCTTAAACACTCCGACTTTGCGTTGCCTGACAAGGACAGACATGCTTTTTCGTAACGGAGTCTTCGGCGTTCAAGAATAAAGTCTTGTACTTTCGTCAGGATGACTGGAAAGTGCTTTGCGAACCACTTCTCGATCGTTTGACTACCGGAATGTTCGAAAAGATAAAAAATGTTGGCCTTTCAATCTCGACTTCGATTGGGCACTACTTATACACCTTGATCAACAGTCTGAAGCTGAAGAAGTTCTTCGCCAGCGCAAACTAGGTTATTCTTTTGTTCGTCTACTACCCAAAGAAACGGGCGTTCGGCCAATCGCAAACTTGAGACGCAAGCAGGTCGCCATCGAGGTGAGTGGGCAGCTCTCCAGGCAAGATAGTCTGTGCTAGCTGACCAACTCGTAGGGAGGCCTTAATGCCTCTGAGCAATCAATCAACCAGATACTTCAGGTCGCATTCAAGATTCTCACATATGAAAGAGTTCGTATCACTTATTTGTACTGGATGGAGACCGACTCAATATACGCAGAAAATGCAACCTCACTTACTAGGTGCATCTGTGTTAGGAAACGACGATGTCTATGTCAAACTCAGAAGCTTCAAGGATCAGCTCATGCAAGAGTATGGGAGTGAATTGTGAGCGTCATCTTCGCTGGCGTCTACTTCTGCTGACGCTGTTCAAGACCCAAGTTATATTTCGTCAAAGTTGATGTTCGAGCCTGCTTTGATACCATTGATCAAACAAAGCTGCTTACAATCTTGCGGAACGTGATATCTGAGGTGAGCCCACTCATCATCTAGCCGAATAATCCATCTCAGCGCGCGATGTAGGAAAATTACGTGCACCAAAGATACGGCAAGGTGTCCTCTACCGCAGGCAAAATCAAGCGTAGGTTTGCCAAGGAGGCTCTTCCTGCAGGTGACTCACACTCGTCGAGTTTTTCCCCTGGATTGATAACTATCTCAGACGCTCGTCCACATTTTCTTGAGTACGCCACGCAGCTCGCGGGGGCCTTGCGGCATACGATTTTTGTTGATCAGGTAAAACTTCATCTCGTATCTATAAGCCTGGATTTTCACCAGAGTAGGTGGTTTACCCTCGGTCTAAACGGCACGAAATATGGGACTTGCTTGAGCAACATATCACGGAAAATATTGTCAAGGTCAGTTCCAGTAATAATCCCTGAAATTGTATCGTGACTTGTTGCTCGATGTAGATTGGACAGGACTATTATCGACAGGTGTTTGGGATTCCGCAGGGTTCGGTTCTCTCCTCTATTCTCTGTGCGTTTTTCTACGGCGACCTTGAGAAGAGGTTTAAGCAGTTTACGGAGGATCCCCAAAGCGTATGTTTTATCTCGGTGGCGGGTTGAACGTGTGTTGACGTGGTCCTCATAGGTATTGCTTAGACAAACTGATGATTATTTGTTGATCACCGTTTCCTTGACCCATGCGAAGGAATTTCTCTGCATGATGAACGAAGGTACATATTCTGTCAAAGTGCCATTCTTTCTTTTCAATGTTGGATAGGCCACCCGGAGTATGGTTGCTTCATATCGAAAGAAAAAACGATGACGAACTTTGACTATGGTCATCACGTTTTGAATGTGACTAATCCTCATCAACAATGTAAGCGAGCACATCCTGTCCATCTTCGTGTTTTTCTCAAACTTTCCTAGCTTTCCTGTGGTGTGGTTATGCAATCAACATGAAACATCTGTCTGTGTCTGGTGATTATGCCCGATATCACGACCTCCGTAAGTCATGACGGCATTCTTTGAACCGTTCAAAGACTGAAAATATTTCAGATTTGCGCAATACTTTAACGGTCAACAAGATACGGCGACCAGGATCTGCTTTTGTGTATAAGATGCTCCAGTATGTCCCATCCAGTATGATATTCATAAGCTGACACGTCCGATACAGACTGACCAAAAGACGCATTCATGTTATTTTCTTTGACCATAAACTAAACTCGGAGCGTGTCGTGCATCTGAATGTTTATCAGAACTTTGTTTTGAGCGCCATGAAGATGCATGGATACATTAGCGAGTGGGGTATAGACTCATCTAAGCGCGGAAAAATGGTCTATCGTACGTATCTTTATTTTACCTATCGTGATTCCACCCTAATTTCGGTCCCCAGGTACCGTAAAGCAGATGATCGCGTACTTCTATGCGTCGTTCCGAAACACGTCGCGAACACAAGTGGCCAAGAGTCTCGATGCGAAAATTACCGTGAACAAGGCCGAGGTCGACTGGTTAGTTGTTTCTTATTCGCGACGTCAGTCATTAACCATAACTAGGCTCGGCTGTAATGCATTCTATACTGTTCTCTTACGCAAGCCGAGAGGGTATGCTTGGGTTCTAAAGGAGCTTCGTGGTGATATAGGCAGACTGAAGGGCTCCCGATGTAGGAAGCGGTTCCGTGGGCTGTTCGCTGAAGGGCTTGGGAGCATGGAGCAGATAGCCTACTAGAGATCCCGGGATGGCGGAGACTAGGTTCGGGCCGATTACATAGATCCGGCAATTGTTACAACCGGGAATTTCAAGGATTTCACAGCTATGATCACGCCTCGAAGATTCATCAGCAAACCGACTCTATTTATTGCTTTGAGATCGTCCTGCTCTCATCATCGTAGCACTTTACCACGAATTGCACCAGTATCATCTCTCTTCACCTACCCAACTCGATACATGTCTACTGAATCTGGCTTCTACTCGCTCAAGGCGACGCTGCCTGGTAACAAAACGTATGACTTTGCGGAGCTGCAAGGAAAGACTATCCTGATCGTCAATACGGCATCAAAATGGTATTTATCCCAAGATTGGATACTTGTTCTCGTTGTTCACAAACCGTGCATAGTGGATTTACCCCCCAATACACAGGTGCGGTTTCTTTACTCCGTTACAAAAGAAACCAGATCTAATGTTCCTGTAGGTCTTCAAGGGTTGTATGACAAGTACAAGGACCGCGACTTTGTCATCCTTGGTTTCCCATGCAATCAGGTATGCGCTCCATCGAGTTTGCGAGGGAGATTCACGCAGTTGACGTTTCTCAAAAGTTTGGTGGGCAGGAGCCTAAAGGCGACGAAGCCATTGGTGAATTCTGCTCCAGGAACCACGGTGTCACTTTCCCCCTGATGAAGAAATCGGATGTGAATGGCGACAATACCAATGAGGTGTACAAGTGGCTGAAGAATGAAAAGGCTGGTCTTTTGGGGCTTACCAGGATCAAGGTAGGAGTTTTGACTCTAGGTTACTGGTGATCTTCTCATGATGGGACAGTGGAACTTTGAAAAATTCCTCGTCAACAAGGAGGGCAAGGTCGTACATCGGTGGGCGTCGACGACGACTCCGGAGAGTATTGATGCTGAGATTGCCAAGATCTTGTAGAGGAAAGTTGTAAATGTAATATGACATCACTATTCCACATCGTTCTCCTACATGCCTGCACATTCCAGCGAAACCTCGTCCATCTACTTTGACGCACCGCTCACCCCCATGTCCACCCCGCCTCAAATTCTCGACAAGCCACTCACAGTCGACCCTACCGTATACAACGGCCGCGATGCTGAGGTTCCAGACAAGGGTCACAAGGCGATTCATCCGAACGGTTCAGAAGGTTGGCTTCCAGCCGCAGATTTACTCGAACAATCCGTCTCGCCTACTCATACCGGTCCCATCTTGCGCAAAGCAGAGAATGCACCTTCCATCCACTCTTCCACGTCGTTCATTCCCAAGGACTCGCTAAATCGGGGAGCTTCAATATATCGCTCTGCCTCAGTCTCCAAGCGGAGCGTGTTCACCAACCCCGATGGAAATCCTATAGTCGGTTCTACCTTTATTGGCGGTGCCGCAACAACTGGCCCAAATGCCAAAGCCGAAGCAGACGAAAGCCTCCACAACAGAGCGGCCTCCGCCGACGCATCGTTGTCTGCAAAGCAGTTGTTCAAAATCCAGAAGACAGAAGGTGCGTTTATTATCTACCAGACGACTGCGCACTCACATCGCCTTTTGCAGCAAAAGACAACAAACGTCTCTCCAAGGTCATCAAAACCGAAGGCAAGGTCGAAAAGCAAGCTTTGGCAGTGGCTATTCAAGAGTTGTCCGAGCTCCAGAACTTACAGAAAGCAGCCATAAAGGTAGTATCGCGCACTATGCTCTATTGACGATAACTCATTCTTCCGTCGACAGCGCGAGTCACAAGCCCACACTGCCCATGCTCGAGCCCTTGCCACTCTCCAGAAGAACGAAGCCACCTTCCTTGCGGCGCGCACCAAGTACGAGACGGCGCAGGCCCAGCTCCAGGCAGAGGCGGAGACTCTTAACATCAGCAGAAACAACGCTCGTGAAGCTACTGAGCGCATGCAAGCAAAGTCACGGGAGATCGATGGCTTGAGGACCATGTTTGGCGTAGACGAGAGAGAACGCGAGGTGAAGCATGTTGAATTAACTCCGAAGAAGTCAAAGCATGCTTGGAAATGGTGAGATAAGTATTGTACTGCCTTTCTCCCGCATTGTCCGTATCGAACATTTTTCGGATTTTTGGATTTAAAGCCAATACACATCGGTTTGTAAGTGCTGAATTGTCACCTGCTCTGATCAAGAAACAGAAAAGTTGCCAGCGACTTCTCTTTGTTCATCAATCATAGTGATCTCTTCGTCTACATAGAATGCGCTTATAATGTTGTGCTCCTCCCACCTTTGCGTCTTTGCGTTCGCGGATCACTCGATTGGATCTGATGTGTAACATATGGGAGGCGCATCTGCACTTGATATACTTAGGTTGTTGCTTGAGCAGCTGAGCGACGTCCAAACAGTGGGACTCACCACAAAAGGATGCAGTGGGAGACGGACAGCAGACTTGTAGTCCTTAGTGAGCAAGTGTTGTCGTTCTTTGGCACGTATCTGTGAGACGCGTCTGCCTGCTGCACCTCTACGACAAGTTCAACTCGCGATTATATGCCGGGAAAACATTTTTGGAGGTCCTTTTGTCTGTGCTCGAGCGACATCGGCGAGTGAAATGAAGAGGCAGAGGACTGAGGGACGTTGCAGGAGCACCATTCGGGCCGATGCGATCCGATAACGGCTTCCTCCTCTCTCCAACAACGTCGTACAGTCATGATTTGCTCTCATTCGCCGTAGAAATCCCCATTTCTCCGTCAAGGACCTTAATGATGCTACCTACACGGTCTGCACTCCATATTCGACGATACTCTCCAAAAATGACCACTACGACACCAACGCTGCTGCGTCTACCAGTCCCTGCTCTCCGTAAAACGCTAGACAAATACCTAACATCCTTAGAGCCCTTTTTGCTAGAAGATGCCTCCAAGAAAGGGCTGGATGATGATGCTCTCGATGCGTCTCGTCGACTTCGTGCTCAGTGGGCTGATGAATTTGCATCAGGTGTAGGAAAACTCTGTCAGGATAGACTGCTGGGTGCGTTTGTCTCCTTCCTTTTGAAATGCGCTCGCATTCTTAGTTTGTCTGGAGAACTTGACAGAGCATCTCCGAACAACTGGCTGGATGACAATTTTTGGATGAACAACGCGTATATGGAATGGAGAGCTCCGTTGCTCATCAATTCCAATTGGTGGCTTGCTTTCGAGGACGATGCGAACATTCCTGTATCGGAAAAGGAACGAAAAGATGGCCACTTCAAGACTGGGTTCTCCAGATGGCAGATTAAGAGAGCGGCTTGGTTGCTTCATCGAATATTAGAGTTCAAAATCAAACTTGAAACGTACGTACCCTCTAATTGGTCCAGCTCGACTTTCGCTTAAGAAGTTCAGGCAGGAGTTATACCCGGATACTACGCGGACAGGTGTGCTTTGTGGATATCTGTCGTGTCCTTGGAATCTGAAGTGGTCTAGGTATCTGGCTAAGAGAAAGCACATCAAAAATGTTTAACGTTGCGCGGATACCGAAGCATTCTTGCGACATCTTATCACCTGTACCTCTACCGACGGATCCATTCGCCTATAACATCGTAGTTATGGTACACGGATGGTTCTACAGAGTCTCTGTCATGGAGTCGCCTTCCGTTTCGATGGACGTTGGCCATTTGGCGCGATACCTAGAAGCTGTTGTTTCGGATGCTGAACAGCGACTGATCGATGGCGAAGAACCGGTTTCCATCGGACTTTTGAGTGCAGATGATCGTGACAAATGGTCAGAAGCGCGTATTCGTCCTTGAACTGTGCGGATTCTTTTCTGATAGCTGGCCCTAGAACTTCGAACATCTTCTTGCTCTTTCTGAGTCCAACAAAATGGTACACACAACACTGTCGAATTCGCTCATGGTACTGAGCCTTGACAACGAAATTTATGAAGACCCTACATCACCGAACCCATCAACGAAAGAATATTCTTTCAACTCCCACCTCCATGTCATTCGTTCGACAGCAAGCAACGTTGGTAACAGATGGTTTGATAAAGCTTTCACCCTCGTCGTTGACCCCGCAGCGCGTTCTGGCGCCATGGGCGAGCACTCTCCATGCGACGCCTTAGTTCCAAGCATTGTCGCCGAGTATGGAATTATCCAAGGTATCAATGGATCTCATTTCGAGAATGATTCCTCTCTTCCATCACGAGGCCAGAGGTGGGACCGGCTAGACTGGGTTGTCGACGACTTCATCAAGGAAGAGTGTGGTATGGCGAAGAAACGTGCCGAGAGGATCATTGAGGACTCGGATGATAGTGTTTTCTGGTTCTCGGATTATGGGGTAGACTGGATCAAGGGAGTCGGTACTTGAGCATCTTTCATTGTGTTATTTTCTTGCGTACTGATGAGGTGTCAGCGAAATTGGCTCCTGACGCGTTCATACAGATGGCGCTGCAAGTGACATGGTACAAGATGCGGGGACAATTCACCGCGACGTATGAGACTGCGCTGACACGGATGTTTGACAAAGGACGAACAGAAACTATCCGGACGCTGACCCGAGAGAGTCGTGCATTCTGCTTGGCGATGGTTGATGGTCGTGTAACGGTATGTATGCCAGATACACATGTGCTGGTATAGCTGAGTTTCTTGCAGGCAGAATCCAAACGCGCTGCACTTGAGTCAGCTATCAAAGTACATACCAGATTAACCCGTGAAGCTGCAACGGGCAAAGGGATTGATCGCCATCTTATGGGTCTACGGCTGATGCTATGCCCAGAGCTTCGAGAACATACACCACTCTTTGAGGATCCATTATTTGGACAGAGTTCATGCTGGAAGCTGTGTACGAGTGGGCTTAGTGCTGGTCACCTCTTTCGGGGTACAGGGTATGTTACTTGGTTATTCCACTTCTCTTCCTCTTTGACTCTCAATCAGATTTGGTGCAATATATGAGGATGGTTATGGTATAAACTGTAAGTGCTTATAACACATCTCTGCAAATAAAGCATATTCACATCTGGATGTAGATCTTGCTGGATCTAGTATGATAAAGTTTGGGATTGAATCCAAATTTTCTAATTCTCTTACATCTACATCTGCTTTTATATCTACTCTTGCTGATGCTCTTAGAAGTATGCAGAATATCTTTTGTTTAGATATACATTCAGAAAATGTTGCTAGGACTCATTTATAATTGTCTTATTTGATGTATAGATCAAGATAGAGCAATGAAATCTATAGTTTATCACTGATATTTCAGTAACATTTTTTGAATGAATATATAAAGTTTTTGAAATACCAATGATAAACTAGAGGTAACATCCTCTATAATGGATAGCTATTTTGCCTAAATCCTGCCTTGGATTACATCCTCTACAGTCAGCCATGCCTTCTTTCCAATATGATTGGCTAACTCTCCAGCCAAGGAATCTCCACCAGCCCCATCAATAAAAGAGCGACTAGTAAGTATATACATTCCTTTCTTGCATCGGGTGAGCATTACATTGGTACGTCTCATGCTATTGAGAAATCCAATTGAACGAGATCGAACAAGAGAGATGATAATGTAATCTTCTTCATTTCCTAAAAGCAAATATTAGAATAGCTTTAGTATGAATAGAAGATTTTAACCTTGAAATGAATCAACATTGAAACATTTATCATACCAATCAAGTCCATCTACTTCTGACATATCCTTTTGAATCTTGTTTCTTTGACTGTCATATGGTGTAATTATCTTATATGACATCTGTTGTTCTTGAAGATAATGAGCAAGCTGTATTGCAACAGCTGCTTCAGCATCATTCTAAATTATATAGCATTAAATCAATATATATCGTTTTAAATAAAATAAACTTACTGTAAATGACTGAGATATGCTCTGTCGTTCTCGACCATCAATCACATCAACAAAATGACAAGCAATAATGTCATCTTGAATTGGATGTAGCAGATTTGACTTCAGCTCATTGTTATAAACTGCTTGAGATATAAAATCTCCTAACTGTGGAGGCATGCGATCTATAAAAAAAAGTCAATAATCAGTCTAAAAATCAAAACAAACATACATTGGATATTGAGTAAAAATGCATTTTCACGTAAATGATCTATCTCAAATATGCTTCTGAGATTGTCAACATTGTCTGTTCCAAATGGTGGTACTGCAGCAAATAAGCAAAATAAGCAAAATCCAGAAAGAATACTTACACTGTTTATCATCTCCAATGAAGCATATCTTCCGTAAGGAGGAAAATCTTATAAAGATATTGAGATAGTCAGCTATTTTGATCTGACTAGCTTCATCAACCACTGCACATCTCAATGCAACAACTTTTGTAAATCTGAAGATCTGTGAATTTGAAAGCATACTGAGAGTGCAAAGAAAGACTCTAGATCCAGATAGATTTTGTGCAGATAGTGCCCCAAACTGTGTAGAGAGAATAACATGTTGCTGGATCTTAGTATAAAGATCATCATGCCTATAAACATTTAATAAGATGTAGATACAATCAGAAAGAGAAGTAAATTACCAGTCATTATGAAAATCTTCAGAGACCAAAAGTTTCCAATCCATAAAATTAGTCTGCAATAGTTTCTCTGCAATATTCTTTACAGCAACATTTGATTGTGCAATCAACCAGATACCAGACTTTCCTTCAGCCAGAGCACAGTGAACAAATGTAGCTATGACTGAGGTTTTGCCTGTACCAGGTGGACCTTGGATGAGAGTAATAGGATATGAAGAAAGCATATGATTAAGAGCTTGTTGCTGGGATTCATTGAGATGGTGGGAGGCAGAGTTGCAATCAGATAATGGCCTGGCTGTAGATATCTGAGTATCTGGTTGAGAGGGAGGAAACCAACTATCAGGCCATTCAAGAGAGGATCGATCTGCACCATCAATAGTATCATGATGGAGCAGTATATTGCAGATCCATGGGTTGTCTTTGAAGATGGTAAGATCCCCCTGTAAGGTATGCCTGATAAAACCATCACGTATTCCTTCAGCTGAAGTTGGCTGATCACGATCTGTACTGATGATAGAGATGACACTCTTGTTGTCACTCATAACAGATGTGTCAAAGTTGACTGTAGCTGACTTTCCTTTGACAAAGCTGATCTGTCCACGGCGCTGTATCTGCTCGCCTGATTCGAGTTGAAACTTGGTGATTACATTCTATAACAAGAATTGTCAGGCCTAGAATTAATAGAAACCATCTCATTGCATACCTGAAACTTGTGAAATCGGGTCTTGAATGCTGAGGCATGAGCATCAATGGATGTTCCATCGATAGAGGCAGCTGAGGCTCGAGCATCAGAGAATTGATGATTTGTCTCCGTGGGCTCCAAGTGGCTGACACGACGGGAGTCTTCTGAGACGCGAGCTGAGGCATTCAGTATATCCAGGAGCTAGAAAGGTAAATGAATTTGTCAGTTCAGCATGGAAGACCTGGCATAATGCCACTCACTTGTCCACTCAGCTCACTGGTATTGATGGGCTTTGCGGTACTGAAAGCGGATATCCCGTTTTCATGCGATGGAAGTATGCATGAAATCCAAGCTCTTTCAAGAATGTCCACGCGCATCCGGCCGATCTCTTCGAGATTGTATGTGAGATCATTGAAGATTTGATCGATGTTCTTCTTGTTCAGCTTGCAGTTATCCGAGTCACCGAAACAAGCCTGGATGGCAGACAGAGGCTTGCGAAAGGATGGGAAGTCGGCATCAGTGAAGACGGACTGGATGTCGATGGCACGCGTGACCTTCACACCGAGCTCTGACCACAGGACCATCGCAAGCTTGGCAGCATCAAATGCATAGAGCTCGCCAATGGAACGACAGAGTACGTGTTTCTCCAAGATTTCCATCTTCTGTTGTCTGTTAGGTGGTGAAGGACTTGCAAACTCGATAATGCAGCATCGTTCTTTGTCTGCAACTGCCAACGCGGCGAGCCTTCCTTCTTTGGTGTACCCGACCGATATCCCAAGCGGATCTGCCCTTTCAGCTCCAGTCCCTCTCTCCGTACTGAAGATATCCAGCGTCCGTTCCGTGATACGCGTCTCATCCACAACGTGCTGGCGGATTCGAATAGTGTAGTAGTTGGGATGACTGATGAGATTCTGGATGATCTCGAGAGGCTTTCCCTTGGGCGCAGGCGTCGTCATTGTTATCCGTCGATGAGTGAGCAGAGTGAACGTAGAGAGAAGGTGCCACTGATAACATCAGCCATGACGCAAAACGGTGAGTGTCAAAAGAGGAAATTCAAGTCCGTTCTATTCCTGATATACCTTCGAAGTCCAAAATGTATTTCGTGATACTGAATGCATAAAACGAACGGAGGAGTAATCAGCTAACAACTAATATCTCGCGGGACAAGGTAACTGCTGTGCATGAGGATGGTATAAAGATGTAGAGTAAGTGAGAGTCATAAAAATCGTAAGTAGTGTACGGCGAGAACGAAATCAAGGTTTTGGACTGGTCGGACGAGAAGAATTGCGAGGTAGTTCAAGATTGGAAGGAGGATCAACAGTCCTGGCAAGTGGAGATCCACGGCCAACAGGTGAGCTTGCGTTCGAAGCGTACTGTTTTGGTGAACCAGAAAGCGCGCTAGGTGGCTGGAGATTTAGGTCTTGAAGACCGTTGTTCGGCGTGAATCGCGGATCGAAGCTTGACATGCCTGTCACCTGCATACCCAACGACGGCACCTGTGCCCCCATCATCGGCATACCCATCATCGACATGCGAGGATCGAATCCACCCGTCATCATGGGATTGAGCAGCTGCTGGGGAACTCCTACACCACCATCACCTCCAACTTGCGACCCAGCAACGGAGAACGCCATCATAGCTTGTTGGTATGCCTGAGCAGCCTGTTGTGCAGCAAACATCTGCTGAGGATTATAACCGGGCATCATCCCAGGAAAACCGGACATCATTGGATTCATACCCTGAGCGGCCATCATCGGGTTCATGCCCTGGCCAGTCATCATCGGATTCATACCCTGGCCAGTCATCATCGGATTCATGGCTTGACCGGTCATCATTGGGTTCATCCCCTGCCCTGTCATCATCGGGTTCATGCCCATCATGCCCATCATCATCGGATTCATCATCGGATTGAACCCGTTGAATTGTCCACCATATATCGAACCCATCTCCATCTGTTGACGCTGCTGCTCGTCGAATTTGCGTTGCCTCTCCTCTACCATACGCTTTTCCCGCTCACGTTCAGTCAATGCAGCTCCAACGCCGCCTTCGCGCTTTCGTTCTCGTTCATGAGCAGTGATAGCGCCCAGTAGACCAGTCTGTGGTGGCGGAGGCTTGTTGGGAACATTGATGAGCGAGGCACCATTTTCGCGTGCAAGTTCTTCTTGACGTTTCGCAGATCGATCCTGTTTGTCTTGAATACCCGCCGAAAGCAAACCTTGCGGTGTGAAAGCTTTCGTCATGGTTTGCGAAGGGGGCTCCAGTTGCACAAATGTATCACGGTCCTGGGAGAGAACAGCAGGACGTCCAGGATCCAGAACTTGACTCCACACTGACTGACGAGCAGGGGCGACTTGTAGATAATCGGCTTGAGAGCGGATCTGCGTGCCTTCGTCGTATTGAGTGCGCCTAGCAGTTTCGGAATGTTGCTGGTCAGGAGCACTGCGACGTTGAGGGAGCTCTTCAGGTTCGGCGGCTGGACGAACGTCAGCAGGAATGATAAAATGAAAGGTTGAGTAGCATACATTTAGGTCGGCTTCCTGGAATTTGAGGCAGCGTCCTGGGCGGCCGCAAATGAGTGTACTGGGACTGTTCAGGTCCATGATCAGACGGTGGTTTGGCGGTGTGGGTGCTGGTGGAGGCAGGGGCTGAAGGCGGTTTCGTCGCAGGCTCCTCGTCAGAATCGACATCCTCCTCTTCCTCCTCCTCCTCTTCTTCCTCCTCGTCCTCCTCGCTGCTCTCAATCCACGCGTCATTATCCTTCGGCTTCTTTCGACCATTAGCTCGTCCGGGACGGTGGGCAGCCGCTTGCTGCGCTGCTTGTTGCGCTTGAACCTTCGCCTTCCGCTCTGTCGCCGACTTGGATGGCGCAAAAGAGGACTTATAGGGTGCTCCCGGTTCTCCAGGCGCTGTCGGCGACGGGAGTGGTTGCTCTCCATGGCCAGGTCGAAGTGGCCCCACGTGTCCTTTCATCGTGTGAGAAGGCGGCGGTGGTTGATCATCGTCGAGATAGGACAAGGCTGCCAGCGCATCAAGGTTTCCCTCATCAACGGGCCCAATATCGGCTGACGCTCGCCTACGAATTTCTGGATCCATGCTGTCTTCGCTCTGAGTATCTTCTTCGAGGACGGGCGGTGGTGACGGTGAAGAGACGCGTTGCGCCTTTTTAGTCTGAGCACGTGCTCCTGATGGCTTACGCCCGAGAGCCTGCCGCGAAATCGGGCTCATCCGATCTCTCGGGGGTGACGCCGGTTGGTCCGCAAAAACCTTGGGTGTGCCTGTTAGATGTGGTGACCGCATGCTTGTAGCCGGACTCGACACACGACTTGTGGCGCTCGTGGGCTTGAGTTCTGATTCATTCAACGACGAATCTTCGTCTTTCTCATTTTCTGTAAGTGGAGATACTAGACGTGGGGATGCAGCTGGAGATGGTCCCTTATTGTCAAACTGCATGAAGTATAACGCCCCCGCCTCACCGCCAATGCTGTCTTCTGCTGCTCCCGGGGGAGTTCCTTGAGGTATTGGTGGTAGATGGGATGGATGAAGAGATCGCCTTGCAATAGTTGGTGATGAAGGAGAAACAGGCACCGCTTCCAAGGAGTAAGGTGACGTTAAAGCAGATGGAGATGTTATCACAGATGCACCTAACGCCGAATGAGTGGCAACAGAGTAGGGCGAAGTCAGTACCGATGAAGGAGAATATGAACGTGGGTTCTCATGCAATCCAAGAGCTGGAGATGTGGTCGGAGATGGAACGGGTTGAGAACTTGGATGCGGTTTCGATGAAACAGGCGATTGCACCCTTGGTGAAGTTGGCACTCGGAGCGAAGGCGCTTCCAAGGATGTCCTTTTACTAGAGATGGGTGCGTGCTGGATTTCAAGGCTTGGACGGCTTTGTCCTTGACTAGACATCGTGCTGGTCATGTTATCCTTCTCGGGTAGAGGTACTAATGGTTGTACCGGACTCTTTGGTAATGAACTGAGAGAGTGTGGCGTAGCTTCAGGAGGCTGAAAAGCTGATTCTTCAGGCACAGGGGACTGCGTCGCAGTGGTCACGTTTGCTGACTGCCGCCGTCCTAAGACGCTCTGCCCGTCAACAGACATCGATCGACCATGAGTGTAAATACTGCTTTGCTCTGTAATGGGAGTGAGAAGATGCCGTTCTTGAGGTTGACTTTGTGTGCTGTCGAAGCTCAATGGTGGCAACTGAGGTCCAGATAAGAATGTTCGGGTCTGCTGTGGAACATTGACAGAACCAGTAGGGGGCAAAGACGACGTTTGGGCATGATTTTGAGGCGCCGGTGGCTCCATGCCCCGCATGCGATCATGGAGAATACCGAGAAGTCGGGACCGAACGATAGAAGTTCCGTCATCTCGAGGGTCCAGCGTCTCGGCCAGTTCCCTGTCAAGGAAGAGAAGCTATACGGCAGCGTTGGTAGAGAACCTGAAGAGATAAGGGGTGAACGTACGTCTTTCTGTGGTCCAACAGGATAGGCAAACATCAAAGATATGGGGTTTCGAGGGTCCCATACCCATGATTGTGGACGTCCATATAGCATAAATGCGTCATGGAAGGCTGTAATAGACGGTGAATTTATGAAACAGAGAGAGGATGGCGAGCTTACCTTCAACCCATTTCAACATCTCAGTGGCCTGGCTCATTTCAGGTTCCAGCTCTGGCATTACGAGAACCCAGCCCTCACGATTCCGCATTCCACCAGCCGTATCCTCAACACCAATGTGGCCTTCGACTTTAATCAGAGTGCTCCTGCTAATCAGCTCAGGCCTCTCTGGATAAACGGCAAAGGCTTGGGTAATATCAGTCATGGTCAAAAGGGCCTTCCTTTTGTCCTTGACCTTCTGAGATGCGAACATGGTAAAGCTGGCTTTGGATGGGCCTGAACGTTGAGGACTGGCTTCACGGGCGAATAAATTGGACATTCGCTTCTTCTTGCTCCCCACTCCAACTGACGGCGGAGATCCTGGACCATTGCCTTCGCTACTGTTACGCTCGCCCTCGGTCGCTGCGCTGACGACCATCCATACACGTTTCCAGTCGGTCTGGCCAGATATACGGATCCGCGCCCAGCCTTCCATGCGGCCGCGATTGAGCATTGACGGCATATCGGGCGCTAAGGGCAACAATAAATCAATGTCGCAAGGCTGAGACGTAAATGATCACCTTTGAGGAATATTCTGATCAAGTGCGCAGTGTATATTTCTTCAAGACGGGATTTCTCCCAAGCGGAGAGACGAAGGGCAGCAGCCCATGAAATGAGTGCTTCTGGTGAAGGACATGAAAATAATAGCAAGTTTGAACCTGCGGTGTTAAGAGTGAGAACATTTGCGTAGCGTTGCGCGGGTTGAGAAGAAGTGGCAGGAACCGTAATGGAGCCCAAAACGGTGACAAACTGAAAGACATGAGCAGAGAATATGAAAGAGACTGAGCAAGGACTCACAGCGTCGGTAGTATTTACATAGGCAGGTGGCACCTCTTTTCCCTGCTGACTGGCCTCTTTGATCTGCTTCATGTCCCATACACTGAGAGTCGTGCCGCCTAGCTGCGCCCAGACGTCGACCCATCCTTCATCTTTAGTAGGTCGCTGTCCGTCGGCGCCACGCTCAATTTTACGAATGAGAGGACCAGAGAAGTAGATTTTATGAGCATGTGCGATGGTCAGGCCGACAACGGAGCGAATTTCGGGATGTTCTGATAACCAGCTAGGATTAGTCTGTGTCACTGTAGGTGGGCGAGCAATTGCGGGTCGCTGGGCGCCTGAAGCTGCGGTTTCCGGGTGTTGAGATGGTGGTGGTGGTCCGATGGGATTATTAGAATTTGTTCGTGAAAGTAAGGAAGGACTGCGCTGGACCTGTAGGCCATTCTGCTGGGGGTCGGGGTGTTGCTGCTGTTGCTTGCGAAATGAAGCAAAAAAAGAGGAAGCACGACCGTGGCCCTGTGGAGATGGGCGCTGAGCAGCATCCATCGGCGGGGCGGATAGCGGCGAAGTGGGCTGAGAAGATTGAATCGGCTGTTGTTGGGGCGATGAAGTAAAGTGATGGCGAGGGGTATTGGCACGGAGTTCCTGCAGACGAGTAGGAGAAATAAAGCTTGTGTTCCGACTGTCCCAACGCGGCGTCGTGGTAGCTGAAGTAGAAGGAGCCAACTGCGTCGACATTCAATTATTCAAGCTCAAGCGCGATGCCGGTGATGGAAGCGAGACGAGAACTATCATTATCTCCAAATTATCTCAACATCCCTGACTCTACTTCACGTGCAGCACCGCCGTCGTCGTCGCTCGCGGTGTCCAATAGGTCTCTATCTCTGAAAATATTTTGCTTATAATGCTTCTCGAGTCCCTTTATTTGCTCTGCATCAAAGTTATGCTGCGACTGCTCGGCCTCTGTCTGCGTTGCTCATTCCATACGTGACTACATTACATACAATTCTGGGAATGTTGCTCGTCAACTGGGTGCTGGATATTACTTTGCAGGGTTGCCCTACTATGAAACTAGTTTGATGGCTCGAGTCAGGACATTGTCCAGGAACGGCTTTGACTAGAGTACATAGCGTGGCAAGGGTTCTCGTGCTGTGATATGTTCGTAGGATACATAGTAGCCATATAATGCATATAATTCGAATATCTCATGTCGAGAGTCACAAAAATGGTGACACCGATTGAACGACTCTGATCACGCTTATTACCACCATGTCCTCGTCGTCCAAGACCCCTCCATCATCCTCAACCATCGACGCAGAACTTGAGAAACTGCTCTCTCGTGAGGCATCTGCGTTCCAAAGGGAAGTCGAAGTCGAGCGCATCCTCAAGACTCTCAAACTAAAGTGCGTTGTATGTCCCTTTCCTCAACCCATCTATGTTGATGCCGCACAAGTCCCTATGATATCCTAGACTTAGACGAATCTGCTTCACAAGATGACATTAAGAAGAAGTACCGCCAATTATCTCTATGTGCGCGTTAGAAGCTGGTTACAAACCCGACACCGGTGCTGACAGCTATCCCAGTTATACATCCCGACAAATGCTCTCACCAACGCGCTCCAGAGGCCTTCGACATCCTCAAAAAGGTCAGCTTCTCCCGTACTCCACTTAGATTGCTGCTCAACTGCGCCCAGGCCGAATCCGAGCTCTCCGACAAAGCTAAACGCGAGGAACTCGACGCTATCATCAAGCAAGCCCGGATTCTCGTCCTCAAAGCCCTATCGTTGCCTACATCAACTCCTGACTCTGATCCAAATCTCAAGTCCCTAAACCCGCCTTTCAAAGTTCGAATACGAGCCCAATCAAAGGAACTGCTCATTGATGAAGAAGTGCGGAGACGAAAGTGTGTCTACATTCTCTCCTGTGTTCTGTGTACTATGTCTCTGATTTTATGTCCCCAGAGCCATCAAGATGAATCTCGCGAATGAGGGCTTAGAAGCAAGAAAGAAGGACGAAGAAATTGCCGGCAAAAAGCGCAAGGCTGAGGAGGACCGGCTTTGGGAAGGCACGTCCCTCTGTTTGTCTCATCGTTCACCCCTGTTCACTTGTATACTGTAGATAACCGAGACCAGCGAGTCGACAGTTGGCGGAGCTTTTCGAACGCGAAGAAGAAAAAGAAAGCCAAAGTCAACATTCTCGGCTGATACGTCTTGCGACATAGCCCTTTCTACTAAGTATCTTCTATGTCATCACTGCGCTTTGGAACGTTCAATGTCGAACGGCCTATTTATCTACATCCACTTTGTTCAGCTTCATGATGATGTGTCAAGTATATAATTCTAATCTGACAGTTCAATCACGTCGGGTGCATCAGAGGCCCTATTATCCGCGATCCGACGCTTCATATGTCTTGTGGGTGCAGGAAAATTCTCCTTATCATTATCTTCGCCATCGGAGATCGTGATAACATCCATAAAACCGTCCGCTGAAGCACTTTGTCTCCTTGACGAAGATGCGTTCTGGGTGGACTGTGTTTTCGATTCATGCTCTGCCTCGACGGCATCCAATGCAGCCCATAACTCATCAGGAAAGTCTTCATCACCGAACTCGGAACTGGCGTCGCCATGAACACCTCGAGGAGGCTCAGCAGCTTCTTCATCGCTGTCAATGACGATCATTCGGGATGTTCCTACAGGAGAGAGATGTAGGCTGCTGTGAAGATCCCTGTTTTCTAGAACTCTGGACGGGGTGGAGAAAAACGACGAATTGACCACGGCTGTCGAAGATGAAGGCATTGAGTCCGAAAGATTATTTGGATTCTGACTCGGTGTGCGTCTTCCGGAATGCTCCTCATCCATGAGATTACGTTCTACCAAGGTCGGAGAAGGAGGCTCATTAACCTCGTGTAAAGGTGAACGGAACGGAACAGGTGCTTCTTGCATTTCTACATTGGCGTCCGCTTCTCGTTCCGGTTCAGGATGTCTGTAGATAGGTCATTGAACCCTACGTACGAATCCGAATGGAACTTGACGCGCACCCCAGTCTGAGCCCGAGTCCTCTCCTAAAATCAACGTTTTGGAGAGCCTTGCGCTCTTCATTCATGTGGCCTCTCATTGTGACGCATTTGGGTTCCAAAAAGGCGAGGCCCCGACGTACATGAAAATTTGTCAATAGTAGCTTTGCCCCAATTAATATAGCTGATAACTGAGCCAAGATTATCAAAAACTAACTTTGCATCCAAGAGATGTCTCGCCAAGCGTGAGGTCTTTGAGAGGTCTGTATTCCATAGATTTCAACAATGTTGTTCCATCGCTGATGTCCATTCGAAGCATCGACCTCGGATACGCAGGTATGGGGCCTTCTCCTTCGATTTCCACATCACCCTCGCCAACTTCTTGTTCTCCGGCAGCTATTCGTTCGTCTCGTGTGATCCTGATTTTATTCAAGTTGTACGCACTGACACCTATATCAGTGATCGAAACGATCTCTACCAGTATAGGTCCAGCAACAACAGTGTGTTGGGTCTCGGGATTCGCGATGTCGGCGGGTAATCCAGTTCCTTGAAGCATGGAATCCTGCAAATTCGAGCACAAAAGTTGTTCCTCAACGTGTTTCAGTATTTGGTATATGTCCGTCGTAGGACTGAGTTGCTTGTCTTCGAGAATCCAGTTGTAGCATGCCTGAAGCCATTCCTTTGTTTCCCTGTCAGCATAAGAGTGTGCTGCCTAAAGGATGATAGTTACCGGATCGACATGAGGTCTAGGATATGCCTCCTCGATAAATTGAGTGACTTGATAGGGAACAGCCATCCCAGCAGAAAGAGAAAATGACAGCACGGAACGAGTCAAAATCAAGTGAACGCCGAACGCGCTTCGATACGTCACATCACGTGATCTGGACGTTACAGGGAAAAGGCCGAGGTCTTGACAACTTGCAAAATCATGAAAATGTCTTCGAGGTCGAAAAACACGACACGACTACCACCCAGCATCCTGGAACAGATAAATGGTCCATCTGGTGCGTCAAATTTATACTTATAATTCTCAGTGAATAAATACAGGAGCAGGAAACGACGAGCCGCGCCGCAGGAAACATAAGGCTACCCTCTCCAGGAAGGAATCCAGGAAACAAGAACGGCATACAAAAAAGCAAAATAAGGCTGTTCACTTCTCCGGAGGTCCTCGAGCTCCAAAACGTCCTGCAGAAGAGGAGCTTCATGACTCTTCCAAACGCAAGAAAGCCAGGCTCGAATCAAGCCCTAATTCTGCAAAAACTGTTGTGATGAGCGCTCCTAGTTCTGCAGAAAAGACCGTGAAACCCTTGAAGAAGCCTCCAACGCCGTTGGAGAAGCTCGTCAGCGGATTCAAAGCCAAATCCCAACCGCGTACTTCCAAAGAGATGGAGGAAGACCGCTACATTGTGTACTTAGAGTCCAAGCTTGGGTCAAAAGGAAAAAGGGAATCTGGCGAAGACGATGGCCTTGACGGTACGTCCTCCCCCCAATGGTATTCTTCCTGGATTTAGACATATGGCTTTAGAACTACTGGACTTCACCTCGTCAATAGGGTTGAACGTCCCCGACGTATGATCATTTCTTCACGTTTCTGCGACCATTGAAAACTTATTATCTCCTTTAGGAACTTGAAGACGAAACCGATGTAAACCCAGAAAGCAACGACAGCGAGAAGGACGCACAAGAGGAAGACTTGGAGCTGAAATCATCAGACTACAGTGATGAATCTGCCGGCGCACTTGGAGATGTTGCGGAAGATGACGACGAATATGAAGAATGGCATGGAATAAACAGTTCTTCATCTGATTCAAGAAAGGATCGCGGACAGACTAGCGAGGTTCCTACTGGTAATTCTATCACATTATCTAGAAGACATTGGGTTTTACTTCTGTTCAAGTCTCACACTACATTCCGCCACATCTACGACATGATCAAACCTTCGAGAATGACTCCGAGGAAGTCATCAAATTAAAGAGAAACCTCAAAGGTCTACTCAACCGGTACGCCGCGAATGTCAGCAAAACTATAAACATCCTTAATCTTTTCCTAGTATGAGTGAGCAAAACTTGGCAAGCATTCTGGATGGCATAGAAGAGCAGTATCGAAAACATCGGCGTCATGGTAGGTCACGTTTAGCAGCCGCTTGCCAAGTCCGCTCATTTGCTGCAGACGTCACTTCCACAATAACGGCCCTTATAGTTGAAGGGATCTCAGTTCACTCCTCGCTACTCGATTCTTATGTCGTATTACATGCTGCATTCGTGTCGAGTCTACACAAGGTTGTCGGAATCGAATTCGGTATCTTCTTCGTCTGCTTGATGCGCTAAACATTTCTGAATCGCTGTGACCAGCGGCCTATTTCGTTCAGACCCTTGTGTCTTCATACGAAAAGTACTACCAGACTATCGGCAGCAATCTTTCCTCAGAAGTTGAAGAAGGGACGAAGGGCAAAGAATGCTCGAACCTTATAGTTCTCCTCTCAGAGCTCTATAACTTCCAGGTCATCTCTTGCGTTCTCGTCTTCGATATCATTCGTGGTATATTAGAAAGCAAATTCTCAGAGTTCAACATCGAACTGCTATTAAAGATGTTGCGAAGCGCGTAAACTTGATCAACGACCTATCTTTCTTACATTAATACTGCATACAGGTTCCGGGAAACAGCTTCGTCACGATGATCCTTCTGCCCTTAAAAGCATAACGGAAATATTTCAGAAAAAGCTTTCTGAGGTCGGGGAAAAACCGAGGTGCTTGTCTAGTGTCAACTTCAGATATTGTCACTACATTTTTCGTAGCTCACGGACCCTTTTCATGGTTGAGACTCTTACCAATCTCAAGAATAACAAGGTCAAGAAGTTAGCGACCCAAAACCAAGGAGGTGAAGCTGTTGAACGGATGAAGAAATTCCTTTCAGCACTGAGTAAGAAACGGCATGGTTAGTACTTTTCTTTCTTTCCATCGTTCTGTATTTTTAAAGTGCCGTAGTGGCTACGAATGAGCCGCTCAGGGTGTCACTGGCTGATCTTCATTTTGCCGAAAGCAAAGGGAAATGGTGGCTTGTCGGCGCCGCGTGGGGTGGGGACCCTCTAGTAGATCACCACGAGACGCAGAAAGAAGCAGCCTCCGGTGCATCTTCGGTAGCATCGTCAAACAACGCCCTTTTGAAATTGGCCCGCAAACAAGGAATGAATACCGACATACGACGGAGTATATTTGTTATCCTTATGAACAGTGAGGTGTGTCCCTTTTCTTGCTATTCAAGTCGGCACTTCAATGTGGATCAGGATTACGTCGACGCTTGTGATAGGCTGTCGCAGCTCAACCTTTCTGAGGTACAGCAGCGGGAAATAATACGGGTCCTTCTTCATTGTTGTGGCAATGTCGGTGCCTCCTCCAAATCGTACGCGCAGCACTGACTAAGCTGTAATTCTCTAGGAGAAAACATATAACCCATACTACACTTTGGTTTGCCAGCACCTATGTCGCTTGTCTCACTCTTACAAGGTGACGCTGCAATTCTGCCTTTGGGACTTTTTACGGGACTTGGGTGAGGCGGAAGTTGGAGGTGCAGAGGTGATAAAGAGCATCAAGGAGAGTGGCGTTTCCAAGAGCTTTGATCTCAAATCCATTTCATCAATTCGGCTTCGGAACGTTGCTAAAGCATATGCGTGGTGGATGTCCAAGGACTGTGTTACACTTGCTATTCTGAAGGTAAGAATTCTTATACACAAGGCAGAAACGTTAAAAGCTATTCTCCAGCCTGTTGACTTTACGCTCCTGAAGCCCCAGACAAAACAGTTTATCGGAGAAATGCTTTGTCAGCTTTTCATAAGCACCCAAACCTCGTCCCCCTTGATTGGTTCCAATGCCGAAACCCTTTCGATAATGCGGAATCGAGTTGCCATTGAGGAGGTCTTCATTAAAGCGACAAAGGTACAGAACCTAGCGATGGGTTTGGTTTATTTTCTGTCGAATTTCACACAAGACGACGTAGTCATCGGCGAGACGATGGTAAAATTTATTAGGTGGGCGACAGAGGTCGCCAAGGACACTTTGCGCACTGTGGTCAATGTTATTCCCAATCTATGATAGCTACATCTTTTTGAATGCAACACTAGAACAGACACTTCCGCTTTTACCACCAAACGTGAATGTGGGATGCTGTATTCGTGAACTGTCGGGTAAATCTTAAGTTGAAATTATGTTTGAGATGTGAACGGCGCAAGCTCACTGATATATAAAGCCCGTCTCCGGTGTTGCGAAATTCACATTGAGCTCGTCTTCGGTAAAATTACACGCTTTAAATAAACTAAGAATGCCGGTAGAACTGCAGTAGTTGTATACCTACATGTTATCAGGAAGAATCCGCCTGCTTTCAGTTGCCTGGCGGCACGCTGGGGATACTGATACGCAGGTGAGCGGCCCAGATCATCTCGCTGTCCAAGAGCAATGGCGTCATATGTTCCCTTGTCGAGAAGAAGATCCCATTGACCCGGGGGCGGTTTCTCGTGATTCATATGCGGTAACACTGGTGGATCTTCAGAGAGAAAGTCGCGCTGGCTGAAGGTTATACGCTCGCCACCCCGTGTCGATGAGATGTTCTCTGCGAGTTTTACGGCATCCACACTATAATCGATACCACAGAGAGTTGTCGCGTTGTATCCAGCTTCTAGCAAAGCAAAAAGGAGTGTGCCGTTGCCGCTACCGATCTCTAGAATTGATGCGCCCCGTGAAGATGGAACGTTTTCTACAGTCCAATCCACCATCTTTGCCACGCTCTCTTCGCCAAACCTGTCGCAAATCGAAGAGCAGGAACAGTCAGTCAATGAGAAGACATACCAAATTTCACCTTCATCGCCTGTTTCGTCGAAATTTTCTAGCTCTGTCTTGTATACGTCATCCCAGCTACATGGATTCATCAGTATGAGGGGAGAAGGACAGACCAAAAGGACTTGCTGTTCTTTGTTGCCAAGCTTCGACGGCTGTAGATCTGCACTCATGCTGGTTCAGTGCAGAGTGCTTGGTGCTTAGTCAGCAACGGTGAAAATCGACTCGAGAGGAGCGGCGGTAGGAAAGGACGTGAGATGTGCGTTGCGCAATTTGAAGTGCTGGATATAAACGTTGGTTCGCTGTTCATAAAGACAGTGTGCAGCATACTCCAAACGCAGTTGACAATCCGAAATGAGACTGATATGAAACTGGATGCTGACGTCTTCCGGCAAAATGAGATGTGGTGATAATGCATATTAGCGGAAGATGAGAACGTATTGATACATGTAGTCATGAGTAAGTACAACCTGCAAAGAAATCAGCTTGGGAGTGTATGTATGATCTGAACAACCTACTTGCAAAATTGCAGTTTGCCGTCACCGTTTGCCTTCCGTCTTTTCGAGTAAATCCTTTGCCTCGTTAATTTTGCTGGCAAGGTAAGGAGAGCCCCCTCTGTCAGGATGGTTGGCGAGCATTATGTGACGGTGAGCGTCTTTTACTCTATTACGTAGCAGCGGTCCATCCCTAGAACAATAACCATGAATGAAAGGGGACGAAATAGAGCACTGCTGTGACGCACTTTAGTCCAAGGATGGCGACGGCCTCTTTTCTGTCCATTTTGGCTTTGAATCCTCCTTTGACCCATTGTTCTGCTGCTCCTTGTCCGGCCCTCCGTATTAACTGGCGACCAATGAGAGCAGCGGTGATAGCACCGACACCAAACGCGAGAGGGGTGGTCATGGTGGAAATAAGCAAATTGAAAAAGAGCAGGTAAAGGGCGATCACGTGCATCGACAACCTGACCAGCACCACGACTCTGTCTCCATTCAATATAAGAAAGGATGCAAGCTAAATACGACGATTTCTTTGTATTCTCCTTTGTATTCTGGAATATTCTAGTACAAGCGCTGGTCGACAAGTCGCAGCTCGATAAGCTCGCCGGATGTAGAAATGGGCGCCTAGCTAATGCCCTTCTTCGATTGATCACCAGCACTGCCGTCTGCCTGCCTTCTACCCCCTTCTCGTCTCCTCCAGCATGCATACCCAACGCCTTGATTTCTCCCTCCAACAGAACATCTATACTGATTTCTATCCTCCAATTATCGTCTCTCACCACAATGTAAATGCCCTGAGAGCAGCAACACTGTACGAATTCATGGCCTCAGTAGCTACCACCGGACATATGGGGGTAGCGCCTGTCTATGGCTCTAAATGTGCGCTTTCCACCGTCGCTTTCGCATCTTCGACGCGCGTTATGATCATCGACTTCCCAGGACAGAGGTCCGAAGGGAGTCGTCGCGGTGCCTCGTCAGAGCGTCCCGCCCTGGATTTGTTAGAATGTATCGTTCTATGCAGCCTTTATCCGAAATTTGCCTTTCGCATGGACAACGTGGCCCTATCGCTTATATTTGACTTCAGCTTGCCTATCGTCAATGGCGTGGACCTATTGGACCTTCCAAAGGCTGACCGACAATCCTTCGAGTCAGTTCTCATTGCCTTGGGCGGGAAGAACTACCACAGCCTGCTCCATCGTGCCAACGTGGAGGCTCTATTTCAGCAGGAGGAAGGTAGTCAGACGTCTGAAAAGCACACTGCTTTGCAAGCGTGGTCAGCGTGCCGTGCTGCGATGTTTGACCATATGGCGACTGCAATCGACATTCCTAAGATCTCTACGTTGAGCTTTGATAAGCCAGTAAGTACTTCTTTTTTAATATGATGAACTATGCGGAAATATATCATAGCGTTTAACGGCCTTGGCAAAAATTAGTCGACACTCACACCGTCTAACGTCTTTGAAGCCCCTCAGAACACACAACGAAGTGGAAACAGGGTTTAGCTACAAGAATGGCAAGGTGGAAGTGTCTTCTACCAGATTCAAGAATCGAGTCAGAATGTCGAGGACACAAGTGAGTAGTTCTTTGGTCTACACCTATTCTTCCATTGATCTCAGGCGTGAAGACTATGGAGATCTTGGTTAGTAATGATGGGAGGGGCCTACCCAAGACTACTCGTGGTCGTGTTACCAGAGTTGATGGCCGAGCTGCAACAATCGCAATTCAGGGTCACTTGTCGAACCAAGCTTCCCTCAAGGTAACAACTATAGGGAGAGATGAACCGACTCAAGCCGAGGGAGTCAAAGCTATGGTCGTTCTCGCTGCTCTACAACAGTCATCTGCCATCCTTGACCACCCGTTCATTCAAGCGCTCTTGTTCCCACGGTCGGAACTATCCTGGACTACCTGCTCATCTTATACCCACAAAGTTGCCATCGACTTCCCGCGTCCACTAAACGACTCTCAGCGCTGCGCAGTCAAACACATTCTTTCGAACAGTGACGCAGATAGGGTGACCATGATTCAAGGACCTCCAGGCACAGGGAAGACGACTGTCATAGCAGCCGCAGTCACCAGCGTAGTGGCTTCCACTGACCGGAGTCGGACACTCTGGCTTATAGCTCAATCCAACGTTGCTGTCAAGAACATTGCAGAAAAGCTAGCGTCAATCCAGTTCTTAGGGTTCAAGATTTTCGTCTCGAAAGATTTCCATTACCACTGGTGAGTGTATATTTACTTGAATATCGAATCTCTTCACTCGGTCACATTCCAAAGGCATGAACACTTGTATAAAGCGATCGAATCTAATCTTGTTCGCTCCGACGATTATGTCGACGACAGATTAGCTATGGAAAGGCTGCTTCTGGGTTCGCGCGTCATACTGTGCACCCTCAGTATGTTGTCCAATAACAAAATATCCACTATCACGCAAATTGTGCCGGTACAAACAATCATCTTCGATGAAGCAAGCCAGATCGAAATCGGTGACTATTTACCTGCGATACACCTATTTGGGTCTTCGTTGCGGAAGATGGTCTTCATCGGAGACGACAAACAACGTACGTTTGTCGTCTCTTCTACACTTGCCATTATCTCAGAGCCAGTAGTGGCACCTTATGGTCACAGTGACATTCCACAGTTGGAGAGTGTATTCGAAAAGCAACACCTTCGTCCGAAAATACATTTTCTTGATACGCAGTGTGAATGCAATTCTTTGTTCATACATGCTACGACTGTGCTAACCACGGTCACAGATCGCATGCCTAAACCAATCGGAGATTTCATTTCCGAACATGTCTATAACAAAAAACTCAAAACTAACCATAGTATACTCTTGAAGACTTGCTGCCGCTTTGTCAACGTCCTCGGTGGACAGGAAGAGCAAAGATGTAAAAGTTGGATTGTGAGTCTTCCCCTAGCAATGCGTCTTTTTTCGACTCATTCACGCTTGAGTTCAGAACGAAAAGGAAATTCAAGCTGTGGTCAAGATTGCGAAGATACTGCAGGCGCGCCGCAAATCATTCAGGATGATAACACCCTACGATGCTCAGAGGTCTGCCATCGAAAAGGCACTAAAGGATGCTAAGTTACCTTGGGAGGATAAATGCTTCAATGTAGACTCCTTTCAGGGTACGTCGTGCACTGTTATTACTCTCAAACGAAGCTCACATATGGCAGGAAATGAGGATGACTATATCATTGTTTCTATCGTACGGTCTAAGAAGCTTGGTTTTCTCGTAAATGAACGCCGTGTCAATGTTATGCTGACTCGATGCAGGAAGGGGATGATCATATGCTCTAGCCGCGCATTCTTAGATGGGATTGCCTCAGAGTCTTTGATCGGGGGATTAGCAGCACGAATGGGCAGGAGATCGTGGGTTGAATATGAGCAGGTGCTGAACGGTAATTTTCCTATGATTTAGAGCATTTAGAGCACTATATTCATGTCGCCCGTAATTCTTCTGATGTACCTACTGATATATCTCATTGAAAAGTCCCAAATATAGTATGTAACATTCAACACTGCAGACAGGCTCTATGCAATTTCTATCTTCATCCCAGCCTCCCTGAGCATGTTTACGCGATAGATCATCATCTGCTCTTCGTCGTCTGAGTTATCAGAACCATAGGCTTTAAACAGGGACTGATTCAATTTCAAGAGCACCGCACGGAGCCTGACGACATCACCGGGGACAAGGCTTTTCGACTCAATCATGTCAAGAAGGCACTCAGGACGCGATCGTGTACTGGGTTGTAGATGGGAGAATAGCAATTCAAGATGGAGATTTTGCACCTTTGGAAGGAGTATCGACTGGTTTGAAGATATGGTCAATGGAGGAAAGAAATCGTCGTTCCAAACAAAATTACGTGTCAGGCTGATGATATTAAGCAACACTTGAAATATGGGAACAATGTCGGATGCTGGAATGGCTGTATCTTGTCTGTTCCGCTCGCATAGAGTGAAGTGATTGAGATTGCTTGAAGACCGAGCCGTAAAATCTTCGATTGCCTGGTACATCGGGTATATTCCCTACGACATCCACTTCACCTCCAGCTCTGCTAGCCGTGACGCATGAAGGACTCTACACAATCATGGATACCCGCATCATCAACGGAGTATGCACTGAGCTGATTCCAGGGTATTTGGAAGATGGGAGCGGTCCTCCCAAACTCCTGGCTGGCGATATGGAAGGAACGGAGCAGAGGTGCATCTGCGAAAATATTCGTCAGGTTCCTTGAAATATTCTTGGGAGTTGATATGACGAGTTTGATTTCTGTGAGTAGAGGAAAATGACCTCGATGTTTCTCAAGTGCACCAAGGTGCCATCGTTGGTATACAAATGCATAGTGTGCCATCGGCGAGAATGGGCAACCAACAGTTGGACGAGGTGATGGCGGCCAAGAGTAGGTCGGGCAAGCCACGCTTCCCGGAACGGTCCAGCCATGTCCCTAGGAGCTCGCTTCCGTACTTTTGTCCAGAAGATAGGTACAAACGTGTCCAGAGCGGTTGCAAAAGGAGCGCGGTCTCCCTCTAGCCGCAAACTGGTCATTGGGAGATACGGCACATGGCGGGGGTAACTTCCGCGGCGGCGAGCATGATAATTTCAGCAACGAGTTCCGCGGGGACTTTTCTAATGGGAGCGAGGAACACCTTGTGCTTCTTGATACGCGACTTCAAGAGAGTCTCTTGATGGTACAGAGTATCAACTGTCTGGAGAGCCTCTAATTTCGTCTCGACCATGTCCAACCGGCCTTGGGCCTCGAAGAGTATGGATCGTACCTGGTACTCCTCGGGCGGAAAATGGCAGCCATTGCTGCCTAGAATTGATTCAGCGACGGCCATTTGAGACTTGTAACGGCAATGTTATTGAAACAATGGCTGGTCAGAAAAACGAAGAAAAAAATCAGGACGAGGTTTAGCCGCTGCTACTCGGTGGCTGTTTGCAAGGTGCTCAGTCCTTTGTATCCGTGGATGATACAAGATTGAGTTCCATTACGTCTTTTGGAAGTTCTCGAGATTGTGGTTCAACTTAAAAAAAGGCGCGATGAAGCACCGGATAGATCGGATCGCGCGCCGCCCCAAAAAGGACTTGCCGATTGACTGCCATCTGAGTCTGGCGACGACCTCGAGTTTGTGCTCTATGCCACTGTTGCCGCAAATTACAAAGGTAGATTTTACCTCGAAATGGGTGTGAAGTCGCTGTGGAACCTTTTGACGGCTGTTGGACGGCCAGTCATGTATGGGGTCCATTTGTTTCAATTCTACGTGTTGAAAAATCATACAGGTTAGAGACCATGGAAGGCAAAACGATGGCAATTGATTCAAGTATATGGATCTACCAGTTTCAAGCTACCATGCGAGCCAAGGATGGACGCGCCTTGACGAACGCCCATGTTCTCGGTTTCCTTCGTCGAATATGCAAACTTCTCTTCTACGGCATGAAGCCTGTTTTCGTCTTCGATGGTGGCGCACCTGCGTTGAAGAAAGCGACCCTTGTAAGTGGAACCATTTGCAAAAATTCGGGGTGGACGTCACATTGTTTCAGACAGAGCGCAGGAAGAAGAAGAGTGGTGCAGCCGCAAGTCACGTCAAATTGGCTGAAAAGCTCTTGGCTGCGCAGATGCGAAGAGAAGCTCTTAATCATGTCAAAGGAGCACGGTTCGTGTCTACGTTCCCACCTGGCGCTGGTTAGACTGACTTGTGAGCCAGATCCTCCAAAGGAAACGCCCCTGTAGTGCTGGATGAAAATACCGTGTATCTTGAAGACATTGATCCGTCTATGGCCAAGTCCTCTCCGAGAAAAGACTCGGCGCCCTCTTCTGCTCAAGTTTCGCCAACGAAGAAGAAGATATATGACCACGATCCCTACAAGCTCCCGGAAGTGGATCTGGAAGACCAAGTGGCCAAGGCTACGCGTTCGGTGGAACCAGATCACCGCCTGGCTACCGAGGAAGAATTGCGCGCTTTCATCGAGGAAATGCGGCCTGAAGATTTCGATGTTACTTCCCCCGCCTTTCGTGAGCTTCCAACGGAGGTGCAATATGAGATTGTTGGCGACCTACGGCTCAAATCTCGGCAAACTTCTTACTCACGACTACAACAAATGTTAAGGAGTGCCCCTACGCCTTTGGACTTTTCCAAGCAGCAGATCAAGAATTTGCAGCAAAGAAACACTCTTACTCAGCAGCTTCTTATGACCACAGACAGCATAGGAAAGGCCCATATTTCTATACCTGTCCGCATTGCCAGTGAACGGAATAAGGAATACGTGCTCATCAAGAACGAAGGGGAGGGACGCGGCTGGATACTTGGCATTCGGGATGATGGAACCAAACAAAAACCCATCGTTCTTGATCATGGTGCGCATGACGACAGCAACGAGGATGATGACGAGGATGACATGGAAGAGGTTTCTATGTAAGTCTCTGATCCCCCAGATATACTTCCTTCCTGATTTTGTAGACCAGGAAACACCCAGCCCGACCCTGATCTGAGAGCCTTCCAGCGGGAAATGGCTTTGAGCGCCATAGCCGGCCGCCAAACTTCAGTGAAAAACAAACCGCCGATAAAGTCCCCGCAAGCCCCTCTATTCCAGCAAGGCGACGATTCTGACATCGATGGCACTTCAGAAGATGAACAAATGACGTTGGCAATCCAGCGGTCCCTTGATGATAGGCATTCAAGATCCGCCTCACCGCCTCCTTTCTTGTTCGTGGCACAAGATATCTATGCATTTGAGGACGACATGGATGATAACCGCTTCGCATCCACATCCAAGGTGGAATATCGACCGCATTCAGTTCCGATTATTACGGCAGCTTTGGAAAGCACTCCATCGGTTTCTGCGTCCCATACCAGCCCTGCGCTCGCAACGCCCATCCCTTCTATAGAAGAGCCATCAGCCTTTGGGACGCCTGTCCTTCTCATGACCGGCGCGCAGCCTAGTCAATCTGGACCTCAGATTTCGTCTACAACGCCACCGTCTTTAACGCATTCTCCCTTGTCTTCGTCTAGGCTCTCACAAAACGGAGACACGGAGACAGCAGGTGATGGAATACCGAAAGTCCGTTTCGATATTTTGGAGCATGCTGACCCTCTCCTGGCCTCTCCGCAACGATCGACAGAGAGTCCTGTTGTTACCGAGTCGATGAATGAAGACGACTCCGATATGGAAGAAATTACTACTTTTGAGTACCTAACGCTGCCAGACTCCCCTCCATCCCAATCTCAAATCAAGCCGCTTTTTGTTCCTGATACGATCGATGATCCCGTTTCTATGCATGCCATTAGCGCAGACTTAGAATATGTCGATGCAGAACCCAGCCCTTCAGTCCTTACATCCCGCAATACTATCGCTTCGGAGACATTCGAACCGCTTTCGGATGGTTCTCGCCCATCTTCTCCTGACACTGCGGATAAATCACGTCCATCTTCGCCCATCGAGAACTGGGATGCCGCCCAGGAGATGGACCCCGATGCAGAAGAGGGTGAATTTGCCCGATTCGTCTCACAAGTCAAAGGCAGGGACATCAACGATGTCCGCCGTGAAATTGATGACGAAATTAAGACCTTGGATCAGCAACGTAAAGCCGCCATGCGAGACTCAGAAGACGTCAATCAGCAGATGGTCAACCAAATCATGGTATGTACAGCTTCCGTTCTCCAGAAAGAAAGAGCTAGCTCTGCTGATGGAATGAGGGTAGATGATGTTGCGTCTCTTCGGTATTCCATATATTACCGCCCCAATGGAGGCGGAAGCTCAGTGTGCAGAGCTTGTCTCGTTGGGACTGGTGGATGGTATCATTACTGATGACTCCGACGTGTTTTTGTTCGGCGGTCAGCGTGTTTTTAAGAATATGTTCAATCAGTCAAAGACGGTCGAATGTTTCCTGACCAGTGATCTCACCCGAGAACTTGGTCTTGATCGGGGCACCCTTGTGAGGCTAGCTTATCTTTTAGGAAGTGATTATGTGGATGGTCTTCCTGGTGTTGGCCCTGTCATCGCCATGGAACTCTTGAAGGAATTCCCAGGTGATGGTGGGCTTCATAAATTCAAAGAGTGGTGGCTGAAAGTACAAACTGGCAAAGATAGGGAGGAAGATAATGAATCCACCTTTCGCAAGCGATTTGTAAGTAGACGAGCGTCCGCTCATCTTTATCGAATAACTCTCATTTTTTGCAGAAAAAGAAATTCAAGGATCTGTATCTGCCTAGTGAATGGCCCAACCCTGCTGTGGTCAGCCCTTCTCATCATTTTTGGCAACCGATATCTGACTACATCTTCAGAGGGACGCATATTATCACCCTATCGTTGACGAGTCTGACGAGCCTTTCAAATGGGGCTTACCGGATCTTGATGCTCTCCGCGGGTAAGCCCTTCCTTCATTTTTGATGCATTGAAAACGGTTAACACGACCAGATTTCTCCACGAAGAGCTCGGATGGCCGCAAAACAAAGTAGATGATTTAATCATTCCTATTCTCAAGAAAATGGGAAAGCGTGGTCAGGTAGGCGGGTCATTTAACGAGCAGGACTTATAAGATTTCACATCCGCGTCTTACAGGCCTCGGCAATAAATAGACAGGGCAACCTTAACGGATTTTTTGATGTCGCTGCGGGTAGCGGAACTTTCGCACCTCGGCGGAGGCAAGCCTATGCTAGTAAACGTTTACAGCAGGTAGTCTCCGATTTTCGGAGGAAGAGAAAGGCTCTCGTCGGTCCTTCTGGACGTGTTGATGAAGGGTTGGAGTCGGGCATGGGTGAAGAAGATACGCCGGCCAAGAAGAAACCAAAAGGCAGTTCAAAGGGCAAGAAGGGACGTGAACCTGCTTCGCATTGGCGCGGACGAGGCCGGGATCGACCGAACAGTACTAGAAAGACATCGGAACCTTCTTCTGGTGAAGATGACGAATTCCGCGAAGAAGCTGATCTAACAGTCGAAATCCCTCTCTCTGCACAACTTCGGCCCCGCCCTAAGCCAAAGCCCATTTACAAAGGTGCACAAGAGTCAGTGTAGTTGAGAACTGATGTTTACTGGAATGGGTAACTTAATCCTTGCGACTTGAAGTTCTAATTTCTGAATCTCTGGGGTCTGAATCTGTGATACAAGAAGAACCGTGCAGCATGGAGCGAACCAAAAAAAAAAATTACATTAGCAGCAACTTGTTTCGATCAAGTGACCTCGGGGTTATGGGCCCCGCGCGCTACCACTGCGCCATGCTGCTGACATCCTATGTTCAACTATTCGCATAGAGATTGAGGTGTGTTTTCGTGAGAGGGAACAATTTAACCATAAAACCATACTTCGACGCGGTTTATGGCTATTTCGGGGATCTCGGACTCGTTTATAACGAAGTCCGAGCCTTCTTTCATCATCCACAAGCAGTATGCAAATAGCTGTAAGTCGCACATTGACTATCTGAGCTAAGGTCTTATAAGAATTATAAACAATATCAATTTTGAGTGGGCCAAAAGACAAGACAGAAAAAATGTTACAAGAAGGATTGAATAGATACAAAGGCACCTGCACACACTATGACTTGCTAGGGTGCTAGAACCCGGTTGGTGCAAGTGAGGGACAGTCACCACATATGAATTTGTTGATTCAGATTATCCATTCATCGACTGGCTCATTTGCGGACAATGTCTCAATAGATGTACTGATCCTAGTCCACGTCATTCTCATCCTCCACCTTTGCCTGAGAGAAATTATTGTGAGCAATTGCATGCCAGATCCTGTTAGATACCGAACCTTGTTTGCATCCACACCACCGAGCTCAGTCACTAAGCCGCCAAACGGGTACTCGCGGCGAATGGCGGGCATCTCTGGTATCAGGGCATATTTCACAAGGAAGCCGAAAGAGACAAAGGAGATTGCTGCGTAGGTGAAGTGGCGTAGGGCGATATGCGGTGCAATAGTGGGAATGTCCGGACCCCACATAGAGTACAACTCTTCTTTTTCATGCACCTGCCAACTAAATGAGCGGAGGATGGAGAAAAATTCGAAGAAAAGAAAGAAATACAGGGTCACCGAAGTTACGCCGCAACAGTGGATCCTGCCAGCCTGTTGCAGGAAGATATTGTCGCGAAACGCTGGGAACTTTCGGGTAGTCGTCATTGCTCTCTGGGTCCTTGGCAGCTTCAATAGCGTATGTCCTTGGCCTTAAGGCGAGCGCTGCAGTAAGCCTTGCAACAGAGGTGACGCGGGCGGCGCGCCTGGCGATGAGTGACATGGTTTACGGAAAGAATAGGTGGGAACACGGTAACAGTCGAAAAGGGGCCAATCACGTGATATATAATTTCCAAAATGAGATATCCATGTCCGGACCGATTTCGGCGGATTTCCAGAATTCAACGGCCATCATGGGTTGACTGAACCGGACGAACCTGTATTTCGCGACAAGATTTGGCCAAGATCTTGAGATTTGCCTCGGTTATATACTTCCATTCATTTCAAACGTTCTTTTTCCCTTTTCCCCCATGAATTCAAGTGCAGTTTCTCCTGCTGTCAAGGACGTCGAGGCTCTCCTTCTGAAGGAACGTAGCTGCAGACGCAGACCAGGCGACGTGCCATACCCTCTTGACTACAACATGGAAATGCTGAACTTGTATGACATGTCTGTCTTTTCTCTCGAAATCTATCTGATATTTGCTTTACAGCGATATATGGGACCATATGTTTTTCGTTAGTTGCTGCAGAAGAAGCATATCTATGCATCAATTTGACAGACCTCCTGCTCTCGTACTTGACTTGGGGTGTGGGAGCGGTTATTGGGCGATAGAAGCTGCCAAGCAGTGGCCAGTGAGTTCGACCCCTCATTTTGCGCACGGCGAACGCATCATGTCTTTCTTTGCAGTCTAGCACGATCATTGGGTTCGACCTGAAAGAAATCCAACCGAGGCTTTACGAGATAGACAGTCACAGAGATTTGGCTCGTCGTGTCAAGTGGCTACATGGCAATCTGTGAGTATTTTTCGGTTGGCGTTAGACCGTTCTGATTGGACGGTAGACTTGACGGGCTACCTTTTCCACCCGACCATTTTGATTTCGTACGAGTGGCGCGCATTGGCCTGGGAGTACCCGAGGACGAGGTACGATCATTATCACTAAACCCATTACCATACTTAACATTCTTGTTCCAGTGGCAGTATGTCTTGGAGGTCTGGTTCTAACGATTGATAATCTGCAATCTTTGCCTAATTATACTAATAGGAAATCTCACGTGTAATGAAGCCCGGCGCTCCGATAGAAGTGCGTAGTTTCGTTATCTGGTCAACTGTTTGCAACAACTTATTTGCCTGGGCCTTCAGCTGTTGGAGGAAGATTTGATTTTTCCTTGCTCCCAACCTGTTCGCCCTCGAACGCAACCTGGCATCTCCATAAACACGAATCTTCCGGATATCTACTCGGCCCGTTCCTCGACTACAATGTCCGCGAGTCCCTGGCACTATAGTTCCGACGAAGGCACCGAGCCTAACCTGAGCTTGAAGCCGAAATCAATTCTTCAGACCCTCAAGGAGCATCCAAGTTCCATGCCGCATACACCATATTTTTCACGAACTCCCGACCATACAAGCATGTCCGACACGTTGTCAACCCTTGTGAACACATCCGAGCCGAGTCCGGACCCTTACTATGACCTGGCCGGCCACCCTCAAGATCACTCCAAGCTTAAGGCAGCTTGGGAAGCGATGCTCTCGAGGCGATTTTTAGCACCGCAGCTCCTTTCGGTTCTTCCATTTTACCTTTCGTCTTGCTTTACGGACGTTCAAACGCATCCCACGCATTCCATCGACCTCCCTCCCAATTCCCGATCATCCTCACATGGCACCGGTGGAGCAAGCAATGGCCACTGGATTGAGTTGGGTTCACAATTCATCCTGAAGTCTACCAAAAACGCCCGGCGATCCAACGAAACGGATAATATCTCGTTACGATCAAGTGTCGCGTCCCATGACTCAGTACCTTCATGGGCAGTCATGCACCTTGCTAAAACTGTGCAGACCATTATGGCATGCAAGGAAGCCATCTGGAGCGAATACAAACATCTCCAGCTTGCTCCCGAACTACCTCCCGTCGTGCGGACTCCGAAAGCTTTCCGTACAACTCAGCAAGCATCCGTCAGGGAAGATTTTGATAGTGCATGGGCGAATTGGCAAAAGTAGGTGCTATTTGGGAATTGCTTTGGAACGATCCCTGACATACTTTTTAGCGATATGATGGATCGTATTGGCATGCGTGACTGTCTTTCCGTCGAACTATCATGGCCAGAACCTGCCGGAGAACGGCCTGATTGGCGGATCTGGAGAGACAATGTCGACATCAAGCCTGCGGCGGAAAGAAATAATGCTTCTAAAGCCTTATCAAGTCCTGACTTGTGCAGGGCATTGAAAGGCTTTGTGGCATGGAAACCCCGATAGAATCGACATTGGCCTGATGCGGTGGCCCGGGCCTCCTTTGATATTTCTCTTGTGCCTCCATTTTCGACATCATCGACACATTGCTATCTATATTTCATTGGCTATAATGTATCAATCTGTGGACGGATTTACGGATTCAGCTCGTAAGTACATGCTTTTGTTCACTGTAATACCCTAAGACTAGGCCGCCTGTTCGTGTCTTGCGTAGAACTGTAATATTGCCAACACCATTTACTCAGGATTTTTTGCATACAAAAAGTAGATGTCATTTATTTACTGTATACACAATTCTTTGCCTTTCTTCCCGACGGTTTGTGCCATCGACTGTGAGAACGATGACGACGTCGACATCCAAATACGGTAACAGTCCAAACTTAATTCGCCGTTTCCTCCACGACCTTCATCTTTTTTTTTTTTCTCCAATACCTTGAACCAATCCATACAAAATTGCAATGGCCGAGGAAGAGAAGCCTGCTGTTGCTCCCGATGCTACCAAGGCTCCTTCAACAGTTGAGGCTGATTTGACCAAGTACAAGGTTCGTCAATGTCACTCGCAAAGGTGAAGAAAAACTGAACTAACGGGCCCACTTTCTGCAGACGGCAGCGGATATCGTTCACCAAGTGATGAAGAAGCTCATAGAGCTTTCTGTCGAAGGAGCCAGAATCATCGATCTTTGTATCGAGGGAGACAAGCTCATTGAGCAAGGCACCGGAGCCGTGTACAACAAGGCGGTCAAGGGTATCAAGGTTTCCAAGGGTGCGTGTCAAACTTGCAACCACCTTGGAAATTTTTGCTGAATATATTATTCCAGGCCTTGCCTTCCCGACCTGCATCTCAGTCAACAATTGTGTTGCTCATTTTTCACCCCTGGCGTGAGTTTCTTCTCCCTAGCTCCACCGCAGATCGCCTCGGGCCTGACGTGTCCTTGGTGGTGCCGCCTTTGATTTTCAGCTCGGATCCTCAATCTGAGCAGGTCCTAGCCAAGGACGACGTAGTGAAGATTCATGTTGGAGCGCATATTGACGGATTCGCATCCATCTCTGCTGAGACAATCGTTATTGGTGCATCACCCAAAAACCCTGTTACTGGACGCCGGGCAGACGTGATCAAAGCTGCGTGGCATGCGGCAGAAATTGCTATGCGAACCGTTAAAGTTGGTAACAAAAACTGGGCAGTTACGGAAGCCGTCGCCAGTGCCGCCGCGACGTGGGATTGCAAGCCTGTTGAAGGTATCTGATGGCTGTTTGACCATACATCTCTCCTGATATCTGACGTCTTATAGGTATGCTATCCTGTGAACAGAAACAAAATCTCATTGACGGCAAGAAACGTATCATCCTCAACCCCAGTGAAGTTCAGAAGCGAGATTTTGAGGCCGTCACGTTCGCCGAGGGCGAGGTGTATGGTATTGACATTCTCATATCCTCCGGTGAAGATGGAAAGGTCAGTGGGTCCACTCTTCCGTTCAGCCACAGTGTTTTTAATGATGTTACAGGCAAGGATTGAAGAGTCCCGAACGACAATCTTCCAACGTGATTCTGCAATCACGTATCAACTCAAAATGAAGACGTCTCGTGCCGTCTTCTCAGAAGTACAGAAGAAGGCTGGTGCTTTCCCATTCAACGTACGTGTCCTGGAGGACGAGAAACGCGCCCGGATGGGTTTGCAGGAGGCCGTACAACACAGTTTGGTCAAGCCATACGAAGTGATGTAAGTCCCAGCCGAAGTCGCTCTTACGTAGCTCCCGAGTGCTGATTTTCCATCAGCTACACTCCCTCGAATACCTTCGTCGCTGCTTTTCACTTCACGATTGCACTCCTGCCTGCTGGTCCTTCGCTTATCACTCATCCACCCATCTGGTACAAGCCCGAGCTCATCAAAACAGAGAAAGAACTCGAAAACGAAGAACTAAAAGCCCTTCTTGCACGGAACTTGCGGGAGAACAAGAAGAACAAGAAGAAAAAGGTTAAAGCTGAGGAAGAGGCCGCATCGAAGGAGGAGTAATTTTGTGCTGTAGTAGTATCCTCTTGCACCATCATCTTGACAGTTGTAGCACAATGTAGTACATCCCACCACCTGTCCATCTGAATATCGCATATTCAAGGATGTCGGCTTGATTGTACAAGTCGTTTTTCTGCGTCTTCTCCAAAGTGCTCCAGGGTACGAACTACGAGATCGACATTCTCTAGGAAGCTATTGATGGTGAGACGAGCTAATCGGACGGTCAGAGTCTCGAAATGTCTAAACATTAATCAGCGAGGTGGCGTTGGAAAGAAGATGCCTTACGCGGTCAGAATGCTGCCCTCAACGGACAGTGTACGTTTCACTGCCTGAGGCTGCAATTCTGGGTCGACTTCAATAGCCTCCTTGGCGATCACGGCATGTTGGTGCGAGGCAAATGGTATCTGAACAGATCTTTGACTAGTAAGTCGGTTGAGTACACTGTCAAATGCGAAACATACATTATATGCCAGTGTTCCGTTGCAAATGAAGTCATACTGGTGGTAGCACAAAACAAGATGGATGGATACCCGATATATTTATTTGCACGCTGATCTTGTGTGTAGACCGATTACAAAGAAATAAAAGGACGGACACAGTCCGGTCATACACATAAAGCATTGAATGATGTACAACTATTACATGAATGGAACACAACACCGGCTGTAACAACATATGAGAAGAGGGTGTACCAGGAGATAAACGCGACAGGTGAACCAGTTCGATACCATCACATCTCGAGATATTTGAGCTCCGGGACCAACATTATACCACACACCCTGCAGACACCAGAAAAAAAGAGGGAAAGAAGAGTAGCACTTAGTGTTACTTGAATAAAGATAGTAGGGGTAAAGGAGGTGCGAGGAAGCCTTAGGCAACCAGCGGTATCGTTAAAGGGATAGGAGGATGCCTGTGAACATGGCTCCGAGGATCACAAGGGGTGCAGCGACTTGACGACTGGCGCCATTTGAGCCCGAACCACTTCCGACAGCTCCGACGGGCGCAGAAGGATCAGCAGAAGTGGCCGACGACGTCGACGAGGCCTTGGCGTTAGATCCGGGTGTGACGACCAACCTATTCAAAAGTCAGCAAAAGTGCAACAAGTAAAAAATGGTAACGAACGTAGGACCGGACGCTGTCGAGATGGTGGAGGATGTCACGGAGACATCGGAAACTGACGAGGACGGAACACCATCACCAGAGAGGCAGCTAGCGTCGCCACTTTCAGTGACAGTAATCTGCAGAATGAAATTTTAAGAAACAAACGGTGTCAGCAGTTTCAGACTTACCACTCCGCTCCACGCTTCATCATCGTTGCTGTCGACCAAGGAGACCTGGATCGAAGTGCCCGCCGAGATAATCACTGTAGCATTCAGAGAATTACCCCAGTTGTTGGAACCGAAATCCTGACTTAATGACTGTTCCATCGAGTATTTCAATCTTAGGAGATCTCATACTTACATAGAGTTGCCGCAAGGATCCTGAGGGTTTACGAGCACGGCGTCGATGGGCATAGCGGTGGAGTCCCACGAGATGCTGAGTAGTCCACACTGTCACGAAACTGAGTCGACCGAAACACCTTGTGATGTGAAGACAACCATACCTGAGGGACGGCAGATGGGGCGTAAACAGTAAAGTCAGCAAGGACACCGTTGAAGATGGAGTTAAGAACGAGCGCAAAGGTAAGGAATGTGGAGAACATCTTCGCAGGATGTAGGGTGGGGTGGCGATATAAAAGGGAACGGACACCGGTAGGACGACGGCAAGAGGATAAAGGGAAGGGGACAACGAAACCTGCAGGCTGGATTGTGGGCGTTCAGCCAAATACGTCCAATCATGGCTTTCAACATCGACCGGCTGATCACAGATCCGGACAGATCCCTTAGCATTGTTACAATGAAACACATCATAGAAAGGAGTAACCCCTGCTCAGCATTGCTCTACAGCTTCGTTTTCTGACCCTTGAACGAGGCGAGCATGGTCCTCTTCGAGATCCTGAGAGACGTCCATGAGTAAACCGCCGCGAGGCATCAACGGGACTTACCCAGAGTGTTCAATGGGGGAAGGCGTTTCCTTCAGCCCTTCCACAGGCACCCGCGCGTCGAGAGGCACATATGCTCGCTTCATTGCTCCTACGTAGATCTGGCCGACTTCAGCTTCATCAGATAATGTACTCGTCGTGCACGCACTTGTCTAGGTCGCCAAATTTTTACTCCGCCTTCTTGAAGCATCATCTAATTATCGCGGCTAACTCCGGATGATTATAATCAACAAGGCGCTGACTTACCTGCCGCCAATGTGCGAGCCATCCCACTACTCGTGGCACAGCAAACAATACGGGGAAGAAATCCAAGGGGAAGCCTATAATGATGATCAGCATCCGCAATGATCGGACAGCACTGCGAACATACCCATGGCGCGATAAATCAGCCCACTTCAACGAGCATATTGAGCATTTATGTTATTCTGATCTTGTACAATACGTACCTCCTGCAAACCATGTTAATCGTGCGTGTGATAGATCAGAAAAACATACCAGAAATCGACATTCGGCGCCAGCTTTCTCCTAATAAAGTATTCATCTTTCATTGCCGCCTCGTGGAGTGTCATGGCTGTCTCCAATAACTCGTCCTTTCCCGTTCTAATTACGACGAGAGACGATTAGCAAATAGAGGTCCCCCATATGTCTATAACGACTCACACTTTGAAGACCTCATCAGCCGTTTTGCGCACGATGAAGGAACGTGGATCAGACTGCACATGGAAGGTTGAACACGCTAAATCCGTCATACGGCGGAACGGGTACGACCCACCGTTTTATAAACCCTAAGAAGACACAGATCAAAACATGGTCACGCCCGTAGACCGGTAGACATTTCTTGACGAACCTATGTCCAAAACCTGAAAGAACCTTTTCCCGTCTCTTTACTGCTTCAAGGAATGCTGGTACATTTGACGGACTGCGGACACACATCAGTCAGGACGAAGACGTTGGCAAAGGACATGTTCTACCTTCCAATTGAGATAAGCATCCGGATAACAGCCTCGTTCGCACCACCTAGATCATCATGAGCATAGAAAGGGCATCATGGAATTGGCATGCATACCATGCAATGGCCCACTTCATTTGATAGTGTCAATTTCCGTGACAAGATCGAAGAAGGGCAGACAAACTCACTACAAAGATGCACATCCAGCACTTCGAACATGGTGAAACGAAGAAAAGGTGGAGCAAAAGGCCATCAACTCACGCGATGGCAGAGTAGGGATCAACTAATGAGCTACCCGTCTGCAGGACCGTCGTCGCTGACGCGTTTAACTCGTGATCGGCGTGAAGTAAGAACAGAACATCAAGCGCCTTTTCCAGTACAGGGTGTGGAACGTAGTCCTCCTGTCCAAGGTGGTCCATTTGGTACATGAAACTTGACACAGATGTAAAAATTTGTTGAACACACAAACTATAGCACTTACGATCCGGTGTAGCTCAGACCAGTCGGTGGTGTCACAAACTCACGTCCTTGTCGAACACGATATGCCATCCTGGAAAATGACACATTTATTTTCAAAAATGTTTTGTGGAAAAATACACGTACGCAGCAAGGGTCGTGGCTTTCCCTATTAGCCTGTAGATTTGCTTGTCCATCACAGCTAAAGACTCTTTAGAGCCTCTTGTAAATAGATTCTGACCTAAGTTGTTATGTCAGTCGCCACCAGAGATATATTTCGGCAGATAGGATGTACCTCGCAATGATGGATTTGCCTCTTTGTAGTAAGAACCTAGATAGGCTAAAGCACTCGTTAAAATAGCCATTGGATGTGCATCATATCTAACCAACCGTCAGCTATGGCACCTCACAAACAAGGGTAAAAGAAATTCTACCGGAAAGAACGGAAAAACTGTTCAGCATCAGCGTGGACGACGCCGTGGTGCATCACCTCGCTCTCGAAGATATGGAGCTGGGAAGCAGTTGGTAGGGAGCCATAAATCAAAAGGTATGCTGTAGAGTTCGGTGAAGCCACGTCAGCTAAAAGAATAGCGAAAGCTGGATGTACAAGGATAGGCCGTTACCTGTTTCCAGATGGGACGAATGGAGAGCTAATTCTTCAATCGGATATCCTCTAACCTAGAGTGAGAAATATTTGATGTCAAGTATTCACGCTTACGGACCTGTAGCGGAGGACTGGAGACTCAGTTAGCACAGAAAGAAAGATGATGGGAGTAGAAAACAAACCACCAGCCTCTCCATCAATGTAGGTAATCTGACTGCGCATAACCGCAGTATTTAAAAATCCTTTGTCAGACACGCGCAACCCTTTCTCCGTTTCATCTTCCGCTCTATCTCCAGCGCCTCTGGGAGCAGATATAGCCTTGAAAGCGGTCGCTGGGATGCTGTTGTTGGTGATTCTGTGCAGAGTGGTGAACGTGGAGTATTGACATCATCGATGAGTGACATACGGAATTTCGTAAGTCTTTCCTGTACGGTTGTCACGAACGGTGAGGCTGGTGGTAGAGCCTGAGAGTGGCTTGCCCATGGCGGTGGATTGCAAGAAGAGAGCGCGGTCGCAGAATGTATCATTGAGTTTATTATATACTTCCTTACGCGCCGGTTCAGAGATATCACATGTGATAATCACCTTCCCCAAATGAAATTTAGCCGGATGACCTACTTCTCAGTCTACTGGCAGCCTCCGATTCGCGACAAGCTAGTCCCCGTTCTCCATCAAATGTTGATCAAGAGGCGTATTCATACATTATTCAATGCTAATCAAAACAAGTTAAACATTTCTCAGCCAAATCGTATGCTCAGTAAATATACGGTATGATGCGGTAGGGAACCATTTTCTTATACTTTTCCCAGTCTTCTCCGTATCTGAATCAGATCAGTCTTCTTTTTTTCACAATTGAAAGGATCGGACGAACTTTTTCTTGCACTTATCATCATCCCGGAGTTGGCGGTGGATCAACAAGACCAGAAAATACGAAACATAGAAGTATGTGATAGGTGTGTCGAACCCTGTAGGCAGCGACCAGGCCAAAGCCATGAGAAGATCACCACTTATGACCAGTGAGAACGCGTGTACGAGAGGCCATTCAGAACTCACAAATAGTTGGGATGCCGGGAGCGACCCCACCATCCGGAAGTCAGTAATTTAGAACCGGAGGAAGTGGTAAAATATTTGAGATCTACGCCGTCATCCGTCAAAACCAAATAGACTATGAAGGGCATGGAACTAACTTTTCGGGTTTTTTCCGTTGCGGAAGTCATTCTTCTCGCCGTTGGCCGCTCGGAAGATGTAGTAGCCGGTAGCGTTCACCAGGAAAACTACGGCGGTCAAGATAGGGCCAAGTTCAAAAGGCTTGAACGCTAGATATCTTGCTTGAAGGGAGTACGTGAATGGAACCCACGCAAGGTCCCCGACGGAGAGCATGAAACCAAAACCGTCGGTAGTGATATCCATAGTCGTGAAAATGGCGGGCTTCGCTCGTTTAAGTTATCACGCATTTGAGATGTGCGTCTTGGAACGCACCTCATTATACAGACCGTCGACAACGTACCAGCCTTGGAAAAGAAGGACAAGCCACATAGAATCTGTGACGTTACCAAAGCCTCCCCTCCGAACAGCTTGTTCGCATACCATGCTAATGTCAATCAAAGTCCATAGTATAAGTCCGGGGCGGAGCTCATTGAATGATTTGATGTCAAGCGAGCCAATGGAAGGGTTGAGTTCGCGGCCAATGAAGAACTGAACACACTGGTCAGAGCTTGCTGGCGATCGAAAAGATGGATGCCGACGTACGTCGTAAATAAAATTGTCCGAGTTTCCGCCCAACGCCAAAAGCTTGCCTTGGCGGAATGACATGGCATATACGTAGAGGCCTTGAATTAAAGACATCAGGAGAGATGCCGTGACGAAGCCGACCCATTTATCGTAGAAAAAGGTGAATGCTTCAGGGCCGTTCTTGCGTATAATGCCGACCGCAATACCAAGTGCCAATAGGCAAGTGGAAAAGGCTGTACGAGTTTTGTTAAAGGTAGCCAGCGTACATAAAACACTACGTACCATTGATTTTGTATTTTTTTTTCTCTCCGGTGCGTAAAGTGACCCCTTCGATCTGATCGCCCGGCAGTATGGCCCATGCGACGACACAAAACGCGTACCAGGCGAGGTAGATGCAGGCAGCCTCGGTATCCCAGAGACCTTTCCACCAATCTAGACTTGATACAGCGAGAATTACGCGATCAGGGATAGCAGCCAACGTTGGTGGGCAGCCCCCTGTTTCTTCGGCGCAGCCAAAGTAGAGAGCATAGGTGGTGATAGGAACGGTGAGAGTGACAAAGAGCGCGCCAGGCGGACCGAAAAACTCGTAATGTGTGGTCCTTGGATTGAGGTCAGACATTGACATGGAGGTAGGAGGAAAAGAAGGAAGTGGTGTCAGTTCGTCTGTCGTACGAGAGTTGCCTTACCGGGAGATCAGCTTTTGGTTCACGTTTAGATGGCCGTTTGTTTTCTGATTTCCCTCCTTCTTTCCTTTGCAGCCGAATCTCATCAGACAAACAAAGCCGCTGTGCAAGGAACATAGAAATATCGGCACCCCTAACGATTCTCCTGTCACCCAATTTCCTACCGACCATTATTGTTCCCTTGTTCTCTTGCACATCTTTGCCGTCTCCTACTCTTACAATGTCGCTCGCCCAGCGGCTCAACGAGCTCGCGTCGGCCAACTCTAAGGGACTTCTTGAGTGCGTACATCCTACTCTTACCATGTCCCGGGCTAACGTAACGGCAGTGACGACGACTATAGATTGCTTCGTCAGGACGTTTTTGAGAGGTACTCGCGCGATACACCAGACTCGCCTGCTGCCAGCCGTGGTCGGTGTGAGTTCTTTTTGTCTGGCGCTCATCGCAGGTCTAAGGTACAGCATCTTCAGCACCGTCTGGAGTGTCTTCGTCTTCGTCGGGCAAAAAGCAAGTCAACTTTCGTGGTCGCTGTGAGTTATCTGCCATCGCAATTCTCACCAAATATTGAGGTCACTCAGCCACCTCAAAACAAGCCCCATTTTCTTCTCCTCCTGCTGCTCCTTGTCCTTTACATCCAACTTCTCCACCACCTTCTAGTACACGAAGCAAGGCCTCTGTTTCTTTTGGTGTAACGAGCCTCTTCCGCCGCGCTACCAGCCGTAAACCTGCAAAAGACGACGCTCCAGCAGCTTCGTCGACTAACTCGACTAATTCCCTTAAGCGGGCCTTCATTCCACGCATGCTGTCCAGAAAACAAAGTGTTGACATGATGTCAATTCGTACGACGTCTTCTGGCATTCACAATGATGCCTTCTCGATGTCTTTGTACAAGACTAGTTTAGTCCCCGGAACCTTCTCGCCCCCGCGCACCCGTTCCACGTATTCAAAACGTGTGATTACGCCACTATCACACCCAAAGATTGATCCATCTATCAGTGATGATATCTTCGAGGACGGAGGGCTAACCACCACCAAGGGCCTCAGACAGTTCATCAATGAACTGGAAACAGAGCGCCAGCGAGTGTTAAAAGCCTTTGATGATCTCGAGAATAGCGCAGTGGAGCGACAGCGACATGCGATGGCCATCGCCCCCCTTGCAAGCACTGAATGGCGGAGTCCGAACAAGGTCGCTTCTTCATCAATGCTCGAGGGTCATATCCCAATCCAGGCGTCCAACGATGCTCTATCGGTGTGGTCCAACGTTTCTGTAACACGAAGCAAATCATCGTCCCAGAAACCACCTGGACCAAGTTCAATCCGTCGCAAGGGATCTGTTTCTTCCGTATCATCACAGGGCACATCTTTGTTGTCGGTCAACCGTCCAACCATCAGCAGCCACACCAGTCTCTCACGCAGTTCGGGACATCTGCCTCTAGGCGTTCATAGCATGCGTTCTTCGGAGACCGTGGGTTTGGAAGATGACATGACAGACCTACAGCGAAGAAGACTAGAAGTTACCCGACGTTATGAGGCTAGGCTGGAGTATTTGCGAGCGAGATTGAAAGGTGCTGAGTTGCACGAGAAGTTACTGAAGAAATAAGAGGTGTTGTAATGTTTCTGCTGGATATAGGGTATGTGTATCAATAACAGGCGTCCTGGTGACCATCAATAACCACTAATGTGTACTTTTCTGTTCTGTTCCACACGTTTAAGACAACTTCACCATCCTGAGCATATGACGCGGACACGAGAACAAGTTGGTCGGAAGCGGTGCAACGATGACCCCGCTGAATCATTCAACAGACCTCGGAAAATACATCTGATAAGGATACTCTGATGCCCTTACAGTTCTTTGATCGCTGGAAGTTGGCTGAAAATGAAAGTTGTTCGTCAAAAGTATTCTTATGACGTCATTTCTCCGCTCACGCTCCTCCATGACCAAAGGTGGGCATGAGTCTCAGATGCAGTCGTGGGTAATTCAAAACAGCCGATGCTATCGCTTTATTTTTGCTTACTACCATCATGTTGTCGCATACTTGCAAGTATGCGCTGAGGCATTTACCCCGCGCGAGCGCAGTCCCAACGAAGCTGGGCGCACGGTGAGTGACTAGCAATCGATACTTTAGCAAGATATTAACCGAGATTTAGATATTCTAGGTATTTAACCCGGACATATCATTCAACTTATTTGTTAAGCAAGCTTCAGCACGATGCACGACAACGACCCAGAAGTTCAATTTTCCGTATGCCTATACGAATTTTGGTCTAACATCTGTCACCCAGATCCTCGAGAGAGAGAAATACCGAAATCTCTCGAAGACACAGCACAGGACATCCACACCCCTCGACAATGCACCCGGATGGAATGAACACCTTGCGACCGCTTCCGAGGCTTCTGTGAAGGTGATCATCTTCATCCTTCACATTTCCCCCGCACAAACCAAGTCTCCTTATCATTAGGCCGACCGTTCTGAATTCGGTCGATCTGATTTCAGCCCCGCGGACCTTCAGAAGCGTACAGTTGAGTACTTGACATCACGCAACTCGCCGGAGGAACGAGTGGAACCAACCTTTGCTTTGTATACCCGGGACGAAGTCCAAGGTCCTTTGTCAAGCGCTCAGGGGTTCGAGGATCAAGACGACCACGCCGAAGAGGTCGTGAAACAAACTGTTCGCCAAGAAACTACCGAAGTCCTCAAGAAGGTCGATCCTACTATTAGCAAAAAATCTGTCGGTGCCTTCACAAGCATTTCATGATAATGGCTAATGACCGACGCCTGCCATTAGGTGAAAGCCGACGAGAGAGATTTGAGTGGATGATATGCAGGACAGAGTCCCTGTTGGATTTAACAAGAAAGAAAAAGAACTGTGTAGATTCATGAAACGTGTCGAAGGGCCGTCGCCAGTTGTAACAATAACACTTCTGTATTATGACGCATCGGTGCTGAAAGGTCTGAGAAGAGAATTGAATATTATCCAAATACAAGCGGTTTTGACCTGTGAATCTATTAATTGTAGCACTTCTCACAGTCTTCTGTCCATAGCAAATAAACGAAGAGAGAATCATGAAATGTGCGTGCCAACGTACGTTACGAAAACAATGCAGAATGTAACGAGCGTGAGGGAGAGACAGCAGATAGCGACATCAGGGTAACTTGTAGGTAACGACAGATTCGAAGATGATGAATGCTTGGAAAGAAATGATTCTGCTGTAGTGTTCAGGCGCGCTGAATGAAAACATGTATCTCAATATTGATGGGTTACACGTAGGAAATATATATAATATCACTGAAGAGACTCATTAGAAATAGTAAAAGCGACATCGAACAAGATGCTCACGAGGAAATAATCCGGTACACGTCGTGAGACAAGAGGTTCCCCAGCTCTGGGCGCAGGATCGAACTGTAGGCTGTAGCAGCGTAGCGTATTAGCGTGTCGTGAACTGCGAGGTAACCTTCGACAACTTACAAGCTGTATGATAATTTTTCGTCTATCTCCATAATGGCTGCCTGATTGCCACACCTATAACAGTAATTTGGTGCACTAAATATAGTCACCACATTCCTGTCCTGACCCCAACTATAGCCTACATGGTAAAGCTAGCTGAGCCAGAGTAATGGTGGCTTGTAGCCAATACGTACCTTCCATGACCAATTGATGCGCTCGTGCAACAAGGGTCAGTCCATTATTATGATTGAAAGCCTCTGATATATCTTGTCCAAACGTATATCCTGCCCCGCGGGGCGATATTCCCCAGCCACAGCGGTCATCAGGGTCTGACCATAGGAGGTCACACATCGGACCTTCGTGCGGCACCTCTTGAACCCGATCGATGGAACGAACATGGTCTAGGGTATCGATTGAGGGCGACAAACCGCCGTGTAGACAGAATATCTGTCAAATCATATATTAGCTGGATCCAATCTATCATGCAATGGATGCTCTGGCCGCCCAGCACCAGACGCGCAAGATTGACCGACTTCTGGTGGATGGGAGACGAGATAACAAGAGTAAGGGCAAACGCACTTGGTTATCGATCAGGGCGGTGAGAGGTAGGTAGTCGAAGAGATCAGTGAAAAACCGCCAAACATTGGCGTTGCCATATTTTCGAAGACACTCGTCGTAGAAGCCGTAGACTTGCGTGATCTGCCTCGATTCATGATTCCCGCGAAGAATAGTCACCCGGTCACGGTAGCGAAGCTTCATTGCGACGAGTAGGGTCACAGTTTCGACGGAGTAGTATCCTCGGTCGACGTAATCGCCCATGAAAAGATAGTTGGTATCTGGGGAGTTTCCTCCAATGCGAAAAAGCTCTGAGAGGTCGTGCTGAATGGAAGATAATGGACGGGAATAGTGCCGTTATGAACAAGGAATCACAAAGTGAAAGTTAGGACGCACAAATTGACCATGGATATCGCCGCAGACAGTGACCGGGCACCTCACAGGCTGAACATTCGACTCGTCCATCAAAATCTCCCTTGTCTGCCAGAGAATCAGGTTCATCTGAGAGGCAAGGCCGACGGATAGAGCGGTGAAACGGACCTTGTCACAGAGCCTTTTGACGTCCGATTCAGATAATTGCTTGCATTGGCTGAGCTGCTCAATCCAGCTGTCGACTTCTGGTTCCATGGGATATGTTTTGGCAAAATGTCCGGAAAAGTGGTCGTGGAGTGAAAGATGAAAGTTGTATCGACCTGATGTGGTAAGGACGCTGGATGGTCACTGTTGGTCACTGTCACGCTCTCTCTCTTTCCCTCGACGCGTACAACGTTCAGCAAAAGAAATGGCTGAACCTCAGGCTGTGTATGCTACTGATGAGGTGGGACTCTTGGTTATATGCACCCTTGTTTCGCTCAACGTCTTCTAATAAAGTATGGGCGACCCTTCATCATCGTCCGAGAACAAGGCAAGAAAACTCGATCCCATGGTGTAGAAGCAATCAAGGCATGTGGTTTTCTTTTTCTTTTACAGGGAGTATTCGCCTCATACGAAGTCTCTAGTCGCATATTCTTGCGGCACGGACCGTCGCCAATATTATACGAACCTCCTTGGGACCAAGAGGTCTGCCTTTCAGACCCTATCCCTCATTATGCTCCCGTAATGTTTCAGTATAGGGCTCGACAAGATCCTTATATCACCGGATGGTGAAATAACAGTCACAAATGACGGGGCAACAATTCTGGGTCAGATGGAAGTGGAACATCAGATTGCAAAACTGCTTGTCCAGTTATCAAAAAGCCAGGACGATGAAATTGGCGATGGAACAACCGGTGTCGTTGGTGCGTTTCAGGTTCTGCAACGTATAAAGCACTTTCTTATATCCATTTCTAGTCCTCGCCGGTGCTTTGCTAGAGCAAAGTGAGGCACTTTTGGACAAAGGTATACATCCTATCCGAATTGCTGATGGATTCGATCGTGCCTGTGCTGTAGCAGTCGAGGAACTTGATCGTATATCTGACCGGGTGGAATATTCGAGGGAGAATACTGAAAATCTTCTAAAGACAGCCATGACTAGTCTTGGAAGCAAAATGTGGGTTTTCTCCTTGAGCATCACAAGCCATCTTATTTCACTTTCTCGTGTAGTGTGTCGAAAGAACACCAACAGTTTGCTCAGATTGCCGTGGATGCTGTCTTACAAGTGGCTGACCTCGATAGACGTGACGTTCCTTTCGACCTTATTAAGGTGGATGGCAAAGTTGGAGGTTCGCTAGCGGACACCCAATTGATCAAGGGTGTTCTCATTGACAAGGACATGTCCCATCCACAAATGCCTCATTCAGTAAAGGATGCCCGACTCGCTATCCTTACATGTCCTTTCGAGCCCCCTCGTCCAAAAACGAAGCATAAGCTAGACATCACCAGCGTGGAGGAGTATAAGAAACTTCGAGAGTATGAAAAGGAGAAGTTCACAGACATGGTCAAGCGCGTCAAAGACACGGGCGCCAATTTGGTGATCTGTCAGTGGGGTTTCGATGACGAGGCCAATCATTTGCTAATGCAAAATGAGTTGCCTGCTGTGAGATGGGTCGGTGGTCCGGAAATAGAGGTCTGTGAATTCAAATTCAGCTTTGGTGTGCAAACTTGCTAATAATGTTGCAAGCTCATCGCAATAGCGACGCAAGGTCGCATTGTACCTCGTTTCGAGGACCTTACTGCTGAAAAGTTGGGCAAGGCTGGTATCGTTCGGGAAGTCTCGTTTGGTACGACACGCGACAAAATGCTAGTCATTGAGAAATGTGCAAACACTAGAGCGGTGACGATATTTGTTCGAGGCAGCAACAAAATGGTAGAGACTCATGCATACTTCGTTTAGATATCCTGCTGATTTATGAGTAGATTGTTGACGAGGCGAAGCGTGCCTTGCACGACGCACTGTGTGTTGTCCGAAACCTTGTCGTAGATAATCGGGTCGTTTATGGAGGAGGAGCCGCTGATATAAGTTGTGCAATCGCGGTATCCAAGGCGGCGGACGAGGTGTGTATTACAGCTTTCTTATGCTAGTTGGCTGCAGCTTCGTTTTGATAGATACCGTCAATCGAGCAGTACGCAATGCGTGCGTTCGCGTCTGCGCTCGATGCTGTTCCACTCGCGCTGGCGGAGAACAGTGGTCTGTCGCCTATCGAGACTTTAACAGACGTACGAAGCCGACAGATCAAGGAAGGTAACTCAAGACTTGGTATCGACTGCAACGGGCGGGGTCAGAACGGTTAGTGATCTTTTCGTTATTGTGCACTTTTGTTCTTACATGGGGCTACTGTTCTTATAGACATGAAGGAGCAATTTGTGTATGACCCGCTCATTTCAAAACGGCAACAATATCTGTTGGCAACCCAGGTGATTACGTTTGTAATATCTTGATTCTCCACTCATCGTCCGTATTTTCCTTAGCTCGTGCGGGCAGTATTAAAGATCGGTGCGTAATTTCTCTTGCCCATTTTTCACACTTTGATCAGTTCATTCCAGACGACGTCATAATCGCTGGGGAAGCCGACGAATAGACGAGAAGTAGTATTTCGAGGATGTAACATTTAGTATACTTTGCTAATGGCGCCACCGTCTGTTTGACGGTTGCATTGTCCGCCTTCTTGGACATTGTCTTTATGACCAAAGATATTTGTCTTGAAAGTACAAGGCCTTGAACCAAATAAATGATAACAAGGCGACACGCTGAGAATCAGATCTGCCACACTTCATCTAGCTGCCCCACGTCTACCTCATTTTTTTCATTCTGCAGATAATCGCGTTCAATACTCCGTGTTTGCCTGCAAGTACATGTCATTCGCAGGCACACCATTAGGTCAAGGCAGACGTCTGGATCATAGCACATTTCTCGGGAAACCGGCCTCCAACGGAAACCGCCCACCGAGTCCTCAGCGACTCGTTCCTACATCGTTCACCTACGGGTGTGTCGTGTCTGACATTTTCGCGTCAAATTTGCACTGAACTCGTCCTTAGGGCACCCCTGCTTGGTCCCCGATCGCCTTCAAAACCAACGTCCTCACGTGAGCGCAGGGCTGTAACCGATCACGACGACGGCGAAGCTCCTGCACTGACTCGTCCAGGCGGTCCCCAGCTTTATACCTCACCACCGCATAGTCCAGAGAAGTGGAGCGTCAAGGATACCTCTGTCAATATCGCTACTGCGTTTACCCAGGCTGCCTACAACATGCAGGCTGGCAATCCAAATAACTCGTGGGCTTCATCGCGTCCAATTACTTCCTATCATAGAGGCACTTCAGCCGAGTATGAACAAATCTCGCGTGCAACCGGCCAGCGTCGCCTTGCTGCGCCGCCCAACCGATTCAACAATCCGCCAAACAGACCCCCATCCCGTGCACCCAACACTCTCAGTAAAGCTCCCTCTCTGCAGCAGGTTCCAGACTCTGAAGGTGAAGAAAACACTGGAGCCCGCGCTAGGAGTCCTTTGGCAGAACTCGCCTCAAAGACACTCGCCAACGCTTCCTTCTATCTCCGTCGACCGTCGCATGAACCCGAAGATTTATCGGTGGAGCAGCCCTCCGCCAATGGCAAGAATAACAGCTACGACTATTCTGCAGAGGAGCGCGACTTCCAGAATCAGCAGCAGACGGCGCCGCGCCGCAAAACGATACTCAGACGGGGCGGAGGTATGTCTTCTGACAACAAAGCATACAAGCCAACACAGTCAGATATGGAGGAGTCTGACGAAGAATTTGTGGATGATGACAACCGTAAACGGAAGCCGAAGAAAAAGGACGCGGGGCGTCTGACCACTCTTCCGACCATAGGCGAAACCAAGCGGAGGAAGAAGAAAGCAAAGCCATCGAAAGGAGCCGCGGCTGCAGAAGAGAGTGAGGAAGGCGAAGAAGAGGAAGAGGAAGAACAGGTGCGCCATTCTCCTCAGTATCATTGAGTATTTTGTTCAAAGCAAAAAACCCAGTCTGCACGAGCCTCTCAAACAAGGGAGTCAGCTCCGTCATTACGTCGGTCTGCTTCCCACCACCCACAACCTTCAGATGCTCAGCTAATATCAGAAGATGCTCTACTAAATGCAGAACAAGGACTAACATCAATACCAGAGAGAGACGAATGTCCGCCTGATCGAGATCCTCCTCGTCGTCTATCCATTGGGGCGCTCCTTGGGTCCTTGATCAACTATAGCTGTCATGGCATTATGAACCTTGCCATATGGTCATGGGGATTCGTCGTCACTGCATTCTTCTTTTGTGGCAAAGTTTTCGGTACTTTCATGGGCGTCGCTCTTCTAGTTCCATTGCAATGGATACTAAAGGGTTCTTCCAGTGTCTTTATGAGGTACCTTGTAGTGGGACTGGCTATCATGGGTGGTTGGTACGTTTTACAAGAGCCAATCCTCAGATTTACCCCACGGTTTCCGTCTGGTCCTTTGTACACTCCACCCGAAACTCCTGCTTCGAGTATGGCTGAACTTAACGCTCGCTTGCACCAGATCGAGGCCTCTCTTGCCGGGCTCGCGTTGGAGAGTGAGCGTACCAAAACCAAAGTCGACAACGATGCTCGCTCACGAATCGATGTTGTCGGTCGGCTGAGTTCTCTTGAGTCTCGGGTGCAGAAGGAGAATTTTAGAGTCCTTGAAGCCGAAGTTCAGCATCGTGATATGATTAATGGAGCAGTGCAGGCAGTCAAAAAAGAAATGGAGGTGCTCCAGGTCCAAATGCAGACCCAAGGCTCCTCCAAACCGGAAGGTCCTGTGAGTGATGAAGAGGCAAGGGCCAGGCTAAAGGCCCTTGAGGAGCGCGTAGGGACCGTCGGAGGAGGCGTCAGGGAGGCTGCTAAAGCTGGTGCCGCGGTCGCCAGCATGTCATGGTGGAATAACGGTAAGAAGGGTTTGACGATCAAATCCTCTGATGGACAAGACGTTACAAAGCTCGTCGAACAATTGGACAAGGATACCATTGCGAAACCCGATTTTGCGCTCCATTCCGGCGGCGCACGAATCATACCCTCATTGACAAGTCCGACATTCGAGATACGACCACGTACCTTACGGGGCCAGGTGTTTGGCACAATAACCGGGGATGGCTACGCCATTGGTCGCCCGCCCATTACTGCCCTTCACCATGAGTCTCATAATGGTCATTGTTGGCCATTCGCTGGTTCGTCTGGTCAGCTCGCTGTGGTGCTCGCTGCTCCCGCGTATATCAAGGAGATTTCTATTGACCACGTTGCAAAGGAGGTTGCTTTCGACATGCGCAGTGCTCCTCGGCGAATGGAAGTTTGGGGTCTGGTCGAAGGGAGGGAGAACATTGTCAAGGTCGGCGAATGGAAGGCCGAGAAAGCTCGATTGAGGGCAGAGGCTTTGGGGCGAGGGGAGATTGTCGAGGAAGAGGAATATCCAAAGACTCTTCCGAAGTTGCCCATGTATGTTCGGATTGCCGCGTTTGATTACAACATCTATGCGCCTAACCATGTACAGACTTTCCCTGTTCTGGATGAGATCCAGGACTTGGGTGTTGACTTTGGGATTGTGGTGTTGAGGATACTGAGTAACTGGGGAAGAGACGAGTTCACCTGTTTATACCGATTCCGCGTACATGGAGAGAGACTGGGTGGGGTGCCGCCACCTTACCCAGAGGAGGTATTATTGGAGTCATAACTATTTGCTTTTTCTTCCTTTATTATTTTTTTATTTCCTTCCACTTCTAATCTGCCCATTTGTATGTTGTATGTTGCTTTTAGACAGTCCTGGTGTCGATCATTACACATACCTTCCGCTTATCACTGTTCTCGCCAATGCTCCCACTGTCAAATGTATCATATCTATATCTATATCCTGAAATCCAAGTACTGGAGGGTTACCATTAATCGTTAATCGACGGAATACTATACCAGACGAACATCTTCTTCAAGTTGGACAACAACAATCTATGTGTGACAGCTGATTGCTGCTGTCTCTCACAAATCGCAAGTGCGAACGGCAGAGGTCAAGCAGAGGTTCGGGAACATATCATTCAATTCGCGTCACGAATTTTGCATAAACCCTAACCTCGGGTCAAGTCCTTCCTTTGTTCTCATCCACCACCGTTCGTGAACCGCTAGAATGGCATTTGCGTCCAAGTAACGTATATCATCGAGATATTCACAAAGAAATAACTGATATGTGACCTACAGCACGTCGGCCTTTGGGTCCAGCGCGTTCGGACAAAAGCCTACAGGTGGCTCCTCCATCTTTGGGACGCCCAGCACGACGACAACACAAAATGCCTTCAGCGCATTCGGACAGAACAACGCGCAACAACAGCAGCAACCAGCAACCAGCTCCGTGTTTGGCCAGCCCTCACAACCTACATCATCTCTGTTCGGACAGCCATCTCAGCAGCAGCAGCAGCCAGCCGCGTCGACATCACTTTTCGGACAGCCGTCCCAACCGCAGGCTACGACAAACTCATTATTTGGTCAGCCTGCTCAACAACAGCAGAATACCTCTTCTCTGTTTGGTCAGAACCAAAATCAACCTGGTACATCGTCACTATTCGGCCAAGTTGCCAAGACCGGGACTACATCTCTGTTTGGCCAGCCATCACAGCCCGCTGCAGGCACTACGTCGCTATTTGGCCAACCATCGCAGCCAGCAACGACCACAGGCACTACGTCCTTGTTTGGTCAGCCGTCGCCACAGCAAGCACCTGCGACCAGTTTATTTGGGCAGTCCACAGCGGGTCAACAGAACCAGACACAAGGGTCGTCGATCTTTGGTAGTAACACCAATTCTACGTTTGGGGCAGGCCCGTTCGGTGGCAGCAACCAAACTCAGCAGCAGCAACCCGCTGCCAATATTTTCGGCAACCCTTCGACGAATGCTCTTCAGAGTCAGCCTACCGCGCCCGCTTTTGGTGGCGGAGGATCATTGTTTGGGAGGCCACAACAAACCACGTCAGTTGCATTCCTGGTTCGCGTTTTGTGACCCGCCTATTGACATTTAACCACAGGTTTGGTTCGACCACTGGCACCCAAGCACCGGTCCAAGCCTCAGGCCCACCATTATTCACAAAAACGACTAAATTCAATGATTTACCAGAGGAAATTAAACGCACGTTTGAACAAATCGAGTATGCTTTTATCCGTCCTTCTAGCGGACTCGGATTCACCCCCATTTTACGAAGATCCCACATCCAAGGTCGCGTACAAATTAGTAAAGACCTTCAACAGCGAAATCTGGGCGAGGAACCTTCAAAGGGTCAGGAGCTCATCCGTGGAGTGCACAAAGTCAGCACTCTTCCTCGCTGCCCGATATCCTACTCAGGATCATTTTATATAGGACCTTGTGAATACTGTCTCGACCATACGTTCCGACCTGCATTATACCAAGGATTTGAAGGCAAAGGCTGAGCAAGCAGTAGAGGATACGATAGTATCAATGCGCATCATAGATGGTTTCGGGAACCCACAAGCCAACGGCGCCTATCTGAAAGATCACGCTTCGTTCCCTTTCGAGTGAGTTGTTTGGTATGTTGCTTCGATGCCTATAATTGAAATTGCGTCGCCGTCTAGGTTCTTCAATCGACTGTCGAAGCAAATGTGCGAAAGGCTCGCTTGGTGTAAGAACACAATAGAGGTAAGTAGGACCTTGGCTTCATACCTTTTCAGCCTTGAGACATTTCTTTCCGTAGCAAATCGAACGTAAGCTGTCGTCCATGGCTCATCAGTCACAGTACACCCCTCACGGTAAGCATCTTTCCAATCGAATTTCTTGCTGAATACCCACTGGTCATCTCAGGTATATCGGCCACGCTCCAAGTGCAGCATGCCACCTTCCTAGCGTTAGCAAGCAAAACAGCTGTCCTGGATGCTGAACTGCAAAAGATCAAGGGTTTGTACATCCAACTTTGGCGCTCTCGAACTGGTAGTGTAAGAGACCCTTTCAATGAATTAGATATGGACAAAAATATTGCGAAGGGGTCTGATTTGGGTTTGAGTGGCCTCAGCGTTCGATAACAACAGATCATGTCCACTTGTAGATTTTTAGCGGTTCTCAATGTTTGTTCTTACGTTGTGCTTGGTCTGAATGATAAAATATTTGCGGTCAAATATCTCTAAACGAATGTGATTACTGTGGTCCGTATAATTATTCAAATAAATAAAGGAGGGAAGAAACAGGATACTGGGTACAATGTTCACGCCAGAGTTCGCAAGACTTCGTCGCTTTGCTCTAAAACCTGCAGACACGTGGTCAGGACGGGCCAACAAAGTGACAAACAGAATACCGGCCTGATGTATATCTGGACGATCTCTTGGATTCACTTTCAGCATGCTGTCGATAAGATTCTTGAGACCCTGAGAATAAGCGGATGGAGGATGATTGTATCGGGCGTTCAGGACTGCCATCGCTATTGAACCACCTTGTTCAGTAGTTTGTGTGTTCTCAAATGGTGAATGGGAATAAGCCAGTGCGAATAGGGTGCAGCCGAGAGACTAAAACAGCATCAGTCAGTAGTAGGAAACAAATGTAACACGTTATCACACCCAAATGTCAACTTTCTCATCCAAGGTTACATCTGTTTTGACGTCGAAAAGTTCTGGGGCACGATAAGCCATGGTGCTTTGCTCGGCTGCCAAGTCCTGTTACGCATACCAGTGTAAAGCAATAATATGACGGAGAAATACCACTTACTTGCTGGAAGAGAGCTTGCGAACGGTTTTCAATATGAATTCTAGCTTTCACCGTGCTCCCAAAGTCCATTAGGATGGGTGTTACCCCATCGTCAGCAATCATAACATTGCTTCAGTTGGGGTTAATGGCGGGAATGTGAAGACGAATATTGAGTCTCACCCAGGTTTCAAGTCGCGATGCGCGTAAGGAACGACTTCTGTCGCGTCTGTCGCTGCTATGTTTTGGGCCAGTTCCTCATCACCATCAAATACAACATCTCTTTTGTCTTCGACGTGGCGCTTCGTCACAAGTGGAATCGTTGTGGAATCGTATGAATATCCTCCGTCTGCATCTCCCTCTGCTTGTGGGAATCGTTCATCATCGTCTGAATGACGGGAAGAAACCTCTTGAGGTCGTGGTGAAATGCTGTTCTGTCTCGACGCGGGGGCCGGTCCCACTGGAGCACGATAGGTGTGCATAGCTCGCACCGCTTGGCATGTACCTTTGAATAGGCGCACCATCTCTTGTTCAGGGAAGTGTGTGCCATTAACGACGTTGGCATTGATGGCGTCCTGTAGGTTGCCTTTCTATATCTGATGTAAAGGCCAGGTTTGTGAGCTTGGGCGTTTAGGCGTACTTTGTATAATGGTAGGAACAAGTAGACAATCTTTCCTTCGCCATCAGGATCCTGGACAACTGCCGAGTCCTACAAGTAAAAAAATAAGATGAAAACTATTTGAACGAACGGAAGGGACATGAACCAGTATTCGTATGATGTTTGGATGCCTGCAAGTATGTTGATCGAACGTCAGAACAATAAGCAGGAGACAGCACCCACCTGAACCGTCTGTATGCCTCCACCTCTCGCATAGCTTCCTTTACACCTTCCGTACCAGTAGGACATCGAATTTTCTTGAGGGCGAATTGGCGCTATGTCTTCCCGGTCATCCAAGAATTCACGACCAGCACAGCTGCATGCTTACTCCGCTGTGTTCGTCCTGCGCCAAGTATACAAATGAAAAGCCTCCTTCTCCCAAAACTTTAATTATGTTGACTGTATCGCAAGTCAAGCTAGGCTCAAGGTTGCAAGAAACAGATGGTACTGACACGTTCGTCCATTTATCTTGACCTTTGCTGACTGCTGGCAAAGACATGAAGAGAGAGCCCATAGTGCATCCTTTGCCTGGTCCTTGAAGCTGTCAAGAGCGCGCATGAATTGAGGAGGTATCGCCATGGATTGAGAATGGCTGCGCTGCTGCGAATTCGCTGTCTGCTTACATCATCGACAATACGTACTTGTGCTAATCTTCCCACCCACCCATCTCACGTTCTCTCTTCATTCGTCGCATGTCCCTTCGCTCCACATCAGTCATCGAAACCCATTCCGTCATTCCTCCAACTTCTTCAATGAGTTCTTCTTCCCACTGCTCCTCCCTCTCCCTTTCCTTCTTGGTTTTCTTCGGGGCCGGTGGTGGAGGCAATGGCGCCGGCGGTGTACGTCTGTTCGGATGTAAAGGAGCAATACGCGATAAAGCCATTTTGTTGGATTTCAGGTAGGGTGAGTAAGCTGTCCCAGGTATCGACCGTCCAGGGCGTCCCACTGGAAAGGGAGAGCTGGGTAAGGAGTTTACACGACGAATGAGCTCACTCATAGGTGTTGGTTTGAAACGAGGAGCAATCGAGTGTCGAGAAATAAGAGATGGATCCTTTCCCTTCGGCGTATCGGAGTCTTGCATAATGCTCGTCTCTGCTTCTATTCCGGAGGGCTTCGGTCGTAGGTTCTCCTACAGGAGCAGATTAATGTTGGCACAAGACCCAAAGAAGCGGCCAGCCAGTTACCCTTGTACCTCCTTTTGCTGTTTCGGTGCTCGCAGGTCGCGTTTCAGGCGCGATCTGCTTGTCAGTCTCTTCCACTTGCATGACCTCGTCGGGATAAGGCGCTGAGTGTTCGGAAGTATCTTCATCATCAGATAAGATGACCATCTTCGCTTTTGCTTTGGATTGACCGATCTTGCCCATACCCTCTGTCTTCCTCTTCTTTTCCGACGTTTCTCCCGTTTTTCCACCCGCTTCATCACTAGTCGCCTCCTTGCGCTTTCTTCCTGGTCTAGATATGACTGCAGGGTCTTCAACCGTCATTGGGGGGCCACTCGAAGAGTCCGCTTGGTCAGGAGTGACGCTGGGTTCTGTGAGGATGGAGAACGGTTCGAGCTTGTGGATACTATCGTCTTCAATGGATTCGCTGCTCTTAAAAATCTCCTTCTTCTTTCCTTTGCCTTTCGTCTTAGCCGCCGCGCTTGATTTCGTCTCCTTAGTCTTCTTCTCCTTTGACCTAGATTTCCCTTTAGGCTCTTCCTCCTCATTTTGCTTGGTATCTTTCTTTCTTCCCTTCTTCGTGGGCTTGTCTTTCTTAGCCGGTATGGAAGGACTCAGTGAAGGGACATCACTGGGATGGGACTGGTACTCTGCTGGTTTATCGGGGCCTGGTGAAGAGGACGCAAAGAAGGCAGAAGGCATATCACTGTCCAATTGGTCACAGACGTCGTCACCTTCGACGGCATGCAGCCTTCGTCGGGATGGTAAGGGAGAGGAGCCTCTTGGGCTCGTGTTGGACTCTATGAGGGTGGCAATCGACGGATGATCGTAGTGGACCCTCGTGTCTTTGTCGCCGGATATGAAAGAAGGATAACTTGGTAACTTTGATGTAGGGGATGTAGGTTGATGAGGAGAACATTGGGGAAATTTGCTAGCATTATGTGTCACCTTCTGTGTTCTAGAGACTTGCTTTCCTTTACGGGTGTTGGGTTTGCCCTTCGGAAGTGAATTCAACTCGTCGCTGCCATCGTCCGAAGAGATATCGATGACCCCTAAGGATATCCCAGAAGTAGTGGAACTCTTTGAAGAAAGAGCATTCAATTTTGAAGGTTTAGGTGCTCGGGAACGCATCTTGGCGCGATCTGCGATGTTTAGGACGCTACCAGCAGAGAAATCTCCTACAGATATGTCGCTGATCGATGGCGCTTGTTTCATTTTGTATATGGGACGAGGACGAGGCCGCTGAGACTTTACTGGTTCTGATGGAATTTCGGGAACTGGCTGTGACGAGATTTGCGGTTTACTGGCGAAGACAGAAATGGATTCGAGGTGAGAAGACGGCTTGCTTGTATACTCTGATATATGCGAAGAGTCTCCTTGGTGAATTCCCAAAGTTGAAATGGAATCATTAACAGTTGGTCTTTGGATCCTCGTGTGTGCTGTACGATACTTAGTGTAGCCAGCATGTAGTGGAGCTCATTACGCACCAGGAGAGCCCAGAGATGGCAAAGGAAAGTATTCGTCCTCTCCTTCGCTGTCCACAACGACGTCATTTTCTAAATCCATCCAAGGCGATACGAGTAGGGGTGCAAGTACGTCCAATGTGACAGTTCTGTCACATGGCGCGCCGTGGTGAAAAGACGCACGTGATGATGTACAATCCGGTAACTAATGGTAATTCCTGCCCGAACCTCATGTCATCCCAACGACCATCCATCCCAAGACCGCCGCCATCCCCTTTGCGACCAGGGTCACCACCTGTTAATTCGTCTCCCTTGAGCTTTCAGACATCTTCTACAGGGACTTTGCTAAATGCGAGACGAACAACACCGACATCTCCACCCAAAACACGAGCCCGAGATCTGCTACGGAAGCACTACGGTCTAGGTGTTGGTCTACCACCTGCTCGACCCGGTGTTCCTAATGATCCTATGAATATGGGTGCGTCATTAATGTTTGATTTTGCGATGTATAACGACAAATGAATAGATTCCCCCGCGTTTGACGCCAAGGCGTATTATGAACAATTAATAACCACCTCAACCTTGCCAGCATTGCTGAAGCAAGAAAACGGGCTTGTTTCAGGTCAGATATGAAGGCAGAAGTCTCATTTTTTTCTGATTTGACACAATTGACAGAAATACGGGAACTCGACAGCGAGCGCCAGTCACTGGTCTACAATCACCACCACGAGTTGATAGCTGCTAGTGATACCATTGCTGCCGTGAGGATAAACCCCGCCGAGATATTCTTTCTGCTTTGCTTATCTTCCGTTAGATGAAAAGTCGAGCGGAAAGCCTGGATGCTGACCTTGATTTGCTGAAGGCCGCCTTCTCCGAGATATCACGTCTGGCAGAAGAGGTTGCAGTGCAAAGTCAATCAGCCGAAGGCAAAGATAATACTCTCGCTCCTGGCTGATGTTACTATTATCAACACCTTGAGGAACAGGATCAGGAAATTATTTTACTTTCATATTACTTATCTCTTATGTCATTCCCTGTGGCGGGTAATCATGCAAGCTACATACTCAGAGTAAGATACCAATTTTCCATCGTTCGGTAGTGCAGCTAGTTGCGCTCCTTTATATTCCAGTTACCTTCGACCCACGAGGACTTGCTGTGCTATGCAATTCATTTATAGTTTGAGCAGTCCAAGCCTAGTTGAGCTCCCATAAACAATCGATATGATGTTCAAAGCCAGTTTTAGGAATCGTATCTACAGAGCTCGTCAAAGAGACAGAGACTTGAACTTCTCTGTTCGCTGCCTCTTCCTGGGAGGAATATTTCCTGTTGGAAGAGTCTTCTGCGATGAAGACTTGGAGGTAGTCTGGTCTTGTAGGCTGTCAGCCTCCTGAGAAGTGACCTCTCGTTTTGTCTTTCGCACCAGGAAAGCTGCCTGCTTCAGTTTCTACGAGAGAGATGAGGGTATAATTTCTCGTAGCACGCAATGACAACGTACCCTTTTCTCCGCCTGAGATATGCGCCTTGCGTTCTATCACATTGTCAGAATTGAGCCATTGATGCGGAAAGTTATATATTCTCCTCTTCACCTTTTTCTTCGCACGATTGGAAAGTCCCTTGGAAGACTCATCGACATCCTTCGACGGGATATGTTCACTAGCATCGTCTTGGGGACTCGCTAGAGCACATCGTTGCTTATATTGAGAGAACCTTCTAGTATGGTGCTGTATGTGTTCGTTGAGACCGACGCGAAGGAGTTGAAAAAAGTATACATGCTTTAGAACATAGATGGATTTGGATCATCGACGGGCCCTTGAAACGCTTTGCTGGACAAACGAAACATGCTGTCATGTCGATGTCTGTTGGACTATTGTAGATAGGGTTTTCGAGGACTTGGGCTATTGTCATTTTCACTTCCGTGTCATCACCCTCATCCTCCACCACTCCATCCTCATCCTCTGCGTGGGCCTCGTCCTCAGAAGAATCCGAACTTGAATCAGAGTCGTCTGAATCGTTATGTGGGATACCGAGCGCCTGTTTGAGCTCGTCGTCGATTCCCAAGGCATCGTCTTCAGCCTTTCTTTTCAAACGTCTGTCCACTCTTTTAAACATGGAGGAAAACAGTAGATGATTTTGAAATTGATCGAAGCGGAAATCGCCGAAAAACTTTCTCCCTGCCATTCTGTTCGCGCATGACGAAGGTAGTCCATGTACAACGTCCACCGATATGCTGCGCTGCGTGGCTCCCTTCTAACCGACTTTCGCGTCAACCGTTGCGTCCACACCCAAACCGATTCATCTTACCCTAAAGACAGGCAGCGGAGAACACCTGCAGGTGTCCAACGTTCAAAATTCCAGCGTCAGCCTCAGAAATTCCACAAAAATCCATCGCCTCGTGTTGATTTTGACTCGGTCGAGACGTTGGCAAATAGGCTTATTGAGACATCTGACCAGCGTGAAGTCTCGGGATGGAAGCACACAAAATCATTACGCGGCGATGAAATGCGTCTGGCTTCCAGCATAAAAGTGAAACGGGACCTCCCTCGGTTTTCTACGGAGAAGCAGGCGATGGAGGCGGTCGACCCATTGGACAGATTTGAGGCTTTGGCCGACTATGAGGTGGTTCCCGCAGTCAAAGCAACTCCAGGCACCTTTGTAGAGATCAGAAGGTGTGCATTCATCGATTGGTGTATTGTCCGACTCTCATGCCTTCTCCAGGAATTCTTCTGTGGCAACTGGTATCGTACTTTCGAGCTCGATAATAGCTCGCCGAGAAGTTACTGTGTCGTTGACAGACAGAGGAGAAATGTTGCACCATCAACCAGACGACATTACCTTTGCTGTTCCCGGCGTTGTCTCTGAGGACCTGATACAGCGGAGCGGCCACAGTGACTTTTCATCCGATCACAAAGAGCACAATGCTCGCGTACAGATCCTCAAACAATTGAAGGATATCGGATCCCTAGTCAACGACCTTCGAGTCCCTGTACTCAACACCCTTTCCACCTTGTATCCCACTTTGCGGAACTCCAACCCAGAAAAATGGGGATTGACCAACATATCGGAACTCACCCGCATGTTCAAACGTAACCCCACCTTTGTGGATATCTTCTCTGTCCATCTCTGGGTGTGGGACAATCTGGATAGGTTCTCGCCCGCTGCCACCTATTCTGTCACCCAGAATATTCGTATCCGTCCCGAGAACCACTATAACCGTATAAAAAATATCACCACTTGGACTCATCAAAAGGCCAGCCCCATTGACTCTTTTGCACTGAAAGCCAGGCCTATCATACAGAAGAGTCGTCGACATCATGCTGAATCTATCGGCGAATCCCCGTCGTGGATTCCTGGTAACCATGAATGGACGCCTACTGATATTCTGATCATTTCCTACCTCCTGGATGCGCTTCGTGCAGAGGGCGAGGGCCATAAAGAGCCCTACATATTGGGGCAGAGTGCCATACTGAAGAAAGTGGATCCAGACGTTGCTTCGGTAGATCAGGATACTATATATCAATCCCTTCTTGGCATAGGTGTGGCCGCTCCCTGGCATGACATGACCGCTATTACCCCGACGGATGAAGGAGACCCAGAGCGTGAAGCAACGATTGTGGCTCGCTCGATGTCTGCCCCCCCCTCATCGGATGTCCTGGGCCCCGAAGATTTATACCGCAGTGATCCACTTCAGGCCGTCCGCCACGATTTCGGTGACTTGAATGTGTATGTCATCGATGATCCAACGGCCAAGGAACTTGACGATGGTATATCTATCCAGAGAATACCTTCGGAACCCGATAACTATTGGCTTCACGTTCATATCGCGGACCCAGCCTCTCTCATTCCGCCGACACACGTCTTTGCTGCACAGGCCTTACAACGAGGACAGACGTATTATTACGGAACTCGTACATTCCCCATGCTTCCGACCGCTTTCACGGGTTCAAAAGAGTTTGGGCTATCCTTGGGAGATCTTCTGGATTCCGGGAAGTCTCAGCGTGTCCTAACCTTCAGTTGTAAGGTCAACCTTAAGGGCGACTTACTCGACTACAAGGTCAGAGGTGGATTGGTGAAGAACATCCATCTCTTGACATATCACACTGTCAACGGAGCCCTAGGATACCCTCTTGAGACCAATGTTTATCCGTTTGGTGATCGACCCCCTTCTTCCCCTCGTCACTCCTTGACCGATGAACATGTCGAAGATCTACGTCTGATAGATCAGATTGCTCGTGCATGCGTAGCACGCCGGTTCAGGGACAACATCTACATCACAAGCAGCAGCAAAGCTGAGATACGGTTCGACGATGTTTCCTCGATTCCGTCCCTTACGATGGAACCAGGACATTTCCGCGGGTTTGTTGGCATGACTTACTCGGTTGAAGACGCCAAAAACGCAGATTCAGGCGCACGCAGCCTCGTCGCTGAGTCGATGAAGCTCGCATGTCGTGCAGCATCGCGGTTCTTCTTGGACCATAATATCGCAGCACTTCGGCGTACTCTGCAAGCACCAACCCATACATCAGATACGGATTTACAAAAAATCCTTGAGATGCGATCTCCAAACGCATATGTCGAACGTACATCGGTCCTTCCATATGTTGTTGCAGAGTCGAAGTCGTCATATTCACTAGAACCCTGTGGACACCACCAGATAGGTAGTCCAGATGGAGAAGGATATGTGCGGGTCACCTCTCCCTTGCGACGTGCCGCTGATCTGCAAGCGCACTGGCAACTGATCAATGCCTTGCGCGGCGTAAGGAAACCACTATTCAGTCCTGAGGAGCTGATGCAGTTCACGGAGGTCTTTTGGACAGCAGACCGTTATAACAAGCGTATGGAAGGCCGTAATCGTGCGCTCGGGCAGGTCTATTATCTGCAGCAGTGGCTAGCAAATCCTGCTCTGCGTGCTAGCCGACCCGATCCCCTGCAGAAGTTGGAAGGAGTCGTGATGGACGTCCCCTTCTCGCATGTCAGCACGAAAAAGTATCTTACAGTGGTACAAATCGAGTCGCTGGGTTTGCGGGCATTCCTTGGAGACATGGACAACATTGACGATGCACCGCTTGGGTCCAAGGTCCCCATCAAGCTCAGCCATGTTACGACTGGATGTCGACCGATGATACATATGTCGCTACGATGATCGACGAAAAGTTATATTTTGTAATGAAGTTCGAATCTAATCTAATCTAATTTGATCTCGTACGATTTTTTAAATAAGACAGTTGTGAGAAAATAAAAGGGGTTTACCATAAACCACGACTTGACATGGCTGAGGCTTTCTACAATGTCTCTGCTGCTCTGAAGGACAACTGGCCCGAGTACCTCGCCAATGCTCAAATTCCAAGTTCCCGCTGCATTCTCCTCGCCTTGATTAACATTCCCGTCCTCGCCGTCGTTCTCAATGTTCTTCGACAGTTTGTACGTCCAATACTCCTCTTTGCCCGCCAGCTCATTGGTTTCCTTTCCAGCTCCCTCAGGATACTTCCAAGCCTCCCGTTGTTTTCCATTGGCTTCCATACATAGGCTCTGCCATTTACTACGGCAATGACCCCCTAAATTTCTTTTTCTCCTGTAGAGAGAAAGTACGTTGCCCTACGTTTTCAGTGCTGCCATCCTCACTGTTTACTCATTAGTACGGCAATGTGTTCACCTTCATACTCTTCGGCCGGCGTGTCACCGTAGCCCTTGGGGCCCAGGGAAACGATTTCGTCCTTGGTGGTAAATCGATCGTCTTCAACGCGGAGGATGCCTATGGAGTAATGCGCCCTTTTCTTATGTCTTTCTCCATGGCTGACCTACCTTTCGCAGGCATTGACGATTCCTATCTTTGGGGATGATGTTGTTTACGCTATTCCTAACGATCAGTTCATGGAGCAGAAGAAATTTGTCAAAGTCGGTCTTTCAACTGACAACCTACGCGCTTATGTCGGCATGATTGAAGACGAAGTTGAAGACTTTATCAATAACGACACATCTTTCAGGGTGTACCAAGCGAATGACATTGAAGAATGGGGTTTCTTCGATGTCTCGAAGGTGATGGCTGAAATTACCATCCTCACTGCTTCACGGACATTGCAAGGAAAACATGTCAGAGGCAGCCTGAACAAAACATTTTCCCAGCTGTTCAACGATCTCGATGGAGGATTCACTCCTGTCAACTTCCTTTTCCCCAATTTGCCTATGGAGAACTCCAGAAGGCGAGACCATGCTCATAAAAAGATGAGTGACTTCTACGTAAACATTATCGAGGAACGTCGGAAGTCTGGCAATCTTGATGTGAGGTCCACTTATTGACGGACTTTCTTTAGTCCTCATGATCTTAACTAGGAATCGGATATGATAAGCGCGCTCCTCAAACAGAAATACCGCAACGGAAAACCGGTTTCCGATAGTGAGGTTGCTCACATGCTCATTGCTCTCCTCATGGCGGGCCAACACACGAGTCAGGCCACTGGCGCTTGGGCGATCCTTCACTTGGCAGACCAACCTGAATTTGCGTAGGTTTTTTCCCCATTATGGCTCATGAAACTGTTCAGTCAGCTGACTCCTCTTCACAAGTGAAAAGCTCTACAAGGAGCAGGTCAAACACTTCGGTACTCCAGATGGTTCGATCCGATCTATGACTTTTGAAGAACTGCGACAACTCCCTCTCCTGGATGCATTGATTAGAGAAACTCTTCGTCTCCACCCGCCGATTCACAGTATCATGCGCAACGTTCGTGATGATGTCCCGGTTCCTCCCACGTTGTCTGCTCCTTCTAAAGATGGTGTGTATGTTGTTCCCAAGGGCCACTGGGTTTTGGCATCACCCGCTGTCAGCCAAACGGATCCGCTGATTTGGAAAGATGCGATGACTTTTGATCCCTACCGGTGGGCCGATCCTGAGGGCGCAGCAGCGCAAGCCCTCAAGACATATGTTGATGAGAACGGCGAAAAATACGATTATGGCTTTGGTGCTGTAAGTAAGGGAACCCAGAGTCCTTATCAACCATTTGGCGCCGGCCGTCATCGGTGCATTGGGGAACAAGTATGTTACTCTTTGATTACAGCAAGTTTTATCCTTATCGTTCGCTCGCTAGTTCGCTTATCTTCAACTGGGAACTATCTTGTCCACATTGATTCGCGAGCTGGAGTTCCGTCTACCTGGTCCTGTCCCTGACAACAACTATCACGTACGTCTCTGCTAGGAAGAACAGCTCAAACTGACATTGGAATGAACAGACTATGATTCCTATGCCTAAGGAGCCTAGAAGTGTCCATTACAGACGGAGAAATTTTGCCAGCAGAGCTTAATGCAGAGGTTACTTTACATGTTACTTCACGATAAAATTATTCATCTATACTCTAACGACCACGTCGTGTGAGATTCAAATCAACACTGAGTCTTGACTGGCTAATCCTCATTCTCTTCGTCCTCTTCATCGCTGTCAATGCCAATTACACCGCCATTTCCTCTGTCTTCGCGCTCTCTCAGTAGTTTGCCTGCTTCCTTTAGCTTCGTCCCAAATGCTTTCCGGGCGCCAAAATTGGCGCCGACGTCCCACACCTGAAGTTTAGCTTTGGATCCTCCAGCGGCTACCGTGAGAGGGTCGTCAGGAGAAAAGGTTGTCGAAAAGACCTTGCCCTGCATAAAAAGGAAATCAGGGCGACGCTTAACCATGAACAGGAAAAACTTTACGACGCCAAGATCTCTAGAAGTCACCAACGTCACATTCATCTTACCACTGGAATCATTGTCAATGACATTCCATATTTTCACAAGCTTATCAGCTCCACCAGTCCCTATGCATCCCCTGATATGAGGGTTGATATCAAGCGCGGATGTGGGCCCATCGTGTGCTGAAAGGGTAAAACGTGCTGGTGATGGCGTTTCCAAGTCTGAGGGAAGATTACGGACATCGTAATTGAGGACCAGTCCGTTTTCCAAAGCAACCTAAGCCCAGGTCAATGAATGTTCACAGCAACTTATAAGGATACTTACGTAGAATCCCACCTCTTCCCAAGGGTCCCACCGTAAAGCCTCCACATCGCTCCCAAGGAAAGCCCCTACACCAGAACTTGGTGATCGGGAATCAAATGTCCGGACAGTACGATCGTAGCTTCCTGTAAGGAGCACACTAGGATTTCTCTCGTTCCATTGCACTGCTTGCACCTTGTCCTTGTGGACATCAAAATTCCGAATCGCACCATCAGTGTCATCCATAAAAGGGCCACGACTCAAATCCCACAGCTTCACAGTCTTGTCTGCGCTGGCACTGGCAAGCAAGTTCCGTTGAACTTTATTCCAGCTCAAACCCAGCACCGCGTCGACATGATAGCCCTTTTCGATGGACCGAGACTTCATTCTCTTCTTCTTCTTCTTCCCACTTCCTGACGGCACTGGAACGTGAGCTTTCGTAAGGTCGGGTCTACCGAGCACGGAGTTTGGATATACGGATTCGACGACGTCCAAAGACCATACCTCAATTTCAGGATCCATGGTACCGACAGCAATGTAATTGCCGAAGCCAGTGCTGGCTGGGTCATTGGAAGTGGATGATGCTGGTGGAAAGTCAAGCCACTCAAGACATAAAGGAAAAGCAGGGAGCATGAGGTCGTGATGAACGTAAATATTGTCTTGCAATTCTTCGTAGACGTATATCTCTAGTTGAGATATTTCGTCCTCAGTCTTTGCAACCACAAGGAGATTGTCCGTTGGGAGAATTTCAAGGTCTTCGCGTTCATTGTCGTCATCCTAGATACAAAATCGCAATTAGGCATGGCGCTTCTGAGTAAACGTCAAGATCTGACCTCTTTTAGCGTGATGTAAGGATCCTCAGAATTATCCTTGTAGTAAGTGAGACCCTTTATATTGCCGAATGGTCCAATAGCTATGTATAATCGTTATTGCCTTGGAAAGTCCCTCTAAAGCCAATGAACATACCATCCGTTTGTACATCGTCGTCGTATTCATCAAGTTTATACTGAGATAGATCGTCCTTATTTGCCATATCTGGCGTCTCATCTATATCCATTGCATCGCTGTCCTCACTGCCCTCAACAATAATCGGTTCACTGTCTCCCAATGTGAAAGGCAACAGAATTCACTCACTCAACCCAATTGGCTTCGTCGTCTTCTTCTCCTTGATCATCTGCCTCGACACCCTCCGCACCCCTACCCATTAATTTTGCGGCTTCGTGTGCTCTCTGCAGCTCTACACGGGCATCCTCCAACTTGATCCGCGCAAGGCCACTGACCCGCTCTAGCTCTTGATCGTCTAGAACATATTTTGAGGGTATTTGCGCAGAAGCGCCCCGTCGCACCCAGGCAACAGCTGAGATGAGACTACTCATTGCGAGTACAGATACAAAAAAGCCAAGAGCGAGAACCCAGTGCAAAGTTAAGATTGAGGAAAATATTTTATTGCACATGATCAAATAGGTAACTAATATAGTAGCCGTTATTGTCAAAAGAGTCTCACGGCCATCATCGTTTATATACATCTTTCACCTGGTACTCATATGAATATATAGCTGGTAAGAGGCATAAATATCCCTTTCCTACAAACTTACATTCCCAGCCACGCTTTCATTGTAGCCCATCTTCCACGACGATGCGGAGGTGTAATTTCCCAGCTAGAAGTAAAGATTAGTAAAGAATACGACGGCTATCTAATGTGGACGTACTGTACAATCAGATCTCCCCTTGCGACTACCTGCCCATTCTGTAGGATCGGCATACCTCCGTTCTTTATCTTGCACTGACCATGTCGTCTTTTCTCCCTCGCATAGCTAATTCGGGCAGACAGTGTCGCGTTATCTAAGCCTGTGAAATATATACACCCATTCTTGCGCTGAAGGTTTTCCGACCAAGGCACCCGAACCTTCATGACGAGATCTTGTCCAACACGGGCAAAGGCATCATGGGCAGCTTCCTGGACAATGAAGACGATATCTTGGAAGGAACCGTCCCTGCGTTGGTGACCAACGTTCGTGAAAACGAACCTTGTACCGTCCTCGCAGCCAGGCGGAATGTGCATGTCAAGCACGACGATTTCTCTGATGCCAGAAAGGTACGATCTCGTAATTCTAAACCGACATTCTTTGCCGAAAAATAAGTCCTCTAGCGTGAGGGCCAAGGAATACGTCCACATCTTAGAGCACCCTGTACCTCTTGATGATATCGGGTACCGATGCAAGTGGATGGTCGAGATATTGGGCTGATGTCTATTCAACTGTGGCCGCACAACGGTGGGGATCTCCTTCGAATTTAACTGGGCGTCTTTCTTTGGCCTGCAGGTACATCATTCAACGCGTGCCCCTGAACGAGTCTTATCACGTACTGATCATGAGTATAAAACGTTCGTGACTTTGGAGCATTTGATTTCCGCGAGGGCTCCTTTACAGGCGCGTGGTCAAGTTCTACGCTGATCCAGTCGTCGTCGTCGATGTTAGCTTCCGTAGACGACGAGGCCTGACGCGGGAAATATCGATTGTTGGATTGCTTCGATGATGATGTCTGGGAGCTGCCCCGTAGACTTGGCGGTGCAGTAGTGGAGGACTCTACACTGACCGCACCCCCAGCAGAAAAGATACTAGCAAGCGTGTCGGTAGAATGGCTGGGAGCGGTATTGTCCGTGACTACGGAGACGGATCTTGACATCTTCGAAAGATTTCCGTTGTGACTATGGGGCTGCGAAGTCGGTGAACGTCGCATCAGTGCCTTGTAAGCTCGGTTTATCTGCATGCAGAAGTTACTCATTTGCAAAAAAAAAATTAGAGATCCATCAATAACGTACTTGAACAAACCGTTCCGTCGCCCTCTTGATGTCGTCCGGGTTCCGATCAGGATGCCATTTTAACGCCTAAAAGCTCAGTTTAGCACTAACAAACTAACAGCAGGGTCATCATACCTGCTTCTTGTAGGCATCCTTGATATCCTCCCTTGTTGCCTCAGGCGGAATTTCGAGCATTTGGTGGTGATTCTGCTTCTGTGGTGGAGGCGACATCGATGCGGAGACGTCCATTCCCCTCCTCGGTCCTCTATATACTAGAGCACGACTTCGATCCGATACCATATACTATCCGATTGGCTACACGGAAATCTACGCCATATGCTGTAGGCTGTGATTCTGAAATGAGTATTTTCATTGCACATCCGGAAATGAAACAGTTGGTAGTCAAGATCTCCCGATCAAGTTCAGAAATTAACTGTATTTCAGGTTCAAGGGCGAATATACCCTTCCCTCCAACGGCTATCATCGCTTTCATTATGCAAACTGGGGAAACATTCGGGCACTGTCCGCTTTTTCGTTCATCTCTTTTTCTATTGACCTAAGCGACCTGAAAAGACACCATTCCCTCGCATCGATCTGGCTTTATCATCGGAACGAAGAGGTATGTTTAATTACTATATCTGGACTGCCTTCTCGCCTTGAAATCTTCCTCCCCTCAATACGTTCAGGGTTATCGTGATGTCTGATAGATCGCTCCGAGTTGAAGCAGCACTCAAGGAGAACCTTCATGGTACAGTTTTTCGGTGACTCCACAGCTTCTCCGTTTCCGAACCGCTGCGGAAACGTCGACTGTTTATGTCCTTCATTAACAACTTGGAATTCAATGTTCCAGTCACATCAAATACTAGCTTCTTCTCTGGTCGCTGGTTCTTTCTTAATAGCAATCGCTCGAACTGATTAAGACGTTATCAAGTTTTTGATACAGTCCTGATGATCTTGTTTCGGTTTGGGTGAGCCTCTACTTGACCTAAGGCCAAAATTCCCCCACTCCTGGTATCACAATATGGTTCCTTTCTTTACGCACAGGCGGTGTTTATTCGGAAGGTCGGCACATGTTTGGCACGTCACTTTCCATTGCCAGTCGGATGTCCAGCATCTTTTCTTAGAGGGGCTTAAGAGATCAACAAGAGGCTCAGGGAACACGCTTTTCCGGTCATACTGTAGAATCGCTCAGGGCTGGCCACTGAACCCAGCGCAACAAGACATATGTGTCGCGGATCTGTCATAATAAACTTTTCTCAGGGATAATTCCACTACGTTCTATGATTTCGGGATAGATTCTCTTCGTCTCGTGGAGCCCGCATGTCCCATACACGAGCCAGTTTTACCTCGCCAAATGACAGCGAGATACCACTGAGGGTTTCACCATCGACAGACGCCATGCCTTGTTGCATGGAAAATTAGTGTGAACAATCCGAGCCCTCTCGCCTTGGACCTTTACTTGACCCCAAAGCGTAACTGCGAGCACGCGTAGCCGGGTGGGACAGAACCGTGTCATTCGCGGTTCATTGCTTCTCTGTGTCATCCCATTGACATGTATTTACAAGGCTTTCTAGTATCATTGTCACGCATTAGACCTTCTTGGGGTAGAGGGTTCGCCAGGTTGATATGATTTAATCTTACACGTCAACGTTGTGTAATTGAGTCGGCAGGGCATACCTGCGTGTGTCCTAACTCTTAGGAATCATACTGAATGCGTACCTCGCCTCTAAGGGCCTACATTTGTGTGGCTGAAGACGCTACTTGAAGACTGCAAGATGAGACTGTCCTTCATTTTCCCGAATCCTGAGGACTAGGCGATTGCTGAAGCAGGCCTAGTTCTCTTTCTTGGCCGTCATTTCTGGAACATGTCCTACACACCTCATTCAGACAAAGGAAGCGGACATTGTGGTGTTTTACTGTTGCTGTGCCAGTGACACCAGTGGCACTTGCCAGCGCCGCCTCGAAAAATTCAATTGTCGGACTTTGGGTGGAATTCTGAGACATGAACCGGTGAAATGCTGCGCAAGATGAGATCGTTTAGGTTTTTTGCACAGCGAAGCCGAAAACATTTCCAGCATCTCTGTAGATTTGCTCATTCAACTATTTAACCCTGATCGAGCCGGCGGCGCTGAACGCTTCGCCCTGATCGGCGCAGGACCAAAAAGGAGCTAAGCGGTGTATTTGCATCTGTTGAATCTAAAAGACGTAGTTGAAATTGTGTTTTTACGTGGAAGCAAGTTGCCATTGCTTTCCACGGCTACGAGTTTCGATTCATGTATCTCTCACCCACTATATTGCTGTAACCTGTTCTTCCTCTTTATTTCTTCCATTCATTTCGGCAGATGAAGTGGAATCTCGACTTTCGTCTACTGCCAAGCGTCTGCATTCTCTCGTTCTTGCTGGAACATGAAGTCGCAGCATATACCACCCTTCCGAGGTCAGCTAGGCCTCTATTCCCTTTCCCTTCTGCTAATTTATTGTATGTAAAGGTGGGGCCAGGCCGTGGCCGTACTTAATGACTGTCTCTTCGTCCATGGCGGGAAGACAGACGAGTATAATTCATACTCTTATACACAAGCACCGACTAACAATGATTTGCTTTATCTTTCACTATCGTCATCATTCAATCTGACATCTCCGCCCTGGGAGCTGATCGGCAGCTCGTCCAATACCTCAACTTCACAGGGCCCAGCGGTGGCTTGGCATACTCTGTCTGGACTGAATTCTTCCAGCATGCTATTATTCGGCGGAGATCCTGCCACTAATTCTGCCACAGTGTTAACAAATCGTGCCGATTCATCCTGGATGCTTGATGTATATGTATGGTCCGAACCTAGTTGGGAGCAAGAAGCGTTAGCGTGGGCGGGGCAACCAACGAGACGGATACACCATTCCACTGTCACGTCGACTTCTGGCCAAGTATATATAATTGGCGGGGAGATGGCAGACGGTTCTGAAATCGCCCTAACGGAGCACTATGTATTCGATCCTGATAGCCAATCATTCACTCAGCTCCCTACATCCAACGGTCCCTCAGACATTATCGGACATTCCGCTGTCATATTATCAAATGGCACCATGCTCGTTTTTGGCGGTTATAGCCAATCCCAAGATTCGCTGTATCCATTTTCCACCATATGGACTCTAGACACGACGCGCTCTACACTATCATGGGAAATTATTACGCTGTCGGCAACATCACTACCAAATCCAAGAAGGGCATTTGCCTCGACTTGCATTGAGGGAAACAAGGTTGTCATTCAGGGCGGTAGTGATGCCTCCTACCAAACTACATATAGTGATGGTTGGATACTAGATTTATCCTTGGAATCTCCAAACTGGGTCGAGGTGGACATTTTGACCCAAGTCGGTGCTCGTCGTGATCATTTTGCTGTTCCTATAGGATCCTCAGTCATATTTGGATTCGGCAAGTTCATCACTTATTAGGCAACCAATGCATTCTGACTGTTCGTCAGGTTACGGGAGCTCCGGTCCATCCGCTACCAATATTCAGATCTATGACTCTTCAACTGGATCCTTCGCATCCGTTTTTACGCCGTCGTCGTCATCCGAAACCACACAGACGATGCCAGGGCCAAGCCAGACGTCAAATCCCCATTCGACCGATATTGGAATTTCTCCCAGCATCGGCGGCTCTGTCAGTGCTGATCCCTCGTCCACGACTAGCCCCAGCGATCCAACTGGTGGATATGGTGGTGGTGGCAATCCAGCTGGCGGAGGGGACGATGCTAACAGCAACCGGACCACTGCCATCGCTCTTGGGACCACTTTCGGAATTCTGGGATTTATCGCTGGTTGCGTCGTCGTTGTTTGCTACGTGCGACATCGAAAAGGATATCGTTCGATTGGTCGACGATTCATGGTTCTTCACGACAACACCGAGGATGGAGAGGATAGTCCTCGGCATGACCGCCATCTTCCCCTTGCCGGTGGTTTTGGCGAAAAGACGTCGCATAGTAGGGACGCAGGATGGACTATCTTGAAGAGTATTGGTTTGGCGGGTGTTATGCCAGCTAGCATGAGTGCGCGCCATAATCCAGAGAGACGAGATATGCTCGCAGATGAAGATGCCCAAGACTTTGCCTCCTGGTACGAGAAAAGAAGGATGGATGGCACCGGAAGTTCATGGTCGCTCAGAAGTATCCTTGGTGGAGGTCGGAGGCGCAGTCAAGAGCCCAGTGCTGCCAGCTCACTTAGCACGCCTTGGAGAGAGAAATATGATCCTTTCTCCGATGACACAGCACTTATGGGAGATGCGGAGCTGGGAATAACGAGCGCTGGCCCAAGCGGACCCGCCACTAGAAGACAGATGAGCAATGTCAGCACGATGACCAACGTCAGCTATGTTGATCCGTTCGCAGATCCCATAGAGGAGGAGCAAGATAGGTATCATGATCTGGATAGCCTGGAGGACATTCTTGAGATGCCACCCCCTGCACGTTTCAAACTTCCGGCACTCTCAATACAGACTGTACTCCCCGTGTCCACTCTTAGTCACGCCCTCAGTCCGGTTACGGAAGCATCCCGGCTCTCCGTTAATGATCCCAGCACGCCTTCGATTCACACTAATTCTAACTCTCATGAACACAATTTATCTTCGTTCGACAGTACGTCGGGAGTGACCTCTCGTACCTCTTACGATCCTTCCCGTTCTCCAGGCCAGCGAACATCCTCCATAATCGCTTCCATTCCACCACAACCCATGCGACGCAGTGACTCCTGGTGGGCACGTTTTTCTCGCACGAGCTTACTGGACCGACGAAATAGTGATTCGTCTAAGAGAGCTTCATTGGACTTTAGAGATCCGAATCCACCGCCACGATTGATTGCCATTGAAGAAAGCACCTATTCCACTGCGTCAGCGTCCCCGGGGGCAGACAACAACTCTAACTCTCCAGGATTTAACCGATCATCATCACTTTGTCCCGGGACACGCATGGTCTCGAAAATTTACGGCGCTCATGGAAAATCGACATCTTCATTACGGACCGCAGACTCCGAGCTCATTGAAAGGATGGTCGGCACGATGGATGTGGCGCAGAGAGTGAGAACAGGCAGCCATCGAACCCGAGAGAGCACAGGGACCAGCCTTAGCGTTGAAATCCCTGCTTTGGAAGATGGTCATCTCCAGGAATATCTTGGGGATGACCGTTTCATTGTTGCCTCTCCATCAAGCACCTTATCGTTGGACATTCATAGTTCCAATGATGCACCATCTCGGAGTCTGCCTTCACCATTAAGACAGATGTCGTCATTTCCTGCGGTCTCCTCCGATGTGTCTCCCAAGAGTGGAAGCATCAAGCGACTGCTCCGTGGAGAATCCGTCGCCGCTCGTGTTCAGGCATACGAACGCCGAATGAGCCAAGATACGGAACTTCCTGGTGCCAACTTAAAGGAAGAGCGCGCCAGACACAGGGGTCAAGTGGTTGATTATGGTTTAGTGCCCAAGCCCAGTCTTTACGTCGCCAACCCCGACCATCGTGTCACGTCTTCTGAAGATTCCTAGATTCCTTTCTGCTGTCTTGGGTGACGTGCTTCGGACTCCAGCACAAAATGCCTATACTTACAAACATCTATCTGGATTTACTGGATACAGATGCCGTTATCTCTGCAGTCGGACAATGCTTTGCTCTATCGCTATCTTATCTTTATATCTTTTATGACCTTACGACCGTTGACGCCTTCGACTTTTGTTTGTTTTTACGCCAGGGACCTTTTCCTGTTATATACATTGGCTGGCTGATGGATTTACCCTACCTACTGTACAACAAATACTCTTTGTATCGCCACCTTGCACATGTACACTGGTAAAAGGACGTGAGACGAGGATTGAAAATAAACGTCTGATAGAAAAATACGATTGTGCCTTGTACATTGGATAGTAATCAACAATTGCCATGGGCAAACATATATTAGCAATAAGTGTCGCAATGCTCAAGTTGGTGTATACCTAAATGTTGCAGCCAGAAATTGAACACGACATTAGCGCACATTTCTAGTATAGTGTTTGTGGCAGGTAACTGTATACCATCGTCTACGAGAGACTGGGAGGTCGGAGCTCGGCACCCTACTAAGAAATCTTCTTCCTGCCTCGAAGCCGCTACATTTGTCTTGCTCATACTTGAAGGTTAAAAGTTCCTATAGGTTCAGAAATAAAAGGAACACCAGGCTGACTCGAGACATTGCGAGTGCAGGTACCTCCACGGTGGAGCAGGTATCAGTTCAGACGAGGAAAGAGTGCGGGTCTTCGGTCAATTAACTGTTTTCATGAACAAGATGCAGGCTGATTGATGATCCTGGCTCAGGTGTTCTCCCGTGTAAGGGGTAATTGACCTATTCCAGATTGTCTGCGGCCTTCAAAAAACAATTGGTATCTCGGTGGATTGTGATGCACATCATCGAACAGTTGGAAAACAATCCGGAGTCGATCCAGCCGTATGACATACATATCTATCAACAACATGAAGACTCCCATCGATCAGAATAAAAACTCCCCCTTGTTCCTGACACCGATTCGAAATCTAAACTTCACTCGTTCTCTTTTCTAGTCCCCTTCGCCAATTTAGAAATAAAAGGAGGCGTCATTGGAGACTCTTGCAACGCTCATTTACGAAATAGGCATCGAAGTCATCAAAAAGGATAGATGCAGTACACAATATACTCATAAGGTGCTTGTCGTCCACCGGACGCTAAATGTGCATACATTTATTGACCGGCAGAGGCGAGTCTATGGGAACTCACTAAGAGACCTCTACTACCTCTGCTAGTGTCTTCTTCCCCACGTTCTTCTTGATCTTCCACGCAGCAAAAGTATGCCCTTGCTGGAATATTTCCTCCAGTTCCTCAAGTGTTTGTCCAACAGTTTCAGGTTATATGAAGAACGTATGAAGGAATTGAGTGTTTGGAAGACGAAGTACATCTTCCTCGCAACGGTGTTGAATCTGGCGGAACCCCCACACCAGAGTGAAATTAAACATCTAGCTTGTGGCGGTGGTGAGGAATACAACCTGGACACAGACCTTGAGAAGAAACTTGAAAGTGCACGAGGGGACATAGGCGAAGAGAAGGATACGAATTATACTACTCAGCCAGAAATTGCCACGAAACGTGGCCCATCGTTATAGCGAGACCGCAAACAAATAACTAAGAATACATGATAACCCCATAGGTTATGGAGGTATCGTGTTCGATGATCAAAATTCCTTGAATGCCATGAGGTTAATCGGGGACCGTATGGACTCACGTTCACCATCAACTACACCCCAGCGTCCGTAAGGCGCCACCAAAGAAGTCCATTAGGAACGTCCCGACCAAAAGCATAGGTCGACGTCCCCAGTTGTCAATGTATATGATGCAGGAGTTATGAAAGCCGGGTTTAAAACGTACTATGTACAGACTAAAGGAATGAGTTTGGCGTAGTCGACAAGAAAGCAGTACACCTACCGCGGATATGAAGTTCCCTCGAGGACCAGGAATATCCGTGCCTTGAAAAACGTAGACAATGTAGTACAATCTATCGACGATGCAGAACCTACATGATAGGACAAGTATTCCAGTCAGCTGTGACCATATCTGGAGTGCCATACCGAGTGCAACGCGACAAGAAATGTCAGGTTTCAAGAGATCATAATTTAGTACCCTCAGTTCGATCAAAGAGGACTCGGACTTATTGCTTGCTGCTTCGTACAAGCTCGTTTCTGATATCACCGTCGCCGTGTAAATCTGCTAGAACCTGAAGTTCATCTTCCCTGAAAACACAGTAAATGCGCTACCAGGTTCATGAAACCTCGCCACCTTCTGTGACCAAATAGCCATCGAGGGACCTCCATACGTACATTGAAGACAATGACAGGAATCAGTTGCAGACCCCATGGAATACGGAAAGAAGCAATTGGGGTGTTGTTGCAGATAGACAAAACGGTCCCGGATACAAGGCTCGGTCATTTCCGGGGTCATTTCCGGTTGATAGATTGGAAACGATGGCACTGACTATGTATACCAACGAAATACCAGATAATAGCTAGTTATTTGTACTGTACACCACGGCCGTTTCTACAGCGGACCATGCCGTGTAATATGATGATGACGACGACGCGTCCGGCAACAAGCATTCTTCTATTCTGCTGGTAGCATCAAAGAGGTGAACCGTAGATGGACTTAGATACAGACAACAGAAGCACAATGCAGAGCAGAGCGAATAATCTGGCATACTAAACCTGCTAAAATGATGGTGTTCTTGCGACCATAGCGGTCGGCCATCTGGGTTACCAAAGTGAGCACTGAGCGAGCCTCAGAGAGAGCCGTCAGACATAGCGGTTACAATCATATCATAGCTCCTCGAGCATTAAATCCAGGCTATTTACGATAATCGGCTTTGAGCTTATGGTTTTGTAATTATTATAACAGACGACCTACATGAGAAAAAGTGTACCACTCGTTCTATAAAACGAAGATCAGTTGCTAGCAGTATCCTAGAATGTTGCATCTCTTTCACACAGACTCCTGAGCACCCTAGACATGGATGAAATGTCTAAACAAAAGAGATCTCCACAGATATACGAAAATGAACCTAAGATATCCTGTGATTCATGGAGTCAAAAACAAGCCCTTCAATGCAGGCGGTTGGATGCAATCCGAGAAACAACGAAACAATAATTATTGGCCAAGAATCTTACTGAGGAGAATTTTCACATAATCACGTTTGGGAGAATACCATGAGAAGCGCACTCCTTGTCCTATCGGATGTAATTCTGAACGGCTTGCGGATAACAGTATGGTTCTTGCCGTGGATGAGTCCTACATTCAACTTGCTGAACGACATCAATGATCAACCATGAGGGTTGCACGAGACTATGCATCGGACCGGTGGTCCGTGCCATAAAATTTTGTGCCTGAATACAACTCTCCGATGAGCTTCTCGTCCTATTATCTCCCTACTCAACCCATTCAGTGACGGCAGTAAAGACTGCCCCTCATCTAGAAATTGACATATCGTCAACTTGCAAAATTACATAGCTATGGCGATTAAAATATGCTGAACAACTTATGCGGATCTTTCTCATTACCGGACAAGATTTCGGGTTTTCTTTCTTACAGCTTGAGAGCGCAACACCGTGAATGCATACCCTATAATAATATCGCCAGGTAGCTGTGTTATGTATGGCTCTCAGTCAATGACGGATATTCCTAATTGACGTACTTGAAATCTTGGATACTTGTCCAAGGAGGTATATGTTGCTGCTATCAAACTTGGCTCTATGGCGCCCTGGAATTGACTAGAAATATCAGAGCTTCTCCAGCCTGAGCACTATGGGCCTTTCGCTGTTTTCTTGCTCAAGCTGTCGCTTCCAACATTTCTGAATTGGACACGTTGGGACATCAGGATGTCCGTCGTCCAAGGTCTTGTGCAAAGTTTGAATTCAATACTTGCTGATAGGATTACACACGACATATAACGACTTGTGGATCCGTGCTTACGAGCATTGGCATATATGCATGATGACGTCTTTCTATCACCGGCTAGCCCATGAACGTTTCTCGCTTCCGCTGACCGCTTTCAGGCTCGCGAGTTGTCCGATAGCCAAGGTTTGCGTGGCTTCTCTTAAGGAAGCAAATGGATAATCGTATGGGCCGACCATCTCTACGCTATGCCAAAGTTTTATGGTCCTATTATTGACGATGAGTTCGGATGGAGGTATCAGCATTTTTCCCGTCACCCTTAGGCTCTTGTTCTTTTCTTACCTTATGCTGCGGTCAGAAGATACAGAATTGGATCGGATAATGCTTGATCCCCAAATTATCTTGTAGGCCTGGTATCTACTGGACTGGACGCTGAAACATGCACCACAATCCGGCCTTCCGAATCATCCCTCATCAAAATACGCTGCCTCGTCACGCTCGTTCGATTTTGGATGTCTTTGACCGTTCCAGTCTTTCCTTACCCCAACCTATAATACATCTTGGATAATCCTCTGGCATGTCCCAGGGGGTCTGAAACTAAGAACTTCTGCCGATAGATTCTTTGTCCATACCTTCCGGCTGATTTGATCCTCCAGACTTTGAGCTGTGCATGTCTTTATATCATATCGAACACAACAGAAAGTACATGATCACCAAGACGCATACAAGACGTCCTTCGAAAGTCACTTGATTGACCTGGACTGGTCATTGTTGAGTTTTTCTTGCGTGCTATGATCAGGGGATATAGTGCTTCTGCTGCGGCTATGTTCGTCCCAAGTACAGGCATACTAGGATTTGATAGGCAGGAAATACGGCGGTTCTAAATCATCTCTTGGTTGTCTGGATACTGGATGGACTATCGAGAACGCCGTGATGACGGATAGTCTCCAGGCCATGGTCAGAGGGCCGATTAAATGTCCGAAGAAAAGTAGCAATCGTCGGAACCCGCGTTACGTTCAGCAGGCTCGCATGGCGTTCAATCAAAGGGTACTGAGCTGCCAATCTTCAAGATGAGAACAGATAAGTTACCATATTCCAACATTACAGCTCCTACACCATTGCTATCATGTCCTCAAACTAAGTTTCGTTCCGCTCCATTAGCTAGAAGATCCATCACCGAGAAATCCGGACCAAGTATGCGATGCGCACGATAGTCCCCACATCGTACCGTCCCTGGGTACCACAAGGTACGGCCATTGCAACTAATTGTTACTGCCTAGCACTTGAGGTACTCTGGTTAATTGATTTCGAGGGTGCCGCATACCTTTTCGTAAAGATCAACGTGCCAGCGTGGATGAAAACCTGGTTATCGCAGTGGGACGGGAGTAAATACGTTATTTGATATTTCCTGCGGCGGTCTCGGGCGGAGGTTAGAAGCGATGACCCCACAGGAACATCCTCCTTGAAACCGCCGCATTGTGAGGCGGGTAGTAGACATCAGGGCCTACTAGAGTCTAACAATGAAGTATGTGGAGCCCCATGCAGTGATGACCGTTCACCATAACGAGGCCCGGTTTGACCGACGAAACATATCGGAGATAGCTTACATGTATGTGATGCGGTCGCCATCAAACACAGAGAAGCATCAGTGAAGTCGACAGTCGATCTTTCGATCGCCACGTCGGAGCAATAGACGGGAACAGTGCGGATTGCTGGCTCATGCGAGTCACCATTTCCAAGTTGAACACCGGACCCCTTTGATGTTTCATCTGAACGCTACTAACTGTTGGGAGTTTGACGATCTGTGAGGCTGTAAAAGGATGTGCTGGTTGCTGGTGACTAGTGATTGCTTTTCAACTGATCAAAGTCCCTTCGAGATTAGTGCCATCATGGAATTCGAAGTAGCTCGAATCCATTCCACTTTAACCGTGAGCAGCCCCCCCGGACGGAATTCGCGATTCCTGATTTCGAATTTCGCAATAAACGTTCGATGCCAGCTTTGTCTGCAGATCTCGGGTAGAACACGCTTCTACCGCAAGTGCTCCGAGCTTCAAGTTACGAGAGGTGACAATCGAGGGCGATCATGTTGCCTCTCGAAAATCATTGACACAGGAAAGAAATAAATTCTTGAGCGGAGCAAATAGCCAATACAAAAGCTGGGATCTGGGATCAATCAGAGCTGGGCCTGCTCCAAAGAATGGAGCTCTTCGTGAATCCAGGTCTGTCGGCACACGCCGCTGACCGTTCCCTTAGCAGTTCCTCTGCGCTTAGCGCTGGCAGATAGAAGTACTTTCATCATATGGTTTCCAGCTACATCAGATGGCTTTGTGTATTCCCTTTCCCAAGCTCACGGGAATCGGAATGCGATTTCGAGAAATCTTCCTGCTCCGGGACGAGTAGTAGTAATGGACTATGGTCCTGGGAGTACACGCTCGGACCTTGCTTGTGGCATCATGAATGAGGCTTTCTGATCTCGACCACTTTGCATGTAACGTATAGCACATCCCTGACGCGGCACCGAGGTGGCCAGCACAACATGACGGATTCTTCGCAGAGCCAACCCTTATGGCCCTTGTTGAATTGAAACGCCGTATGTGGAGGGATAAATGAACGCAAAATTGGCAGGGTGGTTCCTAACTGAAATGATGGGCTAGCTGGGTCTGTGACAAGCGGACGAAAACATGGCTGTAAGGGTGACCGAGGGTCCTCCATCAGGGAGCGGGAGAAGCGCCGTTACTTTTAGCAGGCGCCTAAGATTGGCCCAATCAGTTTCGTCGAGTAAGCGCCGGAAGATGAACAGCATGTGTAACTTGACTTGTCACATCCTTGGGATGCAGCTAACGATTCAAGTGAAGTACAGGTTTGCGGTTTGAGGAAGTGGGCCTTTCAGTCACTTGATATACATGATGGACCTTTACACAATTCCTAGCTCAAGCAGCCTCAAGCTCAGCGAGGAATTTATTCGAGGTCTCGTCACCAGTCTTCTTGAGAACCTGGAGTGACATATTAGTAAATGAAACAGCCGCATGTCAGCTCGAGGCAACGCACCTCAATCAATTTCTCGACGTATTTGGACTGAGCTTCCTCTTTCGAAGTACCCTTAACTTTGTTCCAAGCATCCCTAAAAAACGATGTATGAGAATTCGAAGCGTAAGAAGTCAGAGACACACCATTTGGCTTTGCCCACAAAGTCGAGAAGACCTGGACGTTCTGTATTAACATCGCCGATGGTTCCTTTGATTTCGTTAGAAACAGACCAATAGAATGATGTATCACTGCAGACCTTGCTTGTAATAAGAGTAGAACTGTAAATCACGGCAATTAGATCAAAGATAGAAGCAATAGGAGTTCGTTCGGCTTACATAGAGTTGGTCGTCCTGGGTAGGCTTGACGGGGCCGTCCTTGGGAAGACTCTGGACGATCTCTACAGCCTTCTTGAACTGGGATTCAGACATGGTGGTTCGAGTACAAGGGGCTCGGAGTGAACGACAGGGTAGTTAAGGATGTCGGCACTCGGCACCCGGTTCCGTCGTTATCGATCGACGGGAAAATCCCTGGTAGAGCTCAGCAGGCAAAAGGGATGACTCTGATAATCATGATTATCCATCCGAAAGTCTCTTTCGAACGTGTGAGGCGCATTCCAACTGCGCATCGTGGATACTTCAATCAAGGTACTACTCATAATAATGAATTTCTGTACTTACCGGACCGCAATAAAGAATCAAATTTCTTCCTCGATAGGTGTAAGCAGTTTGGCGTCACCGTTCGAAAATGGCTATGTCACAATATGTCACGTACTGTGACTCTGGCACATGGGCACAGCCACAGCCAATCTTATTGCTTTGTTGCGACTTTGCTGTCAACGCTCCGTAACGCTTCCTGTACACAACTCCCCGCGTCGACGACGGCGACTTGACGACAGAATGTCTGCACCTGCTGCGGCTCCTTCAGCGCAGGAGGTTCAACGAAAGCTCTCTGTCCACTCTGCTGCCAAAAGTCCTAAAGTAGGTCTGCGATCTGCATTTGTGTGGGCAACGTATTAACTGCTCGACAGCCCCAAAGCATTTCGGTTGCCGCTGTCTCTGGAACAGATTCGGATTCGGATTCCATTTTAACCCCAGATGTACACTCAATATCGTCTTCTGGACTGGTCACTGGCGTTACTGGCTCAGTTCACGGCTCGGCCCTTACCCAGGCCCCTCTTTCTGCCATTGCTGAAAGGAGGTCTAATAGCGGGGAAGATACCGAGGATGAAGATGATGAGGAAGAGGGAGGCTGGAAATCTGCTAACAGTAGGGTGGGCACTCATGATTCCGTTGACGAAAGTGTCATCAAGGCCGGCTATTTATGGAAGAAAGGCGAGCGAAGAAAGGTCAGCGACGTTCGCGTTCTGTGCTGTGCGTTCCCTTATGGCCTCCGTAGACATGGAAAAAGCGGTGGTTCGTCCTACGACCGACTCAACTAGCTTACTACAAGACGAACGCCGAATACCAGCTACTTCGCCTTTTGGAACTATCAGATGTCCATTCCTGCACACAAGTCTCGTTGAAGAAACACGAAAACACATTTGGGCTCGTCTCGCCTGTGCGAACCTTCTATCTGCAGGCTGAATCACCGGGCGATGTTCAGGAATGGATCACCACCATCGATGAAGCCAGACAAACTCTTCTTGCCACAACAACTCCAAACTCGGTTTCTAGTCCTATCCCTATACCCAAAATGCAAGACCGATCCAGCAATGTCTCTCCGCCAATGATAACACCTTCTCCACCCTCATATCCCAATTATGCCCAAAATGCACCTTCTTCAGACTCGGAAGATGCCTCTCCTGTAGGTCAAAGGACTTACTCGGTATCTTCACAACATCGTTCTAGTATCACTTCTTCACCGTCGAAAATCCCAACTGGAACGGTAAAGGATCCAACGAAGAGTGTTCTTTCTGGCTACCTCATGAAGTGTGGATCGAAGCGGCGGAATTGGCGTAAACGTTGGTTTGTTCTTTCCGGTGAAAAATTAGTATACTACACGAGCCACATGGTCAGTGACGTTTTGACAAAGTAGCTGAGGGAAACTCACATTTCGTAGGATGCAAAACCTCACCGACAATTTCAGTTGACGGAGATTCTGGACGCTCTCGAATACGACTTGCCTGCTCATCGACAACCGCTCGCAACGTCGCCTCCCATACCAGCCTCGATGGAGCCAGATGACGATCACAGTGATCATACTTTCAAGATTGTTACGACCAAACGAACACTGCTTCTTTGTGCGCCGAACGAGGAGGACGAAATCAAGTGGCTAGGCGCGATACGAGCACTAATTGCTCGTAGATCTGGTTCCGGTGTTGTCCCTGGTGAGACTACGAAGATTCCTGCCGTCACAGCATCCATAAGCCCGAATGGTTCCGGATTTACGTCTGGTTCGAGTGGGGGTATCAAAGGCAAGGTTCGAAGGGTGAGCGTGAGTGGTTCCGGGGTAAACCCTGGCATCATAATTGAAGAAGGGAGTCAGAATTAGTCTTGGTTGGAGAAATTGCAAACGTTTTCCCACTCGTCCTCTCTGTTTTTCCGAGTCGCTCATCTTTCCTTGCTATTTTTATTTGCTGCGAAGACAAGACATCAAGATGGACACTGCGTTCCCTTTACTTCGGAACACCCATTTTTGGTTGCATCCATACATATGCTGATTTCCTAAATTGTTCATACTACTCTTTGGCTTGGGGACTGTGGATAGAATGCTTTCCGCTGTTGTAGTTGTTGCAATGGAGATGTCTGATCTGTAGTAGTATCGATCAGGCAAGTCTTATGTTGGTGCCCCTCCCATTGTGCTGTTCTCCACGATGTGGACGGAATGCAGGGCCGCCAAGCGCGGAGGAAGTCAACGTTTGAATAGCTGAATTCCCAGGACGATGCTAGGATGCTGACAATCCCACCGGCATTGACACGGATCGAGAAGACGGCGTATACTTTGGAGACCGCATATATAGCCTGCTACCATTCAATGCTTCAAACAGCCTCTAGCTACAGGAAATTTTCATCAACCATGCCCCGACCTCAATGGCTGACCGAGACTAGCTGGACTCAGAGCTTCAACTCGATTACGATCTACATGAATTAAACACAATCCTGCGGTCACTATAAAAGTCAAGCTAGCACAGAGTTTTACGGCAAGAAAACAGGCTGAGCAAGTGTGGAGATTGAAGGGCAGGGGACCCCGGGACCGCGTGACAAGTCAAGATCAGCCATCTCCCAAAGGGAACGGTTAATGTCCGTAACTAGTTATACATATATCACAAGCACACTTGCCTCCATGGCCAACAGTACCACTGTCTTCCCATACCTTCATCGCGCCCTACACTGTACACCAAGCTATCCTTTTCCTCTCATCTTTGTTACCATTCGTCGTCCCCACTTAATGTCATGCCTGCTGCCAAGAACGGCATCAAGAAGCACGGAGCGCCCAAAGCCAAAGGCTCTGTACGCGCAAAGTCCGGCTGTTACACTTGCAGAATTCGAAGAAAGGTTCGCCCTTTCTTCAGCACCAGTCCCCACCATCATCTTCCTAACCACCCAATCTCTTTTTCTTTTTTTACTATGTGGCGCTATGGTCCGTATCTAGAAATGTGATGAAGATCGCGACGAGCAAGGCAATTGCAGGTCCTGTGTTCGCTTGAAGCTCCAGTGTCTTGGTTTCGGTTCTAAACGGCCTGAATGGCTCAAGGTTAGTCTACTGCCCACCCACCCTACATTGTGTGGCGTCGCCCTGATGTATTGCAGGAACAACACACTAAGCTGCGGGCGGACATTAAGAACTTCCTCGCAGGCAATGGCATGATTAAAGGTCATGCAAGTTCCAATGGTCGGGACAGCAACCCAGATCAGATCCTTCTTCTCCGCCAGGAGGACGACTCTATGTCTTCCTCCGAGAGCCCTGACTCCAGAAATGTCGACCTACCCATGGTTGGAGGCGAGTACTCCAGGAACACCTCTGCCATGCGCGACGAACCTTGGTCTGCTGTTGCCAGCACCTACGTTGACGCAGCATATACCGAAGACGGTACGCCACATCTTTGCTTTTTGAGATATCAGCTCTGAATTCCCATGTCCTTCTTAGCTCTGGAGTTGCAGCTACGGCATGAATCTCCTTATGATAACGATCCCCAGGCGTACGATATAATGCACTACCCTAATAGCCTACCCGGATGTAAGAACCTGTACTATTAAATATGATATTTTCATGTAATAACGACCTTTCGTAGGGTCGGGTGCGAATCCTTCAATGCGAAGCAATCTTGCTCCTTCCTACAACCTTCTTTTCACAATGCCTGATGATGATATATACTTCGACTCCGGCCCATACTATCCTACCCCTCCAATGATTCCTGGAGGATCTGCTGATGAACTCGTCAATCACTATCTCGATGTTGTTGTTGGTATGCAATTCCAACTGGCCGACAAAATCAGATTGCCTCAAGTTATATACGACGCCGTCGAAGGTGATTGTTATCGAAATGCAGCCCGTCTTCTGGCGTTCATACACCGAAGACGCGAAGCTGTGCCTTCGGTGCCCGCGCTGCAAGACAACACCCCGAGGCGCCAGTACGATGAACTCAAGCTTGTCTTAAGCAGAGGTTCGTCGTACACCGAGGACGAGGCCATGGCGTCGTTGACTGTTATCTCGTCATTCCTCTTTGACGGTGGAAAGGGAGAATGGCAACGTTGGCTAGAGGTAGCGTTCAACTATTCGCGCATGGTCCTCGATCGTTACATGTCTCCCCGTGAGGCTCTGATATCGTGCACCGAGAAGGAACGCTTTCTCGTGAAAACAGCCATCTGGTTCGATGTCCTGGCGTCAGTAACGACGCAACATCCGCCGCTCTTCTTAGCCATCATCAGAGAACTGTTCGCTCCTGACGCGAGTGGGATTACCGAGCTCTACGAATCCATCCCGACTGAGCTTTCGATGATGACAGTAATGGGATGTGAAAGCCGTATTGTCTGGGCATTGGCGGAGACATCGTCTTTGGCATGTTGGAAACAGCATCAACTCAGCAACGGCGTGTTAAGCGTTCCTTCATTAGTCTCAAGGTCTCAACCGATTGACCTTTGCCTTTCCGAACCTCTTGCATTTCCTAGGGCTCACATCGGCGTTGATGAGGCGCGCAATCGTTCTTCTGAAATCTTCCGGACATCAGCGCGCGTTTATCTACGCTCAGTCGTATCTGGCGACCATCCTGGTGTAGCAGAGATCGCAGCTTCGGTCCAGGATGCCTTGAATGTGCTCAGCGATATGAACCGTTGCTGCTCTGCCCCTGTTCGCACCGCCGTTGTTCGAAGCACTGTATTTGCCTTCTTCGTGTGCGGCTGCCTGACAGATAATACGTCGCACCGCAATATCCTTCGTGCTCAACTCGCTGGGGAAGGATGTGTCGGTAACTGTACCGCACTGGTACAGCTACTTGACAAAGTCTGGGACATCCGGAGTGGGATGAGCCGGAAGGACCCTGTTCCTTGGCGTCAAATTCTGCACAAGGAAAAAATGCTCCTGGTATAAGTATTTTCAATCGGCTTCTCGTTTTCCATCTCTATGTTTTCACCAACTTTGGACTCGGAGAATAGATAGTATCGAGTCCTGCCGCTTACATGTCGAGCAAGTCTGTTACTCATATACCTGGCCTCACTGGCTTGTAAAAGATGCATCCCACTATAGTATAAGTATAACATCGTAACATTACCACTAGCAATTACAACGCATTGGATCGTCGTCGGGTGCCGAAAGCATGGAGCAGTAGTGACTCGCGATGACCACGGATTTCGGTCCCTTAAAACACAGCCACAGCCAGTTCGGCAGAAGGATACGCAATACAGAAGCTTCTCGTCCCTGTAAATGGGAATTTCGTCAAGTGTTGACCCTTGTGTGTGTGTGTACTATACTATACCGGTACGTTCGGGGGATTAGATAAAAGGATGGCTTCAGGATGGATTGTGCATTATTTATTTAAAGGGAGACAGGAAGGATACTCAGCTACAGCAGCCGAACGAGTACACAGGATATTTAGATCCACTGATTTGACATCGGTACAAAAACAGACGCGACATAAATGAGGACGTGGGATTATTCAGGGGCCCCCATGTGCCCTACCTTCCGTACCCTGTATATCGGTCACATTTCAACACCGTCGGCTCGAAAACATGGGCCGATGGACAAGGAGATGGAAATACCATCGTATATACAAAGTCAGGGAAAACAAGATTCAGGAGATTCACCCTCCGCTTGGGCCAGATTATAAAACAAATTCGTATATTGCATATATAATCAAAACCTGCAAATATGATCTACCACTCGGACGTCAACCGACATAGGTACAAAGAAGAAACATAAAGGCATCACCTAGAGTCATCCGTGTCTCAGGTCTGCATATTTTATGCTCCTTGGTAACACTCCATCACCCCATCAACTAGTTCCCTCCGTTTCCATCTCCTTATATTCAAACCCCTTCTAACACGGCCCACGCGTAACCGGCTTTCCTGCGGACCCTTTCCTATCAATTAGTCACGCTTGCTTTCTTGTTCCGACTTTCTTAAACTCAAGCCTCAGCCTTGTTCAGACTGTTCGACGTCCTCGACGGTCAGATTGCCCGTGTCCTTGCATGGACTATACAGCGTCCATACCTTTCAGATCTTCGTCGTCTGCCCCCGCCTCCTCAAGCGTGTCACCGTCACTCTATCCCGTATCAATGGCCCCCGCCCCCGAAGATCGCGAATCACCCTCTTTGAGCAGCAGCAGCAGGGGCACACCAACCTATAATACCGTTGATTTACCACGCACTCCTTCCGCAAGTAAAGGTGGCTGTTGGTGAGTGCGACGCCATCGCTTTCTGACGCGCAAACCTAATCGACTACAGGACGTGTCGTCTTCGCCGAAAAGTGAGCTATTATTACACCACCCGATTTTAGCGCCATATCTTAATTGTTTGTCAGAAATGCGACGAGCAGCGCGAAGGCGACTCATGTCGCACCTGTGTACGTCTAACCATCGAGTGTCTAGGCTGGGGTCCCAAACGACCGGAATGGATGCGCGTGAGTGGGATGCTCCGTTGTTTCCCAATCCCCTATTCATTGTCTTTGCCAGGACAAGCACGCTGTCGAGGCATACAAGGCGAACATCAAGGCAAAGCTGACTCGCGCCGGTCTCATACGGGGGCAACCCCGGACTTCCATGCTACAAGCGCATGCAGCTAAGCCTGCCACAGGGTCGTCGCGGACATCAACCTTCCATCGTCTTTCGGCACTCTCTCCCAAGTCCCCCGAAAAATCTTCCAGCACGGCCTCATCATTAGCTCTCGACGTCGACCCCCGACCCTTTGATTATCGTTTTGATCAATCTCGCCTGGGTGGAATGCCGGGCATGCCCGGTAAGCTTGAGTGAACCTCCATGCCATGCATATCGCTAATAATTCACGGACATAGGCCCATCAAACGGCTTTCATCAACTCCCGGCAGCATCCTACAGCGACTCTAATGTCAACTCCATGGATTTCGGTGCATCGATGTACCAGTACTCACCACAGTCATCGTCGGTCCACAGTGAACCCTTGGACTTCGATATGAGTCTGTACGTCGCAACAAACAGCAGTGACCAATTCGACTTCAACATCCGCCCCCCGTCTCCCATACAAAGTTTCCCTCTACTTGCTGGCCAAAACTCCATCCAAGAAAGCCACGTCATGTATTTCTTCGAACATGTCAGAAAGACGAATCTTCTTTTTTCCAGCAACGCGCTCACGAATCTTACGTATACCGTGAGTTCCTACAAGTCAACCGGATGAAATGAGCGTTGGCTGACAGGTGATGAATAGATGATCGTACAAGAACCTCGGGGGCCCGTTACTAATGCCGTTTGCGCCTTATCAAGTCTCCACTTCACACGAATGCGTGTTGCGCAGGGCTTAGAGGCTCCAGATCCCAATCCGGAACACTCAACAGCGCAATATTTCCATGACGAGGCTGTATTTCAACTCGCTAGTGGGAAGCAGTCGAAATCACGTCACGATGAAAGCGATGTCCTTGCCGCGTTGTACCTTATATGTTTTTCCCAGATGGCAGGAAGTACCGTTGACTGGCCTCCTATGCTGGCCATCACCTTGGAATGGATGTCTCAGACGGGACTTCCAACTAGTGAGAACCCGAAGCTCGTCTTGACGAATATGAGTGCGTCCAGTCAATTGATCGTGAAATGCACCATGGTATGCTTGTCGTCCATCCGTTGGACGCAACAACTGACCTTGTCTTTGTAGTGGATGGAGATCTTTGCTTCATTTACATTGATGAAACAACCCAAGCACCTGGCACTGTACAGATGTCTGCTTGGCGATCAGAACGGATTTTGGGGACACATGCAAAGGAGTGACCTGGATTTTCAAGGCCGAGGGCTTCATATGGAAAACCTGACCGGATGTCCTGACGAAGCGATGCTCGCCCTTGCTGAGATATCTGGGCTGGGCCAGTGGAAGGCATCCGAGCAAGCGAAGGGATCCCTGAGCTTCCGTGAACTTGTGCGGCGCGGCGATGACATAGAACAAAGACTGCGAAATCGGCAACGCGAGCCGTCGAGTTTTGGCGAACAAACACCACTACACCCGAACCTGATGCAAGCGACCATGTCTGATGCAGGAGTAATATCCTATCCGGACGAGATCATGCAATTGGTTGGAAACGTCTTTCGAGAGAGTGCACTATTATATCTTCACACTACAATCAACAATGACAACCCAGGTGCGCACCTTTGCCTCTCAGCCTCCTCTATTCGTAACGTTGCATCAGCTGTACCCGAAATCGCCGCCTCGGTTGATTCAATTATACAGCTGTTCCATCAATTGGCACCCTCGGAGATCGACCGGACTTTGGTATTTCCTGTATGTCTGGCGGGATGTATGACAGACAACTCATCGCATAGAGAATTTCTAAAAGCGAGGCTGCAATCACAGGATGAGAGCATCGGAAACTTGTTGCGAACGCGATTAGTGATGGAAGCTGTATGGCAAAAACGCGATACACGTAGTGGCCCAAGCGAATGGAGAAAAACCTTGCGGGAACGGTGTCCTAATTTGCTGCTGATATGAATCCAATACCCTTGAACTAACTTAACACTCACCTGCTACGCAGTTATAAAATTTTCGCCTTGTATCCATAACCCGACTTGTTCTATATCATAAATATTAGCGCTGTAATGTATATCACCACCGAAAGGTCAAAACCTATAAGAATAAGACGTCGACAATTAGTCGAACGAAAGTGAAGTCGTAGAAAGTGTCCAGAATGCATAAGAGGGGTCGGGTCGACCCAGCATATCGTTCGCATACGTTCTGGTTGCACGGTAGGAACCAAAGGAGGGCCAATGGGTGAAAACTCACATTCTGATTCCGCAGGATGTGCATTTCCCGGCAGTAACGGGAAATTGGCACGGGGAACTACTGAACGAAGGTAGTGGTACATGGTGGTATCATTGGAATTAGAGAGGAGAGACGGTGAGGGCTGCAGCAGAACGAGGGCGAAAGGATGAGGTGGAAGATTAAAAGGAAAAGAAGGATGCATGGGCGCAACTGCCACCGGCTCATTTGGTTGTATTTGCCACCCATCTATATACCGAGTCAATCGGCATATCCATATTTCAAGGTAGTCCGATGCCAATGCATCTGTCTTCCGTCGACCGTATGCCATCTGTTGTCTATTCTGTCTGCTGTTGTAGTGGTAACTTCGGTCTTTGAAGAGGTGTAGGCAATTCTGTGGAGGGCTTTGCGTGAGCTTCGGAACATATTTACCATTTATTGCTACCATGCCAATACCATGTGCGTGGTGGGCGCGGGCGCTGGCGCTGGTGGCTAAATGTATCCTATTGCCAAGCCTCCTATCATGAGAGTAGGATAAAATAGAATCGACTATGTATGATGCCATAACTTGAGCGAGCTTATACTTTTTTTAATTGGAGGAACGACGACGAACGCAGAGCTAGTTTTCCATGGCAACGGGAGAGGGAAGTTTACACACTTCCCCTCTACACATTAGTGATTAGCTTTTAACCATTATGTCTCGGATCACGGTCGCAATGGGCACATCTATGATACCTCTTCGAATCACAACGTCCGTTTCTTACCCCGGAAGCAGCTTTTCGGTAACAAGCACTAGCTATAGCTCATAGAATCAAAGTACTCGAAGCACAGTATACATACTAGTTCTATGAACATCAAATGCTCGTATCAACTTTTTTTTAAGTCCTTAAAACCTTTCCTTTTTGTATACCTGGGTTCCCCCTCTTTGGTTTCCACCCAGTTTCCACTCCTCATTTAAATATCCTTCGAACACTGTAAAATACTAATTGTACACTTTGACCTCACCTTGGGCCTAATGTTGCTCAATCATTTCCGAGACCCGTAAACCAATATTGGATGCCAACGCCGAAAACAGAACGAAGCATAGTATCGTCGGTCCATACTTGTCATAGTACAGCCCTTCTGCTCGTCTCTGCCTCAGACAGAGAGCTCGATACAGGAAGATTGCTGCAGAATATGCGATGGCCAGTAATGCACAGCAGGTAAACAATGCCGCGCTGATAAGACCTCGAGAGTCGTCCGGTGAGGTGAAGTTGAGTAACGTCGTAGCTATGGTACCAATGAACACGGACATATTGAGCCATTTCTAGGGAGGCGGCGCTTGTAAGATACTGATATCCATAGTTGTGGTGATACTCACCAAGAATGTTCTCTCGGTAGCGAAGTAGACCTTAGGCTCAATGCGAACAGGAACAGAAATTCTTTTGCCAGAAGGCGCAGTCCATTCTCGGACCAGCAAACGATCATCAGTGCCGGTCACAGATTTTCCTCCACCTCCACCTCCATCTTGTTCAGGTTCGAGTCCTCGTTCCCGAATTTGGCTTTCACCCTTCAGACGCGTTCTCAATGTTTCGTCAAAAGCGGAAGACGGGGCCAAAGGATCGATTGAAAGTGCTCTCGCTTTGCGGTCAGCTGTCGACTGTTGGATTTTCTTTCCCCTCAAGAACGCTGTCCTTTCATCCGTCTCCTCTTCGTTGTCGGCTTCAAGGACGCCCTCATCAGAAGATGTGACTTTGCTCGGCTTTTTCCCATTTACGAGCTCTTTGACACGTGCTTCCTTCAGCATTTGTTCGCGATAAGCGATGGCAGCGGCGACTTCCTCTCCGCTGAGACCGGTGCGCTTGTGTTCATCCTTAGCAGGAGCGACGTCCATGTTCTCATCTTCTTCTCCTTCAGAGACAGGCTCAGCATAGCTAGGATGAGGCGGCGTTCGTGAGTCTGAACTGTCCCGTTGTTCAAAGGATCCCTTCGAAGACGAAATGTTGGAGGGCCTTTCGATGATTGAGAGGTAGCCAGTGTCAGGTTTCAAAATGTCAGTGTCCACTGATGCATCTCGTCAGTGCAAGGTTCTAGACTGTAGAGAACCCAGGAACATACTTTGGGGCAGCCAAAAAGGAACCAGGTCCACCCGGTTCGGCAGGAGGGTGGCACAGCCATGAATGAATTTACTAAGTGTCAAGTCCGTCAATCCATTATTTGATGAGGATAACGGGACTCGTACCTGAATTTCGGTACCGCTTCCACCAGATGTGATTGAACCAGATCTGTGACCCACTGTGGTGGCTCTTGTCCTAACTGGGTTTGGAGTTTGACTTCCAGGACTCCATACCTGGAGGAGTGAAAAGATTTAGTACGACTACCGCGATGCGACACTGATGCTCACTTGAAGAGCTCTTTATCATCCTCAGGGAGCTGTTCAAAAGGATAGTCGATGCCGATATCTGTTCGACGCCAGTTATTACCGGCGCGCACCCGGTCGTCCCAGTTGTCTTCTCTGACCAAGGTAAGCTCGGTGTCCAAGGAGATTCGCACCCGAGCGTCACCCGGTAGTTGGAACGCAGTCCGGTTGTAAAAAGAGCGCATCACTAGTCTCAGCATGAGACACAGACCACAGGTTTTATCGAGAAAAAAGACATACCAGGCTGAAGTTTTCGAGTTAGAACAGTATACTGGACTTCATTAGCCAGTTGAGTCATGGAATCGACCTCCTGTTGTGTCTTCTTTCCTTTCTTAACCAGTTGCTGGAATTCAGCGTCCATGGTATACTCTCCTCTAAGAAAGGCGTTGACTAAATGCTCTTTTATGGGAAAACGGGCTTTAACAGATTTCTCCCCGGTCCAGTCTTCTCGATGAGTCTTCCGCTCTACAAAAATCTGCCCCTATCGTGAACAATTATGAAACATGATAGATATTAAGCACATACAGTTTTCGTGGTGACGTCGCCATACCATCGCAACCTGATAGCCTCCGCGCCTTCTGTCTTTTCAAGGCGACCGAGATAAAGCTCGAGGTCTTCATTGTCAAAGTAAATGGAGGTGATGGCTGCGCGACGTAGTCATTAGTAAATTGTAAGAACGAGGGGAAACGAAGGGCCGCACCAGCATCTTTCTGCTCAAATTCCTTGTCAGGATTAAAGACTATTCGATGTTAAATAACTGTTCTGAAGAGTCATCTCAATCTACACACCGAGAACTGGTAAATTTCTCAAGATGGCCAGTTTCAGCGAGACCAAATTATCTGGATGGACCTTGATAGTTATGTTAACAGAAGTCTGACGGGACCGCAGTAAACGTACCCAGTATTTTGTTGTCTGTCTAACAAAGGCGCTCTGAGACCCACCCGCACTTGAATCGCCTTGAATCGGATGACCGCGAGTCCGTACCAAATCATAAAGTTTGGAAAGCTTGACAATAAGGGCATCCCAGTTATAGCGATAAAAAGGTCGCTTTTCAAGGTAATCTTGTATAAATGTCGTCTTCAAGGAGCGAGATGTTTGTTTCTAGGAACACATGAATCGTTTTGCTTGAGACTCAAGGAGAAGACACACATCGTGTTTCTGTAACCATGGTTAGATATAAACAGAAGGAGATCTTTGTGGCGGACCTTAAGAATTTTCATAAAGCCAGTGATATTTAGCTTGGTGTACAAGGCTAAATCGTGCACATCTGCGACGAGGGTAGCAACTTCCTCCTCGAGACCATGGAACCTGTTTTCCAAAGCATCGTAAGATTCGTCGTCACTGAGCTCCTGGTCGGTTTCGTCGTCGTCATCTGAGCCAGCATCTTCTTCAAAAGGTCCACGTTGTTGGGCCTCGGGGTCCGTCTGTTGAGTAGAATCATCTGTAGCGGTAGCACGGCGTTGATCAGAAGAGCTTGAAATCTCATCCTCGACCAGACGTTTGACATCTTTCTCGGCATCACGAATTCGGCATGAAAGCTCGGAGGCCTGGAAATTTGTAAGTATATCGGCCAAAGAGGGGGGACTATATTATGGTTCCAATCTGCTGCGCAGTGACTGCCGCGCGATCGCTGATTAGCGCCTCTCGAGGAGAAGCACATACCTTTTCCTTCTGAAAGTCGTGAATTTTATCTAACTCTTGCTCCAGACGAAGTCTGAACCCGTTTTCATCCTGGTCATTCCAAGTACGCCCAGTGGTCCGTGCCTTCAGCAATTTCGTCAGGGTCCATGATTTACGATAAATATGAACGTAGAAACGGACCTTGAGTTCCCGCTTTAGACCATTGTAGTCGAGATAAAAAGGGCGCCATTCATTGTAGAGATCAGTCTGTGAAACAGGTCAGCCTCAATTGGTGCTAGTTTTAGGAAGAGTTACGTTGATTTTCCTCCCAAACTTCATTATATAGCTGGAAGGATATAGATTCCTGTGCAAAACAAGTGCTTTCTCAGGATCATCTTCTGGCTCAAACGAAAGGAAAACATACAAATTGAAATAGATCACCAACGTGTGTGAGAGCTTGGTGGTCGGAGTTCGGATCCAATTTCGTCCAATTCGGATCCAATTTCCCAATTTCCCAATTTCGTCCAAAAACGTCCATCCCCTGCTATGGCTTCGTATCCGTCGTGTGCTGCGCCGTCGACGCAAAAAGTATTAATGAGCCCGTACAAAAAGTCTGATGCGGTGGCAAGATCAAAGATTCTGTTGCTCGGTTTGCGAAGGTAAGGCTGAAATGTGCTGTTTCATAAGCCTGATTCTTTATGTCAGGAGCGGCAAGACTTCAATTCAGCAAGTCCTGTTCGAAAATTTACCGCCGAAACAGACTTTTTATCTTGAAACGACTACGAGAATAGTCAAGCATACATACGAGTGCGTATATCAGTATCGTCCATGTATCCATGGAAGTGACCAGGTCTCTACGTTAGTACAGTCATTCCTCTCGAAATCTGGGACTGCCCAGGGACTATAACCGTCGAAACGCTCGGGGCGCCGTTGTCGCAATTCTTGACCATTATCTTCGTGATTGACATTCGAGTATGTCTTCACCTTTTATCTTTATCTAGACAAGTTTCTGAACACCCCACAGGATCTCTACAACCAACCCATCTCGAAACTTGTAGAGTTCATTGTTGCGGCGTACCATGAGAATCCGAATGTCAATATTGAGGTGTTTGTTCACAAAGCCGAGAAGCTTCAAGAGGACGACAAGATTGGTCCATCTTTTTCTTCGTGACCTTGGCTATCGGTTGTTCATTGTTTTTTCAGAGAACTTCAGACAGATTAATGAGCGCGTAACCGACCGACTGTTGGACATTTCTCCAGATTATGAACAGATGCCTCTCAATTTTCACCTCACCTCTGTATACGACCATACATTACATGAAGCCTTTTCCCGAGTTCTCCATAAGTTGATCGACTCTTTACCGTTCCTCGAGGACCTTCTCAACGTATTCTGTGCTGTATGGTTTTCTATCATTCTCGTGAGGCGCATTGAAACAGATACCCTTCAGAATTCCCAATCCCCAAAGGCTTTCCTATTTGACATAGCTTCACGATTATATATCGCTACCGACGCGTCACCCGTCGACTCAGCTACTCACAATCTGTGCTGTGACTACTTACAAATGCTGAACTCCTTTGGACCTCTTTATAAGTACACATATCTTTGGCGCCTTCGATAATTAGTGCTAACCACATTTGTTAGATCGGCATCAGCCAGCTCTTCCCGGCATCGGAAACTATTACCACCTGTGCTTTCCGTGCCGTCTCTGTCTGATCATGATCAAGAATCCCCAGGTCGTACGACACCGAGTGCAGGAGCGTCAAATTCCAAACAGCGCGCCAAGGATCTTTTTTATCCAAGTGCCGCGGCGTTGCTGCATCCTTCAACTCCGGGGACAACACTGACTTACCACTTGATCATGGAACACCTTGCACTGCTTGCTATCATGCCGACACCCGTGTTTGAAAGTAGACGGGGACTTGTTGAATATAATGTAGTCTTCTTTCGCGAGGGAGTGCAAGAAATTTACCAAGTCGAGCAGGAAGCTCGGAGTGGCGGGTAATAAATATCGTTGCCTGCCCTTACTGACAGTATGGTAGGTGTGGTGCGTCAGGCAGTATATTTATTTCTGATCGACTTACCAGTTAATTTCAGCCCCAAGGCAACGTTATGGAATGGACAGGCTCTGAGTATTGGGGAAGGAATACAGGCAATCACTCGGACTTCCGACGTTACCTGGGCTTTGTATACGTTTTATATTACCCCTTGATGTTGCGTATGGCCGTTAGGATGACAAGAATAATGATTCGTCATTCGTCGCAATCTACTCGACGTTGAAGATTTAACGTTGCCTCAGCTGCATTGTAATAAGTACATGGATCGATGCGGTCAGGGTCCATATCTATAAAGGGTAATGGGGTCCCCAATTTGGAGAAAAAATTAAAAAAGTTTTGGCAAGTTTTTGGGGTATAGCCTTGGGGGATTGGGGTCGTGGGTTGTCTTAAATAGAGTCTCTTCCTTCTTCTCATTCGTCTATAGAGGGCTTTGTCCAATACCACGACGATGGCGAAGACAGCAAATGACTGTGCTGTGTCTATCACCACCCGTCCTGTCATTATATCCCTTGGACAGATTAGAGTGCGTTCCATGTTCTTTGCAGATATGTCTCCTCTTGATACCTCTTCCCTCATTTTCTAGGTTTCAATCCCAGTCAGCACTTGTCACGATGAATGGATCTGCGCAGAGGTCCTTAGAGATGAGTTCACCCACGAGCAATCCCTTGTAGACACTGTCGACACGACAGCCCAGCTCGAAAATTTGCCGGAAGCCACCGTGGAGCTTACCGCCCGCTTCCTAGGGTATATTGCAGAGCATCTTGACCAAGATACCGAAGCACGCACCCTTTTGCTGCTCAATGTTTTCAAATTCTTCACATACACGTACCTCGCAGTCCACGACATTCATTCTCTCGCGTCTGCGTACGATATCGAGGTTCGCAAAGTTGTCCTCACTTCCTACTACAAAGCACTTGCTGCTCTTCGCACCCGCAACATTGCTGGCGTCCCTGCAGGGCCACCCTCCGCGCTCTTGAAAGCCGCAGCTGACGGCAAAGCCTCCATCTACGCCTTGTTCGGTGGTCAAGGCACAAACGAGGTTTATTTCGACGAGCTTCAAGGTCTCTTCGACACCTACCGCCCCTTCGTTGAGGCCTTCATCAAAGCGGTTTCACAGACCGTTCTCCAGCCTCTTGCTCTTTCACAAGCATCTACTGCACTCTACGCCTACGGGCTTGACGTCGCGTCATGGCTCTCCAACTCTTCATCCCGCCCACCGACCGGCTATCTCGCGTCGATTCCTATCTCTTTCCCCCTAATTGGGTTGACCCAGCTCGTGCAGTATCTTGTTGCATGCAATGTGGTTGGTATGACCCCGGGCGAGTACCTCAAGCATATTTCGGGCGCGACTGGCCATTCCCAGGGTATCGTTTCTGGCGTTGTCGTTGCCGCTTCCACAACTCTCGAGTCTTTCCTCGAGAATTCCAAGAAAGCCCTCAAATGGCTCTTCTTCTCTGGTCTTCGGGGTCATCAGGCGTTCCCTGTTGTCTCTGTCGAGCCCAGAATCGTCAATGATTCGATCGAAGGTGGTGAGGGAACTCCTAGTCCCATGTTATCTATCACTGGTCTTGCCTTGAAGGACCTCGAGCCTCACATCAAGAAAACTAACTCCCATCTTGCCGATAACTCCAAGCTTTTCGTTTCCCTACATAATGGTCCTCGCGCGTTTGTTGTGACTGGCCCTGCCCGGTCCCTATACGGCCTCGTCACCAATCTGAGAAAGATACGCGCGCCTTCTGGTGCAGATCAGAGCAAAGTTCCTTTCTCCAAGCGCAAGCCTGCTTTCAATATCAGGTTCTTGGCAGTTGGGGTCCCTTACCACAGCGATTATTTGAAGGGGGCGACAGAGAAGGTTCTCGTCGACGATTTGGCTGGAGAGGAGTTGTGGACTGTAGAGGATCTCAAGGTCCCTGTCTATAACACGGAAGATGGTGCGTTCATCTGTGTCGTTTCTTTGAATGATGTCTGATGCGGTTACCCAGGATCTGATCTGCGCAGTCTGAAGACATCTTTGACACGGTCTCTCTGTGACCAAATTTTCACCGCACCTATTCACTGGACGAAGGCTGTTGATTTTCCCGAGACTGCAACCCATGCCATCGACTTTGGCCCTGGTGGTGTCAGCGGGATTGGTCCTCTTACTGCACGTGATCTCGATGGACGTGGTGTTCGCGTCGTTGTTGTCGGTGATCGCGCCAAGGGCGATGCAGAGCTTTACAATTCTGTTCAAGTCAAGTACGAGGACTGGTGGGCCAAGGATTGGGCTCCTGCATTGGTGAAGTCAAGGTGTGTATGGGTCCGCGTATATAGACGTATCCTTTCTCATGGTCATATCTAGTGACGGTATTGTACATCTTGACACGCCATTTTCACGTCTTCTCGGTAAGCCTCCCATCATGGTTGCTGGCATGACGCCAACGACCGTGAAGGCTGGTTTCGTCAGTGCCGTTCTTGATGCCGGATACCACATCGAACTGGCTGGTGGCGCTCACTATAATGCTGCTGCTCTTCGTGCAAAAGTTGCGGAGATTCGAACTAAGATTCCTAACGGTGTCGGCCTGACCTTGAATGCGTTGTATATCAATCCTGCACAGTTCACCTTCCAACTCCCTCTCTGGCAGGAGATGCGAAAGGAGGGTCTTCCTATTGAAGGATTCTGTGTCGCTGCTGGTATCCCCACCACCGAGAAAGCTGTTGATATCATCGATGGCCTTAGAAGTGCTGGTATCAAACACGTTTCCTTCAAACCAGGTTCTGTCGATGGTATACGACAAGTTATTAACATCGCCGCCGCCAATCCTGACTTCCCCATCATCCTGCAATGGACCGGAGGTCGTGCAGGAGGTCATCATTCCTATGAGGACTTCCATCAACCCATTCTCGCGACCTATCGCGCTATTCGTCAACACCGCAACATCAGCCTTGTCGCTGGTTCTGGCTTCGGAGCGGCTGACGATGTTTGGCCCTACCTAACCGGCCAGTGGTCTGCGGAGCGCTTTGGTATGCAGCCGATGCCCTTCGATGGATGTTTGTTTGCTAGTCGTGTCATGGTGGCTAAGGAGGCTCACACAAGTCCATCGGTCAAGGATCTCATCGTTGCTGCACCTGGCATCGATGGTGATGCGTGGGAAGGCACCTACGACAAGCCCACTGGTGGCATTCTCACAGTCCGTTCAGAGCTAGGTGAACCCATTCACAAAGTCGCCACGAGAGCCGTCAAGTTGTGGAGGGAGTTCGATGATACCGTATTCGGCTTGCCAAAGGAGAAGCGTGCAGCTTGGCTGATTGAACGCCATGACGAGGTCATCGCCAAGCTGAACAAGGACTTCAGCAAGCCTTGGTTTGGATGGAAGAAGGATGGATCAGTCGCCCGTGCACTTGGCGATATGACCTACGAGGAAGTATCTCTGCGTATGGTTCGCCTTATGTTTGTCTCCCATCAGTCGCGTTGGGTCGACCCATCCTTGAGGAACCTCACTGGTGATTGGCTGCGACGCGTCGAGGAGCGTTTTGCTGGAGTTAATGGCGAATCTAACAAGCCATCAGTATTGCAATCATACTCTTCTTTGGATGATCCTTTGCCTTTCATCAAGTCGTTCTTTGAGACTTACGTTGGTGGTACGACGCAGTTGTTGGCGTCTGAAGATTCGGCATTCTTCCTTGCCATCTCCCAGAGACGCGGACAGAAACCCGTTCCTTTCATTCCTGTTCTTGATGCTTCGTTCGAGGTCTGGTTCAAGAAGGTATGTCCCTGTCTTGTAGTCCATTTTACCTTTCTAACAAACCCCGTCACAGGATTCACTGTGGGCTGCCGAAGATATTGAGGCCGTTTTTGATCAAGATCCTCAGCGCGTGTGTATCTTGCAGGGTCCTGTGGCTGTCAAGCATTCAAAGGTCAAGGATGAACCCATCAAGGATATGCTCGGCAACATCAACTCGTCCCTGATTCAACGCGTCCTTGAATCCCGATATGGCGGTGACCTCACCAAAGTTCCTGTCGTTGATTACCTCGCAGCCCGTCCTTCAGCAGCCCTTGCCTGCCCGAAGGTCAAGATCTCGGATGCACTTGGGTCTCGTGTCTATGAATTTGGTTCCAGTTTGCCTCCCGCCACAGTATGGTTCGAGACTCTCGCCGGTCCTCGTCTTAGTTGGCTGAGAGCCCTAGTGACATCTCCAACCATAGTTCAGGGATCTGAGTACATCGACAACCCCATGCGTCGTCTTCTCATTCCACGAGTCAACCAGAAGGTCGTTGTATCTTCATCGTCCGTTTCCATCTACGGCGCTGCTCGCTCCTTTGGTGAGCACAAGCCAGAGTTCAAGGCCGTAGAGATCCAGTTCAATCAAGCGTCCAAACTCATCAATGTCACGTTGTTCGAAGATCGCCAGAATTCCCCGGTACCTCTCTCTTTGCAGTTCCAGTATATTCCGTCGATGGGCTATGCACCCATTCATGAAATCGCAAATGGAAGGAACACTCGCATCAAGGAGTTCTACTGGAAGCTATGGTTTGGTGATGATAGCTCGTTACCTGAGCTCGACGTCGGCGACACGTTCACTGGTCCAGAGGTGGTCATCGAGGCTGCAGCTGTCGAGCAATTTTGTGCCGTTGTCGGGAACCAGGCCGAGTCTTTCAAGACCGCTCGCAAGAACACCATAACGGCGCCCATGGATTTCGCCATTGTCACGGGGTGGCAGGTCAGCTTTCATTCTTTCAATGCAGGCTTTCCCTTATTAACCAATGTTTTTAGGCCATCATGAAATCAATTTTCCCGGCTTCGATCGATGGCGATCTTCTGAAGCTTGTCCATCTGTCGAACGGTTTCCGCATGGTTCATGGAGCTCGATCTCTCACGGTGGGCGACATTTGTAAGGCAACTGCTCAGATTGTTTCCGTTACCAACTCGAGCGAGGGCAAGATTGTCAAGGTCAAGGGTACCGTCCAACGAGATGCCACACCCGTTGTCGAAGTCGTCTCTGCTTTCCTCTACCGTGGCCGGTTCTCTGATTATGAGAACACCTTCGATACCTCCGAAGAGCCGGACTACGTCGTCGAGATTACTTCTGATGCCGAAGTGGGGGTTCTTCAGTCGAAAGAATGGTTTGAGTGGGACGACGAGACTAGGCCCCTCCAGCCCGGAACCTCCCTCATTTTCCGCCTTCACTCTCACGTCCTGTTCAAAGACAGGACGTTGTTCTGTGAACTTACCGTCTCCGGAGATATTTTCATTCGCAACCATCTCAAGCAGATGATCAAAGTAGGGTCTATTGATTTCCAACAGGAGAATTGTCACGGAAATCCCGTTCTCGCCTATGTACAACGTCACGGCAAAGCTGACGAACTCTTATACACTCTCCCGAACGATGGATACACAATGACCGAGGGAGATACAACTTTCAATGCGCCTCTGACGAACGAACCTTATTCTATGATTTCCGGAGATTTCAACCCAATTCATGTTAATCCTTATTTCTCTTGCTATGCTTCGTTGCCCGCTACGATTACCCATGGTTTGTGGAGTAGTGCGGCGACCCGCCGTTATGTTGAAAGCGTCGCGGCTCAGGGTCATCCTGAGCGTGTTAATTCGTGAGTTTCCTTGCATCCTACTTCGTTCCTCGTCTAACAGGTCATGTACAGGTACCACGTCTCTTTTGTCGGTATGGTTTTGCCTGGTGATGAGCTCAGCGTTAAGCTTCGCCACATTGGCATGCGTGACGGCAACATGGTCGTGAAAGTGGAAACTTTCAACTCGCAGGGAGACAAGGTGCTTGACGGTACAGCTGATGTGTCCCAGCCTCGTACCGTTTATGTCTTCACTGGCCAAGGATCTCAGGAACCGGGCATGGGCATGGACTTGTACAACACCTCCGCCGCTGCAAAGGCTGTCTGGGATGCTGCTGATGCCCATCTCAGTGCTGTTTATGGGTTCTCTATCATCGAGATCGTCAAGGAAAACCCTATGCAGAAGACCATTCACTTTGGTGGTATCAAAGGCCAGGCCATCCGACAGCGATACATGGATATGACATACGATACCATTGGCAAAGACGGGACCATCAAGACACTCCCTCTTTTCGCTGATATCGATGTTCGTACGCCCAAGTACACCTTCAACCATCCAACTGGGCTTCTCTATGCTACTCAATTTGCTCAGATCGCCCTTGTTGTGACGGAGAAGGCTGCGTTCGAGGACTTGCGTGGGAAGGGATATATTCAACGCGACTGTCCTTTCGCTGGCCATTCCTTAGGTGAATATGCTGCTCTTGCGGCCATCGCCGACATATTCCCTGTATCATCCCTGGTAGATGTTGTTTTCTACCGTGGAATCACCATGCAGCGCGCCGTGGAACGTGATGCCTTGAACCGATCGAACTACGCTATGTGTGCCGTCAACCCTAGCCGCATCTCTAAGACCTTCAATGACACTGCCTTGCGTGAGGTTGTTGACAGCATCTCTAAAATTACGGGATTGCTTTTGCAGATTGTCAACTACAATGTAGAGGTTAGTGCTAAACTCCGCTGTCTCCGTGCTTTCTACAACTATTCTGATGTGTCTTTCATCGTAGGGGCAACAATATGTTTGCGCTGGAGAATTAGTCACATTGCAAACGATGACCAATGTTCTGAACTATCTCAAGGTTAAAAAAATTGACGTGCAACAGGTACGTGTTTTTCGTTGCTCGCTATTCACAACCTGAGTCCTGATGTGGTATAGTTGGCGGAGAAATTTTCTGAGGACCAAGTCAAAGAAATGCTCGGTGAAATCATCAAATCGTCCTACGAAAAAGCGCTAGAGCAGGAAAAGACCCAGGGATACATTACGCTTGAGCGTGGCTTCGCCACTATTCCGCTCCCAGGTATTGATGTTCCTTTCCATTCACGTTATCTTTGGGCGGGTGTGATGCCTTTCCGTGCATGTGAGTATACTTATATGGCCTTAGTAAATTGATGCTGACAAGTCATTCTTAGACTTGTCGAGGAAGATCAATCCCTTGCATGTCAATCCTGACTGGTTGGTTGGTCGCTACATTCCCAACCTTATTGCAAAGCCGTTCGAAGTTTCGAAGGACTACGCACAGATCATTTACGATCAAACCACATCTCCCGTCCTGGATAAAGTTCTGAGGAATTGGGACCAGGAGAACTGGGGAGGCTCGGAGCAGCGGTCAAAATTGGCGTACGTTCTCATGGTCGAATTGTTGGCGTACCAATTCGCGTCCCCTGTCCGCTGGATCGAAATCCAGGATCGTCTCTTCGTTGACTACTCGTTCGAGCGTTTCATCGAGTTGGGTCCTTCCCCCACCCTCACCGGCATGGCCACCCGTACCTTTAAGGCGAAGTATGAAGCGTCCGATGATGCTGTCTCCCACACGCGTTCCATCTTCTGTATATCCAAGAACCAGAAGGACATATACTACAACTTCGAAGACGAGGTTGAAGAGGAGGTCGTAACGGAGTCAGCGCCGGTCGTCTCGTCTGCCCCTGTAATCCCTACTTCCGTGGCCGCTCCTCCCCCCATTGCGGCTTCCAGCAGACCTGCTGTTGCTGTCGAAGATGCGCCTATCAAGGCTCTCGATATCCTCCATGTTATTGTCGCCCAGAAACTCAAGAAGGCAGTGAGCGAGGTTCCCCTTTCAAAGTCTATCAAGGACCTCGTGGGTGGCAAGTCGACGCTTCAAAATGAGATCTTGGGTGATTTGCAACTAGAGTTTTCGTCGGCGCCGGAAAAGGGAGAAGAACTTCCTTTGGAAGAGCTTGGCTCCGCCCTTTCGTCCGGCTTTGGAGGAGCGTTGGGCAAATACACTTCTGGTTTGGTATCTCGGATGATTGGTGGCAAAATGCCGGGTGGATTCAATTCTTCTGCTGTGAAGGCACATCTTTCGAAGTCATGGGGACTGGGCCCATCTCGTTCAGATGGTGTTTTGTTGTTAGCGACTACGATGGAACCGCCGAAGCGGTTGGCTTCGGAACCAGAGGCGAAGATCTGGTTGGACGGTGTGGTCGCCGTATATGCCCAAAGGTCAGGTATTAGTCTATCCGCTCCAAGTGCTGGAGGAGGTGGTGGTGGTGGTGATGGTGGCCCCACAATCAACAGCGAAGAGTTCGTCAAATTCCAGGCAGACCAGGAGCAGTTTGCTGCACAGCATATCGAGCTTTATATGCGGTATCTCAAACGCGACTCTCGTGCCGGTGAGATTGCGTTCGACAAGGAGAAGGCCCATTCGGAGGAGCTGCAAGCGAGGTTAGATAGCATCGCTAAGGAGCATGGTGACACCTACATCGACGGAATTCAGCCTGTCTTCGACCCCATCAAAGCCCGTCACTTTGATTCTTCCTGGAACTGGGCGCGTCAAGATGCTCTTCTCATGTACTATGACATAATATTTGGCCGACTCACCACTGTCGATCGCGAGATCACAGCGAGTTGCATCGCCATTTTGAACCGTGCTGATCCCGACTTGCTTGCATTCCTGCAGTACAACATCAACCGATGCGATCCAAGCAAGGGTGAAACCTACAAGTTGGCCAAAGAGTTTGGCCAGCAGCTCATCGAGAATGTCCGTGAATTCTTGTCACAGCCACCGGTCTACAAGGATGGTAGGTTATACCCCTCGCACTTTTTTATTTTCTTATGTCATTGAATATTTACTATAGTTACGTTCCCCACTGCACCTCACACTGAGGTCAACTCAAAGGGTGACATTGTTTACTCCGAAGTGGTTCGGGAGAACGTCCGCAAACTCGAAGCTTACGTCGAAGAAATGGCGAGCGGCGACACCGTCTCTGGTGCTGTCAATATCCAAAAGGTTCAAGATGACGTTTTGAAGCTTTGGACCATCGTGAAATCGCAACCAGAGATCAGCGAGGAACAGAAGAATCACATCAAGGCCCTCTACGAGGGTGTAGTTCGCTCTCTGCGCAAAGGTCCGGATCCCCGCCCTTCCCGCGTTCGAAGTCGCCGCGCTTCGTCTCAGTTCATCCGCCCTCAAGTGTCCGGCATCTCATCTGTGTCCGCTGACAAAGTGCCTTTACTTCATCTCAAGCGTAAAGTGGGTACAACCTGGGAGTACAGCAGCAACCTCACGAGTGTTTATCTCGACATCTTGCATGAGATTGCCACTGCCGGGACGACGTTTAAAGACAAAAATGCTCTGCTCACTGGTGTTGGCAAAGGTTCTATCGGCGTGGAGGTAGTCAAAGGTCTTCTAGCAGGTGGCGCACATGTGGTTATCACCACTTCTCGATACAACCGTGCTACCGTCGAGTACTACCAATCAATCTTCCACTCGTGCGGTAGTCGTGGGTCTGCCCTCACTGTCGTTCCATTTAATCAGGGCTCAAAACAGGATGTGGAAGCGCTCGTCGACTACATCTACGCTAATCTCGGTCTCGATCTTGATTTCATTTTGCCCTTCGCAGGTATCCCGGAGAACGGCCGAGAAATCGACGGCTTAGATGACAAGTCGGAACTAGCTCATCGCATCATGTTAACGAATCTCCTTCGAATCATGGGTGCTGTCAAGAACAAGAAAGCCAGCCGTCGCTTCGTTACTCGTCCGACCCAAGTTATCCTCCCTCTGTCGCCCAACCATGGACTCTTCGGTAATGACGGTCTCTACTCTGAATCCAAGATTTCTTTGGAGACTTTGTTCCAACGTTGGGCGTCAGAAAGCTGGGGCGAATATTTGTGCCTTGCAGGCGCTGTCATTGGGTAAGTTTCCTCTGCCAGCGACGTTGACATTCCTAAATTTACTTTCTAGATGGACCCGGGGGACCGGCCTCATGGGGCCAACGAACATCGTTGCTCATGAGTTGGAATCATATGGTGTTCGCACATTCTCAGCGAAGGAGATGGCGTTCAACATCCTCGGCCTCATGCATCCTCTATTGTTCAGCATCACTCAGGTCGAGCCTATTTGGGCGGATTTGAATGGTGGTATGGACCGCCTTCCCGATCTTGCCGAAATCACTGGACGTATTCGTGCCAACCTCAATAAGAAGAGTGATCTTCGTCGGGCTATTGCTCGCGACAACGCCGCCGATTATAAAGTCATCAATGGTGCAGAAGCAGAGCGTCTCATTCAAACTGTTGATGTACTTCCTCGAGCAAACTTTAGTTTCGACTTCCCCGCTCTTGAGTCAGTGGAGAATCTTGGTGACGTTTCGAAACTTCGTGGCATAATTGATCTCGACAAGGTCATTGTCATTACAGGTTCGGCTGAGGTTGGACCTTGGGGTAGTGCACGGACTCGCTGGGAGATGGAAGCAAGGGGCGAATTTACCATTGAAGGTGCCATTGAGATGGCGTGGATGATGGGCTACATAAGACATTTCGATGGTCGCTTGAAGGATGGATCCCTCTATGTTGGCTGGGTGGATAGCAAAACCGGCGATCCAATTGATGACAAAGACATCAAGGCTCGCTACGAGAAGGATATTCTTGCTCATGGCGGTGTTCGTCTGATTGGTATGTGCCTCACTTATTCATTATGCTAGATCTAATGTCTTTGTAGAACCTGAGCTCTTCCGCGGCTACGATCCGAAGAAGAAAGTCTTCAACCAAGAAGTCGAGCTTATTCATGATCTTGAGGCGCTCGAAGTAACGGAAGCAGAAGCTATGAAGTTCAAGTTGCAACACGGCGATAAGTGCGATATTTGGGCCGGCGAATCAGGACAGTGGTTCTTCAAGCTCAAGAAGGGCGCATGTGTCTTCGTTCCCAAGGCTTTCACCTTCAGCCGAACTGTTGCTGGTCAGGTTCCGACTGGTTGGCATGCTGGCCGTTTCGGCATCCCAGAAGACATCATTGCTCAGGTAGACCGTACTACGCTTTGGGCATTGGTCTGTGCCGCCGAAGCGTTCAATATGTCTGGTATCATTGATCCATACGAGCTTTACAAGCACATGCACCCCTCAGATGTCGGTACTTGCTTTGGTGCGGGTTTGGGTGGTCAAGATTCTATGTGCAAGATGTTCAAGGATCGTCGCGACGAGAAGGAAGTCCAGAATGACATTCTTCAGGAAACGTATGTCGTCTCGTCTTGAAAGACCTGAAATAGTGTCCTGACGGATAGTTCAGATTCATCAATACTGCCGCGGGTTGGATCAATTTGCTTCTTGTATCGTCCAGCGGTCCGGTCAAAATTCCCGTTGGTGCTTGGTACGTATGATACGTGTGTCCGCCATCTGATAATTGATTCTTATTCACAATCAGCGCTACGGCTCTGCAGTCCATGGAAATTGCTCGTGATACCATCTTGTCTGGAAAAGCCAAGGTCATGATTGCTGGCGGCTACGATGACATTAGTGAAGAGGGATCCTATGAGTTTGCGAACATGAAGGCGACGAGTAATGCTGACGCCGAATTTGCCATGGGTCGCGAGCCGACGGAGATGTCCCGCCCGGCAACAAGCACCCGCGCTGGCGTAGGTTTTTTCTATTCACACTTTTTTCTCAACTCATTGCCGCTATAGTTCATGGAAGCACAAGGTACCGGCGTTCACATCGTCATGAGTGCCAAGACCGCTCTTGAACTGGGTTGTCCCATCCGCGGAATTGTCGCCTTCACCTCGACTTCAACGTATGTTCTCATCTCTTGAATCAAAGGTGTCCTCGTTTAATCTTTGATCCAGCGACAAGGCCGGACGATCAGTTCCTGCTCCAGGCCGTGGCGTGCTCACCATAGCAAAGGAAGTCCCATCCAACCATCCTTTGCCTTTGCTTGACGTCAACTATCGCCGTCGTCAACTTACATTCCGCCGCTCACAAATTTCGCAATGGCTTGCCAACGAACAGGAACAGCTGCGAGAAGAGATCGAATCGTCCAAGGTCCAAAGTCAACCCCTCGACGATGAATATATTGCGGCACGCGTGTCGAACATGGAGAAGGAGGCTTCTCGACAAGAATCTGATGCCCTTGGCATGTATGGTATGCTGGAAGGCAATGATCCAAGCATCGCACCCCTCCGCCGTGCATTGGCCGTTTGGGGCTTGACTGCCGATGATGTTGGCGTCTTGTCTATCCATGGCACTAGTACGAAAGCGAACGTATGTTTTTTTCTTTCTATCAACATGAGTGCTTCTCACGGATGTTACAGGAAGAGAACGAGACTCATATTTGGAACACGGTATTCCAGAGCCTCGGTCGTACTGCGGGAAACGCCGTTCCCATCATGGCACAGAAGAGTCTTCTTGGTCACGCCAAAGGCGGCGCCGCCGCTTGGCAGATGTCTGGTGTTCTCGACACTGTCAACACCGGCATCGTCCCAGGTAACAGGAATAGCGAGTACGTATATAATGTCTTTCAGGTCAATGTGTGCTCATATTATTTCATAGCAACATTGATTCCCACTTCATGCATCGGACCTTCCTCATGTTCCCGTCGAAGTCGATTCAAACCGATGGAGTGCGCGCTGGAGTAATGGTACGGTGTCGTTACTTTTACCCGTGCGGCTGGTCCTCATACAAATGTTTAGTCCTCATTCGGTTTCGGTCAAGTTGGTGGAACTGCTCTTATCGTCCACCCCCGTTACCTCTTTGGAGCTCTTGACCCTGCATACTATGCAGCTTACAGAAAACGTAACAGCGTCAGACAACTCGAGACGTATAAAGTCATGAGCGAGATGATGATCAAGAACAACCTCGTTAAGATCAAGGAGAAGCCACCTTACACTGTTGAGCTCGAGGACAAAGTCCTCACCAATTCGTTGGCTCGGTCATCAGCAGATCCCCAAACTGGCTCCTACTCCTTCGCTGCGAAGCAACCAACGCAGGCTCCTATCGATGACTCCAACCTCAAAGCGGTTACTCAGCTTTTATCAGCAAAACCAGCTCAGGGTGACTTTGCTGGTATCGGTGTCGATCAAGGCATGTATAGAAGTCCATGTGTATGCATTTTGCTTACTGATGATCGTATAGAACTTATCTCATCCGTCCCCTCACACAATGCCACCTTCGTCTCCCGCAATTTTACCGACGCTGAGATCGCGTACTGCAATGCTCAACCATCTCCGTCATCTTCTTTTGCTGCGCGCTGGGTAGGCAAGGAGGCCGTGTTCAAGTCATTGGGTGTGCAGTCAAAGGGTGCTGCTGCGGCAATGAAGGACATCGAGATCATTAACGACAAGGCTACGGGTGTGCCGGTTGTCTCGCTATATGGTGATGCCAAGGCCCAGGCCGCCGAGAGGGGTGTCAAAAATATTCTGATCTCTTTGAGCCATTCAGAGGTAGGCGATCTTGTTCATGGTCGAGATGCATCTATTTACCCTATATCCTTCCAGACTGTCGCTATTGCCTTCGCTCAGGCGTTAAGGTCGTGAATTCAGGGTTTTTTCTGCAGAATTTATTTTTGTCACGCATCACTTCTCTCTGTACCGCATATATAATCACTTTCTTCAAGCTTACAGTCAATTTACTTACTCTGCATGTATACGAATCAGGAATAGACATTTTCATCTCCTCTGCGTGAGTTGATGTTTGAGAAGACTGAAGTTCGGCACGCAATAATAATGATGTTCAAGATTCTTTAGATGCATGAAGAACAGAAGTGTAAGTACGAAGTACATGTACAGTACAGTAATATAAGGGTCGTCATCTACTACTACTTCAGAGCCTTTTTCATATTCTGGGAGAGACATCTCATCAGAAACGCAATGCAAACAATAAGGTATCTCTTACCTCCTCCATGACCTCAAGATCGTTTGTTTCAATCCTCGTAATCTTCTTCCCAATAGCTTTTTCAATTGTCTCCATCTGGTTCCATGTCTTTTTATCGTGGACAAAGTTGATGGAGACACCCTTGCGTCCAAATCGGCCAGTTCGACCTAAGTATAAAGTCAGTGGCTCGTCAAGAGGTGCCGAATTGTCAGATTCACCGATTCGATGAATATACGTCTCAATATCGGGACTCAGATCACCCTGTGTCTTGTTTGACCCCCGGTCGGCCATGAGAGGCAGGTCGTAGTTAACGACCATGTTCACCTGCAATATATCGATGCCTCGGGCGATGACATTGGTCGTAATCAAGACCTACATCAACACTAGAGGTTAGAGTAGGTAATGGAAAGAAAAAGAGGACGCGCCTTGTCTTTGCCATCACGGAATCCATCGATAATTGCGTCACGTTCCCCGGCATCCTTAGCACCATGTAGAGACGCAACCTTGTGTCCCTCCGCGGTCATCCGCTTTGATATCCGATCTGCCGTATGCCGGTGCTGTAAAAGAGGTCAATAAATAGTTTTGTCGACATCCTACGATACGGTACGCACTTGACAGAAGATAATACTTTGGCCCACTGTCAATAAGGAGTACAGACTAACGAGAATATCATATTTGTGCTCTTCGTCCCGACAGTCCATATAGAATTGCTTGATGTTGTCTACATTGAGCTCTTCTTTCCGTAGCTCAATCTTGTTTGCGTTGGGAGCGAACTTGGACGCAAAGTTACGGACGTGATCAGGGAAGGTTGCTGAGAAAAGGATGATTTGAATTGGATTTGTTGGACTCCGGGGAAGCATGCTGAACGCAATCTAAACACAGTCGGACTATGAGAAATGACAGAGGACGCACTTTTTCACTCGTAGTGTCTGATCCCCTAGACCATCCTGATCCAACATGTTATCGGCCTCATCCAAAACAAAGACCTTGATACCCGACACATCGATGACCTTCTTCCGGATCAATTCAATCATCGTCCCAGCGGTGCCAACGACGATGTGTGCGGTGACACGTGTTGCACCCCTTGGTAGATGGTCTTTGATGGCATATTCGGTCTGGATGGCGGTGAATTTACCCATGACAAGAATGACAGACATGATTTGACGCGCCAACTCGCGAGATGGCGCTAGACACAGGGCCTGGTGTGATTATTGGTGAGAGGGAGGATAAAATAGGGAACCGAGCATTACTTGGGTTTGGTTTTTGGAGAAGTCGACGCGTGAAAGCATGGTGAGGACGAATGCAGCTGTTTTGCCTGTCCCAGACTGTGATTGGCCGATCATATTGGTCGGTCTACGACTGTTGGGCTACGAATATGATACGTAGTAAATGGGGCTCACGGGTTGGATAGCAGGAGCGGTAGAGCGCGTTCTTGGATTTTTGATGGTTTGCTGAATCCCATTTGGAAGAGACCCTTGAGGAGATCCCGGTGGCTAGCACGGACGCAGGTAACGATAAAGATTCATTACATACTTCAAGGCTCACTTACAGTCCAAGTTCTTCAAAGGTCTTCGCACTGTAGAGGGGCGAATTTGGGTCTCCTTGCTGGTCGGCAAGGGTGACCTAGGGGAAAGAGATGATCACTACGACAAATCGTACGCAAACATGACAAAGGCGTACGGTAACCTCAAATGTCGAGTTTATGAGGTCGCTGTTAGCGCCTGGTACTGATATTAGCATTTCCGAGAAATTTGTGCTTGACTCGATATTGATCACCTTTGGGTGAGGCGGCTTCTTCTGCTGGTCCGGCCTCTGGTACTGGGATACAAAGTGAGGGAAATCCTGGGAAACAAAAGACTGTATTCTCGTACCTCCAGTAATGAATCCATCGGCGTCTTTCTGCATCGTAGTCAGTAGAAAGAGAGATGATATCACGTGCAACAATGACTGACACGGGTCCCGGTCCGGATGGCGGTGTGACACTGAGTCCGAGGCTTTCTGAACGAATTGCTGCGATTATAAAAACAGGTGAATGAAGATACAAATATAGACGGAATATTTTTAATGATTTTACAGCATCTTTGTTTCACGCCGTGTCCTGACACGGCTTTCCTTTACCACCCCGGTCCTTGCGGTAGCTGCATGTGACGATAAACCGTATTCATATGATCCTCCTTCAAGTATGCTCTCCCTCAGTTACCTTTCCAATTTTTGCCCGTCGTTTCGACACTCAGTACTTATTCTTCATCATTAAGCCTCGGCTTTGCTCATCAGCTAGCTCGAGTCAACATTGTTATCCTGAAGCGCCAGACGGCCATGTCTTCATCCAAATCTACCAACTTGAACTCTGCATGGAATTTCCCAGGATCCTATACATGTGCCGCGGAGGTCATGTAACTCGACACCAGATGCGACTAATATTCTCATACATTCGTTTGAGTATTAATTCAAACGATATATATCGGACATTGTTTCCCCGCTTGACGCAAACTCACTCCCACCAGCAACCAATGTGGAGAAACCTTACTTTCCTTACAACCTTGGTCCTCGTAGCATCTGTCCAAGCTGGACCGAGGGCGTACCCTCGTCAAGGTGAATCTAGTCTGGATGTATGTTGGAGGCGGAACTGACAGCTTGCACAGCGACTGCCACTTCGACGATCCCGCTCGATTCCGCCGCTCGTGCAGCTGGGAAGCTTTACTTTGGTTCTGCAACTGACAATCCAGAACTCACCGACCAGCCATATGTCGCTATTCTCAGTCAGTCAAGCATGTTTGGACAAATCACTCCTGAAAATAGTATGAAATGGGTATGTTCTACAATTTTCTCCGCTTCTGCAGTTTTTTATTCATCTTTCGCAGGACGCGACCGAGCCTGAAAGGGGGGTTTTCACTTTCGCGGCGGGCGATGTTATTGCAGACCTCGCAGCCTCCAACGGTCAACTCCTCCGTGGCCACAACTGTGTGTGGTACAATCAGTTGCCGAGCTGGGTATCCTCCGGTGGGTTTGACAACGCGACGCTTACGGAGATCGTTGCGACACATTGCGGTACAGTAGTAGGACATTATGCTGGACAAACGTACGTCATTGTTTTTTTTTTGGTAATTGATACTAATCAACATTTTCAGATGTAAGAATCCATACTTTCGATCTTCAGAATAAGATTTTATTGATGAATGATGAAATCTAGATTCGTGGGACATCATCAACGAGCCGTTCAACGACGATGGGACCTGGCGCTCGGATGTTTTCTACAACACCATGGGCGAGTCTTTCGTCCCTGTCGCACTGAACGCTGCGCGTGCGGCGGACCCAAAGACTAAACTTTACGTGCGTCCAATTGATCCTCAGTCCTTGTCAACTGACTTTCGTCACGACAGATCAATGACTACAACATCGAGGGCACTGGTGCTAAATCCACCGCCATGGTCAACCTCGTCAAATCCCTCAAGGCTCAAGGCGTCCCTATTGACGGTATCGGCATCCAATGCCACCTGATCGTCGGAGAGGTTCCCAGCACTCTCAAAGAGAATTTTGAGCAGTTCACTGCCCTTGGCGTGGAAATCGCTATTACGGAGCTGGATATTCGGATGACTCTTCCGTCAACCACTGCCCTGTTGGCTCAACAAAAGGCAGACTATGAGACAGTCATCTCAACATGTACGGCAGTAGAGAGATGCATCGGCGTGACGGTTTGGGATTACACTGATAAATATTCATGGATTCCTTCGGCATTCCCTGGACAGGCAAGTTGTGGTTCTTTCCTTTACAATTGGAATTATTTATATTCTTTACAGGGAGCCGCATGTCCGTGGGACACCAATTTGATCAAAAAGCCGGCTTATGATGGAATCGTGCAAGGATTTTTATAGCTGGGTTCGTAAAGGCTGTTAACTCCTCAGTGAATGATGCTTGTCTTCGTGAGAGAATTTGAAAGGATATACTAAGTTGATGTTGTTTCGACAGCACAGAGTACTCATACTTGAGCGTTGAATCGGCAAAATTGGGTCGCCGGTCCCTTCTAAGCCTGAAAGCTCTGCTCGTGGTTTTTAGTATTCATAAATCTTCTCCTTTACATGCTTTCTCCTGTAAAAAGGAAAAGCAGTTCCTAGTAAGTATGCGTTCTAACCATTATTTCACCCTCATTATTCACCATAAAAGGCCAAAGCTTAGAGCTCCGAGGAGAGCCCTCTGGCGTATTAGGATCCAGAAACGCACTGTGCGTGTTGAATGTAAGTCCTTGGTCGAGTCGAAGCTATACTCAAAAATGAACCGATCCAGTAGAGCACCGACAGTAAAGCACCTCACCACTTGAATGGCACCATTTCCTCGGGAGACATTCCTCTCAATTAGACCCATTCAACCCTCGCATTCCACTTCACTGCATAAGTCGTCCTAGCTCCTTCGGGAAACTTGAGCGTCGTCGGGAACAAGTCCCTTCCCGTCGACTGTGCTGCAATCAACGAATCCTAGTGGAGGATCAAATGCTGGATTCTCGATTTGACACCACAGGTTGAGTATCTGAAACCGGCGCTTGACAACTTCAATTGACGCGCAACGGCGAAGAACGCGCTATAATCAAATATAAAGACTTCTGTTGCATTCGTGAGTTTCTTATAGTGTTTCTCGCTCTCGGGATAGTATTCTCGGATAATGTCATCGCCACTGCTGAAAGCGGTACGCTTGGAGGCGTGTCGAAAATGTTGGAATCCCACCTTGTCGAGAAGATACTGATGCTCTTTGCCACGAATGTTTTCAATTCCAGCGGTAACGTTGTGTTAAACATAATTATGGTCCGTTCTATCATTGATATTCTTGTAGAAGCGAGCGCCATCAGACGGTGGGAGATAATATGGAGCAATAATCAAAGTAGGGGCTGATTCGACCATGCGGACTGATATTTATGTTCCCGAGATAACACTGACATACACATTTCTGTATTTTACCAAAAGATACAGATTCGAAGGAGATGCCATAGGCTCAACTCGATCCAAGTGTTCTGCTCTGATTGCATCCTATTCAGTCCCGCGAAGGCATAGACGCCAAGATGACATTGAACGTGGTTCCCTTGTACCTGAAAACCCCGAAAATCAATCTTCGATGTATCCCATACGAATCCAAAAAAGCATACTCAAGACAGTCCGATCCTGGGTCGTTGAAAACGCCGAAGATTTCCCAGCATCAGTACCATGGACTTTCAGTACAACTTTCCGATGAAAATCTACATCATTCAGAATTCCAAGCCTTTCTCGAAGAACTCAAAGAAACCTTGGCTAAAACCAGCTTTTTTCTCCGTTGGGATGCCAATACCGTGAGCTGGTGTGCTATTGTATTAGCCTGTCATCTGGATGACCTAGAAACGGTATTGTACGTACCACATTCATAGTAAAGGCTGGGTTGTACGTGACGCCAAAGATCATACTTTCGTGGTATCTATATGTCATGATGACGTATTTTGTTGTGCCGAGGATCTCAGTGCTTTTCTGAGGGAGAGATAAGTCAGAGAATAAAATTCAAAGAATGACTAGGTTAATGAGACCTAGGATGAGGCAGTTGTGAATGCTTTAGCATCCGGGCCATTGGAAATCGATAAATGGATCAGCCTGAGCATGAGTAATCGAAATACGAACGGAACTCGCCTTGACGTTCGTAATGAGTTCGATGATTGGCGTTATAACTCGGAGAAGGGAGGTGCTTTGGAGTTCTGACTTGTTCAGATAGAGAATGAAGGCCGATTCATCGAGCCCTTTATATATTTCACAATGGAACTTAGATGCGATCCCCAGGGCAAAGACTTTGAAATCCTCGAACGGGGTTCAACTAGGAACGAGATCCCTAGAGCCTGGTGAATTACCAAGTCTGATCCTTCTTTCCATTGCAGTAGCGTAAATATCTCCCAATGGCCAGTACATCAAAATCATGTACCGGAAGCGCCTGGACCAGTGGACCAATCCCTCCCTAATCATGGAAATGAACTTCATTGATGATTCATGAAGAAGTCATGTATTGATTGTGACAGACGGTGTCTGGTGAGTACTGTATCGAGCTTTCCAATTTCATCTTCTATTATTATTATGAGGACATCAAATTTTAATTCTAGACGCCACCATCAATTTCTACTCCGTGGTGGAAGGACTTGAGCGAGCACGAGAGTCAAACCGCTGACGACGCAACATATCTAGAAATGGGAGCCATCAGAAGTCAGGCCTGCTGGGAGAGAAAGCAAGTTCACTCCACTGAATATCACAGGCCGTAGCCACTGTCTGCCCGTTATATGTACTAGTGATTAGGGCACCGCTAATGGGAGGTCCTAGGAACACGGAAATGCATAATTTAGTGATCGTTAACTTCGAACATCGTTACAATATTTATACCAATCATGCCTCCGACAGCTAGATAACCAACGTGAATTTATCTCGATGTTCAAGTAAAACGATGCTCACCTGCAATACCAATATACACCCCGAGTCGTGCTCTATGAATACGAGGTGAAGATATACTCGTAAGGGAAAACAGATATGCCCACCCAACTTCGGAGACATTTTTTGTTAGGTATGTAATCATCGGGCCAAGGAGAGAAATCACTGTCATGCTGTTTGACAGCAGTCACCTTGAAGGAATAAATTGGCTCGCCTGCACCAGAGAAGAACCCATAGAGGACGGCAAAAACCATTACCGAAGCTGGACTTGTAATGGCGACCCAAACAAAAACAAGCACCCCACATGCAATGGCACATGGGACAATCGAGTTGAAAACGCCGATACGATCTACAACAATTGTTGGCATGACCCGTCCAAATGCCCCTGCGCCATTCAAGACCGCGATCTGTAGGGACAGGTAACAAGTTGAAAATGACAGGATCAATAAAGTGACAGCCTACCGTATGGAAAGCTAGATTTTCGTTTACGCCATGTTCAGTGGCGTTCAGCTGGAGGTAAAAAGTAGGGAAATAGACTCCTAAGAACAGAATAAAGTTTCCCGCAATGGCCACCAGATATGCTTTGCCAGTGAAGAAGCGTTTCCAGTAAGCCAGCTGCTCAGCAAAGCTTGTGCCTCCAAGGCGTGGTGGCAGACGGGTCGTCATCGGTACGTTTGCCAGTATCAACAACCCGAGATTAAAGAACGCACTGATCCGCACACCCCAACGGAAACCGATAGGTCCAAGAAGGAATTGGCTCAAAATGACCGGGTGGACGAGACCGCCAACGGAGATCCAGATTCAACAATGCCTATGACAAGGGACCGACATCTCTTGAAATGATGTGAAACGACGCCAAGCACGGGAACATAGACGATGCCGACGGCTATGCCTATCCCAATGCCTTGCGCAAGAAAGATCTGAGGCCACACGAATGTCGATGTCAGGCTTAGAAGGTCCTTCGAGTCAATCAAAGACTTACCTGCCAGAATTTCTGCTCTTCAGTGAGGGACGTCATGAAGAGAGAAAACACGAGCAAGGTCGAACTCGCCAGCATGACAGACCGGCTATTATCAAGACTTAAAGAGAGCACAGGATCATCGAGGAATATTAGACTCACAAGTGTTCCCGGTCCATGGCAAAGCCTGAATATATGCCCAAGGACCCCAAACCCAAGATTTGAACACTACCTATCCAGCTTCGATATGTCAGAGAAGCGAAGAGTAGGGAATGGTCAGAAAACATCTTACTTAATCCTTGAAGACGAGTGGTCGCTTAAAAATTCACGGACGTAGTAATCTGGGGGTCGTAGAGTGTCAACTCAGATTAGAGGTCTCCAAATAATCTACCTTCGCATACACCGTAGCAATTGACGCAGCTGCCGTATATTTGTTGTTGAGCTTTAATAAACACCAAGCAACATGCATAAAACAGACCCTGAAGAACACAAAGACGACGAGAAACCTACCAGAAGGATGAGCATTTTTGAACAAGGCCTCCTGGGGATAGGTTGGCATACGCGCCAATAACCGTCATCCATGCCCTCAATCCGCCATCGGGGATTTCGTGAGCGTTTATTGCAGGTGATGCCGCAATTTCTTCCTTAGAAGCTGCCATTCCATCCGGAGAGGCTTTGCTGTCTCAACAGATAGCTAGGATTGTAGCCGTAGAGTCGTGTTCTTGCTCGAGAGTAGTAGAAATCGATATCACAACAGACACGGACTGATATGTCTGGAAGAAAGGCAGGGAATAGTCCAAAGGTTCGGGAATGTTCGTAGTATCATGGTAATAATTGACCTTGTGTAATAAAATAAAATATTCGAGCCCCCTTGAGTGATAACCGAAAAGATGATGAGTGCTGGCAGGGTCCTATAGTGGGAACCGTAAAATGGAAGCCTGCTGGTTACACATCTGAGGGCTGAGGGCTGATTTTCGCATGGGATTGAAACAAAAATGTAGTCTCGAGCCAGTCCCCACTTCGGTTGATGATACTGCGGCAGTCGATCAACCATCCGCCTGCTCGAGTGGGGAGAGGTTCGAGTCTAACATAAATGAATCACCAAAAGATAAGAACAATACAATATGGTCCATACGATAACCAGAGGCTATTCATGAGCCTCAACTCAGAGTCGAAGAATTCTTCAGGCTTTCCGTCCATTTCGCTGGGTGTCGCACGCTCTAAAAGGAACAGAAAGAATAGAAAGACTTCGAGTCCGAGAGATGATAGATGTCCGGAGACCAAAAAAATAGTAGTCCCGACATCGATTTTGTGGACTTTGAAGTCAAAATGGTCAGAAAAGTGCTCTTGGGACTCACCATTTCAATCAGCATCATATTTTGAGCTGATGCATAAGTTTATAAGCATTGAAACTCATGTTGCCAGGCCGTTCTTTCTGTTGTACATATCACGAGGTTCGTGACCAAGAATGAACATGCCATGAAGAAAATTGCATCTACAATGTATCCATAGCACTGAGCGTAGCGGGTAACTCGGACGTCTCGGACAGGTGGTAGATAACACAGGGACTTGGCAAATAATAGTAGCTTGACTGGAGTATCGTGCTCCGCAGCACTTTTGGTTTGTCACAACTTTGACATACCATTAAGAATCGTATTTTTCATTCATTACAGCACGCTGACCAGCCTCACCAGGAAAAATGACCAGAAGCCAAATATAGACGAATTATTTTTAAGAATTTTACAGGGCCTGACGTCCTGCCACGACTTTCATTTTACCATACCGGTTGTTGCGGTAGCTGCACGTACCGATGATAGACCGTATGCGTATTCACAAAATGATCATATGATCCTTCTTCAAGTATGCTTTCGCTCCGTTACCTTTCCGAGTTTTTGCCTGTCATTTCGAAACTCATCCTTCATCATTAAGCCTCGGCTCTTCCTATCAGCCAACTTGAATCAACGTTGCTATTCTGCAGCCCCAGACGGCCACGTCTTCGTTCGAGCCTACCAACTCTGCATCAAATTTCCCAGAGTGCTATAAATGCACCATCACTGGAGGTCATGTAACTCGACACCAGATGCGATTCTGATGCATATCATACGTTCGTTTGAATTCAAGCGATATACATCCGACATTATTTCCCTACTTGACGCGGGATCTTCGTTGTATATATAAGCTTGGTATGGCGAATGTGCGAACTCACCCTCACCAGTAACCAATGTGTAGTCACCTTGCTTTCCTTACAACCTTAGTCCTCGTGGCATCTGTCCAAGCTGGACCGAGGGCGTACCCTCGTCAAGGTGAATCCAGTCTGGATGTATGTTCGAGGTATAACTGACAGCTTGCACAGCGGCTGCCACGACGGCTGCTAGTGCTTCTGCAGCGACTGCCACTTCGACGACTCCGCTACATTCCGCCGCTCGTGCAGCTGGGAAGCTTTACTTTGGTTCTGCAACTGACAATCCAGAACTCACCGACCAGCCATATGTCGCTATTCTCAGTCAGTCAAGCATGTTTGGGCAAATCACCCCCGGAAATAGTATGAAATGGGTATGTTCTACAATTTTCTCCGCTTCTGCAGTTTTTTATTCATCTTTCGCAGGACGCGACCGAGCCTGAAAGGGGGGTTTTCACTTTCGCGGCGGGCGATGTTATTGCAGACCTCGCAGCCTCCAACGGTCAACTCCTCCGTGGCCACAACTGTGTGTGGTACAATCAGCTGCCGAGCTGGGTATCCTCCGGTGGGTTTGACAACGCGACGCTTACGGAGATCGTTGCGACACATTGCGGTACAGTAGTAGGACATTATGCTGGACAAACGTACGTCATTGTTTTTTTTTTGGTAATTGATACTAATCAACATTTTCAGATGTAAGAATCCATACTTTCGATCTTCAGAATAAGATTTTATTGATGAATGATGAAATCTAGATTCGTGGGACATCATCAACGAGCCGTTCAACGACGATGGGACCTGGCGCTCGGATGTTTTCTACAACACCATGGGCGAGTCTTTCGTCCCTGTCGCACTGAACGCTGCGCGTGCGGCGGACCCAAAGACTAAACTTTACGTGCGTCCAATTGATCCTCAGTCCTTGTCAACTGACTTTCGTCACGACAGATCAATGACTACAACATCGAGGGCACTGGTGCTAAATCCACCGCCATGGTCAACCTCGTCAAATCCCTCAAGGCTCAAGGCGTCCCTATTGACGGTATCGGCATCCAATGCCACCTGATCGTCGGAGAGGTTCCCAGCACTCTCAAAGAGAATTTTGAGCAGTTCACTGCCCTTGGCGTGGAAATCGCTATTACGGAGCTGGATATTCGGATGACTCTTCCGTCAACCACTGCCCTGTTGGCTCAACAACAGGCGGATTATGAGACAGTCATCTCAACATGTACAGAAGTAGAGGGATGCATCGGCGTGACGGTTTGGGATTACACTGATAAATATTCATGGATTCCTTCGACATTCCCTGGACAGGCAAGTTGTGGTTCTTTCCTTTACAATTGGAATTATTTATATTCTTTACAGGGAGCCGCATGTCCGTGGGACGCCAATTTGGTCACAAAGCCGGCTTATGACGGTATCGTGCAAGGATTTGAGTCCTGTTGAATCAAGTCGAATGACTAGAGTCACGAAAGAGATGTTCGGAAAATGGTCAAATGGTCTCAGGGTCACTAATTCCAGAATGTTCCGTTCCCTGTAGAATCTAACCCAAACGATGTTTTAATAACGGAACTTCTTTTCGACTAATTTACGCTGCTAGATCGACAACACTTACATGAAACTCTTCAAAACCTCTCGATCCGGATTTTGTCCCAAGTCACGGTCCCGGAAGGGCTGGTCCCAAAGCGTTTCATGCGTCATAGGCCATTCGATAATGGATTCATCCAAACTGCATTGATGCTTGTCTGCGTGAGAGAAGGGGAGATGATATACTGTATGTGGGGAAGAAACCCTGAAGTGGGCGTTACTGTCAGGAAGGAAAGAAACTTGAAGACGGACCTGAAGTTACGCGTTACCGTTTCTGATATAAGCAACAAAAGTAGGTGGCATTGACATTTTATGGTAAAATTTCTGAACTTGGTTAGGCAGTAACGAAAAACTTGGAAACAAAGCCATCGTTATGCGTTGCGCAAGGCCAAGTAAGCAACGAAACGAGTCCAGCATTACGCGTTACGGTTTCTACCCTACAGTCACGTACAATATTGGATATCACACGATGAACATTCGAGTACAGTACTTGCTTCAATGCTTGGACTTTATTCTGAGAGCAACGAGCCGCTCGCTCCTTCTAAGTCAACCGACTTCGAAATTCTTCCCATGGTTTCAAATCGCCTTCGCATATTGACTTTTCCTGTAAAAAGAAGGCCACAACTCGGAGCTCGATTATCAAGTCTGACAACGGGAAACAGCGGGACAAGCGACGGCAGTTACCTAGGAGGGTGCAAAGATTTACTCCAATCTATCTGCATAGATTAATGCTTCCGCCAGAACAGAGCGCGCCTTAATCACGCATTTGAAAGGCATGGGAAAACTATGCATAAAAGCTAGAATAGACGGCAATCCACGCGGTATTCAGTGCGAAATAGCGGCCAGGACATATACTAAGGAAATATCGGTACAGAGGCTAGATGGCTAGATGGAAGTATTTCAAACGCATCGTCTTCCGAATCCAAACGCGGCTATTGGTTCAGGCTGAGGTTCTTTCCAGTCCTCGGACATGAACCGGTCGGGATTGAAGACCAATGGGTTAGGATAGTCCCTTTCGTCATGAGGTATGGTCCTACACCGAGTTTCAATCTGAGCCTTGGATGTTATACCCTGGCACCAAATAAAAACACACCAAACATTACCGATAACGGTCGCACCTACAAGGAGTATAAGGACACTGAAAAAGAAAACCGCAGTCGAAACATACCCGCAAGAATATAATGACCTCTGTAAACATCCCCTTTAATGCTGCGATGGGCAATGCCTAGACTGAAGGATATAAACTAAAGTGACTTTGTATATCTGAAAATATATACCCCTTGGAAGAACAGGATTCCATCGCAGCGCTTCCAACAGGATGGCATCAACGTCGGGCAGCTGCGGACGGTCGTCGAATGTTAGAAGCCAAATGTAACCAACCACAACGTCCAGCTCGGCTTAAGCCTTGGCTTGTACCTCGGGGTAAAGCACAAATGCGAGTATTGCGGAGAGGACGACGGAAACGGTCTTTTCAGCAATAAGAGAGACTTCAGTAAATGAGGCACAAAGGTGAAAACATGCGGTGTCAACGCCTGCTTACCAAGATATAAGATCAGATGTCCGAAAAGAAAAACCAAATAGTACCTACCGGCGAAGGCTACCCCAGCTGTATTCCGGATAATTTCAAGCTGTGTCACATTCTCGGACGTGCCGGTCTCTTTCATCTTTTTCAGATTTACAGAGACAAATGAAGACGGTGCGAGACCATTAACCTTGGGTGTGAAATATAGAGTTAACGAAATTGAATGAGCAGATGCGAATGACGTACCAGTGATTCTAAAGCATATTTAAAAGGACCTTCTTTCATATCCTCGACATCCTTTCTCCACACGTCTGCGAGGCTCACGAACTTTGCACCAAGAATCCATCCTTCATAAGCTTTTAACGTGAACCTGATAAGTGAAATATGGATAAACTCACGTGGGAAATCAGGAATGTAGTCAACGAGAAAGCTCCCCACGTTCCCAATGATGCGAATACTTTCCAGGCTCCGATCCACTAACTCCACAAATCGATTACCATTTGGATTTCCAACATATCCATAGACAGTTTTCATGATGATTGAGCCAGAATGGCTAGAAGAAGGTCACCAGTTTCTAAGAACACATTGTTGGTATAAGTCCAGCTTACTGGCGAACATGGCGAACAAGTGCATCGGGAGATTTATGCAACTGTTGTAGACAGATGTTGCTCTCATTTCCACGGAATAGTAAGCCGGAACTGCACGGGGTTGAAAATATTGGTGAAACATCCGCCGATGTATCCTATGAAAGGAGTCAGTCAATATCCAAGAAATAACATTGCGAATGCATGAACCTTCACCAGTCAGAATATCTCATTAAACCTAGGTTGAGTCCTCATCCCGACAAATGTATCATGGTGAAATCTGCATGGCTTTACCAGTTCTGAAGGTTATGGGTAGTATCTATCTCCCATACCTGGTCTATCGGAATAGTTTCTGGAACGCCTTTCGAATAGATCTGCTGCTGCTTGGGCGGAGTTCAATACAACCGTCGGATTTCCGGGAGTATCTAGATACAAGACGTCGCCGTAGATGGTAGCCCATCGAGCATAAGTGATCCACGGGTACTCTGTAGATATATTCCAGAGGTTTCCTATGAGTGGGAGTCCTTTGGGGCCGGGAGGGAGAGGTACACATCGACGTTTACGCGAGAGGTAAAACAAGCAATATAACAATAGGACACCAGATGCAAGCAGGAGAGACGAGTTCATAGGGAAAGGATTACCGTGGTAACACAGCTGACTTGCCTATCTTAAGGTGCGATTTTTCGTAAGCCACCTATGTAGAATCCATATCTCCTCTCTAAGCTCACTGTCTTCTCCATAAATATGCCTAAGGAAGAGCATATGATAGATAAGGATGACAAAGAACTGACATAAGCATGTGCGGGTGGAGCGTCGACTCACAGAAATGAGGATGTTGAGGTCTGATCAGGAAGTCGAATAGATATGGAAAGAACTGGTCGCGATACTACATCTCCTCTTGGATTCCAGAGTGTAGGCCATGTCAGCCATGTTTTTTATATGTGTCCCCGATTGTAATATTGTAGGCACAGGGCACGCTGAAGGAAACTGGAGTATCATTTCCACAAGTTCGTCCACTATTGAATGCGATGGGAGAGTGAAGAGTGACGTTAAGTTATCAGCTAGACTCATTCAGTGTGAACCTCGAAAGTATAAACGGGTACAAACGGTCTGCTTCCTCGACGCTGGTGGCGGGATAAAGAAGGCGGCCTGGGAATCTGGGATGAGCCCGAGGTCTGCGATGTTCCGTACTCTGCTCACACCAGTTTACCATTGTCTTCCCGGACCGCCGCAAAACCGATGGTCGGCAAAGTGTACTACTGAGCGCTGAAGACCTCAGGAGTGGTGAAGTAGGGGGTCATTATCTATTTTAAGGTCCGACACCCCTAGTATTCGCTACCTGCCAAGTGTTATTTAGTGCCAAAGATCTAAGTGGTGCGTTTCCAATTTTATAGCAGACCAGAACTTGACTTGGTAAATTTCCATTTCGCTTGGATCTACTTAACCTCTGGCAGGAATACCGAGTGGTTAGAAAACAGGCCATTCAGACCTACACGCGTGCCTCAGTGTACTTCGTTCCGTTGTGGCACACGGCGGGTTCCCTCAAGGCATCTACCTCCAGTCCACAGTCGGGATGTGTTGACGTTTACCCTCAGTTAGCCAGTCATCCCCCCTTGACGCATGGGTGCTTACGCTTAGTAACGAACAACGCATTTTTAGACATAAATTTCCACACGGTGCTCAAGACGCTCGAAAACCGTTACTCCTGTTTCGAATCTATCAACGCTTTCGCCTGAGTGGAACGCACCGTGATCTTGCATTTGAAGGGCACCGGAAAGCTAGGGTGAAATTCAGTATGGAGCATTGGATGTCAAAGGTAGAAGACCTACCTCAGAAAGCCATCTGTATATGTATTACTTGGTTCAACGATAGAACCTTCGGAGTCTACAGCTTTGGTAAACGACAAAGTCGATGCCATAGATGCGATGGCAATCCAAGCGGTATTCAATGCGAGATGACGACCGGGACAGATCCTGAGATAATACTAGCAAAGAGGAGGATTGGATAGTATGATATCAAACGCACCGTCTTCCAAAACCAAAAGCGGCTGTGGGTTCAGGTTGGAGTTCTTTCCCATTGCCGGGCATGAATCGGTCGGGATCGAAGACCAGTGGGTTAGGATAGTCTTTTTCGTCATGAAGAATGGCCCTACACCGCGTCAACCTGAGGCTTGGATATTATACACTGACACCAAATAAACACACCAGACGTTACCGATGACGGTCGCGCCTATCAGGGTGATATACATAGACTGATAAAGAAAACGTAGTCGAGCCATACGTACCGGCAGGAATATAATAACCTCTATACACATCCTCTTTCACACTACGATGAGCAGCACCTAAATCAAAAGCTATGGATTTCAGTAATTGCGGATATGAAAATACATACCCAATGGCACAACGGGATTCCATCTCAGTGCTTCCAATAGAATAGCTTCAATATATGGCAGCTGCGGGCGGTCATCGAAATTTGGTAGTCTGAGGGGACCGACCACAGCGTCCAATTCGGCTTGGGCTTTAGCTTGTACCTCGGGGTAAAGAAGAAAAGCCAGTATCGCAGAAAGAACAGCCGACACAGTCTTTTTAGCAATAAGAGTTTAAACAGGGCACAATGGGCGGCAACCTACAGTGTCAGCTCCCGCTAACCAAAAGATCAAAATTTTTTAAACAAGAAACACCAACTGTAACCTACCGGCAAAGGCTACCGCAGCGGTATTCTGGATGACTTCAAGGTGTGTCGCTTTCTCGGGGACGCCAATATTTTTCATCTTTGTTAAATTTTCAGAGACGAAGGAAGGCGACGTCACGCCACTGGCCTTGGTCCGGGGTCAATGCGACCAATGTTGATGATGACTATGTGAAGACATACCAATGAATCTAAGGCATATTTAAAAGGACCTTTTTTCATGTCCTCGACATCTTGTCTCCAGGCGTCCGCAAGGTTCATGAACTTTGTACCGGGAAACCATCCTGTATGCAACAGTTAGGTTTAACGTGAATCCGATGGTTAAAAAAGCATAAACTCACGCGGAAGGTATTTCAAACTGGGGATGTAGTCAACGAGAAAAGTTCCTACGTTTCCACTGATGCGAAGACTTTCCATAGCCCGATCCACCAACCCCACAAATTGATCGCCATTTGGATCCACATGATATCCGTAGATGGTTTTCATAATGATGGAGCCGGCATGACTAGATGGGAGTTAGTATCCAAGAACATCATGTTGCCAGTACGTACTGGCGAACATGGTGAGAAAACGCATCGGGATATTCATGCAACTGGTGTAGCAAGGTCAACGTCGCCTCCATCTGTACAGGATAGTACGCCGGAACTGCACGGAGCTGGAAGTATTCGTGAAACATTCGGCGATGCTTTCTATGGAGAGATACTAGACAATATCAACAAAGAATATGGTTGTACTGACCTCCACCGGTTTGAATATCTCATGAAGGTTAAGAAATCCCCCCAACCCGACAACTGTACCATGGTAAAATCTGCACGGTTTTACCAGGTCTGAAAGTTATGGGTAGTATCTATCTCCCATACCTGGTCTATCGGAATAGTTTCTGGAACGCCTTTCGAATAGATCTGCTGCTGCTTGGGCGGAGTTCAATACAACCGTCGGATTTCCGGGAGTATCTAGATACAAGACGTCGCCGTAGATGGTAGCCCATCGAGCATAAGTGATCCACGGGTACTCTGTGGGTATATCCCAGAGGTTTCCTATGAGTGGGAGTCCTTTGGGGCCGGGAGGGAGAGGTACACGTCGACGTTTACGCGAGAGGTGGAACAAGCAGTACAAGAATAGGACACTGGATGCAAGAGACGCTAGCAGGAGAGACGAGGTCATGGGGGAAGTATCACAGTTGGTCCCTCTACTGTCATTCTTAAGTCGCACCTTTCCGTCTCCGCCCCCTATGATCTTCACAAATGGGTATGAAGCAGACCAGGTGATAGTCTGGGATCGAACGTGTGAATCGGTTCATGTCCTTGCACCCATTATGTGACATCTGACAGTGATAACGCTACTGAAACCTGATGACGGAAGTAGCTAGTGTGATAAATGGTAGCGAACATCGGTTTGCTAGTCACCTTGTACAAAGGAAGGATGAGGAAACGATACCATCCGAGGAATGTGCGAACCTATAGACATCCGAGTTGAAGCCAAGAGTATCATTTACCCGGTATGATATCGATGGTGATATCGAAGAAGGATGTTTGAATCAGCTGGACACTTGAAGTAATCGTTCAAGTCGGTAAACCCTGAGGAAACGGGTGCAAACGAAGCTGGGGTTGGGGAGATTGACAGGAGAAACGGTGGCGCAGCGAGGTGGAACGCAGAATATATCCTGGCGGTGTAGCTATTCGAACGGCAGAATTCGACGCGTGCAGTCAGGTTGTAATAGGATCGATTAATTCGGTTTCATTCTCGCTGTCTAGTATAATATGTTGGGATTATACCGAGAGACGGACCATCCAGCCTTCCTTATCTGGCAATTTTACCTCGGATAGTGCTGTCCCCCAAAGTGTTATTGATAACGTACAAGACGGTAGTTGGGATACTCACTAGGCTAAAATGAGGAGCGGTCCTTTGAAAGGATGATACTCTACGGTACTGCATCAGATTGTAATGATATATACAGGCACCCAGATATCTTGCTGGTAGACATGAATTGAAATCCGTATCGAAGGATATATGCCAGTTGCGGCCTAGTGTCGCGCCTATGAGATGTTGCAGTCCACTTTTCCGGATGAAAGGGAGGATGGACAGGGATCTAGGCGTAGGATGGTGGTGGTAATAAAAGTGAAAGGGACGGTGGGTCAAAGGTGACGTCACTCAGAATGACCCTCCTTCCCAAACTGCGTCACGGCGCCAAGGTGCTCATCCTCGACTCGTCCTTTAATCCACCGACACTTGCCCACCTCGCTCTCGCCCGTTGCGGCAATGACTACGACGCCCGTATCCTCATGCTCTCCACCACCAATGCGGACAAGAAGATTGCGCCTGGGGACGCCAGTCTTGCACAGCGTCAAAGCATGATGGGGCGCCTGGGGTTCCATATTGCGGTCATCGATGAGGCGACATTTGTAGGCAAGGCACGGAGGCTACATGCAGAGATGCCGAGCGGGACGTGGGATTTCGTGATGGGGTGGGACACGGTGGAGAGGGTGTTTGCAGAGAGGTACTATACGGGGAAGGATATGATTGCTGAACTGAAAGGATTCTTCTTCGAGAGTCGTGCGAGGATCGTGTATGCGCCGAGGGCGGGAGCTGGTGGGATTGACGTCTGGAGGGCGGTGGAAGGGGTCGGGGCGAGAGAAAAGATGGTGCAGGCGGCCATCTTGGACGAGTTTGTGGCGTACAGTTCGACTGGGGTGAGGAATGCTATAAAGTCTGGTGATGTGACATGGCGGGACAAGGTGCCGGCAGTTATTGCAGAGTATATAGACAAGGAGGGTTTGTATACTACTACTATGGTGTAAAAGTACTCTTTGGGGGGATCGAAATACCTCTCCAGTGTCTGCGGGTTATTCACGTGACTAATGACTACCCAGAAGGGCCGAGTAAAGTAAAAGATCTGAATGCTGATGTATGACTACGAGCAGCACTATGCGCCCGCCAGCGACTTTTATGCGCTGCTCCCTCCGCAACGCAAGGATGCTCTCACAAAGGCTACACGCGATCTCATGGCTCTAGAGCCCCCTCCTTCCCCTTCAAATCATTCACTCAACCAGCCTCCTCAACCACCACCACCAAAACGATTTAGACCTACCCCACCCCCCCTTGTAGCTGCAAAATCAACCCTCCTTAGCCCATCCCAGAAAAAGGCAAACCATATCCAGAGCGAGCAAAAGCGGCGGGCCAACATTCGCCGTGGCTACGAGGCACTCTGCCAAACCGTCCCTGCTCTGCGCGAGGCCATCAGACAAGAGCAGGCCACCATGTCAAACGACTCCAGAGGTGAGGTGAAGCGTCGACGTCGGGGCAGACAGGGGGGGAGCGGTGGGGAAGTGAGCGCCGACGGACGAGCAGGTCCTCGGAGTGAGAACGTCGTTTTATGCAAGAGTATGTCATCCGTATTACCTCTCCTTCTTTGCCTCTGACGGACCTCTATCCAGCCATCGAGTACATCCATGCCCTCGCCGCTGAGCGTGAGGCCCTTCTTGCTCGCCTTCATTATGCCAATTCTCGCCTCCCGACGCCGTTACCACCGCCGCCCAATGCGCTTTGGGAACGGACATGGACAGATGGCGATTCCCGAGATGACGACGAGTCTGATGAGTATGCATATGGCCCTTTGTCCTCGTCTCCCTGCTGACCGTTTTTCAGATCCGATTAAGGGCTATTTATTCATTGTACCATCAGTTCATACCATATGCAATCCATGTCGATTCCATTCATCTTCACCACTCTCTTTCAGCACTCTCTTTCAATCTACCCCGTTCTAGTGAGATCCGAGGTGTCTTGCTCCGGCCTCCACTCTAAACCTTGAATACTAACTATCAGCACTGCTCCCCTTCTTGCAGACTATCGCTTCCAACTCGCTCCGGACTTTACTTTTCCATCAGGTTTCTCGTCGCCATCGATTATTCCCTCATCTCCACATTTCTTCCAACCCTTACCACTCCATGTGCTATCACCCGCCAATCTTACCGGACCAATTCCGCTACTCCCACGTCCGCCCTATTTGGTTCACTCTACAGCCAACCTCGTCCTACCAGCATGAGCCGTGCTTACACTTGACACGCTTCTACGACGACACGAGGGGGGAGGAAATATTCGCACAGTATCCAGCGGCATCGGAGCTTGAGACACAAGTAGGTGGCTGCATTGACATGTAGAGGCAAGCGACCAAGTATCTTGTTTAATGTTAAATAATTTGACGCGATATAAAAGCTAATGTCCGCAAACGCGTGATGTCACGCGGCAAAACTTTGATTCCAAGTATGCATTCACATTATCCTTAAATACCTTTGATTCCTAAATCCTCCGCTATGATCACCGCAGCCTTCTCCCCAATGATTAGCGCCGTATTATATGTATTCGCTCCAACATTCGACGGCGCGATACTCATGTCAGCTACTTTGAGATTCTGCACCCCATAGACGTTCAGACGCGCATCGACGACCCCATTTTGGGCCCGAGGCTTCATTGCACATGTCCCGAGCTGCCATGCATGAGATTAGATATTCATTACTGTGCTTCAAGACTCACAGAATGCCAAGTGGTTTGCACTAACATGATCGTTGCTCAAGTATCAACTAAAGACAGAAAATAAAAACTGACCATTTAAACGATGGTACATGTCAATCGCCTCGTCGTCTTCATCCGTGTACCTGATATCAGCCGCCGAGATCGCTACTGGTCCTTGCGCTTCGCCGTCCACAGCCGCTTCGCTCCCTTCAGCGAATCGAGGATGTCCCGGCCCGAAACATCCGCGATAGGCTTCCATGCGTCGGGCAAGCTCTCTAGCATGCTTGTATGCCCATCTCAAAGTGGCCAGGTCCGCGGGACTTCCAGGGGCTGGATCATGCACCACAACACGCAAATGGTGGATAAAACGTACTCGTCGAGGAACCCGGTCTCCAATTCGAGAGGGGCGTACGGGTTGAGGCCGGCTTGTATGTGCACTCGGCCTGTGGAGACAGGGTACTCCTTTGAGCTGTCAGATCGCAGCAACCACATGTAAAAACACATTTCTTACCGTGTAGTAAGCCATAGAGAAGAACTTGCGCTCCGGTTGTCGTGGGGGATCAAGGGCGACGTAACTTCAAAACAACCTTAGTTGCAGGGTGTGTGGAGGCACCCCAGTACCTACGCAGATAACGGTCCAATCCAAACCACGGGTTTATCTGGAGCGTTCACGAAAAAGTCGTTCCATCGCTTGGTGAATGTAGGTTCAAGGATCTTCAAATCACTTTCACTAGGCCTGAGCTTGGCCCCGGCATCAAGGCCACTGGGAAGAATTCAGCGGGCAGAAGCAAAGCAAAGACAGAATACCAACTTGGTTGCCATCAAGCCCTTTCCATCTTTCTTCCATTGTTCAGCATACTCTGCTACTGGAAATTCTCAGACAGATTAGAAAACGGGGTAATTAGGGCACATACAAGCAGGGCCATCGTGGAATATATCATCCAGGGTGTCGATTGTCTCATCCGCGTAATAAGGAACGAAGAGACAATTATGATCTGCAGTAATTCCGTAAGCATGTATTCCAATACTCCAAGTCGAAGCTACCATTATAGTTCTCCCCCACTCCCGGAAGGTCAACAATCTGTGCTATATCGTTCTTGTGCAAAACTCCACTGGCTCCGATTCCCGATCTGTTTGGGACCAGCGTAAGTGGTCTGCAGGACCAGAACTTAATGATTACCTTTCCAAAATGGACGGAGATCCAAAGGCCCCAGCAGAAACCACGACGAGACGCGAGGCAATCGCTAGCCGAACCGTACCTTCTAGTATGGCCGCAGCACCAACAACTTCATCGGCATACTCTACACCAACAGCACTTCCTTCGCTGAAGATCCCAAGCTCAAGATCACCGCGGTATTAACGTCAAGTGCACAGGACTCTTACTCGAAAACGACTCGTACAACTCGTTGCCTGTCCAGTATTTTCAAGTTTCGGTTATGCTCCTGGTTATAGATAAAATGGTGTGCGGCATCAGACCGTGTTCCAAACGCCGGGTCGATGCACCTGATATTTTCAGTGATGTCGATTACAATTGAGGGTCAAGAAATAAACTGACTTTTGCCAAGGCTGTACATGGTGGCTATTAACAAAATCTCAAAGGAACAAGATGCGATACGCACACCATACCGATTGCACGACTCGAAATCATTGGGATCACCAGTGAAACCACGGCCCGAGTCGTACTTTGCAGCCACCGCAAGATATTGTTTTCCAAAATCGCCCGCGATATTCTCCGTTGAGATATTGATAGGACCACCGGTACCGTGAGTCGAACTGGAAGCGCTGTCTGGATAGTTTTCCACCTCGAGACGGCATCAAAACCCAACTAGAAAAACAAGTTGAAGACTAACTTTCCTCGCCAAGGGAATCAAGTCACTTGAGCCCCACCCGGAGTTTCCGCATTTTTCCCAGTCATCAAAGTCTGATGCAGCTGCACGCGTATACATAAGGACTGCCCAAAATGGCGTAAGTATCAGCGCCAATCGTGAAATTAAACCGTTACAGTTGACACCTGACCCTCCCCCCACGCATTTAGCAGACGGAACAACGGGAGACCGACCCGCGATAGCCTCGCTAGGCTTCCCCACATGAAACGTGAAGACTTCTTTTTGTTCAGCCAAATTGCGGAAGTACCGAGCTGGCTGGACGTGATCTTGGGCGTTGCGGATGTGAGGCCCTGCTTCGAGAATCTAGGAAAGCGGGGGCTGAGTGATAAGAAGAAGGAAAGGACGGAAGGAGGGTTACTAGGATCTTGAGTGAGGGATCGGCAGCAGCGAGGCGTCTGGAAACAAACTGTGAATGCTTGTAGACTAAGAGTACTATAGATAGAGGCTCACCCAGCTGTTACGCATGCACTTGTGCCGCCTGTTAAATAACCATTTAAGAATCTGTCACCGACCGGTAGAAACCTACTGACCTCCAGCGAAGATGATGTCGTATTTCTGGGACATTTCGACGGTACGGAGGCTCAAGGCAAAGGCATCAGCTACATATATCTCCCGTTTGCTGACCGGCAGCTGACCTATCCGCATGATGGGGGTTCTTATTTGGATATCAAAGATCGATATCACGGCATGTTCTGAACTCCAAACGTTATTGTTACAACACTAGGAAAGTATCCTGAGCGCTCCGAGAATCTTTACATGCAGGATGGATGACCTTATAGAGTACATTCGCGAGGTGTCACGGCTAGAGTTTTGTCGGAGGCAATGGCAAGAGCAGAATATAACAACAATTGAGCATTAGATAGAAGGTGCAATTTTTCCTTGAAGTTGCCACTTCCAACCGAAGGATAGTTTAAAACAAGAGCTTCTGGGGATGAGGGGTCGTTGGTCGTACTGCTGTTTGGTATAGCATAAAGCAGGATATGAGCATCAGGAAACCAAGACCAACTTGAACATTGGGTTTTCGTGTCAAATGAGAGCCCAGCTCCAGTGAAGAATGACAGCGTTATAGTCCTCTTCGTCATGAAGTATGGCCCTACACCGAGCTTCAATCTGAGCCTTGGATGTTATACACTGACATCAAATAAAAATACACCAATCATTACCGATAACGGTCGCGCCTACAAGAAGCATAAGGACACACTGAAAAAGAAAACCGCAGTCGAAACATACCCGCAGGAATATAATGACCTTTGTAAACATCCTCTTAAGCAATAAGACACCAGATGCAAGAGATGCTAGCGGGAGAGTTGAGGTTATTGTTCGTAGGCGTCACGCAGTTGATTTCTCCTTTTCCCATTCTTTAAGTCCTCTCTTCCGTGAGCCAAAATCCTGGAATTCTGTAAACAACAGCCTTCGTGTTCGATCCCAGACTACAACGAGAGGTCAAAAGAATACTGGGAAACCATTACTACATGTCGGAAAGCAGGAAGATAACTGTGTCCCGGATATACATGGGTGGAGTGATCATCATCTTGGTCGTTGGCGGTCACAGGAGTAGATCTGACACCCTCTGCCTGACATCTCATGGGTTAAGGGCAGTAATAGAAATCTTTAGAGCGGGCCCAATGGCGAAAAAACTTCGCCTCTTCCTCCTGAGATGTGCTTCCCCAGCCCCAGATACTTCATTTTTACGGCGGCAGTCTTTACCATCTCTTTGACCAGTTATTTACTCTTCAGCGACATTCAGTATGAGCCCAAATTGATCGACTCTGCACGCGATTCCACTTGCGCCATAACATCGCAATAGCTTCGACGTTCGGATTTTACCATGACGTTTACGTAGCTTCCGCGTGGACCGTCGGACGTCTATTGGAGCGAAGCACAGCGGGGAGGGAGTCTTCAAGCATACGCGCCTTTACCATTCGGATTCGACTTTCAAACTGTGGTTGATGACCTGTAACTCTACAACGGCACAATACATGATCCTGATCATTTAATACCTGACCTGCGGAACAGAAAAAATACCGATATACGACCTAGTTGTACTGGGAACATGTGAGATAGGTTCGGAGTTGTTCTTCGACTATAGAATTCCAGTTAACTAATTCATCGCATAGAGTACGTGATGTCTCCAGCAGATTTCAATCTCGTGATTGAAATACTAACACTTAATAGTTTGAGGGATGGTCTGAATGTGGAATTACTCAAAGCTTGGGATGAAAGAGAAGAAAACCGTAAATTTCAACTTGTTTGCATCGTTCACGATGTTACTGTCAGTCTCTCATTTGGGTAATGAAATTATGCTCAACCATCCTAGGAGGAAACATGGCAACCAGCTATCACAAAATGGACTCGGCGTAACGCTATCCGTTTCCTCCCCATTTCGGAGCAGTATGTGATGTCTTTCATGTAAATGAAGATCAAGGATATACCTAATGGCTTCTCAGCGTTGCAGATGGATTCAGAAGATCGTTTGAAATATTGGCGGACAGCGACGACGAGGAGATTCGATCCGCAGGGCACGAACAACCTACCAATCAACGTTCATGTTCCAGTCCTTGATCTAGGAGATGCACCGGATCGTGGGTTTCGAACTTTATCGAACGTGGTAATTCAAGGTAGTTTTAGCAAGAACAGGCGAGACTACGGTTGTGTCTTTGATCTTCTTGAATCCCTGGCAGGTTAGTACTGCTCTGCGTTGAGCCCGGTTCAAGATCGCTCACCGTCAAGTACCAGACGATCCTACAGTGTAGGGATACCTTCTATCACTCGATAATGGTGCCTCATATGAACTGGATCTCAGTCTACGCTCGCCACACTTCTACTTGTTTCTCCTCTGCTCTGGGTGGTTAGAAATCTCTGTAAAACTGAAGAATATCGTGAGCCTATATGTGAACATGAATTACACAGGTGAAGAGTGATTTCGCACTGTTGTTTTTGTCGCGCTTACAATTATAATATGGAAGACTTTTACGCTTTCATGAAAGAAATGGATATCTGCCTGCCCGCGTTCGCTGACAATGGATATTATCAGCACCAAGCAAGCTCAACATTTGCTATGGCTGTGGAGTGAAACCTAAGTTACTCCTAATATATCATTGACGCAACAGGCTGGAAGAAAATATGGGTGCCATTATTGGTTACTGATCGCCATGAAGAAGTCATACACGTACGTGAATGACGATAGAGCCGTAATAACCCGGCCTGCGGACTTCCTGGAGCAGTATTAGGGATTCCGTGCACCGTATGATGCGAAGGGCCTGGGTCAGGAACAGATACGAAGTTCGGGAATCCAAGCAGTTCCTCTGGGAAAGAAACGAAAGGGTTGTAGAACGTTTGTTAACAGACTTGCAAAGATAATGCTATTTAGCCTATAGTTCTATGACTACTGAATCGCCCCACGCTCAAGGAAGAAGTTCCATTGTGCAGCAGCAGTAGTCGTATCCTTGCAGTAAGTTACCGCAGAAATTACGTTGAATATTTATTTAATAAGCGTCGGACCTTGGACCCGGTTAGTTTGTTTACATGTGCTTGGATATCACAGCGATATTACAGCTACGACGCTTGTCCAGCTGTTCCTGCCCATCGTCGAGTCTTTGAACAACACATCCTGATAGGCGATAGAACAGGATGGCTGATCTCGTCGATTCCATGCTGGATCTCATGCGACGGCTACCACCAACTCGAACTGAAGAAAACGTCAACGCCTTAATTGGTATCTGTCCCGACTATGCCGACGACTTGCTGGGCAGCGTAGATCAGCCTCTACAGCTCAAGACGGATCGCTCAACGGGAAGAGAGTATCTTGCCTGCGACTACAATAGGGACGGGGAGAGTCATAGGTCAGCGTAGTGCAACCATCATCCTTCTCTGCTTCAGCTGCTGTTCCAGATCACCCTGGTCGAACGAGTATGATCCCCCTCTAGAAGATGGCACTGTGCCCACACCGAAGCTTCGTAAATTAGAAATATCTGCTAATGAAGCGTTTGATACGTACCGGGAGATGTACGTGTGTCTTCACGTCTGGTCGATGATGCTGATGAATGTTATCAAAACAGGTACTATGAAGGCGGTGTTTCGTCTGTATATTTGTGGGATCTTGATGATGGTGGGTTTGCAGGAGTGGTATTGTTGAAAAAAGGTATGTCTATCTTCGTCTGTGGCTCGGCGTCCCTGACATGAATTTGGATGCATAGTTATGACGCCAGCCTCTCTACACGAGCCGTCCGGAAGTTGGGACTCTATCCATGTATTTGAAGCGGCAGAACGCGGGCGGCAGGCTCACTATAAGTTAACGTCTACCGTCATGCTGCAGCTTGTAACCCGCAATGGGTCTGATGCAGAAGACACGCAGAAGAAGGATGTCAAAGGTGCTGATAGTTGGAAGCGCAACGGAGAAGTGAATCTTAGCGGAAGCATGACACGCCAAGTACGTTCACCTACATCACAAATAGGGCAATGTTGACTTCATCCGACGCAGACTGAGCAAGATATGGCTCTGCACGACCTTTCATCTCACGTCACAAACACTGGAAGAATGATTGAAGACATGGAGATAAAAATGCGCAATCTGCTTCAAGAGGTAAGTACACGTCGAGCTAGCACCTACAGCCAGTAGCAATCATGATCGTGACAGGTGTACTTTGGGAAAACACGGGACGTTGTATATGATTTGAGAAGCGTCGACGACTTGGAGAAGGCACGAAAACAACGGGAATTACAGAAAGAGCTCGTCGGGTTCATCAAACGGTGATGTACTGAGGTTCGCAGCGCCTACTTTAATGAAATTGCAAACATTGCAGCACAAGACCCTCTTCCGCGAAAGTCACCTATGGTATGCGGCTACGGAGAAGCTTCTCACATTGATTTTCATTTAGTTTGTTCATCGCTTCAGCTGAGCATCAGCCACGGGGTTAGCGTGGATAGTGATCTACAGGGCCACGATTCAACCGAGACCTTCGAAAACTGGTTTTTTTGAGAATGACATACATTTGTTACTTTGATTTCATCCAGAGGTCGGTTTTTGTTGCTGACTGGTACACGTTCTATCGCGTCCAATGCTGTGTCTGAACCGTCGATCACCTTGCCGAATATCGTGTACTTGCCATCAAGATGGGTTTGCTTGGAGTAAGTGATAAAAAACTGCGACTTGTTCGTGTCTGGACCGGAATTGGCCATGGCGACCATCCCGCGAGCATTAAACTGGAGTAGACATCAGTCCACTGGAACGGCTATCTTAACATGGGGCTCGCCTTGAGAGTAGACCTAATCTCATCGGGAAATGGTTTTCCCCAGATGCTCTGACCGCCCTTCCCAGTTCCGGTTGGGTCACCAGTCTGGACCATGAATCCTTTGATGTTGCGATGGAATATGCAATCATCATAGTAGTTCGAAGCACAGAGTGCCAGAAAGTTCTGCACGTCATGAGGCGGTGAGAACGTGAAACATAATTTCAAACTAACTTCTGCTGCTTTAGGTACGGCTTCGCAGAATATTTCTATCTGCAGGTGGATGATGCTTAGACGAGGGGCGTTGCATGAAGACTATATTACCTTCAATTCTCCATGTGTAGTGTGCAGTGTAACGGACTAGAAGAGATAGTGAGTCAACGAAATGATAGATAGTAATGAAGAAAAGATACCATCGCGGTAATAGTGATAGACGAGATACGACCCGGCCTCATGTGTGAAACGTGACGCGTGATGTGTCACCGCAACTTTTGATGAATGATCGAGTTTACCGAAACAAGCAATGCCCTCAGGTAGGCGCCACAACCTTCCTTTCTTTCCACCATCTTCGCCATGAAGACCCCTTCTCTCTATAGCCAGGACGATCCAATTACAGAGGCATTGCGACCGCCTCCCACAGAAACTGAAGCCGAGCGCTTTGCCCGTTTACAAGCGGAAGCGGAGGCAAAACGGATTTCAGAACAAATTGACGAGGATCTTAGGCAAGAGAGGGAACACCTGAAGAGGAAGAAAACTGATGTCAAGGTTCGCATCGATGGAAATCTTTAACTGAGACATATATACTCACCTACCGGCACGCATATAGCTACTCTTGCTTGGCCAGGCTGAGAGCGGGAAGTCGACGCTTCAGAAGCAATTCCAACTCATGTATAAACCGAACTCTCTCGACCAGGAAAGGTCTTCATGGCGAACAGTCATATATTTTAATGTCGTTCACTCTATCAAACATATCTTGAGCACGCTGGAAGCATGGGATGACTCGCTCGAGGACGAAATGGATATCGACGGACCTTACAGCCACGGCAGGTCTACACCCACAGTGCATAGTTCTAGGTCACATCACTTTTACGACCCTCTTACCTCGAAAACCACCATTGCTAATATCCGTCGGCGGCTTTCCGCCTTGGTCGCTTCTGACATCCAACTCGCTGACCGTCTGAGCGGAGGCATTACCGTATCTGGATCTGGCAAAGGCGGTGTTTACGTTCGTAGTGGATGGCAGGCACGGACCATTGAGAATGCCCTGGGAAGGATTCGTCCAAGGCCTTCCGTTGATGGTGATGGCAAAAAAGGTCGGGACAGCTTTTCCACCGAGATTATACAGGATGCGCTGGTTCAGGACGTCGGGCGGATGTTGGATGCAGCCAAGGACGACATCAAGGAGCTCTGGAATCATCCGACGGTCAGAGGCCTTATAAGCAAGCGGCGTCTAAAGTTGGATGAGTGGTCGGAATTGTGCGTATATCGTTTCATTACATACCGGGGAGTCGTTTGGCTTACTTCGGCGCCCGCGCAGCTTTCTTCGACACATCAGCCGTGTAGCGGCCTCGAACTACGTCCCTACGACAGGTGGGCCTTCTGCTAATATGCACCGTATATACCCAGCTTACTTGAACAGATGATATTCTACATGCTCGAATACAGACCATGGGCGTTGCAGAGCATATTTTCGACGTTACCATTCATGGCAAAGCTGTTACCTGGCATTTATACGATGTTGGTGGTGCTCGTGGGCAACGACACACATGGATTCCTTACTTTGATGATGCCAATGCTATCATCTTTGTGGCTCCTGTAAGTGCTTTCGATCAGGTGAGTTTCTATCGCTATTCTTCAATCGCTCCGAGGTCCAGCGTCTAGATCTTTGACTTTTGTATTTTCATCATGACGATCCCATCTTTTCTGATGCGATTTGTTTTTTGTAGTATCTCGAAGAAGATCCGAGAACAAACCGTATTGACGACTCCTTGCAACTATTCACTCAGATATGCTCGAATCGTTTACTGAAGAATGTCCACCTTGTCCTTTTTCTCAGTCAGTGTCCCTTTCGGCGTCTCTCAGCTAAGGTCACTGAGCTATATGGCGCGCTTCTAGACAAGACCGACTTACTCAAGAATAAGATCGATTCTGGTTTACGAGTTCAGAAATAGTGAGTTGAGTGATGCCGTCGAGCGCCATTCTTTTAACCATCGAACCAGCATCACTTCCTTCGGCGAACGGACGAACGATTACGAGACTGTCGTTCAGTATTTCCGTGCCCATTTCTTGCAGGTTCATCGACGAAATAATGAGAATCGTCGCGTGCTGTATACTCATTTCACCAGTGTTGTGGTAAGACACTTTCTATTCATTATCTTGATTCACATCTGATTCGCTGCATGCAGGACACAAAGGCCACACAACGAATTATCGGCAACGGTGAGGATCCTCTTCATGGTTGATGAGTGACTGGCTGATACTGTTCCGAAGTGCGCGACTCTATTTTCCGAGGATATCTTCAGGACGCCGCCCTCGTATAGTCCCAACACAGCTAAGCCTTACCCTCCTTGGTTTCCGCATTGGGCGGAGGGCTTGTTGTAACGACCAACCCCATCGGCCTTTTAGAACTGAACGGTGCATTCATGCTCTACTCGCTCTTTTCCATTTGTTATTGTACTGCTCCTCACTGTTCGTGGTGCTCATCGAAGTGTATTCAGCGCACTCAATAATTCTCTACTCTTCCTGTCATTGTTCTTTTTATATTTTGGTCACTACGTGTTTATGTCTACCTGAAACTCATCATTATGTATACTCGAGCTCTCCGCATCGCTTTTTTGTACGCACCCGCAGCTGTAATCCCAAATTATTATCATTATGACATACAGTTCGATAAGTATTACCCCCAATAGACCAATTGTGCTGTAGACAACTTGTAGCTGTGTTTGCCCGGGTCCTTGATGAGGTTGCCATGCGTTGCGTTGATGATGTTACATAATGATTGGAAGTCGGGAGCATTTACTTTAACCATAAGGAAAATTTAGTGGCGTGATGTACGTTTCACAACCAGTCCTTTCAAACTCAAATCTTAGCAATGTCTTGTACGCCGACAATGAGCACATGTCAATAATTGAAATTTTCATTGCATTTGCCTACCGGAGGAGTGTTTCATCAGCGGGGTCCGCTCATCGGTGGAAAGTTGGTACTTGTCAGAAGGTCGTACCAATACAGATGCAATAGCTTGTGAAGCGGAATACATGCTGGCAGATGCAGCCACGAGATACAAGACAGGTCTTAGGGAAGGCAAAGTCTCGTACTTGGGTTATTCCATAGCTAATGTGCTCAGTAGATGATCGACGGCCTGGGTGTGACAGACTGGCAGTGATAGATGTGGTCCCTGAAAATAATCAGCTGCAGGAATGTCTCCAAAAATCGAACTTATCTGTCTTACAGTCAAGTATTGACTGTCCAATCGTAGAAAACACTAGGCGTATGGGCCAGGCACACAGCTTAACTTGGTTTCAAAAGGATATACGGTTCGCGGCTGTTAGACGGAACAGAGTTGATAACCTGGACTTTTCGTAAAAAAAAAAAAGTGCTGTAATGAATCTGGCCTGCGGTGTTACTAGGGAAACAAAACTGGCAGAAATTTTTGTGGCGCCGACAGGATTTCTGACGGTACGAGGCCGGAGTAAATCTTTCTTCTCCGCATAACATGGACCGTGGAGTCAAACGGACAATCGCGCCCATCTGTTATCTGTTTAACCTACTCCGAGCTCTTAGCTCATTTATCTTGGCAGATTCAAAAGCAATCCGAACCAGGCGCGTACATAACTAAGAGATGAACGAAATCAACAGTGGTGATGATGGTAACATTGAATGGCTTGAAGGTAGCTCGTTTCGTCATCGGAGTTTCGGACCGTTTCACTCAATATTTTTCCCGACGGCCATGACGTATTTCTTCCGCGTTACAAATTTTTTGCTTACAGTGCCAGCTTTGACCAGGCTTTCGAATTCTGCTATGCTGATACTGAAGCTCTTTCTTCTCACTCGCACGGATCATGGGGAGTCTGAATCAAGCCCCCATCTCTCCGCTGTGATCTTCGACTGCAAGTCGATATTTCTTATGCCCCAAAAGGCATTACTATAGCCTTTGTAAAGGCAAGATGTGTAAACCGATGCTTCACGTGTAGTATACCAATCCAGGTTTGCTCTAGATCTTAAGCTTTATCCCTCAGTTTTTCATCCTAATTTTTGACACATTTAACAGCATGAAGAAACTCAATTGAAAGTTTCGAGCATTAAGGCTTGAAGCCCGTGAATGCGAATGGTATCGGCGGTTTCTTACCTGTATCAACCACCTCGCCATGAAATCTATTCTCCCACTAGCCACCCTCATTTTGTCGTCGCGTTGTTGCTTACTTGCGATACTCAAACGTTGCCATCCACCTGTCTCTCCGACGCAAGGGTCTGTCTCTAGCAGGAACTCTCTGGGAGATGCCCGTTGAGAGTCTTTGAATTATCTATGCTGCATGGTCCACTACATCTAGAAACTCCCTGACCCTTATCCTCGAATCTGCCCAAGCTGCTGCGGATCTTTCGAAAGGTACTCTGCTAACCGTTCCAATAGAATAGCCAAATTTCTCAAACCTTCTGCTAAGTATTAACGCAGCATCATTCTTAGGTTTCACCACGACAAAATTATGAGGATCGAATTCGACTTCGTTTTCATGAGATACTCTGACGGGTGGCGTGTTTTCCGACACTCTTTGTTTGTCGTTGATTCTGACCTCTCTGTTCTATTAGCGGTTCTTCCAATATTGTTATAATCCATCCGAACCTACTAATACCTATCAAAACTTGTGCCGGAGCAAAGCGCGCCTTGATCGTGCATTGGAAAGGCACCAGAGAGCTATGGGTGAAATTCAAAACAAGGCCTAGTACGTCAGGCGCAGCAAGATCTACTAGCCTCATAAGGCCGTCCTGATCTGTAAAGGTATCACTATAGGTTCAACAGCATGACCTTCACAATCCACAGTCTTGGTAAACGTCAATCCATAGATGCAGTGATGATCCACGCAGTATTCAAGGAAGATAACGGCCATGTACATCGTTTCTATCTCATTTTACTTAATCGACATCAGCATCGAAATCAAGAGGTTTGAATTCCCCTAAATACCCCAGCTTACAGGCTTCGGCAAGGATGTTAAAAATCGTATTTACATGATGTTGATGCCATGGATCTGAGCAGTGATTGGGCAAGGCCAGTTGACGGTTTGCGGAAGCTAGTTACACCTGCTCAAAATTCCCCGGTACCCTTTCCTGTATTTGAAGCTTGTGCGGCGTTCATATAAGCTCCCATGATCCACGGATCTAGCATAATATCTCGCTCAACTTCGGTCTGGCCAGCACAAGGCCAGCAGCTATCTGGTCACCTGCTTTACTAGTGCTGACATCATATTTAGGTACAAGTAGAGCTAGCAGCATGAACGGTTCCACCAATACCCTACCTATTGCAAGATGTCCCCATCAACTCAGCCCCATGAAGAATACGATATCATTTTTGCTGGAGGTATGTTTCATATCTCGTCCGGCAATAGAAGAGGGCACTCACACTGTTCATAGGCGGAACTAGTGCATGCGTAACTGCCGGGTGAGCGATTATATTGCTTACTGTGTGGTACAAACGTTTTCGCTAAACACGTCCGATTTTCTTTTGATGAGACGCCTTGCTGCTGCCGATCCATCGCTCAAGATCCTGGTGACTCTCTTTCTTTGTTGTACTCTTTTTGGCGTCGCTCATTCCTTCACTTCCAGATCCTCGAAGCAGGGCCACACGTTCGTGGCCTTGAAAATCACCTCCAGCCGGCCCGCTACTTCCACAATCTTGTTTCTTCAAACGAAGTATTCACGTTTCATGTCGGGAACCCTAGCAAATCCCTTTCCGGTCGATCTCCCATCGTTACCTCTGCTAAATGTGTCGGTGGCGGATCGAACGTTAACTGTGGGTGTTCTGCATAGCTTTACGAGCGAAATCGCCTTTGATGTTTCCGCCAGTCGTCATGTACACCAGGGCTTCCGAATCTGATTATGATGATTGGGAAAATTTTGGAAACCCTGGATGAGGCTCAAAGGATTTGATTCCACTAGCATGCAAAGTAAAGTTTAGTCGTTTCATCGACGCGATTTTGAAGCCAAACATCTTCCAAGGTAGAAACTTACCAATGTGGTTCCGACCCGACACATGGTACAAGTGGCCCCATCGCAGTCTCAGTCAAAAACGTTGTGGGAGGCTTTGGAGAACAATACCTTGATGTGGCAGCGCAGTACGATAAAGATCGTGATTTCACTGATGATCCCAACAATTTCGGGCCCTGCAATCAATATGGTGTATGTTTTCTCATTATTTTCATCCACCTTTGGTTGATATTCAGTAGCCTTGGCCAAAGTCAGGATTGTTCGAAGTGAATTTGCGTCCATCACTGACAGGTTTCTCAGGTACATCGATTCGATGTCTGGGATACGATCTGATACCGCCTGCCATTTCATTTATAATCAAGAAAACAACGTTAATCTGAAGGTCCTAGACCGGCAAAGAGTTATCCGAGTAATTTTCGAGTAAGACGGATCCCGCATGACCCTGTTCTGACTATTGATCTATATCCACAGCGATAAACGTGCCATTGGCGTGGAGTATGTTGATAAAGCTGAATCTGCTGCCAAAGTTACTGGAGAAGGCGTTCGGCAAGCGTTTGCATCACGCCTTGTCGTATTATCCGCTGGGACGTTCGGTTCACCGGCCATCCTCGAGAGGTATCTCTTATATTTAGGTACCGTGTCTGTAATAAAGTTAATCTAATACTACGTAGATCAGGGATCGGAGGAACTGAGATCTTGCAGAGGAACGATATATCTCAGATTGTTGACCTGCCTGGCGTTGGGGAGAACTACAACGGTATTTTAGTTAACACATACACAGTCCAAAGGAACCACTGATACACTTTGTGCAGACCATAACCTTCTCTTTATTCCTTATTACGCGGATGAACTATCCGATACTCTTGATATGATGACCCAGCAACTGTTGCATGTACGTACTCTCAACCAGCTTCTTTGACCAACGCTGACCACTTAAGTCCACGCTGAGCAATGGCGCAAAGACGGAACGGGATTGATGGCAACCAAGTTGAGAATTTTCTTCATTGGTTAAGAATGTTTCATACATCTATTCTCATAGTGGCATTGACGCCGGAATCAAGCATCGGCCAAATGAAAAGGATTTAAAAATTCTTGGACCTACCTTCACCAAACGATGGACCGATTTCTTTTCGAACGCTCCCGATAAACCTGTCATGTGGATTGGTCCGATAGCCGGGTATGAGTGACATTCATACTTATCGCAGAACCTTGGAACTGATACTACTCTGTAAGTTACGTGGCTCTCGATCCCCCACGACAACCTGGGCGCAAGTATTTCTCTATGATATACTACACGGTGGGCCCTGTCTTGCGACATCTTTGTGCATTCTGATTGTATAACACATTCAAAGGAATATCCTGCGTCGTTGGGCAGAGTACACATACAAGGCGGCCTCAATCCATATGTCCCTCTCGATCTGGAGACTGGTTTCCTTGATGAGTATGTTCTTTCGCTGTCGAGGCTATGTCGTTACTAATTCAGTCCTTCGCATAAGTCCCGCCGACTTGGCCGTTTTGAGATGGGCTTATAAGCACAGTCGGGAGTTTGCTCAGCGCATGGGCGCCTATCGAGGTGATGTTGCTGCAGGGCATCCAAAATTCCCTGAAGGGAGCCAGGCTGCCACCGAACTCCAAGCTCAAGGTCCCGTTGCGATATCCGCTCCCGATATCAGTTATACAGAGGAAGACGACGTCGTAATTGATGACTACCATCGTCTCAAAGGTCAGAATTTGTTTTTTCCCCGTCTCATCCGCTGTTACTAACGTGGCCGATAATATCAGTGGCGACCGCTTGGCACTCGGTAAGTTTTCCTCACATTAATGTGATTGTGAAAGTCTGACCGTCAACACAGCTCGGGACATGTGCGATGAAACCGCTCAGCCAAGGCGGGGTTGTCGATTCACGTCTTAACGTCTATGGTGTGCAGAATCTCAAGGTCGCTGATATGAGTATAGCGCCGTCCAATGTTGGAGCTAACACGTACAATTCTGCGCTGATCATTGGAGAAAAGGCAGCAGTAATCATAGCGGAGGAGTTGGGAATCAAAGGTATTTAGAGACACAAATACACGCTTTGCTGTGGATCTCTCAATTAGACGTACCATTCCTGTGGAGAAGAATCATTAGTATGGCTGCGGCAGTGCGTTGAGAAGGGACACTTATTGGTGGGAGATAATGTAAGGAATAGACCATCGTTGGGCGTCATCCAGGCAATCCGTGAGCTCATCCAAATTAGCACTGCCTGTGTGCTAGCTCTTGTAGTACACTGAGAGGCCATTTGAGCAAGAAAAGGCAAGTAGTAGGGTTAGCCCGACATTTGTGGAGAAATCGCATATGCATGCAGTACTGCTACTTCACATAAGAATTAAAATTATGGTATACCCTATAAGAAAAATTTCCAGCGCAGGCAAGCTAATTATTATACTGACCCTGTCCTCAGCATTCGAGATCATGCTTCTTTCTTTCGTCATCTTCGCCCTCGATCATACTTGTGGAACCTATGTCTACCTGGTCTGCATGCACTTCATATTCGGTTGATACAGTGATCTAATTCGCTTCTTAACTAACACATCGTAGCAACATTGGGAATCTCATACCTGTAGCTCATGCGACTCAGAAAACTTGGGGGATGTTGCTGGCATAACACTTGACGCGGACTTGAAAAGGGATTGTGGCAGTTGAGAGGGTCGGGAAACACAGGTTTCGCCGAAAGCTGGATGCGAAAATGTTGTATTGAAGGGCATGATTGCAGCAGGGGTTGAAGGGAGGTCAACAGAGATACTGGGTCTTCGGTCGTTAAAACTCGTCTGAGGGGACTTGACAGGTGGGTTGTTGCCAACAACAACTACCGAAGAAGCTCTGGCGCGCATCTCCGCTGGCCGTCTGGGATCAGTTGGGCCGGTAGCAGATCCTACGGGTTTACTAAGGGGACCACTGGTCACCCAGAAGAGAGCTACTGCGTTGACAATGACCTGTTTTCTAGTAAGATGTCAGATTCAGATGTATGATCATGCTTGACCCACATCCGCCCCGCAGCTACAAAGACATACCCAACCAAGCTCATGACCACGAAAAAAGGTCAGTACTGCCATGTTAACCTGCATTCAGGTTTCAGCATCATAGTATCTTGAGAGAACCGAGACCCTACAATAGATGTCGTAAGGGCGACCACAGCGGCACTGACATTCGTGAGGAAGAGGGAGAACTTAAGTATGGAAGACCTCACATCAATGTTCTGATCGCAACCATTTTGACGCGGGGATTCGCGAGACTCGATCGAACGATAGGCCACAGAAACAGCGCCGTGAGGAAAATAGTAATGTATCTAGACCACCTTAGTTTTTTACCTTCAGAGAAATAGAAAAACAAGCCCCACAGATCATACGCCAACAGAAATATCGAAGAGTATGGCTTCAGACCTATAATGCAAACCCTGTCATCCTCCCTCAAGAAACCGACACTACCTGGATATGTCAGTCAATAAATGGACTGGACGGAAGGAGAACAGTGACTCACCAATGACCATTACGGCAATAGCAACGGAATATAGTCCCACTGTGATGGTGCAGAGAATATAGATTTTCGATTGAAAGCGACGCACACCCCCAACGGGGGACCAGACAAGATGCACTTTCTCGACTAACAGCAAGTATGAGATAAACTGCTGATCGATGGAGAAAGACGATTTACTGAGGAAGCAGTAAATGAGGAACTTTGAAGTAGAATAGAAGAAGACGCAGATGTATATTGCCACTGCGCAAATCTTTCGATGTGTTTCTAGGCCAACACCAAACGTGAGGACACCACCTATGCATATGAGACACAGGAACAGGAAGTGACGATATCAAGGATACGTACTAGAAAAGAGAAACAGCCATGAATCCAAGAAAATAAGCAAGATACAAAGGCGGGGCCAAGGGATTCGGGAAGGGAATTTCCAAGTCGTCAGGTCTTCGGCGAGAGCCCTTCGCGACAGACAGTGGGTGAGGACTGTCACGCCTATACTCTCAATTTAGCGCGGAAGGTGAAAACCAGCGTAAGTCATCCGTACCTACGAAAAAGACCAAAGAGCTGAGGAGTTGCACTCCAACAGAAGGAAAAATGAGTGAAGGCATCGTGTCGGCACTTAGATCTAGAGGAAGGTAAAATCGGCGCTTGTCTTGGATGAGGTCAGTCGGTCTCCGATCAGAGTGATCATAATAACAATTATGCGAGGACACTTAACTCACGTGCACTGGTTGCTCTGCGGTGGGTTACTGGAACCTAAAAAAACTGCACTCAATGTAACTGATTTCGATTGCAGATACTGGGGCTGGGTGGTCCATCGCTTTGTAAATGACGGTTCCTGTGAGCAACAATTGCATCGGAGGATACCGCAAATCTGTATTGTCTGTAGAGCGTTGGCATGTGAAGGAACGGATGTCGACGGCTTACTTTATTTTCATTGGAAGGACGTCGATTTAGTTCACACTCTAAACGAAGTAGACTTTCTTTGGAGAAGGACCTGATACTGTACATCTTCCAGTTACCGCGACGCGTAACAATATTATTGCGCAGCACGATGTTCAGGAGTCGTTGGTACAAATTATGTATATTGTCTGTCTGAGGAAGAGTTGGATTAGTGAGAATATTGATGTGGCGTGTCTTAAAGACATACCCATTCTTCCAAAAGATTGGGCGTCAAGTAGTCTACAAATAACGCCCTCTACAACACAAATGACGGGCACTTAGTGTAAGCCGTTTACATGAAATCATCAGCATGGCTGCCAAAATCGTCCAAGGCCTCATCGTATACATTGGTGTCGACCCTTGGACCACTTCAGATTCCAACTTCAATCCGAAAAAGATTCAAGAAGTACCTGCTTGCAAGCTTTGCTGCTCCGAGAGCCGGCTTAGAGGTTGCTTTCGGCTTCTTCTTGCCGCTCGCCTTTTCTCTCTGTTCCTTCTGCTTTTCGTTGGCTAGGGTAGTCAACCCACTGGCAGCTTTGCGCACTTCGACGTCCTTGAGAGGCAGAGCCAACTCGCGCACATGATGTTCGACAAAGGCAGGGTACAACGGCTTATTCTGATGTTTTTTGATAATGACCTCTATTATGCGCGACGAAAGCTGTATGAAGTCATCTTTCGTTCGAGGCTGAAAAGACAGAAGGGAATCTAATTCCTTAGAAGTGGTGCCTACCAGATGTGTTAGCGAACATTCCAGTGCTCGGAGTCAGCCATTACCTCCAAGGGCAGCAGCACCAAACAAGTCAGCAGCATTGTTAAGGTCAGCATGGAGTTCCATTTCCTTCTCTCTTCTGGCTTTCTCCCTTGGATCCAGAACGGAGTCTGAATCGTATTGGTCGTCTTCATTTTTACGTGCAGCCTTTGCAGCTTCCTTCTCCGCGATCTTAGCCTTTAGCGTACCCTTCTTCTTGGGGGGTGCAACTAGCGCAGATGGGACGTTCTCTTCTTCCTCCTCGGATGAGTCCTCCCAGTCACTCTGTATAGGTGTCAAAGAGTATATTCTGACAGAAATGGCATAAAACGCACTGCTGGAGCAGCATCGTCTTCATCTTCTCCCTCCCACTTTCCCTTGGTAGGTTTCTTTGCCAGTGGCACCCTCGACTGAGGAAGTGTAGGTTTGGCGTGAGTATCGCTGTCAGATTCCTCTGATGGTGAATCAGTACAAAGATCAAGGCATGATTGGCTAGCGAGATTGAGTACCCCAGTCAGACATGCCAGATTATTAGCGTGAAAATCAGTTGAGATACTGTGAGGAAAGAGCAAAGTAAAAAGGTCAGAATGAGGTAATACGAACACGGCGCGTGCATGATCACCTCGGCATTTTCCGGTCTCCCTTCGCGATGTCAAGGTAGAAAAGAAATGCAATTTACAGGTTTCTGCTATTGACTCTCGCTTTCGAAGGACACAGCTACTTCAGTTGGCTACCAACTTGGTCAATACACATGGATTCACCCGAAAGGCTTTGGCGGAGTCAGTCCTCTCTCTTCCTCCCGGGCAGGCGCATCCAGAACCTCTTTCTGACACTGCTGTGTCTGCATTATTCGGGATTGGAGACGACGCAAGACGCACTCTTATTCATGCTTGGCTTGACCAAGGTGTACGGCATATGGGAACTGTACCATCACCGACTCTGAAAAGCGTTTTGCATGCCAGACTTCGGTACAATGAGCCAATGTTGCAGCATCTGCCAGAGGTACACTTAATATTTTGGGTCTTCGCCTGACTTACCCTGTTCTTAGGCTTTTGCGCTATTGGCCTCTCCAAACTCTGGTGTTTCCCTTCTCGATCCTATTCCTATCCTCAAACATTCCTCAAGGATTGCAGACGAGTCTTGTTACATATCCGGCGATACGTCCGTGCAGGTGAGCCTTGGTCTTCTGCATGGAGACGGTTAACCCGTAACAATATGTCAAGTTCTCTTGGTATGTTCGCAGGGCTTCTATCGCAGGAATATATGGCGCTTCAGGTGGTTCCATCACTCATGTGGGCTTGTGAGGTCCATACTGATAACGTATTCCCCTTAGAACTTCATCAGTTGACGTCACCATCGACGGCATATAGTTTTTTGGACAACCTGTTCGATACCGCCAATAACTTCGGGACATCTTTGGAGGAACTCGGTTTATTTTCTTCCTACGTTTTCAAAAGCTGGAAGGGCATCTTCAAAAGTAAAGGAATCGTGTAATCAGTACCTGCTATATTCACGCATACATGTACGAATCATCTGACATTCGTACGATTATTGCGATAGATCGTCTACTAGTTTGACTTCTCAATGTCATGCTGCTGGCTGCCCATTCGAAAGGTTATTACCGCGTACAAGGCAGTGCTACTCAGGGCACCTTGAGAGTGAATTGAGGGACCTTAAAATACCCGAACGTTAATCCCATTCATATCCAATAACTCCGTGTCCGAGGGGATTTTTGATACTAAACGGGGATACAGACAACACTACCTGAGATACAGTAAGGAACGAACCAGATACCTGAGAAAGTGAAAATATAGTCCAGATCCTCGAACGGTCCATATGTACAGTACCGTATCGTTAAAACAAGGCGCTTATATTAGAATAAAAAGTCAGACTCCAAGTAAATCAACAATCCCACCGAAAGCACATCTACGACAGAACACAGTCGGGTATTGTGATCCCATCTTTCAGCGTTCGGCTAGAAGAAACTGCTTTAACACTGCGGCAGAACAATACCAGAACTGCAAGACTTACTTGGCATTGAATAGGCCCCACCAACCCTACAAGGCAATCAGAGATAAATTAATTTCAGGGGATACATAAATACCTCTACACCACCATACTCCTCGTCCTGGAAAGAGTTAATAAGCAAGAATGCTGGTCACCACAAGCATCACCGTACCTTCCACTTTTCATCGAAGAACTTGGAGAAGACAGGTCAGTATCAAAGAATCAGACGTAGCAGGTTGTTTTACCTCGAAGAAAAAGTACTTCGTTCCATTGGTATTTGCTTCGCAGATGTAGGTATCGAGGAACGTCTATGACCCAGAGTTGGTGAATTAAACCTGAGCTCAAATAAATGTTTCTCTTACCTGAAGGTTAGCAACGGATGCGTTCGAGGGCCCATTGGATTCGTCGGCCGTGTCAGAAGACTCCGTCGGCCAACCTATGGGCATACCATTTAATATCCTTATCACTGCGACTGGGACAACAAGCACGCACCAGTTTCAGCGACAAACATCTCCGGGGTGTTACTTAGACTCTGTGCAAGTTTCACATCATTGTCCTCAAAGAACTCCCAAGTCCAGCCGGCTGCTTGGTTGATGCTGACATTGGCAAACCATGGATGAACGTTTGCCATCTGCCCAGATGCTCGGCTATTCAGACATTTACGAGCAGCGATGAGGTGAAGGAGACTTACACCGTAGTCCACTTGCTCCAATACGAGATCATTAAAGTAACTACCGGCATCGGCTGTCCCAACTGGCAAGTCCACTCCAAGGTCGCTGAGCATGGACTTGGTATCGTTGATACAAGCGATCAGTAATTCACCACCTGCGAAAGTGTCAACCATCAATACATTACGAACGAGCATGATGCCATACCTTCGTTTCCAACAGAGCCATTGGGATCGGTGGCACCATTGAGATCGAGATAACTAACGTTAAAGACATCGGTCAACTACCTCCATAGTCCAGAAGAGGCCACAAACTCAAGGATGAACTCGTTACCAACGGTCACTGCAGCAATATGGTCTGTTCCATAGGTCTCTATCGCCGCCTTTATTTCATCTCTTTGACGATCATAGGCTGTATTGTTATCGGTTGAAACGGGATAGTTAGCCAAATAGACCGTCATGTTGACCTTTGTCTGATTTATAGCCTCAAGCTGAGTGAGAGAAAAGTCAGCTTAGCTTGTTGCTGCATAGAGATAGATATACCACCAGCGCCGATTGGTTGCAATCGGCACCATAAAGGCGGACTCGCTGAATGATTAAATATTTAGTAGGCGTTCAAGAGCCGACAAAGACCTTTACCGTCGTCAACTGGGACATCAGCTAGCACAAGTCATCAGGAAATCGTTGAGCATTTTTGGAGAATGTTTGAAATACCTGGATGTCCAGAATAACATCGTCTTGGGATCATGTCTAAGCAGCAATCACGTCAATTTTAATGCTACTCACCGAGCGAGTTGCCGCAGTCGGGCAGCTGCGAGCCAGCAGGGGTATAGGCGATACCGTAGAACGACAAGTGGAGATTGGCGTCTTTTGTAAAGTCACTAGGATCGGAGCTGGAAGAGTTGGAACTGCTTGAACTGCTTGAACTGGAGCTCTTTTTGGACAGCGTGACACCCAGGGCAACACCAATTGCAATCAGGGCCGCAAGTCCAAGTACACCTCCCATAACCTATTCCACACTCGTGAGAATGAGGAAGAATTCTTTACATGGGCATACTCACAACCCATTTCTTCTTGCCGCTACTGGTGGAGGCCCCCTTCTCCATCCAGGCGTCGTTGGGCGCTATATGATCATGATCAGAGTAACCATGATCGTCATCGCGATAGGCGGCTGTCATGTCCGTTGTGGAATTCATCGCAGTTGGTTGCGAGGCCAGCGGGGCGCCATATGAACGTGGAGCATGTCCGCCGGGACTTTGAGAAATGAGTGGTATATCTTGTGTAGAGAAAGACGAAGGAGTGTTCATGCCAGAGAGGCGATGTGGTGGCTAGAAGGGCTTGTCAATCACGCAGACTTTTTGTTGAAGAACAATGCGAACTGGGACGCTATCGTAATAGTCCTGTAGCTCTGTGTGGGAATGGCGGGGACTGTCGCTATAAGGCGTCGTCATTATGGGAAAACGTCAGCAGCGAACAGTGGTTAAAGGTAGGTGAGGGAATGATGGGGGTGTATAGTGTGGGAGGCTGGAACAAATTTCGCTTCATATTTCATTACGTTACAGCTGCGCATCGCCACGGCCGCCCTTTCAAGGGAGGCTATAAGAAGGCCAGGCTAAACATAGCACATAGCTCAATATTAAATAATAGATTAATGTCCATATCTGGAAAATACATGCAACAGTAAAAATAGTCAAGATCCCATGGACCTTTTCTAAAAACAGGCGGTGAAATCCAGACTCGCACACACAGAACATCGGGGTATGCCAAAGCGACAGAAAGAAAGAGAACACTAGGATGTCGTAGCCATTGGATCCTGTCCACCTCTGGTCTGAGTAGGCTGGGAGGATGACGCTCGTTTCTGTTTTCGCAAAAGTCGTGGAGCATCAGATGACGAAGAAGTCACTCGTCGACCAGAGGGCAGGGTCCGACTCCGAGAGACACCTACCAGCCCATCCTCTGGTCGTGAAGGAGGGGTTTCATTGACGGGAGGAAGGTCTGTCTCGGCAACAGTGACATGCGGCGCAGCTGCGAAAAGAGGTAAAACATTCAGTCATCGATTCATCGGGGACAGGGGGACGCACCGCTGCGGTCGAGGGTCGTTCTTCGTCGCGTCACTCGACGCATGTCTTTCTTTCCTACCATCTTCCACCCACTACCTGGCTGTCGCTCATCGTCAGAACTAGGGAATACAGTGATGTCGTCAACAGATGAGTCGGATATAGGTGATCCAGACGTGTTTTGGGGCGGCGGTGGTATGTCAAGCATGAACCAATCCTGTTGTGCTATTAGAAACTCCAACACCTGCTGGCTTAAAGCATGCTCTTTCGGCGACATCTCATGGTGTGGATGAGATATCAAACCAGGCCGAAAGATCACCGCAAGATCTGATGAAAAGTATCAGGTTCCGTCACCATGTCAAGATGTCATGCATACTCACTTGTTGCAGTCATCAAGTTGATATCAGATTTCCGCGCAAATACAGACAGGAGGTCAAGCACGTATAATAGAAGATATTGATTTGCACGAGGCATGGCTCTTATAAGCCTCTTATATGTGACAATGACTTCGTCTTGGTTGTAAGGCTGCTTAGCTGTTAAGCAGTGAGAACATACAAATGGGGTGGTTGCTGAATGCAATCACCTAGTGCGTCTCGGAACTGCATAGACCAGGAGGTGAGACCAACCGAAGATGTTGCAAGCAAAACTTACATCATGATACATGTCGTAGGGTATAACAGGTTCCTATTCAGTCACCAAAGAGCATTTAGTTGCGACCTTTAAAAGGAGGGGATTAGACGAACTGGCATTTGGGTAAGGTATCTCCGGAAAACACTCGCAACATCATGGGAGGTGCAGGAGACTTGCTTCCAGTCTAAGGATTTACCGTACTGATGGAGAGATGAGAAAGAATAAAGATGGCCAAAACATATAATCCGTACTCGTGGAGGACTTTCAAAGGCAGCCTGCAGTTCTCTCATCCTCTTAGTGGAGCCGTTTACTCGAAATGTGCCAGGTACCTCGGTGGCTGATGTTACAATGAGCACTATCCGTGGCCTGTAAAGAGAGATCAAACCAATTTCTTTAAGATACAAGCCACTGAAAGGTAAGAGTCAAAGGGTGTATCCGTGTTCAAGAAGGAAACTAACCATTTCGCCACGACAACTGGAATATAGCCCCACACGAAGAGCTCTCCATTGGCGTTCGCAGTCGAGATCTGGACACTGGCATATCTTAAACTCTCCTTAAGCGGCTTTCCAAATACCGGATGCTCAGAATCTTCTGCGCTCGGTAAGATAAAGTCGCTGTTGAACGAGGACTCACCTTTGGAGTCGACCTCCTTCTTCACCTTTTGAACAAAGTTAAATTGATTCCACCAGGCTTTAAGATTAGCCTTTGTCGGGGCCTGCTGGGCGGTATCGAGTATGGCTCTGGGCGGTGGCACGTAAGGTGGAGACTGCATGTCGGGAGACGTAGTTGGTGGGTCAGGTTCAACGACTGCTGTTGGAATTCTGCGAGCTCGTCTCTTGAAAATCCAAAAAATACTCTTTGGCTGCCGTAGAGCCAGAATAAAGCGGGGTCGGAGATGGGGAAGGTGATGTTTCGGATAGTAAGGTAGCGTAAAGGAGGAAGGACAGGCTCTGCATAATATGACGGCAGACAGCACTGCCACCCCGAAATAGGGTTTCGACCATCCTAGCCGTGCAGTACATAACGGGTCCTGGAAAGCTCAGGTGCTCTCGGAACTGGTGCTGCCCCTCAGATAGATAAGTAATATCATACTGCCTATTTACAAATACAGCTGGTCTATGCTCTGTACTTACGGAACTTGTAGAGTGAAACGGAAGAAAGGTACTCAGTCCGGACTACACCGTAGCTAGATGACTGTTCAATTGTGGCGCACATCGTGAAATACTGAAGAGAAAAATGCTTAGCTGTCGTTAGCAACACAGTACACTAGACGCTACGCCGGCCAGATTGAAATGGTTCGATGGCGTGTGAAAGTGGAAAGCACGTGACTACACAGAAACGCGACCGCGCTCCCAACTCCAACCTTATGTAACCTCCCTTTCGTTTGCCACATTTCCAACATCATACTTCACTTTGCCATGTTCAAAGGCATTCTTCCGACCAAGAGGATATCCTCCTCAGACTTTACCATGGTCACTTCTTTGGCTGACGTCCCCCCAAATGGCAAGGAGAACCAGCCTGGTGGTCAACCACAGCTGGCCACGGTCACGAAAATTGCACGGCCAGCTACTGCAACGAAAGGTTTCCAACAACCTCACGAAAAGAAGAAGAAAACAGAATCCAAAGTGAATGTCCAACCGTCAGGAACTGTCGGTCCTGAGACTAATATTGCCTTTGATCGACTACTGGTGAGTATCCTATTTATCCCTTTCTCTATACTGTTTGTAATTTTCTCGCACCTAGGATGACCTCCAAATACCATCTACTCTCCGTCCAAAGCTTGCAGGTATGGATTCTACGGTCAAGGCTGCTATGCTGAAGTCGTCACACGTGTTGGCCCTCAAACCGAGCCAAGTCGATGACGAATTACCGGCTACTCCACGATCAACAGCCCTTCGGCGAACGAGGAGCACAGAGTCGCTTGGATCCCCTCTACTATCGTCAGCATGTCTAGATGACGACGTTTTGCGGCCACCCGTACTTCCATTTGCCTCTCCAGTACGGATATCATCGCATCACGCCTCTTCTGTAGGAGTGTCCCCTTCGCCTCGAAAGCCCAGTGGTCATATCCGGGGTTTGTCCTACAACGGTTTAGCTTCTCGAAGCCAGGTCAACCTTCCGTCCTCTGGCTCAGTAATCGACTTGACGGGCGGGGGCAAGACTGTAAAAGACAAATATTCCACCATTGGAAAGAACTTGGCCCCCACTAAGCTCATCAGTATCTTGACGAGTACTTCAAGCACGGAGTTAGATGTGGAGTTAATTAAGAAACTGCGACTGCTGCTTCGGAACGAATCAGCAAGGTATATGAACTATTACTCGACATTGTTTCTCTTCTGAGCGTCCTTCAGTTGGTCACAGGAATTTCTGCGAATGGGTGGTTATTCCGCTCTGTTGACGCGTTTAAATGAAATTCTAGAGGTCGAATGGAGGTATGTATATATATGCATATATGACCCATTAGTTTGCTCACCGAGACATTAATAGGGAAGAGCAGCACGATGACCAGTTATTGCACGAGCTGCTTCGATGCTTCAAGGCGCTCTCTACATCCTCAATTGGATGCTTTGCATTGCGAAGCTCTTGTCCCACGCCATTCGTCCAACTTGTGGCCTTATTGTACTCGGACAAGAAGCCTGGCGACGTCGCGACTCGGCAACTCATCGTTGACCTCATTCTCATTCTTTTTGAATTGTATCCGGCATCCTCTTTACCCGCTCATGGTAACATGTTGACTAATCCCCGACGGGAAGTTTGGGAGAGCGACCCCGAAATGGCCACGTCCAGTAATCTCATAACGCTCCCGGCTCCCCATAAAACATTCTTTTCCCTGATCAGAGCGTTACTGCTGACGCCAGCTCCACCTCCGACAGAATCCCCAGCTTCCCCCGTATCACCACACGCATTCATCGAGTCTCTACACAAGTCTAGGATATATAAGTCCTATCTGCAAGAACTCTCAGATGTCTGCCGCGACTACTTTTGGGTGTTCTGTCATCCAAACAATACCATTTGGGTCTTGTCAGAGACAGACGAAGGTCGAGTGGAGAAACCGAGAGCCCCGGGAGGAATGACTGGGGGTGTCGAATTTGAGGCCATGGGTTATTTTGTTCGTTACCTTTCCTGCATACTGTCTTCCTCTGACACTTGGTTTACAGACAACACACTTGCGGTTGATCAATGCCCTAGCACAAGCTGCAGCTGACCTTAAAATGCCCAAAGAACATGACTTGTCGGCGTTTCGTCTTCATTCTGATTTATTTTTGTCGGGTTTGGAGCGCATGATACTAGTAAGAATCCATTTTTGCTGGTCTCTTGTCATGTTGATGTTGCGTTTTCAGATCTCGCGAAAGGCCTCCACTACTTATTACCCCACACTCCATTTAGAACTTGCCCGGTATGTAGCCCACGTGGGCAACGCAGGTTATGAACTTCCTTGGACCATATCTCGTCTTCTTGGCCCTCCACCTCCTGCATTATGCAACACCAAAAGTATCATTGCTGGTTCTCCGCCACATTCTCCAACGAAACGCACTAGTCGGGGACCGCCTGCTGGTTTTCTGTCTGCAAGGCTGGATCTCAAGTAGATGATGCCGAGGTACCAATTGTACTGTATATCTAGTATTTAGATTCATTGCTTTCTTTTCTGCCTTCTATCAACATCTATGACTTAGTTATATTTACTGCAAGTGCATGTCCAGATCTTTTCTTTGCAAAGACACATGCCATTTGCATTGTAAAAATATCTTTAGTCTGAGAGAAATTACAATCAAACTACAGGAAAAGAATAAAAAGGATGTAGTGCACCCGCGCAATCAAAGACACTCTAAAAAAAATCTGACGTGGCATCATGAGCATCAGCCGAAGCGACACCTCTTCCACTGATTTTTTTTCAGACAAGCGTATAAGAATGCACAGATGTTCCGGTATCTTCGACACCTTGGTTTAATCTAGAGGACGGGAACGCGGACAAGGAGGCGGAAGAGCTAAACCGAGCCCGAACTTTTATGTCCCCAGAGGTTTGTTCGAAGAAACGAATGGCAGCCAACGCGGGTTTTATAGCCAAAAAAAGGTTATGTAAGTTATTCCCACGGATGTTTCGGACCGGGGCCGGGACTGACGGGTACCCGTGTGGATCGTTACCCCCCCTCACCAACTGCAAGGATTATGTCGCTTTCGAAGCCCTTGACGCTCTCTAGGATAAACGATTTTATTCTCGGGTCGTTTTCTGCCCTTCCACCCTCTGCAACTTTGGACCACTTGGTGCGGTACTTGGGAACATGGAGTGGTAGCGAGTTGCGTATTAACCTGCATCGATTACAATTGGACTGACTTGACTTAACTGGCAGTAAATTGTTCATGGTTCGTTATCCTATGTACCGCTGTAGCCTGCTTTGAGCTATTTCTAGGTGCTACAATATACCCTACAGCTACTGGTCCCTCTGTTGAATCTGCGCGCGCGCCTGCAATATCGAGCTGGACTCAGGAAGGATCCTACGAGCTCGGCTGCTGTTGGAATATCCAAGTTTGCGAAAATCATTAATGATTCACGGACACTGTGGAGAATCTGGGGTCAGTGTATCTCATTCCTGGCGACTGTAATACTCTGATCGACACTTAGGTCTGTTGCCCATTTTCCAGTGGCTGATCTCTCTGGAGCGGAACCCCCAGCCGACGCGTAATTTGCTCACAATTGAGCGTTTACAAGGGTGGTCAATGCTGGGTTACTATCCTCTCGAGCATCTTAGTTATCTCACATCTCGAGACATTATCCCCTCCACTATCTCATCTCCTCTTGCTCCCCAAAATGCCATTACACTGAAGCCAGTACCCATGGGAATGTGGTCCTGCCGCTTCTGGGCTGCGTATGTCATTCTACAGTTTGCGCACTTGAGAGAAGACCGGAAGTTGTTGCAGTCGCGACAACGTACGCTACGCAAAGCGAAAGGCTCCGGAATCACTGAATCGGAAAAGAAGGAAATACAAAGTCGATCGGACTCGTATTGGAATGAAATGGTGCTGAATTTGGGAAATCTTCCACTTGCTCTTCATTGGTATTTTGTTGTTGTTTTAGCCAAAGTATCAGTTACTGATACCATGTCGCGCAGGTCAACCGAGAAAGGTCTCATCAAGAATGAGGTGTGTATATGTGTAGTAATGACAACCTTTTGTTGATCTTTACTTAGGTTTGGGTCGATATCCTATGTCTCATCACCGCTCTGGCATCCTTCCGTGGTGGCTGGAGGGCGACGGCTTTACCCTCTCCTCCTCCTCCGGCTCCTATACGTGCCGAAGGAGCAGTTCCCCTGCCTGAAACTAGTGCTGATGTTCCGGCGGTGGCATACGAGATATCTGGTTAAGAGGTGTGCCACGCAAATGGGAGATAACTAAGGGAACACTATCTATACAAAAAGTCGTTTATTCCCATTGTACATTATTTATTTTCATGGAGAGCTGCGGCTAATTCATGTCTTGATCTTCGACTACGATCATGAACATACCGAATATCCCGCCGAATCTACCAGCAGCACTCAATCTGTTGGGCCACAACCCCTTCATGACTCCAGAACAGGCTGAGGATATCCGGCAACTCCTCCATAACGAAGAACACGTCCTCGCTAGTCTCAACGCTGAGATCAAAGAAGCCACGGCTCTGCTAGAAAAAATCACGCGAGACAGAGATGCATTGCAGGAAATCATAGTGGGGAAATCCGGGCCACATATGGCTGCTCTGCGTGCAGGTATTGAGGAGAAAGAGAAGGAGCTGAGGCGAGTTCAGAAGGAGAGCAAAGCGGTGAAGGCAAGCTGGGATCGTATGTGCCGCGAACGGGGAATGGTTGCAGAGTCTGACCCCGATCTTCTTAAGCATCTCGATTTCGAGCTCGAGCTATGCAGACAGACGGTGCAGAGGCTACAGAACGAGGAAGACAGCGTCCAGGTCTCTTTGGACAGCCAACGAAGCGCTCTGTCGCCTATTCGCCGCCTTCCACTCGAGATTCTCTCCGAAATCTTCAAGCTTTGTCTTCCAGGTTCTTATATCATCCCAAAATCGAGGAGCGCACCACTGCTCCTGACCCAGGTCTGCGGCAGCTGGCGACGACTTGCGCTTTCGATACCCCAACTTTGGAGTTCTATCTCTGTCGAGGTCACCGTCCAGCGGTGCCGACCACCCTTGCCTCTTATCGAGCTCTGGTTACAGCGGTCGATGACCCAGCCGCTGTCTTTTGCCATCACAGAGCTTGAGCAGGAGGATGCGAGAGAAATCGCAGACCCTGTTACTGCTGCCTCCATTCTCAAGACCTTCGTTCCTGCTCATCATCGCTGGGCAAGCGTCAAGCTGGAATACCACGATTGGCGCTGGCCGTCCGGTCTTGAGCAGTTGCCCCAAGATGCATTGCTTGATTCTTTAGAGAAGCTGGATCTGCAGCGCGAATATTGGTTCAAGGATGATTTCCCCGACTTGAAGCGGATCCTCCAAGCTTCCCGTCTTCACGATCTTACTTGGCATAGTCGCAGTCCACCTTCCGACTACCTTCAAATAGTCAACATATTACAGCTGACGCATTTAGATCTAGTCCGTCCTGTGTCAAAGGACGTGTTTCTTGACGTCCTGAGTGGATGTCGCGCCATCGAGTCCTGCACTTTCTTCGTTCAACTGGTCGGTAGAATACCTGACGACTCTAACCACCCATTGGACACGTCTCCTATCGTTCTGCCACACCTTCACACCTTTGAACTCACCGTCGACATGGCACTGACTACACTACTATCTCGATTAGTCTTTTCCTCATTGACCACCCTCCAGATCAACAGACTGGACGAGTTTTTCCTGATTAATCCCATAAATGCACCGCATTTCTGGGATCAAGAAGAAGTGAATGCGTTTCTCGTGCGTTCACAGTGCTCGCTACGGACGCTCGATGTCAGGGATGTGGAGATATCTTCGGCAGAATTGCTCGATGTGCTCAAGTTCACCAGCCCTACATTGCAGCAGCTCAACATCACGAATGAAAGGGCAAAGGACAATTGCATCACAGATGATGTTGTCCGGGCGCTGACTGCGTCCTCATCATCTAGTGACCCCGCTTTTCTGTGTCCTCAGCTTGATTATCTGAAGTTGTGGAGATGCGTGTCTTCGACAGATGGATTGTTAGCGGATATGGTGCAGTCCCGCTGGTTGCCTCGAGAGGAGGACACGGCGAAGAGGATGAGACTGGTCATTATTCTATTACGAGACGAGGAGTGTCATGCGACAGATGTAGCACGTCTGAAAGAGTTTCACAGACGCAGGCCGGGCATTACATTGGTTCGACGATGATAGTGGTAACACTAGATGAGCATAGAATCTGAGCCAGCCGAGCTATGATTATAATGTTCTCCTGTTAAATACATCAATCGAAGAAAGTATGAAATAATTCCATCTGATTCCTGTCGTCGGTTCAGCGATTGAACAAGGAAAAAGATAATACATATAGCGTACACATGTGCTTGCCGCGTTTTCTTTTGGACCACCTTCCTGTTCCACCCAGAATAGACTCCCTCGAGGGTCTCCGTCACTCTGGTCTTCATACCGCCCTCTATTTCTTCCATCTCTCTCAATTTCCAAGTACGAATACCATATTTTCCAGTGACCCTACTCTCGTATAATGTCATCATCGCTTCCTCATCCCACACCAACGTCGCCTCCAACCCCATATTCCAAGACACAGTTTGACAAAGCATGTGCTGCGTCTCGGTGAAGGCAAAAAACTGTCGCGGCAACTGACGGGCGCCCTTGGACTCAGACTCGAATTCCTGTGCGGCAGGCAGGTCACGGGCATCACGTATTCCGGAGAGTGGGGTACTGCGAGGGATGGCAACGACGTCTTTGTTCAATAATCTAAAGGCAGTTATGGGCAAGGAAGATGAACACGCGCGTGCGATTTTCTCTTGGTTTTTGGCTGTTCCAAGGATGGGGAAGACTTTGGAGACTGGATGATCCAGGACGATGGTATGTTTCGAAAAGATGTTGGGTTTCACTTGGGGAGCTGTCGGTGTCGATTCCATGGCTATCAGTCAACCACTTGGCAATACTTATTAAGGCACTATTATTCGCGGGCCGGGGCCTCGATCCAGATAACGATAAAGATATGCTGTTATATCAGACTTGAGCACAGTGTACACTTCGTTAAGATTCATACAGAGCCTGCACTTAGCAATTACAATAGAATACAATGCGAACGGCGACGATTCTTGACGGATTAAAAATGAAATGCTGTGACGGGGACTCGAACCCCGCGCGGAGCCATGGGAAGACTCCATGTTAACCCCTACACCATCACAGCTTGATCAACGCCTGAGTGATCCTAGAGAAGTGTTTATGTCTTCCATAATTTTATGTAACGGAAGACATGAACCGGGGTAATTATGTGGGGTTCCTTTCAAATGCCAACCGCGACGACCACAACGACTATTACTGGCTCTTCGCCACATACAATCCACAAGCCCACCAAAGTCTCTTCGTCGCTCTCTACCACGTTGAACACCTTGATTGATCGTGCAGGTCGTGCATTTGTCAACCACGATCTTCAACTCAGTCAGTCTCTTGTTGATTCTGCCTTCACCCTCCTCTATCCTCCTCTATCGCTACCCGACGCGCTCAATGACAACAGGAAAACCTGGGATATATTTCGGATAACTCTTGAGGCCCATGTCTATGCATCGCCTCCTGCCGCTGAGGACGTCCCGGAGCATTTGAAGGAGATAATGTTGCAGTCGCCGCATGCGTTGATGACGAGGATGTACCAACGGTCGCTTACCCTGTTTACCCCGGCTAGTGGGTCGTCAAAGAGCGTCGCGATGGCAAACGTGGTCTATATACCCCCGTCAGTGATCAATACCCTCGTCTATGCCAGTCTCAAGGTCAACTGCTCCGATGTCGGCCGGGTTATCATCGAGGAATGGCTCGCTCATCGACATGGCCGCTTGTCAACGATCCATACCCATTATGATGCGTACAAGAAGATCCTTGCGATATACTGCTTGCAGATTTTGCCGGCCCTGGAGCAATGGGATTATGCCAAAGAGTTTTTGGACTACGAAAGCGAGCTGTCGCCCAGATCGCGGGAGGTACGTCGTCATATCTTTCTGGTTGAAGACTAGTCTCATCGCAGCATCAGTATCTACAATCCTCGTTAGCCAGGCTTTGTATACAGGCACAAGCAGTGCGGCAGCCGCCATCTTCACTTCCGGATCCCCCACCTTCATCTTCCTTTTCGAGTACATCGCCCTCGCCTTCGTCCGACCGTAGCTTCTCGCCGGCTCCATCATCGTCCTCTTCCTCCTCTTCTCTTTCAACGACCTCCACCCATACGGTCGTTCCTTCGACTTCCAAAGGGCTTCATGTTGCCCAATCAATGACTTCAATCACTACTCTTCCGTCAGCTTCTCAGTCTACGACATCCGTATCATCAGATGGTACCGCAAGACTTGCACGATCCGACAGACCATCATCCTCGCTGTCTGACCGCAAGCAGAAAACGCAGCGCGAAACCATGATTAGACGTACACTGTCTCCCGTTACGAGTGTCATCACACACCCTGTTGTACCGTCCACTGAAATCCGAAGCCCAACGACCTTTGCGTTGATGAAAGCTTACGTAGCTTCCATTTTAAACTCGACCAAGCTAACGACGTTTTTGATTCTCGCGGTGATATTCCCATTGATATCAATGATGTTGCGGTTTAGGCGGCGGCGGCGGTTAACTGCAGATGGGACAGTCAATACTGCTGATATGGTTAGAAAGAGACTTCAAGCTGTGAACGGGAGAGAAGCTGGTGTTCTTGGGAAGGCTTGGAGCGAGATAGCCAGGGTTTTGATGGATACGATCAGAATGGGAGGGAGTGGATTAGTCTAATTATTTGCTACTACTATAATTAACGGATCTAACTTATTTCTTCTGCACGTTCTCGGTCACCCTAGGTGCAGAAATCTTTTTGGAGTGGCCTCGAGGCTAGTGCAAAGGCTAGATATATAAAATCAAACATTATGGCTTCGACTTCTTTTCTTTGTAGGTGCCATCATCAGGTCTTCCAAGCAACGACGATGACCGATTATGACTGCAACACAATCCTGGAGGAAGACCGCGACCACGAACTCAGAGTTATCTTCAACCCGCCGCTATATCTCCAACGAAAAATATGGATTCTCGATGTGATGAGGAGAGAGAGCGTTACTGATGTCAGTCGATGCTTTTCACAGCTTTGCTCTCACTGTAACTGGCCCAGGTCGTCGATATTGGTTGCGGCGAGGGACAGCTTCTAACAGCACTCTGCCAGCCAGCTCCGTGGCTTGGCCCGCCACCGCCAGAAATATTGCCTCCGCCGGACGCGACTGATAGCGCGATGCCCAACTTCAACTCGCCACATGATCCAATACCAAACCTCCATCCTACACGCATAGCTGGGCTCGATATCTCCCAGGTGGATCTCGATTTCGCTATCAAAGTTACTGCGCCTCCACCAGAGACCAGCGATAGATACCCTAGTTCTACCCGTTGGGAGCCTCTTGTGGCGTCTATCTGGAAGGGAGGCTTGCAAGTTATTAATGAGGCATTTGTAGGGGCAGAGTGTATTGTGAGCTCAGAAGTGTGAGTATTATATCTTGTAGGCATATCCCTTTTTTAACAGCAAGCCAGCATTGAACATCTCCCATCGCATATCTTCCCGTTCTTTGCGCCTGTTCTTCTTGGTGTCTACCATCCAAAGATGCTCCTCGTTACAACACCTTCATACACCTTCAATGCTCGTTTCACGTCCCCCAATGCTCCCCCCTCAGTTCGCAAAGGATATCCCGATCCCACAGGACGTACAAATCGAATCTTCCGGCACGATGATCACAAATTCGAGTGGACTGTGCAGGAATTTCACGAGTGGTGCATGGAAACAGCCGAACGCTGGGGCTACGAGGCATACATCAGCGACGTGGGTCGCGCTACGGAAAAAGATGAATGGGGACGAGATGAAGAGCTTGGAGGCGCTACTCTAGTAACAGAGTTCAGGAGACTTGCACTGGTAGATGCCGAAAGAAGTCGCTTGGAGGACGAAGCCAGGAAGATGGTGGAGAGTACTCAAGGGCACACACACCAGTTACTTGCCGAACACAAACACGTTGCGCATCCACAATCGAGACAACCCATATCCGTTACAGATATTGGAAAGATGGTGAAAACAAAGATGGAAGAAGGACGCGAAGGGTTTATGCGATTTGAGACTCTCTGGTACGACAGGGATATTGGTGTCGCTTGCGGTGGGTTCACGGAAGTCCTGGTTAGGGCCATTGAGGAATGCAAGGGGCTGGTGCTCAAGAGGGAGGGCACTGACGGTGCAGAGCCGTCGAAACTGGACAGAGACTCGTGGCACATCGAACTCATTGGAAGCTCAAAACAGCCCAAGATGCTGTGGCCCACGACGGAAGAGGCAAATGATACGAGTTTCGAATATATGCCGCCAGATTGGGTGCCAGACGAGGAGGCATACAGCGACAGCAGTAGTGATAGGGAACTGGGAGAGAGTACAGGAGCTGAAGGAGATGTTTCTTGGAACAACTCTGAAGACGAAACCCAGGACGAGGATGACGACCATCGGAACCCCATTTCCGATGTTCGTCACTGGGCGACAGAACCAGGTCCTGCACGTTGGGGTAACACGGACTGGGGGGTGTCACCACCACCGCATAGCTCTAGCGGTTCTACGACCGGCTGGGACGGAGATGAAAGCGACGATATTCATACATTTTGAAAACTTTCTTTCATATATCGGATCTGAAGTCCATGTAATATTAAAGGATACAAGCTGCAGATGTGTGAGCCTATTAGACAGTGAAGATGCCATTCGAATACGTACCTGGTATATATTGGAAAGCAATAGAAGTCAACAAAACAAGGATTACTCCTCCAACCTTGCTGACACCACGGGGGCTGAGGTACAACAACACCGTTATTGTGCCAGATCCAAGGAATAGGAACACACCCACCAATCAAGGGATGCAGTTGAGCCATATAGGTCACCATCCACATTAGATAGCACGCTGCAAGTGCAAGCATCAGGCCTGTCCGTATGACACTGCGCCTTTGTATTAGTGCCTGTCCACGGTACAGAGATCGTGCGCATACATTTGATTTGGTCCTTTGGGTACGAAGAGCGCTGACGCTGTCATAAGAGCTGCTGCGATGACCAGGACCAGGAATACAGGAATGATGGACGTCATGTCGAGAGAATAATAGTAGTAGAGGACAAGGATCGTGGGAATTATTTAGACCTCGGCGACGGAGCGGCAATGCCCGATATTCGTTGTTCGACGACACCTTTAAACTTGTAATCTTCGGAGAACTAAGCTGGGAGTAATCTCTATCAATGTACCCAACGGCGACCACCACCAATTTTTTGATTACCTATCCAGATTCCGGATTACTTATAGCTGCTCCGAGCTTCAAATGGCCTTCAGCGTCACTGGGTACCGGTTAATGGCTATCTTTGACAAGCGCCGTATCTGTCTCTTTAGCTCCAGGACCTCGTTTACCCCGCTAATCCCGGGGTCCAAGAATGCTCGATATACATAGCAAGTGTCGTTCGACCTTGGTTCTACGAAGTCTATTGTACCATGAGATCTCGTTCATTCAGTCACGGCTCGCCCCTCGCTAATTGCGCGGTGTCTTGGGGCTTGTGAACTGTGCTATGACATATGATGTCAATACTACTATGGAAGACAGACCTTTTCTCCACTGCGGCGGATTGTTTCGTCTATGACAAAAATTGAAGTACCTACGGACTTTCCCTGGCCCTAGTACTGAAGTGAGATATTAAACTACTATGTTTGTCATGATGCATTTAAAAATTGTGTGTCCAACAGTCGCACTCCAAGGATCCTGGCATACTTCATCTTTATTAAATTTCATTATCTACACGGTTCAATCTGCGATTTTAAAAAAAGGGTCTGTTTGCACATGGTTCATGGAGCGGTTTGTAGCCAGTATAAGAGCTCTCTCGCCGCAGTGTTTATTTTTCGGTGAGAATGAACTTGGGACTATAGTGCCCGATGCAAGCATACAACTACTTAGGCGCAGGCAACGGAGCTTACGGGGGAAGTTGAACTTGGTCTGTTCTTCCGTACGTGAGCGTCGCGATGATGAGCTACATCGCCGTGTCTCCTGACTACAAGCAGACATTTCGTTCTCACATCTCAAAAAAAAATGAAATCGCGCCCGAAGCCCGCGAGGTACAATAGAAACATTTCCGCTAGAACATGATCCTTGCGACTCATCTTGAGCGCTCGCACGTAGCTTGTGATGTCTGTAGCCATCTATTGGTCAATGGAATTGAATTTTACCAGGGCAAAAGTACGAAAACAGATATAAAAAGATAGTTCGACAACACCCCAATCCTTCTGTCCTTCCAATCCTCTGGGTCCGATTGTGAACGCGCATTCAGTACATGGGCTCCTGCACGCTGGCGTGGATGATTTCAAGTTTCGATCCACATGCCGCCGCCACCCCGGAATCTGGGGCATGCGCTACGGGTGCAGTTCTCTAGTAGGATCTTTCCGATGTCGTATAAGGTGTTCACCGCAGGTCCAACTGGATCGAGTCAATCATGTCGTGAAGATGTAGCTGAGTGTCAAATGAGAGACCGTTGCGCATCGGGAACGTTAGGTGTCGTCAGATTGACGGGACGATTTAACCTCCATCGGGTACTAAAAAGCATCTTGGGTCGATGGCCACACATACGGAAAAGTTATCGCGAATCACCGAGTACTCTTCAATATCTATCGTGACCCAATCTAGACCGGGAGGTCGCGGTGGCGCAGGTTCTTTATTGACTTTTAGTGGCGCAAAGAGACGAGAGAATTTAGAGAGGGAAGAGACGGGTACTAATCACATTGAATTTCTCTCGAGAGGATAGGACTATCATAGACATGTCGGATAACACATTAGCTGTCAGACACGAATAAGGCCTCCCTGAATAACTCACGGCATTCTAGGTTATTAGTCGCGGTTGAGGCAGACTCTGCCAAATGCCATGTCTGGCTGTAATGCCACAAATCCGTGTATTCAGGTGTATTCAATATAAATTTGCATCAAGACAGTTAGGTCCCTCGAGTGTCAACTAGGCATGTAAGAAGATGATACGCAGTCGCCCATCGTAATTTTCGTGACATGACAACGGTGTAACCGCCGTAGAGCTGGTGAGGGATTGCGTTAATATCGAGATCGCCGCGCCTTAAAGGTATGAGTCGCCTTTCTATAGACAGCCGGGAACAGCGGAGACAGAAGTGGGCAAGTGAAGAGTCTTGCCAGGCTCGACGCTGTGCTGCACGGTCATTCATACTGAAGACAGTATTGTCAATACAGAGAATGAACCGGCTCAGGATCAAAGGCACGGTTAAGTAGCGCCAGTCAAACTCCTCTGTTTCCAGAAAGCAACAGATAGAGTACCCGGCGAACTACACGAGTCGGAGAAGTAGGGGACAAACAGGATAAAGTTCAGTACCACGCTGTGGTGTACTCTCGAGAATGGAGGCAGCGGTGAGACCGACTCGGAGACTGTCTAGATAGGAATTGTGATTCAGTGGGCGCGACATCCTTGTTCGGTACGAAACAGCAGCCCTTTTCAATTCGGCGGTCCGGGACTGCCAAATGCGGCCTTTTCTCCTTGCACTCGGATTGCCATGTCCGACGGGTCTTTCAAACAAAAGTCCCAAGGTTCCGACAAGAGGAAGAAGAAATATCGCTCGGTATTCTATCTCAACTTGCTCGTTTGCCTTTAGCTAACTCGGATACCTAGGATGGTACTCCAATCTGGAGCAAAAGACACATCGATGGACCTGGTGTATGGGTGAGCTGTACGTATAATAACAAATAACTAGTGCCACCTTTATGACACCGCGTTTACTCTCAGGTGTCAAAGGCAAGGAAAAGCAAACGGTCGGCGAACTATATGATTTATTTGACTCGGTGGGAGTATATTCCCACTTAACTTTCCACTACTAATCTTCCTTTAGCTAGCGTCGGATCTATGGCCGCTCGCAGGTGACGAGAATGATCTCCATTCCGATTCAGATGACGGTACTGGGGCTGCCTCATTGAGTCTCGAAGCTCAAATATCCAATGAGATATCGGCGATGAAAAGACCTAGACACGAACAGAGGTTCAGTACGAAACTTATGTGCCTCTCTGATTGTAGGGTGTTACTCATTTATTCCAGCTAACTGTCAGACAAACACGCCTTGTGGTTCGGTCTTTATGATTTTTCCAAGCAATTCCGACCGCTGAACTGAGCTTAGTGGTCTTTATATCCTGTAAACCTCCGGTGGATCCTGTCCGATTGGTCGAAACGCATATCCGGAATGTCCAGAAAACAGGATTCATGCGTACAAGGTTAGTCAGCTGTTCTCGACGTGCACGTCATGTTCAGCACCTTCGTCTCCATTAGATACTGTCATAGATTTGTGCCGGTATCCGGATCATGTGTCACAAATATACCGGAGATACAAGCACTGTCTCGTTCTACGTTTGAGCCTTTTTTTGCTCGTGATCCGGAGCGAAAATATAGCGTAAGTAAGATGCTCAGATTTCTAGCCGTTGTCCTGATAACCGCATGCAGTACAAGATAGAGCTTCGAATCCGAAACCATACATCGCTGTCTCGCCCCACCGTCATTCAAACCATCGCCGACTGCGTGCCAGAAGGACATGTTGTCAATTTATCGAATCCCGATGTCTTCATCCTAGTGGAAGTCTTCAAGGTCCGTGTATCTTTATCACATTAGTAGCGCGAACTGAATGAACCGGCAATTTTATAGAGTGTTCTCGGCGTCGCTATCACCCAAGAATATTACAGTTTGCACAAGTTCAACGTTATGGAGATCTCGACTCGTACCCAGAATCAAAGCGGGGGGAATTGACGAAGAAAGTCGCGCTGACAAAATATGAGCCTTGGTTTCACCAACGTATGTAGAGAGCATCAAGCTTTATTAACAATATGCCGCCTATGTACATATGTTATTGGGATACTAGTACTACGTGCGAAAGCATGTAAATAATTGTGCTATGATTATTAATCCATTAGGTACCAGGACTTACAACAAAACATCGTAATTCCGTCCGAGTCAAAGCGCGAAGTATATGATAATCCATGAACGCGAATGCTTGCACTGAACAAGGGAACTAGAAAGTCAATATGTACAAAATGTTTTACGGCGTGTCCTTTCACGAGAGATAACCATAACTGAGGGCATTTGCCGATGTCGAACTAGCGTGCGAGTGGTGCGAGTACGACCAGCTTTCTCCACTGTCAGATCGCCAGTTGGTCATCAGCCTAGGGCTGTCGGGCGCCCCGGACCAATTGGATATGGGCGGTTGTGCCCATTGACGAGAGTTGCTAACCGCTTGTTGAGACTGTCAAGTAATAGGTTAATTTATCGTCAAAAATAAAGAGATGACAGCGCACATATGAGTCGCTATACGTATGATATGTATGAGAGGTTGGACGCTTGAACTGATAGAAGATGGAAATCATTGCGTTGTCGTTTTGCAATGGTGCACTGAACTGTCCCGGACAGCCTTGAGCGAAGACGTTCTGAACAATGGTGTACTGCGTTGGATCTAACGGTATATTAGTATGGATAGTTTCATCAAAAAGCATTGGATCACACGTACTTGAATCATTGAAAATGACTTTCCAAAACTTGGGAGAAAGAGAGGCACTATATAACCAACCCGTGCGATCCATAGGAGAACCAAGACACGACATCGGCGCGACTTCCGAGTGTATTGGAAGACTCAGCGTGTCAATGAATGCGGAGAAAGTGCACTGCTGATTGACCGGATATGGCGACATAAAGTTTATGGTGGGATCTGATGCAGAAAGAGGTAAGGACGCGTGATAGGATGAGGTGGGTGCCAAAGGTGCAAGACGAATTTGAAGAGGGGAATCCCTGCGATTGCCAACAAAATTGACTAAAGGTTGTTGTCTAGGGTATGGCTGCTCGAGAACGATGTCAACCCAGATGTTCAGTCGCTGGCTGGGAGGTTGTTGGCCTCGAAGATCTGGCAATGGTGACGTGGTGTGAACGGGGCTTCCGTTTGAAGAACCGGTCCCCAAATCCACATCGTTATCGAACGGGCGACATATAAGATTGAGAACTGTAATTGATCGGTATTAGTGCCGTGAAATATGATCCAGTGATCACGGACATACTTTCTTCGCCTTTGCATGTGTCCCTCATCTGTTGTAGCCGACTTCCCACCTGCTTAGGCGTCCGCCGTTTACCAGTCGAATCGAAGATATAATCGGAAATGAAACGATTGCGCATGGGGAACCGTCCGGGGGATTTGGAAGAGCGAAGTTCGGGGCTTGGTTTGTATTTCTGGAGGGCTTCGCGGGGATGATGAGTACCAAGGCCTGCGGATAGGTACAATTAGTGGTTCACCTTCAATCAAAGCGGCCTCCCTGTTGTACATAGTCAGGACATTGACTTGATCAACGATATATGTTACGTACAGATTGGGGGGCCATACAGCCTCTCCCTTTCCCTTCAACGTCTTCCAGCTCCTGCGACCAGTCGCAGCGATCTGTGCAACGTCTCGGGATTGCTCATCGGCGGAAGGAGTATAGGATAGATCTTCGACGGTGGACAGTCCGACGTAACTAGCTGAAATGTTGTCGGCGTATGAAGGCATGAAGGTAGAGTAGTCGAGAACATGAATTGACTCCCCTCTATTTATATACAATTCGGACTCCTAGATTCAGTTGCACCTGAGGCCAGAGTGACGGGTCAAGAAGCGTAAAGTTGCCTGAATATGCCATCGTTGAGCGATTGATCCCGTATGTAATGATCTACGAGATGAGCTGATCGAGGATGTTTGTAAAACGGTTTCCAAACCAGCCGTAACGCATTGGTTCATAGTTTCCGAAGAGAAGATTGCCTAGACTTTGCGTAACCGGTTGTTCTCGAACTGGTTGGCGAAGTCGGTTCTGTGGTTGCGGAATTTGGCATCTTGGAATAAACGGATTTGGGTACCATAACAACTCGTAGGACCAAATGGGCGAGAAGAGGCGGTACATATGGGTTTTAAAACCGGACCAGACGCTAAATTGATAGGACTGGCGACAGGGCAAACGACTAAAAATCGGTTGTGGGTCTCCCCGCAAGCCACAGGTCTGCCTCAGATACGCGTAGCGATCATTCGGGAGCACAAAAATTGCAAGGTACGTTTCGATCGCCTATTGATTGTACGGTATTTTCCCTGCGGTATCAAAGCTGTGCATCACGTCGCCTTCTCGGGACATCCAAAACTCACCGGAAGCGGTTGGTGAGAAATGTTTTCCGAAGCGACACAGGGCATCTCCTCGTGCCCGTGCTACCACTGTGCTTATTTCGAAGGCTTAACATATTGGGAGAAGAGATTCCCTAACTAAATGTTCAAGTGGCTCCGTGGAGTGTGGAGTTGCCTGACATTTCAAACCTCATGCAAAGAACATGAGGTGAAGGTGTGTCATTTACCCATGGACCGTGGCACAGCTCCCGCAGATGGTCTGTACAGTCAGTTAGAAACGGCAGCCTACGAATTAAGAATCCCACCTAAATCTGCAATGGGCATATGAAATGATCTCCAGATTCAAGTCCGAGATCGTAGGCACAACATGTGAGTATCACAACTTTTTACCCATTTACAGAATAATGCAACACATTCAACATGGCAGCAAAGGGACGAAATTTTTCGTGACTGAGGGTCGGGTCCGGAAACATCCATCGAAACGACGACCAGCACTAGCGACCAACTCACCGATCACACCACTAAATACCACACACTACCGATTGATGGCCGTAATGGGATTGTTTTTGACATTAGATCCCTGGTCTCGGGAAAAGAAGTTTTCTGACAGATTAGTACGAGAACGGGAAAACAGTGCGAGTCAGTTTTCGCAGTCAATGATTCTAGACTCACTAGGAACAGACAAGGAACGGAAATCATATACCAGAATGCGGTGCAACAGACAAGTCAACATGAGAACAGATTTCGTGGTTGCGGTTCGGTTGAGGATATTCATCACTAACGTCACAGCACGGGTTGTGATGTCACGCGTCCATGTTGTGGAAGTTTAGTAGTAGTTCGATGACAACTGAATCAGAACTTGTAGATTGATCCCGACGAAAATGAAAACTCATAATTATTTGTCGAAAAAGACGGGTTCTTCGCTGTTGCCCTTCGCACTGAGATTCAGAGATCTGCCTCGCCCGCAAGTTGCATTCCATGCCATATCGCCCCCAAGAAACTGACGTGCTCAAGGCGTTCGAGTCCACGAACTTATCAAAGGAACAAGATCCATAAGCCCCATCTTGTTCGGTTCCAGCACATGCCGATAAGGGAAATGGAGAGTCATTCATGATGAGACGAATCTGCGGTCCGTTGAACCTGAAAGTGAGGGGAGCAAGGTTGTATTTATCATGACAAGTTAATTGAAACCATGGCTTACGACGATGTGCATGTGAACTTTTCCCATACCATCTGCGCACCAAATGGTACTTGAGTGGAAGTACGAAAGGCTCTGTTCGGCGGCACGGGTCCGGTCGCAGAGAGCGGGGGGGTGTCCCTGTATTGAATATCAGCTGTCAGTTTTGCTGTTGCCTGGATAGAACGCCGTCCAACTTCGCCAATCCTAAGGCGGCAAAAGCCGTGTCAATCGTTGTGTCGTGACCGAATTCCAAATAAACGGCGGATGCATTTCCTGTCGAGTCGGAGAACCTGTAAAGAGAAAGGAATGAATCGGCAGGCTCCGTGGTAGCCGACTCGACCACTGACCGCTCAATCAACTTGTTAACAAAAATTGTACCCAAAAAGGGACCCATGTTCCCGGGGAGATTATATCCGAACGCACCGTCCATGAGGATATCCAATTCGTATCTAATCTCAATGACTAGTTATGAGGAAAAGGTAGACTGTAGAAGACCATCGGCTCACTCAAAATTGGCAAGTTCGTCGCGGTTAAATAAATACATCACACCACGGGGAAAGGCGCAGTGCCGCGCAATCATATACACAAGCATAGAGCGCGCCGTGAGTATCAGCATCCGTCAGGTTGACACCAGGGAGCAAAGTGTTGAGACGCTCGGTTATCGCAGGCAGATACGCGGAATCCCACGTCTCTACTGCCTACAGGTTAATTAAATGAGTCAAGGACGCCCCGAATGCGGACGAACATACATCTCCGCCGTATGAGTACGCCCATTTAGCACATGTGTCCATCGGAGTGATCCAGGAAATTGTAACCTCGTCCTCAGGGATAGTAGAAAACACTCTCGACTTGAGCTCAGCCCACTCGCGACCGAAGTATCCCTGACTAAACCACTGGGCTGATTCCACGACCTGGATGTTTCTGTTACCATCTTACCCTCCCACAATACAAATACTGAACATCCCCACCCTGTCTTGATCACCAGCAAGTACGCTGGTAGCCTCCAGATGCCGGAGCAACAGATCGTAGGATGACGAACGTGATCGAATGGAACAAGCGTACGTACTTGACACCATGATCGAACAACTCTTGAGGCGGTAAGGTTGTCATGGCCTAGAGTCGTGACATGGCCATCCTTCAGGAATTGCAAGTTTTCAGGAAGCTCATTATTTAGAATATATTCCATGGTCGCAGTCAGTTTATCAGTGAGATTTGTGATATAGACGAGCTCCGACTGCAGAGGCCATCGACTGCCATGCCACCCCATCTGAATGCAGAGGAATATGAGATTGTGGCGCAGGTTACAGAGGCGAAGCTACGCACCAGCATCACCTGCACGACGGTGCAGTCTTCTGGCAACATCTTGGACACTCCACAGGGAACAGGAGCCTTGTGATACGGAGACAAATTACCCAACCAGTTGTATTTTTCGGCCGCAACGACAGCAACGAAACTCGTGATGCTCAGGAGGCACTGAGGAGCTTTGAACAGTATCATCGGCAACCGTTCCGACAAGGGAGAAAAAAAAAAAAAAAAAAAAGTCGCTGTAAAAGAGGACTTTGTTGTTCGAGAACCGTTGACCGCTTAACTCCGCATGGACGCATGGAAATCGGGGTATCATCTGCCCAGTTATCTTCCATGAATCTGATGTACATGTGCATCATGCGTTATCCAGATTTCACGGTGCAAGTTCGAGACAACAGTGGAATAATCATAAAACTACATCTAAATTGGTGGTATGGTACCGCGAAAATTTTGGGCCCGATAGTAGGATAATGCTTTAAAAAATCTATACCAGGACAGAAACTGCGAAGGAATGCAAATGAAGTACGGACAGCAAGATGTGAGTGACGATGCGAAGCGGACGATGAGATGGGACTGTTACGATGAGATGTGTGTGATGAATAGATGGGTGGGTATCGTTAATGGGATGTAATTTAAAAGAACTCTCGTGCGCTGGCCGTATCATGCTTCTCTAAATAAATGAGATCAAATGCAAGGAGAAAGTCAATATGAGCCTCGCCATGAAAGGGTCCGGTCTTTTGAGATTATTCCGCCGTCTTCCTGCATACAGACGCGAAATTCGCTGTGAGGTTACCGTGACGGGGCAAGGGACGACAGCTTGAGCCCCTGGGACAGCTCGGCTTTCCACTCTAGTCTTCTGATAGCCTCAGCATAATCCACCCATTCGCGTTTTCGTTCGTTACGTTCGAGCCAATCTTGGTCGAGCGTTTTGACGTCTAGTTCGTAGAAGTGATACGTGGCGGACGGCGACGGTATTGTGATGACGAAACGTGTTATTGTGCCACGTACGCCAGCTAATGGAGGTGCAGAATAAACCACACGAGCGGGGCACGGCAAAAGGAGAGAGGGAGGAGAATCAGGAGGTGAGGTGACGGATAGAAGGACAAAGGGTGAGACCTTCTTCCAAGGCTTCCCGCAACGCAGCATTCTCCAACTTTACATCTGTAGATTCCCAGCCGCCCTTCGGTACTATATGGTGATGCCAAAAAAAAAGCGAGTCAGCGTTCGGCAATGACGACATTGAAATAGGGGAGCGGAGAACGCAGAGAAAGAGGGGAATAAAACGGAATACGAATGGGACTCACAGACCCAGTTATCAGGGCGCTTGCGACTTGTAACGACCAAGACCTTGCCAGCTGCACGGGCGATGGGTATAGCGCAGCACACGATACGGGGTGTCGAGCGACCTTTAGTGCCCATCGCGTCGGTGGAGGGGCAAATAAAATATAGAAAAATTGAGGCAGAAAGGTGTCTGGATATTGATTCAACAAGCCTTCATGAAACTGAAGGACGAGAGCAAGGGAAGCCGTTGTCGGGCAGACGACCAAATGAAACGGGAGCTGGACGACGTTCTTGGTTACGAGTTGAGAAGCTCGAAAAGGGGTGACGGTAGAGACACGGAAATCAAGGCGAGCACGACACGCAAGCTGTGAAAAAGGTCAGGAGAGAAAAGTGGAGAAAAAGTTGTCGGTATAGACCTACTTCTGGCAAGAAGAGTAAATGGGGGCTAAATCTTGAGTGTAAAATCCTTTGGAAAATACGGAGAATATGGGGGGAAGAGATCAAGGGGAGACAGTTAGGACGCTGCTTAAAAGGAGGCGAAAAGAGGGAGGAAAAAAGTGGAATTTTGTCGAAGAGCTGGAATTAGTACAGGGCTTATTTGGTGCTTACGTTTTCAACTGGTTCACGAACGTGTCTCGGCATCCGCGCCGAGTGGCGCATTGTTGATCGGACCTATATCCGCAGGTGGTTAACTGACCGCTGTGTTGCCAGTTGTCTCCCCTTGGCTGCACGCAAAACAAAACAAACACGTTTTTCCAGTTGCTTCCCTCAGCCGCTTCTCAGATCGTTCCTGCTGCCTTGCCCTTCATTTCACAACATCCAACAACCACTATTAATAGCAAAAGATTGCATTCCATCGACAACCCCATCTCCCTTGGGTCATCGTCAATGGTACTACGCGCACTTACTCACCATGCCATACCTAGAATCCTGTACCCACTGCCCCCCACCCCCTAAAAACCGACCGATGATTCCAGACAATGCGTGTCTAACAATCCAGAAACTAGACAAAAGATACCGACATCTGTTTCGCAAAGCTCCGTTTACCTCAATCACGATCATAACGGAAAACAAATGCAGGCAGATGAAGCTAGAGCAGCGTTAAACATTTGTACGCTAGGGTTCCACGATCAGCTCCAGTCCTGAATTCAGTGCCTAGTAAATCGTGTCAGGACAGCAGCCCAAGGTCAAAAATGTATAAATCATTTGTACGCAGGCTGAAAACCACATGTGTCCTTTCGGAGCAACGTACATCTTGAAGCTTGAGACATCGCTAAGCGGACCGGTATACAATGGACCCTGTAATATTAAGATCCTTAACAACGACAATTAATTGAAAGCCTGCTCCACACATGAGCTGAGCACTAGGCTCAACAGTATTCTAAAATGTTCTATTCATTCCAGCTGCTGAACGTCAACTTCTGTCAACAGATAGTGAAATTTTCACTCACGCGACCAGTAACATGCACATCACACCGACGAACATCGCCGCGAACTGGCAGAGGACTCCGTTAGTGACGTACATTCGCGTCAGCAAGTTGCTCGCACCTCTCTCATTGCCTGCGATCCGCTCTTGCTTTCTGCGAGGAGCCTATTTCGTAATAAGAACCTTTCCGCCTAAAGATGATAAAGATGACGAAAGGCTCACGTTGGCAATACTGCAACAGCGCCAATATACAGGAAGCCTCCTGCGACAAAGGGAATGACCTAAGTAGGGTCGAATTCAGTTGAGGCACCTCGGGCATGCTCGGGCAACCTAACCAAATCTGCGATCATCAGCGTAGTCCCCACGAGTCCTGTCGCGTTCCGTCTCACACCTGCCCCGAGATCGTGTTTGAAGCTTCCCGAGTCGGTACCAGACGTCGCGTTGTGGACCGCAATCCCAATGAGAGTACTATTCGTGCGGAGATGCCGATCAGGACCTGAATTGTAGTATATGTAGTAAATGTTGGAGCTGACACATACCCAACCTTTCGTCCAGGATACGAGTAATTAACATATGTCGGCGTGCGTTCATAGAGCGACATGATTGGGGAGATGGAGGTATTTGCCACGAACGTGAATGAGCATCAAAAAGAAGGAAGAACAGTGTTCTACGCACAAAAGCCCCAACGGCAGTCAGAAACTGAGACTGCATTGCTTGCTTCTTAGTGAATCCACTTCGAATCAGAATTGAATAATCAGCTATTTCGTGCGGGATTTCATGAGCAAAGCATGCGAGAGTAGTAGTGGCCCCAATGAGGGGCGATGCGTAGAAGGATGCCGCCATGCTGCAGCATTAATTTTCGCAGGTCAGACAGAAAACGAATCCTTCGAGGCCAATCACACGTACGCCAAACCATCTGTGCTGTACATTAGTTATTACAAAGCCAAGTAATGGGTGATTAATAGCCACTGACATGTTGTGAACAAAGTCCCCAAAAAGATTGAGGTAAGCTGATAGCTTGGAGGGCCCTGCACTAGCGTGCGAAGGTCTTGGCGAAGTTTCCTTAGCTTCAGTGGGAGTAGACGTGGGTGCCCTCGATTTCAAATTTTTTGAGCCTGAGAACATCGAAACGGCTGAAGCGCGTGCACTGGAATCGTCAGAATGTTGGATATGCGAGTGTGAGTGAGAATGCCCTGAACCATCTTCCCCTCCTCCTAACACACGCAACATCTTTTCGATAAAGAAGAACGTGGCAAAACCGGAGAAGATTCCGAGACTATTCGAGTTATGCTTCAACGTAAACGACAGGAATAGCGAGGCGCACCCGATTAAAATATTGCGCTTTTCTTCCACCATTACAAAATGTACACCAGGATCCTGGTGTTCACCCATGAAAGAATGTGGTACGAGGTGCAAGAATACATCAGAAAGAAGGCCCCCGGTCTGTATTGACATAAGACAGGCTTTCGTTCGACGCACATTCGTCAAATACTCACGGCAAAGGCTGTCATCGTGTTGAGGGTGTTTCCATTTATACGTGCCGGTATGAACGCGAGAATGAAATTTGGTACGCTGGACCAGTTTCTTAGGCTTCCGTGGATGGACTGCAGGTGTGAGACGTACGAACTGATATAGAAAGTGCCCAGGATTGAGTTCCACGCTGGGCCGAAGGGGAACAGCCAAGCGAAGATTTTCCGCATGATGGGAGACCCTTGGGCCTGCGCAGCAATCCTGATGGCGCTTAGTTGTTGGACAGAGGCACAGTGATGGATGTTGTCGACCTAATCGTTGTGAAGCCGACGCGTTTTGATATGCAAACACTGTAGGCTCACAGTGATTATGGTCCCATTCGCTGGGGCTGCAGCATCGTCCGTAATTTCGAGCGCATGAAGGCTGGTGACGACGAACAGAAGGACAGCAAAGAGTAGGGATCGTTGCGCCATGGCGGACATGGTAGTGAGAAGCGGGTTCGTCGGCTCCGATTATGGTATGGTCACGTATGACTAGGGCAGCACATAATCCTCATTTCTTGATCCTCTCCCACCATGTACCCTACAGAGGACGAGAAGGCTATCATAGAGGCAGCAGAGAAGCTGATGGTCGACACGATGGCTCGGTATGACCCATCGCATGACGCTTATCACGGTCAGGAATCTACGCGTCTTAGCACTGAGGCATCCCTTTTCTCACTCTTCTCTAGTGAGAAGGGTACGAAAAACTGCGTTGACGATAGCGAGTGCATTGCCTATCAAGCCTGATCTATTTGTCGTCGAATTAGGTGCCTTGCATCATCAATAGGACGTTAAATAATTCCAAGCTAACGGCGAGATTACTAGGCGCTATTCTTCATGACGTCCTGGATAAGAAATATGTATCAGCACAACTGGCTGCCGATCCGTACACTTTCTTTCTGCCCTTCTTCGAAAAGCACAAATCCAGCATTGACCTTATCTCGGACGGCCGAGCACGCCTTATCACTCAAATACTGGACAATGTATCTTGGAGCACCGAGAAAAAGAGAAGGCAAACCGGAGAATGGGCTCAATGGCATGAGGAGTGCTCCGAGCTACATTGTATTCAGGATGCCGATAGACTGGACGCCATTGGAGCATTTGGTGAGCTCATCCCGCGATGTTGGTATCAATGACTCGTCTCCGTATTGATTTCATTCCTGCAAAGGCGTAATGCGATGTGCTGCCTACACCGTTTCCATTAACAAGTTTGTTTCCTATTCTGATGTGTTCATAATTAACACGACATTACGGCTTTGCAGGCCTTTACACACGCCTCCACACGATCCAGCCTCAGGCGATTCCGCAATTCAACACTTCCACGACAAACTAATACACATAAAAGAACGCCTGAAGACAGAACCGGGAAAGTTGATGGGTCAAAGGAGGCATAAATTAGTGGGTATCTACTGCGCTGTTCTTTTGGGCGTCACTCTCATTCTGAAAGTTCGCATTAGCTCTTGGACTTCCTTGCTTCTGTTGAAGACGAGTACGAGTGTAGAGAGTAGTTTCTACGCAACCATATATCTAAACGCGCCAGCATGAATATCACCGGTAACTGTTATGCCTACTAGGTCATGACTGTTTCCGTAGTGTCATTATAATGCAGTGCCGAGATACATATATGACAGCGAGCCCACGCCAGAAAATCAATCAAAACTTGACATATCCATGTCATAGAAGAAGTGCTGAATTGTTCATCTTTAGCACCGGCAGTGCTCAAAGACACTGGATCCACGAGCTCACCTTATATATACTCATCACCTTAACTACCCATGCCTCTAAATGATATATCTTTTTGCTGCCTATACGCATCCGAACCTCCTGTAACAAGCATTAAGCATGGCAGTGAAGTGCCATCATCGCAGACTCACATATATAGCGGCCCAATGCATGATGTCAGTCTTGATAGCTTCATCGACTCGGTCTACAACACGTTCTGCAATGGTCTGAAAAGACGTGTCAGAGAAGAAATAAGTTTGCCGTCTGTACGAACCTTGAGAATGACGGTGGGAGGGATGCAATGGCTCAGTAGCTCGTACAGTTTTTGTCTGACCTCCATGACACGTGCAGGCGACTGCTCGCTGATAATCATGTCTGCGACTTTATGGCAATAAGTTTCCCAATCTGGTTTTGCAATAGCCAAAGGTCCTGAAAGGTCAGGCCTAAACCACTGATAAATCAGGGACCTTAGAGACAACAAAGTTCACGCACGACTGCATCTTCAGGGCTTCCAAAACAAGGATGGCCTTCCTCAAATTCCCTCCAGAATCATCGATGATTTTGTCACCTGCTTCTGGTGGCAGGTCGAAGCCGGCGCGTTTTGATACATATTGCATAACGCTTTGCATCTATGGTAACGGCTAAGCAGTGGAGTTAAAGTAGACCATGTCGCTGGACAAACCTCTTCGCGACTGGGAGCCGCTACACGCATAAGAAGGCACCTGCTTTTGATAGGAGCGATAAGACGACTCGTGCTATTGGCGCATAGGATTATGCGCATATTTGACATGTATTTTTCCATTGTCCGACGTAGGGCTGCCTGAGCATCCCGTGACAAAGAGTCGGCCTCGTTGATAATAACCACTGATTAAGAGTATGAGGAAGTGGGGACAGCAGTGGCGTAAAAAAAATCTTCACCTTTGAATCTCTGTTTAGCATTTAGATCGACCTGCTGTGTCTGGGCAATCTCCTTTAGCAATTCTTGAATAACTACTCTGTCGTAGGACCCCGCTTCACTGCACAAGAACTGTTTCAGTGAAAACATCCCTGCCAAGAACGACGAGCCGTACCTCGGCGTTATTTCGATGTGGAAGTTGCTTTGAACGAGGTTCACTTCGACTTTTCGTCTGGAAGGTGTAAGGAACACGCGCTGGTCGATTTTGAGCTACAGTAAAGAGGTTTTGAGTATGTCAAATGGAGAAAACGGCGTGAAATACACCTTTTCTACTCCAGGACCGAACAACTGCCTCAGCGTACACGTTATACGCGTCTTCTTCCCAGCTCCAGACGGGCCGTAAAAGAGCATGTGAGGAAAGTCTCCAGAAGCAGCCTATATAGTTTGTTCTATTAATTGCAATAAATGGCATTGAGAACATGCGTACGAGAGCCTTCAGGCAGGTCGAAAGTCCTTGATGATAGTGAAGGTCATCGAGGGCCCTAGGGCGGTACTTCGTCGCAAGTTAGACGGGATTGAGCATGTAGGAGACACCAATCACCTGGTCAACCCAGAGCGACATATAGAGAGCAATGGAAGAGTGGTAAATGGAAAATGCTGCGACTTGGCCGAAGAGTGGAAAATGGAAAGTACTGCGATTGACCAACTACGTGACAAGAAACGCGTGATGTCATGCGTCAGACGATACAAGTACAAATTGAGTACAATTAAATTAGTACTTAGTCAGTACGCGATAGAATTCACCAAGTATTGCTTAATCCTATTTAACACTCATGCTGAGGAGTATATTGCCTTAAATTCCTTTAATCCCCAATTCTTCTTCAATAATCAATGCTGTTTTCTCTCCGATGACTAACGCAGTGTTAGTGTTCGCCCCGACGTTAGATGGCGCGAGTTATGTTGATATTAACATCTCTCCTCCCGTCCACGGTAAGATATCTCACTGAATGCCAAGTGGTCTCAACTTGCGATATGAGTTAGCCAAAATAGAGAAGTAGGAGCAAATAACGCTACTAACTGTAGACGGAGGTATCCATCAATTGCGTCGTCATCTTCTTTTGCATAGTTGATATCGGGAGCAACACAACAATCGGACCTCGAACTTGGAATTCGACGGCTGCCTCTTTCCTTCGGGGAATCGAGGATGACCCCGTATAAACAGCCGCGATAGGCATCCATGCGTCGAGCAAGTTTCCTACTGTGTTTATACGCCCATCCTAGAACAGCCAAGTCCGCAGGACTTGAGCAAAGGACTAAATCAGAGGGGTCTGCTCGCCAAGAAGAGAACCACATACTCGTCAAGGAAGCCGGTCTCCAAGTCAAGAGGAGCGTATGGATTAAGGCCAACTCGGCCCAAAGACGCACAGTATTCCTTTCGATGTGTATATCATTAAAATGGGAATAGGCATTGCGGAAACTTGTTTACCGTATAGTGTCCGACAGAGAAATATAAAAGCTTGCACCCAGGTTGTCATGTGGGATCTGTAACGCAATAACTTATGAAAAGTGAGTTTTGGATTACGTTCTGCATCCCTCCACGTACGCAGAACTTGGAAGCCGGACCAATCCACACGACCAGTTTATCTGGGGCCTTCAGAAAGAATTCGTTCCATCGCTTGGTGAAGGTAGGCTCGATAACTTTCAAATCCCTTTCCGTAGGTCTAATCATAAGGCGTCGATACCACTATGCCAAACGAATAATTTAGCAGACAGCATCAGAGAGTCAGGATGGGTCATCGAAGGCACATACGCCCATTAGCTGTTGGAACCAGTTGTCATTTCAGACTTCAACGTAGTTGATGTACCATCGTATTCTCCCCCAGTCCAGGCCGTTCAACGAGTTGCGGTATATTGATCCTTTTCAAAACCTCTGAGGCTTTAATGCCTGACCTGGTATGTATGAATTAGATGGCAACACAAATGCAAGCATTGTCTTGGAAAGCTACCTTTCCAAAATTGATGGTGATCCAAAAGCCCCCGCTGAAAGCACGACCACACGCGATGCAAGGGTTGCCGAACATCAACATTACAGTAGCAACACCAGCAACTTCGTCCGCATATTCTACACCAATAACGAATTTATCTCTAGGAGTTCTAAGATTAGTTATGAAGTAATGCTCACGTTATATCAAACATTACTCAAAAATGGCTCAGATAACTCTTTGCCAATCCAGCACCTGCAAGTTACTCTTGCGTTCTTGATTACAGATGTATCGGTGGACAGTGTCAGATCATTTTCCAGACGCCAAATCGATGTATCCGATCTTTCAGTGGTGGACCAGATTCATGTCAAGAAGTCCTTACTTCTGCCATGGTTATTGACTGTCAGCGAAATGTAAAAGATAAGAGAACAGTAGGACGTACACCCTACTTATTGCATTCCTCAGTGAGACCACGGTCTTAATCGTATTTCGCTGTGATAGCAAGATATTGTTCTATAACTCGTGCCATGAGTACGACCGGTGCCACACTGACAGTTCTGCGTCAAAACTGCGGCAAAAACCTCAAACAGTGAACCTTGCTTTGCTTGCCAAGGGAATCAAGTCATCTGAGTCCCATTCCCAAAATTCTCCCGGTCATTTTAATCCGATGCAGATGCCCTTATATACATGACGATTGACAGTGCATCAACGTCAACTCCGTATTGAGGATCAGAGGCAAAACCGTACAGTTGACGCCCGACCCGACCCCAACACATTTCTCGGAAGGAACAATGGGAGATGGACGAAAGATAGACTTGCAGGGCTTTCCAACATGGAAGGTAAAGGTTTCCTTTGCGAGGACCAAGTAGCTGAAGTAACGAGCAGGCTGAATATGATCTGGAGCATCGCGAATGTGAGGCTCCGCCTCGAGGACCTTGACATGACTCAAGAGGTGAGTCATGTCAGAGAGTACGGCAATACATAAGGATCACCAGTATCTTGAGCGACGGATCAGCGGCGGCGAGACGTCTGTCAGTGAGCCAAGGAGGAAAAGATTAGCAAGGATCGAATTGCAAATGGGGGGACCCGCCCTGCAGTTACACATCCACCAGTGCTGCCTATGAGCCCACCTCCAACAAAGATTGTGTCGTATTCTTCACTACCACCAGCTGTGGGGATCATTTTGTGATGGTGGAGATTGGGGAAGTCGTGACTATCTTTGTAAACCGAACCATAACCTGTTGATAACTTAGTACGAGTGGCCATTGGGGCGTTAATACCCAGTTTACTGCTGACCGAACAGCCGACCGGCTGGAACGATATTTGCCACAGTAGATTGCCAATGCGAAGACATGGTGAACGTTACTCTGTACTGTAGCAAGTTCATTACAAATTCAGGCGTCCGTTAAGCCTGTTCTAGTGGTGCGCCGGTCCGGCAAAGATAGATCCCGACCGTCTCGTCTACTGCTTTTTCCCGTTTTTCAATTAACCTATGCGCCTGGGCGCTCGGGACGTCGAATGTATACGCTTCTCGCCTTCGAACGGCGAAGCGGAAGAAAACAAGACAATATCAAGTTGCCAATCATAAACGTCAAAACAGACGGAACCGACGTCCTCACTTTAACGACTCTTGGCCCCGAGTTTGGACCCGGTACGCTAGTCTTCCTGTTGGAATTTCTCGTTCCTTGAGCGACCCTAGTGGAATCGTAAGTAGAAACGGGTATACCTGAATTGTGTCCTGTGGCGGAGAAGCTCGACATTATCCGTCCAGTTTTAATTGACTTAAACGCCACCATGATTCGCACCATCGTAACCGACAGCCTTCAGCTGTCTACGTAGGCCCGTCTCGCTAACGGCAATGAGGATGTCTCAAATTTTCTTGCAGAATGAAGAATGTACAGAGTGCTTCCGATCGTTTGATGGGACAGAACTCTGTAGATCATTTGTATCGCACCGTATTGGAGGGAGACTGCCCATGGGGCTTTGCCCCATGCAAGTATCTCCAGAATTAATAGGTATGTTTATATTGCCTTGACTGGCCCGATATCAGCGGTAGTCGATTCTGCTGACCCCCTTTGGCTAAGACGAATCTCAATGCATGTGCGCCAGTCAGCATCTCTTCTGAGCCCCCTACCTTAATCGATGGGTGGCGCTGCCGAATCAATATGCCACGAACATGTTGCGATGTAAGACACATTGGCATGACCGAAAACATGGTTGCAACGTTGGTCCAACTTGACGCTGCAAAGCTATTCCGGATCAAATTATTTATGTCCAGATGGATCAGACTAACGCCTTTTGACTGAGACGTTAAGTTCTTAGATGCGATTTTCATTTCACTTTCCTTTCTCAGGGCACCAGAAAAGATATAAATGCGGGGAGTATCCACTCAACAGACCCGTTCCCCACCGCAATTTACCCCTTCCCCTGTTCTACGTCGTCTGACATGGAACCACAAACTTTTGTTCAGCCCTCGACGATGTCCTCGCTGACAGAGTGGTCCTACCGGCATATCAAAGACGTATTTGAAGCCTCCACCCATGAAGAATCACTGCGGGCGATCTCGAACACATTTGCACCCAATATTGACGCTACTCTCAACGGGTCGAGGCTGGGGTACGAGGGGATCATCCAACTTGTCACCGCAATGCGTGGAGGATCCAAGAATGGCCTACAGGTTCATTGGAAGCAGGCATTGGATGTACCGAGAGAGCCTACTAATCGTGTTCGTCGTCGGTTTTCCGTCTTGCCTAAACCGAAATGACTTGGTTCTGACTTCATTTGCCCCACAGAATGGCTGCTTCGGTGGCGCCTATGTTATAAGCGGAATACAAAAACCCCAAGCAGGGACATCTCGTCTTTTAGAATTCGAGAGACACAAAACGGTGACCGTCATGTAAGGAACAGGTTATTAATTCGAGATTATATTTATAATTGACCTTGATACTCAGAATCGAATCCCAATCGTCGGATCCATATGTGGATAGCCGGCGCATTGTTAGCCTGGTCTTCGTCGCTACAGACCGGCCAGTTGACCGAGCCTGCCTATAGCGTTAAAGCAGAGGGTATGCTGTATCATTAGCACTACCGTACATAATACCTTAATCATCGTAATCACGTAAAATAAGAACCAGATTTAGTTTCCACAGACCCTAAACATTGCTCTTATGACGAGATTAATACCTTTTGGCCAGGATGGGGACTTCGGATCCGGGTACATAAGGGCACAGCCAATATTCAGTGACTCAGTCTGCGCCATACCGTAACAAGATAGACACCATGCAGAGTGCGAGAAATTGATCTAACCTCCGGTAGTTAAATTGTCTACTTACCCTGATTGGTTGTGGCGATATTAGATTCAAGATGTACCTCAAGGCCCAGGGGATCATCGGCATGGAATGTCATCAAATGAAGTCTGGGCAGATTATAAGGACCAAGCGATAGCAGTGAACGAGTTGCGAGAATTTCATTGACTAGCGTTATGACACCACAAAGCCGCGAAAACAGCGCGAGAAAGTATACATCACGACTGTTGCTGCAAAGCGAAAACCGAACTACTGCGATCGCCTGCACGCAGTGGGTACCAATTCTGCGCGATGGTAGATATGAAACCTGCACCGGGAATGGGGACGTTCTTTTCGCGACTGAAGGATAAGGCGAATAATAGTCAGTTAAATGAATGACTGATGAACAAAGGCCCTTACAGTTCGCGGACTGACACGAGCAAATGCATCAATGACATGCGTTCATAACAGTCGCGTGAACATACCTCGGATAAAAAAGTTGGCAAAGATAGCGAAGAAAAGGAACGCGCTGATGACAAGGGGCCCTATGATCGCATCTGAAACGAAAATCATGAACAGAAATGGGTGACCACGACATTCCAGGACAGACCGAAATGCCCTGGATCTCTTCTCCGAATCATGGTAATCCGGTGCTGATACAATAGATAAGCATAGACCTTCATGTGATGAGTTAAGGCGATTCCGGTACAGTCTAACACTACTTACTAGGACCACAGCGCTGATTAGGGCGTAGGCATAGGCAAAATTGCGCGCTATTTCATCTCGGGAAGCATTGAAAAGGGCTACGGCCAGAGCTCCAATTAATATCGATATGTTCAACCAAGACACCCAGGCTGAGATGAGCGTTATTAGTCTAGTACTAATCAAGACAGAGACAACGACTTGCTCCTCTCGTTCGCGAACCAGACCTTCCCTTCTACCCTGACCGGGGTCGCAATTTTTTTGGGTACTCGAACCATCGGAGGAAGAGAGTTGATAGCATGATAGTCTCTGACGGTAGGAAGATGGCCATCCTCATCATTTTCTATCTCTGGGATAACATCTGCGCGAGTGTATCGCCGAGGTCGTTGAGTGTTGGGCAAGGTCGCCAGTGCCGCAGCAGAAAAGGGTGATAGCAAGTCTGTCATCGCATTCCACGAACGTTGAACGAGAGACTCCGGACGTTCAACATTGAGAGAGTTCTTGGATGGGGGTGGATTTGTACTCATATTACTGGCGGCGTCGTGGACGGTGCTGAATGTCTGTCGCGTCCCGAATGCCGAAGTCCGGACCCGAAATTTCGCAGGCAAAGTGATCACGTGAATGTGATGTCATAGGAACTTTCTCGTATGTTCCCTAATGTTCGCCACTTTGCGAGTAGGCCCAAGTCTGCAATAAATTCAGACTTTCTTCTCACCTCCACTTCAGTTTCAACGTTTTAACGTTTACCATGGGTGTCGACTACTACAAACTTTTGGGTATTGATAGAAATGCCGACGAGAACGAAATCAAGAAGGCATACAAGAAGATGGTATGCCATATTCTTTGCTTTGCCCTCTTCACTAACAAAACGTCCTTTAGGCCTTGAAATGGCATCCGGACCGTAATGGTGGCTCCGAAGAGGCATCTAAAAAATTCAAACAGGTCAATTTGGTCTCCTTGTCGTGTGAGGTTCCAGCTCACCCTATCTTGATTTTTTTTCAGATTTCGGAAGCTTTCGAAGTCTTGAGTGACAAGAACAAACGGGCCATATACGACCAGTTTGGTGAAGAGGGCCTTAAGGGTGGAGGTTCTGTTCCGGGGCAAGGCTCTGGTCCCGGTGGTTTCTCCTTTGGATTCCCCGGTGCTCAGTCTTTCTCCTTCACAAGTGGACCTGGTGGTGGCTTCAGCTCCAGTGGTGCCGGCGGTGCTGGTTTTGCGCCAAGTGACCCGAATAAAATATTCGAGTAAGTTCATTGTATCCGGATTTTGGACTAGCGATGTTGATATCCTCCTAGGCAAATATTTGGTGGCAGTCTTGGAGGATTCAACCTTGGTGGAATGTCAGGTCGGAGTTCAATGGGTGGCATGGGAGGTATGCCAGGCATGGGAGGTACCCGGAGACGGACACGGGGTTTCGATGAGGACGATGACATGGATGGCTCGTTCAGCTTCTCTAACGGCATGCCAAATATGCCTCGGTCGCAAGCACGTTCATCAGCACCATCCGCACCTTCAGAAATAACTCGTCCTCTTCGCGTCTCCCTCAAAGATCTGTATTCCGGCACGGTCAAGCATCTCAAGGTTGGCCGACGACTACTTAACGGCTCGACGGAGGAAAAGGTGTACGACATCCAGATACATCCAGGCTGGAAGAGTGGTACCAAGGTCCGCTTCGCTCGTGCCGGTAATGAGCAACCAAATGGCGAATCGCAGGATTTGGTCTTCATCGTCGAGGAGAAGCCTGACGAAAGTTTTTCACGAGAAGACAACGACCTTGTAACCCAGGTGCCTATTTCGCTGCTGGAGGCCTTGACCGGCGAGGGCGGGAGGAAGGTTGTGGAACTGTTAGATGGAAGGAAGTTTCAGGTTTCTGTGCCCAGTGGCATCGTCAAACCAGGGCAAGAGACGACGATATCAGGCGAGGGAATGCCAATTCGCAAGGATGGCAGCGTAAAGAGCAAAGGCGATTTAATTGTCAAGTGGGATGTCCAATTCCCTGACAGACTAACACCAGTGCAGCAGGAGGGATTGAAGAGGGTCCTCTCGTAGACGGTATCTATCACCTTGCACGAACTCTGACGAACACTGTAGTTATCGTTCCACATTCTGTACTATCAATACATCAGCGCTGGATTTCGTTTGTATATCTTCGCCCATGTAATAAAGTGTGATCTGTATAAACATCATTCGATTTTGAACGAATCAGCTATCCAGGTAACGACTTCAGGCGTCAGTTTCCCAGTCGTTTTGGGCGAGGCTGCGAAGAAAAAATCATAAAAGGGATCAACATGGACACCTCCCTTCTGTACATATAACTGGCTGCGACCGGCGTATCGCTTAAACTTCTTCTCGTAGAAAGTGAGAATAGAATCCCTCAGACACTCAAACTCCCCAACAGAAATGAAGACATTGTCCACCAATTGGTCCGTACCTTCGTACCAACCGTCGGGAGTTTTGATAGGCTCCATGTAATTGATTTCGGTCAGAGGGACGCCTTCAAGAGCATAATGACCCCACGCACGGAGGGTAGCCGCATCTGTAACATCGACAGGACCATTTTCATCGTAAGAATTGGGAACGTCATCCCCGGCTAAGGATACCCAGGGTGACAGAAGGAAAGCGCCACCGAAGCGAGTATCCGCGGGGAGGCTGAAGGGTTCAATGGTAGGATGAGGATGCAGAATGTGCGAGAAGAAGGCTAGAGTAAGGTTCCCTCCCGCGGAGTCGCTTGTAAATATGAGGTTATTTGGTGCAACTCCGGACTTGATGAGGTAGTCTACTGCCGTTCGCATCTCGCGGAGCGGGGTAGGGTGACCAGCGTCGGGTAGAAGGCCTGTGAGAAGTGGTGATGAATGTGATTAAATAACGCAATCAATATTCACGTACTGTAGAGCAGAACCGCAAGTCCTGCTTCAAGGCCCTTCTTCTCCAATTCAAGCTGAATATATCTGAAGAAGGTCAGCCCAGAAGGAGGGGCAAACGAAGTGTATCCGCCACCTGGCACGCAAATTGATCAGTCTTCGCCTTGCAAAAATAGATAAACGTGCCGTGAAGGTAAAGTACCACTCGGTCCGTTCGCTTTGGGCCCACCCACGCAAGCTGTACACCACCATCCAGTTCCTCTATGAGAGGCATTAAACGTGCTTGGCTGATGAAATTGTTGTAGACAGTCACGGAGTCTCCCAGAGCGTACTGGAGTTGGGCGAAACCCAAACTAGTGAGCTGGTGGGCCGAGCAATCACTGATGACACGCAGCCATGTTTTGTGCTGCAAGTGCTTGACAAAGGGAGATGTCAGGAGCTTCCAACAGAGCAGGAAGGCTGTATACGTTATCAGCAAGGTCCACGAAAAATGAAGTTGCTGTACGTACGCAACGGTGCCAGAACCCTCGCCATGTCCAATATCTCTCCCCAGGAAACCTGCCCATACTTGACCTTGGTCGTGATACCTGTCATTGTCGTTGTCTTTGTCGGTGAAGCTAGGTTTTTTTGATTTAAATAAATACTACGGCCACTGGGATCCAGGTGCAACGCAGGTTAAGTAGAGCCGAGTCGTTTGGGGGCCGGTTAAATAGTAACGGTACTCGATTTACCGAGCAACGAGCATACCAGGAACTGAAGGAAGAAGCTCGAAGGTTGGAAAGAGAGAAACAAGTACATCCAACTACGATGTATATAAATAACTGCATTGCTTCGTGATCGACGGTGCCTGCTAATTTGATCCCATCCACCAGAGACGCGGTTGCTGGAATCCAAGAAATGCGAACATGGCCTTGGGCGACAGTGCTCGAAGGTCTCTAAGCTGCAGTTGCCGGCCTCTGTTCTCTGCCTCGCTGATTCTTCTCTCAGTCTCGAGCAGCAACTCCTCCATCTGCTTTCTAACGTCCAGCACCTCCCTTCTCGCCTCATCGAGTCTAGTTTCAAGAATTTCTAGCACCTGAGTGCGGTCGTTAGTCGCCCTGCGATGCAGTCTTTGCGCGTCTTCAATCTGCTTGGTCCGGCTGATCTCTTTCTTCCGGGAATCTTCCAATGCAGCTCTCAGCGCTTCTAGCTCCTTCGCCTGCTTCTCCTTCTCCTCCCTCAGACCATCCGCCTGTTGCTCAGTCCTAGCAAGGTGGAATTGAGTCATGGATTCTTGAGCGCGCTCTCTCTGAAGATCTTCTAGCTGACGCCGCAGATCCCTGACCTCGTTTTCCTGGGCACCCGCCCTACGGTTTGACCGTTCCGCAGTACCTCTAGCATCTGCAAGAAGTGATTGCAACTCTTCAATCCGACGCTGATCATCCGCTGCCTTCCTATTCGCCTCCTTCAAGCGGTCGGAAATCATTCCCGTAACCTTCTTCATCTCTCTGTGGCATTGTTCAATACGTGGACCGAGCTTGCTAGTCTGCCCAGCGTCTGTAAGCGTATCTGAGTCCCTGCCCGTATTATTCCATCGATATTCATACCTTTTCTTATCGCTGCCACTGCTTGTTGCTTGTCGCGTGGCTGCGGCTCTTTTTCTGGGGGAGGCAGGTCCAGAAGATTATCAAACTCTGGTGATTCGTGGTTAATCATCATGATTGGGAACGAAAAAGTAGAGGCCATTTTTAAGAGAATTCAAAGTAGGGCTTGGGCGCATTCGAGTTATGGGTAGGACATCCATTTATACAAGCGGCTCGACAAACATGCGGTGGAGGGACGTTTCCCAAGTGACATGGCCGATCGAAACCGCTGCTTGGGGCCTTTAACACTTGCACAGTCACACTTGAAAGCTTCGGTATCTGGGAAAATAGTCAGCTTTCAGTGATGACAATGCAGTCTTCACTTTCAGACTGGTACCTATGGGTAATGGATAGTTAAAAGATTTGACTAGATTCACTGGGTCAGAAGGGGGCCATTGATCCTTAATTCAGAAAATGGAAGGTGTGCATGCTCTTGAGGCGAAACTATTGCACCTCGCAGCATGTAGTCATGAGTCTTATGTACCGAAATGAACTCGAGACTGCATTCATGAGGCGGAACGTTCACACAGGATATATGAAGAGCACGAGTTGATCATGCATAATAAGAATACCAGGTATTCATGTACAAGCGTCACAAACCAGTGCGAGGATTCACGAAGTAGAAAGGAGTTGAAAAGTAGACTCGGCCAGTGAGAACAGAAAGATCAACGAACGCAACCAGAGCGCGACATTCCCTGTAAGATTTTCTCGCATCAGTGCATATTAATGAAACGAAGCCCGAATTACTTACTGCTTTAGTACAATCGCTTCGGGCTAAAAAGGTGGCAATGGCGGGAGCGGGCGTACGGGACCATTCGGTGGATATGGCAAAGGCAAGCACATTCTTGGAGGAGCACATTGCACAGGGCCATTTTGAGTAGGTGTCCAGGGTGTCTTGGCGGCAGAAGGAGCACGCTTCCGCTGAGCATGACGCCTTTCCAGGGGAGAAGTCGGGTTGACTGCTACTTTCTCCATTCTCGTGTGACGCTGGAGCTGCTGCCGCATGCGTTGCTGCCGCTGGGCTGAAGCTACCGCAGTTGCACGTTCTTGCTGTTCAGCAGCACGGCGCTCCGCTTCTCGGCGTTTCATCTCGTCCTTGCGCTTCTGCTCGCGTTCTTGGTCGTGGTTTTTCAGGATTTCTCTCGCAGAAGCTTGTGCAAAGAAAGAAGAAACATAATAGGTGCCTCGGTGACAGTTCAGGCATTGATATTGGCCCTCGGCAGCTTGTGGTGGATTATAATAACCGCATCTTTGGCATTTGCTGTGAAGGTGTGAGGGGCAACCCTTCGGAAGGCTGGAAGGAGCGAGGTTTTTTTTGACTGTATAAAAGTGGCATGAGTGAATTGACACGCATGAGGCGAAAGCATGACGTACAGAACATGCTGTGAGATCGAACAGAGAGATGATAAAGAAAAGTAAACGAGCGACGTCAACGAGAGCAAAAAGACTGGTCGAACAAGTGGGTAAGTAGAGGAGATTTCTCCGTCCCTCTTATTTATATTTGGAAGGCACAATGAAGGTGGCAAGGGTCGGAGATGATAGGCAGAAAAAGACATAACCATTTCAGGACTATATGGGAACAATGGTCTTTGTTTAAGGTGACTGCGCCTGATCTTTGCATCTAAAGACTTATAGCCGATAAGCATGGGCAAACGCGACCATACTGTCATTCTATGCAAATGATTGACAAAGCAAAGCAAGTTGACATCAGTACAAAGAAGACGAGGCCAGCAGGGCGATGACATCTTGACTTAGCAGATGAGTGCAGTCAGGTGTCTCACAAGCCAGTACCCTGACTGCACAGGTTAGAAATGTGTCTTCAGGCAACGATGAGGCGAAACTTAGCTTGATCACTCCAGAGTCAGGCCTCAGTGACGACACGGACTCAGTCTCGAAATATTGAACGCTGAGGCCCAGTTTTAGTCATATGAATCAGATACGAACACGTAGCTGAAGTGTATAAGAGAACGTACCAGTGCAGTGAGAACGTTCGGAACACAAAGCTAAGGGAAGATAGGCGTCTTGAAGATCAACCCAGGACCTAGTACTGTTCTAACAACGAACTATACGGCTCTTCCACAAGAACAAAAAAATTGTACGATGCCGCGACAATACTCAGAGGCAGGGGGAAAATACGCGATGGTCAGATGATGGCATAGATTGACCTGGAGACTAATTTGGAAATCACCTTCGGCAACGACTTGAATTGTTCCATGTCGAAAAGAAAGGCCTCTGAACAGGAAGATCCTGAAATACGTGGTGGGACTAAATCGCGACGCTTGGAAGGAACCAACTCTATCTCATACCCAGATCTCAATCTTTCTCATGGCCAACGACCGACACCATTCCAGAAGCCCATGCCTATCATTTCGTTCTCATACACGCCATCTCGCACTTTAGAGTTCAACGACCTGGCTTTGCGGTATTTTGTTGATCCGCCTATTGGTGCCCAATTGTCTTATGGATATAATAACTGGGTACGACGACCGGAAGAGAAAGGCCGCATTGATGGCCTCTTGAAAGCTCTTAGCTGGGTGAGGAGCCAGGGAAAAGTGGGCCTAGACGACCTGGCGGTTGTTTCGTGGCGCGGTGTGATGACCAGGTATATCGCGTCGAGCCCCCCTCCGTCGTATTGTCTTATATCGTTCTCCAGGCTTTTAACAGCTCCCTACGAGGATCGCGATGGCTGGGAATTAAATGTCATGTATATCAACGGCACCATGTATTTCGAAGAGCATATATCCAATCAGAAGCTCAGCGAAAGGTCAGCACTCTTCTTTATCAGTAATATGTCCGTTAACCAGAGTGTATCAGGGAAAATATGGAACCCCGACATCGAAAGCAGTCTTATTTTGGCTATGCCTTTGAGTCATACGGGACATCAGAGACCCCCCGTAGGCCTCCCCCGAAACCAGGTTCCAAAGATCCGCTAGGATGGGGAGGAAACGTGGATACCAACGTGCAATGGTGTAGCGTTGTGCGGACTAAACTTGGCGATAGCCGACTCATCATTGGAGGCGAAGTCGATTGCGTTCGAGGTTTTCGTGTCTCTCAATTTCCCGTGCTTCAATTCATCGTTATGCCACAGACAGATACACTGGAACGACTGATTCATTCGTAGAGCTCAAGACGTCTCTAACAATACGGGGCCCCCACGATGAAGCAAAATTCGAGAAGTGAGTCATTTCTTTATGTATTTCATTTCATTTCTGTGATCGCATGACAGGAAATTACTCAAGATTTATTTCCAATCATTCCTCCTTGGCGTACCGGTGAGTTACCAAGGTATTATTATTATACGCTCAGCTCAAACAATGTCTTTTTTTTTTCCAGGAGATCACGGTCGGATTTCGAACACCGTCCGGCGAGGTGAGACGAGGGTTTCGCTCTCAGGCACTTATTAATAATAATGATCCAGGTGACAACTGTACAGACCTTCGATACGACAAAAATACCCCGTCTTGTACGAGGAAAGCCTGGTTCCTGGGATCCATCAATATGTTTGAATTGGGGCCAGGAGATATTAACATTTCTCAAGAAGATTCTCCAAGGAAGTGATGCGGAAAAAGCCTCCGTATGGCGAGTGAAGTTTGTGCCGAAAGAGGGTGTGACAATTGTGAAGCTGACTGATAACCTCGTGGACGAGGTTGTGAACGGGGAGGAAAGGGTGGGCTTTCTGCCACAATGGTACTGGGACGAAATTCAGACCGTAGCGACAGTAGCGCAGTCAACCTCCGGCTCCGTCGCAGGATGGCAAATATGAAAAAAAAAAAAAGGAATTTCTTTAGGGAAAACCTTTTCGGCTGTACTTTAGCGGAAAATTGTAAGACTGGGTAAAACGGCAAGCTCCGATATGGCGCGTCACTCGCGTTTGGTCCGTTTCTGAATCGACTTTTACTCATCGTTCGTGCCCACCACGCCCAGTGTCTGACCTCCTCTTCTCGTTGCCGTCCACAGCGGCGAGCGTCCTTCTGTCTTTGTTTTCACTGCGTAACGCAGTGGACGCGCGTTTATGGCTACCCCTTCGTCTTCCGCCACGTCGCCATCACCTCCCATGACCTATATCCCTCACCCATCCGCCGGATCCCAGTCGACCTCGTCGCTGTCCTCAGAGACTTTCGACAGAGAGCACAAGAAAAAAGCCGTTCAGAAGTTTCTAGCCAGGGCTGAGCTTTCCAACGTAGGTACTCGTTGCTGTTCGACTCCCAGACGCGTCGTTTGATCTGCTGTGATGGGCCCATTTCCCTGGTTGAAGGCCGTCCACAGCTCATTTTCCGGGCTACAGGGTGCTCTTTCTGTTTTTCCCTGTCGTTGTCCTAACATTTCTACAAATATGCTGATGACTCCTATATCTCTCTCCTTGAACAGGTTACCCGTGCATTGCGAACACGCTTATCCTATGCCTCCCACAAAACTACCAACAATGCCCCCAATGCGTCCTTACGTGACTTTGAATCGCAGAGCCAGTCTCCAGCCAATTCGTCTGCCTTCGCCCGCAGCAACACCGCCAGACGCAAACCACCGACGACCAGCAGCTATCATGCCAATCTAGCTACTCATGGAATGAGTGGCGCAGGATCTACTAGCAGTCCTCTCCGAAGGGGTAGTTCAGGTCCGATCACACTGACAGCTGGTCTTTCGTCGCGCGGCAGCTTTTTGGGTATCAATGGTACACCTACCAGCGCAGGGGATCTCAGCAGCAGCGCTTCGCGACAATCAGTCGGTGGGCCGACGCTTTTTACGTCTATCCTGGCGCCGCCACCTACACAGCAGGCGCGCACTATTTTGAACGCTAATGATCCACCTGTTGCTCCTCCTATACGACCCGCTCCATCGCCCCAGATGCAGGGCGGTGGGGTAGCGCGGAGCATTGCAGAGGGAACGCGTGCGCATTCTAAAAGCCGGCGCCCCGACGGAGCTGGATCAGGCAAAGGCAAACACCGAGCCAGGACCTCAGACCGTGGCGACCTTGACGCAGATGGCGATGTTGACATGAAGGCAGCTCAGACTCTAACCTCTCTGCTCCTGCACCACCGACCTTCAATATCTGGCAGTGTGTCATCACCGCGCTCAAGTTTCGATGGATCAGATGCAGGGTCCACACAATCATATTCACAGTATACTCAGAGTTCTGCTCGGGGCTTTCCCAATACGGGACCACCTCTATCCTCCAGTCTCGCTTCGACGTCTACCATTTCTGTTGGTTCCTATCGAGATAAGACCCCCCCTCCCATGTCGAACGCGCCCCCTTCTCAGCAAACAACACCACGACCGGCTCCTACTGACAATGAAGCTGCGGATCTGATGCTGTTCCTAGCAACATCTCCGTCACCTGCGCGTCCGTCCAATAAAGATGCCAAGGACATGGCCGCGTATCGTACATTAGGGGGCGGCGCGGGAGTGTTGCGGGCCAAGGGCCGGGTCTTGTTTCCCACCGCTCCCGGTGAACCAAATAGTCAAGATGCGGGCAGGGTCAATCCCCGTGGGACAGGGTCTGGGCTATCTCGTGGTGGGGAGAGTAGTTTTACGTCCAGCATCTCCAGTATTGGAAGCGATTTGGGTGGGCGACGCGATTCCATTCCAGGCGTCGATAGTGGTATGTCCAGATCATCGAATCGTTCATCTACACCTGCTCAGCTCCTTCCGCCGCCGTCTTTTCCCTCGCAAATGTCCGTTCCGTCGAGTCCATCTGGCCGCCGCAAGTCAGTTGACGGTAGCCCAAGACCAGGATCAGCCCATGATTTCAACTTCCATGATTTTATTAACGCGTCTCCTTCACCCTCTCGAGGCTACCCTCAACACAACAGATTAACGGGCCTGCGTGCCGATGTTGGAAGAAAGTTGTTTGAGGGAGAACAGATGCGTCTGGGAATGCAAGGAGGTCATATGAAGAGACCGGACGACCGAGGCCTGGGTGCAGGAATCGATTTGTTGAAGAGTTAATGCAGAGTGCATTTTCTCTTCTCTCTCATATTTATTTTCCAGCCACATTTGATGGTGTATAGACGCCATCCTGGTCATGCGTTTTCGACCGCGTCCCTCATTTCCAATCACCCTCATGTGTTCCTTTCGCTTCATCGTTCCTCCTGCCTGCTATGTTGTATCAATCAAGCGGATTACATCAACAAGTTGTATCATCAGCACAACATCACAACCACCATTCCCCATCCTCCATCCAAAGTCATCTGTACCCAGCATCATCATCTCTTCAAACCTTGCAGATATTATTGAAGGTCTTGTTTATGATCAAATGACGACCTCTAACGAAGGAGTTATCCGCCGATTATGTATATCCGCACCGACGCCTGGTATGGGATCCGCGGACGGACAATTCTATCTCTATAATTCGATTTCTATTCACGATGCGTCTCTCTGTTCTTGCTGTTTTCGTTCTCCAGAATCTCTTTCTTCTTTGTAATAATAATATTTATTCCAAGCTGTTCGAGTCGTTTCGTCGTTGTCTTGACTTATTATCTACTTTCATTCTCCGACTTTCGCCTACATAACTCATCCATGAAGGTCTCCGGTTTGTCTGTCAATGCTCGACGCTTTCTATATAGCTGTACTGTATCCTAATCGATGCAAACAATTCGATTTCTCCCTTGATGTTAACATTGAGCGGGAGATACCGTGGTCGTTCTCCGGGCCGGTTTCTACCTTTTACAAGTTCCTGTCTCCATTTCATGCATTTTTCTGTCCCACATGATGAAGAAGCTAAGATATGATGATAAGACCACTCTATCGCATAAGAAATGCTTAACTTGTCGCCCTCTGCCTCTTTTCTCGTGATCTTTCCGTCATTAGTCGTCTCTCTGAAATGGCTTTGAAAGACGAACTTGCGCTGGTTTCCCAGTATCGTAACGCCTATGTATTGGCTTTCTCGGCAGCGATGGGAAGCGTTTTCTACGGATGGGACATGTAGGGTTTCAGGACATCACATTACACTATCTAAGTCTTAGTCTGACTTTGAGTGCAGCGGTCTCATTGGCGGTGTTCTGTCTCTTGCGTCCTTCCAAGAATATTTCGGCTTAGACAAAGCATCTGCATCCGTCAAAGCTGACCTGAGTGGTAACATCGTATCTGTATTACAGGGTGGATGTTTGTCAGTCGTCAAGCACATAAATTCATCAGCCTTCAGCTAATACATGTCGACGTCGTAGCTTCGGAGCGCTCGCCATGGGCTACTTCTCTGGCCGCTTTGGACGCAAGCCTTGTCTGATTGCATCCGGAATTATATATCTCATTGGCAGCTTGATCCAATCCATCGTTGGACTCGGAAGTTCTCAGAAAGTTGGTCTCCGTGTCCTGTACTGCAGCCGATTTGTGGGTGGCGTAGGTGTTGGAATGGTTTCGGCCCTCGTTCCGGCATATATTTCAGAATGCACTCCAGGAGCTATTCGGGGAAGATGTACGGGAATGATCCAACTTGCGAACAATATTGGGATCATGCTTAGCTGTAAGTGGTTAGACCGGCTGGTGTTAGTACCACGTCCTTACTATCACGTTTCAGTCTGGGTCAACTATAGCGCATCGAAGGATATACCTCGTGGAGAGATACAATGGCGCGTGCCTTTCATCGTGCAGTAAGTCTATATTTGCACTCACTCCAAGACGCGTGTCCTTTTAAGTATATGTTTGTTTCTTCATAGGATGGTTCCTGGAGTCCTTTTCACCATAGCCATCTTGTTCCAACCGGAATCACCGCGATGGCTAGTCGAGCACCGACAGTATGACCGTGCTGCCCGAACGCTCGCCTTTGTTGCAAGAAAATCGGTTGAGGATGAATCGGTTCAAGAAACGCTGGACGAGATCAAGAGCGATTTCGAGGGTAAACAGAAGCTGCCTTTGCAAAGTCAGTTTCTGCTAATGGGGGAGTCGCGGTCCACGGCCTTGCGTTGCTTTATTCCTTCTTTGGTCATGTTCTTCCAGCAATGGACAGGTACAAATGCCATCAATTACTTCAGCCCTCAGATATTTGCAAGTCTTGGAATATCGGGCACCACCTCTGGCCTTTTTGCTACAGGTACGAGTAATGCATGCACTAGTAGTTGGGAATGGACACTCAGACCGCTTTCGCCAGGCATCTACGGCGTCGTGAAGGTTTGTCCCTGATATACCCGTTGGTACCTACATTTGACGGTTCATGTTAGGTTGTCGCGGTCGCTACCGTACTGGTCTTCGCCGTTGAAGGCATAGGGAGAAAGAGATGCTTAATAATCGGCGGAATAGGGCAAGCCGCAACGATGCTCTGGATCGGTGGGTACAGCGCCATTCACACCTCTGGGGCTGTGGTTCCCGCGAGCTACGTCTCCATCGTCGCTGTGTACCTCTACGCTGTGGCCTACTGTGTCGGCTTTGGGCCTCTTCCATGGGTAGTTGCTGGGGAAGTTGCCCCTAATCACCTTCGCACCGTTGCACTGTCTCTCGCCATCGGCGTCAACTGGCTCTTTTCTTTTACGATCTCAAAACTCACACCTATTATGCTAAATGAGATTACCTACGGCACCTTCCTTCTTTTTGGTCTCTGCTGCGTTATCATGACGATATGGGCATATGCGTTCCTTCCGGAAACGTCTGGATATGCCCTGGAAGACATAAAGTACCTGTTTGAAAAAGATGTTATCCTTCGGGCATTGCAGGATGCTCCCGGAGGTACCATTTTCCTCCAAGGGAAGAGAGCGGTCCCTTTGGAGGAACGTGTTGCCCAGGACGCTCGCCGTTCATTGTATATTGACGATAGTGAAGCCATTCGAAAATCCCCTGAAGAGGAGATAACTGTGGAGCCTCGCATCTAATGTAGCTAGACCGCAACTTATGTCATATATTGAAGTCCGCCCGCAATGGTAAACAAGGAATGAATTTCGAATTCGGAGCTCTAGATGTGACTCCCAGAATGGCGGCTTACCTTCGTAGCTGGCTTACGCCCCAGCCAGCTCCTGCTCTTTCATCCTTACCCACCCCAGAGATTCGCACAGTTTTTGCTCCGCTTTCTGATGACGACGACGATGACGGCGATGTCACTGAGACCGAGAGAGATCTAGATGTCCCGCCAGCGTTTCCTAGCCTAGATAGTGCCCAAAGAGCCCATACGTCTATCATCCCGAAAATCCTTTCTGATACTGCGCTAATGCCGCCACCGCCTCTACCTCAGCTAGCTGTCCGGACCCCTGGCGTTGCGAGAGCGTCTAGCTCCCTTGCTGTTCCTCCTACTACGACCAAGCCGCCTGTGCAATCGTCCATGAAGAGAGAAAAAGTGGCTTTAGCTCCTGGACATAGTCCACTTGATTGGGCGAAGCTCAAGTCTTCCGGCCAGGACCTAAGAGTAGGTCGTCCAACAGCATTGACGTACAGTACAACTGACACAGCTATGTAGGGCGTAGATACTCTTTTGCGAATACCGCCATCTGTATTGAAACAACACAACACTCGAGATGATGCTTGGTCTGTGTTTAATGGAAAGGTGTACAATATCACGCCGTATCTTGCGTTTCACCCGGGAGGGGAGAAAGAACTTATGCGTGTTGCTGGACGAGATGGAACAAAGCTTTTCGGTTCGTTTTTCCTGCCGTTCGCAGTCACTCGTCTTATGTGTCATATCTAGGGCTAACTCATGCATGGGTCAACGTAGACTTCATGCTCGACGCGTGTATGATTGGTTTCCTCATCCCCGAGCCTACCTCCTAAAGGCAGTGTTCTGTTGCTGCACGCCTGTCTAATCACAACGATATTTTCTACTCTTTAGATCTACCAGAATAGAGGTATGCGCACCTTCTTTTTTTTTATGCTGCTTGTTAAAGGAATTAAGATTCAACTATAGCTACAGACTACAACTAGGTACTCTGATATACACGTAATAAAGCAAAATCAACAGCAATAATAATAAATAATGCGACACGAACAATGGGTAAGTCATGGCGTCCGAAATTGCAAAATCTCATCCAGTACTGTCAAGTCAAGCGTAGGAATATCTCGTTGAGAGGCAAGAAGGAAGAAGGACTTTTGCATACCAGTTAGCTGAACAAAACGAATTGTATTAATACCTTTCTGGATTGCGTGAGTAATTTCCAAAGGATTGTGTATGTTACTCTGACAAGGCTTAATGTCAGAAATATTTCAAAGTCATGACAGGATCACTAACGAGATCACCAGGGAAAAGGACTCTTCCTGTTGTTTTTCCAGGATTTATTTCAATGATAAGTGATCCCTGCTCTGGCCATTCTGTCTGCATGTTCCAAAGAGCACTTGCAACAGCTTTTGGTTCTTGTGATGATTCTATTAAGAGAGAATCGAGTGTCGGGACAGCAAGTGCAGTAGGGAGACATATAAGGTGCAAGAACAATTCATCTCTTGTTTTTTCTTCCGTGACAACCCAGTTGTTCCTGTGTCATTGAAGTATTGATCAAGATGAGCTTCTGAACAATGAACAGATGGAAAGACGCACTCTCTTGTAAGGTTCCATTTTGCGGCAATTTCCTCGCCGACGCTGAAGGAATATTCCAAAATGTCTGGACTGTCGCGAGAGAGTTGGAAAGCCCACACACCCGGGACATCGGAAACACTGTGGAGATTGTGCATGGGTTCCGGTTCATCATATACCGTGTGGTGTTCGGTTTTCGCTTCTGTTGTCCATTGGGAATCACGTTTAGATGGGTCTCCTCGTGCTGGCGATAATGATTCGCGGTTTAGACGCCGAGAGCTGTCGGGATATTGGCGTCTTCGATCATATCTTGACTGGCACTTAGATGATGTGCTACGATTTTGGGCGCTGTAATTATCTCTCCGAGGAGACGGGTCAGAATAATCTCGATGAGATCTCTTTTCTGGACGCCCCCGGTGTGGACTGCGGCTCTGGTCATGACTAGATCTTTGGTTAGAGAAGATGCGGGGTGTACGGGATTGATGGGTATCGGGACTAGGACTACGAGCATCGTAATGACTGGGTTTGCGGTTTACCGGAGAGAAGGAGCGAAGAGGTGATTTTGAATGACGAGATGAGCGAGTTTTGAGCTCGGACGTATACCGGTGATGTCTGGACGCGGAAGCATCATTATGAAAGCTACGATTCGTTCTGCTGTCAGAACGGACAGTATGAGAGGGCATATTGTTCCGATGATAGGACGATGATGGACGCGGCATACGCGTGGCATGCATTATGCTGTCTGGTTCAAGTTCTTCGTCTGGTTGGGGCAAAGTCAAGTCAGAACCTGCCTGCAGCATAGATTCGACAAGGCGAATACCAGGGCTAAGCATGACTCTGGGGGCAGCCGGGAGGATTTTTGGTTTTTCTGGCTCCGCTGTTGTATGAACCGATGAAACAAGGGACTGAGACCATGTCTTTGTTTCTTTGATCAAAGAGGGTGATAAACCCTTCAGAAATGTCGATGCGGGCGACTCATCGTCCGACGTGACTGCTTGTTTTTCGCGTAGTTCTGTTTTCGCTCTTTGGATAGTGTCGAGAAACAGCTCGTTGGCTTCATTTGTGACAACAGCATTTACTTTCCCCCCTAAACAACTCATATCCATCGTCGTAGGCCCTCTTCTGAGCTTGGCATTTTGTGATATGGCAGATATCAGTGTCGTGCGTGCAACATCGGCACGTATTTGCGGTGAACCACTGGAAGGAGTTGCAGAGTCTTCATATAGTATGCTCTTCCGTTGAATGGCGGCGGAGGAGATGTATTTCGAGGTGGATGGATCTGGGAACATTTGAGCCAGTGTTGAGCCCGGATTGGCGGTGGGAGTAGCAGAGCGAGAAAAGTGAGCAGAACGGCGCAAGGTTTTTGTGGCATTTTCGCTGGCCTGATTCACGGTATGTCGTCAAATAAAGGTATGAAAACAAGAAAAAAAAACGCACAAAAGGCGACTGGACCGTCATGAAATCTGAGATAAGCGCCCTTTCATCTTCACGTTCCGTGTTGGTGTCGCCGTTTCCGTACATTTCGTGACCTTGAATGCGAGAAAGGAGGTTGGAGTGGCATGGGGATATACGGTGTACAAGAGAATCGTCGGAATCTCTGTCTTCGGACGCTCGTAGACGCCTCGCAAGGCTGTTTGCACTGGGCTGAATGTGGTGTCCATGGCCCAGAGGTATCTGCTCTGGTGGCGACGACCAAAGTTTCTTTTGCTGCCCTGCAGTATCGATACGGCTCTGTAGGGTCATTGGAAACAGCATTCAGAATGTTGGTTGAACACGTGTTATGTAAACAGTGTTCACAATGTTTTCTCCGATAATTTGTTTTTCTATTTGGTATTGAAAAGCAAGGGATTTCAATTGAAAGTTTATATGAATAACTTTCACTAAATTTCATTCATACAAACTCGTCAAAGGTTTGTTGCACAGTTGTTGTACTGACAAAATGAAAAGGTCACGCATGAACGCCGGGCCGTCGCCGACGGCGCTTACGAGTCACATGCAATAATATCGGTTATGCTCCGGTTAATAATAATACCGGTTATCCGTAAGGGACACGAACCAGTTTCGCAAGTATATAATAAAACAGAACTTGTCAGATTAAGAAAAGCTCTTTTCGCAGTTACCACCATGGATTACAGCGCCCTTGCATTCAACGAGATACTGGTCAGATTGGAGGCCGACTCTGTTGCTGTGGTTACAATTAACAGGGCCGCAGAGTGAGTCCTTTTGCCATCTTTGCTTTATTTACCTGCATTCCGTATAGGCGAAATAGCTTCAGTCGAGGCTTGGTGAATGAGCTCATTCGCATCTTCGAGCTCGTCGACAAGGACGATAACATTCGGGTAGTCATCCTGACGGCAGACCCCACCGCTCCGGCCTTCTGTGCAGGCGTATGTTTCGTCTCTTTTTCAGAACCCCGTGTGAATCACTGCAGGCTTTCAGGCCGATCTATCAGACGGTTGGAAGGGTCTTTCTCGCGATGAAAAGCCGTCAGGCGCGTTATCTTGAGCACCTACTTTGCATAATATTCAATCTGCCACAGACCACCGGGATTCCGGTGGCAGAGTTGCTATGGCGATCTACAATTGCCGCAAAATAACAATTTCAGCAGTGAATGGACATGCTGTAGGCAAGCCTTCCTATCTGTCTTCAGATCTTCTCAGAATTCGTGTAGGCTGGAGCTGGCGTTACCGCTCTACAGCTTCCTTTTGATTTCCGTTTCGTCTGGTCCGGAGCTAAGATCACACTTCCTTTCGTCAGAAGAGGTGTTGTTCTAGAAAGTAAGCTAGAAACCCTGTTTGCATAAAAGCATACTTAACTTATCCTTGCGTCATCATAGGCTTAGCTTCCCTTCTTCTTCCCCGCCTCATAGGGCTCTCCCGTGCCAAGGCCTTGCTGCTCACTGGAGCCACGGTCCAGCCGGATTCTCCCTATATGCAAGGACTCTATCATGACGTGTTACCCACCAGAGAAGAGGTTTTCCCCGCAAGCTTGATTTTTGCCAAGGAACTAGCCGCCAATACATCCCAAGTGTCCATCGCGTACACGAAAGGATTGCTTCATCATCCGGGAAAGTCGATCGAAGAAACTCATCTGCTCGAGTCAAGGGCACTTGCAGAGACCTCAAAGAGTCGGGATGCAGAGGAGCTTACTCGAGCTTTCTTTGAACGACGGCGTCCGAATTTGACGGACACTGTATCCAACAATACGTCGGAGTGGTATCCGTGGGTGAGTTCGGATCACGCTTGCACTTTCCCAGTCGTTACTAAGGATGATGGATAGTGGACCGTTGTCGACGTCAAATCTAGGCTCTGAGCGATATCAGGGACGTCCTGGTATCTATTACATATAGCTATGTTGTACGCCTCAAACTGCCATCGCAGTCATCATCCAACTTCTGAATTACTAATAGTTACCAGTGAACGCCAGGTCAATGGCACATATTCATTCCTTTATTCCAAAAGCCAAGCTGTACCTTCAAGCTTCAAGTTGAACCCATTAGAAACACTGTCAATTTTTCTTCCACTTATAGCCCATAGATTACAGCTTGGAGTGAACTTACACGCCAGTCATATGACAGGTTGCGCAATACGCGTTTCCTCTGACGTAACGGTTTTCTAACAAGCACGACATTTCTGACAGTAATACTGCATATAAGACGATCTCCGCGAAGAAAGTCCTTTCCCCTTAGCAGCAGTTGCAATGGCTCCAGTCGCTATTACCGACGTCACTCCTCGCAAATCAGCCGCGAGCGAAGAAAAGCTCTTCAACCCCTTCTACTCTCCTGCTATCAGCGACGACGGCAATACTTCTTACAAGTTCGCGCAATTCAAGGTGCCACATTCCAAGCCCAATTCACAAAGAGAACTGACTATATACCTTGTAGCCTTACTTCCCGGATGTTTCCTGGGAACCACTGTCTGAATGCGAAGTCATGGAACGTGGGAAATTGGCAGATCCCGAAAAGAGAGCCTTACTAGGCGCTGCACACAAAGTCAAGCATCTCACACCAGCCATCGGAACCGAAGTTCTCGGAGTTGATCTTCGCCAGTTATCGGATGCGCAGAAGGATGAACTGTAAGTTGCTGGCAGAATTTTGAACGGTGAACAATGCCTCAATTCATTTCTTTTCAAACAGGGCCCTACTGGTAGGCGAAAGGGGTATCGTAGGTACGTAAAGTGAATGAGGGTATGATCAATGATAGTGATGTCCTTGGAACTTGATAGTCTTTCGTGATCAAGACATCGACATCTACGGCCAGCTGGATATTGCTCGCTATTATGGACCTCTCCACAAGCATGCCACAACCCCCATTCCCAAGAACGGGTTGGAAGAAGTTCATGGTGAGAATACTTCTCCTTTTTATATGAGGTTTAGTCAAACGTACTTCAATAGTGGTGTATAACGACTCATCCCGCCGGCCTGATCCGTCTGCGTTTTCTAAGTTGGAATTATGGCATTCAGATGTCAGTATATCCAGTCTCCGTCCTGCATGTGCCATATCACATTTACGATAGGTCAGCTACGAGGTCCAACCGCCCAGTACAACGTCACTCAAGGTCATCACTGGTCCCGAGTTTGGTATGGAGTTCGGCGCTTTTGTCCTTATCAATGTTGTTTACTTGTTCGCCAGGCGGGGATACTCTGTTCTCATCTGGGTCAGTGGTGAACAACCCAATAGACATGCCTTTGTACTCACCTAAATTGACGTTAAGCTACGCGTTGTACTCTTCGCTCTCCCCCGGGTTCCAGAGATATTTGGAAGGGTTGGACGCCGTTCATAGCGGCGTTGCGCAAGCGGAGGGTGCGCGCGCTGCAGGACTACCCGTGCGCCGGAAGGAAATCGAAAGCGTTCACCCCATTGTTCGAGTGCATCCGGCGACAGGGTGGAAGAGCGTCTACGTCAATCCCGGTAAACCTTATCTCATGCTTGCTGTAACGCACGTCAATTAAATGGTTGTTCCACAGGTTTCACCAGACGCATTGTGGGCGTTTCCAAGGCGGAATCCGATGCTATTCTGGCGTTCCTCTTCCACCAAATCAGCGACAACCCCGATCATCAAGTAAGAATCAAGTGGGAACCGGAATCTATCGTTTTCTGGGATAACAGGGTGGGTGGAAGATTATCAATTCAGCTTGATCATTCAAGAGCTCACCATTCGATCAGGTTGTAACCCATTCTGCGACGTTTGACTTCTGGCCCGAAACGAGGCACGCTTTAAGGGCTACTCCGCATGGAGAGAAGCCAATGTCAGTGGAAGAATATGAAAGAACGACGGGAAAAGTCGCGAAAGACCGACAGGTTGAGATTTGGAAACAGAAGGGGTTGAAGGTCGATGGTCTTGCCAAAACTGTCGGCAGACCACGAGGCTACAACGATTAATGTAATGCTGAAGAGTTCACATGTTGCATCTTGTAAATACTTCCATAGGAAATGTCGTTTGAAGGAAAAGGTAGATCTATCTTGCATCTGATCCGATTGCATACGAGCATCAGATCGATCATTGTCGTTCGGTGCTTCGGTCCGAGAAAACATGATTAATGGTGAGTGGAAGACTCGGATCCTCTTGATCATAAATTATGGTCTGCTGTCTAACCTAACCTTGAGACACACCGTCGAATGCGCGGTTTCACGTTTGAATACTACAAATCGATAGCCACTAATACTCTTTTAACAATGTTGTCGGATCTTCCAAATGGGCCTCGCAACCCCCACGGGGAGGGCTCCAGCCTCTATCCAACGACCGATTCAGGACTAGATCTACCTATTTAACGGTGGCGCCCAGGTTATCTTGATGCTATATTCATATTTGGAGTAATCCATATTAGATCCGCGTTAGATCCAACCTCCCTCTTGCAAAGTTAGCATCCCCAAGATAAAAATAATATGCATATGAAGATACTATGTACTTACTACACATTACAAGTGTTCAATGGACAGCGGACAAAGGGACGCTATGCTAACACTAAAAGCATTAATAAGATCTCGTAAAAATGTGAAGATGTCAGAAAGTCCCCCACCTCATCCCACCTCACCAAAATGCCCCCCCCCCCAGTAACACAATAGATTATGCACAGGACCCAATGGAACAACGATGCAGAGACTGAAAGTGATAGTAGCTGAGGTGAAGTTAACGAGCTCGATGCGCAATGTAGGGCGTTCAACTGACATAGGAAAACAGGAAAGGAGGCGTTTGGGAGTTATAAATGATAAATCGACAAAATACCTAACGCGTAGGGGGGTGGGAGTGCGCTGTTCTCACAAAAGATTGGGATTGCATCTGTTCCGACGAGTATGAGCGGTTATTTGTCGCCCAAGGGGGGGGAGGAGCAGCCATCGAGGTCGTCGAGGTAGAAGGAGGAGGGTGAATACTCGGCTGTGATGATAGACGACTGGCATCAGAAATAGGAGACTGCTCCTGCGCGGGCGCCACGGGCACAAGCTGGAAGGAACTTTGGTGATGTTGAGCCTGTTGAGACGTCGAAGGTCTCTCGATAGGTGATTCCGGCTCGGTTTTTCGCCGCGCTTGATGTTTGGCCGACCGAGAATGCGATTTGTCCTGCTCCGCTGCCCGTGCAGAAGCACGAAGTGTATCCATATCGATACGGGGTGGTTCGCCGCCGTTGTGCTGTTTATCTTGCTTCCGCATTAGCTTCGCATAGTCTGAAATCCCGTATATAGATCAACGACCGAGTAAAAAAAGAACATAGGTATGAATACGTACGGAGGCCACATGCATTGCATAGGGTCCTCGCCCCGTCAGGCCCTCTACGCCATTCTGGCGTCTCCCTTATATTACAGGAGTGGCATTTCCCTGGAGGTGTGGCCCGCTGCCCAGACCAAGCATCGGAAGACGAGTCAACCTCAAACGGTAGCAAAGACAGAAAATATATACTCACGCTTCGCTTCCTGTATTTATTCTTTGTCTGACCAATTGAACCACCGCCTCCGGCAGTACTTGTCGCACGTTTGCTACGTATTAGCTCCATGTCAAGTTCAGCCGCAGACGGTGGTTTAGGTGCAGGATCAGGTGAAGCATATTCCTATTGAGATCAGGGTCGTGGCGTAAACATCTTTAACGCCGACACTCAAGAAACCAGTACGCACCTCAGGGTACGGTCCTTCGGTTTCGCCCGCAGCACCGTCATGAGACATATCTTCCCATGGACGCTTAGGTTGCCGATGATCATCGGGAGACCTGACAGTCACCGGGCTGTCAGTTCTGACACGCTCGCCGTCGGGTTGCATCTGTCGCCGAAGATCTTCCAAAAGACGGACAACGTAGTTGGCTCGGTGTTGCATATCAGCCAGCTCCGCAGGAGAGGGTTGAGAATGAGGAATGCTGGCTTGCATTTGTGCTACATTTGAAATGTTTGAATTTGCTAGATGGCCAGGATTATTCCTAGAGACGCACCATAACGGCTGGCAAATGAATATAAAATCGAACAATGCTTGACGATCTATTTCAAGGGGTGAAATGATGCGAAAGTTATGGAGACACATCTCTTACCTCATTAACTAGGCTGTCGCGAGCAGAGGCGCCATTCGGAGGATAAGAAGCAGTTCGCGTATCAACATCAGTAGGAATCAGAGCCGTTGTTCTGGTAAAAGAAGGTTGTGGTTGGGGCTGCTGGACAGGCGGACGTGGTGCCGGAACATGCATTGCCTGGGGCTGAGGTTGCTGATGTATGTTCTGATGGGGATGCTGCTGTACTGGCGGCTGAGGTGCTGGGGCAGGTATGGCTGCGGGGCCAGGCGCTGGGGCAGGCGCGGGTACGGGTGCAGGGGTAGGTATAGGTTGCTGATGGTGATGTTGATGCATAAGATGAGAAGGCGCAGGTGGATGGTGAGCATGCGGCTGAGAATGCTGTTGTTCCCAATGGTCCTGAGGTGGCGGCGGTGGAGGATGGACAGGTGATTGGTATGCCGGATTCATGTGGTGAGGATGTTGAGCATGAACTTCCGGAGGCCGCGGCTGGGAAGGCGGCATGTATGGCTGCTGATAGGACGCGTATCCAGGATGAGGTTGCACCGGACTATGATGATGCATACTGTGGGTATGAGAAGAGGGACTAGGATGTACTGGCGGGCCGGGAGGCATAGAATGGTAGGGGCTTGCCGGATGCTGCTGATGTTGCTGATGCGACGGGTGAGGCGGCGGCTGGTGCGGCGGCTGTTGATGCGGCTGGTGAGCCTGATGAGGATGCATGTACGGCGTGTGAGCATAATGAGCAGGAGAATACGACATCTATTCATGCGACGAGCGGTCAAATAACAGGCACTACAAACACGGTAGATGACTTACAGGAGGCGGTCGTGCATCGCGGGGCACATCGACAGAAGAGGAGCTACTTGTACGAGCTCGTTTGTGGTGGCCATGCACATGGGACAAATCGTCACCGCCGCGCACGGTTCCACTACTGCTGGCCATGGGTGCTGGCGCCTGAGCCATTTGCCCAGAAAGGGGCATCCCAGGAGCGACATAATGATCATGTCTTGGAGGAGGGTGTGAATAATCAATGATTTTATGTACAGGTTGTTCGTGGCCTGCAGACAAAGGTGGGGTATGCTGCTGCTGAGGCTCTGGATGGTGAGTCGACGCGGGCGAGATGGAACTATGCGTATTTGCGCGTCGCCACTGTTCAACATGACGAAGAGATGGGTCTTGGCGAAGGTCCTGGCGCACTTGATGGTCCTGGCGCACAGAATGGTCCTGCAACTGGGCACAAGGATCGACAGCTACTGATACATGTCCAGAAGAAGGACCGTCCTGGTCCAATGGAGGCAAATGATAGGAGAAATTGAGGTCTTTTAGTGAGGGCAAGCGCCTGTTATTGTACGGATTGGGCGGGGGAGGAAGCGAGTATCTCGAGTCCTGGGCTGCATGATGAGCAGCAGCCATGGGCGGGCTACCAAGGATCGGCTGTATGAAAAGAAAGTGAGATCAGGAGATGCAGCCGTGATGGAGTGCTTTCGATGCAGTTTTCGAATCTGGATATATGTATCTCCCGATGACGGCGGATCTTGAAATAAGAACAAGTCAACGGACGTGCAATTTTCGCCGGGAAAAGAGGGAATAAGAACCTGAATTCCACACAAGGGCACCTATTCCTTCTGTTGGCGAATAGCAAAGGAGACGAACACGTCGGCGACGAACAGGACAGCCAGCAAACGAGGCAGCAGGCACTACAGTTGGCAAGAGACCAGTGTCGGCAAGGGGAAAGAGAGGGCGCTGGTGTCGATGGTGATGGAAGACCAAGGAGAGTTGCGAACAATTGAGCGGACGGATATGCGCCTTGGACCAAATCACCCCAGCCCGTCAGATCTCGCTTTGGCGGAGTTTAAAATGTCGTTATTTTTTTGTTATTTTGTAGATAAATTTATTGGGCCTCAAATTTACTGGAAACACTGCTTGGTCGTTATATATCAGCCATTGTACGAGCTGGCTAGTGCTGTATCAGTGTTTTATTCCATATGATATCCGTGCTCGCCCTCTTTTCACGCTTTAGAGAGGCTGAAACGCCAATACACGCAATCTCTGATCCACTTCTGTCCTATCTAGATCGATTAATCAACCCTTACGTGACGAGTTGGTGACTTTTTATTCTCAGATGCGAAAGGCAAATCGGTGTCCCCTTCTCCTGCCCTTCTGCGGCTACTCCACCTTTGAGATGCTCTCCGTGTGTGCTCCAGTCCCTCTAGGACCTGCCTCAAAGTGTCGTTACGCTTTCTGCATTTTTCCCTCACGTGTAGTACCTGATCAGATCCAGTAATTTCAAGGGCCCTGAGCAAGATCACATTAGGGCAGATGGGAACAAACGTCGTGGAAATTGCCGAATCTCGCTGTGGTGCTCTTACTCCATTTGCTCGACTGGGACTACCTCTTACAACATGCCGTTCTACTGCTATCTGCTCGTTTTCTCCTTGTCCCCGACGCCACGAGGTCCAGGCCTTGTGGCACTGGTACTGTATCAGCTGCACCCTATGGTACTATACGATCTTGAAGTTGGTTTGCATCTATGCCTATGGGCGTCAGCCTGTTATGAATTTGTGTATGTCGGCATAGATGCCGTTTCCGTCTGAACGGGAGCAATACTTTCAGGCAATTTCATTCCTGTAAAAGATTCGTGCTCCACAGGGGTTCAATTTCATCTCATGGAGTACCTTCACTTGACAGCAAGACCGAAAACATACGTTTGCGTACAGGCTGTCCTGGCATTATCCGGAAATCTTGACAATCCGGAAGGGCCTAATAACTCTGTAGCGGCTCCGAGCCGATCCCAACGCATCTCAGCAGTACGCCTTATATAAATGTGGATAGACTTTCAACATGTATAGGACTCTTATCGTCCGCGGCCCATCCGCCTTCGTCCTGGAATCTGGCACGCCTGCACTCGCGTACCAGTACGAACTCTGTTTCTACCCGGGGGGAAATCCCTGAACCCTGCGGAGCAAACACGGATGTTCGAGACATGCTGAATGAATGACACGCATGATATGCGTATTCGACTGGATGGATAAAAAGACAGGCACAGGCATTTAAAAGTATTGTTCTCAGGCCTGGCTGCTTCCTGTCATGCATGGAACTTGCTGTGAATGCTCTTATCCGGCATCAGCTACTACGACGAGAAGCCTGGCGGGGATGAAGACACCAGGATAATCGGAGCTCGTCGAAGGTTTCTGCCAGAAGGACAGCCGTCTCTGTCCGACAGAAGCTGCTATATCACCCCCCCACCCCCCCATGACATCCTCGGAAACATGTGGTTTCAGCCTTGCTGGCTGGACTTTTAGCATAGTGAATGGTGTTTCGCAGCACTGCGTAAGAACGTAGCGGGACTTGTACTGTGATTGGGTGAACATTGGTCACAGAACATACCCAACCCAACCCGGAGATCTTCCAGAGATCGAGATGAAATCATCCAACATCCAAACCGAGCACTCTTCTATGCTAAACGTTCGCGGGAATGGGAGTCGCTTCGAAATATCCGGCGACGCCCTGGTTTGCCACGCGATGGCACCTACCCGTGCGAGATCACACGATCGCCGTATTTCGATCCCGCAGAAAAGATCCATCTGACGCATCGATTCCAGTCGATCGCGACTCAAAAAGAGTCTAATAGATATACGAAACGTTCGAATCGGTACCTTCATGGCGGGAGATGCAGCTAACAAACTGCGCCGGCTACGTCTCGCTATCCAGACAACGGGGATCTCTCTGCGTACGGCATGGGTCTGATGATGCTAGATGGAACACTGAAGCACTCACACAAGGACATTAAGAATTCATACCATCCTCGGAGCATGCCTGTGAACTTGTCAACAATTCATCAAGCAGCGCGGCTACTTTCTGCCTCGCTTCGGACTTTTCCTTTTGGACAGCTTTGAGTTCGGCATCTCGTCGCTGCGAAATCTGGGATTCATCAGATAGAAGAAGCAGTAGCTTCATGGAATGGGTTATAGAAAGCAATGAATTCGCCGCTCGAACCTGCGCCCTCGTGCATGAAAAACCAGAAGGAGGAGCATCATGCGATGAATGGGCGTACCATGGATTCTGCTCGAGACTGCGCTTGAAAGGCTTCCTGGGCCATTCGGAACTTGTCCTTATCTCCTATCTACAGAGAGATCAGATGTGCCCCCTTCATATTAGAGTCAACATATGCACCAAAGCGAGGCTGACCAGGTCGACCATCCCATCGACCAGGGTTTCCACCTCCAAATCCACTTTTTTGTTCCATTCTTCTTCAATGGTATCGAGGTATTCGGATGAATTTTGATCGACAAGACTTTGTAGACTTCCTCTCTGCAAGAGATTGGCCGTTGGAAGAGCAGACGGCCTGGATACATCGGTCTGCGGGATCTCGGACATGTTGCAAGTGGAATCAGTGCTTGTGGTTCTGCATCAAGGCTGCATCCGAGTAAAAATGTGCCGAAATCGGCACAGAGAGTATGCCGAATATCGGCCATCATGCATTTCAGGTGCTCCTGTCCTCTGTCCTAAGCCAGAGTCTGGTTTTACGAGTACCTAACCGAGACTGTCTTTGCCGTCCCATGGGCAAAACGCGCAAACGCAGTGCTCCCTTCACTGGCTTTTCCCGTTTCCTTCAAGCTTCTTTCGACCAGTCCTCTACCCAAGTAAATGCCCTTCCGACTCCAGCTTGTTCAGGAAGCTCAAATGATGCAGAGGTCGAGGTCGAGACCACCGAACCACCGCCGAAAAAGTACAAACCGAACCAAGGTCCTGCTATTGTGACTCCCAAAGTGTCCCAGCAAAATGACTTTGGTCCTCATTGGGTTGACAAGTACGATGCCACGGGCCTCGTCGAACATTATACAGATCCTTCCCAGGTTCCAGAGCACCTCAAAAAATGTGCGTGTCTTTACGTTGTCCTCTATTCATCACTGACAAGGGCAATCAAATCAGATTTCTCACAACGTACACGTTTTTTCTCCCTTTATTCGACGCCTCCTGGGTGTCTGTTGGACGAGGAAGGCTGGTATAGTGTAACACCGGAGCTCATTGCAGACCAGATTGCCGAGCGGTGTCGATGTGATACCATCCTTGACGCGTTTTGTGGCGTAGGAGGAAATGCGATCGCCTTTGCAAAGATCTGCCAGAGAGGTACGTGGCCTGGATTGTGGCCTGGATTGATACTACTGACATCATGCTGATAGTAATAGCGCTGGATATCTCACCCGCACGTCTGGCTTTGGCACGGCACAATGCGCAGATCTACGGAGTCGCAGACAACATCGAGTTCATCCTTTCTGACTATCTTTCCTTTGCAAACTCGTGTCTTTCTTTTCGGGAACGATCCGCCCATCGAACCATCGATGTCGTGTTCCTGAGTCCCCCGTGGGGCGGGCCCTCATATCTAGCAGGAACACCATCTCCAATCAAAGTCGATGGCGCATCCCAGGATCAGCCAACAGAATACCCATCGTATTCATTGGCGTCAATCCAGCCAGTCCATGGTGCTGACTTATTTCGTCTTACTCGTCAGATTACGCCCAATGTGGCTTACTATCTCCCAAGAAATACCGACGTGGAAGAACTCGGGGCGCTCTTGGACGACAGTGCGCAGACGAAGGAACATATTGAGGTGGAGGAAGAGTGGATGGGGTCAAAACTGAAAGCTTTGACATGCTATTTTGGAGGTTTAGTTGAAGGCCAAGGAGAACTGTTCTGAGATATCTTGCTGTCTTGTTTTTTGTATGCTTACTATCCGTGCTGCTGTAGGTAGATAGGCTTTGACTTATGAAGAACATAACTGCAGACACGAAACTTTGCCTGAATTACAGCTCTCTGTTCTTAAAGCCGACAACTCTGTACTAAATTTCATCGTCATTCTTCAGACAGACTTTTTAGACACCCTCACCGACTCCTTCACCTTGGTTAGCCATTCTTTATATTCCTTCAGATAATGTCTTCTCAGTGGTATTGGTTCTGTGCATGTTCAGCTGAAACAGTGACCATGGCCGTGCCTTCATGAGCGCAAGCTTCATGCCATGGACTCCTCTATTTTACAATCTCTTAACTTGTGAAACCCAGAAGGGACACAATCCAAGCTTCTGGCTTGCTTTGCTTTGGAATGTTCAATGGCTTATTCATGCGAAGCATGATGGCAGCTATGGCGCTTGAATATGAGGCATCTACATCATTGGCATTTGGCAGACTGCTCAAAGATCTCTACAAGTTCCGCCAAAACGGGGACATTACGATGACACTGTCACCGCATCAGTTCAGGAGACTGGAAGTGGCGAATGATTACGAGGCGTACGCGATGTGGCAGGCTGACAGACAAAGATCTCGGTCACTTTGCTTTAAGATCTATAAGTATCCCGAGATCGATGTGCCAAAGAGGATACTAAGCGGCGCTTACTGCGATAAAGCACAACTCTGAACATGCTTGTCGACACCATGGAGCTCTCAGCTAGCGAGATATCCTATCCAATCAACAGCGATGAATAGTATTAAAGCAATTCTCAACAATACAATATATATAGAAACACGAGAGCCTGAGTACTTGAGCATTCACACTTATAATAAAGACCTTCTGTACATTTGACGACAGGCCTTGAAACTAAAGCATTCTTCTAGCATCGATCTCCCGTTCTCTCGCTTGACGATTCGACGCCTCCAACCTCTCTAAACCCCTTTTAATACTCTTCATGTGAACCTCGGGTGGGATGGAAGATCCCAATAGTGCTGGTTCAGCGACATGCTCTCGGAGAGTTTCAATGTTTCCACTCATTTCATGCAGCGTATGCAGTGCGGAGTAGACATGTTGAAGGGCTTTCCGTCGATACTCACCCAGGTTGTTGAGCAGTGCGAGCTGACGGTCATGCTTTCTCAACGCGTGTTTGTTTCCACCGAGGAAGGTCCACAATGCGGCGAGGAGCTCTTCCTTGCCGGCAGTTACTTCCGAATCCTCTCGTGCAATGATGTCGTTGATGACGATGAGATTCCCCTCTAGATCCTCAAGGTTCTTCAGCTGCACTTGAGCTTTGATAATGAGGTTCTCTGTCATTTGCGACAGCGTGTCCATCGATTCACCGAATGACTTCAGGATTATGTCATCTGAGGAAGAAGAAGACGACCACGGAATGAGTTTGTGGAGAGAATATTGTGCATCATTGGCGCGCGCTCCCTCGATAGTCTTTAGTGAGTAGTCATTGACGGCAACAATACTGGGCGCAGGTAAATCAGGTCATGAACGAACACACGTATAACACAAACCAGCTCACCGATCCACGGTGTGTTGCACATGGGAACTAAATCTTTGCAGCCCTACAGCGGTTGCTTTGGCTGTTCCAATGAAGTTCGACAGCGCGTCGGAGAGTCGCTCTCGGCTCTTGAGTTGGCTGACACGCACGAGGGTAGCGAGGTTTGATGTGGCCATCTCCGCTTTTCTAAGGTCTAAAGAGAGTGCTGATCCATCGACGGACACATCCAACAATTGCTCAAAGGTGGCGCTTTGAACCTCTACGAGCGCCGAAAAATTGGCTTGTTTAGGACAATGTGTATGAGGCAGGTGAGGAGCACAAAGTGTTGAATGGGATATGCCAGGGACGATGCAGAACGGCTGAAGGGCGGCATGAAGGGCTCCGGATATCTTCCCGAAGAGGAACGTTAGCGTCCATAGAAATACGAGAAAAGAGAGGGGCCTTTTGAGGAAACGGATAGCTTGGTGGACGACGTCTAAAGTGTACCAAAAGGCAAAGGATATCCCTTCCAGTATTCCTTCAAACCAAAGTGGACCATCAAAGTATTCAGCTGCGGTAACAGCCAATCGACGGCGTTGTTGCCTTCGATTTTCCTCAAGGATGTGACGGTTCTTTCGAGAACTAAAGCGGGGAGCGCTGGAAGCTGCATTCTGCTTACGCATCGCTGCAGATCGTCTGCTGATCCGCGAAAGCGACTCCGGAGCCTCCGTTTTTGTTGGAAGCACCTTCTCTTCAGCGATAGCAGGGTCCTCGTCCTCCCATTCCTGATCATCCTCAAAGGAAATCTCCCTCTCAGCCTATAAACATGAAAGAGAAAAACAATCAAGTAAGTGTTCAGACGATTTAGAAAGAAATTCGTTGGGAAACTGACCATGGGCACGGTTTGGAGGGGAATCCTAGACGCCATGAGAAAGGCTGCAAAGAAAGGAAAACCGTGACCTTTGTGACCTACCTAGGAAATCAATGCGAAGAACACGAGTTGGTGAGTTTTGCGTCATAGCTGATCACGGCGTCGAACTGGTTCAGAGGAAGTAGGCAGGCAGTACATGCAACAGAAACGGAGCGATACGGAGAAAGTACATCGGGGTATAATGGGTATCAGTTAAAAGTAGATACAGCCTGAGAGCTTTAATAACAGGTTCAATTGGTCAATTTCGGGGACCGTTGCTTTGAAGTTGAGATAAAAGCTGACAGCGTTAAGCCTTTTTGTTCTGCTTCCTAAATCACGACATCGAGAAAAGTTGTTAGCGCGGTCATTACAGTCAAAAACATGGCCACCGGGTGACCTTAAGGGAGAAATACGAAGCTTTTTAACCAACGTACTTGTCCCCGAACCCTCGGGCCTCATTTCTTATTGTTAAAGAGTTGAAATTATGGAAAGCGAAAGACAGAGTTATTCGGAAGTGCGAAAAATAATGGGAAACGATATATATTGCTTACCGCGGGAGTTCCTAGCGTATCGATAAGATCCTGGGACGAGTGGTGAAAGGTGAAAACCTGCACATGGACCTCGATGGAACAGTCCAAGAAGGGGAAGTGATCGGATGAGTCATCAGCGATATGAACCGGTTCGGACCAATTAGGCAGGTAGACAGGCCAGGATGTCCCGCTCCGTCACTAACAATAAGAAAAATGTACCAAATGTCTGGATTGACCGGTCGCGCTCTTTTGTCTCGTCTCCTTGTTGCGTCCAGTTTTTCGCAGGAAATAATCCTCCTTCTTCCTTCTCTCTTTTCCTGTCCTCTTGGGATACCTTCGTGATACTTGGCGCTTTGGGCCCTATCACTACCGATAAGCCTTCAGTTTGCTTGCAGTAATCAGCTGGAATACTCATCAGGACATATGCAAGTATCGTTAAGCCGCCACTTCTTCGACCGTTAATCATTTTGCCTGTAGACATTAATATCCCGCAAACATGCTTGACGCAAATCATTTTGTGAGCGATAGTCTGTCCTTGGTTCTGGATCCGTACCGATGATAGATTCCCTAGGGTGGTGTTGGAAGTGAGCACGGACCATCCCCCACCGATGTAGATATCTCTTTCGCTCTATTTCTATCCGCGAAATTTGACCTAAATGTTCCAGAACTACAAGAGGGCAGTCTATAGACAACCCCCTACTCGATTTTCTGTAGAAATGCTCACGCCAACGAAGCAAGGTCTGGTTGGTATGCATTTTCACTGCTCATCTGCTCATAGCATATAGGTGGGAGCTACAGCTTTGGAATGCGCATCTGTCCGATTACTCGCGGTGACCGTTCCTCTATCTCGTCTGACGGGTCCAACTCCGAGTATGACATCTGGCGGCGGTGGGAGGATTGGCTTTGGTTTCAAGATATCGTTGAAGAGCAGTACCGTCTTCAAGCAAGGGCAAAACGTCAACGTCTTCTGGCTGGCAAAGGGGTAAAGAAGGACGGCTTCTATAAGCAGGACATGGCGTCCTCTTGGGAGTCTTTACCGCCAGGTCCAGATCCCCACTCGGTTGCTCAAGATGTCCATGAACTAATACCCAAATTGACCAAGAAGGGCACCCTCTTTCGGGCCAGCCAGGCCACCATTGACCAGCGCTTTGCCGAAATCCAGGCATTTGCTAAAGCACTTTTCAGAGATGACGTACCTATACTGTTGCTAGACCTCAGAAGTGAGCGCATCGTCACTGATTTCTTCGGTCTTTGGCGCAGAGATTATGATCTTGCCCAGAAGATCGAGAAACAAACTCGTTCAAAGTCTCGGTCGCCGAAGACAGATAGCATTCTTTCGAACTACTTTTCGAACGCGTCATTGCCGTCAGTGGATACGCCTTCTCGGCGGTCTATGGACAGTGTCTCGAGGAAGTCATTTACATCATCCTCCGTTAACGCTTCCATCCAGAACTTCAAGTATGGTGCCTCCATCAGTAGAACCTCAGTTTCTTCCTTGTCCCCTCCAATCGTTGTCGAGAGGCGACGGCGGGAAAGCTCAGTATCATCGGACTCGTCCTCTACGCTGACGGCCACGTCTTCAAGAAGTTCAGGTGGCTCGTTACATTCCGTTCCTTCTATCGCTGAGGAGACGTCTGTATCGTTTGGTCATAATCCTCAAATCTCAGACCAGGCCTCCCCATATCTGGAGGCCTTACCTGAGGATCGAGAAATCTCTAGTAAATCTAATTATCGAGGCAACTCTACTGTTTTCTCTCCGGCACACCAGTCAGCCTTGGAGCGAAAAAGTCGTCGCAGTGTGCAGGTCATTGGGGTTCCAAAGGATTTCACTCAGGACATGGAAGCGCTCAATTTAAATGAGGAGCAACCAAGTGCGATACTTGCTAGTTTTCATTAATGTCGACTAATTGTGCATGATATCTCCAGGAAATCGTGCTGTCCGAGAATCATGGCAAACGATGATGTCCGGCGCCTCTATCATTGATGGTATTGGTTTAACCATGCCGTTCTCTCCCGAAGACGCGTCCCAAAGATCAAGATCATCCGTCGCCAGCTTTGCTACGTTCATGACCGATAGCTCTGCGGACGCGATCATTCCTCGGTCCACAATACCCCGCCCCATCTCTGGTGCCACCGTCCGAAGGCATCCATGCTATAACCAGCTTTCTTCAGCCCTCTCTGAGGGAGACATGTGGTTGGATCCTGAAGGAGATCTGCTCGACACTTACTTTCGTGGTACGATCACAAACCACATCATTGCGCTATATACTCACGTCAATCATCAGATGCCTTCCAACGTCCTGACTCTCTTATTTCTCGCAGCTACGGCGGCAGTCGCTCACATGGTACAATTGGATATCATTCTTCAGGTGCCAGGTCACTTGAATCTATAGATTTCATTATGCCTTCTGAAGCGGACGATAACTGTGATAATACCTCCACACTAGATGTTCCCATGACCGCGCGACCCGTACTACCCCCTTCTCCAACAGCGTCCATGTTCTCCACAGTAACATCGGCAAGCGCTGCAAGCGCACTCTCAGATATGACCACTGATACCCCGATATCACCCACTGCCCCAATCACTGTTAAAGCAGCTTATAACGGGTCCATTGTTATCTTCCGTGGTACTCGTGACGTCCCTTTCAGCGATGTTCGATATCGTATACGCGACAAGTTTATCAGGCAGGAAAATATCTGGCTCTCTGATTTCTTCGCTTTGGCCATCGTCGTGACTGATGAGTCCGCCTCGGCTGGTATTCGTAACCGGTCAAGCTCTCTTTCATCGATCTGCGATATGGATATGAAGCTGATATCCACGCCTGATGAGTGGCGCTGGGTGATGTCCTATGTGAAGAGTAGTAAAATTACGCTTCGAGTGCTTGGGAATTATTCATAACACGTCTTGTATTTCTTCTACCTTTGACATTGGCATTCACCGCTCACTTATCTTCGTTCACATAGCACATTTTCTTTGGTTTCTACATAGCGTTTCCCCGTTTATTCGTTCAATTCTCATTGGGGACCACCTTCTCGAGTTCACAGAACTCATTTTTTCCCTTGGCATGAATAAGATCACTCGTCATTAATACAGAAGCACAATATATCAAATCTAAGCATCATAGTATCACGCACCGACTCGTGTTTGAGACGGCGATGTTTGGGTCGCACCATGGGCTACTAAAGACGCCGGTGGGGCACCTTGTGATAACGGTATTCGTGTCCAATCCGGAAGAATACCGTTGCGGCCCACGGTCATTGAAGTATCCACATTCATGCCGTCATCACCACTCAAACGAGTCTCATCCCATTTTTCTCTGGTTAGTTCGACCCCACCGGTCTTAAGCGAACCAGCTAAAGATCCGCCAACCCAAGCCATGGTGGCAGGTGTGAACGCGGGTGCTTTGCCGGCATTCGATCTTGCTCGCGCCGACATCTGGGCGGTTTGAGGAGAAGGGTTATTGAGAATGGCAAAATGTGATGTCAGTGGTCTCAAAGCTGCATAACGGTCATACTGAGGCGGTAACGGCCTATCAGGTCGAATAGGCTGTCTGGTTGATGGTGGTAGTGGGGCAAGGGCACGCAGTATTTCACTGTATAGCCTTGGGATGAACCCTGGGAGCATAGACGTGCCACCCACGACCAGAATAGACGATGCTAGTGTTTTTCGCAAGTCAACGGCTACCTGAGATAAATGTAAATGGTCAGAATGAAAGAAAGCGAAATAGAGGGGAGAAGTTGCCTTTAAAAGGGAATCCAAAATAGCTTCGGCAACGCTACTTTCATCCATGTCACCTCTTTCGAAGAGAATTTCGGCTGTCCTCTCACGAATCCACCCGGGTATCACCAAAGTGCCATGCCCAGTGCCGGTCTGTTGCGAAACGGGTGGAACAACGCGCATCGTCAAGTCTGTAGCGGTGGAATTTTGTTTGTACATTGATGCAAGAACTTGCAAGTAATTTTCTCCATTGCGTGGCCCGTCGTCCGATATTGGTGTACGGGAAGTGGAAACAACAGAAAAATCTGAATCAACTTGTGAAGACATGCTGTTTCCGCCGGTGAAAGAAAAGTCGGATTCTGTGGTGTCGCTGAGAGGAATGTCGATATCTGACGACGGGTCGCCCCCGGGAGTGGCTTCCGGGAGCTCGTCAGCCATCCCTAGAGCTTCTCCTACAAAACAGCATCGAGTTTTTATCTCCTCGATGACGGCACTAGTTAATACCTCTTGAGGCACACGGGTGGCACGACTGGATGTAGGAATATTGATGGAGGCACTCAGAGTCGTGGGCGGAGGTAGATATGTTCCAAAGAGGAGTATGAGAGCACGCAAGTGCGATGATAACCGTGCACCTGCTAAAGGTGTTGTTCGAAGTTGCGGGAACATCGGCCTGGCGGCAAAAATCTACTCTGAAATCATGAAAGAGACTGCATATATTGACAGAAAGCCACTCACCGGCAGTGCTACTGACTCCAAATGGCCACAGTCGATAACTAATCCTGTAATACGGCCTACGGTGAAGAGGGAAAGAAGATGGCTTGATGCAAAAGAAATTGAAGGAACCTGCGCAACATATTCAGCGACCTTGAATATCAGGTAAGGCGGACCCGAACCTGAAGATTGTCGAACAAAATCTGCGCAATGACGTCCTTGATGTACAGGGGGAGAAGGGGATGTTCGACCAGTATGACCTTTCGTGCTTTTGGATCCGTTAACAGAGAGCTGTACAACTTGAATACAACGACAGGAAAGAGGCAAATATGGAACGTACTCATGGAAAACGGATCTCAGGCACCGTTCAAGATTGATGGATAACAATTTGTTCTCTTCTGCTTTGTCTGCTGGATTTACCGCGCGCTCAAGTCCCCAGAGCGCCGTGCCCGACTTTCCACCAGCATAAAGAACTTCTCGAGGCCTTCCCTCCCCACTGAAGCCTACTTTCCATATCCGAGAGCCAGGATCAATGATAACTCTGTCTTCTACACCATATAAAGAGTGCCGTCGAGTGGTGGAATAGTGCGGCGAGGCTTGAGTGGCATGTGTGCTGGCGATTCGTGATGTTGTCGGCGTTGTAGGGATCGTCGTCCTCACGCGAGACGATGAAGACAGAGCAGACATGATGTATCAATTATAGAACCATGGCGGTTGTTATCAAAGATGGTCACAAGTTGATCAGGATTCAGTGTGCACGTCTTAGCGGGCTTATCAACTCCAGCTGTCGTATCAGTCAATGGCTGGTGTGTATTATACAATATGTTACAATAAAGTAGTCTAGAAATTAGGCGATATCTGAGATAGCAGCAGTGATGCGGTTCCACACCAGCATCAGCACAAAGGTGTATTTCTCAAACTGGTCCTTTGACATGAAAAGAAGCGCTTGAGATAATACGGCCTTTACAATCTGCGCTTGCATACCCTAGCATCATTCGTCGGTGTCGGGTCGCGGACAAAATTGAACTACGACATACCTGGTACCATCCAGTGAACCCTTCTGTTTGCCATACCCGTAGTAGTATGTCAATAGCGCCGGGATGTTTGTATTGCTTGTGGTGAAACTCGTGACGATGAGGAATTTCGTGGTTCTTCAACGCAGCATCTTCAACATCTGCGCTCCGAGCTTGTATCCGGACCTTGGCCATGATATAAGGGTAGGTCACCTGCAGAAGCATTGGATGAGAAGACCATTAGATAATTAGAGGAGATAAACGTACGACAGTTGCGAGGGTCTTGCTGAGCGCGCCGACAATAAACGACAATCCTGGTGACATGGAGGCCGTACCCTTGGCCAGAACGACGAAGCTCTTAACTCGTTCAAAAACGCCATAGGTGATGGCAGGATTGACCGTCAGGATCAAGCCAGGTTTGATTCCTAGCCACAGGCCACCAATACCTTCCTCTTCGACAATCTCGCGAGCGACACCCAAGAACGAGTCGTCTTCAGGTAGCTCTGACAAATCTGTCGACGATGAAGTTGGGGTTTGCCTCTTTGTCCGACCAACTTGCTGTCGTGTTGCGATGACTGAAACAGGAATGGTGAAGATCTGTGCAAGGGCACCGGCGACAGCACCCAGCACCAACTCCATGAGGGTGCCAATCTGAGGCACTTTGGATCCCCTGGGGAGCCTTTTCGTAAGTCGGTTCAAATATGAGGTTCGAACCATGGAGTAGAAGAAGAAATAGGCATATTCTGTGGGCATGTCAGCTAGAAACGATGACGTTAAGCGAACCACGCACGCATAGAAAATGTATTCAGCATCGTTGCGGCAAAACCTCTGTACAATCCTAGTACGCCCTCCGTCTTCAGTATCCGCAACAGAACGCCCATCATTGACTGGTCATCCTTGGACTTGCCCTTGGGTAGAGCCTGTATACGTGTCTTTGCCCTATGAGGGAACGATGAGAACCTTCAGGGCTCAAGGCAGCACGAAAACCTACACATCCAGAGGATATACAACGCTGCTGGTGCGTTAGCGGCTGCACCCGGTGATACAATACAAGACTCACGCCGTACTGAAGCATCCTCCTAGAGCTCCTGCTAGTGCAGCGCCAAAGGGCGATAATTTTACAGGCTTGGACTGAACAGACATGAAAAATAAGGAGGACCAAGGAACGGTAAAAGGAAGAGGGACCAACTTTTGTAACCGTTTAAATAATCGGTGACCATTCTACGGCTTTGACATTCCCCGGTTCGTGCAGAGTAAAAGAAGAATCACATGGCACACTTACAACTTTCCGGTCGCCCCCAGATCAAACAAGGAACAACAATGAATTTCATGGTGAATCCAACTTTCCTCAGAACCTCGACATCAAGCCTTCCGTGGACTTGCTTGTTCTGCAGTCGTAGCCAGGCGACCAGGATCTCTTTGGTTTGGACACCCAGCACGACGCGATAGCCCGATACGGCATTGCGGGCAGAGTCTGGTACCGATATAAATTGGATTTGACTTGGGACCGCGTTGATCGCATAGGGAAGCGGCCTATGCATTGCTGCTCTGTGTAGATCCTCCAAGGACGTGGGAGTTTGATCCCCCTTTCCTCGCAAGTCAAGATTCGTCGCCATGTACTATTGTGGAGTTGGGCTCTGGCACTGGAATTATTGCCCGCAGCCTAAGCCGTTCACTCACCAGCGGCAAGGACATCATGGTATCCACTGATTTGCCTGGGGTGGGATGGATCTTATACAGTTTGGCCGGGTCTCAACCAGAAATAGGTTTGTCCTCTATTTGAGAAGAATCTAAGTGGTGAATTGAACGGGATCGTCTTTGTGCGTCCGCTGGCTTGGGGAATGTCCAGCATGTTTCTGACTTTGTATCTGAATTCATCACTAGTCGAAATTTGTCCCATATTATTTGCAGCGATCTGCCTGTTAACAGGGAAATTCAGAATTGGATATCTTGGGCTTCGAACCGTCTCGGGTGTTTGGAATTTGTTCGTTGGATGCTATTTCTTGCGACGTTAATCCTAATCAAGCTTACAATCACGATGTCGACGAGGGTCTTGTTTAAGGACGGGTTTTCTAGATGCAGCGCGAACAGCTCTAATTGATCTCGATGCACTGACTAACACAGGCTTATTGCTTTCTCACTATACGAAAATGTCGCATACGAGTTGCGAGCTGCTGTTACGCCATTTGGTTTATACTTTTCTTACCAGCCCATACACTCTCACGGCTGACACTACCCGACTCGGAGCAGTATGATCAGTCCTGGCAGCGTCTCGGTTCTTCCTTTGAAGAGACAAGCTTCATCTTTGTCGCCCGACGACGACACAACTCATTTACTTGACAAATACCCGTAAACGATCACGATCTTTTAGCCGGAGTAGGAGCACTAGGAACCGATACTCCGAAGGGGGACGAATATTTCGAGTCATTATTGTTGATGGCCGTGGACGATCTTAGAAGAAAACTCTTCTGACATGTATGAATGGTCATGATGGTACGTCAAAGCCCATGGTGGCGGTAAAAGCGCTGATTACCATTCTCCAAGAATGCAATCGCTCTGTTATAGTCTCCGCCATCGGGACCCTCGTAGCCTGGCGGTGCATAAGACCGCGTTATTACCCCAGGCGCTGGCCTGGTGACAATTTCTATCCTTTGGGACAATAATATAGTCCCTTCCTTGTTCGACGGACTGAAACCTGGCGGTTCAAATGGAAGCAGATCCAATGAGTACTGTGTATTATGATCAGACACGAAAGCGAACATGGCGTGACACGTACACCAATGCTAAGTCTTGGGAATACGAAAGTAGGTTTCAACGAAGATTTGAGATTTAGTTCTCCTTGCAGAGACCTCGTTCCTTCAGTTGAACCTGAAATCGATGAGGGCCAAAAAACCGCCTTCCCTACGCCCTCTAGAAACAAATTATTGCTGCGCTTTGGAGTACCTTCATCGGTAGCGTTGGCGCCTGTCGCAATCGATCGGACAAGAAATAGTCGCGTTGCCTTTGGATTGGCCAGAAGGTCGAGTGCTTGTCTATCGTTGCATTCGAATTTTATCACAAGTGGGATCGGTGATCGAACTGCGTAGCTGAGCTATGGTCGGCATGAGGATGAATCATACCCTACAAAGAAGAAGTCCCAGTACCGGTTTTGCAACGGAGAGCTATAGACACTAAGTGAGAATTCTTGGTCTCATTTGAACAAACACGCACTGTACATTCTGCTTCGATCCTTTTGGTGTTAAATAAAACTCCAGATAGTTTGATCGGTTTTGAAGTCTGCCAACCTTCGGGATCAACATTTGGACCTGGTAGCGGCGAACCTTCTCTAAAGGCCAGCTGTCGAAGTGGCGAAGGCGGCTGGGGAAAACGCAGAGGAACGTAAGCGAAGTATGGCGAAAGCCTACGATCACTTCAATCTCAGCAAGTTCAATTCGATGGGGACGTTGACAGACGTTTGATCAGGCCTAAACCTACCCCTCCGAAATGTCACAACGAATTTATAGTCGATATAGACAGGACTTGCTCGCTCGGAAAAATTGGGAGGTAGAAAGTATGTCCCCACGTTTGTTTTCGACTCAGTTACGGAGACTTGGGATGGCAATGTGAGTTCGAACGGCCATGAATGTTTTCCGTTCAACTGAGTTGATGATTTGTTAGGTGGAGACCACAAATCCTGACTTAGTTGCAAGAAAACAGCTTCTTCTTGACCGACCGCCGTAGTTCCCGCGTGGATCTAACCGTGAAGGCCATCGATTCTCTCTCTCAGAAAACACTGTGACGTACCGCGATGGATATCCCCTTGAAAGTCTCAGGTTTAGCCAAATCTACTTCAACTCGACCAGAAATTGTCGCATTATCATGGAAGACAGGCGCAGAAGAGGTTATTGACCGACTTTTGACGTAGAGGAATGCCCACTTTCGGCCGTGGCGTTCTAGTGAAAACGAGTGCTCAGATGGAGCATTCGCCGGAATTGATTGGTGGCTATAACCAGAGGGATTCGACATGGTCAAGACTACAGTTCGAGTGGGGAAAACACTGCGTTGAGAAGTTCAACACCAAGGCTGTAGTCTTTATTCTGCCTGGACTATTCCTAGATCTTCCGGCGTAACAGAAGAAAGTGCAGCACATGCTATAAAACTTGACCACATGCTCCGCGGAGAAACGTGTACTAGTTGCACAGGTCTCGTATTGGTCTTGTGAGAGGTGGTGAATACCGCACGAATGGACAATATGCATCCATTGATATCTGGAAGGATGGAGGAAACATGTGCAGTTTCTGAACAATACCAGCTTAAAAGCTGTAATCCTCTAGGTAGAGATGCAAGCAAGAGTCCATAAAGAATTACAGTACTGTGACCGTTCTCGGTGCTTCGGACTGGAGTGATTCGAAAGAGGACACCACGTGCGCTACCTCAGCTTCATGAAATAGGCGCTTCAACCGCGTCGGAGAGCAAGTAAAGTATACGTGAATTCAATCAGGTTCTTCCGGTTCGAGAAACTTGCACTCGTAACCTGCGGCAGCTCTACATAGTATAGTATTTCCCTGCATAAGCTTGAACACTTATCTAATGAGAGCCGCTCTAGATTTGATGTAACGTTACGCGCATTTTTACACTAAGTGAGCTCGCCAGCGGTCCAGGACTCGGGATGGACACGTGTTTGGCGATCTTCACAAGGGTCCGGACTCGGACGGCAGGCGAGAGCTTTCTTTTTGGAGAAGGTTTGCTGTGTACATTCGCGCAAAACCATTCACCGCTGACTTACAACAGTATGGTTCTGGCCATCTGCATATGCGTACTGTGAGTATATCCTGACTTTTAGAATATTTCCATGTGAGCTGTTGCCGTTGTCACCGACCGGCATTTAGTTTTTCCACAATTGGCCATGGCCACAAGCAAGCTAGGGAGTAAGCTGTCTCCTCTTCTCGTGAAAGGAAACGCATCTTGAAGAATAGATAGCATGAGGATCTGTCCCTGATCGAAACGCGTTTTGGCTAGGAAAATAGTTGCAAAGCTACAAGATCATATACGTAGTAATAAAGTAGGAACGCGAATTGTCGCAACGTACATAGTTCAACATGTGGATAAAAGTGTGATGCATGCATCAGCACTTACGTCGGCCAGCGACCCACCTGTGAAATCATAAGGATTGTCATAACGCCTAGCCGATGACGGTGGTAGTGAGGGTCATCTGGCGCATGACTGAGAAGGTGTCGTTCATTTGGCGTGATATGGGGCCATAAGCGGGAGGAGAATAAGCCAGGGGGCGCGGGCCCTTCGCATGCATAGTCATGATGCTAACAGAATCCATGACAAGTGGCTCAGGTTTGAGATGTGTAAATCCAGCTACGTCAAATGGATTGAGTACAATATGGTACTTTGAAGCAATGTATCAGCGCCGACCTTTCGAAGACAGCATAGAGACTCACAGATATGCAGAAGTGTCCCACATCGGACGACGCCTTTAAATCTTTCGCTAGTCGGATCTCTCCTTCTAGACAGCGCCGGTGGGAGGTGCTGCCGGCGGTAGACCACCATACAGCGATGCCGACATCTTCAAACTGCTCTTTCTGCTTGCTTGACAAACCCTTAGAAGAGTATCTCACTTGTCTTCGAAGGGAAACAGCTATGGAACTGGGGGCCGAAAGTGCATCGAGAGCAGACTCATCAGATCCTTCCAATCTCATCATACAGGGTATCACACTGCCGCGAGTATAAGATAACTACAATCGCAAAGTCATTAGGGTTAGCGCCATATCAAACAGAGGATATACTGTAATACTTACGGGTTTGGAGAAAGAGATCTGAAGTTGAAATGTGAGCTATATGTCAGTGTGAAGGCACATATAAGGTACTTACTGTGCATTCAATTTGAACTGGACGCGTTTTGAACATGATACCTCGAATTACAACCGGGTCGTGGGTTCTCCACCCCTCAGGGTCAACGTCAGGACCCATGAGAGGTAGGTTTTCGGAGTACGATGCTTGCCGGAGAACGGACGGAGCATCTGGTCGTGAACTTGGGACATATCCGAAAGCTGTCTTAATACTATCACCATGGAGCATAAGCACAATAACATCAATAAGTTGTCGTGACTTACTGGCTATCCGAACGCATCTTGCCTCGAGATATCGTGATTATGAGATCATACTGTACCGTGGCGGGCGTATGGCGTTCGAGAAATGTTTCAGGTAAACGAAAGGTCTTTGGCTCCCGAACCGTCAAAGAAACTGTCCGAGGAAGGACAATAGAGAAGGGGAATGTATGCCGACCACAGAGCTTATTGTTTTCGGACGCCGGTGAGGGCGAGCGACTGTTTCCGTTCTTCGTCCAGACTGGAATGGTAATGTTCAGAAAGGAACACACGTCGTCCATTCCAGCACCGGTTATAACCCGACCTGTCACCTTGAAGATGGCTCCTCAGTAAATATGCAGACATCGATCAGAAAACTCTGCGCGTACCGTTGCATTGACAGCTTGTATGGAATCTCCACGCTCGACCTCAAGTTCAACTACGCCATTTATAGTTTCTTTTTCATAGAAAGTTGGCAATGACTTTGCAGATTTAGCGCTGCTAAACACCTTTAGAGTCGCCCAAGGCTTGTCTTTGTTGCTCATTATCTGAAAGACATGTTCTGTCGGTTCGCGAGGCGTAAGTCGACCACCGGCCGGAGTATTATGGCGAGAATAAGGAGGGAGATCGGTGTTGGGTGCAGGTACCGGACCTGACCTGGAATACCTTCGATATCGTGGAGGGGACGTAGCGTCCATAAAGAGCGCGCGGGGGGGGTTTGAAAACTTTGCACATGATATATATACCTTCGGGATTCTAACAGATACAAGGCAGTGACCGGATTGGGACAAAGGCTAATTGTCGACAGTATGTAAGGCCCCGCCAAAAGACGACGGTCCAGAAAATCGGGAACAACGAAACTTTTTAGGAACAACATACTTTTGGATGCTGCTTTCAACTTGCTAAATGCATCCATTCCAAGTCACGTGCAGCATCACCTTAGAGAACAATACGTTGAATTCATCCACAACAATAAGGGGGATAAACCGAGTGCATCAAGGGTTGGACACACCGCGAAGAGACGCGACAATAAGACATACGTATGAGAATCGCCCTCCTTCCGCGAGCTTACGCTGAAGTTATCCAGCCGAAGACAATAGAGCTGCTATCATTAGAATGGCAAGCGGCCTAGTAAGTAGTACACATCTGATTTCTGCATCATTTAAAAAAGCTTTTCCTTTCGACCGGCCGACCGGTCACTGATGTAGTGAATTGGCTGAGAATCATTCAAGCTTCATAATGACAATGCTGTCGGTGTTCGTATCGTAACCTTGTCGTCAAGAGAGTTGTCGTGGTCACCATCGTAAGTACAGAAAGTCCCAGGTCGGTGTTCCAAAAATCCCCGATAACAACTGGTGGATCAACGTCTTTTCTCATGCGCATTTCACAAATGTTTCATTCCCTGCTTTTGCATTTGAGCTACCGTCGAGAGATGTAGGTACATTCCACTCGTAGGAAAACCTGGCCGGAAAAATAGTGTACTTAGTCGATATAGATGATAAATCCGGAGTCTTTAATTTTTGGCTGTTCTTTTCTGAAGATAAGGTAGGTCGTGCCGGCTATCGTGTTGCAATGTACACTGAGAATCGGCCCGTAATCCGAAGCACAGTGTCACGTTACGCATGACACGGCTGTCTCTTCACGGTTGACCATCATGAGTGTACGTCAATGCTCCTTCGTGCTGTGTTCTTTATTCTAATTCCAACGACAGACATTTACCACAGAGCCACCCATAGAGGACGACATTCTTAGTGATGTTGTTCCCAGCAACATCGTCTCCCGCCAGGTACGACGGACAATAGGCTTATGGGGACGCTTTTAACACTAGCGACAGGCTAGTCACGGTCCGAGCGGAGAGAGCGAATTTGAAGAAGATGAGCTAGCCAGTGAACCTGATCCCGTCGAAGTGCGTGACATGCAGTGGTGACGCGATACCGCCAATTGATGTTTTTGTTCGAAGGACCCGTTGCCCAAACGCAGAGGCCGATCCGCCCTCGACCGAGAAGAAAGGAGGCAACGGAGACTAGACGCAGAAGACAAACTGCAAGCCCAGCGCCAGGAAATGGATAAGGCTAAGGTGCGTGGCCTCAGTGATCATCGCGATACGCACAATTGAAGCACGTCGTCTAGCAAGCCGATTCGATAAAACGGTACTCTTACCTTCTGGGGCAAACGGACCTGTTCAAACATTTTGTGGATATCAAGGCAGGCTGTTTCCCTCCGGCTTAGAAACATTACTCATGATTTTCTCAGAAAGCGCGCGATCCAGAATATGCTGCTATGTTGGATGCGCAGCCTAAACCGAAAGGACGCGGACGAAAGAAAGCAGCGTACGTCTCGTAACATTACAACCTGACTTTAACATATACTAGCCTAGGAACAACAACACGCGGCACCGTCGGTCGGAGAAAGAGGAAGATGAAGAGTTGCTGAAAGATGGGGAGGCTGCCGTTGATGGGAACGATCAACCTTTCGTTTTCGAGGAATCTCCAAGCTGTACGCTTCTTTGCCATGTTGCTAAAGGGTGCTAACCCTTCTACAGTCATAACGGGGACAATGCGCGCGTACCAGCTCCAGGGTCTTAATTGGATGGTCTCATTGCATCATAACGGTCTCAATGGTATTCTTGCAGACGAAATGGTAGGTTTATTTCCCAGCATTCCTTTATATCTCACATCTTGCTCCCAGGGCCTCGGCAAAACCCTCCAGACCATTTCCTTTCTCTCATACCTCAAACATTACTGTGGCATCGCTGGCCCCCATCTCATCGTCGTCCCGAAGTCCACGCTACAGAATTGGTGCCGCGAATTCGAAAAGTGGTCACCCGACTTCAATGTGGCTGTTCTGACTGGTTCAAAAGAAGAACGCACGGATATCATCGCCGAGCGTCTAATACCTCAGGATTTTGAGGTCTGCATTACATCATATGAAATATGTCTCATCGAGAGATCTGCTTTCAAAAAGTTCTCGTTCGAGTATATTATTATCGACGAGGCTCATAGGATTAAGAACGTGGACTCCATTCTGTCACAGATTGTGCGCTCTTTCATGTCTCGTGGACGACTCCTAATAACAGGGACGCCGTTACAAAACAATCTGAAAGAGTTGTTTGCGTTGCTGAACTTCATTTGCCCGGAAATCTTTGTCAACTACGCTGACTTAGACAGTTTCCTGCACAAGGATGCCATTGGGACGGAAGCAGAAGCAGAGAAGAGCAAAAAGGTGGTGGAAGCACTGCACAAGATTTTACGACCGTTCTTGCTAAGGCGAGTGAAAGCTGACGTAGAGAAAAGTCTTCTTCCGAGTGCGTTAAGAAGTATTTGTATCTTTTGACAAAACTGATTTCCCTTCAGAGAAAGAAATCAATATCTACGTCGGTCTTACGGACATGCAAAGAAAGTGGTATAGATCCGTGCTGGAGAAAGATATAGATGCTGTAAACGGTAATATCATGAAGTCACTGCACACGTATTACAAGCTAAGTTTCCTCACAGGGTTGACTGGTAAGAAGGAGGGGAAAACTCGGCTCATGAATATGGTGATGCAGGTTGGCATCCCCATTTCTTTATCTCGCTCTCGCCCTCATGCAGTTTTGTTCAGTTGCGTAAAGTAACGTGTCATCCATACCTATTCGATGGCGCTGTAAGTTCTCACGTACAAGATTAAGGGGTGACTGACCAGATTTTACAGGAACCTGGACCGCCTTACACGACTGACGAGCACCTGATCGATAATTGTGGCAAGATGATCATCCTGGACAAGCTTCTCAAGTCCATGAAAGCCCAAGGCTCGCGGGTACTAATTTTCACTCAGATGAGTCGTATCCTTGACATTCTGGAAGATTATTGTCACTTCCGACAGTATAGTTCGTACTACTTAGGCCCCTTGCACGATGATGTTGACTGTCAGTTTTAGATTACTGTCGAATCGACGGAGGGACTGCCCACGAAGATCGTATTGCCGCTATTGACGAATACAACAAACCAGGCAGTGACAAGTTTTTGTTTTTGCTTACGACTCGTGCTGGGGGTCTCGGTATCAATTTGACTACAGCAGACATTGTTGTCCTGTACGACAGTGACTGGTATAACTCTAAATGCTTTCCTACCTTTTCGTACTTCTCAAAAACTGCTTTAGGAACCCTCAGGCAGATCTCCAAGCCATGGATCGTGCTCATCGGATCGGTCAAACGAAACAGGTGTATGTCTTCCGTTTAATTACGGAAGGTAGCGTGGAAGAAAGAATGCTAGAGCGTGCAGCGCAAAAGCTGCGTTTGGATCAGCTTGTCATCCAGCAAGGTCGAACACAGCAAACAAAACGTATGTTTCTGCACTTGAGTTTCCTTTCTCGTTTAACATTTAATTTTCAGCCGCTAACAAGGATGAATTGTTGGAAATGATTACTCACGGTGCTGAGAAGATCATCAATTCAACGGCGGATGAGTAAGCCCATATGTTTTGCGACTTAACGACTGTTCATTTTTCATCATCAGACTACTGATTAATGAAGACATCGATGCCATTATACAGCGCGGAGAAGAGCGGACAGTTGAGCTGAACAGCAGATACGAAGGTCTTAATTTCGAAGATCTGAGCAACTTCAAGTCCGAAGCGTCTGTCCAGCAATGGGAAGGTGAAGATTTCAGGAGCGGAGTGAGTATTTAAAAAGGGTAATAGGTTGGCTCGAACCTAATATCCACGATAACAGCGGAAAAGCTTGGGAATGAGCTTGCTGTCGTTGTCGAAACGGGAGCGCAAGTCAAACTATTCTGTGGACAATTATTTCAAGGATACGCTACGCGCTGGACCTTCTAAACCAGAAAAGGCTGCCAAAATTCCTCGTGCACCCAAGCAGATTGCAATGTTTGTTTATAGTCTCCCGGATGCGAAGTTTTGTTGACTTGTTGATCCAGCCAAGACTTCCAGTTCTTCCCTCCCCAATTGGCTGCACTGCAGGACCGCGAACTTGCCGTGCACAAGGTTCGTACATTATGGCTTTGGTTAATTTCCTTATGAATAAATAAACAGAGGATTAATGGTATATCCGCCACCCCTCGTGAAACCCAAGGTCCCGATGATACCCCAGAAAAGTTGGAGGAAGAGAGACTTGCAGCTCAACATCTGATAGAGACAGGTATGTACTTCTGCTGCGCAAGAAAGACAGGTTTTTGATGGAAGGTGACATAGCTGAACCTCTCACCGAAGCTGAGATAGCTTTGAAGGACTCATACATAGACCAAGGTTTCCCTGACTGGAGTCGACGTGATTTCCAACAGTTCGTAAAGGGTTTGGAGACCTACGGATGGTAACTATTCACTTGTTGTCTGCAGCAGCTCCTAATGCAACGAATTATCAGGGATGCAGATTGGGAAGAATATGCATCTGATATTCAAGACAAGACTGCGGCAGAAGTGAAGAAGTACTTCCAGGTTTTCCAGAAGAAGTGGAAAATGCTCGCAGGTACTCATCTAAATGTGTTGTTACTGGTTTCAAGCCGACCTTTATGCAGAGTACCCAAGAATTCAAGTGCGCATTATAGAAGGCGAAGCTAAGCGAAACAAACGCGACATGCATACCTATCTACTCCAGCACAAGATACAATCAGTGAAGTACCCTATGCATGAATTAGAACTCAACTACCCTACGACGAAAGGGAAAGTTTATACCGAAGAAGAAGATCGATATCTATTACTTCGGTTACATCACTATGGCTTACAGACGGACGACGTGTACGACAAGATCAAGAGGGATATCATGGAGAGCCCCCTCTTCCGCTTTGATTGGTTCTTCAAGAGTCGGTCGCCTCAGGAGCTGCAGAGGAGATGCAACACACTGTTGGGCATGATCGAGAAAGAGGCTGAGACGACTATGCCTCACTTGGTCACGTCGTCTTCGAAGGGCAAGGTTCGTGTCTTTCTTCTGTCTGTTGACAATTCTAAACGGTTGTCTTTAGAAGCGCACTAACGAGGAGGTGTCAGTTTCCAAGTCCAAGAAGTCGGTGTCAGCCAAGATCAAAGTAGAGGAGAGGCCTGCGAAGAAAAAGAAGACGTAGGCTATCGACGGCTAGTTACTGCTGTATAGATTAGTATTGTAATTTATTCTTTAGATAGAGATCATTGAATTTCTGCGGAACCCGTGAAACTGATGGATGAGAGTACCCTGTTATAGACGACTGCCAAGTGATAGTAATCAAGAGTCCGTCTTGCACTTCAGTTACCATGTCCTACCAGCAAAATGGAACTCCTTACCAAGGCGTACCTCAGGATGTTGTCTCTGGCGAGCAGTATCGATACGCATTGACCAATTTTGTACGAAAATCTACTTCCGCCGGAAATACAGCGCACTCATCGGAACCAAGCGAATTGCTCACGAAAAAGTAGAGCAACAGCGGGCTCAGCTGGAAGAACAGGAGCAACAAGTAGCTCTGCTTCGTGCACGGATAGCACTACTTGAAGGAGGATTCAATGTTGATCAAACTGGAAAGGGAGGAAATTCTGTCGATGATTTCTCTATCAAAGTACGCCTGATCCTGTCTGCTGGTCTTTCTACCGACTCGGCAGTAGAATGCAGCTTCGCAATTGGACAAACTCATCAATCGATGGGCATCGGAAATCGTACGAAGTCCACCGGCCTCGTTCGATGTTATATGTGGCGCAGTTCTCAGTGATGTGCCGAATGGGCCCGATGTCGCTGCCCAGATAAAAGGGACGTCCATGCAGGTGCAGTACCTGCTGCGTCATGCAATGTCGGAGACGATATCTGAGGGTATAATCAATTGTCTCATGGTGACCAACTCAAGCGACGCCAATATACAGCTAGCACGGATTCATGAACATCTGTTTGCTCGTACGGCCTTGATCAATTCTGGGACTACTATTATTTAATGATTTATAGGTGACCCAACCGTTGCTTGTGTTTGGCGACGACAGACATTTTCTGCGGCAGTCGAATCATGTACTCCTGATATGTCCCTCAGTATCTTGGATGAGCAAGTCCCGAAGCTAATGAGGGTCTTGGGAGGTGTCCTGCCCGCCGCAGGAGGTACTTCTATTCTTGAATCCGCATACGATTTTTCCCGGATGCTGCACGGATCCAACACATCGTCGGGCGACGCGTTCTATCGCGCCTTTGTCCCAGAACTAGGAAGCACGCTTTATCCACGGCAGATTGAGCTCGTGAAAAGATGTTTGAAAAGTGAAAGAGGGGACATAGACAAGGTTGGTGCCACAATATTTCCGGGCTTGGTGAAAGTCACCAAGGGACCAGGCGATGAGCCTTCGACAGAAACTTTACAGGTGAGAATAGTACCAGTCGAAGCACCTGATGTTAACTAATTATTCCTATATAGACTGTCGTGAGGAGAGCACAAGTCATCTGCGAATGTGCCATGAACGGCACAGCTACATTATCATCACATCAGCCAGGCCGAACGAGTTCACCCCAAATAGCGAACGTCTAATGATCTACGTCCCAACTATTTCCATTGTGTTGCAATTACACAAGTAACAGTGATGCTAACGTAGCCTGAGTTTGTACCACCTGTAATAATCCGGTTCAGAAGATTCACCCCAGACAAAAGAAGCATCATATACCTCCAACGCTTGTTGCACCTCTAGGCGTCTCCGCGCAGCTTCCAACCAATCAGACAGCAGAACATGAGCAGTGCCTTTGAGCTGGTTGAGCTCTCGCGTAGCACTATCGAGGTCCTTTTCGTTCAAATAGTACTCAGCCCTCGCCAAAACACTTAGGACATCGTTACCGGGAACCAAGCCATGCCTCTTGAACCGGAAGCTCGACAAGAAGTGACTGGCAAGATGCGAAAACAATCCAGCATCTTGGTCAGGCACCAGTGCAACATTAGACACCTTGGGAGCTACAGATGTCGTGAACCACGACGCGAGGTCAGCAAATGGCTCAACGCCAACGTCAGGGACTTCTGTTGATTCAAGAGTGTCAAGAGCAACAGAGGTAACTGGATCTTCGCGGGCGGTAGTGACGTGCCGGAGGATCCGGAGCTCCTCTCGGAACGGTTTTCGTACAGAAGATGAGAGTGCTGATGATGACAGCGCACGCACTGCAGTCCAAAGAGCGTGTATCCGAATGTTCTCGTCTAAATAAACTGAATTATCCAGTGCAATGCGCTCCAAACGCTTGAGTTGCGTGGACAGTTCGTCGAGTTTAGCAAGGCGTCCGCCACGCTCCTGTTCGACTCGGACTTTAATTTCACGAATCCACCGACGTTGGAGCTCAATTCCTTGGGCAATAACTTCTTCCTTGAGTCTACCGATATTAAGTTAGCCCGTCGCTAAGGTCAAAAATTGATTTCACCTCTCGTTGATAATTTCGAGATGGGTCTTGAGCTCATTGTCTAATTTCTCCCGGTAAGCGCGCGTAAGTTCAACCTGGTGCTGGTCGAAGACCTTCCGGAACTCATCCTCTTGAGTATCAAGCTTGTCCTGAGCTTCCATCTCCAACTCGATCATTTTGATTGTATACTCCCTAGTCTGTTCGTCCATCTTTGCCTGCAGTCCGTTCCGTTCTTCGTCCTTCACAGTCTCTATCCGCTCCACAAGTGAAGACAAGTCGACCTTGGCAGCTTCTAGCACAGGTGTAATCTGAGATGCAGCATTGGGGTTGGACTTGAGATATGAAGCCAGGTCATCGATGGTACAGGCCAGGTGCTTGACGATGGGGTCGGATACATCGGCAATTGATGGCGCGATGAGGGGAAGTGCAGCGGGAGGTTCAGGAGGAGGTGCCTCTTTCGTAGGAGGCGGTGTAGGACGTTGAAAGCCGGGAGGTGGTTCGAATCCAACTGGTAAGGGTTCGGTGTACACGTTATCAACGACCTTTTCAGGGGTCGGGATGGCTGGTGGTTGTTCTGGGGTTGTTTCTAGGGCTTTCGCTGTATCGACGGGAACAGAGGTGGCAGAGGCTGCAGAGGGCGGTATCTTGCCCGCCAACGCATCTTCAGCCTGGTGAACGAGCTGAAGGAGTTCATCAGCGATCTGTTGCTCCTGGTGCTTGGCCAAAGCATCCTGTTTTCCCGTGATTTTTTCTTCTGCTTTCTGTACATCCGATTTAATGTTCGACGCAACAGCCTTGGCCCGCTCCTTCGACGATTCGTAAGTCTTGACAGCCGCCTCCCGCGCTTCACCAGCCTTCTGTTCAGCTATATGCTTCGCGTTTTCAATGGCGCTAGGTGCACCGTTGATTGAATCGGTAACGAAACGCTGAACGGAAATGATGGCATCCTTGGTATATTCTATTGCCGTTGCGACCGTGAGGGTGTCCCAATGATGAGTTTCGGCATATTCAAGCATGGATTGACCAAGAGGGACATGGTCATTGAAGAAGTTATAATATGTCTGGTTGTTGAAAGAGGCGAAGGTGCTGCCAACGTAAAAGGTGCCGGTCAGCGTCGCCGTTGCCCAGAAAATCCGCCTAAAAATCCGAGGTTTCTTTTTCGGTGTTGCCGTAGAGGCTTCAGAGGCCTCTGTCGCAAGACGCTAATTGTAACACAAATCAGCATGGTTGTCCTGGAGCATTCAAACGGAGCATATAGGTTGTCTGACACGTCGACAACGTTGTGCGGCCCTATTCTACTGCCCTCATTGACCCAACGGCATCCAACCAATATAATGGCGTACTGAGAGCAAGGATGGACTCACCCTCCTGGACACTCGCACAACTCCTCGACCAGCGGTCGACGATATGGACCTAGAAGCAAGTCTGACACGATGCATGCCGTGCACAAGCAATCTCCGGCCCTGGAGTGTAGAGGACAGTAAGCGGAGAATATGCAACGTTGGCGTTCAGGACCGTGAACGGAAACTTTCCGATTTGGTCCGGAAGTACGCTGCTCATGTAAGCCGTGTCGGTAGCGGACGCCCGGCGCATTCTTCACGGTATTCATGTATGTACGTATAGGTACTCTGAGACTCTAAATGTTAACCTTGTCCTCAGCCTTGCCATTGTTTTCTGCAGTAGCCGAAGCAACATAAAATTCAAATGCTTTGCGTTTCGCCTCTGCTTGAACGAACTCGACGCATTCAACTCGACTTTTCTCGACGTCCACTAGCCAAAGAAAAAGTGTACTGAAAACACCACTGACCCAATCTTTAAGGAGGTGATCCATGCAGACGAGGACATATCCACTCACAGTGCGAACAGAAAAGCAAAAGGCATATTGTCGTTGTTATTCGAAGCCGTTATTATCGCAGAGGACACAAAGGGACCAATGAATGCAGAGGTTTTGCCCACCTGTTGAAGACATACGGTCAGCAGGTAGAAGTACGAATGTTGTTCAAGTAATCAGCGCTTACGACGGAGAACAGGGCAAAGAACAGAAACCTGCATTTACATGGACCATATTAGTACCCGTTTGATGGGAGACGGCGAAGAACCTACATTTGAGGAAGCGGTGACACTTCGCTGATCATGGTTTGGCTGTATGCATACCAAGGGCACACTAAAAGACCATAGAAAGCTTGATACAGCCTTTATGAACTCGTTACAACGATGATTATATTAACGAAGACAACGGATACCACGAACCATATTTCCCAGACGTGTTTAAACCCGAATTTGTCCGTGTGAACACCGATAAGGCCCCAAATCGTCAGGACCTAACAAGTTCGTGAGAGAAAGCCTTAAGAAGAGATACATTGCAACCAACGATAATCCAAAATACGTTGAACAAGAGCATCTGGTTAATACTCTGTCGACGGCCTCAACACATAGAAACAAGAACCACTAACAGCCTTCGTGCTGATGCTATAGCGCTTTTGTACCAGCCAGAAAATACTAGACCAAATTGAGCTCGACTCTGGCTAGTTATAGTGGTGACGCACTAGATGCCCATGCCCTGCGCTACAATGCCGACAATGAGGAGTAAAGTCAGCTGAAAAGTCGAGTACGCCACCACGCTAAATTCCCTAGGCGTCAGGATGCTCGCATCAGAAGGAGACGAGAACAAACCTGTTCTGGAGGGTACCGATGACCGTACTATTCAAATCTTTAAGCTCCCTCGGTGAGGATAAGCATTGAGAAATTACTAACACAGTGGTATTTAGGACATCACCCCTAGATAATAAGTAATTCTACGACAACACCAATTAGGGAAGTAAGTGACGCACATGAGGAAATAAAAAATAAGATATAGGAAGGTCTGCTTGAGTCGGAGACATTCTCTTAAGGCGACGTAGGTTTGCGTGAAACCCACTATCATAAGACTGGTTCCTGCAGGAAGCTGCAAACCAGGACGCCGTTTTTCCAGAATAAACCATGGCAAGGCACAAAGCACTGTTGATCAGGCTAGTAGCCCATTGACATAGGAAGATGACATACACCAGACACCTCCGGAAAATGCAATCAAAACACTGAATGCCTTTGTGTTGTTCTCTGTGCTTTCGTCCGATCGCAAACCTTTGAGGATCCCTACCATAACGGCTAATATTATAATCTCTCCAGCTGAGCATACGGCAAATGAGATATTAGATATCCGGTTTTTGGCCAGCGAGGTCAAAAGCTCATGTTCTCGTTGACTATAACGACGTCAGGGTACGGGAATAAAAATGGCATGATACTGACCTTTTCTGACCATCTGTTAATTCTGTCATCGAGCCTTTGACCTCAGGAAGGTCCCGAGCTAGCCCAGGAAAAGCAGCCGTCCAAAATGTCAGCGAACACTGAAGTAAAAATCCTAAGTACAGAGACAAAACGCTACTCTGAGTATCATGCACACCTGATAAGTTATCACTTCAGATATGTTAGACGCATGTTGACTAAGAGATGAACCAAGACGTGCATCCCAGAATATACAACACTATACCGGCGCGCCATTTGGATGGATCGTCTACTCCCAGCCATGCAAAAGACACGCCCACGGCGAGAAGGGTAAAGAATATGGTGATGTTGGGCCTGGGGAGATAAGAAGGTTGAACGTCAAAATAGAAGTTGAGTACCAAATTACCTCCAGCGACCATAGTCTGCCCAGGCGCCAATAAATAGAAGAAGAGCGGCTTGAATAGCAAAGCTAATGCCATTCGTTAATAAGACAATGGAATTTACTAAGAACAAAATTAGTGCACAACCAGGTCTGATGAAAAAATGGGCGCACTGTCACGAACATGACCGAGATACGGCAAAACGCAGGTATTCTCGCACGACGTCACAAATGGTGGGTCCTTGGGGTCGTAACCTGCTAGATAAAGAAGATTCTGGAACTGCGAAGGACCAAAGTTGAATCCTGATAACCCGTTGTTGCCTATGTAGTAGAGATAATACGACCATAATTCTTTTCGCGTCGTCGTGTACTCTTCTCCCTCGTCTGTATCGACCTCACTTGAGACCTCTTCAACGGCTCGGTTGCCGGGCATGATAAACAGAGCGAAAAACAGGAATCTGTTCAAATGGAGGAGCCGGCTGGAAAAAAACATTCCCAGTGCATCACGTTTGATGGGAAAGATGGCGAATGCACGTTGTCCTTCTCCATTCAGCACGTCGCTCCTCGTTGTGCAGGGGCTTCCCAGCGTCCCGTCTTCACGCTCATCTTTCGCACGGACCTCCCATACAATGACTTATCAAGGTCAAGGATACGATTATTACGACCATGTCGACCCAAATCACCTCGAATACTCTTCATGGAATGACGGTGTTCCATATCTACAGTACCACAATTCTTCATACGGACGGTCCTGGCCGCAACTTTGGGATACCTACGGGTCCCATAATAGCCAATGGCAAGCCCGTGACCAGCCATACGAACAGGATTATTATCCATCGTACCGTCGCGACAGGATCTCTACAGACTACGAAACGCAACGATCGTCTTCCCGGCATCGCGATTCGTCACCTTTGCCCCCACCAATGCCTACCGAGCCTTCTGCTGAATACCTCGAGCTCTCACAGCAGCCTTCTACGCATATAGATGACCCCTCTTCCTTGAGAAAGCTTCTCATTCTAGATTTAAACGGCACTTTGCTGTATAGAGAGGTGAAACCCCAAAGTTCTCGCAGATACCGGCGTGACAGAGTCAATGACTCTTCAGAACCTCAGCCCCGTGTCATGCATCCCCGTCCCTACATGGGATCATTCAGGCAGTACCTATTTCATCCCAAGACGCTAAAGTGGTTGGATACCATGGTTTGGAGTTCTGCGCAACCATTCAATGTTAACCATATGGTGGATCAGTGCTTCGAGGGGGAAAAGGAGAAGTTGGTTGCTGTGTGGGCTCGAGACACGCTTGGGTTGACAAGTGCACAATATCGTGTGTTTCTTATTTCTTCCTTGGTCATCCTATTGAACGGACTTGCAGACCAGAAAACACAGACTACGAAGAACCTTGCTAAGCCATGGGCTACGCTTTATCTATTGCCAGACCGAGATGACCAGCCGTCTTCAATATCAAGCAGCCAAGTTCAACCCTCTCGTTCAGTAGACGAGCTGGTGCCTTTGAACGAACCTCCCGATTCCGTTTATGTTCATTCCGCCCTCACCACACTCCTTCTCGATGACTCTCCTCTTAAAGCTCACCTTCAGCCCTGGAACCACTTCTGCGTACCCGAGTACACCGCCCAAATTCGAAGCCGCGATCTCGCTACACGGCAACACGAAAGAGACAAGCCTCATTCTGATGTTCAGAATGAAGACGCTACCGTTTCCACGAAAAAGCGGAAAAGGGCAAAGAAGCAGGCCCTTGGCTATGATCAGGTCTTGCTGGTTGTTATCGGTGTGCTCGATAGGATAAAGGTGGAGAGCAATGTTTCTGGATGGATGCGTCAATATGGCCTATGGGATGGTGTGCATGAGGAGGACCAGAAAGAGAAATCAGTTCCAACGCCGGAGGAAACATCTGTTGATGATGAGGTTGAAATTTTAGGGGATCCCACGAGGAAACGCAGCAGACGGATTAGCGACTACGCTGGCCTCAATGACGAAAATTCCCGCCCTTCTGACTCTGACAGACCTGACAGCCCCTCGCCTGCCGTCGAAATAACATTTATATCTCCCGAGAAAGCTTCACTCCCATCCATAGCACACATGCGTGGTGATATTTCTCCCTTTTCGTCACTTCTACGAACGCCAATGCGCGATTTAACAGAAGTAACAAGTTCATCACAACCTGTTCCAGATGATGGTTCTTCCTCAGTTAGAAGAAATTTGATTTCGTCGTTAGAAGAGCAGTCGACTTCCCCCTACCCCCCATTGTCTCCTCTGCTTCAGCCTTCATCTCAAACTGCTGAGCATAAATCGATATGTCCTTCCCCCGTCCTTGAAGCGGCCAGATTTCCAGAGTTGAATTGCAAATCGGAAGCTAATTCTCCTTCTGAGTCTCCGCAACCGCCAGACGGCCAGCATATCAATCCTTTATTCCCATCCTCTATGGCTGAGAAAGACAAATTATGGTTCGAAAATGAAGCTGTAGTTTCTCATTGGGCTAAGCTTGGTCTGGAGGCGTTGGCGGCTCTCGGCATACCCGCTGAAGCTGGTATATGATTACAGGTTACAATTCAGTTGTCTACTTCGGTTAATCTACTTGGTACAAGAAAACTGCACACGTACTTATATGCTTTGATTATTGAATACTTGCCGTAAATCGTGATACTGCTACCTACATGTAAATGTACTGTCATGACCGCTCTTCCTTCTCTTCATCTTCCTTGTAATTCTCTACCTTCATGCCATGCAGACCTAGCTCCTCGTTCTGCTCCCATGTCCGGTCATACAACTCAATAGTCATGTTGGGATCTGGGTCGGGAGCATACAAGTTCTGCACATACGAGTTGGCCAAAGGGTCGTCGAGAATGAGTGTGAAAGGTCTTTCAACATTCTTCACCTGAAAAATGGAATTAGTATAGTAGAAATGTATTTTGAATCATTTACCTCTTTTAGGCCCTTGAGGAATTCTTCGAATGACTTCCTATCGCCGACAGTCAGAGAGTCGCCGGCTTGGAGTACCTTTTCTGACAGCTCCTCGTAAACTTGGTTGAGAATACCTTCGAGGGTGGTGAAACGACCCCCAAGGGTGCCGTGTTGTAGTACGAGATCGATTTCTGGAATCGTGATACCACTGGTTTCACTCTGGAAAATACCTTAGTCCTGAAATGTCAGTAACGAAGTAGACAATACCTTAAGAATATCCCTGCTCAGGTCTTCACGGTCCTCGACCTTAAGTGTTATCCGTTTGCCCTTTTCGGAGATAGCAGAACCGGACTTGACTTCATTGTCCCTGTATCCACAATGATCACAGTTAATGGACATTATGATGACATCCTACGATATCGTCAGAAACATGAACATGAACAAAAAGGCAACATACTTTGAAGTAAGGTATGTTGACTTTCTTCATCATAGTATCAATAGGATGCCCGCAGCTCGAACACGGTCCATTGAAGACAAAGATCTCTCCGTCAGTTCCAGCCTCGCCACCACCCAATTCTTCATCACCCCCTTTCACGGCCTGGAGGGCTCCTTCATTGTTCTCCTTAGGCGGCGCAACCAGTCCTAGTGCTACATTCTGCTTCAATGTCCGCGGATACGTTCTCATATTCCACTTGGGGTCTGCCATATTGTTCACAAACTCAATGAACGAGTTTCCAGCGGGGTCGTCCAATTTGAGCGTGAAAGGTGTCAAAGGAATATGGTCTTTCTGTGATGTCTTTCCGACATGTACGTCTTTGTCTTCCTCGTCGCCAATGACATCCTTCAGTTTGTCAATTAGAGCTTGAATTTTCGTGTAACTATCTTCATCCTGTATGCGCCGCAGCGGTTGGTCCATGCTCAGATCAGCTATGACATCACGGATCAGGCCTTCCACTGTCGTGAGCTGACCGCGAGTAGAAGGTGGAAGTGTGAGTTCGTATTCTGGGACCACGATCTCACAGCTTTCAGAGCGCACAATTTGTCTGTTAAGGTCGGATCGGGAGACTATACGAGCAGTGTAGATGGTACCCTCAGCTACATGTTATCAGATAATGCTAATGATGAGAACGGGATATGAACACACGACGTATAGTGCTTGCAGACTGTATTTCATTGTTCGTCGCTCCGCAGTGTTCACATCTGAATGATATCACGATAACTTCGCGGAAGAATGGAATAGATGTGAGTAGCATCCTGGTGACACCCTACCATGAGAACAATAAGATGATTTTGACCTCAGATAGAGTAAGATAGGGACCTGCTCGCCACATTTCATGCAGAGTGACTCGATTTCTTGAGTAGGCCTATCGTCTGTATCGTCTGCGTTTGATTCGTCGATTTCATGATCTTTTTCAGGTAATAAATCCGCTTTATCCGCAGCGAATCCAATACTTGGAAAGAGTTCATTGGCCTTGGACATAGTTGTAGAGGAAAGAGGAGTATCAAAAGTTGTTGATCGAAAAAAAACCGGGTTCGGCGCCTTGCCACTTGAAAAGGGATTTCGCTCGCCAAGACGACGAGAGAAAGAAATAGTCGTTCCTGCACCTTCACCGATTAGGAGAAACGTCTCGTCTTGAGACCACTAACTACCACATGTAGTAGCTAGTTGAGACCACAACCCTTTCCCAAGGCCTTCCAGCCTAAGAACGCCGCGAAAATCCCACCATAGAAAGGCAGGGCAACCACCCCAGAGTATGATGGTACGATGCCACTGGACGTCTCTAACTAGCGAGAATAAAGAATTTTTAATATGCTCTAGAAAGACAACGCCACCCAGGCCGGCTCCCGTGATACGACATTTGACACGAGGTCATAAAGAAGATGAATGCTCGCCCTTTGTCCGTGCAAAACTAGGACGTCTCAAATCATATTTAAGGAGCGCCAGTCCGCCATAGAGTTCTATTCCTCCCTCTCACCCCCCGGAACCAGTGCCAGGCAAAACGAGCGTTCATACGACCCTTCAAAAAACTAATTCTCTGACCGAAGATCAGGCACCTCCCCCGCCCGAAGACGAGGAAAACAGAGAATCGTCACCAAAGACAAACCTTGCCCACTTCGCACCCGATGCCATACGAATTCCCTGACCCTCGTGCCACCGCCAACCTGCCTATTCCCCTACGATAAGTTCACCTGCTCTGGCGAAACGCCTGCGACACTCCCCGCGGGTTCTGAAACCCCATTCACGGACGCCACACACCCCCGCGTCTTCATCCCATGGAGTCATATCACGGCTGCTTTCCCAGAGGACATGCGTGACGCCATTGCCACCTCCCCTGAAAAGTTTATCGCAGCCGTCCCTTTCGGAGCAGGTCCTAAGTTCTACGCCGAAAACCGACGGGCAGATCTATTACTGAAAACCTTTCTCGAAGACCTCGACTTCCCGGACAAGGGAAAGCTCACGGTGTCCTTCCCTATCGAAGCGAAGGAGGACAAGAAAGGCAGGAATAAAGATGAAGGTCGCAGCAGAAAGACCGCCTTCGACAAGCCGTGGCCCCTGATCATTACAGATTTCTCTGAGGACTTCGCCAAATTCCTCCTCTGGAACCAATGCTTCGCAAACGGCATCGCATGCTGTTTGGAACCTCGTCCCATTTAACCCGAAGGCACTAGCTTGGGCCATCACAGCTTTCCAGGGCAACGTCGTTAGCAACGACCCTGATCTGATAGCTGAAGCTCTCGCATGCATCAAAGCCGCCACCTGGCCCGACGTCTCCATCCAAAACCTAGTCAAACACATCACCCAGACCCAAGGACGTTCAGGAAATCCCGCCGAGCTCACAGTCAAGATGACTCAGTCCTGGCGTCTCTCGTACATTGAGACGAAGAATTTCAAAGACGACAAAGGTCCGGTCTTCCTCTTGACGAGAGAACCCATCACCGACAACCTGGACATGCACAGATCGATAGCCGCGCACATCCGCAAACTGAAGATCCGAGTCAACTACCAACAGCTGATCAACGTCGACAAGATCGTTGGCTGCGACTGGTGCAAGAACCAAAATCATCCGAGCCATGCATGCCCCTTCCCGGAGGTGGATTCTACCTGGTACGGCCCCTCCACCGACGAACGCCGACTCGGAATGATGAAATCAGAAACCCCAAAAGACGATTTCCGCAAGCGAAGGGAGGACAGCCCGGAACCAGGCGGTTGATCGAAACATGGAAAGAAAGATTACGACCGCTGGAATATAGTTAGGCGTGGTAAAAAGCAGTAGTCAGCGTACCACTTAGATGCCATAGAATACAGTTGTATGTGTTTAATTGAGATATTTTACTACTGCTAGGATAATCTCGACGAGCATCAAGCTTGAAATAGCGGATCCAGGGGTGAGACTGGAGCGATGAGAAGTCCGTTAGATCCTGCTAACACTCATCAATGCATCTCCCCGTTCTGATTATTGATGACTTAGTGGAGGTAAGTGGGACTGCTGAGCAGGGAGGGGCGATATAACAAACTCCGACAAGGCCGGTAGAGCCACGACTGCTTGGAACTCCTCCTCACCGGGGAATCTCTTCTAAGCGGATCTACCTTAGCATGCCGCAGTTTGGCAGACTCGGTATGTGAAATTAGTTGCTACTAACTGTCTAGAATATAGAGATGAATCAAACTACGAATGCGGTCGTTACGGTACAGGCCTCGCACTACACCATCAAGACTCTGACATACCCACTGGTTATTCCTCTATTCAAGATGGTAGTGTGAGTAGTGACAGTGGGGAACCAGCATCGGAATTCCTTGAGAATGATGCGGTTGACCGAATGTCTCTCGGTCCCCCAGACAATGATAGGAATGTGCCAGCTGCCTCCCCAGCTACATAATGTGTAGACTCGGGAGAAACCATGCAAGCCCACAATGGTAGGTGTCGACAGCAAACATGCCAAAGACATCAGTCAAGTTTCTCGACAAACTCATGTGGCTCGAGTACCCATAGATGAGACCCCAACTTATAAGAGTGGTCATGCCACAAACCAGAGAGGAGAGCCATGCTCCCACCAAAATGCACAAGAAGATGATCCAGCTGGATCCCCTCAACAAGAAAAGAATCCTATGAGCCAAGCAAGTGTTAGGCCTGAGTGACACATGAACTATGACACGTGGTAAATAAGCACTGTATCGTGTTTGTACAATCACGCTTAAGTCCACTTGATGTGTTTGTAGTTGTTATATCCTAAGGTCAATACAAGTAGTTGACTCAAGGTAAAGCAGTAGAATAAAGGATAGTTTGAGACTAGGGATACATGGTGTTAGTTATGCTACTTATATACCATTCATCTCTCAATAAATATAGTACTACTAATTGTAAGTGTTCTGTGTTATAGTGCCCATTATCCTAGGGCATTGTAGTTACCTACAATAGACCAATTGTCTTGTTGTCAGGGTGTCGCTTTGTGTTTCAGGTCTGGTGGCTGTGTTGATCAAAATACCCCCACAGTCCTATTGTTAGTCTAGGCATTCTGACTAAGCATAAATAGGGGTTAATACTGCAGAAATGAAAATAAAAGTAGGAAAAATTATAACATTACCCTCTCCTTAAGACTATCATTCTGATGGCTTAATTAAAGGATGGTTGTAGTTGTATTAGATGAGGGCCATTGTGCAGATAACCTGCCCTTCTTCTCAGAAGATTCATGAAGATATTGACCTATTTGTAGGTCAATTTAGCAATAGTTTATAGTTATGTATAGCATCATTTGTATTCATATGTCATTTGTTTACTCATTGGTTAGACTCTAGGCTGTATCCCTTCTAGCTGACTAGATAGTCAACAGTTATAGTCATGCTATCTCTATGTTTATATATTTATCATGTTTTATAGTGGAGTACTTGATCAACTTCATAATGTTCTTTGTCATTGATCAGATCAGATGGTGGTAGCAGTGGTTGTTCTTGATTTAGGAAGGTGGAAACTATGAATGGAGTAAGAGGTGTTTTATTGAACATGTTATAAATTCACCAATGTGAGGGCAGTCTGAATTTGTAGACAGAATTCCTGACTTTGGTGATAATGGTAAATGTGCTGGTATACTTGTTATCAAGTTTTGTTTTAGGTGTGAGAGATGAAAGTTTATGGTGTCAAGCCACATCTTGTTATTTATGTTATATAAATGTGCTGGTTGCCAGTGTTTGTCATATTATGCTTTTATGATATTAGCAGCCTTCTGTAATGCTGTTTCTGTTTTGAGATGGATTTTTACCATGGTTGTAGCAAAATTGGTTGAAGTGGAGATCATGGTGTGTGTTCACATTATTCTGGCCATATTTGAATGCCAGCCATAGTTGATAAAGAAGGGCATCTTGCCAGTGGCAGAGTGGATGTGGTTGTTGTACTAAAAGGCTGTGAGTGCTAGTTATTCTGTCCAGTTGTTCTGTCAGTAGTTGATGAACATGTGAAGATATTTTTCAATTTCTTGGTTGATGCATTTGATCTGACTGTCTGTCTGAGGGTGATAAGCTGTGGAGGTGTTGCTGTGAATATTGAGCAGTCTGTATAAGTCATTGATGAATTTTAAGATGAATTGTGGATTTTGGTTTGAGATGATGACTTATGGCATCTCATATTTGGTATATACCTCATCATGAAGTATCTTTGTCCACCTCTTGAAGGAAAGTTCCATTGAGCATGCAATTGGAATGATTGCTTTAGAAAACCTATCAACAATCATGATGATTGCATCATATTTATTGCAATCAGGAAGTTCAGTCACTATGTTGATGGATATGTGGATCTATGATTGTGTTAGTAGTTCATTCAAGTGCAACAGTGTGGCTCAGGCTCAGATAGAGAACTTAGTCTATTAGCATATCTCACACCCTTTAACATATTCTTTGATGTCCTTTGTCATTTTTGGCCTATGATCATCACTCTTGATCAGGAAAAAAGCATATGATAAAATAAGCTATGATTATTTATGGAGAGTGATAGAGGCTTTCCAAATTTCATCACAGTTCATATTCACTGTAAAATCCTTATATAAATATATATTTATAAGAATCATGATAAATGAATGCTTCAGCTCACTATTCAAGATAACTTGAGATGTATATCAAGGTGATCCTCTATCTTGCCTGCTATTCAATCTTGCTATTGAATCTCTGGCTGAAATGCTCCACAAATTAAACCTCAAAGGTCTAAAAGTCTCAAAATCAGAGAAAAAATTAATTATCAAGCTCTTTGCAGATAGCACTATAATGTTTTTTCAAGAAGAGGATGATTTTGATGAAGCCTCTAGACATCTGATGTCTTGCCAGTGGAGCATATTCCAATATTACAAAAACATAAATCATACCAATCAGAAGCAAAGAGTTCTGCTTAAATGTATTAAACAGTCAAAGGAGCAAAGCTAACTTTAAACAAATATCTAATAATATACATATTATAAAAGAATATAAAGCAATATGTATCCTAAGAGCCTGGTTTGGAAATAACATCTCTGAGGATACAGTCTGGTCTTCAGTAATAGAAAAAATAGATAACAGCCTAGCCCACTGAAAATTGGCTCATCTCTCTGTCTCTAACTGATATGCTATAATTTAAATGATAATAGGAGGACTGATCCAATACTTAACAGCAGTATAAGACATGCCAAAGCATGTTGAAAGCAAATTAGAAAAAAAAGAATGCAAGTTTATTTAGAAAGAAAAAACACAAAATCTTATTAACTTTGAAAAATTAAAGTCTTTGAGAGACCAGAAAGGTTTAAGGATTCTTGACATACAAGTCCACAACAAAGCAATCAAAGCCATATGGATGAAGGAGCTCTTCTCTGATCAGAAACCAACCTGAACTTTTTATGATATCTTGGCTCATATAAGTCTGAGCTCAGAAAAAAATATCAACCAGAATATCAAAATAAATATCTTTCTACAGTCATTTAATGCAAAAAAAATCAAAATTACCTAAAGACCTACAACAAATTTTATCTATAGCAAAAGAAACTGGTGTATAGACAGAAATATCATATTCTCCAAAGAAATACTCTGAAGTCAACCAATTTGGTTCCACTTTGAAGCCAATCCAAAAATACATCTTTTAACTTGATTATCAGCAAGTATATGCCTCTGCAAAAACCACAATCTACATTTAGTCATAGAAGTGGAAAAAATTTTCCAGTTCCTAAATGACTCAAATCCCAATAGCAAGTCTTGAGGAATATGATGTGACTGCTACATTGATAAAACAATGAAGAATCTGAGCTGCAAAAAACCAAATGAGTGTATACTTTATGATGAGCTACTAAATCTATGACTTAGTGCACTATCAGGAAAGATGATCCATACAACAATAGATGGATTCAGTATAGATAAGATCAACTCCAAGATAAGAGCTATTGCTGGAATTCTTGTAATGGGAGAAAATAACATAGAAATCTCCCTAAGAATCCTTATGTCCATGCCTCAAACAATCCAGATTGGCAAGATAGTGGTGACAAAGAAGCTCACAGTCAGGATCAAAGAGAGCTGCTCTGCATAATAATATGAGCTCAAAACACATACTCTAATATATGTCAACATTGTTGAAAAAGATAGAAGATATAGATTATACAGGTATACTTAACTGAAAAATCCTCTAAGCAACTATAGCCAGCCTATGCAGCAGAAAACAGATCACAATAATGAAATAAGTTAGAGGCAAAGATAAACATCTTGAAAACAATAAAGTGAACATATTAGCAAAAGAAGGGGCTGAAAAAGAATAAGATGACTCCATTGACTTGAAAATAGACTCAAAACAAAGTCACAGAAGCTGCTCTGAGTAAACTGACACAAAGCCATACCTACAAGGCCTTCCAAAAACAAAAAAACTAGATTCTCCCACAACATGCTAAATCAGTAGCAAATGTAAAGCTAGCCATTAAGAGAGTGAATAAATATTTCAGGATTAAACTGTCAGAATCAGTGCTCTGAAAATCAATCAGACATAGAGATATCAATCATAACACAAGATATTTTCTCTGAATGATGATGCACAATGCCTATCAGATAAGAGCAAAATAGCTAAATTTTGCTCTCTAATGCTACAGCAGAGCATACTACACTCACTGCAACAGCAGTATAGAAAACATGAATCATATTATGACTGAATGCTCTTCTTCAGGACAGTAAGAAATTTAGAAGACCTAGAGAGATGTAATATTCTATGACACTCCCCAGAAAGTTGAATATTCTAGCATGTGTGGTCTCAGCATTTAAGTCACCAAGTGGACTCAGAGAAGGAGGAAAAGAGTGATTCTTCTGAATTGTTATCTCCTTATTCATGCAAACCATCTGAAATACCTGGTGTGAGAGGGTAATCCAATGAGAGAACACATCTTTCATATCAGAGGAAATTAGGAACAGATGAAAGAAGAAGATAAACAGAAGACTGGAATTCAACTGTCTAATGTCACAAGCCCACTTCAGAAAGAAGGCATTTAACAAAGATCTAGTGTTAAGAATATGAGCTGGCTCAATCCTCAACAAGCATCAGTTTCTGAATGACTGGACAGAAACTGACAGGGTTTTAGTGAGTATAGAGTAATGTTGAAGGCTGGGAAGTGCAAGGTAAGAAGGGTGTGAGAAGTAGAAGATAACTCAGCTGAGTTACAATTTCTGAGTCCCACACTCTGAGACAGTGCATAATGCATTTCCCCATGGTGAAACCAAAATCTATTTATAGTACTAACAACAAATGTTTGGTTTCAATCCCTGGCTGCACGTTGGAAGCGACTGTGTCACAGGATCTGCAATAGCCCCCACCCAAAAAAAAAAGGAGTTGATCAAAAATGATCAAAAATTTTTGAGGTTCACTTTTGTGATAACACATGCATGATCACTGATTCATCTCTTCTTCCAAGTGCTAGCAAGACACATCGAGTACATACAACTACCTCTGTAATCGTAATGATGTTTAACTACTGTAGGCTAGCGGTGAAAATTGGGCCTTTTCCTCTCTTCGCAATTGTCATGTATCAATCATTGATAGGAGTTTTAATAAATAATGCGCAAAGAAAGATGTCCCGGTTGTAAGTAATGAATCACGTATCGGTAGAGTTCCATCAGATTCGCGGTGCATAGCCCATGCTTTATTAGAGGGCCGCGATAAGCCCTGTTTAGAAGTTTGAACAATATTTATCTTTACGTTTATCCGCTCTAGAGACGTAAATCGGATTAATATCGCGTTGAGGGGGGGAATTTGTGGATACCATTTCCATACGTGAGTGGAGTGTTCTGAACGAAATAAAAGTATGACAACGTCGACCCATCAGCCGATAAATTCGAAGCGGAGTTTGTGTTATTACTGAATGCACATAAAATGATGGCCCTTCAGAAGACAAGGTCCCGTTTGAGCGTTTATAAAGGCCAACATTCTAACTGTAGGCATTCTGGGTGTCACACTGTACTGCCAGAATTGAGGAACAATAGAGAAAGAGTGCGATGTCCATGGTAGAGAAGGTACATTTCTGGCGTCACTTGTCCGATGTCGAGATCATCGTTGTCAGCAAGCAGGTGGCATCAGTATCAGTTTCGCACGGATCTGTGCCTTTACCCCACATTGTTTCCGCTCATTCCTTTCCTTTCATCCATTATCTCTTCGTCTTTTTCTTTTTCTCCTTTATGGCGCCCATTCTTAATCATCCAACCGGCGTGTCATTTATTGACGACCAGGCAAGCAAACCCGTCAATGTTGATGCTGCCACTTATTACGGAGGCGGGGAGTCATTTACACGTTCCCGGACGTACAGTCACGTAGATCTCGTTCTCTTTTCCGTGCTTTCAAGAAAGTACTTACCCTCCTCCTCACAGTCTCACATCCATGGCTACAAGCCTAAGCGAGCACCGGCCTTTGAGGAAGACTGGCACTTGAGACCACGTCGTATGTCCCATGACGAGAAAGCCGTCACCGCTCCTAGGCGGTTCCTGATTGACGTCGAGGAGACCATTCGAGTCGTTCTGGAGCAGGAAGATACCGACGGAGACCTTCAGATAAGTGTCACCGACGCTGGCCCGAAGATGATGGCGTTGGGAACGGCGACGAGCAATGGTTTTAAGACATTTGATATTCGGGTGCGCCCTTAGTTACATTTTTTGTGTTCATTCATTCAATGTCTTCTAGGGCACATATATGCTCTCCAATCTGCTACAAGAGCTTGCTCTCGCACGCGACCATAATAGAAAGAGAATCGTCCTCGACGAAGCCAGGCTCACCGAGAATCCTGTTGATCGTTTGTCACGTATGATCAAGAACTCGTTCTGGCACTCCCTGACGCGGCGTATTGATGGTGACGGCCTTGAAATCATTACTGCTGATCCAAAGAACCGCACAGGTCGATCCAGCCCACGAATTTACGTTCCCTACGGTGAACCTGCCATGGCCGAATATTATCGAAAAGTCGCTAAAGAGAAGCCACACATGAATCTTGATGTACAGGTTCTTCCCGAGAAACCTGACGACCCCGCTTTCGTGAAGAGCCTAAACTCTAAACCTGGCATCCTCGCTCTGGCAATGAACGAAGTAGACGATGGCAAAGGTGGAAAGACCTTGAAGGGCATTCCCTTCATCGTTCCTGGTGCACGATTCAACGAGGTCCCTTCTGTCGTATGATTTATGAGCTTTGCCACTTACACCATTCTGCAGCTCTACAACTGGGACTCATACTTCATATCTCTAGGACTCCTCGTCGATGGCCAGGTGACTATGGCCAAAGGCATGGTCGACCATTTCATCTTTGAAATTCGACATTACAACAAGATCCTAAACGGCAATCGAAGCTACTATCTTTGTCGTACACAGCCACCATTCCTCACAGACATGGCTCTTCAGATCTACAATCAGCTCGACCAGTCTGACGTTGATGGCAACCGGGCTTGGCTGAAACGCGCTATTCAAGCAGCTATCAAGGAGTATCACACTGTGTGGGTTGCGGAGCCTCGCATGGATCCCAAAACCGGACTGTCGCGCTATCGCCCAGACGGCCTCGGGATACCTCCCGAGACGGAGGCCTCTCATTTCACTCACATCCTTGAGCCCTATGCCGAGAAGCATGGCCTTTCTGTTCTGGAGTTCAGCGAAAAATACAACGACGGAACGTTGCAGGAGCCCCAGCTAGACGAGTACTTTCTGCACGATCGTGCCGTACGCGAATCTGGACACGACACTACGTATAGGTTTGAAAAGCGGTGTGCAAACCTTGCGACCATCGACCTGCAGGCGTTGCTATACAAGTACGAGGTTGACATCGGAACTGCAATCCGAGAGGTGTTCGATGACGAACTTGAGTTGGATGAGGATTTCCCGCTGTCACCGTTCCCTCCTTCAGTGGAAGCATATTCGAACCCTCGCAGGGAAAGTTCACGCAAGAGGGTTCAGCGGAGTGATGAGTGGTTCAAGAGGGCAGCGTTTCGGAAGGAGATGATTGACAGGCATCTTTGGAACGAAACGAAGGGTCTTTACTTCGATTACGATACGGTTAAAGAGAAGCAGATATTGTATGAGAGTGTGACCGCGTTTTGGCCACTTTGGGCTGGCTGTGCCAGTGAGGAACAATGTCGGAAGCTTGTGTACGTTGTCTCGTCACTGTTCTGGTGGGATTGGGATGTCTTACTATTTATTTGTACCTTCCAGATCGCATTCATTGAAAAAGTTCGAAGTTCTGGGTGGTGTCGTGTCAGGGACCGAAGAGTCTCGCGGGAAGATTTCCTTGGACCGGCCTAACCGACAGTGGGATTATCCGTATGCTGCCTTTCTGTCTCGTTGTCTTCTAGATCTGACACATTTTTTCCCATGATATAGCTACGCATGGTATGAGTTTTATCTTCTCAGCTCTCGAATATGCGCTTCTCACACCAGCTTACAGGCCTCCTCACCAGATCGTGATTTGGGTAGGGCTAGAACGATATGGATATCTCGAAGAAGCGCAACGACTAGCCTATCGTTTCCTGTATATGTATGTCGCTATGATTTCATTTAAATGTGGGCTCATGAATTTGCCAGGATGACCACTGCTTTCGTTGATTTCAATGGGGTCGTTCCCGAGAAGGTCTGTTGGTTGATTCTTTTCCATAATTATGATCTGTTACTAACATTCTGTTAAATTAGTTTGATGCCGTCAAGCTGTCGCACCTAGTAGATGCGGAGTATGGCAATCAGGGTGTTGACTTCAAGATGGTGCCGCGTGAAGGTTTCGGTTGGATGAACTGTACGTCCTTTTGCCTCAGACAATGACGTTGTACTGATATCAGGATTTTCAATTAGCCGCGTATCAGGTCGGCTTGTCGTTCTTGACGACACACATGCGTAGGGCTGTTGCTGCGTGTACCAGCCCGGAGGTCTTCTTTGGCGCTCCCTCTGGGACTGATTCTGTCATTGCAAGCCGAAATGTACCTATGACTGATCCCCTGGGTCTAGCCATGGATGCCCTTGATATTACTTCGCAGTAAATGCATAGATTTAACTTACCTCTGTCGCTCCTGTTTTGTCGAACGGGTTTTTTTCCACCTTTTATTTATGCTCGAGGATTCATTACTAATTTGGGGCATTTTATCCTCGATGTACCACACTGTAGATCATACAGTAACCATCCAATCAATTCGACTCCGTACCTATCATAGTTATAGTAATTCTTGTTTTCGCGTTTTCTTCCGTGAGCGTAGACCAAGTTGTCGAGATGCGTGTTGATATGGATGAGGCTACTCCGCCTGTTGAAGCGCTTGTGAGACGACCTTCAGATTTTAAAAGGTTGGCGGCAAAGATAAAGAGTGAAAGTTCGGCCCGTGACAAGTTGGGGTGACTTGGTACGAATGCCATCATCGACTCCATCGTCTTGGTAGCCTATACTGTGTTATGCTTCCATGTTACCAACTTCCCTGGCGAGCTTCCTCGTCCCATTGCTCAACTTTCTGACCGTCCCTCTGGCGCCGTCGCCGCCCCTGCAGTTCCAGCTGCGCCACGTCCACGCAGTCTCGTCTTCAGCTCGGGTCGTTTTTGCCGACGTTCCATCGAATACCGATACCAAGTCTCTACTCTCTTACGGTGGCAATTCGTATGATCTAACAACCCGGAGAGTAAAGTCATTTCGGCCTCCTACCTTTGATGCGTTCTCTCAAGCTCGCGTGCGCTCGATGAAGTTTGGGCAAAGTCAAAGTCTGGCTTGGAAAGAAGATCAAGTCCTTGCCCCAGATGTCGAGGACAGAGAGACCCTCCTTGCGTTGGCTAAAATGGCCAACAATGCTTACGTCGTACCCGATGAGGGCTCATGGTACGATCTAGGCGTAAACTGGACAGTCGTATGTATCCTCACAATCTCCCTCGGAATAGAGCTAAGCCTCCTGCAGTCTTATCCATTTGGCTGGGAGCCCGACGATGACGGGTTCAGAGGACATGTCTTTGCGACGCCTGACAACGAGACCGTAGTGCTATCCATCAAGGGAACCTCTGCGGGCGTATTTGGTGGAGGAGGCCCAACTGTGAAGAAGGATAAACTGAATGACAACTTGCTTTTCAGCTGCTGCTGCGCTCGGATCGACTGGACGTGGACTACCGTCTGCGGTTGTTATCGTGGCGGATGGAAGTGTGACCAGGACTGCGTTGAGGAGGCGCTCATAGAAGAAAGTCTCTTCTACCCTGTTGGGACGGTACGCCTTCAATATCAATACGTGCCTCAAACTCTTCTCATTCCGTCTGCCTAGAACTTGTACAATAACCTCTCGTACATGTATCCAGATTCAAACATTTGGATCATCGGACATTCTTTGGGTGGGGCTTTGGCAAGTCTGGTCGGTGTTACTTTCGGCGCCCCAGTTATCGCATTTGAATCTCCAGGAGAGAAAATGGCCGCGTCTCGACTTCATCTTCCGTCACCGGTACGTCGCTTGCCAAAGGAATAAGACCAACTTATTTATCCGTGCCTAGCCTTCCACGCAACACATTACACACGTTTACCACACGGCCGATCCCATTGCAATGGGAACATGCAACGGCATTCTCTCGTCTTGTGCCCTTGGTGGATACGCCATGGAGTCTCGGTAAGCCGTTTTCTTCGAATCTATCCGTCTGAGTCCGACCATCACCTAGATGCCATCTGGGCGAATCCATTGTCTATGATACAGTCTCGAACCTTTCATGGACTGTCGATGTACGGACACACGGTATTGTCACCGTGATTGAGAAAGTTCTTACAGATCCTTGGCCTCCCAGCGTTGATATGGGACGACAAGTGCCCGAGGCTGCTCCAGAAGAAGATTGTGTGGTAAGCCGGTGCAATAGCATACTACTTGACGGCTGAATCTTCCATGTGCAGGAATGTTATAGTTGGGAATATGGAAACTTTGATTAGAGGCAATCTGCCAGGCCCTAGAACATGACATGGTTGCGATGAGATGATATAGATACGCGTGTTGTACTTTATACACGCTTGGAACCTCGGTTAATACCTTATTGTAATTACTTGCCTTGTTGCGCCGTAGTACTCAAGTAACTTTACGAATCGTTGAGTGGCAGTGCTAACTTGTTTGCCATCCCTAGCAAATAACGCGTCACCAACGCGTCGTGTCTCCAGCGCCCAAGATCTCTCCGCCACGATGTTAATCCCCATCGACATCCCTATTTCCTCTATATCTAATCAGAAGCTGTCCCCTGCCTTTGCCAAAGTATCCCATGACGAAACTGTCTTGATTGAGCTGCAGGGCACTTTGGATGTAGAGAGCAATCATGAAAGCGAGCGCAATGGCAAGCCGGTTGGGAAACTGTCAATTGACGAGGCTATGGTTCGTGCAGCATGTGTGGATCACATCGCTCTCTTAAAATTTCAGCAGAAAAAGCCTACTTTACGCATTGGACATCATCACCTTGAAGGGAAGATTGTTAACCTTCCTAAAGCCATCGCCGTAATACAGAAGTACTCGTCTCTTCAGAGCAAAGAGGAGGACAAAATGGTCTGTGATGAGGACACGAATGTAGGCAACGATTCTGGGGTTGGTTGGCGTGTTATTGCTATCGTCAAAAGGAAGATTGTATTTTCGAAACGGCCAATGCCAATTGTGGGGCGACCCAGTTGAATTCAAGTACAGTATCGTTCTCTATAGTTCATCTAATTTGACCTGCTTTTTCCTTGCGAAACACAGAAAGGCAACAAAAAGATTGAAAGGGAGACAAGCTAGTATTACAAAAAACAAATTGGGATTATGAAAAAGACTTGTTTGAATTTTACATTTTTCCAAGACATGGCTAGTGATGTAAAATGAGCTATGGAGAAGAAACAAACATAGATGATTGCACTCACCATATTTACACAGAAATACAGCCGTTTAAAAAGCAAGGCACGGCCCAAAATCGACAGAGGGAGATGCAAGTAGCGAAATGGCCCAGATTACAGTGGTCTTTTACCGTCGGGTGCATATCGAAATGATTATGGGGTGAGCAAGGGGAAGGATAGGACCGAGAACAGACGACGAGAAGGATGACCAAGGGATATTATACATTGATGACGACTATGGTGCTTACAACGCATTGAAGTCCATGCATAAATGTTTCCGAAGGTGATTGTCAATGGACTGTCAATGCTTAGAGTAGTACAATCCACAACGATTGCAGGTATTATGTTGTGGAGGGAATGCCAACAAGAATGACGGTGGTGAAAGAGAGCGTGGTGAGACCCAGCGACAAAATCAGCGAGGAAAGCATAGGCAAGATTAGTTGAAGCCGTCGAAATGGCCCTTGAGAATGCGCTCGCCCATGGGTGATGGAGCCCTGCGCTGCTTGGTATCCACACTGATGGTGGCGGAGCGGCGAGGTCGACTGTCTCGAGCAAACGGTAGTTGCTTGCCCTCAGTGGGGTTAACAGCCGAATTGGGTGGCGCATTGGGCGGCGATCGAGACGTCATGTCTGAGGGCTGCATGCAATCGATAGGTTAGCTATTTATTATACTCCAATGCAGAGAACCCACCTTTGCGAAAGTGCTGCTCATCGAGAGCCTTCGTAAGAGGCCCGTGCCGCGCTCTGTGTGAGGCTCAGGCATACTAAGCTGCGGCTGCGCAAAACGACCTGCTACAGCAGTGCTAGCTCGTCGAGCATGCGCTGCAACAGGTATTTCCTTCTCCTCATCCTCTGCCAGCAGGAGATTAGTGGGACGCAACGGCTTGAAATACCTGAACATACCTTCGAAAACCGGCGCAGGCCCGAACTTTCTGAACGGGTATGTGGAAGCTGAGCCGGGAGGCGCTTTGGTAGGCGACTGGGAGAAAACGTAGGAGAGTATTGGGGAGCTTCCTGGTGAAACAGGGCCAATACGAACAGGGCTGGAAGAGGTGGAAATTGGAGTCGGTATCTCTGTGGGAGAGTTTGAAGAGCCAGAGGACGATGAAGATATCGAGGCTGAACGGCCGCGACGGGACATGATTGGAATTGGGTCTGAATGCATGGTGGAATCAGTAGTACGAGAGTTGGAAGACATTGGTGGTTCGAGACAGAAGAGAAGGTGGTGGTAGGAAGTAAACAAGTCGGGATTGAGTCAGGCGACCTTTTGTATTCATTAGCAAGATCCCGATTTCATTCATCACGTGTCTGGCGCTTGAGCACCGCTGTCTTGGCTCATCGTTCAGTTCTCGACTCTGACCTTTTAGTGGGATTTCTGCAATGGAGTCGAGGCCCATGCGAGGCCCGGTACATCAATCACCATCTTACTTCCCAGGAATCCCTCGAAAGTTGAGGATTTTCTTTACGACAGCTTCGTAAGGGCCATTACCCGGTTCTAGATCACAGGGAGAGGCCGACAGTGCCAAAGTTCTGAATTCGCATTACCCCGCATCACATGCACTCTACCCCGCATTTTAAGCCTTGTTCACTTTCTGGACGTTGTGTCTTGCTTTTATGATTCCCTATTTTTTTTCGGTACATAAAGGTCCGGACAGGGAGGTTCAACTGGTACTTGTTCAACTCGGCATTCGCACAGTACATCTCTGCAAGTTCTTCCTTATCAGACATCCGAAATCTGTAGCATCCACAGGCTGTTCTCATCATGAAACAAGACTCAGGTTATCGTATTAACGAATTAGTAGGGCCGCATTTCAGCCCCCACTGTGTGTACAAACCCATCACACGACCATTCATTGGGGGCGACCTTGTCGAATGAAAAGTTGCCTTCCCACCACGATATCAATCACATGTGCCAGCCTATTCAGTTGCTTAGGCTTCCATTTGTTCGCCTTCGCGGAACCGGAGCGATTTTCAGCAAGAAAAACCCAAATCCAGTAGTTCAGCCTAGTGAAGAGCACCATCACCAATCAGCGCAGTGATTAACCGTGGGTGCACGCACGTCGAACTGCACAAAACATGAGGAGAGGATATGGAACGTCATAGAAAAGCAGCGAAGGCGAGATTCGAATAGCCGGAAACGAGAATAGATCCAGCCATCCAGTTGACGATCCGATGCAGCTACGTACTGCCCTCATCAAGGGAGAAAACTCCGATGAAACTTTACATGTCGTACCTTTGGATCGCAGCCAAGTAACTGAATACTAGTTTACGGCTGATAACAGTTGATCAAGCCTCTGACACATCATCATCGTCATTACAACCCCTCACTTAGCCGAACCGCGAAGCAAGATAGGCAAATCATTGGCCATTGAGCATTTCGCCTGAAGAGATCCCCCACTGGACTACGAGTCCCCTTTCCGTACGACAAGTTTCATCAAAGCGTTAATAAACTCAGGTCCGAGGTGAATTGGCCCTGAGATCGGAGAAGAAATACCAGGGTCAGCACATCGCTACATAGGAGTACATAATGGAAGAATACAGCGGCACAAATGGCAATAATCGAGGGAGGCGACACGGGGCTTATCTGATCAGATCGGAGCAGCCACGTGGATTTGCGTCCTTTTCAAATCAGTGAAACTTATTTGTTGGCAAATATCCCTCATCGCATATCCCTTGACTCTAATTGATTCACTTCGCCTGGAAGCTTGACGGAGACTCTTGGACTAGAGGGGACACAGGACAACAAAATTTCCATCACTTGTCTCCGATCTGCATGTTCTGGTGCCGTGTTCGACAAAGCCCAAACACCTACGGTTGCGAAAGGAAGGCGCCGTCGGCGCCATTTCGCAAATGTTACTATGACACCATCTCGCCATGTGGTCGACGATAGGAATTTATCTTCCAAAGGAACGCTCATCAATGAACTCGTTGCCCAAATTTCTCCGGAGCCCCATGGCTCCCGCATAGCCAGCGTACCTTAACGATGAGTTTATGGATGCCCTGGCAATACAAAAGGCTTGCAAGTTCAGCAAGGATCCTACAGTTTTCTTCCTGTTTCCTCTCCACATTCTCTCCCTAGCGCCTTTCCTTCTGTTCACTCTTTTCGCATCACTGCGCGTCTGCGACTGGTCATTCAAGTACAGACCTACTTCATACGAGCTCCAAACATGATCTCCGCAACCTTGATATCTACTTCTGTCGTCTTCCTCGCCGGCCAGGCCTTTGGACACGGCAAACTAACTAGTCCACCCCCCCGTAGTGACACCATTGGCTCTGCATTCTCAGAGGCTTGTGGTTCGCAACTACTTTCCGTAGAAACTTCCGATCCATACGGCAACATCCAGCAGGAAATGCAAACCAGTTCAGACGAGACATCGGCTTGCAACCTTTGGTTGTGCAAAGGATACCAGTTTGCTGATAATGAAGCGAACGTCCAAAGTTACACGGCCGGGCAAACGGTTTCGATGACTGCTGACATTAGGGCGCCGCATACCGGAGTAAGTGTATCATCTTAACCGTTAGACATAGTCTCATCTCTTCTTGTCTCCGGCTCTAGATTGCTAATGTTTCCATAGGTAGATGACTTTCTTCTTATTGTCCACAGTGATTAATATCCGACCCATGCACAGTCGCAACCGCAACCAATACCGTCATTGGTGATGCCCTTTACTCTTGGGATGATTATGCCAGTAACCAAAGTGGCGTGACGGCGGATGATGAGGCTTGGAACATCACGATACCCAATGACCTTGGCGACCAGTGTACGGCGGCTGGAGATTGTGTCATCCAGTGGTAGTAAGTCCAAAACTTTATTTTTCAAATGGCTGTTGATTAAGAAATCGAAACTTTCGTTCTAGTTGGTACGCCGAAAGCATCGATCAGACCTACGAGGATTGTATTGATTTTACCGCGGGAGGATCCAGCGATTCGTCGGCCTCGACTACAGCAGCGTCCGCATCCGAGAGTGCTACGGTAGCATCTGCAGAGGCTACCACCAGTGCTACCTCCATTTTCGTCCTCGTTAACAGCTCCGCGAGCTCGGAGGCTGCAGCATCAACATATGCAGCTTCCTCTGTCGAAGTTTCCGCGAGCAACGTAGTTGTGTCTACTATCAGTTCATCGTCAACTCCTGTTGTCTCGTCCATCTCGAGCGCCGCCTCTGCCTCTGCCACATCCGCCGCCTCAGCATCTGGCACCGTTGCTATCTCAGCCTCTGTCGCCTCCGATGCCACTTCTACTGTTAAAACGTCCGTTGCTACGTCCACCTCGGCGTCCGTCGCCAGCACCAGCACGTCAACTAGTAGCACCACTGACGCTAACGAATGCATGAATAGTACGCTTCTCTGTCTCCATACTGATACCCTCTAACGATAACATCCCAGCATACAACGAATGTATCGCGGCATCGCAGCCTAACCCTGACTGGGATGGGTGCTCTTCGACTAAGGATACATGCTTGGAAACCGCCACTTACTCTCGCCGAGCGAAGCGCTCGGGTACTCTAGGCCGCAGGATGATATGAAGATTTCCGGGTTCGTTTTAATGCTCCCTGGCAGCCTTTTTCTCTTCTTGTTTACTTATGTTCTTACGGCACCATTGAGTGGTTGCGTGAATCCTTCCCGCTCATGATCCTTGCCACTTTCTGAGAGTGTAGGGGAGACATGATGCTGGGCAGGCAGGATTACTTCGTACATTTCTTTGTAACCCGATTTTTTTTTAGAGCAGCTTAGTTCCAGCTCTTGAGTTGTAGATATCTCTCACAGAGGCACTCCTTTTGCCCCTGAGAACTTGAACACCTGCTGTGCAATGATCGAGTAAACCTCTATATTGATCACAAGTATACAGAAGGGAGAAGCATGTATGATACAGAACGCGTGTACAATCGACAACGAGAGAAGATGTTATGATACAATTATAGATTGTGAAGGTCACCCTTTGCATATGCTTCATTCTAGAGTTCCTGAGGACTGACGCAATCATCCAAGGACAACTCTCCTTTAGCAACCATATCCCGGAGGCTGGTCTCGGTCTTGATCATGCTTTCACAAAGCTGAATGGCTCCACCCTTACTCATCTGAGAACATGACCAGATTTTTTTAACCTCAGGAAGTGATTTCCGCAGCTTCTCCATTGCTTCCAGTTGAACAGCTACAGGGGTGCCACAGCCCCACATAGCCTGAATGGCGCAATGCAGGAACCCTATCACAAAAACAGGATTAGCGGTTGTTTAGCCTCCGAAGATATGTAACCTTACAGCTGTAGCACTCATCGTCTGGTGGGAAGCATTCAGCCGCGGCAAGATAGGCATGCCCAGCAGCAGAATATGACCGAATTGCCTTTCCCCCATCCTTAGAAGCTTCGGAGTTTCCAATTTTATTGTAGTAGAATCCTTTCATTCTGTAAATAACGAGGTTAGAAGATGGAGCGAAAGGATAAATAAAAGAAGTACGCAAGAGCATGTCCTTTACAATAACCATAATACGCAAGCTTGAATCCCGGATTAATAGTCCGCAGTGATTCAGGAGGTGGATTTTCATCGACTGCACGTATCAGATCGTTCGCTCTTTTTAACAGTTCTTCCAGGTACTGTTCATTACCAGCAGGTTTTTCAGCATACGCCTAATAGTGGGATGAACCAGTATGAATGCTGGGCACATTTCAGCGGACATACCTCCATTAGTGCGTGGAGATGCATGTTCCGAACCCCCCGCACAAAGGTCAAGTCAAACACCGTGCCGCGTTCCTCCCTAAAAACGATTTGAGACCCTGTTGTTGATCGATGACGCCACGACACACCTAGGAACATCACGGAAGACTTCACGACCCCATTCTAAGATATCGAGAACCGTGATTAGAAACTCTAGCTCGAGAGCACGGAGACCCCTAAATCGGCCTTCCATGAATGCTCTCATAATCAAGCAGCTACATTAGAAATAGTTAGCGCTGCCTCTTCCAATTAAAATTCATTTACCGAACCGTGACACTGATTGCAGGACGGACATTGCTCCATCCATCTGTCTGCAATCGTGCCTGCACTTCTTTCTTAACTTGAGCGGGTCCTCCATCAGTCCATGCTCCGCTTCTCGTCGCTTCAAGTTGCACTGTAAAGGAAGATGAAGCAGTTGACCCAACGACTATAGGGAAGATGGCGTTTACCCTGCAGGTTATACATGGAAACAAACTGAGGGTCTGAAATATGAAATGTTCTATTATCTGCGAGGACGGCATTACTGATGGAAGCAAGGACCTGAAATATGAGTTAAGTATTTGAATATGCATAGACTTGAGGGAAAAACGCGCACACCCAAGTGCCCCATTAAAGCTACGCCAACTTTCTTCGTGGTCTTCATCTTGCTGACACCGTCGGTAAATTCCTATAGTACACATGAGTGACTATTCATATTAAAGTGGTCACCACAAACCTGGGCAGCAGAGTAAATGACCCAAGCCTAGATAAAAGTCAGCTACAGTTTGTAAGACAACGATGAACGTACACTGCTGTTATAGTTGCCTTCTGAAGCGAGCCGCGGGAGAAGAGCCTCCGCAGCGGTCCAAGGAAGCTGGGAGGTATCACGCGCTGACAACGTAAAAGATCGTTCCGGTTGGGCCTTTAAGTCCTCCAAAGCTGCTCGAGAAGTGTTAAGACCAGCCTGGTACTGCTCACGCTTCCTGACTTGAGCAGTGGACGGATTCTCCGTGGAAAGGGCATCTAGCGCGTTTTGCCAATCTTTAACACTCTGCCAATACTCCATAACCATCTGTCTCAAGACGTCAGTGAGAAAGAAAAGGCCGGACAGGATTTGCAAACATCATGAGCAGTAGCCAGCCGTGCATAGGCTTTTGCGCACTTTGGATCGATGCTGATGGCCTAGAGTCAAAAAGATGGTCAGTATAGTTATCATGAACGCGTCGTGGCGAAGTTGAGTGCTCACTTGTCTGGCGTCGCTGGCTGCATTGAGATATCTAAACGACATTCAGTCGATACGTGCTATCATTCTATGCGTCAAAGTCACCCACTCTTTTGTATTCAAATAACACGCCGCTCGATTCGCGTACAAGATAGCATTGTCGTTATCTGCCGCAATCGCTTCAGTGTACTTGAGGATAGCGCCAGAAAAATCCTTTTGGGAAAACAGCTTGTTTCCCTCGTCTTTGAGCTGAGTAGTAGTCGGGGGCATTGTATATAAGTAAAAAGGATGGAAGGTTGGTACGTATTTACATTTTATCGGTAAATAGTCGGTTGGTTTGGACATTTTCTAAGACGTTTTAGAAGACAGTTATCTTGACATGCTCGGTTGCCTGCGCTCATTCGAACAGAACTACAGCTGGAATTGGCAGAGCCTCTCTGTACATGGAATATTGAAAGCAGGACAATGGTGCCAGTCAGGTGCCCCGTACTTCAGTTTAAGTATCGCACTGTCTTTGCCAAGTTCGCTTAAATATTTCGGACCTTTATCGGTTCGAATGGAGGTCGCCGTGCGGACACGGTCATGCCATTTGACCTGCCTGCCCTAAACGGGTGTCCATTCCGTTTTGGGCGGCGTCTTCTTCACTTCTCTTCCACCATCTCTGGCCTTCTCCAGTGCTGGGAGCTCATCGCCCGGACGCCTCTCAGTGGCGTTCTGTCTGGACATCAATTGGAAACCTCCGTCTGGACTCGTATAATTCACTTTGCCGCAATGGGTGTAGAGCGGTCAACGGACGTGACGAAATCCATGAAAAATTCTCATCTCAACCAGGAAGCATGGCAGCAGTGAGTATGCACCAAGTTATATTAACTCGTCGTGTTCTGGAATTTGCTTCAGAGTTCTGTTGTTTGATCACGTCCCTGAAAACGAATGATAATAACGCAATTCTAACAAAGGCGAATGCCCATCGCCAGTTTGCGAGCCTTTGGTGATTTCTGTGGCCATCCGAGTCGCCATCAGACACTACTTCGTACAGCAAGATTTACCCCGTGTATTCAACCAAGCACAAGCATACATACTTCTCTAAACTCTTTGTTTCAGCAACGTAAGATGGGCTATGAATCCTGCAGAGTCGAGCCCAGTTATTAGAGCGCTTGGCAAGAATTTGGACGTCACCATGACATGGACGAGACCAAGAGTTACAGCGGCGACGATGCAATTTATCTTACCCACCCGATTTTCAGGGCATATGGTGGGTAACTTATTTGTTTAACGTTAAACCCTGTACTCCTAAAGTTTTAATTGGTATTTATAGCGCTGCCGTAGATCATAACGCGAAGAAAGTGCCAATCAAATTTCCAGTTCTGTCGCTGCCCTTGCTACTTCTAGCCAGATTGCTGGAGGCCGTCTAATACGGAACGCATTGCATTCTGTAGTATGTTGCGCCCCATATCCGTTTTGGATCTACGCTGCTCCCGAGTCGGGTCTCATCTGTCTTTTTATGAAGCCATTCTGCACGCCCTTCTTTTACTCAACTACCATCTCATCATGTCTGTGTCGACCTTACAAGGACTGGCTCCTTCGTTTGATTTCTCTGGTGTCTGTAGTTCTGCTGCAGCAGTTGGAGCAGTAAGTTCTGTCAGGTGCTCATACGTTACGTATCTCAAGGTACTTTCACTATCAGGCAACTACCTTGTATCTCAATCATAATGAGTACCGTGGTGACACTGCGGTTGTTGTTTGTGCTTTGGCCTGGGCGTCGGTTTTTGGCAGAGGCATCTTCAAAGGACTTAGTATCAGCCAGTCCTTAGGGATGGCGACTGGTGGACTGGCGTCGTTCTTGGGGACAATGATCGCTATTGCCGTCGCTTACCGTCTATCACCTCTGCACCCGCTTTGGCGCTTCCCTGGCCCCTTCCTCAATAAGATCACGTCGCTGAAGACCATGCACATGGTGTCTACTGGTCATCGTTACACTATTATCAAGGGGCTTCATGAGCAGTATGGTAAATTTGTTCGAACTGGTGTGTCTCATTGATTTTCCTTCATCCACGGAGAGTAATAGTGGTTAGGTCCCAACACACTCTCTATTGCATCTGTCGAAGCCGTGCACCCCATCTACACGACTGCACAGAGCATGGATAAGAGCATGGCGTACCGTCCTGGACGTGCCCCAGTCGGAGGATTGTTCTTCACTCCCGAAAGAGATATCCACAACATTCGCCGAAAAGCTTGGGCTGGTGCCTTCAGCGCTAAGTCGTATGATCTCTTCGCGCTCTTCTTTTCTTCAAAGTGATTCGAGCATTTTTAGACTTGTCAAGCTTCTTGCCGTCGTTGATAAGCGCACGAAGCAAATGATTAAAGTCATGGACAAACGTCGTGGTGCTGATGGTGTGATTGACATGTCTGAGATCATTCGTCATTGGGCATATGATTTGATGGTCAGGAAATAATTCTCTCTGCTCACGCGATTTCTCTTACTGATGATGTCTTAGGCTGAGATGACTTTTGGTGCAACAAGTGACGTCGTAAGTGTTGTCGGTCCAATTATCTGAATAGCATGGCTCCAAAGTGACCCAGGAACTTATGGCTGATGGTGACCCAGAGAATGTCTCTGAGAATGCTCAAAACGCCACAGTGGTTTTCGAAGTGTGAGCCCACTCCGCGTGATTTTTGAATATACCCTAATCGTTCCTATGCAGACTTGGTGAAGCGCCTTCTATCTTCGACATTGCGTGGAACTTGCCCGCTTCGGATGAGTTCCATGTCCTGGAGAAGACCGCCACAAAGCTCATGGACGTTAGGAAGCACATAACTGGTGATGACATTGCGTCGTACCTGGTAAGATGCACTATCGGACTTATGATACGGATTCTCATACAGTGTATTCCAGCTTGGTGAGAAGGGTGGTGAGCGTCTTGGTGATGAAGACCTCAACATTGACTCTGCCTTTGCCATTGCCGCCGGTACGTACATAGAATGTTGCAAGAGCCAGTATCCACTGATATATCTCATGTTAGGATCTGACACCACGGGAGGAACCCTTACTATCCTTCTGTTCTATCTCCTCCGTGACCGTGCTGTCTACAAGAAACTTCGTGATGAACTTGATGCTCATTTCCACAGCCTCGATGAAATCGATGATCCTAAGGGCCTCCAAGAACTCCCCTACCTCAATGGTGTTGTCTGGGAGGGTCTTCGTCTTGGTACCCCATTTGGTGGTCTCCCCCGTGTTGTTGGAGAGGGTGGGTGTACGATTGACGGTGAATTTATACCCGAGGACATCATTGTGGTAGGCTCCTTGCGTGATGTTTCCAGCTTTACATCTGAGAACATCTACAGTCGGTCCCACCTTATACCCAGCAAACCAGTCCAGAGAACTTCTACCCCTTACCTATGGAATTCTTGCCAGAAAGGTGGCAGCCTGAGGGTCTTGGTCCGGAGACAATCACCAAGAAAAACGCGATGTTGTGTTTCTCATATGGTCTGTCACATTTACCTCTGAGGAGATATTCACAAACATTGTTCACAGGTGCATTCAGTTGCCTCGGCAAGATCTTTGCTACGCAGGAACTTCACCTCACAGTGGCCAAGCTCATGATGGCATATGACATGGAGCTTCCCAGATCATTTGACCAACAGAAGTTCCAGGATGGTATACTGAATATGCGCACAACACTTTTTGACTACCCCCTCGCTATTACAGCTACGGCTCGCGACTAATTCGAGTCCCAAGAGGTCTCATTTAGATGTATTTAATACTATAATTGCTAAGCATAGCATCACTAAACCGGAACCTAATACAGCATGTTATAATAATAGCTATTTCAAGGGTTAACTGTCGTTTGCAAGCCTGCGTGTCGACGATAGCACTCATGACAACACTGAACAACGCACACATTCGCATTACCGGAGCGAATCCTAAAGAACGACGACATGACCTCTGGTGGATGCGAGGAATTGGTAGTGTCGTCGTCAACGCTCTTGATTAGCAATTCCACTTCTTCGTATTCTTTAAGAGTCTCATTGGATAGTTCTTGCTGAAAACGCTGGAAGATTGTGACTTGGATGAGACAAATGGGGTATAGCGGAATAGACGTACCTCCCTAAGTGCGGAGATATATATATATTTCGAACCCCACGAAAGATGTGATTTTCTCATATAACAATAAGATCATACCAAGTATGCAGAATGGATGTCCCAAACCTATGTTCAAGGACTCATCGTTTCTCGCTTCTGTTCAAAGGGGCAATGGACAAACACTGCTGCTATCATAATTTCCGGGCCACTAACTCAGGAAGAATATCATTGGCTGCGTCCCACGGGGTAATTTCAACGTTGCATCGACTTTAAAGGCTAAAGGATTGCTTTCCATTGGTCGGCGAGGCGCATTGCCATCCTCGTACTGTGACTTCTGTTTGGACTCCGCTGGGGTAAGGTATCTAGGGCCCGCTGATCACACTGGCTTGCTGCTGTCCGACAATCTGGAAATTAACCGGTGAGCATACAAGGATATGTTCCCGTGAGAAAAGCTCACACTATAGGCGCCTGCCAACCTTCCCCATGCCTTGGCACATGCGGGGTCCATTTCTGTTGCCCATGTCAGTAAAGCAATGAAGTAGGTCCCTGGCAGTGATCGAAGAAAACCTTTGACGTACGATCCGGGCGTCCCCAAGACAATCCAAGCTCAGGTCACACTTTTGAGCAGAACATAAGATAATTATAATCACTGTTGGTCAGAATGGACAATAATGGTGCCCTCCGCCTCCTCGATAAAACGCTTCCAGATGCCATCTAATTCATACAACGCAGCTATATGTCCACCTTGCACCCATTCGAGCTTCGCGTTGGCGTAATTACCGACAAGCCACTTTGCCATGTCGGGACCTAGCTCATCACTTGTCGATGCGACAACCAACAAAGGCCGCTTCGAATGTTCCTCATCCAGTTGATTAGGGCAGAAACCCCAATCACAATGAAGATCATCAGATGTCTCCAAGAAACCTTCCCGCCACATTGCAATACTGCACTTGGCATTCTCCGCAAACTCTCTCTCGAGCTGACCCTCAGCAATGCCATTCTGTTCCCTCCACTTCGCAAAAGCCTTGCGCTCCCTTTCGTCTGTTTTGTCGAAGAGGATTTTCCTGATGAGAACTTCGGCTCTCTCGACTGTACCCATCTGTGCCGATATCGCTGCCACTAGCATTCGGGGAATGGCTCTGAAAGGGAATAACTGGGAGGGAGGCCCGACTGAGATATAGTTCTGCCACGTCATTCCCTTCGTATATCCTTTGTCCCACTTGAAAGGAGAGAACGGCGCCAGGAGTAGACATCCGACTATTTTGCGCCCAAGCGGAAACGCGTCGAAGGATGCCCCATAAAGAATTTGGGCAGGAACAGTCCCAAACGAGCCCCCACTGATATATATCCTGAGATTGTCATCATTGGGATGAAGGTGATTAATTAACGTTGTAAAGTCGGACGTTAAACTGGCAGGATATGATAAGTCCTTGGGGCGGGGATCAGATTTTCCCCATCCGGGAAGAGTGGGCGCAACAAAATGAACGCCCAATTCTCGCAAGGCTGGAGACATGCGAGGTGCTCTTCCAACACCAAATACTCCGTGATAAAAGACGATGACAAGGGAACTGGCTGGATCCCCATTGTCTGCGTAGGCTAATCTCCTCCCATCCGAGAGCGTCAGATACTTTTCCAGGGCTTCGGTCATGACACGGGGTGGATGCTTTGCTAAATTGTTTAGGCAAAGTGGAAAGGGGTACGATAACGTGACTTTATAGACTTTATACAGTGGCAATGACACTGATAAAAATCAGAGCCAAGCACGCTATATTTCCAGCGCAGTCAACCCTGATGACGTTTTTGGATGAAGGCTGCTTGAAGTGAGGTACATGAGTGCGCAGCTACGGCAGCCCAGGCTGAAAGGTATAGGAACCCCAAAGAGCTCAAGGTCTTTGGAGATGGTTCAGTCGACGAAGGGGGAGTACAAGGAGTACAGGGTAAAAAAGAGTGAGCTCCGAGCTCAAAATATTAATAGCGTGACGATCGTATACGATCGTAGATGCAGCGCGACCCTGCCACTTCACAAGTTGGATAACCGGAGACTAGTAGTCAATCTTACTTTATTCGACGCGACTGGACGTGACACCCATCGATTCTTGTTAAGATTCTGCTTAGGTCCTGACAGTGAATATGTAGACTGTTCCTTGCTGTTTTTTTTACAAGATAAGGTCCAGATCCTTGCGACCTGAGTTCCTGAAAAATTGACGAGATCGTCAGCGGTTAACATCACATTCGGATACCCCTTGAAGCTGTATATCGGAGTACTGTCATATCCGGGTCCTGGCACATCAAGGTCCTGGCACATCAAGAAGGTAAACTCAATGGGTCACTAAAGACGAAAACAGCACCTCCATTTCCCGGGTTCACCCAATGCTTTGTCACTGTCAAAAGCATGAAGTGGAGGATGGAAAGTTAATAATAAGGTGTGACTCGTCGCCAAAAAGGTCTCTGATTAGAGTAAAAACACATGAGATATAAACAAAGTATGTTAACGACAGACAGAACGACACGAACCCAGTAATGCCAGTAAATGCGAAAAAGCAGAAGAAACGAAGAGGTAAATGTACAGACGATGCAAATGATGGTGGTCGTAAGTGTCATGATACTGAAGAGCGGTAACGCAAAGGAAGACGAGCAAAACGATAAATGAATGACGATGATTATCCAAGGAAAGCCAACTCTGTCACCCGTCTACTCTCCTCGTCCTCGATCTCGCATGTTCCAAGGAGTATACTACCAGGGTTATGTATCGTCGGGCTCAGAGGTTGCCGGGGGCTCGGAGAAGGAATTTCTGCACCAGTTACTACCGCGAGTTGTCGATTAAAGCCCAAAGATCGCACTGCGCGCAAGCCTCGACGTTCAGCGAGAGGTGGCGAGGGGAGAGCCAAGGGAATGGTAGGTGATACAGGGAGATCGGATTTTTCCTTCCTGCCCAGAGTTCCTACTAGCGACCGGCGAACCGTTGTTAACGATCGAGAACCTGACGCTTTGTCGAGTTTCTTGAAAAGGTTCAGCGACCTCCGACGTTGTCCTTTAATTCGAGACTCTGTCGGAGAGGGAGTAGTCTGTCCCCGCCGCAGCAAAGAGCTCTCCGGTTCTACAGGAGAATCGGAGGATTTTCCGTCATTTGAAAAGGGAGAGGCGGCCTCCTCTTTCGGGCTTTCAACGATCACGGGGATGTCATGAGATGGGAAATCATTCGCCCAAACTTTCCCCGCAGACCTTCGTCCGCTCGTATGGGATTCCGAGCTCGTTGTAACAATAGTAAGTACCTGTGACGTGGCATCGATGGAAGGAGTGGCAATGGAAGATTCATCCGACGATTCATGTGAAAGAATAGTCTGTGAACGTCTGCATGACGGCGGCGCAAGGGATCCTTCTTCTGTACTATGCCCAGTGGACATAGTTGGAGATGCAGGAGGTGTGACCACATTCAAAAAGGTTGGTGAGGGAGGACAAAGCTGCTTCTGGGATTCGATCTTGTCGACGGGCATTGAACTTGATGCAGCCGATTCTGATGTTTGTCCAGTAGACAAAGCAGACAACACAACGCCTTTCGAAATGGGTGAAGGGGGTATAGGAATAAGAGCCGGATCAACGTCAACCGTCTCTGGTACAGACGTAAAGATAGGCGATGGAGGCAACGAGACGAGTGCTGGATCTGGTTCGTGTTCCGAAGGTGTATCATGTGAGTGAATGCAGGAAGTAGAGGGGCTAATGTGTAAAGCTGGCGGTTTTAAGCCTTGCTCGTGTAATGGTGTCGCAGAAGTGGGGGAAGGAGCAGGAGAATCTATCTCAATAACAACCTCCAAGACTTGGGGCTGAGTCAAGTCCGGCGCGCTTGGCGACGTTAGACCACCAAACTTGAAGTGAGTAAGGCGCTGGCGCTGCTCTGCTTCGGCCGTGCGGTTCTTGGCCTCCCACTCTTCTTTGATCCGATGCGCAGCACTTGGCTGATCATCATCAGTAACGACTTTCAGTTCAAGACTAGGGATACGTTGATTCTGCTCCAACTCTTGTTGGCTCAAAGGAAGGGGAGGCAGAAGACCGCGTTCACGCAGCGCTGCATCCCTGTTGTACTGGGGATTTGGGGAGCTGGGAATTGTCGGCGAAACCTTGCGAAACGTGGTCGATATAGTTCGTAATAGGGTTTTCGATTTAGATGCCTGTAGCTGCGGTGTCGGGGAGCTGTGGAAACGGTCAAAAAAGCACCATATGGATTTTTGACAAACTTACTTCGTCTTGTGGCGTTCAGCGTCAGTAGTCCGCCTTGCAGGAAACTTTTCCGACAGACTAAAGCAAGACAAGCGTTAAAACAAGGCGGATATTACATATATGTTGCAAAAAAAAAAAAAAAAGCTTACCTTGCGATGACGGATAAGTCTATTTCTCCGGACACTTTCTCACACGGGGCGGGCTCCTTCTGCCTCGTATTAATAGCAGGGATCTGTGTACTCTCTGCACTCTTCGGACCACTACCCCTTCTTCCAAGAAAAGTAGCGACAGGTAAGATGAATGCCTTGCGTGCCTTCAAGGACATGCCTCGCAGCGATGAGGTCCTCGGTCGCGTGCTGCGCTCTGGCACCGAGGCACTGGAAGGTAGGAGTTTAACAAAGGGCAATTTTGGCGGAAGGAGAGTCGACATGAAGGATGCAGAGGGAGGACAGCAAGATGGATATATGCAGCCTAGAAAAAGCGGGTGGTTCCACGGTGTCAGAATGTTTGGAACTCTGATCAGGTGGTAGTGTAGCTGCCAAGTCGAAGCCGTGACGTAGTCACTGTCGTTGATGTGGAGGAGAATCTCTTGGTTGCCGCTGGCGACGACGAGCTCACCAAGGGAGAGGAAGAAAAGAGCAATCGAGGGGAAGATGCACATCTTATGTGTCTGGACATTTTGAAGGAATTTGGTTCTAGGAGACGTGCGAATCTCCGTGCTGGATCTCGCCTGATCCTTTAGACCCGATCCTGGGGTAATTTCACGGCATCACCGATTGGCTTCCATATTTGGAAATTCTCAGCTAATGTTCTAATTTCAATACGGATTTCATGCTGAATTGCAGCTGGCACTCACATGATTTGGTAGAGCAATGATATTGCTGCCCTCGCATCAGAAGCCGGACCTTGGTTTCACTACTCATCTCACAGCTATTCGACCCGCACCACATGGTCTGCCCAGTGTTAGCCGCCACTGAAACCTGTGGGAGTCGAAGCACAAACTCATGCTGCCCATCTGGCGAATCCGATTAAGAGCTGCCCTGTCCGAACCTGAGAAGAAAGGCAATAAGGCCCATACTTAGATCTCTGGATACCGAAAGCCAGTCTGGCTAGTTCTTGATGAGATTCAGAACATTCACGCGCTTGACCTGATGGGCGGACGATCCTCGCTGCCTTGTGAAAAAATCGCAATCCAGGTTGGGAGGAATCCGAGACCACGGACAGTAAATTTTTAAAGAGGTACCATCATACAGACTCCATGGACTATTCAAAGTCCAGTGGAAAGATCAAAATTGCGATGTTCACCCATGAGAGAGCGAAGTCTAGGAACTAGGAACACGGCCATTGAACGGGGCGTTCCTCCGTCAAAATGCTGGACGATCACAGTAATTGTCCTTCAATAGTATACTTCATACCCGTTGAGAAAAGGCCAGAAGGAGATACAAGGTTAGTCATTCCAAATGTCAGATAGACACCTGGTGGACAGTGAGCGCCTGGCGTGTCCAGACAGATGCAGCATAGGATTGATGGAACCCCGATAGCCTATAGATCGTAGACCGTTGACGCCACAACCACAAGAACTACAAAGCACCCGGGTTTCATTCCGGTATTGGAAGGTAGTTTCGAATTCGGCAAACTTGGCTTCGGACAGTAACAATGTCCCCGATTCACCTTGTGTTACCATTCATCTAACCGCTTGCATTCGAAAAGCGCACAACGCATCTTCAATCAACGACGAAGCCGTCTGCAAAGTGACATGCAATGAGTCATAGCAGCTCCATTTCCGCAACACGAAGCGTAGATCTCAGTAATATGTACTAATTCATAAGTAAAAAGTAAATAAATGTTACCAAAGTTGACCCAGAACACGCACCAGGACGGTTTCCATGCTGTCGGAGTAACTTGGGAAATAAGCGAAGAATCGAATGGGCTCTCCTTCGCAACCGCCCTTCGTCATGATGACTAGGGAAAAAAAGATGGATATACCTAATACGTTAACGTTATCATGACGGAGGTATTTATCAAATCTCGACGCCGATGGCAACTTTTCGGTCCAACCGCTGTAATACATTAGAACGAGAAAAACTTGGAGACCGCCGTCGACAAATGCACCCTAGCCCATACGAATCGGTATGCAACAAAATCGCTCTCATTCGGTGACGTGAGCGGAGATATTTTTTGGGCTCCGCTGCACTCCGACACGCCCACGCCCGAATTTGGCGCTAGCTTCTCTATCGACGTCTTTCAAAGGCTTTGAATGCGTTGAATGTCCACTGACCTGTTCTATCGCTGCATGGCCCTTACTAGTAAACTTTAGGCGGCGCATGCTAGGCCGAATGTGTGATACTTTTGCTTATACTGGGATACCCGAAATGCAATGCAGAATCACCGCCAACGGATATTTACTTGTACGTCTATGCCTTTAGCTTCGGGACCGCTTTTCTTGTCAAGCTCTGCATTTGATAGCCATGAGAGAAATGATCAATGACCGATTCAATTTTGAAAACAAACGCGTGTCACTCATCATTCTACGCAGCCCAGCATTCGATTTGGGCGGTCGTTAACAATGTCGGTCAATTCGATGTCGGCGATACGAGGGCATTTGTGGACGACGGCGATTTCGCTAGCTGAGCATAATTGCTCATGCGACGGCCAGTTATCATGCATCATGGACTGGGTTCCTTCATAACAAGGCCATTATGGTGAAACCGGTGAACGAATCATGCGGTGCATTTCTGATCTCTTCCTGGTCCATAGAGCGCAATGTTTACCCGCTGCATGCGCAGTGCAGCAATTGTACGTATTTGTGCGGAACCGACACCCAGAATACGGTTCAGAATGTTGAAACATCGAGACGGAGCGCTTGCATGGATGCACCCGGCCTCCCGAGTCCCGACAACAAATTGTCCTGGACATTTACGTATACCAAAAAGGCATGCCGGTCTGCTTGCCTGGATTTGGAGCCTCGGTGGAGCGCCTGGGATATCTTGAAGTTCTGGAAGAACCAAAGGTTGTGGCGCGCGCCCCACTCTATGTCAGCTTCTGGTGGAGCGCCTAACGATACCATTGGGACTCAGACTCGTAATCTAGGGAATCCGTGAATCAAATGTTCTGGGTACATAGTATATCCTGGTCCCCGCCATGTTCTTGGATACCCTGGTCCAAGTTCATATTCTCTTCGCGTTAGTGACCAATAGTGGAGAAACCTCGTAACACTACGTCTTTACTTGATAATATCATTGTCCTGATGCAATACTCAATTGCCATTGACACTTGAAGGCTCGGCATCAAATGTTCTCTTCGCCTTGCAATCCTGAAGTTACCACGGTCGAGAGGCGAAGCTTGATTACTTGGGCCGAATCATTGATTCTTTCCCACCGATACATATTATGCCAAGAACATCCTCCTTATGACCTTCTTTGGGACCGACGATTAGGCGATCAGGCTTTGACTCCGGAGGACTCTTTCGTCGAAAAGATCAAACTCTTTTGTTGGATCGAACTTTCCAGATACTATCAAAGAAAGTTAATATCGATTTTCAATTGAATCTCAGTGATTTTGAGCCAAGTGGTATGTGTGAGATTTTACGCCAGTTTTTCTCTCATTTTCCGATGTAGACTTCGAGATAGAGTCGTTCAAGGAGACGTCGCCCACAAGGTGAACGCAGGGATAACGCATTCATCTTCGCCTCCCAGAGCGAGCTTTGGTCCATTCTTAAGCAGCCGGCGCCTTCAACTTACGCATCCGTATCTGTCCCATCTCAAACAACCCCGCTAGACTCGAGTCTTCTGAACAAGTGTACCTCTGCGTCTGATGACAGCCACCACTAAAATGCTTTTGATTGCCGGATTATCAAGAGCACGACCGTGCACCATCATACCTAATAAAAAGTCGCCCGGAGTTCGTGTGGAGTTTCAAGTTATACTTAGGTCTCTTTTTGTTCTTGGCACATTGGACCACTAGCTATCATATATCACACTTCGCCCGAAGCATTTCTATTGCTTTTTGTTCATCGATCTTCCAAGTTCGGCTTCATAGAATTGAATCTCGATATTATCTAAATAAATTGTAAGAATCATGCTGTTTATCGCAAGGTTATTACAGTCGACTCTCTCATAACCCATAGTGGTCGGTGGACCATCAGAGCTATGGGTTACGACGGAGTATGGGTTATGAGAGAGTCGATTGTAGATGAGCTGTCAGACGGGGGAGCCTCGGCCCTTCCGGTGATTCGTGTGAAGGGTCAAGAGGTCACCACCGAGTCTTAGTCAACGTGTTAATCACGTGCCTTTCTTTCTTGTATCCTGACCATGGCGTTAGGGTCCTATAGAGGACCTTCGAAGACATTGACACTGACACAAGGACCAACAGAGTTCGAGATTCTCAAGGCATCGCACAAGTACATCTCTCCATCTGCGGATGTTTCAAGCCATTCATTTTGTTACAGATTCCTTCGCGAAGACGAGAACGACGAGAAGGATTCATCATGGGAGGACAAGCTGGCGTCGAAGTACTACTCAAATCTATACCGCGAGTTTGCCGTGTGCGATCTGAAGCATTACAAGTCTGGAAATGTACGTCCTCTATCAGTGTAGGGTATGTGCAACCGTCGCTAATTACGATGAACAGTTTGCTTTACGATGGAGGACTGAAGAAGAAGTGCTATCTGGGGCAGGGGAGACAACATGCGGCAACACGCGTTGTGTGCATCACAGCGCCAGTGGCGACGACAGGCCTTCCCTGACGACATTAGAGCTCCCATTCACATATCAGGAGCACGGAGAGACCAAATCTGCATTGGTAAAGGCCGTTCTGTGTAAGAAGTGTTTGGACAAGATCATGTGGAAACGAAGGAAGGAGAGGTCAGGGGATTCAGAGGACAAGTCGCAGCGGCGAAGCGACGACAAGAAATACAGGCGCAAGCACCACCGCGACCGTGATGTAAATGAAGACAGCCGGCGACAGCGTCAACGTAGTTCGCGTTCTCTTTCTCCTACGAGGCGTAATCCAACATGATCATGCTACCAGTCTATTGAACAAATGGCCATACCCCGTGTTCACTAGGCGAGTTACTGATACCCAACACCTTGTATTCCTTTCCCATTCCCGCCTCATCCACAAGACGTTGGGCAGCTTTCCTTATATCTTCCGCTCGCTCTTCTGTCTTGGCAGAGCGGATCAACATATTGACACGCGCTTCTAACCCCATCGATACAAGAAATTGCGACTGAGGTAGGGGCCCGTACGTTGGAACTGGAGGGTTCGATGAGCCCGAGGATCGTCGCAAATGGAGAGAGAGGACACGCACCCAGATCGCCCATCGCTTCCTTGATGTATCCAAAATCTACGTTTGCGGTCAGATCACATTCACCTGGCCGCTCAAATACATCTACTATTCGGTGATCTTTGAATGCCTGCGAGTAATATGAGGATCCCTGCATAAAAACTGCTTTGATGCATAACGTACGCGGAAGGAATCCTCGAACGGCGAATCTCCACCATAATCTACCACCAATGCGCAACCACCAGGAGAAAGAAGCTCTCCTACTTTTCTGGCAACTCTGAATGATGCCGCTGAGACCTCTAAGCGAGAACCCTCGGGCAACTGGTCAAACCGCCGCGACGATCTACCGAGTAAAGTAGAAGCGGCAGTTGGGCTGGGAGATATAACACGACGCAATCGTGGATAAGCAGACTCTTTTATTGAGTCAAGCTCTGGATGTACAGAATCAACCATTATTTCATGCCACCCTTGCTTTCCTCGCTGTAAAACCATCCTTAGAACCCTTCCTATACAGTAAAGAACTACTTACTTCAAGCATACTGACGGGTAGTGCATCGAAAAACTCGTGAGCTACGAGCATAGTATAAACACCGGACGAGGGTTCGATTTCGTCTATTGATTCATTCCAGGTGAGGTCCCAACTACCTTTTTTCAAGAACGGCAGAAGGTTGTCGTTCTGAAGTGCCCGCATGGAAGGACTTGTTTCAACAAGATGGACCCGTTTCAACGTGGTTTTCGCAAACTGCTGGACCACCTAGAATGCCTTTAATTCTGCTGAGAGATTGCGTAAAAGTCATGTAGCGTACCCGGAGAATATCAGCCATCAGGGTTCCCCTTCCCGGCCCAAGCTCAACCAGGCGTATTGAATGTGAGGCACCTGCATTCTGCCACTGCGAGAGAAGCCAGATGGCCACCAGCTTCATTTTCAGTGCTGCTGGCTCGTCATCCATAAGTATCTCAAAGAGTTGATCACCCCTCGCACCTCTCCAAAAACCTGACTGATTTCAGGGCTAGTAATGAAGTCTCCTCGTTTTCCGAACACGGCATTGGCGGGATTCATGTAGTATCCTGCCGTTGGATGCGATAAACACAAGTTCATGAAGCTTCCAAATGGCATCGGCCCAACTGCCTTGTGGTTGTAAGTAATAAAACGTTATCGAGAATATATTTCAACACACTTTGACGTGGTCGAGAACTATCTTTTCGATTTTTGTAACCGGTGGATTCGTCGATACAAATCGAAAGAATTTTGCATTCGCATGGAGGCAAACAGGCAAACGACACGAAAAACTCGTCCCAAAAATTTTGCGAGAGTGGCGTAACATAACACCAATGTCAAGACAGTCGAAGGCAAGGCACCTCGGCCCCTTCGGTCCGAGGCAGCTACCGAACATAATACAAACCAGAATCACAAGTCTATGAATACAAAACAAGGGTAATGACAGAATTACTCTAGCTTTACATGTTCCAACAACCATCTACCCATGCCACAACTGATGCTGCCATTTTCCTTCCTGGGGCAGCGCGCAAATTGACATCAGTTCTAGTCACCATTTCTTTCCGTTTCTTGATCTTCGCAGTTTGACCTTTGATAAATGCGTCTTGAACAGCATGAGGCCATTCACCAGCTTCATAAGAGCCTCTAGAGAGTTCCACTCCGACACCTTCACTGTTGAGAATTAAGCGAAGACCATGCTCTTCAATGAACAGAGACCTTGACACTTTGACCTTTGTAAGAGATTCTGTCGTATCCAGCTAAGGGGAACATACCATAGACAAAAGGCGTGGCCGAATCGACGCATTCAGAGACAGTTCCATAACCCTGTATCGATTCAATTATTTCCACTGTGCAACTTAAAAATTGGACTCACGAGTTTGCCCAGAAGAACGTCCGCTGCTACTGTAAGATCCGGCATGTATACGTCCTGTGGCGCTACATAGAAACCTTCAGGGAGTTCCGAGTCATCTTGTGACTCCCATTGGTCTTTAGTGACGCCACACACAATAGCAACCCAAGAAGAGTCGGGAAGCAACCGTGATTCAGTTTCATCCTCAGCAGCAAGCTCTGCGAATTCCCCATGAGGGGCGTGTACGACAGGCGTTGAGGGAATGGTGTTGAAGGTTGGAAATTCGATAGAAGGACTTAGCGACAATAGTGGTGAGCCAGATATTTTGGAAGCAGGTGGCGCACCAGGGATCCATACATGCAAGGAGGTAGCTGAGCGAGGGGATGCGACAGGCTCGAATTCTCTACGTGATACAGAATTATGTAACGGATAATCAACGGAAATAGCACTCAGCTGAAGAGCACCATTTGAGTTTCTGGCTCCCGGATAGGACGGTGGCAAATTGACTGACGAGATGCCCAATCCTTGAATTGATTTGGTCAGATCATTGGCGCTCGGCTTTCGGCTGTGAAGTCTACTAGGAGACCTACCGCCCGGCGTTCGGAAAACTTGACCACCGAAAGATACATATAAGACCTTGGTAATTTCCGGATCATGCAATTCGGAAGGAATTACAACCGAAGACAGTAGATGAGATCTTCCTTCAGGCGTATACACAAGGCGGTCAAACTAGAAGAGGTGCAGCTTTAACTATGCGAGGTATACGTTTTCCTGCAAGCCGTGTAGAAGGAGGGAGGGAAAGGAATGCTGGTGTATATGTCTAGTGGGTTATAAGGACGAAATAGCGTTTTTATGATGCTGGGATGGAATCTATTGTCTTGAGTGTTAATCCAGGAAGAGGCAGGTAGGGATGGCCCTGAAGAGAATGACGGTATGGGCATATTCCCTGGAGGTTCTAGAAGAAGGTCTGCACAACGATAGCCCGAGTGAATTGGTTCGACCAATGGCATGAGCTCACATTTTGGGACAGGTATATCGGGGATAAGGGTGTCAGTGAGAGGTTTATGTGGCTGTAGAGTAGGGGATTGGTCAATGAATAACCTAGCGAGATAGCTGTATACCGAGTCGAAAGGAAAGCTTGTGATGAGAATGAAAGGCACACCGGCTCTTTTCGCGGCCGAACTATGTGGAATATTAACAAAGAACATAAGCCGACGCGAATCTTACCATCCAAGAAACGGCGTCACTTAGGACACATCGTGCGTTGACACGAGTCAGCCAGTGGCCTTGTTCTTCCAATAAAGCCTCTTTCTTGCAGAGAAATTGCTTCAATACTTGCACGCTTTTCTGACGGTCGACGTGGTATCTGGAGGCCTCATGACGACCATTCCTAACGCTGGAAGGACAGGTGCACTCACGCCAAAGGCTGAACGATAACAGGGTCAATTTCTGCATAGCAGTACTGCACTCCGGCCCCGATGCTCTTGGCGAAGTCATGTTTTGGCGCTGAGGAGACGATATATATTGTTGGTTTGGTTTCCTCCGGAAGACTTAGCAAATGACAAGCAAACGCCGATACTCGCGTTGCGTGGCCGTATCCTGAATTTATTGAGAGAGCAAAACATAGCAAATGTAAAACGCATACCGTGGCAGTAGTACACAAAGATCCCAGCCGCCATAGGGATGAAGCTCAAGGGTTGCAGAAACGATGACGTCACGAAAATCGTGACGCATGGTTACATGTGGCGGTGGCTGTGCATACGCGCTGGTGACAGTGAGGTGGCGGACAAGCAACTCTCTCTCTCTTTCGGAGTTTCCTGCATCGTTCACCTGCTCCGTTTTTAGTTTTTCTCTCTTACGCGTCAAGCGCACCTCTAATTCCACCATGGGTAGCGAGCGTGTGCCTCTATTAAAGGCGCATCTCGATGATCTTCGCCACCAGCGCCCTTCTTCGGCACCTCCGATACCTCAAAGGTCGGACCCCTTGCAGATGTGGCCCTCTTCCTCTCTTAGTCACAAACGAAACAACAGTGATACTACGCGTAATCAGCAAGATAACAGTACTTCTCTGGATCTAATGGGAAGTCTGCGACGGTCCGAACCATCGGTAGTTAAGACAAGAAACGGAAGCGTATTGTCTCGGGGTTTCATCCTAAAGACAGATTTTTATCCCTCAGGTACGTCTAGTACCGCTGCTGATTTATAACGACTTGACGCAGAGCAGGCCGCGCTCTTGATTTGGATCTGAATGTCCATGGCGCACCCAACTTTCGTGCGCCCCGTATCGGCAATCTCAACGTCTTCGGAGTCGCTCAACCACGAACCCAGGGTCTTAGGGCTATCCTTTCTATTCTTAGGTGCACACCAAACGCCAAAGATGCCTCTCATGTCGTCTGGTTTTCCACTAGAGAAGAACCCATTGGTAACATCGATTGACTTTGTCTTATCAGCGGCTTATCATTCTCTGCAGTATACATATCCGGGAGGCCTTTTGTTTTGCGAGATGCATCGGAGCCCAAAAGGACTTTCTCCATGTCTGACCGCGCTGAAAATCTCGAAGCCATCGAGCTCAGATTGAAGAATGACATATTACATGAAGCCAGCCAGTTTGGTGGCCTCCTACTTACTCACAATGAAATGGCTACTGAAAGCGGAGAAGGCGCCATATTGCCGACGTGGACAGCTGTTGACATCCATAATGTCAAGACTTCGCGTGAATTGTGGAATTTTATGAAACAGAGTGGTTGGAATGTCGATGTTAGTTCATGAATTGGTGCTCAACAAAAAACTGACGCACAGCAGTATCACCGTATACCAATCTCCCCTGATCGTCCCATAGAGGCAAGTGTAAAGGGCTTATTTATCTGAAAGCAGAATGCTAACCGCCAAGCATATAGGATAATTATCTTGACGCATATTTGCGTGTTATCAAGCAAACTGATCCTCTGCGAACATCTTTGGTGTTCTCTTGTGGTATGGGTGCTGTACGAACGACGTTCGCTATGGTCGCAGCATCCATCGTCCGACGTAAACAACTCATATCCAAGGGCTTGCCGGATCCCTATGCCGTGAAAGGCTTTCCAATGGCTAGCATTCACGGCAGTGGGACGAGTTCAGTAAGTTTCCAGCTTCTTTGGATGCAATCACAACTAAATCTACTGTAGCCTTCTAGTCTGGTTCGTTGATCTTTTACTCTTTCCAGTACCTAATTGTATCATTCATGTGCCATCTTATCAGGACACCGAGAGCCGACTTTTGCAGTCCATGGAACAGGCCAATGCCCAACAGGAGCTTAGTAGATCGCTTTTAAAGCTCACATACCTTCTTCAGCACAGTAAGCGCCTTGCGAAATTCCCTTTCGATCAATGTCATTAATCGAGCTCATTCAACTTAGTCTTGCAGGACAAGAATTCGCAGTCTGCTACTGAACTCCTTATCACTAGGCCTACTCTCCTGGAAAACCTACGGAGAGCTCACATGGGTAACTATGGTATCATCCTTAGCCTATTGGGTTGTTTAGACCAGGGCCTTCAGGCAAAGAAATTGGTTGATCGCATCATCGATGCTGGTACGTGCGCGCAAGAATAACAAATATGCATACCTGTGACTGATCGGTGACTAGCGGACCACGTTACGAACTTGCGCGAAGACATCCTTGTGCATCGTATCAAATACTCCCTTATCAGTATGGAAGAAGAAAAGGGAGAAGTATTACTTGAGAAGTCTAGACGGGCATTAGAGAAATAGTACGTTTTTCCTCGTCTAAATGCCTTCGCCTCATGAAAAAACATCCTATTTCTCCAGCTTCTTCATTATCGCGTTTGCAAGTTACGTTGATAGTTCGGAAGATTTTAGTCAAACTTTCTCGAACTGGCTGAAGGTATGCTTAGCAGACATTCTCTTCCAGTGATTCTTGTAATCATTCATCGGCATCCTTAGGCTAGAATAGAGATCTGGAAGTAAGTTATGCCAGTAGAAAGCAAAATGAGTTTAAGCTGACAGCAAAAAGTCAAGTCATGTTCTTGCGCAAGTCGATTGGGACACGATTGAATGTGTTTGCACCTGTGAACGATTTGTCTTCGCTATCCAAGTCTGGATCTGCAGGAAGAGCTCTTGTCCCCGGAAGGAATAACGACGTAGCCATCGCCGGAGGCCAAATTCTAGGAGATGAATTCTCGACACACGTCATAAAGGTAGTTCTAAAACCATATCGGGCATTCTATCTGTTGAAGCGTACCGTCGCAGCACCGTAGCGGTATCATTCTGCGCGAAAGGTAATCCCTTTCTCCTTAGCCGGTTTTCTTAACTAAAATCTTACGCTAGTACATTGTTGAAGTCCGACCAGTGGCTTAGTCAAGGGCGTTGCATCGATGATGGTGTCCGTGGTGCCATCAATTTCAGACGCGTTCCGGGAACAAACATCTATGCTTTGGGGCAACCAACCATCGAGGCAATCGACGAAGTTGTAGTTCGAATCAAGGGTGTTCATCCGTCTGCCCAAAGAATCATTTGGATCACATTGCGTGAAGAGCCCATTGTCTATATCAACGGAGCACCCTACTGTCTTCGCAGGGAAGGGTTCTCGTTAAGAAATATGAAGGGTAAGACATTCGTATCCGTAGTTATGAGAATAACTGACAAGAATTGTTAGACTACGGTGGCATTTCCGCTTCTCGACTAGAAGTCTTGGAGCAGCGTCTACGAGATGACGTTATCTCAGAGGGACAAGCATTTGGGGGACGGTAAGCTACTAATATTAGTTTGCTTTGACGCTTGCCATTTACAATTGCAACAGTGTACTCCTCCACTCCGAAACTGCTGATGGAACCGTCGTACCAATTTGGGAGGAAGTCGAAAGTGATAATGTAGTCGTTCTAAAGGATGTCATGGCCAGCCGACAGTCGACGCAAGGGGTTGAACTCGTTTATGATCGTATTCCCATCACTGCAGAGCGACCACCTGATTTCTCTGATCTTAGCGAGTTGATCGATGTCGTGTTGCGCTCATCGAGGGACACGCCTATTGTCGTTAACTGTCAGCTAGGCCGAGGTCGGAGTACGTTGGCCTCGATCATCCTCTTACTCATCCGGCAGTGGCTGGATTCGCGCCGTACCCCTCAAACGTCTCACTTTAGGCTTCAACGTACTATCTCTATGTCGACCATGTCGCCGATAGAGCCTACTTCATCATCCAAGCAGCGCCAATCTTACCAGGTTATCAACAGTAGGTGCCTTTCATTTCATTCCCTATGCCAATTTGAATTTGTCTCGTTAGATCTGCTCCGAGTGTTTAGAAAAGGTTTAGATGTCAAGAACATCGTGGACGACACCATAGACCAATGCGACGTATTCTACAATCTCAGAGACTCTATTGAAGAGAACCGCATCAGAGCTGAACAGGCCACAGATGAGAAACAGAAGAAATTGCATACGCATAAAGGTGAGCTTTGGTTAGAGATTTGCTCTGAAACATGCTGACATCTATCTTTCTCGAGCCTTGCATAACTTAAGGCGATACTTCGACCTGATTGTGTTCCAAGCCTATCTGCAATCCACGGAGCCGGACACCATGGACAATTTTGAAAGTGTGGAGACTTTCGTGAAGAACCGACCCGGTGCGTGTTTTGCTTGAACGGCAGGGTATCGAACGATCTCATCCCACTTGCAGTCATCAAGACATTCGAGAAGGAGCTGCTTGCTGACGGCATAAATGCTTTGAAGCCATTGGAGCGGTCAAACCTCACTCACGGTGTCGCACATCCTGATGAGGTCCATCAAGTCGTCACCAATCGTTCCGGTAGCATTCTTTCAGCATCAACTATATTGAAGAGCGATTTCTTCTCAAATTTACAGAAGATGACACTCCCAGAGTAGGTCTTTTTTAATAAGAATTTGTGCTGTCACTTACACATGGTATCGAAGACGAATCGAAGGGTCACCCAATTTTCGCAGAATACCGCTGACACTTTTCCTCTCCTCTTCTGGTGAGTCCACTCCGTCCGCAGAGCAAGACCAACCGTACATGGCTTCGGACGGAAAAATGGTGTGTGGGAGGTAAGTGGCAGTATAATTGCTACGACAAAAGCTTAAGACCTGACCGGTTCCAGTGGCATGCCAACAGTAGATGGTTTACGACGGGCACTCAAACGCGTAGAAGCTGGGCCGGATGGACATAATATGGTTTATTGGACGTCTCTGCGAGAGGTTTGGGGCTTTTCATATCAAATCCTTAGTGCTCACAGCCCTTGTAGGAGCCTGTAATTTATATTGCAGGGAGGCCCCATGTCCTTCGTCTTGTAGATAAACCTCTTGAGAACGTAGAGTAAGTCAAGTCTATACTCCCATGCAATCCTATGCTTAGGAGGGGTGCAGAGCGACAGGTGTAACTACAGCCATGGTCGAAGCCATGGAACGTGCCTTCAAAAGAGATGCCCTGCGTGAGTTGAGGGCAGGTAAGGGACGTATACTGTTACATGATGAAGTGGAAGAGAGACCTGGTGTCTTCTCCATTATACCATTATGGGAAGAGGTGGAAGAGAAGGATATTTTGACCCCTCGTGACGTATTCAATCTTATAACAGCGGAAGGTTTCAAGGTAAACCGTTTTGTTAACTGCTAGGATTACGCTCTAACTTGATATCGTCAGCTTGACTATGGTCGAATAGCAATTGTAAGGGGCGCAGTATTACGTTCGACGCTTCGCTAAAACATTTCTAGACTGACGAGCAAGCTCCCCTACCTGATGCGCTATCGTTGCTCTTGGAACGCGTGAAATCAGGCCTGTCAAAGGCCGGCGATTTCATCTTCAATTGCCAGATGGGCCGAGGACGAACAACGACAGGGATGGTGACTGCCTGTTTGATATCTACGATGATGAACTGGAACAGCGAAGCGAATGATATCTTGTCGCATGACGAGGCGGTAAAGGTTTTCGATTCAATCGACGGCTACTCGGAGGAAGAGGCCTATAGGCAAGGTAGGAAGATCTTGGTTATCAGCGCGCCAACCTGACAATGAATATCGCTACGCAGGAGAGTACAAGACGATTCTTCAACTCGTCGGTGTCTTGTCACGCGGTAAAGTGGCTAAACGTTTAGCGGATAGAGCAATCGACCAGATGCAAGATGTCCAAAACCTACGAAAGACGATTTACGAGTAAGTGAAATTTTGTCTGGCGATGCCTGCAACTGAACAGGTACATAGTTACAAGCTGAAGGTTGATGCATGCGAGAAAGGCAGTTTGAAGGAGCGCAAACTACGCAGTGTGACAGTCAACTACCTGTAAGTTTCTCTTCCCGAGGCGAGCGCCGCGATCTGATGTTCAATCTGTTCGAAGATACCGGTACGGGATGCTTATCGTGTTCGCCAACTACCTCATCGAAATGTGGGAGAGGAAGGTTGAGATCATCTTCTCAGAATGGCTCTCCGGGCATAGAGAAATTACGAACCTGCTGAGCCGGCGATCATTGGACTAATTTCTTTAATATATTCGGATGGATAGACTGGTCTAGAGATACAGATTGGCATGGCATGACTAGGGTAAACGCTCGACAACAAGATATTAGCTCTACATATGATGACTGCTTCCAACCGTTTTGCTTTCTTGTTCACGCCCAGTTGTCAATAAGCGAATCGCGCATCTCTCCTATAACGGCGGCGGAGTCTTGTCCTTGCAGCTCTGTGAACAGATCGTGAGCAGAGAAAAAAAGAGAGAAAGAACGCCAACGTACTGAAAGCGGCTTCTATGACACTGATCTCTGTTGCAGTTGTCTCTAGACCTGTGAATGCACACCAGTCATTCACGACGAGGCCGGCACCAATGACGTCCGAACCGCGATTTACCGTTCCAGCCTAGTAGAGCATTGTATAGTGCAACAAATCGACATCGACGCACATACCACCAACGGGACTTGTAGAAGACTACTCAATTCATCTTGATCCTGTATACTTGTTTTTGGATGGACCAGACCGCCCTGATTTGTGATCGCACAGTAACTCCCCACCAAAACGTTATCGGCGACCGTCTGCCTGAACACCTCGACCTTCAAGACATCTGCGATGATCTCTTCTGTTTCCCGATCGACATCTGGATGAACAAGCGCGACATAGTCGTTACATGCGATGACATTTCCAAGGGCAGAAAGTCGTTCTTCAACCCGCTGGACGGCGACGGCGTCTGGGAGGGAGTTGCGCAGATGTTGGAGCTCCTGGTCAGTGGTGGAGGCTGGAACCAAAAGACCGTGACGGTTCCCTGAAGAGGCCTGTAAGAGCTATACCAGCCACATATTTCAGTGCAACACACCGGCCGTCAACCGTCCTATTATCCGCGTCCCGCCAATACTCGTGTGCACGATAGGAATGACATCTCCAAGTTCGCTTTCAAAGGCCGAGTAGAAATTTGTGCTACCCTGGATAGCGGCCAGGCAATAGCTATTCGTCAACTTGGAGAAGACGCCAATGTCGCTGTTGTTTTCAAACTGAATACCTGGACAAATATTATGCCAGATACAATGATTTTAGGAAAGATGTTCCATACGGGTAGCCATAAGAGGAGGAGAGACCTGGAAAATGTAGCGAATGCTGTCGAAATGATTTGTTGGAAGAGGGAGGGACGCAGAAGAAATTTTTTTCTCGTTCTATTTATCTGTCATATGATCGGAAGCGCGGAGTCAGACACTTCGGATCCGAGTTATTCAACAGTTATTATGCTCTTCTGACTCGTACGTTGGCTTCCTGCCACGCTATCTGTTACTCTGGATCGTCAAGGCGCCGTGCTTGTCGAAGAAAGATTTCCGATATGTATGGATCTCATTGTCGTGCTACTGTTCTCACATTAATATATTCAGATATATTGCATGCAGATGCCTACCTTGCCAGTATATACTATACCAAAGTGTATGTATATCCAGTCGTCTCACAGTGTTCTTCTTTTCCTCTATAGTCCTCGGCGGATTTCCTTGCTAGAGGCATCTGCTCCAGAACACGGCCATGGTGCATCAACATTTAAATCGTGCTATAACTGGCCCGCTTAGAAATTCGGTTTCCTGGTTTTGTCTTGTCCACCCACTGGCCTTAAAAGATTGAAGAGCTCTAGCACTGGTTCTCCCAATTCAGAGTATTTGCTTTAAGCTGCTTAAATTTATCGCGAGATAATTTCGATGTTCGCTGCCAGGCGTCCTCCAAGCGTTACCGGTTGTAAATTAGGTTGTGAGTGTCAAAGGCGAGTTGGGAAGAATCTGGCAGAGATAAACAAGCGCCCACAATAACAACGCGTGATGAAATTCCAAACCATCACGTGGTTTCTTCACTGGTATTCAGCCTTTCGTGAATCTTTCCTCTATTTCCCTAGTCGATATGTTCAATAACCATTCGAGATACCGCCTTCGCACCATGACCTGATACATCGTATCAGAAATCCTCGAAGGCATACTCTCAGTACATGTATATGTTCATACTGCGATGGGTGTCGCTCTGGGCTGAACGATATGTAGATCCCAGCAAGATTTCATGGGATTCCGTGCTCTCAGCACAGGACTATGGCGCTGATAAAACATTCACTCGCCCAGCTTCACCGCTTTCGCCAACGAAAATAACGAGAGAAAAAAAGAACTCTGCAATAAGTACTCTAGGGACGATGGTGTCGAGGACATCGAAGCGAGTAACGACATGCTGCTGTAGCTGCCATTGTGCTTACACCACTTCGGTGCGCTCTTTTACTCTCAATCCTATTTTCCACATTATCTGAGCTGGCTTACAGAAAATCTCAATAGATTCTGAGCTTAGAGTGATTCATGCGCCTTCTTCACATTTGGTAGGGTTCGTTGAATACCAAAAATCTGGCCGGCACTAACGTGCTCAAGGACTCGTCCCTTCCTTCCACCTCATTCCGAAGATGATATATTTGTATGTATACTTCGTTTTTGAGAAAACTGTTCTCATTCTGTTGGTATTTCAGGGATCCAGAATAGAGGTTCAATGTATATAGACCCTCCGGACATCTTTTTGGCGCGGTTACGTTTACCGGATGCCTCTGCATTCTCTCCGTAAGCGCAAAATCGTACGTGGAGACTTTCATTTCTATGCCCCGGTGCTTGACTATCGGTGTGGAAACTTTCTCCTCGTCCCGCATCCGAGGTAGGTGACTCGTCAGAACTTTGAACAGGGCAGATGAACTTGTACCTTCCAAGTACTCTTTTCCCCGAATTTATTCAAAGGATCACTTTTGTCAGCATACAAGGAGGCATTCCGGAGACTCGTTTGGAAGCGTGAAGGTAGGTGATCCTCCCGCTACTCAAACTCCCGAACGAATATATCTCCCAGCGTAAATTAAAGCGACACCTCAGTCTCCGGGACTTATCTAAGGTTATCACTGCAGCAATTCTAGTGTTCTGTCCTTTACCACGTAAATGTCGTAGACTTCCGTTCAGGTAAATATTCATTGTCCCCCGAAAATGCGCCCTAACTATGGTTAGGTATCGGGGGATCGAGATCCATCGGCCAGCCCATCGAAATCCCCTTCACGTGAATCCAGGCATCTTCGGAGAAGTACCAGAAGAATCGTGTCAACGAAAGAGTCAACGCCGGTGAATCTTGAACTACCTCTATCGTTAGCCATCTCAGTATGTACACAAGTTTCGACACATCTGCAACAAGTCCATCGTTCCCATTCGCACCCTCGCATATCCGAATCTTTTGAAATCGATTTGTCATCTACTTCCGAGAATACACCAGTGTTTGAGAACGTCCGTCCTTACAGATAACGAGAAGGTTCGAACTCTACCCACGGCTCTCAATCTAGTTTCATCTGCTTTACATGCAGGACGAAGAGGTCGGATCAAACTTACTTCAGCCGTCCTTTATCCTCAAGTCTATCTCCTGCCAAGACCTTGGTAAGATTTATCTATACTGTCAAATTTTATTGCTGAACCGCTGTCCAGGTGATCAATCCGGTTTGCCAAGTGGTTATCATCAATCCCATCCCTTATGCTGACGTTCCCTACTCCAGTAATGACAAACTCTCCCGTCTTCTCCCCGACTCCTCCTCTACCATGTAGTAATGCTGCTCCTTCAGTTCCTTCGATCCCTGCGGGTCAGTCTGAACTTACCTTATTTTGTGATGGCTGCGAGCGTACATTTGATGTGAAGACTTGGCAGCGTTGGACTATGATAGTTCGCAAGAAGTTGGTCATGACTCGCCTTTGGAAGTCACTAGCTCGCTTCAGGCGATCTGCTCGTACCAGAAGGCAGCGATGTCGAACTATTTCACAACGGTCGAAGACATGGCATGGATCTCGAAGACGTCGAAGAAGGACGTCTTGCTTTGGCATCACCGAACGTCGCAGTCGTCCTTCTAGTGTTCTGGCATCTAATGTGTAAGCGTTATCTTTGTGCCTCCAAGACTGAAGAGTTAAGAGCTAGTTCCGCTATTTTCTTGTCCTGTTCTCGCCGTTTGTGTTTGTACTTTTATGGGGCTTTGTAGCGATACCTCACTATTGTAATTGTAAATTCATATCCACAATTCAAGAGCTTTGGGTCAATGTTTCCTTGCTTATCGTTCCATCAGCCTTGCTGCCCAAGAATGGCTTTGGCTGCAGTAGTGGTAAGCCGGAAATGTCGGTAACTCAAATGAACAGCGATCGGTACCTTCGGGCGGTTTTATATACAATTTGTTGCTCTCTCCCCGACGACCATGTCGACCCCAACAAAACCACGAAGCATACGTGGTCATCCCATTCAGCCGCAGGATGGCCAGAGCGGTGCGTCTGACTCCTTGACCGGTACCTCGACGCCCATGGGAACACCCGATATGCGAGCCTTGCGTGCTCAGTACACCGGAACCCCTCCACCGAACACACTCGTCATCCCTCTACGAAACATTCCAGGGCGAACCGCATCTCCAGCTGCGGCTAGTGATGTCTCCCTGCCAAGTGTCAGTGGTAGCGGTTCAGGACCTCAGGCGATAGGCGGTATCGCAGCCTTACGAGGACGTAGTATGGGGACACCCTCACCGCCAGAAGACAGAATCCTCACGTCTTTGGCGCCGGACACGGATGATCTACCGGAGGAAGAGAAAATCAAGGTCCTGCGAAGGCATTTAGTCTCAAAAGAGGAGCGGCAGCGCAGCAATGAGGACGCTCAGGCCTCGTCATCCTCGTCTACACATCATCCCCACGAAGAAACTGAGCCATTCCCAGTCCACTATGATGTTCCAGGTGCAGATGTGACGTGAGTGCTATTCTATCTCGTCCTGCCATATGTAACCGTATCTGCTCTTAGACACGATATCTACAAATGGCAGTCTAACCAGAGAAGGAGATTACGAGCTGCATCAGTCGCAGTGCCTTCCACATCTACGCCTGATCCTGCATTCGAGCACATCCATGAACCGGGAGGTTTTAGGAGAAACTATGTTCTATTGCGGGCTAACGAGGAAGGAGCAGAGGAACCTCAAGTACTAAACAATTTTATAGATTTCTTGTTCCTGTTCGGTCATTTTGTAAGTAGCGTTCAGCGTTCATGGGCATTTATTATGACTGACTGTTACTTAGGCGGGAGAAGACCTAGAGGAAGATCAGGAAGATCAGGAGGACGACCTCGAGAGTGCTGCTGGAATGACAGTTGAAGGTGTCGTCGATGAGACAGCGCCTCTCTTGGGAGGAAAGACAAGTCTTGCGAGGTCAAGGTCTCGTTCGCGACGACGCGCGTCTTCCATGGGTCCGCATGGAAATGCCACGGTGACCCAGGCTGTTCTCATGCTTCTCAAAGCCTTCATTGGAACAGGCGTTCTGTTCTTAGGACGTGCCTTCTATAATGGAGGTATCCTGTTTTCGGCATTCCTGTTTCTCTTCATTGCGATAATATCCTTGTACTCGTTCGTTCTTCTGGTACATACCAAGTTCGTGGTTTCGGGTAGTTTCGGAGGTGCGTTTTTCTATGTTATCGCCAGTATCTTCTCATGCCTTTGGCAACGATAGATATCGGAGGGACCTTGTATGGGAACTGGATGCGACAGCTCATCCTTGGGTCTATCGTTGTGTCGCAAATGGGTTTTTGCGGCGCATACATGATCTTCGTTGCAGAGAACATGCAGTCATTTGTGATGGGCGTCACACACTGCGCTAGGCTAATTGGAGTGCAGTATTTTCTCCTTATGCAGCTGATGTTCTTCCTACCTTTGGTTCTCATCAGAGATCTTGCCAAGTTGAGCACGACCGCACTTGTTGCAGATGTCTTCATCCTGGCGGGCTTGATCTATATCTTTGGAAGCGAGTTTAAGATCATAGCCAAAAGAGGCATTGCAGATGTTGGGTTGTTCAATCCGAAGGACTTTCCGTTGTTTGTTGGAACAGCAGTGTTTTCCTTTGAGGGTATTGGGCTTGTAGGTCTTTGGTATTGCTTCCGGAATGATTGCTTACTCTCTTGCAGGTGATACCCATTACCGATGCTATGAGAGAGCCGCATAAGTTTCCTGCTGTCATATCTGGTGTAATGGCTGGTTTAGTTGGTGAGTGCTTATTTGAGCAGTCTGCGTAGTATACTTAACATGGTACAATAGTGCTCTTCGGGGGGGCTGGTGTGCTGGCTTATTTGACATTTGGTTCTGATATCAAAACTGTCGTTCTGGTAAATTTGGATACCTCGAGCCCAATGGTTCAAGCTGTATGTACCCTTTTCTAAGATCGTGCGTTGTGTCTTCTAAAGGTGTGCTGATTCAGGTCCAATTTCTTTACTCGGTCGCCATCATGCTTTCAGTGCCTCTTCAGCTGTTCCCTGCGGTCCGAATCATGGAGAATGGGCTGTTCATTCGTAGCGGCAAGATCGACGTGAAAGTCAAGTGGCTGAAGAACCTTTTCCGTTTTCTGGTGGTCATTGTCACGACGCTTATCAGCTACATCGGTGCAGCCGACTTGGACAAATTCGTTGCGTTTGTTGGATGTTTCGCATGGTACGGATTCCGCTTTCGTCTTGGGTATCTTGCTGATTGAGGATCTAGTGTACCGCTGTGTTACGTCTACCCTGCCATGCTTCACTACAAAGCATGTGCGCATACACGTAGCGCGAAGCTTAAAGATATCGCGATGATGGTGTTTGGTATGCTTGCAGCCATCTACACGACAACACAGACTCTTCGGGTACGTGACTCTTATTCAAGCGGCAAAATGCGGGGGTCTAACTTTCTACAGCTAATGTTTGAACCTGAAGTTGGGGAGCCGGGGTCTGGAAACTGCGAGCCCCCGACATAGAGGATATAGAGGATAGACTATGAATACGTTAGGCAGCGTAATGGATTCTACCCTAGGAAGATGTTTGTGATAATTCAGCCATGATGTGGCACCTTGTATTGAATACTTTGTGCAAAGGGGGATCAAGCACGTGGGGATGGTGCTGCGAACTGGACTTTATTCCTTCTTTTTCAGCTGTTGACTCGTTTCATTCGTTTGCCTCACCTTTGCCACGCGTTCTGGATCGCGTTGCGACAGTCTTTGTAGGTCTCTGATAACGTTCTGATAGCTGGTACCCTTTAATTCCACCCATCTTCAAATTATTTAAAGTCTTTGACATTTTTTTTTTATCCCAGCATTCGCTGCTCGACGTTGTCATGGCTCTTGTTCTTCCTTCTGCCTCAACAGTGCTTCCCAAGGCGCCCAGGATAAAGAGAAAGCCTGTACCCAGCATCGACGTGACGGAGCGATACCCACCACCCGACCCAGCAGACCCGTTTGCCTCGCTCACCGTGCTCCGTTCTCGCTCCAGCACTCTTTTTGGTCCCAAGGAGAACGTCGCCAGGGAGCAGGCCTCATATTCATATCGTGTCTGTCGCCCGTCTTCCAGCCCCGGGCCCACCAGCAGCAGGGATGTCGTGTTGCCTCTGCAGCCAGCCTTCACGCCCGTGGCGCGAAGTGGCAGCCACTACCGACGGCGCTCGCTATCCACTCCTCCCGTTCCACCCACCAGCCCCGAGCCCAGCCTTGTCCACGAATCGTTCCCCATGACGGATGCTGGCCACGATGGGACTGTTTCAGGATGCCCCAGTGCCGCCTCTTCGCGGAGTAAAATCGCCAAACTGTTCATGCCGAAAAAGACGAGCTTGACAAGCCTCATTAGCACCGACTCACGACGACGTAAAGTCTCTGTCGCGTCGATATCATCGCCTATGGCCCAGTCTCCAGCGACCAGCGACACCAAAAGACCCTTTCCATTGATCTCCAAGCGCGCCTCTTTGGATTCGCAGAGACTGCTCAGGCCTCGACCGTCTCTCAAGGGGCGACCAGGCGAACAGGGCTATGCTTCCCAGCCAGAGTCACTGTCATTCTCACAAAATCAAGTACGGATGGCCCTTGTGTCGTCGCCCAGTGCCTACTACCCACCGCCACCATCGAGCACGCAGTCACACTCGTCTTCTTACACCAACATTCCCACGCCATTGTCGGAGTCACCGCCATGCATCCCCGGCATTTCGACACCTTCTCTCCGATCGCTCGTCGATACCCCGGCTCCGTCTGTAGCACAGCACTCGTCCTGCCACAGTCATACTACTTCTCTGCCACTCAATTTTGCCTTCCCTGCTTCCTTAGAATGGCTCCCGCCAACCCCCACCCAGCTTGCTCGCGCCGCAGAAAAGCCACTGGTTGCCTCTTCAGGTCTGCGCGTCCCTTTCGGCACCGTCTTCGCGCGCAAACGCGTCATAGTAATCTTCATTAGACATTTTTGGTGTCCGCTCTGTCAGGATTACATCCATTCTCTGGCCTCACTTGCACCCCGCAACGCGGATATAGTAATCATCAGTAATGGCTCTCATGCGTTGATTGACAAGTATCGACAGATATTCGGCCTCCGATTCCAGATGTATGTTGATCCTGAGTTGGAGGTCTATCGCGCTTTGGGGATGGGTACAATTGGTCATTCAAGCTCACTTTCCCCACCCGTGAAGAGCAGAGCTCGCAGAGAAAAGGTTGATAGCTATGTGAGGAGGGGAGCTTTGGGAGGAATTGCCATGGTCGTGTTCAGGGCCTTGAAGGTCGGCATGCCCATGTGGGAAAAGGGGGGTGAGAGCACACAGCTTGGAGGTGAATTCGTACTTGGCCCTGGGTTGGTTCTTCTCTCTTCGCTTTCTTCAATATACTTTACTGAAATCAAATTGGATTTCAGGATGATTTGCACCTGGGCACATCGGATGCAAACGCGGGAAGGGCATGCTCCTGTCACCGATGTTCTCGAGGCCGCCGGGCTTCCTGTCCCACCCAGCGTGTCTCGAATTGCTCCTTCGGTGGCTCTCAAAGCCAAGGATCGAACACGCCGTGAAACCATGGGGGAGCTTCGGGCGAGTGTTCGCTGGTCAGTCGAACGCAAGCGGCAGTCTGTTGACGGTATGCCCTCAAAGGAGGAGAAGCGGCTGGAGAGGTACAAAAGCTTGGAAAGCATCAAGGAAGCCAGCATGGCTGCCAGGGGTGTAAAGTCGCCGATCATTGACGACGAAGACATCGATGAGGTGGTTTTTTTCAAAGACTAACTGCATTATTCTCTTTTTCTAAAGCATATCATCATAGGACCATTAGAGCACTGTAATTACAAGTATCCGCTGTATTCTATCTAACGACACCTCCATTTTACTCTTCTTGCAATGCTATGTAATGCCTTATTTACGAAATATATCTCAGTGACGTTTGGTTATTACTATGGCTGACAACGGTGATCATTGCCTTCAAAATGCGGCGTAGGCCATATAGCATTCGTACCCTCGAATCACAAAGATCAGCTTAGCAGGAGATGATCTACCACTATGAGCGATACTTTCCAGCGCTGTAACGTACACATTGCTTTGCCACTTTAGCTACGCTCATGAACGACGATGTCTATGGCAGACCTGCAGGGAAAGGGAGATTAATGACTAAATTGAATCTGATAATAGAAGAACACGCCTCAAGTTTGTCGAAAATCCGGACTCTACATCCGTCAAGGTTAGAACATCAATCGTGTGTATGCCTGATGTTAACGCCAGAAACTTCATTCGTACAGACTGACAAGCCGTCGGAAGTAGAGGGCTAACACATAAAAGAAAAATAAATTCCTGATCATTATAGCAGATCGATAGCTGCTCACCCGATGCGAACTCTATTCTCCAACGGCAGGATCCCCGATGTAAAGGCAGTTTTGCCTTCCTCACCTCTACGTCGTCTGTTCCTGCGATCTGGACAGCTAACTTCAAACCTCCTAGTCCATCGTGATCTATTATACACAAATATATCCAGTGTGAACTTTCCCATCGGAAAAATTCTCGGGTCCTCCTCATTCTTTATTTCATTGTCACTGATCGATAACAAGCCGACAGAGACAACAATTGACTCCTGTCCGTGCTGTTGTTCTCCCCCTCCCTGTTCCTCCCCGGCGTGGACTATGGGACCAGGCGTAGGAGGCACAGTCCCCATCTGTCTCTCCCTCGGAATATCCACATTAGGACCTATATGTATATGAGAAGCTAGAGGAGCTTGAGATACAGGTGTTGGTGGGAGAGCGGGACTTTCAGGGAAAGCAGGATACGCAGGGGTTGTCGGCGGTCGCGGTTTCGTGTCTGGTGGGGGAGGTGGGGGAGGCTCATATGTTGTAGGAGAGCGAGGAATCTGAAGGGACATAGATGGCGGAAGAGGTGAGTATGAAGACGGTCGAGGAGGTGGTATCAAGGTGGGGGTAGAGGAACGGCTGGATTGTGACGGCGGGGTAGGCGAAGGCGAGGATAATTTGGTTGCTAAATGGCTACTAGCCAGGCCACCACTTGGCAAAGTGTGTCGCTTAGGTCCAACGTTGGACAGAGTGAGTGGAGGTGTAAGGTGAGATGATCTATATGATGCACTTAACGATCCCCTTCGCGGCGTGGTACTCGACGTCGTCACAGGGAACGGTGAAGGTGGCTCAGGAAGTACTTCGGCATTCTTCAAGCCAGACTCTGTATTATCGATTACGGCTCTGTTTTTTCGCGTGGAAAGATCCAAAACACAATTCCACCTTGATACAAATGTATCCGTCGGGTGGGATTTGTCTTGAGAATCGCGCATGTAGGGCTTTCCAAAGATATTGATCGTCACCGATCTCTGCAGTTGATCATCACTGTTCTCATCCTTACTATATGCATTCACCGAAAGAGAAGTGAGGCCTTGGACTTCCTCTGGGGAGCGTAGGAAAGAGACGGCATACAGCAGGTTATACTGCTCTCGTGAGGCGATTGAAAGCGGAAAGACAGAGTCTCCCCTGCTTTGTCCCTCATCCCATCCAACTAGGATAGCTTTAGCACCCTCACCACCAACCTTGACATCAACCTTTTCAATGGTGAATCCGACTTCAGGATCTGTTTCTCCCGTGTTCTCCACTTCGAGACATAGTACAACTGTCCGCTCCTCATTCCCTGCTTCGCGACGCTCTCGCTGTTCATCCTGATCCGTGTCCGCTTCAGGGAGTAGGATTGCAGGCACGAAGATGGTCCGCATTCGCACACGAAACCCAGACACTGTATTTAGTGTCTTACGGAATGATTTGCGCAGCGTTGGATGGGCGATACGCGTGGCAGTCAGCGGTGAGGGTGTAGGCGTGGTAGGCGTTAAAGGGGAAACTGGTGGCAAGGAAAACAACTTTTGACGAGAATCGGAGCCAAGGCGAGAGGTTGGCAGGGATACACTTAATGCAGAAAAGGTAGGGCCTCGCAGGAGTTCAGAAAGTGATGTGAAGCAATGAAACGTGTAACGACGAACCTGCAATGAGACCCTCTAGCATATTAACCTCCCTGAACCTTCCCAGTCCATATCCTCGATCTGATACTGGCGTTGTTGTGGTGGTAGGAGTATCAGGATCTGCGGTAAAGTTTTCAAGAGAGGAGAGATACAGAGTGAGAGGATTCTTGGGCTGGCCCAGCGCCAATGGCTTTTCCCGAAGTGTCGTGGAGATGGTCAGACATAACAGAGGATCTGTATGTGTGAGACGCATGAAAGCTATATAAAGTGAGGATATATGCGGCCATAATTGGTCGGAAACTCACCAACAATGAAGGACAGACGATATACAGCGATCCAAGCCCTCTCAACTTGGGACCACAGCAGCAAAAATGCCTCAGAGGAGTCATCAACCGTATTCTGTCCCCATATGCTCGTCAGCAAGATTGTACCGTCTGAGTTGAGGTATCTGCGGTCAGTATCAGCAGCGGCGGGTGTTGGATTCGGGGTACTTGGAGGAAATATCGACGGGTGGTGCCTCGAACCCATTTTTGATAGTCGAGGTGGAGCCGATAGTCTGATTGAATTCGAAGAGTCAGAAGCTGGTACAGAAGAGATATATGATGCCTCCAGTGATATCTGCAGATGTGCAAGAAACATGAGCAGGTCATGCGGTGGGTTGTGTGCATCGGGAGCTGGAAAACTAGTCAGATGGGGCAGCCTGACCGTCAAGTAGGAAAGCATCTGTTCATCTACCGCGTTGGTTGTAGAAGGACTGAGAAATTGGGAGAGACAGGCGCACCAAAGAAAGCCAGTTTTCTCTCAGAACTTGGGGACCTGAGTCGAGACAGCCAGTCATCCGCCGAGGCTGAGGGTGGATATTCTACTGAGGTATCGGGAGCGACGACATCGAGCGCTGCAGATCCAAAAAGTTGCTCAAACGACGACATAGACGACTCGGAGGCAGTGAATAGTGGCAGTGCAGTCTAATTTCAATTACTTTATTAGTTTTGCATTCTTACTCGAGAACCAAGTTGACGGCAGTAGAGTCAATTGAAATCCCAATCTCAAAACGGTCAGGTTACCCGGCGATGAAACATGTCAAGATGCATCAAGGCTATACAGATCTCCTAACTGCGGGTTACTGACTTCCCGAAGATGTCTACCGTAATTTCTGACTCATTCATAAAGACCAACCTTTTTATTTTTCATTATCATTTCCTCCTCCGACACCTGGTAGCCTGTAAAGGTCCTCCTGCCCTTCAAAACCATGTCCCTCCTAGAACACGGTGCGTTTCGGCTGGGTGCTGACATACATTGGTGACGTGTATTTTAATGACTAGTGCAAAGTCTCGTTACCAGCGCTGAAGCTTCGCGACAGGACTCTCAATATGGATACACCCCATCGAAAGGCGTTACCCTCACATTCATTATTCTATTCGGAATATCTACCCGTGAGCATTATTGCTCCCAATTTTCTCGCATTGCTGATGTTAAAGTACCGTAGTAACCCACGCGACTCAGAGCATTTACTTCCGCATGTGGTGGGTCTTCCCGACTATTATCCTCTCTGGATGCCTCGAGATTTTGGGATGGAGCGGGAGGTTTTGGTCGAGTATATCTCCAGACCTAAGTAATCCTTTCATGATACAGTGAGTCTCCACCTTTTGCTCCCGCTTTGCCGTCCGATCTAAACATTGAAATAGAATAACGGCTACGATCATTGGACCCACGCCACTTGTCGCAGCTAGTTTTCTCATCCTTGGAGCTATAATCCATATCCTGGGACCTGCTTACAGCAGACTGAGTCCTATAGCATGTGAGCTCTTCCTTTCCCCAGCCTGTCTATGCCGCTCACGGACTTTCGCCACTAGATTCCATCATATTCGTCAGCTGCGTGAGTACATCTAAATCGGTGATCACTTGTTGTGCTCATTTATCCCAGGACATTCTTTCATTGGTGATACAAGGTGCCGGTGGCAGTATTGCCTCGTCCGCGTCGAATAACAATGACCTCAACGGTGCTAAGCTAGTGAGACGCTGCGCATTTTTTTCCCCTCCGAGTTGAATTAATGGTGGTGCTCCTGGGCATAGGGTAGCAATGTCATGCTCGCCGGTATTGTCCTCCAGCTCGGTATGTCCTGATTCGGCCATCTCGATATCTGCTAACGTAGCTGTCTCTGCAGCTGCCATCTCATTCTACACCATCCTCGCTTGCGAATTCCTCATCCGCTACACGCACAGCCGCCCTGTTCCAAGACTATTCTCCCGCAAGGAACGGAACGGTTCCTTGGTGACCCTCTCGTCGCCCACCATCGAACGTGGTGTCATGACTACGAAAATAAAGCTCATGATCGTTGCGCTCGCATTCAACACATTGTGTCTCTTCATTCGGTACGCGTTCTTTCATTACCTCGACATCTTTCCAACATCGGAACTTATCTATTTACCTTCCCTGACCACAGTTCGATTTATCATACGATCGAACTCGCTGATGGGTGGAACGGCAGGATCATCCTTACGGAAGTTTACTTCAGTGCGTCGATCGTTCCATTTACGTTGAATTATTGCTGATTCTCGCGATTCTCAGATGTTCTCGACGGGGCTATGGTGGTCTTGGCTATATACACGTTGAACTTGGCGCATCGTGGCCTCCTGATTGGTCGCTCCATGGGAAGAAACCAGGATGCTGTAGACGCAGAGAAGAACGGTAGCGTATTTGGGCTTCACACACCGTGAATATAGACTGGGAGCTAGGTATTTATTTCATGGACATCTAATTATACTCTGTGGCTTTAGTTCGTGGACACAGAGCCGTTATATCATCCCAGGAGGTCGTGGTATCTGATCTTCTACTGCCGTGCGTCGACATAGTGCCCCATGGCTGAGTTGGTCACAGCATCGGACTTTTATCCCCTCAGTCTCAGTCCGCAATCGGAAGATCGAGAGTTTGAGCCTCTCTGGAGCCAATCACTCAAATAGCCACTGGATTTTTTTCATCAAAAACACGAACATTAGTGAATTATTCAAATTCTAGTATTTGAATCTATTGATTCTGTATGCATTTCCCTCCCTCCCTCATAACGCATACCACCCGTAACCCATTCTCTCCCAAAACCCATAGGATGGTCCCTCTACCTAAGTGCGGACAGCACGAACGGCACGAACAACACGGATATAGCCAGAAATAGCCCCTATTCTTGGTATAAAAAGGCAACTCACATCCCACCCTTTTTGCCCTCCCCTCAGAACGACCCTTAGTCGACTCTGCCTCTAAGCGTTTTTTCTTTTTACATTTGTTACAACGAATGAATCACAAGTAAGCCCTTTAGCTTTTTTTTGATCTCTCCTCGTTACTGACCGTTCCTTCCCAGTGGCGCCTAACCCCTTCAACATCGACGAAGTGTTCTACGAATCGTGCCTGGACAACTCTCGGCAATTTGGAAACCAGTCGCGAATCTCCTCAACCTCGACCCTCGTCTCACCCACCGCTTACACGTTCGGCAAGCGCGAGGGCGGCACTGACTCGTCCCATCTCACCGACCATTACCCCGCTGCTTATAAAGACTTCTTCGGTATGCCCAGCGGCGCTCCCTGCATCTACAAGTCGGGCCCTGCCTGGCCTGAATGCACGGGTCCGCAAACGCAGCGCTTCATCCGCGAGGCGCGCCCTGTCTACGGCCACCCTATCGCAGGCTCCTGGCTTAAGATCGGTACAGAAATCTCCAAGTCCCTCGACTCTCGTGGCATCATGTGGACCTCGATCGACCCCGTCGCCTTCGCCAACGCAGGGGAGAAGACGCCGTTTTGCCCACTCCTTATGTGGATCGGTGTGAAGCACAAGACTCTCCCCTTCGACGTGGCGGTGGCTGCTGCTGACGCCATCAAGGTCATCCTCAGTCTAGCCGGCTTCCCTGAGATCGAGGTCGCTTTTCGCGAGTCGGAGGTGACCCACTCTGTTGGTGGTCCGAAGCTCCTCCCCTTCAACCCCCTCCTTGACTCCATCCCTGAGTTCCGCAAGCCTTTCACGCCCACGCTCGGCCTCTCCATTGCCCCGCTCAAGATGCCCCACTACGAGGGCACCGGTGCCCTCTACTTCCACCTCGGCAAAGATGACGATGAGCGCGTCGTCCTTCTCACTGCTGCCCACGTCGCTCGCCCTCCTCCTGCGTACGCCTACACGGGCATGTCGCGCCTGCACCCCAGACAGCGACACGAGTACATCGTCGCCCTCGGCAGCATGGGCTACGGGAATGCCACGAATGCCATGATGACCACCATCGGCGACCTCGCTCGCTCCATTGAGGTGTGGAACAAGGTGATCTCCAGGCTGGGCGAGTTCGTCGAGGGCGAGGATGCAGCGGTTACCGATTCACGCAAGTACACCCGGTACGACGTGGAGAGGGCGACGAGGATGATCGACGACTTGAACAAGTTTCACGATGAGGTTACTAAACGCAGGACGCACCCGAACCTGCGAATCATCGGCTTCGTTCTCCATGCTGAGCCCATTGTCGTCGCCGACGGACCCATCGAGTTTACGCGTGACTGGGCCTTTATCCAGCTTTTCCCCGAGAAGATCAACTGGAGCACCTTCCCGGGAAACAAGGTCTACATCGGTATGTTTCCCATCTTGTCCTGCAGTTTCAGTTTTGGCTGACTATTATATCCCCACAGGTGGCAGCCTCTCGCCGTCCGACTTCGGCAAGTTCTTGTTCTCGCAGCCCGAGGACCAGGCAGGCTACGAGTACCCGGTCGATGGGCTCCTCCAGGCCTTTGGCGTCGTGAAGGACGACGAGATCCGCCAGCCCCAGCATCTCGACATCCACGGCGAGAAGGCACTCCTCGTAGTGAAGAACGGCCAGACCACGGGCACCACCATCGGTCGCGTCAACGGGCTCGAGTCTTTCACTCGTGTCTACACCACCTACGGCGTCAAGTACACATCCATCGAGGTCGCCATCCTGCCCTACACCGACAACGACAAGCTGCGTGGCCCCTTCTCCGCCCCTGGAGATTCCGGCGCCATCATCCTCGACAGGGCTGGCCGCATCGTCGCCTTGCTCACCGGCGGTGGCGGCACAAACCATGAGACAGACGTAACCTATGGAACCCCATACTGGTGGCTCGAGAAGAAGATCAAGAAGGCCTTCCCCGACTGCCACCTCTACTAGGTTGTTGCTTAGGTTCATACATCTTTTTAAATGCCAGCTAAAACTCAGGTCTTGTTCTTTTTTTTCTTCTTTACTTTCCTTTTCATGCATAACTAATGCCGTCTCTCCTCGATATACAGGTAGACCTCTTGGACTCATCGACTCATCGTGTAGGTCCTGAATGAGTCGGTTCGTTGTTGGTCGGCCCTTATACAGACAGTATCACATCTTTCTGCTTCTCGGACAGTTGCGGTGTATCTTTTTGTCTTGTTTTTTTGTACTATTATATGTTGTACTTTGCAATTAGCAGCATTTGTGCATGTAGAACTTTATCTTTGATATCGAACTTTTACTTAATCGCACACAAGTTAGAAACATGCATGACCTTGCCCTCTGAACCTCCTCCTCCAATGCTTCTTCATCTGTGTCTTCCATGAGTCTATAGGCAAGTTCTTCACCAGCATGTGGTGGGTCACTACTTTCAGTGTCTTCTTCCTCCCTGAGCCTGTCCTCCTCTTCCTCAAGGGGGAAAGTGGCAGGCAGATTGTAAAAAGTCTCCTCTTCCCCTAGTGGTCATACCATCATTGCCAATCTACTGCCCTGGCTGGATATTAGCTCCAGTGGTAGAGCCTAAAAAGTCTGATGTATTGATATAGGTAGTGGCAGGCTGACTCCTGATGTCAGAATCATACTGGTTCTCTCCTCATGCTCATGCTGCCTCCACTCACTTGCAATAGAGGCAGACATTCTGTCAGTATCTATCATCAAGGAGCTGCCTGACCACTCAGCTTCTGAGGAACCTTCAGAGAGTGCAAGCAGGGATGTGAGTATTACCAGGTGCTCATAGCCCATAGTATCTGAGGATGGACTCATCATCTCCGAACATTGTGTCAGCACTAGGGGTTCATTGGGGAGGGGGATACTGGAGAGTCAGAGGATGCTGGGAAGGTTTTGGAACATTGTCCTGAATGGAGGGAGAGACTTCATTGTCTCTTGCTCAGGCCTTGTCAGCTGTGAGAACCTCTATGTCTCTCCAAAGTGCTGGATCCCAGAGGTCAGAATCTATGATGCTAGGTTCTTTGAAGACTGGGGTTGAGAGAGATTAGTCAGTGTGAACTGGCACAAGTACAGATGTGACCTCAGGCTGGAGTCCATACCAGTTGGAGATGTCAGCCCTCTCCAGTTGAGCTCTTTCAATGTCCTGCTGCTGCTCCTGATGCTGCTGATTGTACTTAGGGGCCTTGGCTGCTCATCTCCTCCTGTCAATGATGCACTCTTCAAGCTCACTATGAATTAGCTGTGGAGTGTTTTGCTGTCTTTGCTCCTCCTGCTGGAGGGCCTCATCATAGTTGAATGGGATGTTAAGGTCCTATATAAGGAATAGTCAATAGATGATTTCATTTTTGTTTTCTCAGAATTGTTGCTTATTGTTGAGTCAGTCTGAGGGGGCCTGCCTCATCCCACTGCTTGTTCTGATGGAGTGGGTGGTCAGGCTGGAAGTGCTCTGAGACTGGCTTCAAGATGTCATGCTACAGAATCCTGGAGTCATCCAAGTGACATCAAGAGAATTTCAGACATAGTCAGCAATCCTATGGGTGTGTGAGACACTAGAAGAGTGGGAGGAAGGTTGTTGGCTGTGTTCCTAAGTGTCTTCTTAGTTGGAGATAGAGGTTGAGACTCAAAGATTCCTGAATCCTGTGATGCAAGAGTCATGGTCTTGGCTAGTTCTTCTAGGAGGGTATCAGTGTCTTTCTTCTTCTTGAACATCCCCTTGATGTAGGCAGCTAGGCCTGGCTTTGGATAAGAGGCTTGTTGGGGGCTGATGGAATGTTCATTAGAATTTGGGGATGTTATAGAGAGAAAGATCTGGGGTTACATTTCATAGAATGTGTCAAATGTGTTGGAACTCATTGTAATGTCTGATGGCCCAAGCAGTGATTGAATAGCATCTCTGGCACAGCTGGATGATCACCAATAGTCCTAATAAGATACCAATGATTGATATAAGGAGTTTAAAAAACTCTCAGTCGAAGTTCAGATCTGATGTGTTGATTGAGGGTATTCAGTTTCCTCCACACTATAGTGTATGAGGAAAGAGAAGAAGAAGCTTTGAGCTAATTGTTAGACCCAAGTTGCATATAACTATAAATATGTGATAAACTGATGTCACTTTGCACTTTGAGTGGAACATCAGAGTTCACTGATTATGAATAGTAGTCATAATGTGTCAAAGCCTTAAGATTAGCTCGAGAGAAGATGGTGTGAAAATAAACTTTAGCTCAAAGCTGAGGATTATCAGTCAGAGTGAGCAATCTTAAATACTGTACAAGGTCAGCTAATAATACTACTACCTATTGTATGTGTCTGAGTCTATTATGCCCATTGTTCTAGGGTGTCACTATTATATACAAAAGGATGATTGTGCATTGTCAGGCAACATCATTGCATTGAAAGACAATGATGAACTCAGCCAGTTGTGATGACTAAGCCTTGTCTCATAGTCTTAAGTGCTTGATCTAGCACTCTGACTAAGTATAAATAAGGGTTAATTGTAGAAAAGAATAAGTTAGGTGGAAAAGTTGTAACACTTCATATCACAACAGCCTACCTGATGACTTGCTACTAGCACTATTCCCATAGTATATTCACATTCAGTAATAGTAGATATCACATCACACAGCTCATTCTATGCTATGGTACTATGATTTATATGTGTATTATATCATACTGATAAGAGTGAGAATTGCTAGTGAGATAGCTCTGTTGAAGGAGATCCTTAGATTGATTGACCTATTTATTTTTATGTTACATGCCATTTTTAGCCTTTTTTTTTCATTCTTTTCTCTATCACTTTCTGATTAAGTATATAAGGTGTACTGTAGTTGTTGTAAATAGAGAGCAGAGTAATATACAGAGGATTAGAATTAGCCTCTTGAGAGAGAGACATTTTACTTAAATACATTTTGTATTACTTCAAGATCTTTCTATGAGATACTAAATAAGTCTGGATCATGAGCTAAATCAGCTGCCACTGACTGGCATTATATCTTTAAGTACATTCTCATACTTGCTCAAGATTGCTATTTCAACACTTCTCCTCAATTCTGAGTTCCTAGAATACCTGCAGATAGATGCTCATATAATGGTCTTAGTAGGCCTTTAGTGAATATATCTGCTAAGTTCTCCTCTGATGCACAGTGCTGAACTTTGACTTTATTTGAAGCCATGCACTCATGAATGAAGTGGTGCCATATGTCTATATGCTTCAATCATGCATGAAATATAGAGTTCTCAGCAAATTTGATTGCTGATTGATTGTCAATGAAAATAGTTGTCACTTCATAAGGTGGCAATTCTAATTCAGTTAAGAGTGCTCATAGCCAAATTACTTCCTGGATTGTGTGTGCAAGAGCCATATATTCTGCTTCTATAGTGGATAAGACTACAGTGGACTGTTTCTTTGAACTTCAAGTAACAGCTCTCTCTGCATAGATACAGATATAACCAGATGTTGATCTTCTATCTGTTCTGTCTTCTCCTCAGTCTGAGTCTGAATAAGATATCAGCTCATCCATAGTCCTTCCATATGTGATTCCAAAGTCTAAAGTTTCCTTCAGATAGCAGAAAACTCACTTCAAGACTGTGACATGCTTAGCAGCTGGATTCTGCATATACTTGCTTAATTTGATGACAGCATATGCAATGTCAGACTGGAATCTATTGGCTGTATACATTAGTGATCCAACACCAGTATAGTAATATTGCCTGGTAGCTGTATCAACACCTTGTGGGTCTTCTATCAGAATTTTCTCTAGCTATACATTTGGATCCATAGGTATTTTGACTGGTTTGCAGTCATTCATGCCTATTTGCTCAAGTACTTTGAGAATATATGCCTTCTGGGATAGAGTGATAGTGCTTTTATCCTAATTTCTGTCTATCTTCATGCCCAATATATATTGAATCTCCCCCATGTCTGTGATATTTAGCTTCTTCTTGAGCTCTTCTTTCATTTTAGATATAGTTTCATTATCTGAAGCAAGCAATGTCATGTCATCAATATGTATAACTATGATTATGGGACCAAAACTCATTTATCTGATGTACACACATTGATCACTGATCAATCTGATGTATCCAAGTCCCAAAAATATAGCATTTAATTTGTCATTTCAAACTTGGCTAGACTGCTTGAGTCTGTACAATGTTAATTTGAGGTGTGCCACTTTTCCACTCCCATCTGAATATTCAGGTGGCTGTGCCATATAAATAGATTCATTGAGTTTACCATTTAAGTAAGCTCCAACAATATTCATTCTATGAATGATTAGGTTTCTTTGAGTGGCAATTGTCATAAGTAGGTGGAATGTGTCCAGCCTGACAACTGGTGCATATATCTCAAAGAAATCAATGCTGGATACCTGTGAAAATCCTTTTGCAACAAGTCTGACCTTGTACCTGGTGATTTTCTCATCACCATCCCTTTTCAATCTGTAAGTCCACTTGCAATCCACAAGTGATCTGTCTTTAGGTAATTCTTCCAGCTGCCATATGCTTAGAGAAGTCAATAGATTGTATTCTTCATCCATTGCTTTCTTTTAATAATGCCAGTCTGACCTTGTCTTGGCTTCTTCAAGGCTTAATGGCTTATCACTAAGGTTGTCTGCAGTTTCTCCAATGCATATATAGTCTATTGCAATATTTATGGCTTTCAAAGATAATTCTTCTGAGGTATACTGTTGTTCAGATGTTTTCACAGCTCATGCACTTGGATTATGAAGTGTCCAGTAACTTGGTTGAGTCTTTGATGCAATCTGAGCTAATTTGTCACATGGCTTGATCATTTTTCTATGCCATATTGGAAACTTTAATTTGATCGATGATACATCAGAGGCTATTTCCTCTTTTGGTTCAGCATTTCCAGCATCTATGGAATTGTCTGAAATGCCATCATTTTCATCTGGAGTCTGCTTGACTTTGCTCTCTGACTCTCCCTTGAGTGATGAAGAGTGAAAGACTATAGTCAATGTCTATAGACTCTGTAATATTGCTTCCAGAAAATATAACATTTTTTGAGATCTGAATCTGTCTGGTTTGAGGGTTATAATATCTCCAGGCTCTAGATTCATCTATGAGATCTGTAAAAATAAATTCTCTTGACTTTGGGTCCAGTTTTGACCTCTTGTTGTCTTGCTGCAACATCTAGCACTTTACTCTGAATTCCTGAAGTGCTGAAATATCTGGTTTCATGCTCTGAAACACTTCTTCTGAGGTTAGATCATTCTTGATAGCCCTGGTTGATAATTGGTTCTTCAGGTATGTAGCATATGCCACTGTCTCAGGCCATAGAAACTTCAGTAAGTGATATTCTTTTAGCATAGCACATGTATGCTCCACAAGAGTCTGATTTATTCTCTCAGCAACTCCATTTTGAGATGGGAAATATGCTGCAGTCAATTTCAACTGTATGTCATTGTCCTAGAGGTATTCCTTTCCATTGTCAATCCTCATAAACTTCAGATCCTTCTCTTTGTGGACTTTGATGTATTTTTGATACTGCTGGATCTTCTTTCAAATTTCTATATCTTACTTTGACTTCAAAAAATACAACATTGTCCTTTAGGATTTCCTATCTGTGAAGCTTATATAATACCTTTCACCATAGATACCCTGAGTTCAGGCTGGCACCTATAGATCTGAAAATGTCATTTCCTCTATTTCTGTATAGTCTCTTTTGGCTTCTTATGGAAATGGCTTAGTATGATGTTTGGCTTTTATGCAAGCTATGCAATCTGTCTGAGGCTCAGCTGACTCATTTATATCCATCCTCTTGATTATTTTCTTTCTAAATAGTCTCTTTACTGATCCTATATTTAAGTGGCCTAATGTTTTGTGCCACTTTTGCCATGATCAGGCTGATTTCATAACATGGGCCTGGATTATTTCTGGAACAATGATGTCAAGGCTATACAGCTTTGATATTTATTTTCATGGCCAATTATCTTGCCATATGATGAGATAATATCTATTCTGGACTCTTTGAATTTGAGTTCAAATCCAGCATCTATAATGTGCCCTATTGATATAAGATTGAATGGTGCATCAGGACAGTAGATACACTCCTTTAGTGTGACTGGAGTGATCTTTTCTCCTTCAACCATTTTAATCTTAACAGTTCTCCTTTCCAAGCCTTTGGATTTGCCTACACTAATGACTTCATGTCCTGGGGTTTCAACATAGTCAGAAAAATATAATCTATTTTTAACTATATGTCTGATAGTGCCAGAGTCCCCTAGCCATGATACTCCTGAGAGTGAAGTAAGTGTGACATCTATTGCACAAAATACATAGCCTTCTTCTTCTGAGTCTGATTTGGCAATATGTGTCTGGGTCTGGCCCTTTCCCTTTCCTTTTCATGACTTTTCAGAATTCTTCTTTCTATTTGGGCAATTTGTCCTGAAGTGACCAGTTTCTCCACATCCATAACATGTGACTTTTGGATTGGACTTCTTGCCATGTGTTGCAAGTGTCATGGTCTGATCAGAAGTCTTTTCCTTTAATCAGATATCTTCCTGAAGAATTTGGGAAATCAACTTGTAAGAATCTTTTAAGTTAGCAGTGTCCACTAATGAGATAAATAAATTCCATGATTCCAGAAGTGATATAAGCAGTGTAATAGAGAAGTCTTCCTTCTCAACTTTCTGCCTAAGGGATGCCAGCTCCTCCTGATAGGACCTCAAAGTCTTAATATGCTCCTCTATGTTTTCTCCTTCTTTGCACTGAGCTCTGAAGAATTCCTTCTGACAAGGACAATTCTCATGGGTCCCCTGGACTCATACATATTTTTCAGAGCTTTCCAGGCTTCTGCTGAAGTCTTTGAATCAGCAATATATACCAGTGGACCATCTGAAACCCACAATCTTATTGTTGAAAGAGCCTTCCTATCACTCTTCTTCCAATCTACCATCAGTATTATGTCTGCCAGGGTCAGAATGCTTCCATCTGCATAATCAATTAGTCCTAAATCAGTTAGGATATCAATCATCTTGATTTTCCATGTCAGATAATTTTCTGAGCCCTTAAGAGAGTTAATTCTATACACAGACTGGCTATCCATATGGTTCTACATGTGTACATAAAGTACAAAAGGGTGTGAAGTGAGTAGCAATGTAAGTTCAATTATGGCCAGGGCCCATAACCTGTTGTAAGTAGAGAGCAGAGTAATGTACAGAGAATTAGAATTAGCCTCTTAAGAGAGAGACATTTTACTTAAATATACAGTTGACTATCTCACAATGCATGATGTCAAAATGCATAATTCTGACTTTGCATATGGATTGGGCTGGAATGCAGTTGGGGAGCAGGGAAATAGGCTAGAAATGCATATTGCATAATGCATATGGTTCTAGTTAGGAATATGCATTGTCAGATTGAAAATTATAGTAAGCTGATATGACATTATGCATATATTAGAACAATAAAGAATATAATTTGTTTGTATGGACTATGACAAACACAAAAAAAATTATTGTAAAGCAATGCAGCCTATATCTCTATAAACATGCCTCTTGAACCAACATGAAAACCATATGCTAAACCTGGAAATCCATATGAGTATACAAAACAGAAGGAGAAAGTCCCAATGTACACATTATCAGCTCAGCCTCCAAAGCAGATCTCCTGCCCACACCTCACAACAGGAGACTGGCTTGTAGTATTCAAACATGTTGATAACTATCCTTCTTATTGACATGCTGACATTGTGGCACATTTTGCAAACTGAAAGGAAGGTGCACTGCTCTTTACCTAATCAACTCTTTCATGGAAACTGGCATCTTGTATAAAAATCGAACAGCATGCAAATGAGAACCCTAATGCACTATCATCCAAAAAGTCTCATATTGTCACCTGACCTGATGTAGAGTGTGCTGTTGCATTCTGGTATCAGAACATGCAGCTCTGAGATGAGACTGTGACTAGTGCAATGCTGATAGAGAAGTGAAATTGGATTGAAAATCTGATAAATATTCCAGAGGATCAGTGTTTAAAAGGAGAGAGATGGTTGAGGTCATTCTGCAAGGCATAGAAGATTCAGGAGGTTTGGTGGCATAGAGAAGCAGGCTCAGTGGATATGATGGCAGTGAAAAAAGAATGTGTGCGTCTTCACAGCATTATAGTGAAATATGTGATGTGGGATAGATAGAATATTGATGAATCTGGTCTTGTCATCTTTGCCATTCCAGATTGTATCTTGGCATCTGGTCCTATGAGTGGACAAAAACAGGACAAGTTCTGCATCACCATGTGTTTTGCTGTGAATGCAGATAGGAGTAAGCAAATGCCAGTTGTTTTCATTAGCAAGTCAAAGCAACCACAGTGTTTCAAGAAAAAGAGTCCAATGGCAATGGAATTCTATTATTGAAATAATAAGAAGGCCTAGATGACAAGCGAAATATTTATAGAGTGGGTGAAGATGTTTGATTTAAAGATGAAGAGGGAGATGCAGCAGGTTCTGCTGACCTTAGACAACTTTCGAGGGCATTCCATCACTTATACACCCTATAACACAAAGCTGGAGTTCTTCGAGCCCAATATGACTCCATATGTTCAGCTGCTAGATGCTGGTATTATCTGCTGCTTCAAGGCACATTATCAGAATGCCATGTGTATCTGTGCACTTGATCTCGATGATCTTAGAGAGTCTGAGATCTTCAAGCTTGATCTCCTTGAAGCTATGACTATCGCTCATGATGCTTGGGCAAATGTCAGCAGTGAAATGATAGCAAACTGCTGGAAACACACTGGTATAATGTCTGACAATGCACCTGAGTCACAGTCTACTACACTATCCAATGATTTCCAAGATGCCTCACTCCTCAAGTCTGTATGGAACCTTGTTCATGACTTTGCCTCAACAGACAAATACATGCTTCCAGGGATCAAACAGGCATTGCAGGATCTGCTTGAAAACCAATATGCTGATGCTGACTGGCATTCTGCTCTTATGGCTGTTATGAATGCAGAGAATGATGTTGGTAAAGCACTGGAGGCAGTCAATCAGTTGGCTTCTTCATCACAGTCAAAAATGAACACACCTCCCACCCAAATTGCCCCCATTCAACAGCTCCAGACAGCAGAGATAATGTTGAAGGACCATCTTGTCAAATTGAAACAATGAAATCACATGTTTGGTCCCATTCCAACCATTGAAGAGATGGTTAACTCTATTGCAGAAGAGTATACTGAAGATCTTGAGGTGATGCCAACAGATGAGGAGATTGTTGCTGCTGTCAAGCATGATATTGCAGTAGAAAATGGGGAAATAACTGTCATTGATGATGATGAGGAGGAAGAAGAGGAAGAGGAGGGTGAGGAAGAACAGACCTTAATAACTACAAGGGAAGGATTTGAGCTTATTCAAAAGCTGGAGGCATTTTGTGTTTCACAAGGTGACCAGAATGGATTAGTACCATAGCTGAGGAGGTTGAGAGGGGCATTATTCAAGGAGATGTATGGAAAGCTGACCCAAAAGCCACTGACAGCATTTTGGGGAAATGATGATGTTGTCACATAAAGTTATATGTCATATCATGTGCTATTTTGGTTCTGCATAAATCTATAAATGCATACAGTTTTGGTGTCTCCCGACCATATGTATTGTGAGATAGTCAACTGTATTTTATATTACTTCAAGATCTTTCTACAAAATACTAAATAAGTCTGAATCACAATCCAAGTCAGCTGCTGCTGACTGGCATCATATCTTTGAGTACATTCTTGTACTCACTTGGGATTGCTATCCCAACAGTAGTTTTTCCACCCCTCAGTCATTCTGCTTTTCACTGTGTTGACTAAGGCATATACTGTTATATTTTCTTCATATCACACATGTACTTACATAGCTGTTACAGCCTATATATTTGTTCTCATGTCAATACACTCTTCTTTATAATGTTGGTGAATGATGTTTCCAGAACCAAACATGACTTCTGATAAGCCCTGCCTCCTTCTAAAAAGACCTCTCATAGCATCATCTGCTGGAAATTCAGTATGTGCATGATATGAGGAACAGGCACACTGACTCTTTATTCCTTCTAAGTGAATCCAGTGCTTGAACTATAGAAGAAAGCACATGGCATTGCTGCAGGCATCCTCTGGGTAAGTGGAAAGTGCTTCTCAGACAACTCAGTAGTGACCACATGTAAAATCTGAATCTACTGTCTCATGTATATCAAGTGCCATCAGTTTCATGATTAGCATGATCATGACCACCCCTTCAGTAGAACTAAAATCAAAGGGAAAAAAGTCAGATACCACAATCCTGAGAGAAAATGATGAGCTGCAATAAATCTTGCAAGAGAAGCGTCACATCCTCCTTCTAACCAATGAGCTATATCTTCCCCAATAATGCAGAACAACCATTTAGGCTGAGACACAAATAATATCTGATGTCCCAGAATCGCTTCCAGATCTCAGAACCTATTCCAGCCTCTCACATGCATAGAACTGATTCAAAACTTGGGACATTGTCACGGTCTGGTTTGTACTGTTGTCAAGCTGCTGGATTGGGATGCACTTTTCTCTAGTAGAGCGAAGGGTGGTGTGGAGGCCATTGGTAAGGTAGAACTGCCAGTGTCAGAAGCCATGAGCAACAGAGCTATTGACCAGTCAAGAGAAAACAGATCAAAAAAAAAACTGAAAGGGAAAAATGATGGTTATTTGACCCGTTAAGACGTGGAAATGCTGGATCTCGATGCAGGTAGGTAGTTGGTGATGACGTCAAGTAAGTAACGGGGCCGGATGCTGGCCGGATGTTGCCGCGTCCGTTCTTCCTTCCACCACCACCATCCCATTGTCGCTCCCTCCAAAGCTCAGAATATCCTCTGCCTCTGCTCTCTGTGCCACATTGTTTTTTGCTCCATCCATTCAGGATTGTTTTTTTTTTGTGGATCAACTGGTATAGCACTCATTGTTCGGTTGCCTGACCCAGCTTGACATTGACTTTTTTTTAGGTCTAGAAGTTATCGCTGAGATCCTGGTTGGTGTGGTCTGACAAGATAAATATGCGCGGTTACTCCATCAACTTCGTCTGCCTCACCTCTCGGAATCCTACTAAGCTCGCCAAGAATACGCCACTCCACAGTTGCGACTTGTTCCAATACAAGTTATAGTTCGATGACGATTCAGGAGGACTTGGGGTTGTAATGGGAAGATGGTCTTGAGGGTTGTGCTCATAGGGATTTGTCGTCGGTATGGTGGGTAGTTCAATCCCGTCTTATGAAGTGCAGTAACTGACAGCTTTCAACAGAAGAAAGACAAGATGTGCTTACAGGCTACAGGCATTTGATATGGGAGAAAGGGTAGGGATATGTTCACCATGTGTTAACTAGCGATCGGTGAGGCATAATTGTGCTCTAAGTATATTTCGTCTGCTGACGTTTCTGCCTGACTGCCCAGATTTCTTTTTTCTTGCGGTGCAAAGGCGACCACCGCGAGGCTACCCGAGACGAGAAGCACCGATGGAAGAATTAGGATGTCTCTAGTCGTTCTAATTGTGTGATGGGAACTGATGTGTTGATGATGGTGATTTTTCCATGGCGCAGGTGAAGTTCCAGTTTTCAAGTTCGTTGATTGTGCGTCTTATTTTATCGCTCTTTTCTATATTGTATTCGGCTCATTAATTCCTTACAGATGCTATCAGATCCCTTCAGTCCATTACAATTGGACCGTCTAGAGTGCCCTTCTACCTCGTCGTGTATGCCATCTTCGCCATTTCATCGAGTTCATCCCAAATGCTGTATCGCCAACGTTCAGTTCACATCAGTGTTCCCGCAAAATATTCGATCTCGTACTCCTTTCCATCTATCTCTATCTTAAACTCTTCGCCATCAGAGCCGTCGACATCTTCCTACGCCTTCACGTAGCGCAAGCTACTTTCTAAGCGCGAGTCTCGCCATTTGCAACTACCGGTTGTGGTATGGGTTATATCCTTCCCATGGGCCTGTCATCGATTATCCCTTCTCGCTTATGTACATACACAAAGACGAGCTTCCATGCAGCCACACATGGGCCTGTCTTATCGATGCTTGGACCTTGCTGCGTGGTACTTCCGTGATATCAAACCAATGTCAAATGGTTGTCTTCGCTCTCCAAACAGCGGTATCGTGCACACTGTTTTCCCGATCTTCGAATCGTGCATGCTAATATTCTTTTCCCATTAGACAACCATTATCAAACACCCCCACTTCTATGTATACTATTCCAATGCGCACCAGGGCAGAAAAGAGATGCAGTTCAATGAAGGTCCAAAGGCCGAGAACTTGGACACATCTATCATATCAGGGTAAGCCATCTATTTAAGCTGAAAGTCTGCTCACTGATGTTTCTGCTCATCGATGTAGACAAGAGCTATCTCATCTGAGCTTTGTGGCTATTTCATATGGGGTGCAATTTTGGCCCAAGGTTACTTAGTCTGGGGAGATCGAAGTCTATTAAATGTCCTGCATTGACGAACCAGTCTTCCGACGACTCCGTGCTGGGGCAGTTATGGGATGCCAGATGGTGATTGGGGGATGCTGTTCTTCTATGGTGCGCACTAAGCCCAGGAGCGGAAGTTCCGGTTCTTCGGTCTGGTTAATTGTGCGTATTATTGTTTCTCTGGGTGGCTTCAAGCTTATTGGGCTCCTAGACATTCAGTCTCGAGACTCCGGTGTTTGCAAAGACTGGACCATGTCAAATTTACGTCGTTATCAGTATCTGTTCATGTCATTCATGGCCTTTGCTGTAATGCTGAGCATTGATTTGACCGTCGAATACCGAATTTTCGTTCCGATATCACCCCTTGTGGTTCACAGGAAATGGTTTTGACGACGTCGACTCTCTGCTGCTGGAAGCCCATTTCAACTTCTCCGTTTGTGAATACCGTGGCTGGCATTGTTCGGAGGGAAAATGGTATTCAAAGTGATGAGTTGTGGAGGCCTAGGTAGTAGATGTGACGTCCCGGCTTCTCCAATGAATCGCAGAAAGGTCGAAAACGTCTCTGTCGTCATTGGCACCGATATTGATGACGTGATTGGCATGAGAGCCAGAAATTCAAACTCTGATTTTGAAAACTGTCGAGTCACATCTTCAATCGCAACCACCATGGCTCCCTCACTCATCCCTCTATGCAAGGTAAAATTCCTTCGGTCTCCCTGATAAAGGTTTTCGTTTTTTTTCACAGATGGCTGGTTCCATGAGATGTCGTCGCAATGGCCTGGCCAAACAATGACATTGAAGGTGAACAGGATCTTGCATGTCGAAAAGTCCCTGTACCAGGACATCCTGGTCTTTGAATTGGAGACATTCGGAAACGTCCTGGTGCTCGACGGTGTTGTCGAATGCACAGAGTGCGATGAGTTCTCGTGAGTGATATCTTTTTCTTCTCTATCGTCGGAAGGCTGACATCGGCCGATATGTTATCAGGAAATGATTGCACATATCCCCTTGAACAGTCATCCGAACCCCGAGAAGGTGCTGGTTATCGGCGGTGGCGATGGAGGTGTTCAAGAAGTGTTAAAGCACAACTCGGTTACGGAGGTCGTTCTCTGCGATATCAATGAGGTACTTGTGCACCGTTTCACTAATGTCAACATACTGAATGTTTTTGTAGGTTGTGATCCGAGTATCCAAGCAGTATCTTCCCCATATGTCCTCTCTTCTTTCGTCTGCCAAGGTGACTGTTTTCATCGGAGACGGTTTCAAGTTCCTGGCTGAGCATGACGGTCGCTGCGATGTCATCATCACCGACTCTTCGGATCCTGTTGGTCCTTCACAATCTCTCTTCCAAACGCCCTACTTCTAGCTTCTCCACGACGCCCTTGCTCCTGGTGGCAACATCTCTACCCAAGGAGAATGTCTTTGGTTGCACCTTCCACTCATCTCCCAGCTTAGATCAATGACTCTCGAGATTTTTCCTGTCTCCGAGTACGCCTACACGACCATCCCCACCTACCCTTCCGGTCAGAGAGGCTTCATAGTCTGTTTCCAAGTAAGCTGATCATGACTTGAGCAAGCCCCTACGTAAGCTCAGCGATACGAGGTATTACTACAATGCTATTCATACGTCTGCGTTCATCCTCCCTGAGTTTGTTAGCGTCCTTCTGTCCGAGGGCAAGAACATACAACCGAAGTTTGCTCGTGAAACACTTGCAGTTGCGAATGTGAACAAGCAATCATGTGGACCGGACTTGGAATGATCTGGCTACGCGTCTATGGGGCGCACATTGAAGACTATCGCAGCTCTGTTGGATGCTCTCGCTCCATGGTCCCAAGGAATGATGTATGATGGTGAGAGTCCCCCTTTCATGCTCGTTCGCGGTCCTAAATACAACCAGGATCGCGCCCTCAACGATGACAAGACCAATCGCTCTGTATCAGCAGATGAAGCTCTAGGCATATCACGTACTCCCCGAAGCGCAATACTGGGTTATTCGTCGAGAGCACACTGAAGGCATTGTGACCGATGTCGGTCAACCGACCAGCAATAAGAGATCAGGAAGTTGAAGCAGTAATGGGTATGGTGGTTTCGTTTTTGCGGTGGTGTTTGTTTTTGATATTGGGATATTTGGCAGGACAGACGAATTGTTCCCTACTTCATTAACCGGTTTGTTGGCGAGGATCATCGCCGAAAACTTGCGAAAGCCTGTCATGATGTATACCAGTCGCCCGTGGACACTGACTTGGTCGTGTCGATGATGCTACCGGTGAGTATCACTCGTTTATCTACAGCTGCCTCTGATCCAAAACTGCGGCTAGGTCGTATGATTCCATCTGGTTGCGAAACTGACCACGAAGTTACTCAACGAAATCTTCAAAACAAAAAACGCACGTTCGGCAAAGTTTCATCATCGACTACATTTTTCGTCATCCCCTTGCTCCGTTCGTCGTCGCACCAATCCCTTCCCTCTTTTTGTCAACTACCAGTAGATCCGCCAACGTTGGAAGTGGGCTCTTTGGTACGGGAATCGCAGGACGCTGTTCAATCCACGGCCGTTCATCAGGTGGATTGGACTCAGGGGTGGACATCCGAAGGTTGGATGCAGGTGGTGGGCCGGTGGTTACGACAATGATTGCATCTTGGCTGGTAGCCGTGGGCATGCTCGTGGAATCGAACGAATTGACTGCCTCAGAACAGCTCTGAACTATAATTCTGTGATTCGTAGCGAGATGAATCCTAAGGATCTTCGGAATGCAGCCCAGTATCTCGCCATAGGTTCCAAGTTGGAAGAGGCATGCATGGCTCAGATGATTCTGGTTCTTGCATCAGTCGCAACCAACGATTTTTGTCGACATTTATCAGCTGTTGGTAGTTGACCCGGAGCTTCAGTTGGCGGATGTGCGCGGCTAACGATCTGTGCATGTCCAGGTTGTCGGTAATGCGTTCCCTCGTCAAGAGGAAGACCGGACCTTTGTCGTCTTCGAAATTTTTCGTCTCCATGTACGAGAGGCACCAGGACTAAGTCATCTTTACTGTGAGCTCAGCGGGGTTTCCTAAACGTCCTTGGGTCTGGGTGATACGTTTGACTAGGCTTTGGATGGAGACGTCGCACCAGGTGGCGGCTTTGATGCATGCGAGAGCTTCAGCTATTAGGTCAGGGTCATTGCTGACGACATTGCCCTGGAAAGCTGTGATGGTCGAAGCTAGTGCCTTCGGGTTAAATGGGACGAGATTCCAAACAACATGCGATGCCGTTGCGAAGCATTGGTTCCAGAGGAGGAATTTGGCGAAGTCCTCAGAGAAATCTGTAATGATCAGGGGCCACAGCTTGTCGAAGGCACTCTTTCTTCTGCGTCCTTCATCTTTGTTCCTGCCTTTCTTGTCCTCCTTTGCTTCGATAGGGAAGAAAATCGTAAGCTTGCCCTTATCTGGGAAGTCAAGGCCTTCGAGAAAGGTTTTCAGTAAAAGATCTGCCCTTCAGTTTTCGGCGTAGAACTTGAGGCCTGCTCCGAAGGGGACGGCTGCGATGAACTTTTCAGGGAGGTGGCAATGGTGTCACGGATGTCTTCCGGGAAACCAGCCCTGATATGATTCTATGGGATGAAGACGCGGGGGAATGTAGCATCCATGAATGGGGTTGCGGAACCCGCGGGGAGTTTCACAGGCGTTTCGCCAGAGCGGGTGAACTTGTCGTAGGGGAACTCATCTCCCGCCGTAGGCAGGTTGGCGGTGGCACGAGGGTCAGGGAGTTCGTATGGCATCAGGTGCGGGTGGGCGAGGTTTGTCTTTCGTCGCGATTCTCTGTTTTCCTCGTCTACGGGCGGAGCAGGTGCCAGATCTTTAGTCAGAGGATTATTTTTTTGAAGGGTCGTATGGAAGCACGTTTTGCCTGGCACTGCTTCCCGAGGTCTTCTGTCTTTTGTTAGGGTTCCCTCCTGGCATCTGGAGGAGGGGCTCCTCGTTATTGGAGGCAGACAGTTCGGCGAGTGGGGGGCTGAGAGGGAGGAATGGAACTCTATGGCGGACTGGCACTCTTTAAATATGATTTGAGACGTCCTAACTTTGCCAGGACGAAGGGCGAACATTCTTCTTTGTGACCCAGTGGCAAAGGTCGTATTTCGGCTACCCCGCCTTTCTATGGTGGGAGTTTCGCGGCGTTTTTCCCTGAGAGATCTCCCGGTGACGGTAAATTCGCTGCAGGCGTTGACGAGGATGTAGAGGGTGGTCGTGGTCGTTGATTTCCTTGCGTGACGTGGCGCGGGCGCTGCCTGTCGCCAGCTCGCTGCCACTGCCGTCTATTTCGTCTTTGAGGCGAGGGATTGGTCTTCGTCTTCATCCTGCATGGGGCGGGATGGGATTGGGTCGACCAGAGAACTGAGCGGGGATCTTATAGGCTAGAGGGCCTTGGGAAAGGGTTAGTGTCTCTACTAGCTACCACATGCGGTAGTTAGTGGTCTGGCCCAGAAGAACTGAGACGTCTCAAGACTACGAGACATTTCTCCTGACCAGTGAAGGGGAAGGAACGGCGATTTCTTTCGCTCGCTGTCTTTACGAGCGAAATCTCTTGAGCCAGGTTTGAAGATCAAGGGCCTCTGTCACATTACTGAATTATTCAAATTCTAGTACTTGCATCTATTGATTCTGTATGCAGTTGCCTTGCTCATAACCCATTCTCTCTCATAACCTATAGGATGGTCGGGTCTACCTAAGTGCGGATTCCCTCAAATTACTCCCTCATAACCCATAGTGCTGAATGGGTATGCGTTATAAGGAGGGGGCTATGAGTGTTCCAGCTGAACAGCACGAACGGCATGGACATAGACGGAAAGTTTCAGCCTAGAGTCTTGATATAAAAAGGCACCTGACGTTCCACTCTCCTTTTCTCCCCCCAACACAGAACGATCCTCGGTTGACTCTCCCTCTAAGCGTTTTTTCTTTCTGTTTACAAGTGCATCCCTTGGCGTTTTGCTGTCTCGTCGTATACTTAGCTTGACGCTTTTTTTTTCTTGCTTTCTTTTCCCTCTTATTCAGCTCTCTCGTCGTCTACCAGCGACACCGTCTCTGCTTTCCACTTTGTTACAACAAACGATCCACAAGTAAGCCCTTTAGCTTCTTTTTGATCCCTCCTCGTTACTGACCGTTCCTTCCCAGTGGCGCCTAACCCCTTCAACATCGACGAAGTGTTCTACGACTCGTGCATGTACATCCCCATACATTTCGGAAACCAGTCGCCAATTGCCTCAACCTCGACCCTTGTCCCACCCACCGTCTACACGTTTGGCAAGCACGAGAGCAACACTGACCCGTCCCGTCTCACCGACCGTTACCCTGCCGCTTATAGAGACTTCTTCGGTATGCCCAGCGGTGCTCCCTGCATCTACAAGTCGGGCCCTGCCTGGCCTGAACGCAAGGGTCCGGGAGCACAGCGCTTCATCCGCGAGGCGCGCCCTGTCTACGGCCACCCTATCGCAGGCTCCTGGCTCAAGATTGGTACGGACATCTACAAGTCCCTCGACTCTCGCGGCATCATGTGGACCTCGATCGACCCCGTCGCCTTCGCCAACGCAAAGGAGAAGACGCCGTTTTGCCCACTCCTTATGTGGATCGGTGTGAAGCACAAGACTCTCCCCTTCGACGTGGCAGTGGCTGCTGCTGACGCCATCAAGGTCATCCTCAGTCTAGCCGGCTTCCCTGAGATCGAGGTCGCTTTTCGCGAGTCGGAGGTGACCCACTCTGTTGGTGGTCCGAAGCTCCTCCCCTTCAACCCCCTCCTCGACTGCATCCCTGAGTTTCGCAAGCCTTTCACGCCCACGCTCGGCCTCTCCATTGCCCCGCTCAAGATGCCCCACTACGAGGGCACCGGTGCCCTCTACTTCCACCTCGGCAAAGATGATGAGCGCGTCGTCCTTCTCACTGCTGCCCACGTCGTTTGCCCTCCTCCCGCGTACGCCAACACGGGCATGTCGTGCCAGCACACCAGCCAGCGACACGAGGACATCGTCACCCTCGGCAACATCGGCTATGGGAATGCCACGAATGCCATGATGGCCACCATCGGTGATCTCGCACCCTGCGTTGAGGTGCGGAAGGAGGTGATCGCCAGCCTGGGCGAGGATGCAGTGGTCACCAGGAAACTCAAGTACACCCAGCATGACGTGGAGCAGACGACGAATATGATCGATGAGTTGAACAAGCTTCATGACGAGGTTACTAAATGCAGGACGCACCCGAACCAGCGCATCATCGGCTTTGTCCTCCACGCTGAGCGCATTGTTGTCGCCGACAGACCCACCGAGTTTATGCATGACTGGGCCTTTATCCAGCTTTACCGTGAGAAGATCGACTGGAGCACCTTCCCAGGAAATAAGGTCTACATCGGTACGTTTTCCATCTCGTCCCACAGTTTCAGTTTTGGCTGACTGTTATATCCCCACAGGTGGCAACCTCTTGCCATACGACTTCACCAATCTCATGTTCTCGCAGCCTGAGGACAAAGTGGGCTACAAGTACCCGGTCGATGGGCTCCTGCAGGCCTCTGGTGTTGTGAAGAATGACGAGATCCACCAACCCCAGCATCTCGACATCCACGGCGAGAAGGCACTCCTTGTAGTGAAGAACGGCCAGACCACGGGCACCACCATCGGTCGTGTCAATGGGCTCGAGTCTTTCACTCGTGTCCACACCGACTATGGCGCCAAGTACACGTCCATCGAGATCGCCATCCTGCCCTATGACAAGCTGCGTAGCCCCTTCTCTGCCCCTGGAGATTCCGGCGCCATCATCCTCGACAGGGCTGGCCGCATCGTCGCCTTGCTCGCCGGTGGTGGCGGCACAACGGATAAGACAGACGTAACCTATGGGATCCCGTACTGGTGGCTCGAGGAGCAGATCAAGAAGGCCTTCCCCGACTGCCACCTCTACTAGGCCGTTGCATAGGTTCATGCATTTTTTACATGCTTAATATTGGTCACTTTCCTTTTCGTGCATAACTGATGCCGTCTCTCCTCGATATACAGGTAGGTCATGAGCTCGACTCGATGCGCAACGGGCTCCTCAACAGACTTTTCCCCCATGTATGCCACTTCTTCCCTTTTCTCATCTCGTCTCATCTCATATTGTCATGTTCGTCGTCTCTTCTTGATATACAGGTAGACCTCTTGGACTTGTCGACTCGTCGTGTAGGTCCTGGACAAGTTGGTTCGTTATTGGTCAGCCCTTCTGTGGTATCACATCTTTCTGCTGCTTCTCGAATATTTTCAGCGTATCTTTTTGTCATGTCTTTTAGACTACTATCACCCCTCCCCACTCTGCATTTTTTTAACCCCCACTCGATTGCTTATGTTTTGTATACATTGTACTTTGCAATGAGCAGTGTTCATACATGTTTCTAACCTGCATGCGATTAGTAAAAGTTCGATGCCAAAGGTAAAGTTTCACCATGGAGAAATGCATTATGCACTGTCCCAGAGTGTGGGACTCACAATTTGTAACTCAGCCGGGATATCTTCCACTTCTTTTCGCACCCCTCCTATACTTACCCCATGCTTCCCAGTGTTCATTGATGATTGAGCCAGCCCATGTTTTTAACACTAGGTCTTTGTTAGGCTCTGAATTTACGGGCAGGATCAACGCTAATTCCCGACCTCTTAGATTGGGACCCCTGGTCGAAGTACCTGTGTTGCTGTCATTGAGTTACCTTGCACTGTGGCTCCGAGGGCGATTGAACTGGGAAGAGGTTTCGAAAGGTGGGGAGGCAAATAGCGTAGATGTTGAACGAAAATAGTGGCTTGCTTCTGCGACGTCTCTTACATAGAACTATGATACATACATTGTGTGTGTACATCCTAACTTCCTCTGCTCCGCTTGGGAGCACAGCCACCGCCTGTTTGTTTGGTCGATATTTGCTTCTACGTGTCTCTTGCAACAGCGTTCCATCTTCTACATCTCCTTTTTCATTTTTTCGTCCCCGTGCCTGCGAAACCTCATTTTTAATCCGGGCGAGTCGCGATAAAATGCTCAACGTCGAAGACATAGAGGAGCGCGATGGTTCGCTGTCGTCAAATCTCGAAAATCGAGTTACTGATACATGTATAGGTGTGCGACTGTCGTGGAATGTATGGCCATCGTCGCGTATAGAGGCTACACGAACGGTCGTTCCCATCTCTGCGCTCTATACACCCCTAAAAATTCGCGAAGATTTGCCGCCTGTCGTCTACGAACCTGTGGCCTGTAAAGCTCCTTGTCGAGCTATTCTCAATCCGTACTGGTACGTTGCCTATTGTTGATATCTTCGCCCCTTTCCTCAATATGGCGTCTATAGTTCAATAGATATTCGTGGAAAGCTCTGGATCTGTCCCTTTTGTCTATCGCGCAACGCCTTCCCTCCTCACTACAAAGATATCTCTAACACCAACCTTCCCCCTGAACTCCTACCAAAATACACTACCATAGAGTACACCCTCGCACGGATGACCCAACGTCCCATTTTCCTTTTCGTTGTCGATACCTGTCTTGACGAGGAAGACCTCAAGGCTCTCCGTGATGCCCTCGTTGTCAGTCTTAGCTTGATCCCACCCTACGCACTTGTCGGTCTGATTACATACGGTACTATGGTACGTTATGTCATGCCACTAACTTTTATTACATTTCTTACGGGCGATATTTTTAGACGCAAGTCCACGAGATTGGGTACTCCGAGTGCAGCAAATCCTTCGTCTTCCGGGGAGGCAAAGAATACCACCCAAAGCAAATCCAGGATATGCTTGGTCTCAGCTCGCAGAACCGTGCCGCCCCTCGTCCTGGACAGTCCATGCCTTCGCAATCCTTTGGAGCTTCACGATTCTTGCTACCTGTAGAGGAGTGCGAGTTCCAGCTGACCGGCATACTGGAGTCTTTGACACGAGACCCTTGGCCCGTTGCCAACGACAAGCGTGCATTGAGATGTACTGGCGTTGCTCTGAGTGTCGCTGTTGGTCTATTGGAGGTGTGTTCCTAACGGTGATATTGAATCCGACTCAACATTGTGTCTAGACCACATATCCTAACACGGGCGCTCGCATCATGCTGTTTGCTGGGGGACCATGCACGGAGGGACCTGGCATGGTCGTCAGCAACGAGTTGAAAGAACCCATTCGTTCGCATCATGACATTGACCGGGATAGCGTGAAGCACTTCAAGCGGGCCACCAAAGTGAGCACTGATTCTTTAAATTCAAATCGATTCTCATTTGCAGTTTAGTTCTATGAAGGTCTTGCCAAGCGCGTATCCAACAACGGTCATGCTGTTGACCTGTTTGCGGGTTGTCTCGATCAGGTCGGACTTCTGGAGATGAAATCGCTGCCTAACTCAACAAATGGTGTTATCGTTTTGTCGGATGGCTTCGCTACCTCCATATTCAAGCAAAGTTTTCTGCGTATCTTCAACAAAGACGATCAGGGCAATCTTCAGATGGGCTTCAACGCAACTTTCGACGTTCAGGTGTGAAATGGTGACGTTCACTTACATCAAAGGCGCTGATATCATTAATCATAGACGACGAAAGAATTGAAAGTGTCTGGACTTATCGGTCACACAATATCTGCTGGCAAGAAGTCCGCCTGCGTCGGTGAGACTGAGATAGGGATTGGCCAAACTTCAGCATGGAAGATCAATACTCTCACTCCTCGTACATCGACTGCGGTCTACTTTGAAGTGGTTACGCCCGCCGGCCAACCATTGCAGCCTGGATCTAGAGGTTTGATCCAGTTCGTCACTCACTATCAACACGCATCGGGTACCCAGAGACTGCGTGTTACCACTATTGCACGCAACTTTGCTGAAGCCGGATCCCCAAGCATAGCAGCAGCTTTCGATCAAGAGGCTGCTGCCGTTCTCATGGCCAGAATTGCCGTCTTCAAGGCTGAAATAGACGATTCACCGGATGTTTTGCGCTGGCTTGACCGTATGCTTATCCGTCTTTGTCAAAAGTTTGCAGATTACAGGAAAGAGGACCCAACAAGCTTCCGTCTGACTGACAATTTCAGCATCTATCCCCAGTTCATGTTCCATCTGCGGAGAAGTCAGTTCTTGCAGGTCTTTAACAACAGTCCAGACGAATCAGCGTTTTATAGGTATGCTTACCATTTGGTGCAAATCTTTTGCTGACGTTCCTTGCTAGACACATTCTAAATGAAGAGGACGTCAATAACTCTCTTATTATGATTCAGCCTACGTTGATGTCTTACACCTTCGATACACCCCCCCAGCCCGTTCTTTTGGACAGCGTATCGATAAAGCACGATGTTGTTCTGCTGCTAGACACCTTCTTCCATATCCTCATATTCCACGGAGAGCTCGTCGCACAATGGCGAAAACAGGGATATCAAGATCAAGAAGGTTATGAGAATTTCAAGGAGCTCCTAGAGCAACCGGTTCAGGATGCACAGGTTCGTAATGCCTTTTCTTGATCGGTTAAAATGTGATGGGCTGTTCTTTTAAAGGAGCTCTTGGTTGATCGTTTTCCTATACCGCGATACATTGTCTGCGATCAAGGAGGCAGTCAAGCGCGGTTCTTGTTATCCAAGCTTAACCCCTCCACGACACACATGTCGCAATCTATATATGGACCAGCTTCAGGAGCAGGTACTGGTCAGGCGATCTTCACGGACGATGTTAGTTTGCAGGTATTCATGGAGCATTTGAAACGTCTTGTGAGTTCTGTAATAATCACCCGCTGCTTTCTTATGCTGACTGGAATTTCCTAGGCTGTTGGAGCCCAAACGAATTGATTTGTATCGTTTATTTTATTGTAGTGTTTTCCTTGTTCAAAACCGTCTTATACGCTTAACATGTCTGACGGTATAATCTTGATTTTTACCTCTTTCGGCGAGTCAAAAGTCAAATTGTGTGACTCTACAGTGCACTTCGCTGTTGTCCGTGTCTGCACTATTGAAGATTGCTCACGAAGTAGTCAACGAATGCTCCCTCTTTCAACAAAACATTGTCTTTACACTCATGCTTAGATACAAACACTTCAGTTACAGTATAAGTACGGCGCACTGTACCACCATACCGTTTCCAACCTTACGTAGTGTCGATAGTCACCATCAAAACCTACGCCCTCTCTTGCGCAGACATATGTCACCTATCCGTCGAATTCAAGGAGAGGAAAATCGAGAGGTAGCTTCGACGCACAACTTTAAACTTTAAATGTAAATTGTGTCCGGGACAGGAGATAAGAATGACTGCATACTGTACAAAAATGGTAGTGTCGTCAATATTCCGCGGTAGCAACGGAATAATACAAATACCTATTAAACCGACACACTTTCGCAAGGCATTAATGGGGTAGTGGTAACCTGGGTCGTTGCCATCGACCCGCCGGGGGTTCAATTCCCCCTTAATGCAATGAATATTTTGTTTATTTGTACAGCACAACAGAGTAGGGTTGCCCACGAAACTGCAGACTCTTTTTTTGTGTTCGCGTTTTTACATGTTTTCTCTATTTCAGGAGCTGTAAGTTATCAGTAAATGTTGGATACCTATGAGTGTACTTTGTAAATAGAATATATATGCAACTGCATGAATTCTTATGCCTAACTAATAGACACATGATAGGTAAGTTACCTCGACGAAAATCCCTCCGGCGAGGAGAGGTAACTTACCGGTATCGAAACCTAGGCTTCGTGCGCTACCTACAACAGAATTCCCTTTCTCGACTCGGACTCCAGCTACTTGGATTTTGATTGGAACACTGAAATGTCGTGGAGCGCTTCGTCAAAGTTTGTAAACTCGTACGTAAGAGATCAGATGTTCAGTTTAATACAAAAAGCAAAGTTAGACCAGCATGTAATCTACACAGGCGTAAAAAGTCAATAAATAAGTATCAAAAATCCAAAGCAGAGAATGAAAGCGAAAAAGAACCAAGTTTATCTGTCTTGTCCTGCTATACAGCTAAAGCAAGTCCGGCCCCGCCATCCCAATCAGCCTCGACTTTAAGAGTCTCCTCGCCATTCGTGTTCGTCAGAGGTGGTGTCGTCCCCGTCCCGTCCTCCACGCCCCGACCTTCTAGGAGTCTGGCACACTCTGCTCCTCCTTCGCTCCTCAAATGCCGGTTGAGGGCGTCCATCCTGGCAAACATCTTCCCACAAGGCTCACATGAAAATGGCCGGTAGTTGGAATGCAGCTGCTCGTGTCTCTTGCAATCATGTTGTCGTGCAAAGCCTTTACCACATCCGGGCCATGGACAGACAAATGGTTTCTCTTCGTTATGAGAGCGTATGTGGCCTAGACTGAGATGAGCGGGTATTTTGTTCACAACAAGGCAATGACTCACCTTTGAGATTGAAGCTTCTCGTAAATGTACTTCCACAGCCGGGAACAGGACACATAAATGTCGCATCCTGTTTCCGCCGATTGTGACTAGCCTTGGCGGTCCGACCAGTTGTTACGTTCTGCTTACTGACCACCAAGGGGAATGTTTGACCGCCTACATTCACCGTAGGTACGCTAGCCATGACACTCGGATCTTGAAGATCAGTGTAGCGTCCCCGTGGCGACACGTTGGGAGATGGATACGGGCTACCACGGTTTGATGAAGCGGAGGGGCCGTCATAGATGCTAGCGCCTCGTTCACTGCGTGAGCCGCTCGATGCGCGGCGTACGTGTCGGCCTCGATGAGATTCCATTCCGCCCATGCCCATGCCAGCCATCAGACTTCCGCTGCCCATATTCATGTTCATACCGGACCCGACGCTCAAATAGTGACCAAATTCTGACCCGGGGGGGGCCAGGAGTCCTCCGCCATGCATATCTTCGCTCCTACTCCCTCTTACATGGCCTCTTATAGGCTGATTGCCTATGTCGCTCTTGCTCCGTCTGAGTGACACTACGTTACCATCATCTGACGGGGATAGGAATCCATTGAGGAACTGAGATGTATCTACCGCATCCTCCTGAGGGTTAGCATATGACGGCACACCCGAGAGACCGAGGCCCATGCCGCCGAGCCCAAGAGTATCCCATGTAGGATGGACGGGAGAAGAGTCAGATTTGGACCGTGTCCGGCCTGGCGTAGGGTGAAGAAAATGCTGAGGTGATGGTGATGGCCTGGGGGGAAAGGAGTAGGGCTGCTGGGACGTAGCCTGGGACTGGGACTGGGACTGGGGTAGTAGAGACGGGGAAGGCGGAGGCGGAGGCGGGGTATATGACTGGTTTGGACGTTGAGCATGGCCTAATAAAGATTAGATAAGAATTATGCCACCGAGTCAAAGTACTGTACTGACCGTAATCGCCCTGTGCTGCATTCCCGCCACTGACCGGCGTCGCAGGAACTATTCGCAAATGCGGACCACCTCCCGAGCCATCACCATCTGGCGCATTTATCGTTGGCGGTGGCACGCCAAATGTCTGATCCTCCGGCATGAGCAGCCTGGGTGGACTTGGAGGCTTCCCGCCACTCCCGCTTTCAGGTAAGGGCGCGTTACCCCACCCGGGGCTGTGGAAGCTCATGTTCTCGAAGCTCTGCGCGACGTCAAGGTTGGTCGGGGGTAGGTGAGGCGACTGGCTATGGGAATGTTCGGATGGCGTTGGAGCGTCGAAATAGGCTGGGTAGTCGTTGATCATGAGCAAAGAGCCTGAAGGAGACGGGTCAAAGTCTGCGGGATTATACTCGGTGGGCGGTTCGTCGGAGAGCTCTGAATGAAGCGAAAAGGGAGATCCTTGATACGAAGGGGTATGAGGAAAAAGGTCACCGCTGAAGTCGATGGTACCAAAGTCGAGGTCAGCGGGCGGTGGCGGCGACGGCGGGATAAAGTCGATGTCGTGGATGTCGAGCTCGTCGGTGGACAGTCCAGTCAAGTAGGGAGACATTACACGGGGGTCCATATTGAATTTATAATAACAAGTGTTCAAAAGAGATGCGAGTGTCTGTGTCGGGCTGTGTTTATGCTGTGTCGGAGTTGTCCCGGCATTTCGGCATCCGCCTTGCTTCCGATTTATTTCTGTCCGCTAGAACGTGGCTGCATTGCTTTCTCTGATTCCCCTCTTCTCTTCCCCGTATTCTTCGTCATCATCCTCCCTTTCTCTGACTCGAATCCCTAGCTAGCACTTGCTCACGTATCACCTCCATCAACATCACTTGACTCCCTCTTATCCCCGCAAGTCATAATAATATGTTCCAGTCATCATCGCTCATCAATTCCTCTGCCAAACTCAACTCCTCCAATTTCCCGCTCTTCCGATCATGATCGAGCCCGCCGTGTTGTTGCCAAGGAACAGACCCTTGAACAAGTACTGTTCGTTACTCTGGTAGACGACGAATATACCCTCATTCAGCGTATCAAATAGCTTTGGTCGTACACCATCCGCGATCAATGTATCATCCCAAATCTATCTTTCATCTACGGTATTTGATTGTTTTAAGGTCTCGACCGGCCCGTGTACAATTTCATCACGGTCACTGTTGCCTCATTCAAGGTCCATACCGCTCTGAACAGTCTGAATGGACAACCCATCGTTTCGGTCTGGTCCAATGGGGACTTCCATTACCTTCCGTCATCCCTTTCTTCGAGCACAACAAACATCTCCATGTCAAGCTGACACTGATCATGTTGCGGGATATGCTTGAGCCTTTTTGTATGCGATTACCCAACCAGCCCACATGCACATGTCGATATGTCCAAATGTCCCTCGCATATTCCGTCAGGGTTATATCAGGGATCTACATTGGACATGGCCCTCTCCCCTGTGGTTACCGAGGAACACACGACACTTCTACTCACCGTCCTCCCTGCACCTCCTTCTCATTTAGGTAATATAACGGTTGCTACAGGGCATCTCCCCGCCTCGAATAAATCAGATAATGTTCTTCTGCATACGTTCTTGAGGAATAGATAACACTTGGATAATAGTACAAAAAAATACGATGCCTTCCTTCCGATTTTAGCGGTACCAATTGACCAATCAATTTTAGAATTACTTGGTATGTGGTGACATTGTTAAGGATACAAGTGCGCAATACATATGGATCTGAACCTTGTGTGTCCCTGCAACCCGTGAAAGCCGACATGCGCATGGTATTTGTTACTCTATGTTCGGAAGAACTGGACTTATGATCCATGAAAACTTTGGGATCAAGTTACCGCGCACTCATCCGTCTTCTGGTCACCAAGGTACCATTCTGAAAAGTGCTTACCATAGAAAAGCGCATCCAACACCAATCTTAGCATCTAGAAAAAAGGCCAAAATGACAGGTACACAAAATACAAACACACTCCTGAAATGGAATGAGCGTCATAAGAAAGAAAAAATGATTCTGTCATTTGCGTTGCTTGATATTAAGGGTTCTTAACCACCCGAACAATGATAGAGAGGTATCCAAAGGATTCTAAACTGCGATGTAGGTTGTTCCTGAGAAAGCAGAACCAGCGACGAATAAGGCATCCTCAGGTCGGTCAGTACGCAGACAATTCCTAGATACGAGGCAGACCCTTAAGGTAGAACTTTGTTAAAATTCCAAGACAAGCTCAAGTGATTAACTGTACCTCGGGACAAGAAGAGAAAAGACGCGACAAGCTCTTACGCAAAAATCTGACAGGTCAAAATACTATGCTCATATCGGAACCAACGCCCGTGTGCCTCGACACCATACTAACCTATACTAACTCAGTTCGAAACGCAAATCAGGGTTGAGGTGCCCCTGCGAAGCCATTCAGCCCGATGTTGAGGGAATATCTCGATCCTGACAAGCACCACCTGATCCTCACAGACAGCATCATGACTTGAGCTAGTTATCGGCCAATTCGGAGGGGATGGTTAATCGAAGCGCATCTGAGAAAACTAAGCCCTCAGTTACCGGTTGCTCGAGTCGCCGACAGAACGAGTCCCGGGCATGTGAAGCCAGGAAATCCGGGAATAGGACGTATCCGACCCGTTTTCTGGGAGGCTAAAGGCGATACGACAGAGAGAATGGCGCTCAGGCTCCTTATACAGGTTAATCATAATGGGTGCAGACCAGGGAATTTCAATATAGAGAGATATACAATGGAAACTGTTAGTGAATCTACACGGCAGCTAGTGGGGAATGAGAAAAAAATGTTGTGCATTAAGGGGAAATTGAACCCCCGGCGGGTCGATGGCAACGACCCAGGTTACCACTACCCCATTAATGTATTTGCTGCTTCGCAATAAGTAACTTATTTCTTGGGAGATTATCCTGATAAGGTCAGGTATCAGCACAGAAAACGAAAAAAAAAAAACTCCCAAAGTTTTGCAGATGTACTGGCAGGGCTCATCGACAGAAGATCGTATACAAAGGAGGCGGAAGCTATTGTTGGAGTCGGCCGGCGGATCATATGGTGGATCGTGCCGAAGCCGGTCACCAGACAACGGTCAGCAAAAAAGAGATTCTCACGTTATCTCCCCGCCTCCCTCCTCCATGACCCGCTTCGGCGACTTTGCTCCTCTGTGCCACCATACCCCTTCTTACCCATGGTGCAACCTTTTTTACCGCTTCCTCCTCGATAATTCTCCGGATACCCTACAGAACAGAGGCAGCGATGATCCAGTCGGTGTCAATCCAGTTTGCGGTATTCCAAGGGTAGGCACCGATGGCAGCATCAGCAACATTGCACAAGTCGTTGTATGTGCGCTCAGCATGGTCTTCGTCGCCTTGCTCATTTTCCTCACCGACCGTCGCAAAGCCGCAGTCGGCCGAGTCGAGCTTCGCTTCCTGCTCTTTCTCTATTTTCTCACTCTACCCTTCTCAATGTTGACCCAAGGTTCCCTGCTCGAGCAGGGCACGACCGCGCTGGTCGTACTCACAGCCATCCATGCAGGGCTTGTCGCTGCCCTATTCGCTGCCCTCCTTGCCAACGCCATCGTCGCAACGCAGGTCGTCGAGGACGGCACCATGGCGTCCATCATGCCCTTCACCATCCTCACACTGGCATTTTTCGTAGCTACCCTCTATATATCCCTCGATGTCGCTCTCACCTTCTCCAACGCACTCAAGCCATCCGACCCACCGGCATCCTTACATTCTATACCTCTATTTGTCTTCACCACCATATGGCCCGGAGTATGTGCTGTTATCTTCTTTGCCTTGATGGCGTACATTGTACTTGCCGTGCTCAATGAGACACGTCCCATGTGGTTCTACATCCTCGCCGCAGTCCTCTTCGTGCTTTCCCAGCTTGCGTGGTTTTTGTTGGGGAGAGTTATTTGCAGTGGGAGCAACGCCAAGGTCGACGGCAGCTTCATCGCTACGCTCCTTGAGACCGCTTGTATAGGTGTTCTCTATCTGGCGTGGAGAAGTATAACCGAAGGTGCGTCCCTCTGGTGCTCTATGTAATTCGCATTCTCATTCCGACCCAGAATCGTGGGACGATGGCACGTATTACCCGTCATGATTTTCGGCACCGTCACTTCCCTTGACTGTATTCCTATCCCATCGTTGCTGTCGATATCACGCTTTTGAAAAGGGCGCGTACCGTCCATGTACAATCGGTTCTGTGCTTGGAAGCATGTACTTATTTACATATATGCCCTAGGTGTACTTACATCCGTGCATACGTACTACAAGACACAGTGGCTGCTTTGTATGCACCTTGTACGCACCTACTCGAATCCTTTGATGTATATAAGTTCCGTAATAACGACTTGCAGACTATTTATACCACTCGTACATGACCCTTCTCGTCGTTTTCCTCCATGTTTCTGTAGCGTTTTCCATCTCTCACATCGGATGACAGTTGCCTAGCGCGGGAATATGATGCATATACTAGAAATTCATGAACAGTAGCCGGAAGGACAGACCGTCACGCCAGCGTGGCCGGCCGCTCACTAACAATGGAACGATATCATCATGACTCTTTTCGTCTTTTAACAGGATGCTCATGCTTCTCTGAATACTCGGAGATTGTGCGTTTAGTGCTTGACTTCGCCCGACCCTCCACTCTGGATTTCATGCATCCAGATTCTTTGTCGCCCAATTTTCGACCCATCTGCACGAGCGCATTATAAAGTCCTTCATTGAAGCCGACATGTTGCAGACCAACACATTCTACTTTGAGAATGTTGGATTTCCAAAGATCCACAACTGCTTCGAAGCTATCTTGATACAGTTTATATGAAGCCCCTTGGTCAGAAACTGTGGTGCGGGCGAGTGCCTCCAGATCCTTGAGAAAATTTGCTCAAATGTTAAGATTTTATGATTCGCAAAGCACACACCAGTCCAGATAGGTCCGAACAGCCGCCGGGAATCATCCCGTGGCTCAGAGGCAAACACTTGTACGTCCCATCGTAATAAGCAGTATCGTGATTGACAACGAACAACTCTCTGGTTGCCCCATACATATCCTTCATTGGATGGGCAATCCATTTTGCTTCAATGTCGTTAAGCTGGAGTGTATGACATGGTCCAAACAGCAATGCATGCCCTCCAGGCTTCCCACACCACAAGAATGGGTCTGAAAATTGAAGGCAGATTGACTCGTCGGTGGAAGCGAAGCTAATGAATGTTGAAGTTAGCTACTGGTGCGAGCAGTCTGATGCCCAGATTCTGGAACTGACCTTTGAATCTTGGGATTCTGATGTACAGAAGGCATCAGTTGTCAATGTAACAGATGTGCAAAGAGAATGACAACATACAGAGCTCAGGAACTTGCGGAAGTTGGCGATGGTAAAGCTATGTCTTGCAATTGGACCTACTTGGAGCTGAGATCTATCGAAGGGATATTTTTCCATGGCATCCCTCAACATTTTTCGCTCGTCCTAAAATTGAAATGTCAGAGGAGCTCTGGAAGCATATCGACGTATAGGTGCCCTACATGCAAATGAATAGCCTGAACAGTTGCTTAGTCAATTCACCGTATTGAAAGAAAGCGCCTCACCTTTCTCGATTCGAAATCCTTTTTGATTTTCTCCAATAAAATCTCAAGCTCTCTATGCCGTTTCGATAGTGCTGCTCCCTCGCCAGTCACTTCAGCCAATTGCGTCGTCAATGTGTCACATTGCTACGACAGATTTTCAGCACTGCTGTAATTGACAGAAAAAGTCACGCACTTGGCGAGCTTGACGTCGCTTTGCCTTTTCCTTCCGGTATTTTTCTTTGATTTGTTCGTATTGACTCGTCCAGTGAGCCATATGATAGCCTTGTACCTCTTCCGTTTCAACATTGTTTTCAAGTTCGACTTCCTCGCGCTTTGGAATGATTTCCTGTATACATTCAGTACTGGCTGTCTGCCAGACAAATGTGTAGCGATCCTTACAGCTGGTTCAACCTTGACGGCGGTCTTACAGTCTCGGACCGCGGCAAGTTCACAATTCAGTTCTATATTCTCCTTCTTGAGCCTCTCAACGCTCTCCGTCAATATCCTTTTAGATTTCTCCAATTCCTTCACTTTTTTCTACGGTCCTAAGTCAACAAAAGACTTGATCAACCAAGGTCGTACCCTACCTCAGACTGCTTTAACTGTTGTTGGGAGTCTTTTAATGACCTTGCCAGTGAATTGACGATTTCTGGCCCGACTTCGATATCATATGAATGTTTTTCCATGGCGAAAGAAAAAATGACAGGTTAACATGGACCCACAAATCTGGAAATGAACTAGCACGTGCCATGCTACGTCTATTGGTACTCTCCAGTGGGTGATTGCTTGCATGTTTATTAGCAGTGATTCCAAAGTGGTCATTCTGTTTCTAACTTCTCCGAAAGATGCGCTTGCGACCCACAGAAAGTGCTCGAGTTTGGGTACTAAAGCATTGCAACATTTGGAGCGTTGACAATAGAATGCTGAATGTGCATTCGTGTAGACTGCGTTCGAGTCTACACACTTGTTGCGGTAAAAATTAGAAATAATGGAATCTGTGAGACAATTCACCACATGTTGATGCAGCTGGTAACTTGTAGTTGCACTCGATGGACAGAACCAATGTACAGGATTGCGGTAACAGGCATTGCAGGGGGTAAGGTATACCCTGGTGGGGCAAGAACAAGGGTGCGCTGAGCGTAAAGTTTTTGTAAAAGTCTGCGAAGAGATAATCTCCATAATGCAGGAAACGTGACAGAGGTGCTATCTATAATGCAGCGGGAACACTGCCTAACGCCTGCTGGAACACGAGTTCGCTTTGGCACTCGATATCGATGCGGCACTCGGGATGGCAACACACCTCGAAACCCTTTTCACTATCCAAGGTTCGTATATCCGATGATTTGCCTGGACAAGGTCAGAAACAGGTTCAGAGTTGTTCGTTTCCGCCAAGCAGGCTCCAACTGGAACACAAATGCTTTAGAACGTTAGAGCAGCGAGAATCTACAAGAACCAAGGTTTTATCATTGATCCAGAAGTCCTGCATTTGAGATTAGAAATAGCAGCAGTTCCGCTAGTCCCGCCAAGAAAACTGACGGTCGCGATAGTAGGCCCCCTTCCTACCCCCCCTGCAGTGGCTGCCAGAAGAAAAAGGTTACCCCAAGTCTTTTATGTAAGGAAATTCCGAAAAATATAGAGGTGCATAGCAAGCATGTCGACTCGGAGGAAGACGGCCAAAGTCGTACCAGATAGATCAGTTATGATGCATTGATGGTCGCATAGTGAAGAAAAGAAGAATCCTGCGAAACCAGCAGCAGACGGCCTTGTTCCATTATCGGTGACTGTCTCCAATATTTGTTGCGTACTGCAACATTAGACTCGGACATTTAGAGCAGTTGAAACGGACAGACGTCATGCGTAGCATAGAAAGCGATGATACTTATTGCCACGCTTCTGCATCACCCGTTGCAGTGCAAAAGGATCGCTGTTGCTGCGAAGGGCTATGCAGCGCAGTGTGAACTTCGGCATGTGTGACACTTGTGACATCGCTGTTTCGCTATCTTCAACGTTCTGAACCAGCGCCACTGTATTCCCTTCTCCAGGCCTCCAATTTTCTTTTCTTTTTTCCTATACTAGACGTCAAGCATATCTGCCATCTTACATCAACTCCCAATGAAGCCGTCTCACTCGCTTCTGCTTTCCTGTCTCCTGACCATTGCGCTGGCTCAGGCCTCCAGCGCTTGGGAAAGACCGCATCTGGTTCGTCAGGCAACCACCAGCGGTCAAGGGACAGAAGCAACAACGACAACAGTGGCGACTGGTACAACAACGACCGGAGGACAGCAGACCACCACAACGCAACAGCAGCAGACAACAACTTCCCCCACTACCACCACCCAACAGACGACGACACAAGAACAGACAACAACGACCCAGCAGACGACGACGTCGACAACCAATCAGCAGCAGACAACGACAACGACGTCGGAAAATACTAGCACCACTGGAACCACTACCGCCCAAGCGACTACGACCAACCAACAAACCACCACTCAAAACAATGCCCAGTCCACGCAGACTGCCGAGGTTCAGACAACCGAGTCTGTATCCACTAATAATGCTGGTGAAGCAGTTACAATAACGATTACCAGTACCAACACCAAAGGTAGTCAAAGCGAGACGGCCTCTTCCAGTAGTGCGTCCAGCAGCAGCAGCGGCAGCAGCAGCAGCACTAGTTCTAGTAGCAGCTCTGGAGTTAGCACTGGGACAATTATTGGTCTGTCTGTTGCGGGTGGGGTGGCGCTCTTGGGCATCATAGGCTTCATTGCGTGGAAGTTGACGAGAAAACGGTTCTCCGACTTTGACGATAGTACGTCTACCATTTCCTTCATTTGTTCGTTAAACTTATATCTCCTCCAGGCGAGGCTATCAAATGGCCAGAGCTTAATGCTCACGGCTCCGATGGTGGTGATTCGCATCCTCTCCCTGTTCACAGCACCGGTCGAGCTGGCTTCGACACCGGTTCTGAAGTTTCCTTGTCTCGTGCCCCTTCCACCTCCACCAATAACTTCTCTACACCAGATCTTACTCACAATGATCCCTATGCCGTACCTCCTCTCCCTCACTTGAATCCCAATCAACCCATCCCGTACCGTGATGATCCAAATGCCAACGCATACTATGACCCATATCGTGGGCCTGTGCCAAATACATTCAATGATGCACCCCCTGGGTCTGAATGGTCGCAAGGCGAGGCCATTCCCATGACGCAGATGACCGGTGCTGGCAGAATGAGTCCAGGGCCTGGGTTGGCCTACGCGGACACTGGTCGAGCATCTCCTACGCTTGCAGGACGTGCTAGTCCGGGTCCATCGGCAGCGCTGCGCACCAAGTCTCCTGCACCAACGTACGGAAGGGCATCTCCAGGTCCCCAAGCCGCTTTTGATCCTTATGCTGCCCGGTAGTGGGCCCTTTTTCATGTTGCGGGAAACGAATGATACGACTATAGATGACTTAATTCCAGCATAGGATAGGGCGGAATTGAGCTTGGATGAGGCCGACACATTCAGTGGGAGGATTTATTTATGTTCTGCCTTGCTTTGGACTGAGCATTCCATTACATAGTGTCTTGTTTTCCCTCACCACTTACCATACCCAAACATCTCCCAGATTGCATTTTTCACGCTTATACACACAATCATCACCTCCCATCGTTTGCATACAAAAGGTTGCCGTATACCTATCATATCCTTTTTCAGACCTATTCGTGCTGGTACTGATAGTTCATCTGGACGAAGGTGGTAGAGTTACCCTCTGTTCCTTTATATCATCTTATCATCTTATCTCGTTTTCCGCGTTTTGCATCTAATATTTCTTGTCTCGATTTCCCGCTTACGCATGTACGAATACGGACCAAATGTGACGCAACGACTAGGAAACATTTTGTTTGTCTGCTTCATTTGTTTCCTGTCGACGCTAGCTCGTTGATTCCTCAAGTACCGCGTGGTGCGCCGTCTGTCGTACCGAAGCTTCTGTTCTAGTCGAACCAGACTCTTCCACAGCGAATATTATGTTTCCTCTACTCGTCGACTGGTTAAAGGTCTGAGTCAAATTTTTATCTCCAACTGTCGCGCAAGTAGGATTTATTCACTTGGCCTGGGAATCATAACGTGGTATTGACTTGCTGGCGGGCAGGGTTGCTCCTTGATTCTTACCATCTATCATCTAGTATGCCGCGTCTTATACAGATTATTTCTTCAGCTATCCTCCATCTCTATGCCTACATCCGACGATTTTTCTCGTACCTATCTACTGCACTGCAGTCACCAACGACTCTAGCTCACCCAAATGTCACGTCTTTTCTCTATGGCTCCAGCGTGAGTCTCAACGACCTCAAATGGGGACTTCACAAGACCCTTGGCTGACTATGTGTTCGCCTGTTTTGATCTCTTTGCAAAGGCGGCTTCTTATTCTGTGCAGATTCACAGCAAGAACGTCACCAAATCGTCATGGACATACCCCCGCTCCGATTCTGAAGTTGGCAGGGATCTTTGCAATGTATGTCACCCACCTAGCGACACCGAAGACGAAACATACGTGTCTCAGTTCGTCAATCGTGACTCTCTAGGCAGCTTCAGAAGCAGTAACAACACACTACGACGCAAAAGCTATTCCCTATTCCATGTCTCTCCTCCAGAACCTCGCCTGCATCAAAGGAAACAGAGTTCTACAGTCTGGTTCAAAAAGCCAGTCATCAGTGCCGATTACAAAAACTTTTCCGACTATGATGATGGTGACGATGCAAACGCGGTAGCACGGGTTCGCCGGGCTATCGAAGAATGTGCAGAAGAAGATGTGAGAGCTATCTTTGATAGGCGGTCTGCTTGGGATATTATCAAGTCTGTTATCATCGACGAGGATGTCATCTTGAAGATTCGTTCAGCATGTATTCTAGCTGTATGCCTTCGACACCCTTACCACCACACCGAAGTGAATGTATCGCCCGAGATTCAGGTATCTCAGAGCTCCCCCACGTCAATCAAGATCATGCCATGGCTTCTTCTGTCAGCACCTTCGTCACTGGATTTCCTACGTACAAGTCTCTCGACAAAGTCTTAGCAGCACTGGCTCATTGTCCTGTGGTACTGGATGACGGAAAAGCAATTCCTCACACAAATCTCTCAGGCGACTTAAGAGTCGACTAGAAGTGACATGACCTGGTCGGATCTCTTGTCACTGGAGGCGTATGATGGATAAGAAGTCGTCTAAGGGTCGTCATCTATTACAACTTTCTGCTATTTATCATATTGATGGAATGTATATTGAACTGGAGAGATATTCAATTATAATGCCTAGAAATACAAGTGTTGGACGACTTGACGTATACTAAAGTCCACGACTGCATAACAAAAAACGATAAACAGCGAACTGATCCCAAAAGCTACAAATAATAACACCTAGTGTACGAACAGTAATAATGATACACCACACCCGAGCTTGTCGAACTCATACATGGGCTCTCTTGGACACGCGGGAGCGATCATCTTCAGGTGACTGTAGCCGCTTATTCCACCCCCACGCGTTGTTGTATCCGCTCATCGAATACTGCGGCTGGATGAAGTACACTTCAATATTTGGCTGCCGGTCGTTAGTCGGTGCGTTTGTGCGGAATCTCGGAGGAAGTCGAAGAGGGTCCCTACTCGTCGACGGACTGACTGGATTAGAATGGACAAGCGACTCAATTGTCATAGCCGAAGACGACCCGTTATTCGATGCCAAGGGTTGAGATTTCTTCTTGTACTAAAGTGTCATGATAAGTGGATCAATGCTCCGATTGGCGGAATATATACTCACAGTCTCTAACTCTGGCTTGCCTCTCCATTTGGCGATGGCTTCGCAGAACCTGACCGCTGCACGCTCAACTGGTTCCGCAGGATACTGCCATGCAAGATCTTCCATGTGCGTAGACAAATCTGGTGTCGACGCGGGGATATCATAGAACTGGGCGGAAGATGGCATGAGTGCAGGGTAGATTGTTGTGAATAAAGATCACTTACCCTTCGTAGTCGTTCATCCATTTCCATCTCAAATTCTTGTTCCTCTGCGCCTTTTCTCAGTGGCGCGCCCTGCCGAAGTCCAGGAAAGAGTACCCGCGCCGCCTCGGACAGGCTCGGCATTTCGTCCGGGTTAAATTCCTGCCATGCTTGATCAGGCTCTGCCTCTCTGCCAGGCACAGGCTCAATGATACCAAGGCCGACAGTCAACAAACACTCCACGGCATGAGAACCTCTCCACCCAGCCGTCAAGTACCCCTCTAACACCGCCCTAGTCAGTAAGCCAGCAAGAAGCATGTACCATTGTCTCGACGGGCGAAGGGCCACACCATATAACCGATTTTGGGCGTCAGCAATGGCCCGAGAAGTCGACGTATGGGCCGGTGATGGCAAGGGAGATAATTCTCCATACATCCTCCCATTTTCATGGCTACGTTCCCCTGCGGACATGTAACCACCCCCATCTCCATCCTTTGATCGCGGCGATTCGAAACCAGCCTCTTCTCTCTTCTCTCGTCCCAATTCTGCTGCTGCTAAAGCGGACAGCCTTAAGAACCTGGGAATCAGATCAGACAACTTGGTGTTCCCCGACCCTGTACCTATACCTGACCCCATGACTTCGTCAGCCAGGTTGTTTCGCCTCAAAACGCTCCCCCCTGCTGCTGTTCTCGCGAGCCCAGACCCAATGCCGCTACCGTCTTTCCATCCTGTTATTCCACCTCCATCAGGGCTCATACCTGCTGTCGTGCCTTTCCACGTAGGCGCGGGACCCATCCTTGTCGTCCGCTCACCTACACCCGGTACGCCAGTTGAATTTGAACGTCCACGTCCACTGGCTACGCGCATAGAGGATTTGGCTCCAACACATATTTCGCAACCTGTATGGAGATGTCTAGGACACCGGAATGCCGGAGGGGAATTGGCAGTACTGGGATCTGCACCTTCTAGGTACAAGGCGTGAATACGGCCTGTTGGTTTTATAGGGGTTTTGGGCTGGATAAATACAGGTGAGTGATACGCCATATAGGGACGATACCCGGATGACTTACAGGATAATTGCACTGATTGTACCCCGGAACGAGTGGCGAGTAGGCAGAGACGGAAGAGACGGTAGTTAGGGCGGGTGGCAGATGGGACGGTGTGGGCAGGTAGGTAGGGTCGACCGACGAAATATCGGAAGGAGTAAGGCTCACAGCTGGTGAGTTTGGCTGATGGGAGCGCTGATGGCGGAAGGGCGGTGGGGGAGCATGCCGGGCAAAAAGGTCGTTGATCATTACGCCAAGAGCCAACCGGAGACGGACACCGTTAGGCAAAGTATGAGGGTGGGAGCCTGTACGTTGATTGGATGGATGGATTTGTGGTGATGTCGGCGGCGTCAAGATATCTTCATCTGGTATGGGCAGCAGCGGCGGTGGCTGCTCAAGCATGGACAGGACAACCTTCTCAAGGTCTTCTGCTCGCAGGCGGAGGCTTCGAGCAAGACCTAGATCCTGGGTGCGCAGCTGTTCTTCTTCGACGTCGCTGAGAGGATCATGGTGGCGACCAGCGGCTCTAGTCTTGAGCATAACGACATCTTCGCCATCGCTGCCCAGTTCCTCTTCCTCCTCAAAGTTTTCTGGCCGGCGACGATGGATGTAATTCGTGGATCGGGGTCCGCCGGTGCGATCCGTCATACCTAGTTCTGCTCGAGCCTGAGCAAACCGTGTTCGACCTACATAGAATGTTAATTGGATTCTTTCGAATAATTGGCGTATTGGCGCACCATGAACCCATAGCATATGATCAATAATGAGCGTCCGTGTACTCTTTTCCCGAGGCGGTATAGAATGCAGATGATGTGCATGCTTGTGAGCCGGAGCTTTGAATGCAGTATTGGGGACCGTGTTCACCCGGGCACCGTTAGACACTGGCAGAGACGATGCTTGGAAGTTGTTGGCGGATGATGAAAGCGACGAAACGGCTTGAGCGATGCTGTACGAAGCGAGTTGAGGATTGCTGCCATTGGCCGCTGCTAGGATTGCATACGCCGGTCCAGGAACTGGGTGAATTGCCATCGTAGGGTCTTCCTGGACCAGAATTTTTCACGCTGCCGTTGATGCGAACGACGAATTCGACGTGGTGGCGAGAACGACTGGGTATTGAAGGTATATGGGAGTAGCAAGAATTCAGATTCCGAGTTTCCCCTTCTAACGTCAGTTTGTTTGTGGCTCCTTGCCGGATTTGCAGGCAATCGTCACCGGCTGCCTTTTGCGATCTCCACTGCCGCTACCACCAACGACGTTTTCAGTCCCTTCTGTTGCTTTTTGCGCCTACAGTCCTCGTCTTATTGCCTCAATACGCAGGACGCCGGTGCAACACGGGAGACGGTATAATCCAACCAATTTGTCTGATTGCCAATCCAGCTACATAATTACCTTGACAGGGTTTTCTTTGGATATTCTATACGTCATATACATCTTACAATTGAGCGGCTACCTATTCAATTTTCCTTCTCCTTCTCAAGGGTGGCAGTTATCTCTTTACCAGGCGACGGGAACAACACGCTATTCGCTGGCAGCAACCGTGCATTGGGATTCAATTCCAATCCAAATCCAGGCTTATCCAGTACCGACACATGCAGTTTTCCTCCGTGCGGCACAGGCTCATTCAAGAACAGGTCGCCGAACACTGGTTGCACTGATTTCCCATCGGGCGAGTTTGCCAGGTACTCTTGGAAGGGGCAGTTCGGTTGCGAAACGACGAAATGGTAGCTGTAGGGGCCGCTGGCGTGGGGCACAACAGGGATATCGTACGCCGCCGCCTGAGCAGCGATCTTCACTAACTCAGTCATTCCTCCAACCCACATCACGTCAGGTTGGAGAATGTCGATGTTACGGCCCTCGATAAGCTTGCGGAACCCGTACTTGGTGTACTCGTGCTAGCATTTCGAGTTCAGCAAGCAGACAATGGCAGCAGAACGGTGCATACCTCTCCTGTGGTAAACTTAAGTCGCGGCAGCGCAGATTTTAACCTTGCGAAGCCATCAAAGTCATCAGGATGTAAGACCTCTTCCCACCAGTTGATGTTCAGATCCAAGCATGCCGTCGCCAGCTCGATGGTGTACTGAACATTCAGCGCCATCCAACAGTCGACCATGATAGGATAGTCAGGCCCGACGCTCTCCCTATGTTTCCTCAAAAACTCGACGTTTTTCTTCAACCCCGCATGCCCCTCATCAGGACCATACGGCAACGGAACTTTCGAGCCCCAGAATCCCATCGCCTCCGCCGCAGTCGGCTCCGGGCCAGTGATATAAAATGATATTTCATCTTTGATCGAACCACCAATCATCTTGTACACAGGCTCCCCGCGAATTTTCCCGAGCAAATCCCATATAGCCAGGTCGATGACGGATATAACAGCAATGGGGAGCCCCTTTCGCCCATAGAACATCGTCGAACGGAACATCTGGTCCCAGAGGCGGTTCGTATTTCTTGGGTCTGCCCCGATAAGGAACCGTTCGAGGTGCTGCGAGACAATCCAGCAAGCGGGTGGTCCGCCGAACCCAGTGGCGAACCCGGTTGTGCCGTCGCTGGCCTCTATTTCGACACAGAACGAGCCGAGGACGTTGATGCCCCAGGTTATACGAGAGCTACGATATTCCTCGTACTTGGACATGGGCGTGGCAATCGGATTATCAATAAGCCTGCATTATACAGCTTCGTCAGTTATACTCCCAGGGGAAGGACTTGCCGCACCAATGACCACGGGCAACATTGTGGTAGTCACCGCCGGAACCTACACCGCCTACGACGAAAGTTCGGACGGCTTTGATTGTGGGGAACGTCTTGACGGATGACATAGTGGAATGTATGCAGGATTTCTACGCAGTTGGAAACGCAAAGTCTGTCTATCCCTACGCTTTAAAGGCATTCCTGATGAGCAGGTGAGCGATCCGGTCCGGAAAATCGGGCCGGAAACCCGATACTGCCTAGGATGGGGCGTTTCCGAGGAAGGACCACTAACCGCACCGCTTTCGAATGTCGGCCGTATCCCACAGAAGAGGAATTTAACGCGAGTTGGGTGCTGGGGTGTTACGTTTTTCTCAAGGTATACTCTCGAAGATGTAGCCATTTGATCCTATCGATTCACAAAACACTGTATTGCGTGAGTAAGAAGAAACCAAATTTGATGGTATAATTTGTACTGAAAAGATGTGTACTACTATCGTATATATGATTTAAGGTAGATAGATGGGCGCAAAAATATAGAAAAATCGCAAGTCACAGGGATTCTTCCTTGCTTGACCATACGTAATCAGCGCGATGGTGGCGCCGGGTGCAGTCCTTGTGTGAGTTTCTGTGATGGCGGCAGAGAGACACTTCCTGTGCATAATCCTCACGGCAGCCCGAGTCTCTGTGAGGGCACAATAGTCTCATCCCTCGGTGACCCATCAAATGATCTATGATGGCAGTTTAGATCATAATCGATAAAGTGTGAGGAATCAAAACGCACCCTTGAAATTGTGGGAAGCTGTGTAAGTCTTCGTGCATCCGTCAACCTGGCACTTGTACTTTCGTTCGCGTATACGTTTAGCCTCACTGCCGTTGGTCGCGTGTTGCCTCTTTGCTGTATCGATCTTCTTTTGATGTTGAGCAACAACGGAGCGCTCGGGGAGATTTCGAAGATTGCGTTTGGCGTTCGCAGGAAGGGCACAATGTTTCCCAGCTAGAGAATCCAACCTTCCGCCGATGTCTTGTTCCTCGTCGGGAAGACTGGATACGCTAGTGGTAGGGCTGGGACTGAGTGCCACAGTTTCGGTTGCGGCGGCAGGCGACAACAGGCAAAGATGATCGTAATCCGCTGAAAGGGAGTTCTGAAAGTTGCTGGCAGTCGGTAGAGAATAGCTATGAGGTGGGATAATGGAAGAGGTCGAAGATGAGGACCGTGGATGGTCCGAGATACGAAGAAACTGGAAAGAATTTCCAAGCAAAGTACTTTCTTGGAACTGGACCGGCGAATAGTTCGGCAAAGGATATAGCGTATCCTCTGGAGTGAGAAGAGGAATGCTGGGAGATACGGGCGAGAGCGAATTCGAGGGCGTTAAGTAGGAACCATAAGTATAAGGGCTGGTGCCTGCGTTGGGAAAAATATAACTATGATATTCCATTTAAAAATTGTGCATTCACCTACCACCATTGAATAACATTCCCTCGTCGCCGGCTGAGCTGGTGAGATACTGGGAAGCATCTGGAAGATATTGTAAGCGACATAACAAGATTCAACGAAAGCTCACAAACCATGACCAAAATCATAGCCTCTTGTTATTCCTTGGTCCCAAATGTTAGGGGATATTTCAGGAAAACCATGAAGGCTATCGAAATATCAGCGCTTCGGCGCTAATGATGGCGCGGTCGATATACTCACCTTTCGAGGGGAGACTCGTCGAATGCGCCTTGCTCTTCAGAAGGACTGTAGATATGGATTTCTGGGAGATAGACGTAGCTCATTGTGAGGAATTTGTGAGATGGAGGAGGTCGAATTAAGATTAAAAGGATAAAGGGCACCGGAAGCCGGGTAAGGATGTGACTCGAGCAGATTCCGGTTTCCGGAAAGCATCTGATGGATAAGAGCGCCTCGCGTTAATCGCATGCAGGTACATGTACGTGATATGTCGCACTGCTCTAGCGCTTATTCGATGCAAGAAGGCATGCTCGTTTTGATGAGCCAAATTGAAAGGCAAGGAATTTGCATTTGGGGACTGATCTACCGGACTTGATCGTTCGATTAGCATGGCTTGGTAAGGAATCTCAGACAGTATTATTCTCCAAGTAAGCCACATTCAGAGTTATATTGAAAGAGGCTAATGTTATGTGTATCGCGCCCTCGGTTCCGCCTGTCAGTAAGTGTATGAGTTTAAATCTATCCGGTAATGTCATGTCCCTCCAGCCTTCGTGTCCCGAGGATGAAGAACTGGACAAGTCTTCTTGGCATGACGATCGTAAGACGTTCTGTGGCTCAGTTCTACATTGCACGCATTACATCGGAATTTGATGCCATCATGCTTTGACTCTTGGTGTCCTATATAGCATTAAAAAATCAGTAGGATTATAATCGTCAGGTTGTCAAAGCCGCCCACCTTGAAGCCTATGCTTTGTGGTGAAATCGTCACCACAAACTTTGCATACATATTTTCCTGGGCCTTGCATCTTCCTTCGTTGCCTGCTGGCTTCCATGTCTTTTTTCGAGCGTGATTTACCCATCTGTGGGTGGCTCTTTGATGATGATGTCCCGTCTACCGGTAGGAGAGGACAGTTCAGAGAGATGGGGGAAGGCGTCGGGGTCAGCCAAAAAGGCAGGCCATCCGTCACCTGCGTCTGTCCTGAAATCAACGGAGTGGTGTTACCATACGACGAAGGACCATCGGTGAAAATTGGCGACCTAGAATCTGAGCTGCTCCCTTGGATTAGCTCCGGCGTCGCAAAGATATTAGTTGTCTCGATTTCTAAAGACATTTTCCTAGCACTGTGTGAGATCTGCTGCTCGTAACGACTGTTGAGCGAGGGGGCAGAGGGGCGTCGCCGAAGATCACTTAGGAACTCGACTGAGGAAATCGGGATTCCTGCGGACGAGTCTGACTTTCTCCTGCCAGTGAAAGCACGAGTTGAGGGAAGTTCAAGGAAGTTGCCTGACTGTGGTGATGAAGTCGACAGTTCACCACAACTGCTATTGGAGTCACAATCGCTGACAGCTGTAACGTTGAAAATCAATGCTCGATCCAGTGCCAGAAACTATGTCAGACGTACTCAGGCTGACACTCAGTCCTCCGACTGTAGAGCAAGGAGCGGAGCTGGTAAGGATAACATCATAGTCAAAGGCTAACAAAGGGCATCAATAGACCTCAAAACTACCGGGATCTTGAAAAAGGTGACTTACTTTGACCCAGCCATGTCTCCTCTGAAGTGTTATGAGTGTCTAGGAACAATGGGTATAAGTAAAAAAAAAAATAATTGATTTTATATGAACAACAAACCAGCGATATAAGGGAAATGAACTAGAGAATCGTCGGCGAAGGCTTCCTGAGGTTTAGCGACGGAAAAAGTATACTCGTCGCGTGGGCCGTCAAGCGGGGTCCTAGAGCGATGCGCTTAATGATTTTCACGCAGTGTCGATGATAGAAGAACCTACAAATCCTCAAACGAAGATTGGAGCATGCTCGCGTCGACTCCAAAACGTTGTTCATCCATGAATAATCGGTGCTGGAGGATTGGAAGGAGGGGCGGAAAATAGTTGGGCTTTGAATTAGTCTCCACTGCTTTATAGGTATTCTGAATGGCCACCCTCGGATAGAATCAACAGCAGGAAGGCAGTGATAATTCCACCAAAGAAGTTCGTCCAACAGCTGAGCTGGCTGTGACTCTGGGATAGGGCACTTGCTGGTCATGGTGTACATACTATTCCTGTCAAGGCTGTGCTAAGAGTAAACCGTATTTAAGGAAGCGCCCATCGATTCCGGCATTGACGCTATTTGGTCAACTACATTCAAGTTGCACAACCCTGACGGACCTTGCATCAGATAAAGACGCCAAAGCTGTAGAGGGGCTCTGGGAATATTAAACGAAAAGAACAAATCGCTAAGTCAGCGGGGAGAAGGAGGCTCAACTTTTTTTTGAGGCACAGAACGCTTGTGGCTCGACTCTTTCGCCGCCGCGTCCTCCAGCACCATCCCCCTCTTCTCTGATGCTTATATTTCTTCAGAAACGCCCTCGGCTCATCTCTCGTCCTTAGAAAGGTTTCTTCATCGCATGATCCTCATGATCTTGTTTTTTTTTCTAACTTTGCAACCCTACCACAGAAGTTTCGAGCCCGCCTAGGTACAAATCTTCTTGAGGCACGCCTGCATGCACAATGCATTCAAGATTATTCAAATGACAGGTAGCGAGTGAAAACGAAAAAAAAAAAAAACAATAAGTAATACAAAGATCAGCTACAAAGATACTTGAGGATTATGATCGTTTAGTATGCGGACGTCACAGCAAGTCTAACAAAGCACATCTAGCAGGGAAAAAGTAGAAATAATACAGGACTGATGGTTAAGGACGCGTAAAGGCAAGATGGGGATATCGTCATGAAAGGCTACGGGAAACATCATCAGTTAGGAAAACACAACTTGGAGAGAAGGTCAGACCGTCGTTTACACGGTTTACGCCTCTTAGCTTCAATGCTTCCGGAATGACATTTGACCAAATGACGACGTCGAACGTGGCTCGTCCCGAATGCTTTATTGCAACCGGGTATAGGACACTGAAAATTCCGGACTCCATAATGAGAATTGAGGTGGTCTATGAATAAGTCAGTCATGGCATCGAATCAAACGTGGAGAGAAACTTACTGTGCAAGTTATGCTTGGCCGTAAACGTCTGTTTACACTGTTCACACACATAGTTTGCTGCATTAGTCCGACGGCTCTGACTGGCCCGTGTCACAGCGTCAGATGCAACCTGTTCTCGATATGACGTTAACGATGCCGATGAAGGGTCTGTTGCAGTGTGACTGGTCTCCTGCTCCGTGCCAAATATCTCTGACGTAGCGACGAGTGCAGGAGAGACATCGACCGGATTGAGATCAAGCTGCTTCAGCGTCAGAAAATCGATCCCGTTGTCAGAATGGATACTGCGCGCCATGCTTGGTTCTCTGGATCGGAAGATATCATGGTCCAAGTCGCCCATGTTTGGCATGCTAGCCAAACTTGGGGAACGAGAATTCAGACTAGGAGTAAGGTAAACATCTGGTCGCCACAACGTACGCCCACGCGAAGAATCCGGATGAAATAGAAGAGAGGATGGGGTTTGATAAACAGTATCGGTCCCATCGCACCCATATGGCGGCGAAACCACACTCGAATCACTGTAGTCGGACAGAGCAGAACGTTGATTGCGAAATTCTTCGGGTGAGCCAAATGATGACGAAGATGAGCTCGCGGGAGTCAGCGCTGGGGATGCAGAACACGGAGACAGGATGCAAGTGTCATATGACAAGTCGGTGATCACTTGTAAAGAAGGTTGTGCTTGTCTTTGATAGTCTTGGTGTGGAGAAAGAAAGTCGTTGCATTGCGCGAGAGATGCACCCTCATTGTTCGCAAACAAGGCTGAAGAGCTAAAAACTCTTCGGTGACCCCCTGTACTGTTAATGGATGCGGACCGTTCTCTATGAGCAAAAGGAGGAAGAGCGGCGGTGAGCGCCGTCTCTGAAGATCGTCTTGAACGGAGAAGCCCCTGGGTATAAAGGGCCAAATCCTCCGCAGAAGGGAATGTGGGGTTCATCAGAGGAGGAAACGAGTCTGAACAGTCGAGAGGGCGATCAATACAGGAATGCACGCAAAAAGAAACAAAATACCGGAGAATGGGGAGGACAGGCCCAGCTGATTGTGGGTCATTTTCGGCGAGATGGAGTCATCCCCGTCTTCCAGATTGCCAAGGTGGCAGTCTACATCCTGCACGATGATCCTGCAGCCAATATCTCCAACCATGCTTGTGACGGTGATCAAGATAGGATGGAACCGATGACGAAGGGAGACACGGCGAAGGCAGATGCTAGGCGATTGGCCAAGGGAAGGGAGATGGGCAGACTAACAAGCAGTGGATGGCCCACTGATATAGATGTAGCAAGCTGTGTTTGCTGTTGAATGAGAAGGCAGTGCAGGTGCCGGAAAAAATTTCCACCAAAGAAAACAGGCGAGTCCGTGAGACTCCGGGTTCGAAGATGGAGGCGATCTGGCCAAATATGCAACTAGTGACTCCTCGCGGCACCGTAGGAGGAGCACGGCCATCCAATCCCTCGTTTTTTCTGTGGCATTTCCCGGATGCTGTGACTGATTGGCGCGCGTCAGTGTGAATCCATGAAGCTAAAGGCGAGCACCAAAGCACCTTTGAGCTTTTGCTCTACCTGTGAGGACCGTAACGGCACAATCGTTCCCCACAATTATTCTCGTACTGTTCCGGGCGCTTAGGCGATAAGCTGTTGCATAGCCTTCCACCAAACCTCGTGCAGTAGAGAAAGAGCTGTCGAAAGAGATCCGAGTAAATAACTGTAGAATGTTACTCTCCCTGCGGGAGAAGTTGAATCTGAGGCTCTGGCGGACATCGTCGTTTGAGTGCAAGAGGTACTTATTATTATGTCACCGCTCCGAGTCCATTCTCACACTCAAAAAATAAAAGTCTGTTAGATAATTCGTTGTCCGTAAAGTTGGATGCAGTTCGCTATGTATGTTCGTCAAAAAAGGTCCAGAGCATGTACCGTAAGATCATAATTATTGAGGAACAAAAGAGAGCGTCTGGCAATGCCGTCAGTAGGATCACTGATCATCTAGTAGCTGAAAGGCACATACCACCCAAGTAACTGTTCCGAACTCTTGCTCACACGCGTTGCGATCACCAGTCCCAAATGCACCTGATCATTGCATGAAATTGACGTCAAGAGATTTTATTTGATTATTCACCTTTCTGCGATGTGAGACCAATGAATGCTTCCGCGACGGACCCATCTGTATTAGCCCACTGAACCGTGATGCTTTCATCCGTGGCGCCGTAAGCAAACTATGTGTTGGGTAGGTCGTCAGCTATGACTTATGCAGTGAATTGAACGAGAAACAACTTACAATCGCAGTCTCGAAGAAGGCGACCGATTGCGACGATTGACCGAGGCTTCCTCCAAAGTTGAAATAGCTACAGAAAAGAGGCATGATGGTAAAGAATGCAAAAATTATTACCGCAGCAGACCTGAAACTGCCTTGGGAAAGGCTGTTGGATGTACTTGTCGATCCTATGATACCGGCGAAATAAGATACGCCTGTACCGCCGTTCTGTCCCTGCTTCTAAGTAGACCGTCTTGTATCGAATGAGAATATACATACGACAATAGTTATGGTAGTTGGCCCAGACTTTGCTACATCGATTTCAACCAAAAGCTTGTCATTATTGCCAGTAGACAACAGAAAGTCGCCATTTTGATTGGTCTGAATGCCAATGAATCCAGCATTCTGATTGTCAGTAGTAGTGAACTGAAGATATCCTCGAGTCCTTCACAGACAGTTAGAGCGACGCCATCGATCTGCGCCGATCACTCACATGTGCGATCCTGATAGAACGCTGGAGGGGACACCTCTCGCTAGAAATAAATATTTTAGCCAATGAGAAAGCACATAGAAACTGGCAATACTGGCGGTATCAGCACGCCTGACTGGGGCCTTCAAGGGATACCCACGCGCCAGGCGAACCGCGTTCGTCAACCCACGGGCGGCAGGCGGATCATACGGGAGATCGCTTCTCTTGGCGGAAGTCGGGCTGAACCATAGCGGACCCGGTGAGGCAAATGCAGCAGTGGATAGAGCGAGGACGTATATCAAGCCCAGCAACATATTCTTACCTGGAGGTGTAAAAGGAACGGCGAGATTTTTATATGCAACTAGCTGAACGAGTATAAATTATTGGATGACCGTAAGAAAGGGTCTGAGACATAGCGGGGAGGAGTCACCGCATAAGTATACAAAACACTTACACCAGCTCAGCCTTGCGCTGCCTTCGAGCTAACAGAACATACATGCAGTAATGTCCTTATCTCTGGCATATTTCGAGCATTAGTGGGAAACAGAGAAACAGAGGCCACCGGCAGTCCCGGTAACCTGTAATTTAGGGCAGTTAATTCAGATCCACAAAGGAGATAATTGAATGCACAGCATATATATAATCGAATTGGCCAAATATAGTAGCTGAGGGGCTTTCATTAGCGCGCAGTCGACCGTGACGCCCGAGCCACAACACCAATTCTTAGCCAGAACATAACATCTTGAATAATTATGCCATGTAGATGAATGTCTTCTAGAAACACAGTAGAAAGATGCCCATACGCGATTCCGAGAAATGCATACTGATTCCTAAGTCCGATTAAACCACTGTGCCATCTCTTGGTCAATTGAAGATGAGCTGTTTCCCTGTTGCTGCTGTGGTATCTCGAAGTGTGCGTCTAGTTAGAACTGTGTTAATGAGACCATTTCAGCACCATGAGATACAACGTACCATATTCTTCCATAAAATTGGACAGAAACCCCCCCGATAGACGCCCAGGATGGTTCGCAGCGGCCCACGACATCTCATCCGGGTACCCCTTCGGAAGGAAGGTATCTGCGGGAAAATGTTGTTGGAACCATGCCGCATAGGTGCTCCCGTCCACACCATTGCCCAAATAGTCAGTAGGTACGGAAGGTCGTCCTAGTTCATCGGTATACAAAGGAAGGTTGAAGAATTGCTGTTGGGAATTAACAGCAGCTGTTTCCGGGTCTGATGGAAGGGGTTCCGGAGTAGGATACGCCCACTCTGACACTGGCGGTGTTGAGAGCAAGGGAGGGGCAGTCAGACCGTCCTCTCCTTCTCGGTTACGCTTCAGTGAAAGGACATGTGTCTCCGGAATAGAGGCCAGGTCCGCAAGCAAGCCATGTAACATGTCACTGAGGTAGCATTAGCCCTTGTTGTGGTACGATATGGTTGACCTGCATACTTGTAACGCCCAGAAATTTGCCACCTGAAACAGCTTGGATCAGCACATAAAATAATTTTAAGTTTTGGAAAGACAGTTATCACCTTCTCTCGTGGACTCGTAAAATGTTGATACATTTATGTATATTACCAATGTCCTTATCCGGCGTCGCCGAGCTCCCATATTTGTGTCCTCGCCAAACATTAATCAGGAGTACAATAGCAGAGTAAAAAATGGTTATCTAAAGTTCATCGTGATATTACAGTACGCATCGCACAAGACAATCGACACGTACCTGTGTGCCAGCGAGCGGTCGGAAGCCTCTTTGTTGATATGTATCAACGACATGACAACAGGATCGCGCCGCATTCGCACATATAGCAAGAGAAGGAAACGATATCGGAGAGGGCTGGCAGACAGTAGATATGAACGGTCTATGCACTTGTATTTGAACCCAATAATAGACGGAATACAAGACTGTCGATTGTTTGAAGAATCTCGGATCGGGATTATGAGGATTCCACCTCACTAAGACATCAACGCTCAAAGCTCAGCACAAGTCGAGAAGAGAAAATTACAACGTACAATGGTCAGGCACTGAATCAACCCACTTGTTCAAGGCGGAATCAATGGTAACAACTACTTTGCTGTCCCACTCAAGGCCCCGCACATTGCTTGACATCGCCGACCTCTTAACAGCATACTACTGTTGTGTGAGTGTCGTTGCGACGAACATAATGATACGACAAACGCACAATGGTACGGTGCATAAAAGCAAAAATTTCCAATAACTCTAAATATTTGACCCAGAAGGTGACGGTCGAAAGTTTGCCCGCCGGTTGCTTAAAGGCTCGGCTTGGATTCGGATGCTCCCAATATTCGTCATCGCATTCTACAGGCATATCAAGGTCATAGCTAAGGGACAACGATTAGCTTACAGTGTTGATGTTTTTGCAACATGCTTACTCGTCTGATGTCGTTGCCAGTGGCCTTCCGGTTGTGACGCAGCTGATCACGCCTACACAAAAGATGACCCAAAATGCTCTTTTCAATTCTTCGTCCTCCACTGTCCACTTTGATTTATCTGGATTGCGGCGATGGGCGGCTACGGATTGGGCCATGCGGATTCCAAAGCCAGGTAGCACCCAGCTTAATTCGGGGGTGGTAGATGTATTAGCATAGAGGACCATGAGCTATATAGTGTCATCAATGTGTAGGGATGGATACTGCGTTTACTCACTGAATATATTTGCAGGTCGTATATTGACACCGGTTCGAAAAAAGAGCTTGGTATAGGTCGAACTTGCTGGTACCATTTCCATCCAGCAGAATGCTCTTGGGTTGGATCAAGAAAAACCCGGGGATCATTAGAATGGGTTGATGCTATGGCACAGACCAGCAAAACCACGCTCCCAAAGCGCCTATCATAGAGATGTAACCCTTGAGCAACATTTTTTTCAAACTTTGGCCGGTAGATAAGATGCACAAGCATATCACATTCTTCATAATAGATATCGATGAGGTCTTGCAGAAGGTCGTCGTCTGGGAATATGAGGGGCGGCAGATGTTCATCTTCATGTAAGGATTTTTGCCACTGAAAACAAGCCTTAGAAATAGTCGAAGTGATCACATTAGCCGAAACCTACTGGTTGGTCATTCCAAAATTCGGGACGCTTGGCTTCAAAAGATAACCCCTCAGAAGTACCAGTGAATTCCTTCTTAATTTCAATTGCCTTTTTCATCAACATTAGGACGCTCGATTTGCCATAATGTCGATGACGGCACCGTCTAATGGTCAGCCGCTTCAAAGAGTCGGTCAGGACGACATCTGTTTTATCATCGACCACCGTGCTTGGGTCCTCATCAGCAACGGCTGAAGCAGGAGCAGGAGACGACACGTTCGAAGCCGAGACAGAAGCGGACACTTCGCGAGCCAGAACTTGCCGGCATACAGCTAGTTCCGATTCCAATGCATGGACAGAGGTCGCTAAGTCTACCAATAACCGTTTAGCAACAGAGGGGTCCGATGGGGCTACATATGAGTCTGATAGAATGTCATTAATCTGCGCCATCGAAACAAAGCCACCAGGGGAGACCTAGAAGGTTATAAGAGTGACCACGGATGACGGTTATGTATACTAACTTGAAGGGCACTAACATTAGACCCTTCTCCCGGTTGATCAAATGGCGGACTGGCATAGTTGACAAAACTAGGGGAAGATATTATTAGCATTAGCGCTCTGTTCGGACACGTCCTCGTCAACGCACTTAAAAGTGCTCGGTTGTTTAATATCCTGTATGTACAGCAAATCAGCCACGAGCTGACTGAATTTTTAATACCTACTTTCTTCATATTCGAGGAAACGTGAGTACATTCTTCATTATAGGCAATACAGCTAGAGCAAATATTGCCAGGCATCTTAGCGCTATCACCTAAGATAGAACAGTCGGAAAGTTAGCAGATGTACGAAGCCCTGGCGTTTCGGAAATCCCACATCGTACTGTAGTATCGGAGATGAGTACATTTTGAAAGGGAGCAAAACGGCATTGAACGCGTACTCTTCTTTTGTCTACACAAGTCGCAAGCACCTCGTAGACGTCTCTTCTTGACGGCAGTCGCACCGGGAGCCTGTTCATTCATGATACAGCAAGAATAAGAGGGAAAAGCTATAGATACAGTGGCCGCGGTGAAAGGGGCGAAACTAATAAGGTCACTGGGAGTTAATTGATTGCGAACGGTCAGTTCCGGTGTTCCGAAAGGGCATAAATTCAACAAAATATCATAATTTATGTGAAAAAGTACAATTGTGCGAAAGTATATTACACAGGTCAGTAACAGAGAGCGATTCATGAAACCTCTTCCATGTCATCCTCATCGTCCTCGTCTTCGTCTTCGTCATCCTCTTCTTCCATCTTCAAGCCATCTAAAACAGGCATAGGGATGTTCTCAGCCTTGATCTGTGAATGAAGGTCAATGAAGAGCCGAGTGAGGTTTGAATAAGCACATACCCCTTCCTCCTTGTAGATATCCTTCAGCTCATAATGTCCAGTATACTCTCCGCTTTTGTGCAGAGAAGCAACCTCGAGCAATGTTTCCTTGAGGAAGGCGGTGGGCTGCTGGGTTTTGGTGCGTAGATCCCTGATGTTCCATCGAGGAGAATCTCGGAAGAGTTGAAAGATGAGATCCAGGAGTTGGTTCCTTGGCATACGAGCCATACGCTCTGCACCCTTTCCTTTGCTCTTCGACTTTGTTTTCTGTAAGAAATGGTCAGTAAATTACAGAACCGACAGAGGAACAAGGTATGTGTCGCACTACAAGGTCAGAGAACGTGGATTGTCCCAAAGTAACACCACTGCTGAGTCTGTTGATACCACCTTTGGCAAAGTTATCCTCTATCATCTTGATCTGTCTGCGTGGAGTGTTGTACAATTTGTGGCGTTCCCGCATCTGCTTGCGATAGCTCTCATTGTATCCAGGACGCAGACTGCATTCGTGTTTGACTCTGCCAGTAAGAATGGTGGTGCGTGCACGAGAGTTAGCCGGGCTTGAGTTGCCCTTGCCAGATAAATTGAAGGCGGCGTCTTTGGGTCGCTCTGCCACCACCATCTGGTTCTCCACCGAGTCATTAATCATATCTAGCTCATAACACACTGGCTCGTTTGTCGACGTTTCAGGAGAGTATTTTCTGGCGTCAACATTGGTCGGTTGGGTATCGAAATGTGGGTGTTTAGGGTTGGGCACAGAGCCCGGATGAGGGGGTAAGAAAAGAACGATACGCGGTGACTTTCCGTTTTGTCCCATTGCCTCGCTGTACACACGAATGGTTGCCAAATGCACATCCTCCTCATTCACAGCTGCCCAGCGTTCCATGAGATATTTGGGTATCTGTTCCAGTGAGCCGGACGCGAACCAGGACGGATATCAAGGAAAAGGCACCTTAACCAGCCAGACACGACCATTTCCTTGGTCCAGCATTAGCTGCTCATCAGGGTCAGGCTGCGAATCGTCCTCTTCAGCATTTTCTGCGTCGAAATGTTTCTTCTCCTCGGTGATGGCTTCGTCCATGATGGTGGTAGAAAGAGAAGACCTTGACTCGACCCAAAACGGAAGCTAACTCTTCTCCTGCTATTGTCTCACATCTGCCACTGGGCTCAATGAGTATCGCTCTCGATGCCCTCATTTTCGTCACGGCATGGGCCCATGTTATGCTGTCGCCCTATACAAAAGTCGAAGAAAGCTTCAACCTCCATGCTATTCATGATGTGCTCATGTATGGCGTTGGTCGAGCTTCGCTCCCTAAAGTGCGCCAGGAATATTCTTGAACCTTGTGCTTTGCTTAACCGTCCAAGTACGACCATTTCGTCTTCCCTGGCGCGGTACCCAGAACGTTCGTCGGTAGTGTGTTGCTGGCGTGGATGTCGAAAGCAGTGATCTATTTTGCTGAACGACTTGGTTTCGTTTCTTCAAAGTTTGACCTCCAAATAATTGGTGAATGTTTGCCTGTTATGCATTTCTTCTCAAAGCTCAGACTGCCCTAGTTCGACTCGTCCTCGCCAGTCTCAACAGCGTTGGACTTTGTTGTATTCAACGTGGCGTCTCCCGACGTTTCGGTCGGCTCACAGGACTTTTCTTCACCCTCTTCACGGTGTCACAGTTCCACTTACCATTTTGGATGGGACGAACGTTACCGAATATGCTTGCCCTGTTCCCAGGTGCGATGTGATTTCTGTTGACAACGAGCAAATTTGCTGAAATGTGCAGTGAACCTTGCAACGTATTTGATTGTTGATGGACCTCCCGCCATTCAACCATCTAACTCCAGAGTCACCACCGTTATTGCTCTCCTGACGTTTACAGCAGTCGTCTTCCGCGCTGAGATTTTTTTGCTACTTGGACCTCTCTCATTGCAATTCCTCTACCTCCGTTACATAACCTTCCCTAGACTTGTCAAAGTTGGCGTCCTTTCGGCCTTAGTATCAGTGACCTTGACCATCTTGGTGGATTCATATTTCTGGGATACGAAATACTTGTGGCCAGAGTTTTTTGGGATATATTTTAATGTTTATCAAGGAAAGAGCGCGGACTGGGGTGTGCGTGTAGGTTCTATTCAATGCTTGAGGCGTCTCATGGTCCTCAGGTCGACCCCCCTCTGACATACTTCACGAGACATCTTCCGCGGCTATTGCTCTCCGCCGTACAACTCTCGCTGCTAGGGCTTTATATCGATCATCGCATTCGCTCTCTCTTACTACCTTCCATCATATTTGTAGCTCTCATTAGTGGATTAGGCCATAAGGAATGGCGGTTCATCATCTACGTTGTGCCCACTTTCAACGTTGCTGCAGCCAGAGCGGCAAAGTGGTTGTGAGTTCTTTCTGAGAGTTGCCGTCTTTTTTCTCATCCTTCCCATACAGGGTGGGCCGTGGCAAAAAGGAGCTTTCTGGGAGGTTACTCTACGCTGGGATCTTCGGGCTCCTTTTTATGAATGTAGTAATCACCTTTGCTCACACATGCGCCTCTATAGCAAATTACCCCGGAGGTGAAGCGCTTTCCTTGTTCAATCAAAGATACCAGCGCCTTCGTTGTATGTACTTTGAAACCATAGGAAAGATGTAGTGCTCATTTTATGTGACAGCACCCCTTCATGTCCACATATCAAACCTTGCTGCTCAAACTGGGGCTTCGCTATTCCTGCAAGAACATTCACCGCCATACTTAACACCTGTGAAAGACAGATCTTGGACCTACGATAAAACAGAAAACTTGACGCTGCAGGATTTGAATGCGTCTCAATCTATCACCCATTTGATAATGGAAGTGACAGAGACAACCCCAGAGCAATGGACAGTAGTGGAAGAGGTTCAAGGATTCAATCGCTGGCGGGTTGACCATGGCATCCTTTCTGGACGAAAAGAATTGTTGAGATACCCGTGGGACATTGTTATCATGTCGAAAACGACGATGTTGTGGATTATGGAGAGAAATGATTAGTACCATTAAAGGACCTTTACCGGCGCTATGTCAGCTTTGGTCTTTCTCGATCCGAAAATCCCAGTACCAACTCTGACAATATCACCTCCAGCCTTTATGGCAGCCTCGAAGTCATTCGACATGCCCATGCTCAAGAGCAATCGTCCATCGCCCGTCTCAGCACCCCATTTTCCCTTCCATGTATCCTGAAACTCCATTAACAGAAAACTTTGCAGAATGTTTCGTGTCTCCTTCAGCCTTTCGAAGTCGGCATTATCATCACCAGAATTCAAAGACTGCTCCAGTGCACCTATCGTCATTAATCCTTGTAGTCGTAGTCGGGGACATTGGTTGACGATGAACTTGGCGAGCTGTGTGAGGTCTCCCGAAGGATTATTTTTCGATAAAGGCGCAAGACCAGACTTTGCTTCCTCTCCGGAAGTGTTAACTTGGATAAGAACATTAAGCGGGGCCGTACGATCCAAAGGTAGCGCCTTGTTTAATGCGCTCGCTGCTTTTTCTGATGTCAGTGTTTGGACCGTGTAGAGATTAGGGATCGCTAGGCACCGCTTCAGCTGAATCAGAGACCAAAAAACCTCGAAATCCTACCGGCCAGAGTTTTGGCCTTGTTGCTTTGGAGGGCACCTATAAAATGCCAGCGAATTTCGAGGGGGAGCTTGAAACAATTCTCGAGTCATGAAAGTTATTACGCCAGTCGTGGGTGCGCCTCACCTCCTTGGCCTTCTCGACCAACTCCTGGACGTAATTTTCCCCAAAGTCTAGTTGTCCGTCCTCTAAGCATGCTTGAATATCTGATGCTGGTTTGTACTTTGAGACAGCAACGAGTACAACGGGTGTAGTGGGCGAGGCGGAAGCAACGCGAGACCGAATCTCCGCCAGGGATTCTAATAGCTCTGCCTTCCGTTCTTGAGTTGCAGGCAACATTATACGGACGTTATAACGCGCTAAAAACGACGGTCCTGTTCTGCGGCTGAAGATGTTGCGCTGGACGGATCGAAGGAGCATGAAAACCAGATCCCTGTCGCCGACTGTGAAAACCGGCCCGGATGCGCCGGAGATAGTCGGACCACTCTCCTAATAGGCCCGGCTAGCCCTTTGGCTCTATAGTCTACTGCTAGGGCTACAGCAAATTTCAGATATTTGAATAATACAGCCTTTGGTCCACTTTAAGAAACGTTAGATTCTTGTCCTCTTTATTTTCGCGCTTGCAGGCTACTATGTTCATTGAAGCCACGTATCAGAATGTGATGCATGCTGATTTGATCATCAACAATACAGCCAAACACCCACAAATCTACTTTGAACTTTGAAATTAGGTCGGTGGCAGGATTCCCGACTGACCATTTCGACCTCTTCGACGCGACCGTGACCCCAAATATTCTTTAACCAGAATCATCATGGTAAGGTCTTTTCCAATTTATCAGACAACCTGCCGATATTCTGATAGGTGTACAACCAACGTCGACCGTCGCTCCCCGACATTGAAGCGACATTACAAGACATTTTCAACCACCACCCACTCGTCACCTCCACCGATGCTGGTGATTCTGCGATACCTGCAGACGCCCTTGTTGGCGTTCTCAATTCATTATCGGCTGTTCACAATGGTTTCGAGCTTATGGACAGCACAGAAATAGCCCAGCTCAACGATGTTCTCAAAGACAATCCTGGCCTGCAAGTAACTCCACCACTTTTAGTGCAGTTCTACGCGGACAAAACCAAGCAGCATGTGTCTTCTCTGTCTTCTTCGACATATGATGCGGCAGACTTGTTGGAAGGTCGGGGGCGCGCTCAAGACCGGACAGAAGGCGAAGAATTTTCCCCGTCGTCAAGTAGTGACTCCCAAAGCCGACCTTCATCTCGCGGACCACCTCTGACGCCCAAAACACAGTCAGTATTTGACACGCAGCGACGCCAGCGTTCGACTCCACTGGGTAATAATGCCCCATCGAGTTGGACCAAGCGACCGCCCGCCCCTCATCGAAGGAAAAGTGACGCTGGTAGTCGTAGCGATTCAGAAGTGAGTCCACACCCAAAGTAACTTACTGTCATTTCATTGATTCTCCTGTAGAACAGCCCAAATGCCTTTAGGCAGTCATTCTCACGGAACAGGGCCCCGTCGAATCCTACTTCTCCTTCAGCAAGCATGTCTTCAACTCAGAACAATTTCCCGCTTGTCGGATCACCTCCCTCTCGGCCCCATTCGCGTGCCCATTCAAACCCACAGTCTTTTACCAGTCCCTATCGAGATGATGATGACAGCATGCACGACACTACGTCGATATATGATTATACAGGACAGCGAATGGATGACTCATTCATCACATCCGTATCATCATTGCCTATGCCGCATTCATCGTCAGACTCTGACGAGGAAGATCATTCTGAATTGGGTTTAGTGATGGAGCGCCAAACTACGAGTTCGACCGCCTCTCTGGAGCCCTTTGAGCGTGTCGATGCCATGCAGAAGCAGATTTCAGAACTAATGAGGAGGCTAACTGAGACAGACAGGGCTTTACAGAAGAGGATTTCGGAACATGACTCCGAAGTGGAGGAGTTGTCAACAAGAATAGATGAGTTGCGTAGTGAGCTGAACGCTTCCAAGCGTGACGAGAAGGACCTGAGATCCAAGGAGGTATGTCCTTTCCTGTCATATGCATAGCATCTTGCATATCTATAACTTTGCAGCGAACATACATGAACCAGATCTCAGCGTTGGAGAACGAAATCGCAAAGCTTTCAAAGTCGCTGGAATCTTCTCGCTCATCTTATGCCAACTTACAGAAGCAGTACTCCGAACAATGCAGTGAGTTCTGCAAATTCTTCTCTTCTCCACAGAGCTCCATTGTAGTTTGTCAGGCGCCTCTGAGAAATACCGTGGTGACTTGCGTCAGCGGGAAGAGACGATCCGAAATCTCAAGGAAACTGGCTCGTTACACGAAATGGAAGCTATGAAGTGGACCAAAGAGCATGAAGCATACGAAGCTCGAATCTCTAGCCTCGAGAGTGAACTGGAACTGGCACAACAAGTCCAAGCCCAGTTAGATGAACAGAAGCAGGAGAATCTCTTGCTGAAGGAGACGATTGATCGCATGAGATTTGATATGGACGAGATGAGAAATAATGCTTCCAGCGTTATGGGTGGCTCCAGTGGGAACTCTAGCGCAGCCAATACCCTGAGCAAGAGCCTGGGTGCCGAGTTGGCAAGTAAGATCAAAGGTAGTTGGGGTCTAGAAGACAAAGAGGATGTAGAAGATGAAGGAGATAGTGCGGCGACCACCGTTGAACACGATAGCGACGGCGAAGATGTGATCCAAACAATTATAACGAGGAAGAAACGGGTACGTCTTATTGTTGTGTTCTTTCCTCGTTACATCGTATTGATTTGTCACCTACAGAAGGTCTTAAGTCGCGCGAACATGCTTGGAACAACAACTGTCGAGGAATATAAAGAATATTCTGACACCTCTGTGCAATACGATGCTACTGCTTTTATATCAACCATCGCGACACAGACAGACCTGGAACCTATCGTCCTCACGGCTTCTTCTAGCATTCAGACTGGCGAACTTCCTGCGCCACTTTCCAAACTTGAAATTGTACCAAAGGTTATCATGGATAGGGACATACAAACAGATCTCGTGGAGATCGACGGGACCTCGCGATCCCCTTCACCCGATGAAGCAATGGCTTCTTCCTCATCAACTATTATTCCTTCCACGCCCAAGCCCCTTCGTCGATCCCTTGAAATTCCTTCGGACCAGCCGCCCGCATACGACCAGCACGCGGAACATGACCGGGGTATCGCTTCTGACACTCTGAAGAAATTACACCCTGGTGCCGAGACGCCTCTGGCAGGGGTACCAGGTGGTGTTTCAAAAGATGTTGTCGACGCCTGGAACATGGTCAAGGAAGCGGTCGGGTGCAAGTGCTCGGTCATAGACACGGTCATTGAAAACTCAGATAGGATCAACAGCTCTCAACCACCAAAGGACGCTAAACGCCGGAGAAACCGTTTCTACAACATTATGTATGTGGTCCGCGATGGTTCTCCGCCCCTTCCGAATGGTGTGGTCACCCAGGCTGCTATGGTTTTCGGTGCTTCGGCACTAGTCCTCCTTGCTCTCGGCCCGTACATGGTCCCTCCCTATTCAGTTCCTGGCGGTCCGACCTACTATGACCGTACTGCTTGGAATAGTTTTAACACGATGCAGGCGGCCGGAGAAGGTTTTTCTCCTGATGGCACAGCAGCTGTATGGCACTTCTTGGGTCGTGTAGGTGGCGGCGCCGCGCGAATGGCAAGAGGCTGGCCGACATGAATATAATGAACGTAATGGTTTTTTTGTTCGCTTGTATGGTACTAATTGTTTGTGCATCCTTTTTATGACTGGATTTATGATTCACACACACTCATTTCTATATCTGCTGCTGTCTTAAGATACCACCTCGCTTACTCTATTGCTTTCCCTTATTGACCCAAAATGCTTAATGTACTGATGCGTTGTAACGGAAGTGTAATGTGATGTACAGTGTGGACACTTACAATGTCGTCTAAGGTTAAGCTATCACTGTTCTAATGTCAATAGTCCGAAAGAAGAGTATCAAGAAATGGTGTGTCTACAAAACAAAGCAAATAAATCACGGAGGAGGGAGATAGTTGGCAAAGAAGTACAGAGGTATCACGAGCAAGGGGCAAGAATGAAGGTCATCAATATTGGATACAGACAAATGCCCATGGACACGACGAAGATCGAAAAGGTGTACAGAAAGAGAAAGGAGGTCCAAATCTCTAGCAGGTATCAATCTTGATGCGGTGTACGCTTTCTCCCGGGGGAAAATATAATCCCAGCGTCTTCATCCTCTTCTTCGCCATCCACGTCATGACCGTAAACAGATGAATGGTTTCTGTTGTCTTCAGAAGAGCTCGAATCGTCGTCCCCAAAATCAAATGAAGTGTTTCGCGGTGGTCTCGAGTCGATCACCCGTGATGTGGGCTGGAACAGATTGGACGGGCCGACTCCGCGATCGTCACTATCCCGAAAGTCAGATGAATTGCAAGTCTGACCGAATGAAGGAGGATTGGAAGTCGAATCATTTCGATTAGCCTCACTCTCATCGTCATTCCACTCAATATCGAAACTTTCATTCCGAAATTCAATTGGATGATCGCCCCAGCTGGAGACGCGCCGATCTGCGGTCAGGATGTCGCTGGCATCTGCAGACGGATGGTGGTACCGTAAGGCTTCTGCACTCGCGCGAGCAGTGCGTGTAGCGTGGGGCCGAGGAGGACCGAAGAATTTTAGCGAACGAGTCGCATTGTTGTCACTATCATCGGGGGAAAGGGATTTTGGTGTACTGTTTCGGCTAGACCTTTTTAAAAAAGATGGGAGTGCGAAGGTGAATCTAGATGCACTCGCCGGCGTAATGGTTGTTGAGTCACGCTCGTTTCGAGACCTAATAGAGGAATGGCGGCTGATACTGGTGGACCCACGAGCTCGCGGTGCAGACCGATCAGTGGACATCGATCGCGACTTCACTTTTTTGCGGGAAGTGTTCGAAGAAAAGAGGGTAGACGAAGAACACGTGTCGGTTGCTTTTCCCTTCCCCTTGTCCCGTCCTGAGCCAAAGTGCCTAGTAATGCTGCGGTGTCGTACCATAGAAGTACGGTCACTATTGTCTCTGCCATGTCTGTCATTATGGCTGGGTGTAAGTGTGCTCGTCAGGTCTGGTGCAGCGCCACGAATACGCTTCGTGATTTTAGTCATCCCACGTTGGAGTCGTGACCGCCATTTGAAGTGAATCATGGACATCGCCGTGCGCTCCTCTTCCGGAGAAACAATGATTTTTTGCGATGTCTCTTGGAGCCATGTGTCTGGATTGGGAAGGTCATGAAGAAACCAGGGACTGCACTGCGTTGATATATGGTTAATGGTGAAGGTATGATGAGAGAAGACGGGACATACTCGAACTTCGCTAAGGGTAATCCGTAGCCTCACGTCCTTAGCAAGGAAGTGGTCAAGAAGATGCATAACGATTCCACCTTCCGAATGCTCGTCACTGGGATAGCGTCCGCCAGTAGGGATGCGATCATAACCCATGTAGTCTTCGGCCTCCCAATCCTCATTGAAGATGCGCCGATACACTTTCCATTCGGTCGTGACGCCGCTGTCTTTCGAAGCAAAGGGCACTTTGCCAAAGAGCAGGCAGTAGAGGGTGACACCAAGGGCCCAGACGTCAATGGCATTGGTGATAGGCTGGGGAGGGGGAGGATCGTTCTGATCTATGCAGGCAATGTCGTACACAACCTCGGGCGCCATGAACATAGGCGTCCCAGCTCTTATAGCTAAGTTAGTGTCGTTGAGGAGGATGGGATCCTCTGGATCGTCCTGGGCGGAAGGTCCGGCATGGGACAGCCGTAGTGCATAGGAGAACTGAGAGGTCCCAAAATCGGCGATCTTGACATGCTGACGGTGCGCGGTCCACAACAAATTAGCTGGCTTTATATCCCGATGGATGATGCCTTGGGCGTGAACTAGAAGACGGAAATTGGCTGACGACGAATTATGTACATGGAATCACTCACGGTAGTCCAAGCCAAGTATAGCGTCCCGTATGATGCGACGAGTCTGCTCCACCGTAGAGACGGGGTTGCCTTGATTGGTCCATTCGACTTCTCCACCTGCGCAGTACTCCATCACTGTCATTAAGGGTTAGATGACAGAATAAAACCATGAGAGCGCATAAACCTCGGTATGGGGCAACGGCAGCCCCGGGGGACGCCGCATACTACAAAGCAGCCTGCATACGGAGAGGATGGGCGAAAGAGACGTACCCATGAATATCTTGCCAATGACCCGGTCATCCAGCACCTCAAAGAGTCTAACGACATGGGGATGGCGAAGTTTCTTCATAATAGCTATTTCTTTGAGGATCTTGCCTTCTGCAGAGTGAATAGCATCACCAAGTGTGGGATCGGAATGTCGAGGAATATGCGAGCGTCGTAGCTGTTCATATTTCTTGTTCCTCTTGTCTTGAGGAGAAACGCGACGGACGGCCTTGATAGCCTGTCCAAAGATGGGTGAGAGTGAGAGAGAAAAGCAAAGAGGATGGACGTACCAATATTCTGCTTGGTTCCAAGGAGCTTCGAGCCATATATACGGTTCCATTCTTTCCCTGACCGACCTTGGCACCTAGGTTGTACTCATTAACCGCGATTTTGCTATACGAGAAGACGTGGTCGGTGGTGATGACTGAGGGAGGGTCGAATACACGGCTATCGACAGGACCACCAGGAAGGGTGCTCTCAACCATGATTGTGGTGGGCCAGAGAGCAGCATGAAAGGGAGTAGATGGTGGTTCACGGTCAAGGAGAAGGTACAAGAAATAACCATATTCATTCCACGGGAACGACCCCGGATACCCCTAATCCAAAATGGATAACTGGAAATCTATTTCGAATTTGAAATCCAGGAATTGATGCTTTGATTCGAATCTTTCGAGTAATTATTATTTTCCTATCCCGTCACTAAGAATTTCCAGGCAATTTCCCCCCCCCCCCCCCCC